CGTCTCGGCCGATGGTTGGGTTATGCCACCGTGGTTTTTAGTTAAGGGTCAATTCCATATGGAGAGTTGGTTTATCAACACTAACTTACCCGACGACTATACTATATGGCCAACCCCGAACGGCTGGACCGATGAGATTATTAGTTTTGCCTGGATTCAGGTCTTCGACGAATTTACATCGTTCCGTGTTAAAAAAGGGGAATATCGTCTTCTTTTAATGGATAATCATAGTTCACACTTGACCTATGATTTCATTGAATTTTGTTGGAGAAAACGAATTATCCCCTATTGTTTTATCCCACACACAACACATGGCTGCCAACCGCTCGATGATACACCATTTCAAGTGCTAAAGCATTATTATAAGAAGTATAATAATGAGGAAGCCTTTTGGGGTGGTGATGCGCGGTCAAAGGCAAATTTCTTCGCGGGAATCCACGATGTCCGGACGTCGGCACTTACAACGCGCACTATTCGACATGGATTCCGCGAAACTGGTATTTGGCCTGTGGATTCTAATAAAGGCCTCACAAAACTTGGTATTTCGACCGAGGATAATGATCTACCTATGATGCCCAGTTTTATTATTCATAATATTACTTCCGGAACTACACCACCACCACTATCAAGCTCATTGCCTAATACCCCGCCCGAGACAGTACAAAAATTGAGAAAGGCAAGCACTAAGGTTATAAAGCATATTCAAAATGACTCGACAATCTCCCCGAAGGTGCGACAAAGCCTCTCTTAGATACTAGCGGGTGGCCTCGTTCTCGCTGAGGTCGGGGCTCAGTTTGCGGAAGACAACGTGCGAATTCTACGGCGCAAGAAGCGGTCTGATACGGCTAAGACTAAGCGAAGGCTTCCGGAAATAGGCCCTCGTTTGGTTAAGGATCGTAAAAAGCACATAAATGACCGGGTTGATAAAGAAAGGCTACAATCATTCAATCGTTCGAAGAAAGCCTGGCGGGATGCAGCTATTTTAAAAGCAATTGCCGACGGAGAAATCGAGGATATAGGGCAAATTGAGTCAGATCATGATGAAGAGAGGCCTCGGGAATGGATTGATGATCTTTATTGTATTGATTTGGAAGGTGATGCTATTTAAATTCAATGAATTATTTGGTGGAATGGAGAAAAGTGAGATTACGCCCGGGTTGAGATTACGCCCGGGAACCCGGACACCGCCAGGTGGCCGCGTTCGACGACCCGATTATATATTTAGTAAAGGGCCCCCTGAATTACTATAAATCCTTTCTATTTTCTTAAAATCTTATATGTTAGAGCTTTCTTTATTAATATATCTATTGTATTTAGATAAAAAGCATACTTTATAGATTAAAATTTCTTATAATTAATTATCTCTTAATTTTAATATTAAAGTATGTTTTATTGGAATAAATTTTAAAAGTTTATAAGAAATATACACTAGGTGCTTGAACTATTATTTTATATATAAACTCTTTATTTCATTAGTTAGGAAGATTTTATTTTCATTTCTATCTTCTTATAGAGATAAGAATTTCGTAATATATAAGTTATTTTTCATAATTAAAATCAATCTAAATTTATATAATTCTAATGTATTACTTTTTCTATTAGAAACGTAGTCACGGTATTTTTATCTAATTTATTAATAATTAATAGATTTATTCTTAAATCTAGAATATAACAAACATTTTCTAAAAGGAAAATAAATCTATTATTAGTTTTATTAAAACCTTTCTTTTAAGTTTTATATTTAAATTAATTAATCTTTATATTAAATAAAATAAAATAAAATGTAAATTATATAAATAGTAGCTACTATATCTAATATAAATTTAAATATTCAACCTAAATAATAGTTCTTTTCGAGGATTAAAACTATTTTTTATCTATAATATTAATTTCATACTTTATTATAGGGACATACACTTCTTTAGCGATATTAAAACCATCATTTAATAATTTCCTAAAATTAGGGAGAATTATATCCTCTTTACTTTAATTTTCTTACTATAAAAAATTAATATATTTTCTCTCTTTTTAGTTATATTATTAGGCTTAATTTTTAATCTTGTAGCCTTTTAGTTTTATTAAATATTCTTCCCGATGGCGAGGCTTCTAGCCCTTAGGGTCTTTGCCTTGAAATAATAACTAGAATTTACTAGTTAAGTAGGTAGATAATTTTTAATTTATATAATATACCGATTCAAATGGTTTCTTTTTTTTAGATATTCTCTATTTTAGATTTAAAAAAATAAGTTTATTGCCCTTAATACCCCAAGTTTCATTAATCAGACTTAACAACAGAGTCTCTATAATGTATGATTTCGGATCTCTCCGAAGAGATTAGACGATATTTTTATATTAATTTTTTTAATTTGTCATTAAGGCATTTAGTACCTATGAAATAACTGATGATTTTAGTAGAATTATTTCCTTACTACAGAAATTATCATTAAGGGTATTAACTTCATTTGAATATCACCTATGGTCTAAAATCATATTAGGACGTGTCTAAGAATTCTTTAAAAATTAAAAATTTTATTACAAATCCCTTTACACCTGGTGATAAGACTCTTCGAGTGTTTTTTACACTAGCTTAGTACTTTTAATATCTTTAATAAATAGTAATAAGCTATTATTATATATTAGCTAAATCATAAAGAGAGCCCTATTATCCTTTATACTAGTAATGGGAAAATTACCAAGAGTAGCGATTAATTCTTCCTTTATTAAGATAGCCTTTACTCTTATTACCTGAGTAGAGTAATTTTGCTACGTAACTTTGGAATTTATACTCTTTTAAGAAAGGCTATAATGCTATATACTTTAGAATCAAAGGATATACTAAGTTGTAATTCAGCGGTCCGGTAGGGATCGATGTTCATACTATTTTAGTATAGAAAGAACTCTCAATCATTCTATATGAAACATTAAACCTAGATATATGCAGAGTATTTTAATTATATCAATAGACGTTTTGTGTATATATATTCTTTTTCTACATAAATCTTTTTATGTATAAGTACATATATGTTTTGTGTAACATATATTAATAACTCGAGACTGACCTCGGGCTCATAATCTATCAGAGCTATAAAGAGGAATGATGAGCATAGGAAGGGAATAGGAATAGTTAATAAAGTAAGAAGGTAGTTGAGAATTTTATTTTAAAGAAGAATTCTTAGTAATGGTATCTTATGGATAGTGAAAGTGTTATTGTTATTATTATTATTATAAGATTTTTTACCCTTCTTTTATATTAAAATATGTGGCGAAAAAATATTTTGTTATTATAAAACAGTGATATCATAAACTACTATTATCCCATTATTTATTATTATGTATATAGCTAAATATGATAATCTTATAGGTAGGTCGGTAGTAACATACAGGTCGACTTTTTTCTTCTTTTATCACTTAGGGGTAGTCGTCTCTAGGGCTTTCCGGTAGTGTCTAACGATTCGAATTGGAAGATTAATATATATCAAAGGGCTGGCTAGTATACTATTTATATTAATCTTAAAGAAAGGAACTATCTAACGTAGGGTTCACTATAAAAACCCTAGCTATAGGTCACGCGATAGCACGTGATATCTAATGAGCTTTGGCCCGTGATAAGACCTTTATTATATGAATATCCGAATTGTAAAAATTGATATAGGAACTTCTAATAATAAAGAACATTTAGGCAAAATCCTGAATAAAAATCTATTTTAGTAGTGGCAGGAGAATTTTCAAAAGTAGGGGGTTGACTTACAACTTGAAATAAGGGAATAGCTTCATTGATTTTAGGGGGTAAGGGGATTTATAATGAGGGGGAGTGCATAAATCAAAGTGGGGGGACCATTAGAGATTATGCACTACGGACTTTTAGGCGTCTATAGAAGATCACATGATGGAGAGATTTCATGTCTAAATCTATTTGAATAGGGCAAGGGTAAGGTCAAGGTGCTTGTATAATTTGAGAGGGTGCGTTTTATAATTCTGTAAAATGCAATCCCATTCAAATCTACTATATATCATAGTTCAATTTCCATGATAATAATCTCCGTAGTTTCAAATTTGATAAAATTGACTTGTTCTGATAAGAACCTTGGTCCATAGATAGAAATAAGTCACCTTGAATTATTCATTCCCTCTGATAGCTCAGCTGGAAGAGCGCCAGACTGTAATTGAGTTTGTCATCTGGATGTCCCTGGTTCGATCCCGGGTCAGAGGAATTTTTGCTTTTCTTTTATGCACCATATATTATGATTGACAGGGTAGATAGCAGGTAGAACCATGCTCGGGAAAATGATAGAGAAATAAAATATTGAATACATAATGGGAGAGAACTAGTCGATATGAGCCCGTGAGTGGCGTAAGTAACCAGATCGTTCGTTGTTGGTCTTATGTCACACAACATGCATTGTGTAACTAAAGATGGAGCACCTAGTCGTTTAAAGCACTAAGGGATGGCCTATTTAGCCAGTCATTACTTTCGGAACGGCGTAAGAATAGGTTCTCCGGTGCCAGATAGGGCGCACCGACCTACATAGCAAAGTCGACGCTAGGAAGAGCTGCAACAGGAATAAGAATCAATTAATCAACTAGGTATTATGAAAACATGACGATAATGGTCAATAATATAAACAGAAAGATACCAAAACTGATAATAAAAAGTTGTTCCTACCTGGATTTTATAGTAGCAACTAATTCGAGGTGTTTTCTTGTATAGGACTTTTACTACAATCTTACTTATCAAAACTTATATTGTGTTTTTGGGCAAAGTATTTCCTCTATGTTATATTCAAGATTTCAATTGAGAGCGGACAGAAACTCAAGGTCTAGTTTTGATTTAGACAAGGGAGAATATAATCCTAAGACTTGATCGTATTATTTAAACTACACCGCAGGCTTGAGCACGGCACCGAGCGTAAACGTACTTTATATTTATATCCTGTTTACTACCAAGTCGGTTACCTGACTACCATATATTTCTCTATCAATCTTGGCATATGTACATCCCTTTAGGTGGTCTCATGAAAAGTGGCGCCTTTCTCCTCAATTTGTGAGACATCGGCACTGTTACTCGAGTTGCTAGGTTTAGTCTCGTCAACAGCACCAAATCCATACTGAATGGCGACACGTTCAACGTCTTCATCCGAAAGATATGGTAGCTCCCTGGCCGCACGTACGTAGCCAATGTTCTCTGAAAATCCTTTGGCAAAAATTAAATCGATTTCTTCGAGAGATCGACGGGCAGTCTCGGGGTAGAAGAAATAGATGACGGGCAAGAAACAAGCATTCATAGCCGCAAAAAAGAGGTATGTTCCCCACTTGATATTGGAGATCATGATTGGGGTAACCATGACGATCAAGAAATTGAAAAGCCAATTGGAACAAGTTGAAAGTGCGTTGGCCTTGGCACGGGTCTTGATCGGGCTGATTTCAGCAGGGTATAGCCTAAGAAAGAAAGAAAAGGAAACGATGAGCATCCAGTATGCAGCAAGCATTATCACGATAAGCGCAGGGCCAGTATCACTTACCAGGGCAGAGGTAACCAAGTTGCACCGAAACTAGCAATGTAGGTGAAAAGACCGAAGGCAGCACCTTTAGCAGGACCAGGCTTGTCAGGAACCAAGCAAGCGAATGTAATCAGCATTGAGACCATTTGACCAACGGTTCCGTAAAGAAATAGTTTGCGGCGACCGACTCTCTCAATCAAGAACCAGGAAGCGGTGGCAAAGATGGAGTATACAATCATGTTCACACCGCCGAGAATTGACGGAAGCTTTCCATCTAGCTTAATTGAGTCTCGGAACAAAATGGGTAGGTAATAGATGACAGCGTTGCATCCCCCAATCTGCTGCATCAATTGGGATGAAGCACCGAGAAGCATTCGACGGAAGTGCTGAGTCTTTCCACCAGTGAAGACGGCAGACATCGGGGTGGTCTTACCCATCTGACCAGAGGCACGGATGGAATCCATGATAATATTCTTTTGTAGAATTACATCATGGGAGTCGATCTCGGCACCCAATAGTGCAGCGATGACCTTCTCACCCTCTTCGTGACGCTCACGAGTGAACAGCCAACGAGGAGACTCGGGGAGAAGAAGCATACCGACAATAATGAACACGCCAAAGACGCACTGGAAGGCAATGGGGAAACGCCAAATCACGTCGGGTGGACCGTAAGAGGCACCAAAGTCGATCCAGTAGGCAATGAGGGTACCAAAGGCAATCGTACCGCCCTCGATACAGATTAAGAGACCGCGGTTTGAGGTTCGGGAGCATTCTGGACATCGTACATTAGTAGTTGGATCATTGGAATTCTGATAACAATACCTACCGGCCTGATAGGTTGGAATCGTGGATGTATTCATTCCATTGCCCACCCCGGTGACGATACGGCCAATAGTAAACTGCGCAAGAGGTTGCTTGCCGGCATAAGAGGTAACTTGAACAATCACACCAAGAATCATGATGATAGCTCCACTGATGATACCCCTGCGACGACCGAGCCAATCACCCCAAATGAGCATGAAGATAGCACCAAACAGACAACCTATAATTTTTCAATTAGCACTCTTCTCGAGACTGGTGTTTGCAAATATTAACCGACCAATTTCATACAAGGCAGTAACAGTACCCTGCATCGTTGAGTTACCTCTCAGCTCAGTCAGGACATCAGTAAAATCCGGAGCGTCAATGATACTACTCATCACACCCTCTATCAAAGATCTGGTCAGTGTCAGGCTCCCAGGCCACATGTGGAGTACATACGATCATAACCAAACAGCAAAAAGCCCATCGTTGCAGTTGTGGTGACTGCACGCGACAGCAGCTTGCCGGACATGCCGGCAAAGGTAGGAACAACCATGTTTTGAAGACTCAGAGTGAGAATGGATTACATCTATTGTCTCGGTCTGGAACCGGGTTATAGGTATTCGAAAATCGGATGGAATATAGGTGAGAATCCCCCGTAGCCACGTATAAGAAAAGAAAAGGTTCCAGAATCAGGGGCATAACAGTTATATACGACTTTCTGGGACCATTTGGGGGGGGGGCCTCATGCTGGGGTGTTTTTAAAACAAATAAAATGCCCGAAAATGTTTAAAAAATAAGAAAAACAGATAAGTCTTCAGCCACAGTAGAAGAGGAAAGTAAACCGTTCGAACACTAATCTTACTTGCGGGGAACTAGCTTATTGGTTCAATGTTTAGACTACATGAGAGTAAAGTAAGACTAGGCACGACTAAGTAGGACTAAGTAAGCCTCAACAAGCCAGGGCTAAGCCGAATCCAAGAGTATTGGCAATTGCTTTTTTTTTCCCTTCTTCTTTCGTTCCTTTTTTGTCTTGGAAACTAAAAGTCAAATTTTTTTTCTTTCTGGAAAATATAGAGATTGTACCATTGGACTCCCATCGTGCTGTGTATGTGGTGTACGTTCATGGGCAGTGTGGAGTATTTCCTACCTAATGTAACACTGTTTTATCCTACATATGTAGGTAAATTCAAGACAATCCAATTCTGGGGAAAGAATCCCCGGATTTATGGGTTTTTACCTCTTCCATGAGATCTCGTCAGTCATTGCGACTTGCTAAAAAGGGCCAACTAAGGGATTCGGCTTGGCAAATGTCCTTCGAACATTGGCTTGTGATATTGAGGTTCAAAGGGAAACTCAGCCGGCATTAATTGCACATGTGTGTAAGATTTTACCTCGAAATTCACCCGCAGTGGGTCGATCCCGCGTCTGGGGGCTGCATGATGTAGTATTGCGGCCATCCACTTAAAAAACGAGCTATTTCTACTTTGGGGGTGTGTGTTGTTCTTTTTTGTAAAGGAAATAGTAATTTCGGCGAAACTGGCCGATTTTTCCCGTTAGTGTTTAGTGATTTGCCTGTATAGGTAGACACAGATTGAGAGCACACGGCTACACCTAATACCAGTAGAGTCATTTAGTATGCTCTACATATTTTTTTTTTGTCTTTTCTACTATCCTTCTACTTGATCATAATATCTCGGGTAAGAACTATAACCACATACATACACATGTATGTATGTAGTCCATTCTAAATTTTCAATCTGATAGATCTGCAGATCGACAGGAGATCGGATATATTCCCCATATACTAGCTAACTAGAGTTGGAATCGCCTTACGACCATCGTTTGAAATACCGTTATCCGATTTTCTCACACCCCTCGGGCATTGACGAAATGAAACTTAATGGCCAGTGCCATATAATGTAGGCAACAGGCCCTAATCACAGCTCCCAAACTCCCCAGACCCCAAGCCACAGCTTTAGAGAAAACAACCTTAGAACAGACCCCAGAACACGTAAGCACCTTAAAATCTGTACATGATCGTTCGAGTCGAAAGTCTGGCCTCTGGCCTTTCTTGGGAAGATTGGCACCGCGGAACATGGTCCATCAGTCTGTAATTCTTTTTCTTCTTAATAGAAGGAACAGATCCGGCTGATGGGTGAAAGAGGACAATGGGAGTAGCTAGAGAATCACATGATACACATGCTACGTTTGGATGACCACCCCTTTGCGTCCTATCGCTTCTTCTAAATGAAATCCAAAAACGAACCGGTAAAGGTCTCGGAGCCAGGAGTACTGGCCATGATGTAGCATAGCTTGACAAGCATGAGCAACATCGATGGCTCCAACCCGGGCCTGCAAGCCAACATTCCTGAATGACGACGGATCGGAGGCCACCACCTTCTTAAAGTTCTTTAACAAGGACGCTTGCCATGACAAGGAGCCAAACGCATCTGAAGGGAGGGATTTCACAAATGACAAAAGACTCTGATTCCCCCCTCGTTGGAAGCCACTGTCCATAGCGGCTCTAATAATCAAAATCTTTAGCCGGGTGAGGTTAGGATCCTCTGAGATGGTGGTCACAGTATTAGCCGACGAAGCCGTGTGTCCCGATGATAGAGAATTTTCTGATATACTAGAGGCGTTGGATGACCACCTATTGTGAGATTTCAGGCGTCCTTTGTCATACCCTGTTAGAAAGATATTGGGGACGAGACCTTCGTCGGGTGAGATGTTTGCCGTATCTTCGAATATAGTCGTGGGTGTTTCGGGCAGCCCGAGTTGGCTCAATGGGTCATCACCGAAATCCATCTCTGATTGCTGAGACGCTTGATAAAATGCCTGCGAGAATGTGGGTTGACTAGGTCGTGGTGTTCCGCGGTCCGAATTGCGCAGGTTATGCTGTGTCCATCCTTCACGGAACAGATCACAAAGCTCCCAGCATGCTTGAACTGCAGATCCCAACAATCCTTCATCCAGGAGTGTCCCCTCTTTTTTACTCTGGCGAATACTGAATAGCATCTCGGCTAACGTCCAGCACGCACTCACAAGAGAGTCTATCTCCGTGATGCAGGTTCGTTGCTTCATAAGCCGGTGACACAATGTGATATAGAAATCCAAGGTTCGTTCGCGAAAAGCATCTGGAAGATTTCGATCGTACGTATTGTACAGATGATTGTTTAATTCGAAACTCACTCGTAGGACCGAGTCAGAGACGTCAGTGTCACGAATTCGGGCTTCAAAGAGCGCCTGGCAGAAGTCCCGACAGAGATCCAGAGTTGGGTGAACCTGGGTAGCATAGTCATCATCGCGCGTATCATAAAGCTTTCGGCAGAGTCTCCAACAAGATCTCCATGCATCCTCTTGCATGTCATCACTGTGAGATTTGTGAAGGCGTTCCCGATGGATATAGCTGAGATTAGCGAGTGTATTGCATAGGGTCCAGCATTCGTCCAGAGCATCCTTCAGAGCCTTAATTTCGGCTTCTTTACTGGTCAACGCTGGCATGGGGTCAGTCTCGTCAGCACAGAATCATGATTGATTGAATATACCTTCAGGAATATCTTGAGAGCGGTTAGCAAGGACAGGCACAGATTACGGCGTGACCTAGGGAATCAAATATACCTTCTAAGCTGCTTGAGCGAGTGCGTCGCTCAAATTCCTCGAATTCATGTCTGGTTTGTGCACGAGGCGTTGCTCGCTCAGAAAAATCACTGGCCAAGCTGAGTGATGTCTTCAACGGAGGAGGTGATATTGGACTTTTGCCAAACTGGATGGAAACATTAGCGAAAATTGTCACAAAGAGTTGGAGTCAATTTACATTTGTTGTGCTTGTAGTTACGCTTATTGAATCAACCTGCTCATCTGAGCTAATTGACGGCGACTGTGATTCCTCTATTCCTTCCAAAGTGGGCTGCATTGGTGCCTTTTGAATACATCAGTCAATGTGCGACAATAGCTGAAATGGAACCCGTACAAAATCTCCAAAACCGGGCGGAGCATGTATCACCGACTGGGGTTCGTCTTCATCCGATTTTGTACCAAGTCCAATGTGATTTGGGTGAGAGGTTTGAATCTGTATCATTGTTAGACGGAAGAGCTTCTTCAAGATTAAAGAGAGAGGGAGATGAATACTGTAAGTCCTGACGGGGATGTTCCCACAGGTATTTGGGAGCTATGCTCGATGGAGTCCGTCTCTCCCAGTTTGTTTTCATTTTGGGTCAAGTTATCAATCTCCGAGAAGGGGGGGTCCTCATCGTCCTCGTTCCCCTCATTCCCCTCCTTCCCCTCGTTTATCGATCCGTGCAGGGACCTGTTGTCATCAGTCAAATTATTATTAAATCCATATTCATTCACATACATCGATAGGTAAGCTGGATTTGTAGAGTCGCGGAATGGTAGAACAGACACCGGTGACCTGACGGCCATGGCCAGAATTTATATAGGGAAATAGAGCTTAAATGGGCATTGAGGGAGGGAAAATAACAAAGATGGAGAAAAGAGAGTGAGTCTTGGAGCTGAGCCCCCGGGGCTGGTCCTTATGCTTACCTAGCGTATACTACACGTGATACATACATACATGTACATATGTAAGTATACCAGGACTATGGTTCGAATCAAGGTACATATGCTAGCAGTTTGTGAGGCTGTGATGGTTGAATACACTTATTCGAATTCCAAGGATATTCTCTATCCTTCTGATATATAAATAGATAGTTATCCTCATTTTCAAAAGTGAAGTGATTGTATTCGTTTCCATTGCATCAATAACCTCTGATTGGTTGTCAAAGACAGAAGCGCTTTTGTCCCCCATGCGGTATAGTCCTATTTAGCTCCACATGATGTGAGTGGTCAACGGAGGTTTGGAATGCATGTTCATCACGGCGCCTAAGCTCGGTTATCGAATGTGTTTTTTTTAGAGAGGGTTTGGACTTGTGTTCCCCCTTGATCGGCGCCTAATACTAGATGTTATATGAACCCGAACAGCGCATGCGCATATCAATTGAGTTAGGAATATCTCTACTTTTGGTATGTCGCAGACGTGTCGCAGACATGCTACAGATATAGAACTGCAGAGTTTGAGAATGTGTTTTAAATGCTGAGTGCATTTTACCAAGAGAAATTTACCAATGTATTATATCAATGGATTTCCTAGCGCCAGAATGCGAATCGGAACTACATTGACGGTAAAGCAGTATCGAAGTCGAGTAACCTGAACCTCAACATAGACTGACATACAATCATTGAATGAACAGACAACCCGGTATTGCCAGAATTAGACTACGAAGGGAGTGGGCGTGGCCCCCATATGCGGGGATCAGACCGTAAGCTGTTGTGGGTAAATTTCATTGAATATAAGGAATATCAAAACGCAAATGCCTCCCTTGACGCCATATCCCAGTGTGTGTGGAGTGCAACGCCACCCTAAATGCATATCCCAGAACCAACAAAGGGGTTTGGGAATCTTTGTTCATCTCAGCCTGCGTCGCCTGTCGCATCAAAAGCCAATGCACCGGAGGGGAATTCCAAGGCCATCAAATCTGGAGCTCGGCCAAGATTAACGTTTGACGAACATGTCTAAGCTTGAGGGGGTTTTTTTGGTTCGTATTCTCTTGCAAACACATCCAACTTGCCGTTGATGTCCCTGAACGACACAGTGGACAGAGCGGGTCAGAAGGTTCCGACTCGAGCATGGAGAGAAAATTGGAGATTTGAATTAAGTCCTCAGAGAAAAGGTTCGGTTGAGGTCGGTGACAGGTTGACTCGATTAAGAATATTGGTTGGCTTATACTTGAGCCTTGGAGCGGTCTTTCTCGGCGGAATTGTAGCTGTGTGATATCAGCAACCAATGACCGACATAATAAATTGAAAAGTGGGAGAATAGTCTCTTGAACATACCGAAGGAGCTTCTCAATCAAATCAACATGGGTCATGATCATTCGCCGACAGCAGTAGCGTCTGCAGCCAAGCTGGTCCATAGCGTCACTAAGAGTAGATTTGGTTAGCTAGGACTTGCTGTAACAGTTCAATTGCTACCATACCCGTCAGCCACACCATCGTCCAAAAGCTGCAGGTAACGTTCCCAGAGGTCACCGACGACCTACACACGTTCAGTAATCATACATCACATATTGAGAACGGTAGCTTACCTTGCCGCAGGAGAAACAACGAACTGGAATAATCATGTCGGCGGTTCAAACTAGCAGATAACTCTGAGAGAAAGAGCGAGAAATGATCAAACGGCAAAGGTTAATGGAGTGAAATGATGTCGGCTTTGAACCAGACTTTTTTTCCCGTGAACATCGCAAAGTCCGATCTAACCCAATTAGGCAAAATGCGATTTTCTGCCACTAATCCCCGCCTGGATTTTGCCTTGGGAAAAAAAAAGTAGTATCCGCCATGAAGATCCCCAGAGTTCAAGTGTCTGCAACTATTCACCAATTTTGCAAGTTATGACTGTCTGAACTGCATCATCTACAAGTATACCACTCCTCTTTACTCTTGCACCTGATTCATCCGCAAAAATGGCGGCCAGTCAGTCTGCACGACAGCAAAAACGATCCCGGCTCAGTGATGCGACTTCCGAGAAGCCTGCCAGAGCGAACGACGAGCGTTCCAAGAGGCGCCGAGTGTCCGGAGCTAATGAGCAGAACCAACCCATCGAATCTACCAAGGCAGTGACGGTCTCCAGCAGCCATGTCCAAACTCAAGATGCTGAGACCAAGCAAAAAAACCCCGCGCCATGGTCATTCTCTCGCCCCATTGGCGGTCGTTACACCAACTTGGATCCTATTCTGACTCAGGATGAAACGTGAGAACTATCCTTTTAGCCCGACAAGGTCACTGCTGACCCTTCCATCCCATTACAGATCTCTCTTGGTTGGACTTGACACGGCAGTTCAAGTAATCGCAACTTCAACCTCTCGAATTTCACGTACCTTGCAATTGGAGACCGGCCAAAAAATCATCGGGTTTAGCATTTGCCCACAAGACCAAGATAACCTCTATATCTTCACTTCCATAGGCTCCATCAGCAAGTGGAACTGGAGCACCGGAAAGCGGATTGCGCGCTGGGAAACCACTTGCACAACCATTTCGACAAGCTTAGCTTCCATTGGCAAGGAAGAAACCCGATCTTCCTTGTGCTTTTCCATTCTTGCGCCCAAGGGTGGGAAACGACAAATTTCAGTCGGCGCTCTGGGAGACAAGAAAACCCAAGGTACTACCATTCTCGAGACCACCCAGAAGCTCAATTTCGTCAAGGTGACCAGCAATGGTCGTGTGGTCCTGGCAAGCGATGGAAAACATATGTTTATGGGCACTACCCACGGCGCGGAACTTGAAAATCTCGAGACTGTTCAGTACACCTGGCGCGAGGTGGTCCTTCCTACTCAGGCTGCATGCTTTGACATCCAGGGCTCAGACTCGATTGACCTGGCAGTAGGAACAACCAGTGGCTATATACTGGTCTATCAGAATGTTTTGGATACCCTCTTTGGCAAGGATAGCAGCGACAAAAAGTCATCGCCTAGGAAACTGCACTGGCACAGAGAAGCCTGTAACACTTTGCGTTGGTCTAAAGATGGTATATATACACCCGCATGAACAAGACTTTGAGAGAATATCGCTGATCAATTTGTCAGGAAACTATATCATTTCAGGTGGTAACGAGTCAGTCATGGTTCTGTGGCAATTGGACACTGGCCGCAAGTCTTTCCTCCCCCATCTTTCTTCCCCGATCTGCAACCTTGTTGTCTCTGCAAGCGGCAGTTCCTATGTGGTCAAGTTGGCCGACAACTCAGTCATGGTTTTGTCGACGAGAGAGTTGCAGCCTCTTAGCTCCATCACAGGGTTGCAGCTTTCCCCAGATGCCGGGGCTTCTGTGGATCCCACGAAAGGATCTGTCGTGGCAAAGTTGCACCCGCAACAACCCGAGCGACTGATTGTCTCTGTCCCAGCCTCTCACCAATTTACTCAAGCCCAGCATGGCTCTCAGCCTGCAAATGCGGCTGTGCTTCAGACATATGACATTCGCGCCAACTCCAACATCTCCCGTCAAGCTCTTGCCCGCACCAATGCGACCACACTGACCATTAGCCCGGAAGGAACTCATGTCATCGCACCTGATGTCAAGCATCTGGATATTGTTCATGACGCCAAGTGGTTGGCCACAGTTGATTCCTGGGCCCCACACCCTCAGGATGTGGAGGCCCTTGACCGCAAGGCCGCCGCTCTTCATCCCGAGGTTTTCTTGAAGTTCTGGAAGTGGGATGCTTCGTCAGATACATGGGAACTCGTTACACGTGTTGACGGTCCTCATTTCGCCGCGAACCACCACTCAGCTGTTCTTGGCCTGGCGTCCCGTCCAGGAGCTCACGAGTTTGCAACCCTTGGTGCAGACTCGACCCTTCGCTTCTGGTGTCCGACTGTGAAACACCGCAGTGGCTTGAAGGCCAAGGATCAACCAGAGCAACCCATGAACACATGGAAGTGCCGTGGCATCGTTGATCTCAAGGGTTGTCTCGATACTACCCAAGATTCGCCATTGAAGTCGGCTTGTATGACTTTCTCCGAGGATGGCTCGGTACTTGCTGTTTGTCTGCCATCGACATCGGCTGCAAATGATGGCCTTGTTCTGTTGATCGATGCACGAGCTTGCGCCGTGCATTATCGACGAACCGGCGTTTTCCTGGGCAATCCCTGCTCTACAAGTTTCTTAGGAAGCCACTTGATCGTCGCTTCTACTCACTCTATTGCTGCCTGGAACACAGTTGATGATGTCGTCCGGACTATCCAGTCATCTGACTCCGTCGATTCGCATGGTACTGGAAACTCGATGATTGCCGTGAATGCTAGAACTAAATCATTGGCCATCACATCGGCTACGGCGCACAAGAAGAAGAACAAGGCTCGATTTGAAATCAAGATTTACGACGTCCCGTCCTTTGAAGTTGTTTTCCAAGAATCTCTCAAGAGCGCACCGGTTTCACTGCTCGCTGATGTTTATTCTGGCGATTACATCGTCATTGATACCGCAGCCACTGTCCAGCGACTTGGCTGCCTGGACAAGGCATCCCAGAAGAGCCAGAACAACCAGTCCCGTGATGTGACCGGCCAGATTGACAGTGGTTTATCGACTCTTTTCTCTCGGGGAGCAGAGAGGCAACATATTCAAGCTGACGATGTGACTGAATCATCATCCCAAACCAAGGGACTGGCTAGTGTTTTCGGTGACACTCCTTCTTTCTCTTTGCCTGCCATCGGGGTCCTTTTCAGGAACGTGGTTCAAACCCTCAGCAGCAAATAAGTTATGCAGGCAGGGTTCAGGATGTTTCTCTTTTGGTGCACGGGTGTAGCGGTTGGGAATTGTTTGTATTTTTTAAACATTGGACATTGTGAACAGCGAACAATGTATACATATATGTATGTATATGGTTACCTCGGTATACCAAAAATATCACGATTTTATCATTCAACTCAGTCCGTATCTCAACTCTACTTCATCTCTTACTCTACACCCAAGTACGAGAGTAATGATGTTCGATTTTGATACAATAGGTTTCATCAAAATAATGAACAAGGCTATGAAAATTAAGGTAACACGTCGAACCAGTATCAGATCTGGTTCAAGAAAAAGACAAGCAACGCCTTCCTTCCGTGCACGTGGGTCAAGTATGCATCCAATTCGTGATCTTCGTCAATTGAGAACGGGATCTCATGCCCGTCATCATTCCTATCAATACCCTCAATTCTGGCAATGATCGAGTATGGATACCTGGCTCCGATCAACTGCCGGAGCTCTTCCACCGTCCGCGTCGCTAACTTCTCGAGCCAAGGTTTTGTTGTCTCCTGCGATTGACTCGAAGGACCAAGCTGGAAGTATACAGGGGTGTTTAACAACCCCGAACTGAGCATCGGGTCCACATATTCAAATGCATTGCTAGTGTTGTGGTGAGGGTTGGTTGAGAAAGATGGATCATTAGCAGCTTGAAGTAGAGAAGGATCGATTTGCATATCCCCAATCTCATTGGCTGTGATGGGCGCACTAGCCAGCGCCTGAGAGGCTAGCGTGCTGATTCCATTGCTGATCTCATTACCCAACATGTTGCCCATAGAGGTGCTAGTGGGGGTTGGATTGCGAGATTCAGCACGTGCTGAGGATCTCTTGCGTGCCGGATCACGCTTAGTTTGATCATCTCGGAGTCTCTTCATGACATCGCGGCACAATACTTCCAAGGCCTTCAGTTTGTTGGCGTGATCCGGATTAGCCTGCCCGGGAGCTAGGATTCGCTGGAGCAGCTCCGAGTTCGCAATCCACTGATCCTTCAACTCACGCCAGTGATCGTCTCCGGCCTCTAATTTGCTCGTGAAATGATCCAGCTTCAATGTGTCATAGAACGCATTACGAATCTGTCGACTTTCCTCAGGATTGATTCCTAAGGCATTCTTTGCTTCTGCGATGGTCATCCGTCTCTCCAGCGTCCGCATGCGTTTAGTGACATCGGTACACACGACATCGAGCGCGAGTGCCTTCGCGTCACGTTGGGCAGGATCAATGCCAAAGACCTGCTGAAGGTGAGGGGATTCTTGAATCAATTTGTCCTTCGCAGCTTGCCATCTCTCCGGGCCAGCTGCCGTTTTCTTGATAAACCCAGCTTCTTCGCAGATTCGCTGGAAATGATCTCTGGTCTGACGGTACATGGTGTTGTCGAGGTTGAGATACTGTTTACTCTCATCGATAGTTGTCTCCGAGGGAAAGCGTGGAGGCCCCGGAGGGTCAGCTGGTAATCCGGCCCAGCCTCGAGTGCGACGACGACGTTTTCGAGACGCCCAACGCTCTGCACTTTCGGTCTTGAGGCGGTCCAGCCGCTCTTGTCGTTTTGCGATGACTTCGGGTGATAGAGCGGGGGACTCGGAGGTCGGCCGCTCAGAATTAGGCTCAGTTTGGAGGGTGTCCGGATCGTCAAGTGCGCTTTCGACCTTATAGACTTCCTGCTGCAAGGCTAGGAGTCCTTCATCTTCGGGGTTGACTGCCTGGGCCTCAGCGTTCGGGTGTGACTTCATTCCATTGGGGACTCGCAGCAGCCAACGATTCTTCGCGCGCACACGCATCAATTCTCTCTCTTTAATCTCAAAGCCTTCCTCGTTCAAGATACGAAGCATATCCCGCTGGCTTGTGTTCTTCTCCCAAAGGTGTTTCACACGTACGACGAGGTCAGCATTTTTGTGTGCTGGGTTTTGTTTTGACGGGAATTCCCATCGCTTGAACTGAGTCTGAAAAGCGCGTTTACTACAAAGGTGAGATCAATTGGTGACCAACAAATAAAAGTTCGCGTATAAGAGTAAACCCGTACCTAGGCGCGAACTGATAGGCGGTTCGCATATATTCCATGATTTCTTCCAAGGGCTTCTTCTCCTGGATGTACATCTGGTAGCAGATTTCCCGCTTCCCAGCCCAATCGTACACCATGGTGGGCGCTCCCTCCGCAGAGGTGCGTAGGAGAAATAATAGATTGGAGAAAAGTGTGGAGCTTATCAGATGGGGGTTATCGTCTATTGTCGCTGCTGTGCGCCGTAGAGGAGAAAAGAGAGACTGCGAAAAGTGACAGGTGTGCAATTTGGTCACGTGTGATAAGTGGGTAGCTATACAAAGGGGTTTATCTACATCCATGAATGTATGTCATGTATTCTCTACTCCATCCCTTCTGTACATCCTCTACATTTCAAGGGTTGATATGATATTGGGATAATTGTATGTTTCAATTCATAAAGTCACTTAACATTGTGGGATCCAGGTCACCACATTTCTCATTTCCATGCATCAAATGCTCTGGGAAATGCCCATGTCTCCATCTCTAGGAGAGTCATCGACCTGCGATTCCCTAGAGAAAATAAAACGCATGCGCTGCAAGAGCAACAGTCCGTACGCCGTGTATCAAGCCCATATCGAGCGATGTTCCCATAAAAGTGCATAAAAACTCCCATATCAAATGATAAGTGGAACCATCAAATCGCTCGCTCATTGGTATGAACCGGAAAGGGGAAAAAAGGGAAAAAAGAGGGAGAACATAAGAAAAAACACAAGGAAAAAAAAGACGAAAGGTTGAAATTCAATGCTTTCGGATCTTTCGCTTCAGTTTGAAAATCCGAGTACGAAGCCATGTCATGAAAAGCACCCATGTGCTTTTGGATTGTGACTTCCATGAGACGGAAGGTTTCTCACTCTCATGTACAGTGGATCTTCGGGGCTTCTCGGAAATATCTTCTCTGGAATTCACAACGGGAGATTCGGGGCTCTCCGAGGTGTGTCGCTTCAAGCGGCGTCGACTACCTCTCTCTTCGGCTTTGAGTTGTTGCTTTTCCAGTCGTCGGTTCTTGGCGGCTTCTTTCTCCTCAAATGCCTGGCGGGCTGCTTGTACAGTGGCCGCACGAGAGATTGGATCGGTACTTGTCCGAGTTCGGGATCGGAACACAAAATCGAGAGAAGTTCGGGACATTGGAGATGTAGTACCATCCATATCCCGCGAGTATCCAAAGGAAGGCCGGCTGGTCACGTTCGTCTGCGAAATTGACGGGAGACGCGTGAACGAATCATCTTGAATTTGCAATGACAGTCGAGGTGGTGCTTGGACTGAAGAAGCATACGATTCTGGCAAGTCGGCGGGTTCTGACTCGGGGGTCTCATCAAGCTCCTCGCTATCGTTCGACTCTTGATAGGACTGGCCGAGTGGTGGAGTGTATGCTCGGGGGGTTTGTCGCATAGGGTGCACATACTGTGACCCAGGCTTACCTCCACTGGAACCTGAGCCATTCGAGAATTGAGAGGTTCCACTGGTGGATCGATTGTGCAGACCGGAAGGCGTCCTTTTGTATGTGACACCGGTCAAGGACCCGCTGTGTGCCCGTTCCCGCTCGAAGTTCATGTATATGCCTAATCCTTCTTGCTCCGTCGAAGAACGATTGAGATCAATGGAGGTGGAGGGCGCATCATCTCGAGACATTTTCCGCAGGATAGGTTTGATATGGACTTTCGGCTTGCCATATTTGCTCTTATAAGATCGAGAGTCGAGACCTTCTGAGGAGGTGTTTTGGTCGGAAGCACTCATCAACTGATGTGATTCAGCATTCGCGGTATGTTCAGTTTCGGTTGATGCATCGTGGGCGAAGCTTGAGGCCATGGAGCCACGCTTTCGGCGGTGGACAGGGGAATGCGAATTGTCGGAAACATCAGGAAAAGGGATTTTTTGGTCTGGGTTTTGAGACGGAAAGATATTGTAGGAGGCAGTCCGTCGACCTTCCATGTTGGGTCGCGCCTTCTGGGGACGCTGGAGCGAACCAGTTTCACCGGTGAGTCGGTTTCTCGAAACCGGTAAAACCGACTCACGGGAGTTTTCAACTTCCGCGTGAGCCATGGTCGAAACCACTCAAGCTCAATGTAGCAAATGCTCTTTAGTTGTAGATCGCGTGATGCATGGCTGTCAATGATTTTTAGCGCGGAGAGAAGAAGATCTGCAAGATTGGCGCAGATCTAGTAAGGCGTACGGAGTAGAAATCGGTGGACTCAGGTGATTTGAGGCAAGTCTTTCGAGAGGAAGAGGGGAGAGAACATCAGCGGGGGAAAGACGCAAAGACTCTCAGATAAGCGCTTATGCGCAAAAGTGAGCAATGAACCGATCTTACTTTAGCATATCGGGGGCTAGAATAACCGATGCTATAAGAAGAAAAAGCGTAGATTTCAGAGAATGAAGACTTTCTTTTTATTTTCTTAGAAAAAAAGAAAGAAATCGTTTGTACTCTAGTAATCTTTATGAGGAGAGAGAAAAGAGCGAGAAAGAAAAAAAGGGGACGGCGGTGAAGTCGGAGATATACGGATCGAGACCGCATGCGGCTTTTGTTGATTCTATACGGAGTACTCCTTTTTCTTCTCTCTCCTTTTCTTTTGCTATACATAATTGCCCACTTGACTCCTATTCCACTCCTATTCCCAATTTCACTCCTATGTTCTCTGATTGATTTCCTATTTATATCTCGTCATCTCCTATTCTCCTATTTCGCACTATTTCTTCTTCAATCTCATTTTAATATCTATAGTGGAAATTAATAGCTCACTATACTTCTAATCCCCTATCTCTCCTGACTGGTTCCTACTTTCTTTTTTTCTTTCTATTAGATATATCTCATACCATTAAACAATTATGCACATGAACATGCATATGTATAAATTCGTACATCATACATGTAATTCGCCAAGACAGCGCCAAGTAAAGCTGAAAAGCCAAGAGCGCGTATCAAATCCCCCACCTTGACTTGTTGTTTGACACATGTACATAGTGGGGGTTTGACATCTTCATCGGTTCCTCTTTTTCTTCGCTTCCATCCTTGGGACTTTGAGGTTATATTGTACTTATTCTTCGTTATGGGTCTGTCTCTACAGAACCTAGGGTTATCCCTATTGATCCTGGTCGTTTTCTCTGGCCAGGTACATGCTTTTGGTGCTGGGAACATCGCATCTCTTTCCAAGCTGGAAGGTCAAAATTGGCGTCATGGCGATATCGAAGATACTCTTTTGGCTCTTTTTTTGGCCAGAGTGGCTGGTGGTAAGAAGTTTGGCAAGCTGGATGTGAAGCGTGTTTACTTCGGCAACTGGTTGCGTGATTATAGTCAGGCTGTTGATGTCGGTACTGTTAAGTATGTCAGTGCGGAGGCTATCCGTATCCTGATTTGGGTGCTTGGCTTCATGAGCTTTGGGTAAGATGTTCGAGTAGGCTTGTTGTCTGGTATGTATTCACTAAGACTCTTTTGAAGATACGGCACCAAAGAATTCGAAGTCACAACCGAACGTCTGGGATGTTACCAACCTACCGAGCATATCGATAATCCACTAGGATACGCTGAGGGTGAGGATGCACGGAACTATGACCACCGACTGCGTGGTCCCGTCGACGAAGAGCAAGAGCTTTCTATTGACCCGCGTACTGGTATGAAGTCCATTCCATGATTGAGTGAACGTGAGAATGGCCGTATTAATTTTTCGATTCGTGGTATCCAGGCTTGAAGCATTACATCGCAACGGAGGATATGGGTATCGACACCTCGGCTGCACTCATTCGTCGTGTTCTTGGCCGCTCAATTAGACTTGGCCGCCAATATGGCCGGTCCGGAAACAAAGACGATTTCTATGAAGCTCTTCGACTCCTGGGCACTGGTCTGCACTGTCTGGAAGACTATGCTGCTCACTCGAACTACACGGAACTCAGTCTGATTGAACTTGGAGAGCATGATGTATTCCCTCATGTTGGACGTGACACCAAAGTGGAAGTTGAGGGCGCCGGAGAGGTCTACCCGATTGTGACCGGTACCTTTGGCGGTGTTGACTTCTTCCATTCTGTGCTTGGAGAGTTGTCTGATAAGACAATGCAGTCCGAACTGCAGTCGTTGGAAAACGCCATCACCGAATCCGACAACCAGGACGCTTCCGAGAGCTTTCTGCAAAACCTACTGAGCAAGATCCCAGAGGGACTGCTGGGTGACAGCAATGACCAGACTGACAAAATGGATGACTTCAAGTCTAAGGCTGATGATGCTAGACATGAAAGCCAGGAGGTCAACCCGCGTGAACCCGAGGAGTGGACTATGTACCTGAACAATGTTCAGAGGCAGATCTACCCTGTCCTTGAGTGGCACGACAACCTTCTGAAAAGAATCAATGAAGCCATCGAAAAGATCCCAGTCTTGCCAGATCTGATTGAGCAGCTTCAGGACCAGATCACTGTCTTCGTTTTTTCTATCCTGGCTCCTTATGTTCTTCCCATCATCAAACAGGTCAAGTCCGAACTGGAAACAGGCTCTTCCGAGGTGATCCAGAGCAGCCGAGAGCAGCAGCACGTCGTGTTCAACGACGATAGCTGCTCTAATCCGACCCACTCCATGCTCTCCAAGGACCACTTCTCCAACATTTTGAACGAGCCAGCTGGCCGCATTGCCTCTGAGGTTGTCAAGTGGTCTGTCCCTCAACTCATGCAATGCTGGGACCACGAGGATGCCGATGTCGACCGAACCCTCGACAGAATCATCTCTGGTGTCTTCCACCATCCGGCTCTGCGCGAGAATGGCCGTGACGGCGCCTCCGATATCCGTCAAACCATGTTCTCCACAGTTGAGAAGTGGTGGAGGGAGAAGGACGACGAGGAGCGCGACATCCTCCGCGACCAACTTAGCCGCGATGGTGTTCTGGAAGGCCGGAACCACAAGGATGGAGTGCAGGACTGCGGACACGGATGTGGCAAACCCCTTGCTCTTCCCAAGGCCCAAGGCAGCTCCGGAGGCCAAAACTCCGGGAACTCCGCCATCGAGAACATCGCCTCTGAGGCCATGGGAGGAGGAGCGTTGGGTGGTCTGCTCGGCGGACTTGTGGGAGGCATGGGTTCCATGCTTCTCAACAACGACAGCTCGAGGCCTGATCGGCAGAGTCCAGAGCCCCAGCGCTACGAAAGCAGTTATGACCACCAGAGCCGTCCCCAATATGACGGCCAGCAATATGGAGGGGACTCGTACGGTCAAGTGCAGCCTCCTCGCCCCAGTGGATATGGCTATCAGGGTGGATCAGGCTATGAAGCGCCCCCTGTTCACCATGAAGAGTACCGTCCTACCCCGGGTGGATACGAGTATCAAAGCGAAACAACATGGGGTCAGCCTCCTCCCCGTCGTGATGAATACTCTGGCTATGCGCCCCCGGCAGAGAACTTCCAACGCCAGGAGTACTATTCAAGCCACTCGGAAAGTCAGGGCTACTACCAGGAGGAACAACGAGAGACCTATCAGTCTGGCCACTCTGAATATCAGCACACGCAGCGCGTTGAATACGGAGGACCACCTCCCCCCAGAGATTTCGGATATGGTGGACCTCCACCCCGTCAAGAGTTTGAAGAGTAAGCTAATTTGCATTATCTGGTATGGGCCAATTTGGATATTGACGATATATACAGCGAGTCCTCTGGCTATGGAAGACGCCAACCTGGCTACAATGAATTCGAAAACTCCGGCGGCTATAGGGCCCACGAGGAATATGGTCAGCGTGCTGAGGGCGGGGATGGATACCAACGATATGATGAAGAGCGCTCGGGCTCTCGAAGTGGCAGCGAGGAGCGTCACCGACGACACCACCACCATCATCACCACCATGAACGGTCTGGATCGGACTCGGATTAGGTAGCCCCAGGATCAATTCACCTCTAGAGTTTTGGACTAAGAGTCGCGGTGCATTAGGTGGATGAAGACATCTACCATTCCTTGACTTCTCCAGCTGCCGGCTGCTCGGTGCGGACAACCTTGTCGCAGTTGAGGAGGCGGAGGGGATCAAGGGCCAACTTCAGCTAAAATGCAGACATGGTGTTAGCGTTTGTGCTTTATGGGTGTAGGCAAAGTAGATCTTAGTTCAGGACAAGGGGGGCATGAAGACTTACCCGGCGCATAGTATCCACTGTAGATTCACCCAATTCGTGTTCAAGGTAGTCTCGCTTGACAAGACCAACACCGTGCTCACCAGTGACAGTGCCCTCCATCTCAACAGCGCGCTTCACCATACGGTGGACAACGCCCTCTGCCTTTTTCTTCTCGTTGTCATTGAATAGAATAATTGCTAGATTTTGTTAGAAACTGTCGAACACATCGATGTACCTCAATTCCATTTAGCTTACCGTGGAAGTTTCCATCTCCAACGTGGCCACAAATGCCAGCCAACAAGCCATTCTTGGTCATATCATCTTTAGTGGCCTCCATAATATCAGGCAGCTTGCTTATCGGGACGGCCACATCGGTCGTCCAGACGTGGTCATCCGGGGTTCTCTTCATTGCCATGACACTCCACAGTGCCTGCTTGCGGGCACTCCAGAGTTCGGTCATTTCCTCTTCACCGCGGGCAAACTCGAAAGACTTGCCCGAGGTGTTAGAGACAATCTTTTGCACCATGCTAATCTGCTCCTTGATACCAGCGGCTGTTCCGGTGAACTTGAAGAACAGGGTAGGAGACTCTTTCCACTGGCGGCTAGTAGTCTTACTAGCATTGATACACTTCATCTGGATATCATCCAGAATCTCAACACCAGCGACAGGAATACCAGCCTCAACCACGTTGGTCACACACTCAGCTGCGTGTTGAATGGACTCAAAGCTGGCCACTGCCACATTCTGACTCTTAGGCTTGACGGTCAGCTTCAGAGTGGCCTCCGTTACCAGACCAAGCGTGCCTTCACTTCCAATGAAGAGTTTAGTGAGATCATAACCAGCACTGGACTTACGAGGCCGTTGCCGAGTCTTGATCACGGTACCATCAGCAAGAACAACAGTGAGCGAGAGCACCCACTCGCGCATAGTTCCGTAGCGGTAGGCGTTGGTTCCCGAGCATCCAGTTCCAACCATACCACCGATCATTGCACCAGGACCCGGGTCAGGCGGGAAGAAGAGTCCATCCTGGCCAATCACTTCATTCAAATCCTCCCATCCAACAGCCGGCTGGACAACGACATCCAAGTCTCGCTTATGAAGCTGCAAAATCTTATCCATCCGGCGGAAATCGATACAAACTCCACCTCTCGTGGAAGCAAAGTGACCCTCTAGACTCGTTCCGCCAGAGTACGGAGTCACAGGAATCACCCGCTGGTGGCAGACCTTCATAATCTGCGAGACTTCCTCGGTCGAAGACGGGTAGACAATCAAGAAGGGCTTCTCGCCCTCCTTGGCCGAATAAGAAGACCAATCCGAGCCCGAATGCAAGGCCAAATCACCTGCGGCAGTCGAAACATTCTCCTTGCCTATTATCTCGACGAAATCCGCCCACGCCGCCTGCAGATTGGAAGGAGTGACATTGTGTTTGGGAGCATCAATTTCAGAAAGAGGCGTTGTTGAGGAAGAAGGGAGAGCAGCTGGCTTCAAGGATCCGAGGTAGTAGGCACCTGTTGAGAAGAAAACGAGAGCTATCACTCGTCGTTAACTCGAGAACAGAACGATAGCAAAATTTGTTTCACGTACCGAATACTAGAGCCGCGGAACGACCAGCGGGAGATTGGGTCTGTAATTGCGCGAATTTCTCTTGCTCAGCGCGCTCGCGCTTCAGACGCTGTTGGGTGCTTTCGTAGAGTTGACTTTTGAATGACTGGTTTTCTTTGGGTTTGGTTGCTGATGCACTGAATTGGCGGGTGCGAATGGGTACCGATCGAGTTCGGAGATTGCGCACTAATGCGAGCGCATTTAATCGGACCATATTGTGTTAATGGTGAAGGTCACGATGTCGAGCATTATCCTCGTAGCATCTAGAGCATTTGGTGAGAGGTCGGACCGAGCCCCGGGCTTGGCGGTCTATTACATACTCACAATGATATCAATGATAACTACGGCGTACATATGCAGTTACATACATACGCATGTGTACATATTTTTGAATGCAATTATCATGCACAGCCATGTAGTTATATGTATATATTAACTATTTTCAATTGAGCTTTTCGGTTGATATCTTGGATTTAGATCAACACTTACACATATAGTATATATTGTAGACAGTCTCAAATAATATATTGTACTATACTACACCATAGTTAATAACTATAATGTGAAACCGAGTACATGTACAACCAACTATAGTGAGCTAAGAACTAATTATGGTCACTTGACAAGGTCACATGGCCCATTTTGCCTCTTACGTTCATCGCGAGGAAAGATAATCCCGCGAGACGAGAACACTTTTAGTCGAGAACTTGACCGGTTAATATCTGCGGCTAAAAGACCGATCCACATTCACATACAGTGGAACACTTCATATTCTTGCGGAGCTATCGGTGTGCGCTGTCGGTTCATTCAATTCAATTCTTCCGGGGTATATTGCTATATAACTATCTGGTCCTACCCGCTCAAAAAAGACTGCGATCGATTATTCTTCTGTTTATCATTACTACTGTCATCGTACTTCTATATCTCATATCCCCCGCATTGCTCTCCCCGGACTTAAATTGCCCCTCCATATACGATGTCCACAGCTCAGGTGGGATTCACCGTCTGCACACAGGGAGAAGATAACAATCTAACATGAACCAGAACCTCTCCTTCGTCCTCGAGGGCATTCACAAGGTCAAATTTGAAGATCGACCAGTGCCCGAAATCCAAAACCCCCACGATGTGATCATCAACGTCAAGTTCACCGGTATCTGCGGCAGTGATGTATGTATGTGCATTTCGCATCAACAACGGATGAGAAAGACTAACCATTACCAGGTTCACTACTGGGAACACGGTGCCATTGGTAACTTCATCGTCAAAGACCCCATGGTCCTCGGACACGAATCAGCAGGTATCATTAGCAAAGTTGGATCAGCCGTCAAGAGCCTGAAGGTCGGCGACCGAGTCGCCATGGAGCCCGGTATCTCATGCCGTCGCTGCGAACCCTGCAAGGCTGGCAAGTACAACCTTTGCGAAAACATGCAGTTCGCCGCCACCCCACCCTACGACGGAACCCTCGCCAAGTACTACGTTCTGCCCGAAGACTTTTGCTACAAGCTGCCCGAGAACCTCACTTTGCAGGAGGGTGCCTTGATGGAGCCGCTCAGCGTTGCAGTGCATATTGTCCGCCAGGCTGGTGTCACTCCCGGGCAGTCGGTGGTCGTCTTCGGCGCTGGCCCCGTTGGCCTGCTGTGCTGTGCGGTCGCGACTGCATTCGGCGCCTCCAAGGTCATTGCGGTGGATATCCAGCAGCAACGTCTGGACTTTGCAAAGGAATATGCCACCACCTCCACTTTTATGCCCGGCAAGGTCAGCGCAATTGAGAATGCCGAGCGCCTGAGGTCTGAGAATGGTCTGAGCGCTGGCGCTGATGTGGCGATTGATGCTTCGGGTGCCGAGCCCTCGGTGCACACCGGCATTCACGTCCTCCGCAACGGAGGTACCTATGTCCAGGGTGGCATGGGTCGCAGCGAGATCCAGTTCCCCATCATGGCGGCTTGCTCCAAGGAGTTGAACATCAAGGGTAGCTTCCGCTATGGAAGTGGAGACTACAAGCTTGCTGTGAACTTGGTGGCATCTGGCAAGGTGGATGTGAAGAAGCTGATCACTGGCACAGTCAAGTTCGAGGAGGCTGAGGAGGCCTTCACGCAAGTTAAGGCTGGCAAGGGAATCAAGACTCTGATTGCTGGCATTGATGAGTAAATGTGTAAACCATGTTAGGGGCGTTGTGTGAATTAGCAGAGAGAATCAAAAGTTTTCAAATAATGTCTAGAATGATTAGATACTCGCATGAAAGATGTCAATGGGTATCGTGCAGAGTAAACGAAAGACCAAAATAACAACAGAAATAAAAGCAAAAAAACAAAATAAAGCATCGCCTGAAAGCAAAATCGACATGATACTAACAACACCCTTGATTCCTGTGGCTGCCAGAGCCCAAGCGGAAGACATCCTCCCATTCTCTCATCCCACTCTTCCACCCATGGCCCGAGGGAGGTTTTCCTTTTCGCTTTCTTCTCAGCGGCACAGAATTCTCATCCAATGTTGCCCGACTCCTCACACTGGAAGCATCACTCCCATGATAGAGTCCCCCATCACCATACTGAATCCCACTCTGCGGATCATCAGGATCGATCTCCCCGAGCTCGATCTTGGTCAAGATAATCCGCGCCAGGCGATTAAAGACCTCTTCCACCCCATCACCGGTCAAAGCACTAATCTCAACCGCAACGGGTATGTTCGACATCGCAGCCCACTGTGACGTCTCCTCGACACTCACCTCCCGCCCCTCCGATCCACGCGTAGCAGTCAGCCTCGTCCCAACCAAGTGACTCGACCGAATAGACCCATTTGCATCCCATGGTATAGAAGACTGCAAACTCGAAGCGCTGGATGGGGTCGGCGGCGGTTGTTCCTCGTCATCCGCTGCCAGGTCAGCTTTATTACCCGCCAGGATCACGGATAGGTTCGGCGAAGCGAGAGCGCGCGCATCCATCAGGAAGGTCGGGAGGGAAGAGAATGAGGCGTAGGAGGCGACGTCATAGATCAGGATTGCGCCTGCTGCGCCGCGATAGTAGGATCTCGACACGGAGCGGAAACGCTCAGTACCTGCTGTGTCCCAAAGCTGGAGTTTGATTCTTCGACGACGGGAGCCGGTGCCTAGTTTAACGATACGGGAGGCGAATTCCACACCGATGGTTTGGGAGGAAAGGACGCGCCCTAGGAGGAATTAATGAGGGTTGGAGAAAGGGTCGGGGAGGGGAGTCGTACATTCTTCCTTTACGAATCGGTGTAGCACACAAGACCTGAGAAGTCAGCAAATGTGTACATTTGCATCCTGTGAGCCGAGAGACTTGAATGACTCACTTTCCAGCACCACTGGGTCCTAGGAGGATGATTTTGGCCAAGTAGTCGTACATACTCCCCAACTCCTGGCGGTTGTTAGATTGGGTTCTTTGAATGGGTACATTATTGTGGTTTGCTTTGGATACCTGGTCTGGAGCTGAGGAGATGGAAGAGGCATTTGAAAGTCCTCTTTGTCGTGGCATAATAATTGATGCACCTTGGGGGTGATTCCCCAAGGTGAAGGGAAAAAGAAGACGTTAGGTGCCCGACCGAGTGTTTCCCACTATTTACTTACTATCAACACACTAATGAACTACCAGAAGTCTAACTACTACAATCTTTTATTTCACTTCACTTATTTTGAATCATTACTCCGTACAGTCCCTTCGATTGTCATTTCCAAAATCTCCATCGTCATCGACTCTCGCGAAGATCGACTTCCTCGCTTACCCTAAGCGCTTGAGGCGCAGGAACTGAGCCTCAACAAAGAAAAAGAACTAGCTACATTCTAGTGGGACCAACAAACCAACATTGGTCAAGGCTGGCATGACTAGCAAGGCTCAATAGACACGACTCACTGAAGTGGGTAATTTGATGGGCTAATACGGAGTATAGCGAGGCGATATAAGCCTTGTTCTAGTGAGGCGAAGCATACCTGTGCCCTGTTGGCGGTTGAAATTATGGCCTTTTAGAGTAATAATATTCATGATATTCATGATACTTATGATACAAAGTAGCGCGTAAAGACAAAAGGAGGACCAATAGTTATACCTTGTATTGTATGACCAGCTGCAGACTCCACACATATGTATCAATTTACACCAGTAGATGTCAGTGGTCAGAATTGATTTGAACAGGGATCTATACATTTGTTTATGATAAGCTATGGAGTAAAGGCACATACATATAACTAACTACCTCAGTACCGATGTTTGTGTTATACTCCTATACTACTAGTTATAATGCCTCGAAGTAATGAGCCTTCGTATTCGCTCAGACCGCCAAAAGGGGGTCCAAGGGTCCCGGTTATTTGGTGAAAACGCCTGTGTTAGGTTTCTTGTTTCTTATTTCTCGTGTTATTTCTCGTTTTGGGTTGGAATTTTTCTATTTCGGCTTCTTTCATTTCTTTGAACTTCTTTACTGTGAACTATTTAGGGGCGCCGCTGTCCTTTGATGAGTCGGAGCCAAGACTATTCAACTATTTCGTCATTGAAACTCTTTAGCCGACAACTTCCTCACTTTTTGCCTCTCTCTCGCCCTCTCTCTATACACCTTTTCAGACTCCTTCAGCATACAAAGCAGAATGAAATTCACGTGGGCGACAACGCTCTTATTACTCTCTACCAGAGTCACTGCCTTGACGATTCCCCAGTATGAGCTCGCCGAAAACACAGACATCACGGAACGAGATGTCGTGTTCCCAGAGTCCACAGATACCTCTGGCTACTGGGAATTTGTGAAGAAACTCGGAAAACGCCGAGGGGGCGGCGGCGGCGGCCGTGGTGGCAGCTCTGGTGGTAGCTCTGGTGGTAGCTCTGGAAGTAGCTCTGGAAGTAGCTCTGGAAGTAGCTCTGGTGGTAGCTCTGGTGGCAGCTCTGGAGGCCGCAGCGGATCTAGCAGCTCCAGCGGCTCCAGCGGTTCCAGCAGCTCCTCCAGTTCCGGCAGTAATAGAGGCGGCACTACCAGCTCCGGCTCCGGCACACGCGCCAGCTACGGCGGAGGCAGGTATTATGCCGGCGGTGCAACAGTCCCCTATTCAGCTGGCTCCAAGTCTAAAACCGGCATCGCTCCCTACGTGATAGGAGGTGCTGCCCTGGCCTTTTTCCCTGGGATCTGGTTGTACAGCGTCTATGCTTACCCCTACGCCCACAACTACTACTACTACAACCAAAACGCCCATAAGAATGAGTCCTACCCGGTCGTGTGTGTCTGTCAGGAACACTCGGAGTGTGGATGCGACGATAACAACAATAGCACCTACTACGAGTCTCTGTTCAATGGCACTGAGCCTAAGAACTCGAGTGTGGTGCGTGTGGTGAAGGAGAATGGCACCGAGACCATTTACATCAACGGTACCCTGCCTAATGGCACCACTGCTGCAGGTGGCTCAACCTCTGCCGCACCTGGCTCCTTTGTCACAACGCTGCAGCATGCGACTGGGTTCTGGGTGCCTGTTGCTCTAATGGTGACCGCCGTTTGGGGGGTTGGATTCTAATCGATACCCTTTGATTTTGCTGTTGCTTTATGTCGGGTACCTTGGCTCAGACCTGGCTTGTGAATGTGAGCTTCAATGAGATGACACGAGATGATTGGATTGGTGTTTTGCTACTTTAATACCCCGATTTGGGGCCTTGCCCTGTATATATACTATGTCTTTAACTAGCTATCTATGTCCAGTGAAATGGATTTGCTTAATTCATAACCAAAATATAAAACAAGTCTACTAGAGGTCAAATAGAATAATATCAGGTAAGTATAAATCTATAAAGAAACAACAGAATTGAAGAGATCGAATCCACATTCCTACAGGTTGCTGTGGTGAGATGGTGAAGGGAGATTACGTAGGCATCTGACAGCTAGCGTGGTCCTTTTCATTTCCGAAACTTACGATAATTCGAACTTCTCTCTCGCAACTCATTCACTCACTCTCTCCTGTTTATCAAACAGTGTCGCTCTTTTTTATTCCTCCAGACACGGGCTGTCCTTCATTTCTTAGCTCCATTCACTCTTTTCAGTTAGAAAAACAAACGAACCCGGTTTCAATTTTACACAAACAAACCCCAACCATCAACAATCAGAATGCAGATCAAAGCTCTTCTGTTCCTCTCGGCCTTTGCGCCTGTCGCATTCGGTGCTGTCGCAGCTGAAGCTGCCACCACCCCAGCCAGCACCAAGACCCTAACTCTTGTGCCCTCCGGCTACACTCCTCCCCCTTCGTCAACCCCGACACCCACCTCGACACCCACGCCGACCTCCACCTCCACTGTGACTCCCACCTCCACCTCAACTCCCTCATCTACCTGGACTCCCAAGTCCACCAGCACTCCTCTCTCCAGTGCAACTCTGTCAAAGGTCGCCAGCACCTCGACTCCTCTCATCAAGGCCACTAGCGTCATTGTCGCTACTGAGACCGCCGAGACCGGCACAGCCACTTCCACTCCTACTACCGGTGCTGCCGCTCACCAACTCCCTGGTGCCATGGCTGGTGTCTTCGCCATTGCGGGTCTCCTTTTGATCTAAACTCGTTAAGTTCTGACTGAGTTCTGACCGAGTGAATGGAGCTATTTTGGTCTTGACGATCTCGATCTCGACATTTGTCGCATTCCAGTCTTGCTGGGCCAACCATCTAGCATGGTTTTTGGACCTTTCCCAGGTCTTCTTTTTGGGATTTCTTTTCTTCTTACATATTCCTTTTCCACCGTACCGCTTTTTAAGCTTCTACTTTTATTTTATTTTTTTGGTTACGGTGACCTTGACCTTGACGTGTCCGATTTGATGCCTATACCCTTTTTCTTTCGATATTCCCTTTTTGATGTCATCCAAGCATTTCTCTTTTGAATGCTTTCTATCTTGGTTGACGGTTTCTTTCTTTGCATTGGTGCATGCATCGTTGCCCTTGGATGTCATACTACTGTTATTTGACGAGTGTAGGACTTACGAGTTTACAATTTCAACATAATTCACTGGCTATGATTCTTTTCTTTGTAAAAGGATAGGATAAATAACTTGAAGAGAGGACTGAAATGTTCATATCTACTACAGCGGCCCTCTGACAGGAACCGGAAATCAATATCGTACAGAACGGAGAGCGAACTACCTACTCCTCTTTGATGAAACTCGCCTCATATCTATAATCATAGTTAGCACAGTCCAAGAATCAAGACTGAGGAGAGAAACAAAAACATACCTCTTTCCACGGAAAGCCCACAATCCCCAGTTTCCACACGAAACATCGTGAGGATCCTGATCGTTCAAATCCCACCGCAAACTGCGGAAGATATTCTCACCGGGCTCAAGAAGCACATCAAACTCACCCCCACACTTCTCATGAACCCAGTTGATATCCCTCTCAAGATCCCACTGCGTATATCCTGTACACAGAATAGGCACCTTAGTCTCCAACAACTGCGGCAACGTCTCCTCCCACTCATGCGAGCTAGCTGGGTGTCCCAGTCCGGGATGGAACAGCATAAAGCAATCCAGGTAAGGATCAAACGGCCCAAAGTACTGCGCCTTGTTCATGGTATGGAAGTAATCCACATAAGTAGTGATCTTCATCTGTCCACCGAGACGGTCCTCGACAATTCCGCCGAAAGGATTCTCGGGTGTGCGCTCTGGAAGCGGGTACTCGCCGTCCCGATTCGCCATACTCTCCGGCCCGATGAAGATCAGGTGCAGGAGAGCGCGCGGGTACATGTATTGGAGTTGGAGCCAGACGTCGCGGGGAAGCGAGGACTCAGCGCGGGCGCCGAGGATGAAGATTCGCACTGGGGGCGCTTTCAGGCGGAGACCTTTGATGTCTGTGCTTTCACCTGCTTTCGGGGGGTGCAGGGAGTAGCGAAGGGCTAATAATGTTAGTTGATTCGGGGAAGCCTGTTTGGAACTTGAAACCTACCACTCAGACTCTTTAATCCTTCCGCCGTAAGACGACCGCCGGAGCGGACACTGTACGGGCTCAACTCGTGCAGGACACTGCCGATAGTCTGCGGGTAAGTGAGCATGCGAGTAACCTGGCGCATGGAGCGATCGTCGTTGATAGCCTCGAATTCACGGGTGTACAGGTACGTATCCCAGTTGGTCATGTTGATGACAAAATTATCATCCTGAGGACCGGGGTAATTGAACTCCGGGAAGAAGCGACCAGAATGCAAGTCATGGTCATCCTCATTGATCTGGCGAAGGGTATCACAGATCTCCAGGTGGGCCTCGAAGTCATCCATCCAGTGGCCCTCGGAGCAGTAGACGGGAACACCGCAGTCAGGACACTCGAAATGCGAATGAGCCGGGGGAGCTGCGTCCACAGCATCCTTTCTGGCTTCGGGGTCATGCGGTGAGACCGGGGCGCGAGTCTGCTGGTGGCTTGGGTGTGGACAGAAAGCATTTTGCTTGATGAACTCGGCACGTTGGCGAATAGCTGGCGAGGGTGAGTCCGTGAAAGAGTGGAACAGGTTGGTTGGTTTCAGGGCCACGCGGGTGTTGACGGAGGGGCCTGTTGCTGTGTGCGCTGCTCGCTGGAGAGGCGAGGGTTTAGGGACACAGCAGGATTGTCCGTGGACGTGTTTCTGCTTGGCTTCGGTGCTGGAGGCTAGTGATTTGCGTTGCGTACCGAAGCTTCGGATTAGAGGGGGCATTGCTCTCCGGCGGGTGAGACTCTGGAGGCGAGCTTGGGGCGCTGAGGCCCTGGCTCCCTGTCGGAGGACCTGGAGGCACTGGACACAGGTGTATCCTGCCATTGCGATATCAATTGGGATGTGGAGGGGAATGAATCAGACCACGGAATTGTTCTGGAGATGTTTTGCGGCACGTGACTGATAAGATCACTGAGATTATCAAGTGTTCGGCTTCAAATTATTCTACAACTATCACATAGTTATGTAGACCATGAATCTATTGGCCTATCGATTCCTACACTCCAATTTATATCACTTAACCGGGATGGATTGTTAAAAAATTATGCAAAGTGGATTCACCACAAAAACTCTTGTACAAAAAGGCATGGCAAAATGCTTCGTGAAATGAAATATGCAAACTTATTCTTCCTCCTTTTTCTTCTATCAGAAGATATCCTCTGATTTGCTCCAATCTTTCGCATCTCGCGACTCCCAGTACTTTCCATTATGGGCCCAGAATTCCTCACCAGTGACAGCACACTTGTCACGAGTGAACCATTGCGGCGAGTAGATTTCGCCGTTGGTGTCACGATCTCTGCGCTTAGAACGCTGTTTCTCTTCAACGCGGTGCTTCTCATCAGCAGCGAGTGTGTATTCACCATCTTCCATGGCACGCTGATCGGGTCGCAGTCTGGTATCCGTGGGAGGTAACCATTCCTTCAAGCCGTCGGGCAGAGCGTTAAGGGTGATGACGAAGGGGGTCAAATTGAAAGGAATGCCGGTAGGACGTTCATGAGCTTGCCAGACCAGGAATGTCTTGGCGGACTCAGGGTCTTGACCGGAGACCGGCGCCTCGAAGCCGGGGGTGTGACGGGCGTAGATCTTGTCGTTCCAGCGGCCACCAATACTCCATTTCGGGGAGCCTTCGCTGTCGACGACCTTACCTGTCACCTGGTAGGCGGATGAGGCTTTCCAGCCTCGCGGCTTGAAGTCGAGATAGCAGACTTCGCCGGTGGTCCAGTTCTTGATTTCCATCAAACCATAATTGTCTACGGTAGGGTTACCAGTGATGATACCGATGACAGACGAGGTAACCTTCTTCCAAGTGTAGAGTTCTTCGCCACCAGAGGAAGGGCGCAGCTTTAGGAACCATGTACCCAGCAGGTTGATGTCGAATGATTTGCCGTAGAATTTGGACTTGAGAGAAGATTCGCCCTGAAATAAAAACGATTAGCTATTGTACAGAGAGAAGCCTGAAAGCAATCGAACTTACCCAGTAGTCCCATTTAGGCGACTCAGCCCACGCCGCACCAATAGGTGGGTGGTGGCTGACCTGTTCCACAAAGAATCGGTACCCCTTGTCTGGGCGCACGTACTCAAAGGTCTCACCCAAAAGAGGATTGAAAGGCTTAGCCACACGACCGATGGTCGAGGCATACTCACTTGCGGCGTACGAGGCGACATATACCAGACGTTCCATTGAATCGGTCCGATCGGCAGCGATATCAAGGAGATCGGTGTACTCAAGATCTTCGGCCACACGTTGAAGAAGCGAGGTCGGTTCGTTGAAGGACACCGGAAGGGTCATCTTCGTCATATCCTTTCCGATCATGGATTTCAGAATACCCTGGCAAAGTTAGCAATGAAAAAGAGACAAGTGAGCAAACAGATATTTACCCATAGGGAAATCTTGGGCCGGTCGTCGGCGTCCATCTTAAGTCGCTGCCTCACTGGCTCCTCGTAGCCCTTGAAGGAGGGTGAAATGATGGTAGACTTGACAGCTCGGAGCTCAGCACTTTCATCTCTCGGTTCTGCCGTCTTATTGTCTTCAAATTTATTGAAGTCCTCCACCTCAATTTCACCAGCATCAATGGCATCGAAGAATTCCTCTCCATCCGACTCTGAATCACAAAGGCTGCTGATTTTAGAATAGGTGGATGGGTTGCGACTGAGAGCCGGCTTTGTGGATGGCTGTTGAACAAGCTGCTCTGTTCCGTCACCAGTCTCAGGAGCCTCGATTCCAGTTTGGCTGGCTTCCAGGCTCTGGTTCTCTGTTGGCGCTTGAGATGGCCCAGCACCGATGGAGCGACTACTTCCAGTTGCACTCTCCAAGGCCTCCTTGAGAGCCTTCTTGGTTCGCTTCCGTTTCTCCTCAGATTCGCCCATCTTGGATTGCAGTTCCTCATGCTCGCGAGCCACACGGGCCATGCTCTCTTCCCACATCTGGCGAATTGACTCTTCTCTTCCAAGACGAGATTGCCAATAAGAGTCTCGGTCTCGTGAGATCTTGAGCAGGTTCTGCACCAGACCCTTAAGACTGCTGACTGCAGCTTCATAGGCGCCCAGGGCTTGCTCGAGGGCCGGATCCGCGATAGTCATTTCGGGATTCTTGGCTTTCTCGTTTTGCAAAGAGGCAGCGACATTTGCAAGGAGATCCAACTGGAGCTTCGCAGACTGAGCGGTGATATTCATAGCATCCTTATCAGTGGCAGGTATTTCGTTTTCATGACTTGAACCATAGTCGACAAATTCATCTTCTTCGCCCTCTCCATCGGGCGCAGTCGTCACTTGACTAATTACTCGATTCATGTCGTTAGGGGTACTACTCGGGTCATAGGAACCGCCATATGCGGAGCTGTCCTCGTCTCCAGTTGGTATATCAAGAGTGGTGCGGGATGCATATGTGCTCAGCCTTGTGCCAGAGCTGCTGGCACCACCCAGAGATGGGGGAGCCAGGCCCTTGGTGCTGAGCCTGTGAGAAAGTCCAGATTCTGATGGCGTATCCGCAGGACGTCCTTCTGTTTGATCGATCTTAGCCTGACGGAGCACTTCTGCGTTCTTTGACCGTTGCCTCTCTTCTTCCTTGGCTTCGTCCTTGGACCACTGGATAGCATTGTTGAGCGACCAGAACCACCGCTTAGCCTCCACAACATGGTTGGCTTTGAGATGGTACTTGACAGATGATTTGCCGTGGATTTCAAAGCGCGTTTTGTCCTGAGCATCCATGTTAAGTCTAGCAATTTTCATGTTGATCGCTCCGCGACAGGCAGATCCTGCATCGTCTGTGGCAATCGTCAGTAGGATTACATGGAGATAAAATCCATCTGAGCTTACCTTGGTGCTTGTAATAACTCAAAACTCCATCTTCCAAGACAAACCAGCGCAGCTTGTACCCAGTAGTATAATTGGTCCACTTCTTGAGATACCCTCTCATTTCACGGGCATCCTTGCCGGCCAAAGGCGCATCACCAATCGACACGCGGCCGGAAAGTCCTTGAGCATTGCTATTACCAAGAATAGCCTTCTCCTGGATTCCACGCTGAGCAATAGCAGCAGCGGGAGATCTCTTTAAGAGAGCCCGGATCTTGTCATCTTTAGTAACATCCTGTGGAAGCTTCCCTTTCTTATCGCGACGGAAAGGATCTGCGCCATGCGTCAAAAGAATCTCAATAAGCTGCGCATCTTTATTTCTTGCTCCCTCATGAAGAAGGGTACCCCCAGACTGGGAGGTCGTCTGGTCGGTGACAAGCTCGTAGCTATTCACGTCCATAATCCCCTCGACGCGGGGCTCTTCCAATAAAGCCTCCAAGTTTTTGTAATCCGCGTTCGAGATCAGGTTCTGGATTTCCTGATTCTTGCTATCGATGAAGAGGGACCGCGCAAGCTGAAGCTGTTGGAAGATTTCAGGGGTACGGGCCATATCGAGCGCCGTCTGGCCGCGATAGTTGACAATAGAATCATTGATAGACGGCCTGTTCAGCAATTCGCGAACCAACGGACCCCGACCCAGCTGGGCCGCAATGTGCAGTGGCGTATTTCCATCCCGGTCCCGTGAGTTGATGTCTTCTTCCTCCGCGGCCGACAGTACATATTCGACGATCTGGGGCTCGGCACACTGCAGCGCCAGGTGGAGGATGGTCGTGCCGCTGAGGGCACTTGCGCCCTGCGGGTTATTAGTGTCCTTTATAGCCTTGGAGATGGCGGTGGTATCCCCGCTGCGCAGGATCTCGAAAAGACGAAAGGTGCGGACGGACTGTTCAAGCGACATGCTGCCAGTCTCCATTTGGGAGAGAGAAGGCAGTTCGCCCAGTGTATCCATGTTCTCAGTGTGTTCCTCGATGACTGGGGGTGGGCTCGGGTCTTGGGTTTGTTTGCGACGGTTGAGGCGGCTGCTGCTGCTGCGGGCGTGTCTCAAGGAGGTTCCATTCGAGGAGGCGGCCGAGCTGTTATCGTTGTCGTCTTCTTTGTCCTCGGTTTTAGACTTATCGCGGTGGAGGAGGGAAAGTGCTATGGCACTTTTAGAGCGTTTGTGCCTGAATGATGATGGCATATTAGTATGGTCATTCACATGTGAATACGCCCACGGTCCGTGGGCAAATCAAGCCAAGTCTCGAATACAAGATTGTAGACACTGGGTAACCGAAGAAGCAGGAATATCCAGGGCATATAAGCCACTGACGAAGAAGGTGCAGTTCCCTTTCCCAAATGCCACAGTCATGGCGCAACTTGAACCATGGGTTCAATTGTTATAGACTCACCCTTCTGGTCGATCCGACATTCTGATGCCTCAGTACCAGTACTCTTGTGTGTATTAATTCTGTACTCTGTACTCCGCACTCAAGTTAGAACTTGCTCAGAACTTGTGTTCAGAACTGTTCGAAAAAGGTGGGAAGAATTTGGGGAGGTCCTCGGGCCTTCTTTGGGGGGCAAATGATGATGATCTCCGCCTTGGCGAGGGTTCGATCGATCGCGATAATTTTTGGTGACGCAGGGAGTCAGTTCAAACATAATGGTGTAATACATGCCTTTGCAAGCAAAGGTCAGACCTGTTAAGGTCATCTAGATCTATGATACAGCAATATACAAATGGGGCGTTATCTATCTAGTCTCTCCACTGACCAGAACCACAACACTACCCAATTGACGTTTCAAGTCCTCCTTGCCAACATCGTGGGTGTCTTCAACTTCACCCCACATGTTGGTCTGCCAGGTCACCTCCAAGCTCGACGCCTCAGCTGCCTCTTCGATACCAAACTTCTTCGTCCCAGGTCGTTGAATGTGACGGAAGTTCTCACTCCACTCCACCAACAGCCGAACTGCGATAAGAAGACTCTTGGAAGCAAGGATTCCGCGCTCAAGGCCAGCCAAGTCATGTGCCGACAGCTCAGAGACCCAGGTGCAGATGCTATCCTTAGTGGCCTTGGGCTGAGATAGGGGCAGGATACTCTGAGTGTCCAAGATAGGAATGATCTCGAGACCAGGCCAGACCTTTGTAGACAAGTGGCTCATGATATTCTGGGCGATTCTCGTCTGAATCTCGCGCAGAGTCTCAGTGGGTGTTCCGTCGGACTTTCGATCCAAGGCGTGGACTTCCCGCTCCGGTTCCCAGCAGAGTAGAGTGTCGGTGTCCAAGTAGCGCATGGCAGTCTTGATAATCTGGTCTCGGGTGGTAGTGTCGCCCTTGGCATCTTCGAGAGCGATATCTGTGGCGCGGGCGGCGAGGGAGGTCATGGGGATGAGATGGCTTTTGAGGGCCTGCTGGGCGGAGGTCATCACGTCCCATTCCAATGCGACGGCATGGGCGAGGTGAGGCTTTGTAGAGGGGATGGATAGAATGTCTTTGGTGGGTGTTCTCACGGGTCGCTTGTCAAGCAGGACCTGGTATTCACCTGGATGACCCGGATACGAATTAGCTCATTTTGTTATCTCCAAAAGGCAAAGCTTTAACAAGAGCGGCAGTCAACCCTCAATCCAATCATACCTTCCTTTCCGTGTACATGAACATCCTTCCAAAAGCGCTTCTTGAGCGCATCGGTGAGCTTGGGGGTGGTTCGTGGTAATTCAGCCTCGGAAGCTGTAGAGTTTACGTCTTTTGACTCTGAGGGCTGCTTGGACTCTGGTGCAACGGGGGCCTTGGGAGGAGGGCCTTGGGCAGTGATGGGGTGCGCAACCGCGGATCTGAAGGGAGATGAATGAATGTGTCGACATAGTGAGACGGAGCGACGGGAGAGCTGCGGTAGTGCAGCACGGAAAGACATTGCTTAGTGTTTTCGTAGCAGTATGTATTATGAAAAAGAGGGAAGCAAAACAAGAAAAGAAAGATGGAAGATGGTGGTTCCTGGATGCAGCACAATTAATTGTTGAACCTGGAACTTTTTGGCCGAATGTCTTGGCTCGGCCCCCATGCGCCACATCGATTTGTTCTTATCGACACGATATAATTCTATAGATCTACTTTACTTGACTATAATTTATTTGCAGATCAAATTGCATTGACTCTCGCTTTTTCCCTCCTTCTTTTCTTTTCTTGCAATTGAAGCCCTGTCCTTGTTTTAGGCCGAATCCTCTGCACTATTGCATCACACCAGAAGGATTATTGCTTAAGCATGTTGAACGTATCCCTGATATTGCGTGAATTCCAATCAATTAGCGATTATCTGCATTTTGGAAACAATGAAAACATTAAAACCAACAAAGCCTCGATCAAAATACCGCCCTTGCATCTAAAAGACTTTCAAAACAAACCCAGGGGAATCAAACCAAGTGAATTCAAGAGACGCAAAGAACAAAACGAGCAAAACGACGATATCCGCCCATGCTTTGTAATTTACAATAAGAAAGAGGAAATGGCCTCGATTAAGGCTGGTCATTGACCGGATCACAAAAAAAAAGAAAAAGGAAGAAAAGAAAAAAACACGCCAAAAGGTCGAATCTGTCGGTATGGTTGGTATTGGGATCTCAAGATTCACAATTGCAGTATCAATATACCACTTGAATCACACAAAGGCACATCTATAAAATAGAGGATTGTCGTCACGGCATTTCATCATGAATATAAGCCAGTCAAATCAATGGACGGCAGAGTCCTGTTCCCAGGACTGTGGTAGCGAGACCACCGGGTTTAACTCATTTAATGAGATATTGGGGGTAATACGGTTGCTTCATTCGATCAGCATCCGTTCGCTTCTTCATACGCTCGGCGTCATAATCGTCAGCGCCGTCACGGCTACCCCATGTGGTCTAGAAAGAAAAGTCAGCGCAGCTCTCGGACTTGAAAAGTAGAAGGCAACCATATCGAAAGAGAAATCGAGATAAAAAAAACGTAAAAAAAAGGGAAAGGTTCGCACGGAACAATAGTGGGTAACGGGCTGTAAGAAGAAGAAATCGAGATCAAAGCGTTGTGATGCTGGATTCTCATAGGTAAAAGAGGAAAATACGGGGGAAGGAGGGGCTGCGCTTGGATGCACATGCATTGGACCCGCAGATAAGAAATCAAAATTGGGAAAACGAGTAGAAGAGAAAGAAGACGAAGGAGAGGAAGAAGATGAGATTGAATACATACCACATTCAATGTCATAACGGCATACATCTTAATTGCCCCGTGGAAATATCCAAATAGAATCGATACTGGCAGCAACAGTACATCCACGGGATATCGAAGATAATGTCCCAACAGCTTAATCCACTTGCTGGTAAAGATCCAAATGTAAAGGGCAGTCATGGAATGATCATGTAGAGATTCTCCCCACGATCCAGTAGCCTTGTGGCACAACCAAACAAGTAGCAAGTCACCCAGCAGAGCCGGTGGTGACAAGGTGGTCAAATGAACCGCATAGGCACTCCAAGGCTGACGACTAGGTAAGAAAAAGAAAATGTTAGCCGCTGCAGATGGATTTCTTTTTGTGTGTCTTTCTGTCTTGGTTTCCTAATTAGGCCTGAAGCCTATAAAATTCGGACCCAATCAAAGGTTGACTTTTTGATCCGATCAAAAAGCCGAAGCATGAAGACGTGTGGGGGAATAGACAACAGAGGCCAATAGCCTAATAGACCAATCGGACAGAGCAAAGAAAGAAACCAAAGAAATTGTTGCACTTACTACCAAATGTGCTTCTCGTGAAACATGGAAGTCAGATTACTCCGCCAATTGCTTCTCGACCAGCGGGCGCATTGCTTCAAGAACCGAGGGTTATCCTCCAAAGTAGTCAGTACCTCCGCCTCCGGGTGGTACTGCATATAAGTTTCCCAACCATGCGAAACCATCCAGCGAGTGATAAAGTTATCATCGTCGGCGTTAAGTTGGTACTTCCTAAACCACCATTCCTCATTGGTGAAAGCGTACGTGAAGCCCTCGTCCTGTAGAATTCGCGTGCGATACGCAACCGTCCGTCCCGACATGCAGGGAAGTCCACCGTCGATATGGGTCGTTGCGCCGCAGTCGAAGTTGCGACGTTCCAGGTACAGTGCACCAAGGAAGCCCCAGAGTCGCTGTGAGAGGGACAGTTCAACGGCACGACGCAGTCGCTGGCAGGTGACTACACCGCCATATTTCTCGTCCTTTTCGAAGGGGGCCAGAATCCAAGGGAGGAGAGTCCGAGGCCAACTCACGTCGTCATCGGCTAGAAGCGTGATGGCGGTTCGGACCTCGGGAATAGCTCGGGTCATTTGACGACGCTTATTGGGGTGCATGACTGTGAAGAGACGGATTCGGGACTTAAATGCTGGCATCGCACTTAACATTTGTTCGGCCTTCTTGCGATTGGCCTCGATGGTCACCAGGAGCAATTCGAAGGGTTTATTGTCGAGAATTGTCCGTATCGTCTCCACCAGTTCATCACCACAGCCATCTAACGATGGGATAATCACGGTAACGTCTTGGGATGTCAATTTGGGGTTTTCTGGAGGTGGAATTGGTTTGAATGTCCAAAAGGAGAAGAGGTTCAGCACGAGGCGGGTGTAGCGATAGACACTTTTTGATTCAGTTAGCTCTCCACGAGGTCAATTCACCCTCATTCCCAATACTAACAAGAGTGCGATGAATGCTCGCAGAAACGGGAATGCCATGATTGGATTTGGTTTTTTATTATATAACTCTCAATTCCCCTAACTCGTTTTATACCCCAGTTTGTTCAATTGGGTTCCCGGAGCTATTGCTTCGGGATTTTTCAAGGGTAAAAACGAATGTCAAGGAGGCAAAGCTTCCAATCCAAGGGGAAAAAAGGAAAGAAAGGAAAAAAGAAAAGAAAAGGTAATTCGATCTGATTGAAGGGAACGAGAGGTTAAAGTAGGAAGAGAGAAAAGGCAGCACATGCGAACTAAAAAAAAATATATACCTAGATTGTAATATAAAAAAGAATTAATATCAAAAATCATAATAAAAAAAAACAGATATAAAAATGAAGAAAAATGAAAATAAAAAATGAAAATAAAAAAAACCACCAGCAAGCTCTCCATTGTCGTTTCGAGAGTGCTGCATGGTAGTTTTGCCTCGTGCGTCAGAGACCCTGGATCTAGATGAAGGTCAGTCGTAAAGTGGAGAGCGGGATTAGCAGCGGCCCATGCTGATGATTATGACTAGTATATATGGTATGGTATTGAATGGATATTCTCTATTTTCTATTCTGTCTTCTCACTGCTATAGTTTACACATATTCATTGACATTCGATATGTTGAATTCATTCGCCAGGTGATAGGTATACATCTATGTGTGTAGATTAATATGTGCTTACACAGTAGCTATCTTGGGTATGCAATGCCGATGAGGGAATACAATGCCGATGGAGGCAACTAGGGGTTTGCGTATCGCGTAGGAGTTCTCGTTAGGTTGGATCATTTTCTTGTTTTTGAAAAAATCTACTTTTACTTTTACCTGTGCTTAGAATGTTAAAGATAATATTATTACTATATAATATTACTATATGATACATTCTACGAGACCACGGGCAAATTTAGGTTGAGAGGAGCAGCGATAGATACCTGCTGACAAGGTTCTTCGAAGCGATAAATGCTTCGGGGGATACTTCGGTTGCAGGTACTATGCATCTACCTTATACTAGATTCGTACTGTATTAGAGCGTTATGCTGACTATAATCCATGTCAATGTGCATATAAATACAAAGCCTTCCTATATTGTATTTATATTATTATCTCCGGCAAAAAAAGGCAGGAGAACATATCCGATCATGCACGCGAGGATAGTTCCATTACTGGTGCCCGGGCAAACCGGCCGTTAGCCGAACGTGTGGCTAGCCTGCCTGGCCTAGGTATTTTGGTATGCTTTGTTTTCTGAGACATTGATGTTCATATTAATGTTCATATGTATTTTGATACGAAGGCATATTATCCATTTCCATCAGCTTCTATATATGCTTTTCTATTATCTTCCTGTCGCTTTGGATTCATCCTAGCTAATGATTTGTGGAACAAATGATTGCGACACACTTTGCAGCCCACACTCTTTAGCGTGCAAAAGTACGTGAAATAAATGAAACTCTTATTAATTCTGCGAATATCAAATCATGCACATTGGTCGGAAGAAACTACCTGTAACTTGACGGTTAGTCAGAATCTAGTAGTCCCGTACCCGATGGTACAGACCATAACGGTAGGGTATTATACTAGTCATACAAGGTACGTTAGTCTACTCCATACCAACATTTATCCTAACCAAGAAACCGAGTAATCCTAGTGGCGATCAAGTGTAACAGCTTAGGTGGGGCAGACAATAATGCGATAATAGATTGCCTGATCGCGCGCGGTTAGAGGTGGCGTGCGAATGTAAATCCCGATCACGAGTCATTCAGGAATGTAGATCAAAGCGTTTGGATGATATGCTAGGGAAGGCAGTTATTGGATTTTACGATTTGTCTCGCTATATCCTAGTACCTTGTATACTAGTATACTGATTACTGACTATAAATGCCGCCTATAGCTACATACGTACCTCTATACATATGTACGGAGTACATGTGGGTATAAATAGTCGGCATATATCTATATTCAGAGCCTAGACACCACAGACTATGTCGTCTACTCTTTTCAGACATCTACAGCCAACAGGGGTCATGATTGGTAAGGGCCATTTATCATCTTCCTTTCAGAGAACCGGCGCCAGCGTCGCTTTGGCGTCTAAGTATCTCCATTTATCCAGGCATACACTCATTAGTAATGCGCTAAGTACCATATAGTATCTCACTCCCTCTATATGTATGTGTATGTATACTAGTCGCATACTAACAGGATACAGTTTTAGGTGGAGCACGGCTGAAGTATCCATGGGAATGCAGCTGCAGAAGGCCGAATGTGGATATTTGACCTGAACTCACATACAACGGACGCGACGAGGGTACTCCGTCGGTACTTTAACCTTTTTACAATATTGCTCCTCTACCTACATTTGTATCTCTATTATTGGTATACTATCATCTTACATGGAGCTTAGACCGTGAGTCCTCACATTTACCCATACATCCATTTCTCTCTTATGATACGATTTGCCGGCCGATTCGACCGGATCACGTCTTGGGGTGAAACGGACGCGTTATCTCGGGCTGCACGGACTTCCAGGGCCCATAACCCGCTTGCTCCACCGAGACCAGGAATGGGCGGAGTTTTGTCTTTTTGTCTTTGAAAGAAACAAGGACAGTGCGCTCAGAGGGCATGTGTTCAGAATCAAAAGGATTATACACCCAAACTCGGTTACTGGCTATATTCACCGGGAAAGTGGAATGGAAGTGGAGCGACAATTTAAAACACTGATGTGGACGGAGTGGATAGATACTCCCCCCAGTCCACACAAATGCAGTCGAACAATACTAACCATCAAATATCAGAGAAACTGGTTGGGGGCCAAACGGGAATCGTCTGTCACGGGAAAAAGGGGCGATGACATGCAGGTCGATCCAGTTCCCCTCTTCGAATGAAAACTCACTACCCATATTAATTGTATGTAGTATTCCACTAGTGACGGAGTATATAGTACACTAAGATCAAAAAGGATTCATTTGCATTTATTAAGCCATCCTTTCTATTGCCTTTTTCAGTCAACAGAAATACAGATCGGCCGCTCTAACTTTGGGTGGATCCCACAAAGGTACACTTCAGACAAACCTATCGTTATACTACGGAGTCCAATATGATTCTTGGCTGATCAGGGTGAAATCACATTACCAGAGTGCATTGCATACACTGCACAATATAGGCAATTATGATCCTCCAGCCGCCACGGGAAAGGTCAGCGTACACGTTGTCCACATCCACTTGATCCACCATCAATGCACGATCTGGCAACGGCTGCAACGACCATGTATAGTATCCAATGGACCGAGTACAGACGTATACTCCTGAGTACAGAAACTACCTAAAGGACTGTGAATATCCCAGATGGGTAAAGGTATTACTCTAGCCGCTCTCTGATGGGTTAGTTGCAGCACAGGGCTTTGGTGGCTTGGCTTCTACTGCAACCATCGCTGGTAGCCTCGGGATAATCACCGAGTTCTCCACTTCGACGGGTGCGTAATTCCGATACTGTATTGATATTTATTTTTCTATTCTGTATCGGAAAACCGAGAAGCGGCTTCTCCATTTAGAGAATGTATAACCAGATCGTGCTGTGGGAGGTAGAGCAACGTTGGAATGAGCCCTGGAGTGATGACTTTCCAACCAATTCCTATAGGAATGACAAAACCTGATTCAAATGACTCGGGCCTCTCCTGCGGCTCTAACAGCTTCCAACAATACGAACTTGTAGGTAGACGCATCGCTTACGGGCTTATAGCATCTAAAAAAAGGAGCTACTGAGCGCAGGCTTATCTGGTACTTTCATGGCTTGCCGTCAGTGCGTTTTCGGTGCATCCGAGGCAATGAATCTGTCCTTTTGGTTAGCCTTCTTTCTCTTTCGTTCTTTCTTAGCAGAGACGGATATTACCCGTGAGAATGTCAGTCCGAGAACAATCCATGCCAATACGCCCCCAATATCCATAAAACTCGAAACACGTACGTTGTTCATATGCATCACGACCAACATTGCAATGCTCTCGGCGCAGCCTGACGTCAACGCAAACCGATTCTCGCACGTTCATGCACTTCATGCACTTCGGGGTAGACGGAACCCTACGGAAAAAGGCAGAGGTCCAACCAGAACTGTAGCAACCGTCGTCGCAGCGGAAATGCATCTCGTGCTTCCCCCCGGGCCACTAATGCACTGCAGTTACTAGGCATAGGGTGGATGCGGCCGAAAACGGATGTGCCAAATTATACCTTTTCTAGAACCCCATGCTCGTGCTACTCGTTTACGCCATGCATGTGCCTCCGTGGACTCAGGCTTTCGCCGTTGAAATAGGCTGTGCCGTGTATAGTTACAACGTAGTATTCTCATAGTGTCTTTCGAATTTCGAATTCTAGTTTTCAATTTCTGGCGTCTTGGCTTTATATGCCTTTTTAGGGGTTATGGTGATAGAACAAAGCCCTAGTTATACCCGAAGGACATGTGAATACAAAAGATACTTGATATCACCCATCTTTCATGGCCAGTTCGATATCTACATAAGTGACCTTCGATTTATTTCAATATTGAAGAGTTCAGAGCACGAAAAAGCAAACATAAAAGCTATACTACCAAGCCACCCATCAACATGAAACATAAACTCAGCCCTATCACATATCGACTTGGAAATTTGATATGAAGTCAACCCGCATTCAAACAAGCCTATTGGGGCCTCCAGAGCCAACCTGCAGGGTCAAAACAAGCCTCAAATTTGACGCCACCGAACAGCCCAACTGCCGCATAGAGGTCATAGTCCCCTTCCAATCCCTCGACACCCCCATCTTCCCCATCGACCTCCTCATGCAGGTTCCACCCAGACTGTTCAACACCTTGTCGAGTAAAGAAGACATCCACGTTACATTTATCTTTGTTGCTATAGCCAATCTCAAACCTCATCCCAATTCCAACCGTCTCCCCGACCTGAATCGGACGCGTAAAGTCCTTACCCCCATAGGAATCATTTACAAAGCGACACCCATCATCTGAAAACACCCCCAAACCCCCACGCTCCCAACCAGGCGATCTCCAACTCGGATAAGGCTGCGCAACAAACCCAAGCGAAATGCCCGCTGGATCCCCTCCAAGCCCACCCCGCAACTCCTCCACCTTAACCTCAAAGTAAATAGTCTTCTTGACCTCAGTCACTAGCGGTGAATCCTTCATAGCAAAGTAAACAGGTAACTGCGACAGAACCACACAGTCCGTGTTCGCGTCATGGCTACGTGCTTTCCAGCGGCCGCACGAGACCGCCTGGACCTCGCCGTTCAGCTCGCGCGGGTGCACAGGGCGTAGGTCGTGAATTTGGACGCTGTGGTAGACTGCATCTGAGGGTATGGTGGGGAGCCAGAGGGGAATTTGATTGCAGAAGTCGTGGGCGCGCTCGGCGTCGTCTGCGGAGGCATTCCCCGTGCCAGAGGTTAGATAGCCGGTTATTGGGGGTGGGGGAAGTGGGTTGTGTCTGGGACGGCCTCTTGCCAGTTGTGGTATGGGGGTGGTTGTCCTTGTCCCGAATGTAATGATTCTGATGCGTCATAACTTGGCGGGAGATCTTGGGTCATGATGGACTGACGCGTTTTTGTTTTATGTTGTGATACCCCGGTTTTTTGTTAGATAGTGGATCGCAGATGGTTTGATTGCTGGTGTCTGGTGTGAAGTGAAGTGACTCGAAGTAAGTGTAAGCATGATGGAAGTTAGAGCACTGGCAGTTCAGCCTTGGCAATTAGCCGCTTGGTTTCAGATGCACGATACATTTGGAATTTGACTATATTTTGATTTGATTCGAGAGTTGGACCTGAATCTTATTAGCATGGAAGTATTTGTTTTGATCTATAGATCTACAGCTCTGATATGCTTATATGTACACATATATGTATAGGAGTATATAACTACATATGTAGTGATGCCCACAGTAAACACATCACAAACCTAAGAATAGGAAAATATGCAGGTTTCAGTCGCAACTGTTCACTTAGTGGCGGATTTTGGAATTCGCTTCAATTCTCGACTGTTTCTGTGTTCGCTTTTGCTTTTTCTTTGCTTTTTGACACTTCATTCAGGCCTTTGGGCTTTTTTGTCCTTCGCTTTCAATTCTTTTTTTCCTTCACGCTTTATATGCTCAATGTTTCACGATTTACCCACTGGACTACAATAGAGTCGAGTCCAATGCCATTCGCTTGATCTCAGCTCTACCTTGCATTCGTTTATTTCATCTTTCTTCATCTCACATTCGTTAAGCACTGGGTCGCATATTAATTTTTCCAAATGTCGGTCGATCCGCCCCGCAGACGACGTCGATCCTCGATTTCTGAGCACATTCAACGAGTGTTCAAGTCCGATGTATGTGCACCCATCCCCCTTTCATAAGGAGCTTGAAGTAATCCTCGAAGAAACGAAATACCCAGTTATATGGCGAATTCATTCCTCCAATCCCTGTCGTGGCCCGGGAGGCTCCAGGTCAGGGGGCGGATAATTCCAATACGAGGCACTCCTTATACAATGAGAGCCCCAGCTCAGTTTCCTACTCTCCCATGAACTCACGTTTACCCTCCACTGGTACACCCGGCTCTAGTCTATCGGTTGCGCCCAGGCCCGTGGGAGAGGACACCCCCACAAAAATGACATCCTTAGCAGGCCACGAGGCTGAGATTAAATCTCTAACGCCGGGCAAAACGCACAAAAAAGAGAAGCGGGTGACTAGGCGGCTGGAGGCCGAGAGAAAAGAGCTCGAGAAGCGTTTGCTCGCACTCGAGGATGCCCAGAGCAAGACTGACCCCAGAGCCCATGAAAGGGACTCGCGCCGTCTTACCAAGAAACAGCCGGTGAGCACCTCGAGTAGATCCTCCAGCGCGAATGCGGAGCGACCCAAGTCGTCAAGTGGATTTTCCTCCATCTTCAGGCGCTCGCGTCGCAATTCAGCTTCGAGCGACTTCGACTTTCAATCCGCCGAATTCAACAAGCTTCGAACAGACACAAACCCGCCATCGTTGCCTTTGACTCTACCTGAAAGGTTTGGGACAGCCATCACCAGGGAGCTCCAATCCAAGCATGGTACGGCACTGAACCTATCTGCTACCAGCAAGATGGCCAACCCGGCGCAGAGTCGTCTACTCCATGCTACGGCCAAGTCCGATGATCTCCGCGAGAACTGGAAGATGGCTGAAGCTTGGAAGGCAAAGGATGGCCGGGAGGGGCATCGATCGGTGTCTGAACAGCTGAGTGGTCGGTCCACGATAATCGCTCGAAATAGCGAGACAGCAACCAGCTCAGCCACGGATGATCTGGACCGCGAGCTATTTTCGGCTGCTCTCAAGCATGACAGGAAAAGCCTCCCTGCGCCAGAACTTTCTTATGATCGTGTGAATCGTGACCGCGCCACCAGGGCTACTAGTATGCCGATCTCGCAAAACCAGGCTGGCTTTTATCAATCGTTCAATCCTGAGTCAACCCCAAGTCTTACCACACGTCAACCGGAGGTAGCCGCTTCAGAACCCCCAGGTAGTGTGATCATTTCGCCTGTCGCCAGGACTTGCCAGCCGCTCAACCCAACTCATTCGAGCCCGACAGGCAATCTTGCTAGAAGAAGCCGAGTGGACCCCTACCCACGAACATATAAGTCATCTCCTCTTGCATTGAACCCTGCAGTCGAGCATGGGTTGGCCCAAAAGGATAAGGAAACCAATATTTCCAAGCCATTGACGTTGCATAACCCCAACCAACAAACCCAATTGCAATCTCAATCATCTGCTCTACCTCATGCTGAAGATCGAGGAAGAAGCCGACTGCCCGTTGCATCGTCGAATGGCGCTCCGCGGACTTCGAGCCGGTTCAAAGAAAACTTCCAAGATTCGCCTAAACTCGAGCCACCCGAGATCCCTGTCAAGAGCGATCGACGAAGCCAAGAGAACTGGAGAACTTCGACCATGTCTACCGATACGCTCAGGGACACCCCATCATCTTCACTCCAAGTGGGAGTCCGATCTCCTTTCCACGCCGGCAGCACATCGCCGGACGCACGGAGCAGCCGAACATCCAGAGACATGTCTGATTCCACATACGCTGTTCCTCAGCGGTCTCCCCAGCGAGCCCCCCGCGCTTCACAGGACACACCAGGCAACATACGAGGACCGGGAGGATTTATCCCCAGCCACAGCCACAGCCGCACCCCATCCCACAACTCTTCTCACGACGGCCAATCCAACTACGACACCGCTGACGAAGAAACACCTGAATCTCCAAGTTTCCCACGTGAACCAATGCCACCATCAAACCCCAACCCTTCACCCCTGGAAGCGCCCATCCAAGAACCGGAACTTCCCATCAGCCGACCCATGCAACCCAACCTCCCTGACCAAACCCGCAACCCAATAACCATTCTCAAGCGGCGCTCCCAAAAATCAAAATCAAGCCGCAAACCCCCCATCGCCAAAATCTTCGTTATCTGCTGCCGCTGCAAATACTGGCATGACCTCCCCTCAGAAGTCTACGCGCGTCTCGCCTACCCCGAGCGCCTCAATGAATCCAAACCCAGCCCGCGGAGGAACAACGACCGCAAACCTGCTGGCTCCCGATCCTTGTCCTTCGGCCAGCTCCCAGCTGCGCATGCTGCGCATGGCTCGGACGGACTGGATCTCCGGCCTGCGCCACTTTTGCCGAGGAAGGTTTCTTGTTGTTGGTGTGGTCATAACATGAGTCGGACTTGTTGTGAGGGTTGGACTGCTGTTGTTGAGCTGCGGGAGCGACATCATTGATTTGAGTCTGATTCTATTGGTCGGTGGTTATGAATACAGATCGACTTGGTTGATATGATGTTATGAGTATTTTTTTGAGCTTTGGATATCATTCATAGCTGATTTTTGTTGAATGAAATGTAACGAGTATCATGTCATACCAAATGTTCTCCATCATTATCGGGTAGAATGATCTCTCTTGCCTCTCGATACCAATTATTATATCCCTATTTCTCCCTCTTAGAGATGTGTTGAGAGTTGTATAGTTCCAATTTCCACCATCTAGGGCTCCCAGGCCTGGAAAGTGGCTGACTAAGATTACACGGGACCCTCTAATATTTTTCTTCGAAATATTTTTCTTCTTCCTTTTCCACTTTCACCTCTTTGGACATTCACAGCACACAGAATCTTAATGTTGGATTCTTGTTTTCAAAATCAAAACCAGGGCTTTGGGCCATACTAACAACAGTCATCGATACAAATCCCCCTCCTTCGCAACTTCGCAATCCAGCTGTCCCGGTCCAATTGGATACACTCAAGGGCTCTCCTCGGAGAACAGTCACCACAGCGCCGCGTCTTGTGGCCGTGACCGACTGGAGCTGGATTGTGAGTCGGGTTCTCTTCGGGGTTCTCGTGTTTTATACAAGTTGCCAGAGCAATAAAGGGCCTTCATAGTTCATGTTATACTTGCTCGAGTCTTTCCTTCGGGAATTTCACTTTGTCTACGAGAGCATGACTCCTTGCGCACTACATTCTCTTATATATTTATATATATACATACATTGTGTATATGAATCGAAATCTATTCAACGTACAATATGTTCAGACTCACAGCTTACTCTTCGCCTCTCCAATGACATTCACAACCACCTTGCCCCAAGTCTCTCTGCCACCAAGGGCCTTCAAAGCCCGAGGCACACTCTCCAAACCAACAAAGTTCTCATCCTTGAACGCCGTACCCTTAAATTTGCCCTGACGAACAAGATCAAAGATCCCGCCCCAAACCTCCCCAACAGTCTCCGTCTCAAACTTCGCATATTGCCCCCAATGCAAGCCGACAATACTCACATTCTTAAGCAGCACCCGATTCAACGCAACCTTCTCAATCTTGCCAGCCGCAAACCCAATAACCAGCAACCGCGCATTCCACGCAACACACTTCAAACTCGCCTCAATCATCCCAACGGGATCATAAACGATATCCACTCCAGCAGCACCATTTCCCGTCCTCTTCTCCTTACACAGCTTCTTGACAATCTCAGGCCAATTCTTATCCCCATAATCAACCACATAATCCGCCCCGAACTCCTTGGCAACCTCCCTTTTCCTCTCCGTCCCAGCAGTAGCAATAACAGTCGCCCCCATAGCCTTAGCAATCTGCACAGCAGCAAGCCCCACTCCACCCGCAGCAGCATGCACAAGAACCCAATCACCAGCCTTAACCCCAGCACGGGTAACAAGGCCACCGTAAGAGGTGGGCGCGGTAACGAACAACCCAGCCGCATCTTCGAAGCTCCATCCCTGCGGCACGGGGAGCAGGGTCTGTTCAGCGGCTAGGACGTGCGTAGCGTAGGCGCCCTGTGTTGCGCCGAAGACGCGGTCACCGACTTTGAAGCGCGGGTTGGGCGTGCTGGGGGTTGCAGTGATTGTGCCTGCAAACTCGGCGCCGCCGATCCATGGGAGGGGCGGTTGGTGTTGGTATTTGCCTTGGATTTGGAGGATGTCGAAGAAGTTTGTGCCCGCGGAGTGGATCTCGATGAGGTATTTGTCGGCTGGCGGGGTTGGGGTTGGGACTTCGGTTACTTTTAGGTCCATGGGGCCCTAGGATTGGGTTAGTTTGGGATTCTGGAAGGTGGTTGTGTAGGGGTCGTACTTTGACGTATTCGGTGATTTGGACGGCACGCATTTTGGCGGATGGGGGTGTCGGTAGATGTAACGAAGGAAGTGGAAATGGAATTATGATAGACTCAAGAATCAATTAAGCAATTCGAGGAACGTCAACAGTGTCAAGACTAACGAGTGAAAGTGGAAGATGAACAGCTATATGAGGTTTCCCCGCAAGATGCCGAGGTTCCTTTTCGGATAACTCAATGCTTGGCGAACACTGAGGATTAGGTACATACATCGTTATGTATGTTGTAGTCTACAAATCTATGTTATCTAAATATCTGTGTTTCAAAATATAGTAAAGCCTGCATGGTTCTATAAAGTACAGATTATCAAATTGAAGATATCAATATATACAGTTTCCTTTTCATCCAGACTCCCCCAAAAAGCAAACACCGGGTATGACAAACAAAACAACCACCCATATTTCACACAAAATCAAAAGGTATCACAGGTATTTATAGTATATAGAAACAAGAAAAGAGAGAAAAGAAAAATGGGAGGCTTAATAGCCAATGCCAGGAGGTTTCTGATCATAGTTATGACCCATATAAGGCATGATAGGAGCACACATCACAGGACGAGAACCAGACTGAGTTGAAGAAGACACCATAGGATGCATCTTCCTGTCTTCCCGACCAGGAACCGGATGACCATGCATGTCATATTGCAAGGACATAGCCCGACGCCAGTTCTTGTCATAATGGTACTCTCCGTCTGGGTAAGGGTACTGAGTCTGGTAACCCTGTCCAAGAGGAAGGTAACCATTGATTGAAGGGTTCATGGGAGCAGCGGACCCCTGCACACCAGAAGGAGGGGTGATGGCCTCAAAAGGCAACGAGTACCACTGAGCCGGGTTGAGGCCGTAATCAGCGGAGACGGAGCGAGGGGGCCAGGCGATGCCGGCAGTTGTCGTGCCGGGGCTGGGGAGACAGGATTCTGGTGAAAGTGGGTAGGCGGAATTGCTGTATGGGGCTACTGAGGAAGTGTTGAGAATGAGACCTTCACCGACGGGAGAGGTGTGACCAGGTTGCTCGAAAGAGGTGGTTGTTGGGCTTTGGTCTGGGTAGATGGAGCGGTCTGCGGCGACGACGTGCTCGCCGGAGGGACTTGGGGTGAGTTGTTGGACCATTGGGGAAGACCATTTCCTGTCTTCTGGAAGGCCGTAGATGGATTGAACGGGCCAGTCGTGACGGGGTTCTCTTTGCAATGAAGGGAGTGGTCTTTGGATTGAAGGCTTTCGCTTCATGTCTTCTGGCTCGTCGCTTGAAGAAGCGTGGCTCTTCTTTCTACTTTGACGAGATGGCTTTGTTACTCGCCATTTCTTCAGTCTGCTTCGTAGTTGGGTTTCACTGTCTAGGTGTTAGTTCAAGATCAATATGTCCGATATCGATATTCCCATCAACTCACCTTGGGTTGAAATCATCGGAACGAATCTGTTTGATGACCTGTTTCAATGGCCATTCTTCTTCCATATACAACTTTGCGATCAAGGCTTTCTTCTTTTCCCATACGTCTGATGAGATGGAAGTCTTCATATCCAGATAATATTGGGACTGTATGATACAGTGCCAGACCGTTTCAAGACAAGGGTAGGTAGAGTCGATGTATGATAGAATCAACTATCCAATGTATGATTAGAAGCAAGAAGGAAAATCAGAAGACAGGAATCGGGCGAGACCAGTTATAAGTAAAGAATAAGAGAGTGGAGAATAGATAGTTGCAGTGAGAAGAGAGAGAGAGAGCGAACAGGTCCGGGGAGGAGGGTAAATTATAATAAGAGTTGTTTAATCCGGACTATCTCCATTGTCCACCACTCATTTCCTCCACTTCCACCTTTTCCCACCTTTCCACTTTCCACCGCCTAGCGTGGCGTCCGTCGATCATGAACGAGATTTGCAGCGATGGAGAGATACTTTGGAAAAAGTGGATATAATTTGGCGATCCTCTCAGTCATTTTTTACTCCAAGTGGATCTCCAATTGACACTTGGGTGGAATAACGCTACAATCTGCCAACAGGTCTCACTATTCCAAGTCCAGTGCTTGGCGCAGACAAAGCACATTGGATTGGATTGATCACCTCTGAGTCTGTATGACAGCTTATCGTTTCTTGCGTTGCTTTCTTCTTTCGTTGCTTTTTTGGTTGTTGCTCTGTTGCTCGCTCTACACAATAATTTCCAACTAACCCCAATTATAGTTGTAACATATCATCGGTCTTTCTTCCTTGACTGGAATTATATCCTTTCCGGTTCAGGTCCAACCAAACCCGGAAGGAACCCGGGCCCAACACGACAGTCATACGGAAACACATGGCTTATGCAGTTAGAGTGATTTCCTTTGCATAGGGTCCAGCCTAGCCCTAGCCTTACCCATACAACCGTTTTCCGAACCAGATAAGCCGGATGTGTGGACTCCTCTCGTCCGCGGAGGTACAGATCTCTCTCTATGGCCGCCGATCCTGCTCGGGGATTGAGGGGATGAGGCGGTTCCTTCACCGGACATCTTCCCAAAAGAAGCAGAACCGTTGAGAATTCCAAACTCTTTCCAATGGAGAAAGAGAAAACCACATGTGTAAATTGCGATCACATCATGTGGCCATCTAACACTATCGACCGAGGCGCCCAAATGGCTGGGATTAGAAAAACACACCTTTTATTATTATTATTATTATTTTCTTTTTCTTTTTCTTTTTCTTTTTCTTTTCTTTTTCTTGTCTCCAGACCCAGACCGGAGCAAGGACCATCTAGGATTAGGACCCAGGACATAGGACCACAAGGCACCGAGACCGAACTGAATCCGCTAAGGCAGATGGTGTTTGAGCTAGTGATGGCCTCCTCTTGGCTCAAACCAATAATATCAACCCCCGTGGAGAACCAGTTCGTGTGAGCGCCAACCGATCTCGCAAATTGATCGCCAACGATCTGCCCGGGTCCTCAATAGTGGATATTATCAAACTCCACGGTTGATTTCCGGAGACACTCCCTAACGTGTCTGGTTTTAGTACTCCGTACGGAGTCTACAATATTGTATGGAGTAGCAATATGGTACAATCATATTTTCCCTACAATGCACGGTCCCGCAATTGTCCATGTCCTTGCACCTTTTCTCCACGAGCCTCTGCCAATCACTCCTCCACAAAATGTGTTTCGCCCTGCATATGTCACATCTTTTTTGAAACTGCAGAACGTGCCAATTGCCTTGTTTTTTTTTTACAGTATTTTGTGAATTTTCGGCTTTGGCTCTAGGATCTGAGATATCTTCATCTGAACGCATGAACCATGGGTGACAATCTTCACGCCACTTTGCGGGAAATGAGAATTTGGAGAAATGCCGACCTCGCACGTTTTTTGATCTATTGAATTTCTATGTAAGTGTCATTTCCTGGTTGTGGATCCGAAAATTATCTCTTTGTTTTTATTTCGAACTGATTAATTAATATTTTATGACCCGGGCGGGTTGACCTTTGAAAGCTGAACCTGAGACAGGGATGGCATTCGACTTCTACATCCGCGTGCCTCTGGTGAAGCTTAGTTCCCTTGACATCTTATTAACATGTATACAGCCGCCACAAAGAAACAGCTATGATTTGGAATGGACAAGGTCTCTACTCCGTACTGAGGTCTTTCATGAGTCAGTTCTGGCCCATGCTCGAAGAAAATATGGAGTCGTTATTCTCCATATCAACTTGACCATCATTTATATTTTTATTTGCTTTTCTTCCACTCATTTGGCATATCTCCGACCCTGACGATTTTCAAAGTTTACTTTATTAAAAGAATTCGAAAAACCTGGTCAATCAGCGATCCCGGCGGCTCGACCCGGAAAACAGAGCATCATCATGTCCAGTCTACGGAGTAAAGGCTAGAGAGATCTCCGGATCACCATGGCTCTACTGCAACTCATGGAGATTGGCCGAAAACAAAGCTTAATAGCCCGGGCATTTCACCAAATTGGGTATACATTCTGCAACAAGCCCAACAAGAGCTAAATACCGAACTATTCCAAGTCGAGTGGCACAATTGGAGATCAGTGGAGAACTGTGACTCCAACAACCAAATCATCGCCCAGATCCGGCGATTGCTCGGTGACATTGGTGCATCCCCCTCATGTCTTCCCCATACACTACCAAGACGAACCACTCGTAGCGTCTGTTGCCTTTCCCTATCCGTCCTGGCGTGAGATCATGTGCGATTCTGTCGTATACTCGTCGTATCCTCAGTCGGAGCGCGCTCGGCGGTCTCCCGATCTCCACCTCGCGTGGCTCCAGGCTCACAGGCCAGTTAGTCTCCTGCTCGGAGCCAAGTTGCCGAGGTAGTGGGAATTGGGTTTTGGGGGAGATCGACCCGGGCCACGGGTCTCATTGGAGACATTTCCAGTGAAGAATAGGGGAAAGCCTCCCGAGAGGATCGACCGCCATCATGATTGTCCTCAACTTGATACATTGGACCTCCGTGGGTGCATATTTCTGACCGTTTCAATGTCAAAGTTAAGTTTATTGGGGGTTTTACCATGTATCTTCTTGTCCTTCGATTTGTTGAATTTCCTGTGGATTTCTTGAATTCGAGACATTCTATCTGTACCTCCATGTACACACTCTTGATAGATTCAAGTACATGCGAACCATGCTAACCATACTAATCCTAAGTACTACGGAGTACTAACTCTATACTAACCAACAGAGGGATCGGTACTATCAATCGGCATCTAAATTAAAATCGTCACGTTGCACCAGATACGAGTTCCACCTCTCTGCACTCCACATTAATCTATTCTCAGAGCCTAGTGTTTCCGAATTCTCAACAATAACAGGTACAACGTAAAAATAATGTCAAAACACCTGCAGTTCTCGCCATGGAAAAGACCGTGCCGTTAGCTGAAGATCAAGGGTCTATTTTCCGACTTGCTCGAAGATAACTAAGATCCACAGGAATGAGCAAAAGAGTATAATCTCCGAGGTTAAGTTTAAAGTACGAAACTATTGGATACTAAATATTGTATATTGCATACTGCATACTGCATTTGTCAATTGAATAACGGTGGACAGAATTAGGACTAGTTACTCCATAGTTGCCTAGGGTAGAACTAGAGTGAGCACCTTAACCATAATAGGTAATGGTACTCCAAAGCCGAGAAAGTATAAATATGGCCTTCGAGTGTTCGGATGTCGTTTCGGCTGTTTATTCCTTCTCCACAATGGCTCTTTGACCTCTTAATATACTGGAAATAGACTATAGGTTATAGGTTGGGGTCGGGAATTAGGGTTGACGTAGGGTTGGGGTAGACTCAAGAGAGAATTAGTTACTATACATTGTAGGAGATAGATTGTATGACACAGAAACAGAAAAGAACAGAACAGAACACAGTAAGAATAAAACGGCTTAATTCGAACATTATACTAATACATTGTACCCTGAAACTCTCGGAATCAAGGGGTATATTTGGAAACTGAAGGATTGGAGAATGATGAAACGGTTGTGGAGTCACCTCGTGATCTCAACGCCTCCTCTTAAGATGATGCTCCTTACCCTTTTTGGATTTCTTCTTGCTTTTATCTGGGGGTAGAACCAGGGGCTCATCCTTCATGTTCCACTCCATGAATCGCAACAAATAGTCATCGATGTGACCAGGCTCGTCCACGTGTTCTGGAATTGCCGAACTGCCCCCTGGAGTTTCGGCCGGTGCAGGGGTCTCACGGGAGGCGCTATGTTCTTCGAAGTCGCCATCGTCAGCATGCTCTTGTTCCTTCTGTGCGTTTTTCGCTGCATCCAGATCCTCTTTGTCCTCGGCTGCCTCGAACACACGGGTACCGCCTCCGACCCGATTGCCGAGGACACGGTCCATGGCCGCACTCGCCTCGTCTTGGCCATCACGCTCGTCGCTTTCCGCGATGGCTTCGGTGTCCAATTTGGTAAAGTAGTCCGTGGTGAATTCACCTTCTTGGATGATGACGTCGTCAAGCATGCGCTTTTGATTGGCCTTGCGGAGGATGTTGGATTCAATGGTATACTCCGAGACGAAACGGTAGATGTGCACGTCGCGGGTCTGGCCGATACGATGGCAACGGTCTTGACATTGTTTGTCCATAGCCGGGTTCCAGTCCAAATCGTAGAAGATGACGGTGTCAGCGCCCGTAAGATTGATTCCCAGACCACCGGATCGACTCGATAAGATGAACGCCAGGATACGGGGATCGCTGTTGAATCGCTCTGTGAGCATCTGGCGCGCCTCGACCTTTGTAGTACCGTCAAGGCGGAGATAGCGGTGGCCGTGGATATTGAGGAACTGTTCCAGGATATCCAGCATCTTGGTCATCTGAGTGAAAATCAAGGCTCGATGACCACCGGCTTTGAGGTCACGCAGGAGTTTGTCCAGGCGCTGGAGTTTGCCGCAGTCGTATTGAAGTAGTCTCTTATCTGGGAACGCGATCGAGAGACGCATCCGCGCTTCGTGGAAGGGGTCGTATGGTTGGTCTCGGCGAGTATTCGTCAAGAGCCTGGTTTCAACAGGAGTCAAGGCGGCTTCATTCATGCCCGCAGCAACAGCAGCAGGTGTGACGCAGGCGAATCGCTGAACATAGCCGTCCATTTCAAGGCCACGTTCGTCGATGGTCAAAATCATTGAGGCGAGGACCGAGGAGCGGCTGGACAACCAGTCAGCCATTGAGCGCTTCCGCAAGGGTGCGTTGGATAGCGCGTGTTCCTTGGTCCCTGCTCTGATGAACTCGATCAAACTGCTTCCGTATACCGGTCGGCGCCCGTGGCGCTTGGATTCAAAGTAGAGACAACGCTCTAACTCTGCCATGCGTCTTTTCCGGCAAGCATTCTCCAAGGATTCCATGATGGTTGTCATATTTGATCCATCAAAGTCCATGTCCCAGTTAGTGCGGTTGTACTGGCGTTCTCGGAGTTTCTTGAACGGTCCAATGGCCATGAGTCTGATACTGTCGTCGGCCAGCCGGCGTGAGATATCTTCTCGCGACACCGGTGCGAGATTGAGGAAATCCAAATCGATCTTGGTGAGAGGGTGTTCGAAGAGTAGTCTCCGTCGGACGAGAGATTCTTTGACATTGAAGTCCATGGGCACAGACCGAGGCATTGCAAAGGAGGTGGAGATAGGGCGGGTTTCGAAGAGATCAGGATGGTTGCACACTTTTCGAAGCTGCATGAGACAGTGAATAATGGAAAGAAAGTTTCCGGACGCGAGCGTCTCCTTGGTTTGAGCCATTGACATGAACCCATCGTAGAGATATCGCTGTCGCTTGGAAAGCCTACAATAGACCACATGTTCGTATTTTCCAGGCATTTGCTTTTCGACGTCGGCCTTGAGTCGACGAAGGAGATACGGACGAAGCACGGTATGAAGCTTGGTGATCACACCCTTGGCCTCTTCGTCCATGGTCTCTCTGCCATGCTCCAGGATTTGCTCAACGGGACGTCTGAACCATTCGGAGAAGTCCTTTAGATCAGCGAACCCTTCAACACCACCACTTTGACCGTCTGATGGCATCAAAAAGAACAGAAGAGACCACAGTTCAGTGAGGTTGTTTTGGAGAGGGGTACCTGTGAGCAGAAGTCGAGCACGGGACTTGAAGGTGAGGAGAGCTTGCCACCTCTGTGAGCGGAAATTCTTGATGTTGTGAGCTTCGTCGAGAATCATGTACTGCCAGTTCCTTCGCTTGAGAGACTGTTGATCCTGAAGCACCAGCTGATACGATGTGATCAACACGTTCCAGGCGTTATCATCCGTCCAGCCGCGGCGTTTCTGCTTGCGTTCTTCTTGGTTACCATAGTAAGTCATGATCTTGAAGCCCGGGCACCATTTCTTGAATTCCATTTCCCAGTTGAGTATGACACTGGTGGGAACGACTACCAGATGCGGGCCCCAGATACCATGATCCACGGCAAGATGAGCGAGGAGAGCGATTGTCTGAATCGTTTTACCTAATCCCATCTCATCCGCCAAGATGCCGTTGATGTGATTATTGTAGAGACCAGCAAGCCAATCCAATCCGTAGTGTTGATATTCACGCAGCGTGCCACGCAGAAGGTGTGGTACTCGCGTCTGGAGACCGAGTGCAGGCGAGTGGCTTATTTGCAATGCCTTATCGATGGCAGGCTCGAGTGAAGATACTGACTCGGGCTCGGATGGTTTGGTTGCGAAGGTTCCTGGTGAGGCCTCGCTAGAAAGTTCTCCAGTTGGTCGAGTTTCATGGACATGATCGATCTCCATGGCCTCGGGTTCATCAACATTGTGTTCGACAGCGGTAGGAGTAGCCTCTGCCAGCTCTAATTCGGTGGGCTCATCTTCCATTGGAGTATCAACAGCGGATGTTTCGGCAGTGGGAATTTCAACGATAGGCGTCTCTCCGCCAGTGGCAGGGGAGGCTTCAGAAGCATCAGCGGCCTGCAAAGGCGTGCCCTCTGCTGAAGTACCCTCACTGGCAGTTCGTCCAATTGGAACAAGAGAAACTTCATCCGGATCTTCGAAGTCAATGTCATCCTCGCCCTCTGATGTGGACTTGACCTCTGCATCGCCATGTTCGTGATCAATGCCTTCAGCTTCGTCACCCTGTTCACCATCCTTTGGCACGGATATATCCTTCTTGGAGAAGAAACCCATCAAGCCTCTGTCTTCGCCCTCGTCATCCGACCCATCCTCTTCTTCGCTTGACTCTTCCTCCTCTTCGTCACTATCGCCCATATCGTCGTCCATATCTGTGGATGCATCGCTATCGTCCATCAGAACAGAATCCACATCGTCCAGTTGATTATCATCGGGGGTAGCATGTGAATCGATATCATCAAGAGCAACTTCTGGGTCCATGGCTTCATCAGGGTTAGTTATGGCATCACTGCCAGAAACCACAGACATTCGGTCGGTATAATCTTCGGTCGGGAGGTTGGCATACTTCAGCCGGAGCTCTTCCTCAGTCAGTTTTGCATCGTCATCCACATTGGTCTCGTCGTCGGTCGCGGATTCAGAACCTGACATGTTGCTCTCGTCTTCTTCGTCTGAGCCCGATTCAGAGCCGGATTCAAGGTCATCATCGCTTGTCCCTTGCGCGTCGCTAGGAACTTCGCCGAGGATTTCGGCCCTGCGCTTCTCAAAAAGCATGGTAGACTTTGTGATAGCACGATCAAGAGCTTTCTGGTCTTCCACTTTCCGCTCCTCCTCCCAGCGAGCTAGACGGCTCCGATCGATGTCCGCACGGGTCAGGTCGAACATTTTCTGAAGATCTTTGGATAGCTGCTTGCGCTTCCCTCGCATTTCCTCCTGTTGTTCACGAAGAATATCCTCAGGATCCTTGTGACGTTTGCGATACGCGTCGGCGCACCATTGTGCGAATAGTTTGGCCGTTTGTCGGTGTCGCTTGTGTTCCTTATCGAGGAGCTTCTGGAAGTAGAGCGCGTGGGCTACTAAATGGTCTTGATGCGAGTATTGTGGAGGCGGTTCCTCTTGCTGGTCGGTGATATATGCAGAACAAACTTGAGAGCTCAGAGGTCCACCGGGCTCTGCGGCAGCCATGACCTCCTGCCGTTTGCGCGCTTCCGCAATAGCATCATCTTGCGACAGTATATTCGTGCTATCATCTTGGTACACCCATTCCCTGAATGATGTATGTTTCTTTTGTGGTATGTGGCCGGGGTGTCGGATGGGAAGGACAGGTCTCGTGATTTTGAGGCGCAATCGAGGAACTTTGAGTGAGCCTTGTTCAGGTCCCTCGTCATCCAGGTTGGAATTTTTAGTGTCCGCATTGGCCTCTGGTGATACATTTGCAAGGGAATGGCGATCGCGGAGTGTGCGGGAACCGGTGCCGTTGGTGTTGGGGGATGGGCGAGGGAGGGTAGCGGAACTGCGAGATCGCGCGCGTGAATGACTTGGTTTAGATACTGGTGTCTGTAAGATGCGCTGGGACTTGCTGGCCCCAGTTCGGGATGGGGGCGCTCTGGGCGATCCATTCGCCGTAGACTTTCCACCTAACTTCCCATTGACATCGGCGCGTGACTGCGTCACCGATAGCGGCGAGGATGTGGCCGGCTTAGTTCCATCCCGAGCAGACTTGCCAAGGTTCTTGTTCTGAGCCCCTCGTGTGTGCCTTTTATCCGACGCGGGATGCAGTTCGATGGGAACCGCGTTTGTCCGCGAAGACCTGCGCTTGCCTTCTGAAAGGAATGATGTCGGCCCCTCAAAGCCAGCATTCTTCCAAGGTGGGGATGGTGGTCGAGGAGTTGATCGTTGCGATGAGGACTCTGTTAGTCTTCGCTTCTTGGATGGTGGCTCGTCAGGTTGGGCAGTTTCAACATCTTTCGGTTCGGCAGGGAGAGAATCGCGGGGAGAATCCGATGGTTCTGCGTCAACAGATCCGTTTAGGGGAATCGAATTTGGCGCCGGTGATACGTCTTCATCTTGGGATGATGGGCCGTTGGGGCTGCCGTTTTGCATGACTTGTAGCCGCAGACGACAGGGGCCGTCAATGGCAGGTGACCCCAGTTATCCCAATAATGGCGCAATGAAAATAAAAAAATTTAGCATCAGCGAATAGGGCAAATTGAATAGAGGCACCACCAGAAGTTTGGCATGCTTATCGGCGTTGTGTGGGGATGAGGACGGAAAAACAACGGAGATGATGAGAATACGTGGAGAGTGGTTTTTTCGTCCGGGCGAGCGCTTTGAGTCGCGACCCGCGCGTGGTTGCCTGATCCCGTGACTTTAAGCCTGAGGCCACCATTCAAACCTCGTTCATCATCATCGATATTCAAACCCCCTCTACCCAATTGGCTGTCTTGCTTTACTTTGACACTCTTTTGTACCTTGTCTTTCAGCACAATCGTGAGTCCACCCTCTAGCTCCACTATACCTCTAGTTTGTTACCCGCAGTATTTTTGACGTCCAATTCCTTTCAGATGCTGGCTCAGCGGATCTTGGCCCGGCGCCTGCCCCAGGTTGCCTCTCGAGCAATTGCTCCTCGTGCAGCTTTCTCCCAGATGCCAGCCCTCCGCGCTGCTGAGATTGATGATCCTCTACAGGTATAGCATCTATATGGCATATATGTCACATTTCCGCTTGACGACGGTATCTAATTCCCGACACAGAACAACAACTACCCCAACCCTCCCGCCGTGAAGCGAGCCCACAGAGATCCCCATGGAGGCTGGTGGGATGCGCAAGAGAAGCGCAACTTCGGCGAGCCTGTGCACGAGGATAACGAAATTCTCGGTGTGTTCAGTCCCGAGCAATACACCCATGTCTCGGCTGGCAAGGGTTTCTTCCACCTTGGATGCTTCGTTGTGGCTTTCCTCGGTCTGGTTGGCGTTGTCAGCCTTAACTACCCTGACAAGCCTAGTGTCCCCAAGACCTATGCCGACGGTTTGGAGAAGGAACTGGGAGGTCCCAATGCTTTGCCGGTATGTATTACTTCTATATAAGGGGAGCCTTTAATAAGTGCCCTTACACAAGAAATGAGCTGACCATCCGTTTTAGGCTCGTAAGTCCGGTGAGGATAAGTGGTGATTGACATCTGGTTTCTTTTTGTTGTTGTGTAAATACCAGTACGATTTTTTATCTTCGGCGTCCTTTGGCTGGTCGATTCACCGACAGCCCCGTGTTTCATCAAAGAAAAACCCGATTGCATGCTCGGAATGAATTTGGATTAAAAACTACCATTGTCTTTGTAGGTTTTGTTACATTTTCCAATGTGATGTGCCGCATCTTTACATACACGTGTGTATGTATGGAAAGTCAACTTCTTTGATGCATAGTAAAACCCTTCCACCTTCAAGGTTGAAATGGACAAAGGGCACCTTGTCACAGGTCTGTCTCGGTCTTTGGATATATTCTGTCAACGATATACTACATTCATGGGGTCAACAAATAGCTGCCCAACCCTTGCAGCTTTTGTCAATCGGACGATCACCTCGGTAGTGTGTTTATCTCCTATGAATACAGGGAGAAACAAGGATCAGATCTCCTTTAGACAAACAATATGAAATCCTCCTTTAAAAATACCAGTTGTAGAAGTAAATCGGGTAAATGGGATGTACATCTATCTACATACATAATTACAACACTACAGATGTACATATATAAATAACATTGTTTTGAATGGGCGCCTACGTCAGTTGGTTCGCTATCTTTTTTTGTTTCACCCTCCCCCCCCTCTCCCTTCCCTACAACAATTCGTCCCTCAAGCTTTGTGACAGGCTTTTTCTATTTACTTTGGATCGAAAGAATCATAATTTTTGAACAGGCATTCTATTTCCTCCGTTGTGGGTGGTGGTCTGCAACTCCCTTAATGGTCCCGCATTCCGCTATCTTTTGACACGATTTGAATTCAACACACCCATGTCGACGGCATCTACTCAGTCCCGAGGAGTAAACCGACGGATTAACAGTATTCAGAATGAAGGCCGCCATTCGCGCAACGCCTCCGCATCGCGGCGCCGTCCTCTGAGTGCCAACGTGGCATACAGCCATGCCCTCCGAGTCGCCTATCTTGCCTATCTCCTTAACCCTCGCTCTCGTCGCATCCAAAATGCCCCCGTCGCGCCGGCGCGACCAAAACGGTCATCTACCTCGATCCATGATTTGATGAGCGACTTCTCGTTAGTCAGGGACTCCAAAAGCACAAGGGTTCCCCATGGATTCGTCTCCGAGCTGGAGAAGCGGTTGACCGCCGTGTTGATGGGAAAGGAGAAGAGGAAGGAATATCAAGACCATCTGGTGGTGCGAACATTCGCTGTCTTCCTCAATGTGTTGAAAGAGGACTCTTTCCGCAAGCGCATGGAGAAAGACCGGCGAGCTGAAGACTTACTCCTGATTTTCTACTCCAATGCGATCAAAGAGCTAGGAAAGGGCAAGGAACATGACGATGATAGCTGGAAACTCATGGTGGATCGACACGTTGCACTATTTGTCCGACTCCTGGCACTTACACTGAAAGACCACGACTGGTCTAAGGACCGCCCCGAGTTGGCTAATCGATTAACGGTATTGGAAAACAAACTTCTCTTGCAAGATAAAGACCTTATGGAAACGAATGGACCTGCGTCTGCGACGGAATTCCCTGCTTCATTGAGCTATAAAGTTAAGGACATGCCCCTGGTGCAACATGTGGCCAAAGTATTTGGCATGACAAACTCCGAAGCGCAATCCGAGATCGATAAGCAAAAGTCCGTCTGGACCGAGCAGGCTGCTTTGAAGGATCTGAAAACATACCAAGCACACCTGAGTCTTCAGACCCACAAGACACTGTCAAGGGCCGACTTTGAGTCTGACGAGGGGTACGAGGCTTGGAAAAAGAGCGAGAGTCCTGACCTCTCCCAAATGATACTCGCCATCATACAATCAAATCCTGAGCTCGCCAAAAGCACCCCGGGATCTCTTCCTCAATTCAACCCGAATGAGAACCCCGACTTGTCGAGAACAATCTCCGGCCGGACTGATAGGACTTCTTATGCCAGTGACCAATCTGTTGACCTTAGTGGTCTTTCTCTAGGAGACTCGGATGAATCTGATACCTACACCTTCATACCGTCTGACCCCAGGTCTGTGTACCGATACATTCTGTCCCAAACCTTGAGCCATGATCTGCGAGACCGAGAAATTGAAGCTACACAGGCGACGTCTGATGTCCCTTCAACCATGCTGTTATCGAAACAGTCTTCTGAATTGCTAAATGAAATTTGTCTCCGCTGGCGGATTCCCACCTTCTCCCGGGTCGTGCTTTTCCTTGAGGTGGCACAGACTAAATTTGTTGACAATGAAATTGATCTTGATACTGTCGGCTCAGCATTTACTTTTGTGAAGGAAATGCCTCAAGGCGAGAACCGCAAGCGCAGTAGCTTTGTGGCATCTTCGGTGTTTGATCGACAACGATGGACTGTTCAAGATCTTCAAACAATGCAAATGCTTTTGTCCAAACTTCATGAAGCTTTGTTGCGAGAGCTGTACGAGGCCATGATGGATTGTTTTGAGGCCAAGCCACGGCCCCTTGGACCAGTCATGTACATTCTCGAATCCCACGTTCGGGCAGATCCAAACTATATCGAAGACCCCGAGGACGTCGATCGATTCAGCACATATGTGCAAGAAGGACTCGCTCAAAAAGCGACAACCAAGTATCAAACACTTCTTGGCCAGTTAATCCCAGTTGACTCGGAGTCTTGGGAGGCCGATCATGTCATTCAGCTCGGAGATGCGATCTCAAAGCTTGCACTGAAAATCCAGAAACGATACCGGAATAATCCAGAAATTATGGGTGTAAACCCGTACACCACGTTGTGTTCCAATGTACTTCCCTTGTTTGCTGAGGATGCACATGAGATGGTGATAAGGATCCTAGAACAAGCCAAGGTTCGGGGCGAGGAGATTCCTATTGAAGATGGCTTCGATCTATATAAGAAGCTTGCTACTGTCAGACGTTTGTTCCATAATACCCACGAAGATGCTCAATTCCCGTTCCACGTGGAGAGTTTACTCCAAGAATTCGTCTGGCGTTGGCTTCGTCTGACTGACCGCAAGGTCATGGAATGGGTCAGCCAAGCTACTAGACAGGATGCGTTCTCCGTTCGTGCCGACGACGTGGACCTTGCACCTGAAGATGATCGACACAGTGTGTCGGTGATTGATATATTCCGATCCTTCAACCAGGTAGTTGAAAACCTGGCGGGACTTGAATGGGACGACGATTTCCAGTACGCGAAATTCATGACGCACCTCTCTAACTCAATCGGTAAAGGAGTGGCGACATACTGTGACTCTTTGGAGAAGATGTTTGCCCGAGAGATGGATCGTCTCACTCCCGAACAAGAGGCGGCATTGAATCAAACCACGCAGGAAAAATGGATGCAATTCGCCAAGGATACCTGGACGAATAAGGACAAGATCGAGCCCTTCCAGTTCTCATCCGAAGTATGTATGACCGTTCCACCTGTCAATGACCACATCTAATATTTCTGCAGTCCTTGGTGAAATTGAACAATATCGAGTACGCCCTCGTCCAACTTGACAAGCTTGAGAACGACATCAATGTCGACGGGTGCGCCGAGGTTATAGCGAGAAACACTCCCCCGCAGCTCAAGAAAGTCCGCAAGTCTACTACTTATGTTTTCACAATCAAGATCGTCGAGGCAGAAGACTTGAAAGCATGCGACATTGGTGGTGGCAGCGATCCGTACGTTGTTTTAACGGACGAATATCAAAAGCGTATTGCCAAAACCCGCACTATTTACAATAATCTTAATCCTCGGTGGGAAGATGCAGTGGATCTCACAACCCAAGGTCCTTTGAATATCATCGCTACTATCTGGGATTGGGATGCAGTGGGCGATCATGACTACGTTGGCCGTACGTCGATTAAATTGGATCCAGTTCACTTCAGCGATTTCTTGCCTAGGGAATATTGGCTAGACCTGGATACCCAAGGCCGGCTTTTGCTCCGAGTTAGCATGGAAGGCGAGCGGGATGACATCCAGTTCTACTTCGGTAAGGCTTTCCGTACACTCAAGCGAACCGAGAGGGACATGACTCGCAAGATCACAGAGAAACTTTCAGCATACATCAATCATTGTTTGTCTCGTCGAACATTGAAATCTCTGCTCTCTCGGGGCATCAGTATGTCCACCGTGTCGAGTTTCTTGAATCGCAACCGAGCCCCGGCAGCTCCCTCTGGTCCCACCTCGGCCGATGTCGAGAATGCACTCACACCTCTGTTCAACTACTTCAACGACAACTTTGCCATCATGAACAAGACACTCACCCCAGAAGCCATGAAGATGGTGATGGCTCGTCTATGGAAGGAAGTTCTCGCTACCATCGAGAGCCTGCTCGTCCCACCCCTGTCCGACAAGCCCTCCCACCAAAAGCCTCTCACCATCCAAGAAGTGGACATCGTATCACGCTGGCTCGTGCTACTCCTCAACTTCTTCCACGCGGTTGACGACGAAACCGGCGAAGCCAACGGCGTTCCAATCGACATCCTGAAATCACCTAAATACCATGAAATCCAGTCTCTGAATTTCTTCTACTTCGAACCAACAGAGAACCTCATCCGTACCTCAGAGCGCATGGCCTCCGCAACCGTCAACCGCCAACAAGCAGCCCGCAACCGCACTTCCGCGCCCACCCTCGGCGCCACAGGTCCCGGCAGTCTCGGTCTTCCTGCTGCTCGTCGCGCCAAGAGTATCATGCTCTCCCGCAACTTGGGCACCATGAAAAAAGCCAAGGAAGAAAAGCGACGAGAAGCACAGGCCGATCCGAACGATGATATGATCTTGCGCATTCTCCGTATGCGTCCTGAAGCGGCTGGTTACCTGCGCGATCGCAGCAGACAGAAGGAAAGACTTGCTGCGGCCGCTGCGGCCGATGCTATTGTGAAACAGAGTTTGATGGCCGGTGCAGGAAGCCGCATGAGCGGTATGATCCCTCGTGTCCGGTGAACCGATATAACTGTCTAAGCCATTGTGACTTTTTTTCATTTCTATACAACCATTGATGTTTTCGTTCTATCTTGCATTTTGTCTCACGCGTGAACTTGACCTTATGATTCCCAATTTGGCATCTATTTGTATTGCATGCGGAACTGGAAATACTCTTAATCAAGGACGAAACCCACTTGTACGTAACATGAACTCGTATGGATTTTATTTTTTATTTATTCTGTATACTTCCTGATTTGTAGATTTGATTGTGTATATCATCACAATCAAATTTACTCAAGAGCAATACACTCAATCTCAACAGGCACACCCTTAGGCAGCTGGTGAACAGCAACACAGCTACGAGCAGGCTTGTGAACGAAGAACTTCTCGTAGGTGGCGTTCATTTCAGCGAAGTTGGCCATATCAGTGAGGAAGACCTAGAATCAACATTAGCCATTCAGTTCTCTAGATCTCAAATCATCGTGATCTTTCGCAGGTCACGACTTACGTTAACCTTGACGATCTTCGACACGCTGGAGCCAGCGGCGGTCAGAATAGCCTCAATGTTGTTGCAGCAGATCTGGGTCTTCTCGCCGATGGTGCCCTCGATCAGGGTGGCGGAGGCATCAGCGGGGATCTGGCCGGAGACGAAGATCTGACCATTGGCACGGATGGCCTGGGACTGTGGATTGTTAGTCTTCCTTTACATGTATGTGTTTCGTGTATTTGGGTGCGGGGCATCTCTGGGAGATGAGGTGGGGACCCTGGAGGGGGCGAGGGACGTACGTAAGGGCCGGCAGCTATTAGAGCAAGAGGTTAGCAATGATCTATGATATGTAATGGTTGATTGTGATTGAGATTGAGAAGGTAGTGTTTGGAAAGGGAATTGGGTGGAAATTGAGTAGTGTATAGGTAGACAATAGCTGGACTTACGAGGGCAAGCATCCTTAGCGGAGATGATGGACATGTTGGCAGACATTATGGGGAATTGAGGTCTAAGAAGAGGACGGGTAGGAATAGCAAGAGTTCGAGAAAGAGACAAGAGACGAGAAGTAGTTCGCAACATCGGGGAAGAAGAAGAAGATATAAGGGTCGCGATAATGAAGTGCCCCGCTCTGCAAGTTTCCCTCGGAGAGCGTCGATGCTCCCCGATGAAGTAGTAATTTTACTTTATGACAACAGACCTACAGTACCTACTCCGTACATATGTAGCTAATGATGTTGATAGTACTCGTGTATTTGTATTTATTCAAAACTTTGTTGATGGTAGTATTAATTGCTTATCCAATTGTGCTAAATTTCAAGTCGTGTCGTCGTAATCATTAAGCGCCTTCCAGGAACATATTATTATACAAAGATTCCTCAAGAACCTGTATTCCCCATGTTCAGGTTTCCCAAATTCCCGATCTGCTGCATCAAGCTGGCTACTTGCTCGGGGGAGTATCCGAAGAATACAGGTCCATTGAAGGTGACGGTGGAAGGATTAGAGAATGTCGAAGAGACACCGGGTTTGGTGTTTGGATCCTCGCTCCCAGCAGTCGGGGCAATTGGAGCATCCTTGGCAGTTTGATCCCGAGACCCCTCTTTAGGCCAATCACTTGGAATTTCGGACTCTGGCTTCGGAGCTGCCTTTTTGTCATGACCGAACGGACAACCGGGTTTCTCTGGTGTGGTCTCTGGTGTGATCTTCGGCGCAGCCTTTTCCTCCTTGGGCCAATCCTTCGGCCAGTTCCCGCTCCATTGTGTTGTGGGCTCGGGCTTGAGAGCTTGTGCCTTTGGTTTATCGTGGCCGAAAGGACAACCGCCGGTGGGTTTTGCGGGAGCGGCATTGGGTTTCGGTTTGTCGGTTGGATGGTCAGGGGATATGGGACCAGACGCCGATCTGGAGAACGGGGCTGATGCGGGAGGTAGGTCTGTGACAGGGACTGAGATGCCCCAAGGCCGGCTCGGGGATTCGCCCACGCGGACCTCGCGAAGGGGACGGTCAAAGTGACTCTGGCGGTTATCGTCTTCGTTCAGAATGTCATCCTTGTTCTCAACGATAGGCGTGGTCGGGTCGACATTTTCAGCCCATTTCTCAACACCGACACGCTGGGTAGACACTGAGTTTGATGACTTGCCTTCACCATTTTGGCAGTCCGGTAGGAAGGCTTGGTGCTTGACACCCAGGCCGGCGATCATGCTAGTCAAGCCGCCGTATTTCGCGTCGAGGTGTCGCATATTTTGAGGATTCTTCTGGTAGCGATTGACGCAGATGGCATGACTCCGGGGGATCTCGTGTTTGTGTCGTTCGACGTATTCGGCGATTTCTTCCGGAGAGTGTTGATCCAGGAATCGTATCGGGCATCTCGAGACGGGGCATGCTCCTTTGGAGGATGGGGCGGATGGCGTGTGGCTGGAGCGTCGTTCGTCCAACTCGGCCTTGATGGGATCCAGATGTTCATGACCGCAGGCGTCTTCGATCTGGACCTTTGGGGCAGAGTTTTTCCCACTTGGGACCTCACTTCCATTTTGGCTTCGCATTTTATTCGGTTTGGAGAATGGACAATGTAGACTTCCCTGGGTGCCATTCGTAGTGAAGTCCTTCTCCAGCGTAACTGCTGGAACCGGTGCTTGCGCGAGGATGCACGAGGAGGATATTTGGGAAAGACCATCCTGAGAACGGAGTAAAGACTTACAGCCTTTCACCCCGTCCTTGATGGCCGAGAAAGTATTTTCGTCTACATTTTGATGTGCAACGAGGGTTTTGATTACATCCATGGAATTCAGCGGTTGTTCATCAATTTGAGGTTTGCTGTGTACGAGGCCCTGGCGATATTCCTCCTGCTGCGCGAGCAGTTGAGATTGAATTTCCAGTGCACGAGGTCTATCTTGGGGAGGCAAAGTTTCTATCACGTCTTTGTACTGCAAGATGTTTAGTTAGCAACGATCATCTTGTAAATTGCATATAAATCGCAAGGCAGTCAAAGGTCTCATTCAGATAATACATGTTAATCCGTCATTGCCACAATGTGGCTCCTGATCTAGAGCTTTTCGTCGTCATGCGAGACCCAGATGCGGAAGCAAACAAAAAAAAGAAAAACAAGGAATGTTCTTACCTCCTTGAAGACAGTATCCATGTGCTGAAACAGCTCATTTTGTCTGTGAGTCAGCCGGAACACGGTTAGTAGTAAGGCATCGAAGGCTTTGCCCACAGCCTCGAGCTGATCATTGTGCAGATCCGGCTGCATCTCGGCAATCGCGGCAGGTGACATAAAGTTATTACAAGATATCAGAAAACATTCATCTGAGGAAGAGGCCTACAGAGAGGCACAAACTTCATAAACTTGACAGGTTGAGAAAAGAAAAAACAGGTCGCTTTATACGGAACAGCGGATCATCGGAAAAAACGGAAAAACTGTGAAGCGAGGTGGCCTGTGCTGGATCATGTGAGAGACTAGTCTGTTTTGGGTTTATTGGGCCGAGAACGTGTTATGCATTACCTAGATCTACCTTTTTTATTATTGAACTATGTACCTATATGCAGGTACATGCATGTATTGTGGTAATATAGCAAGGGATTCTCGGAAGATATGATAATATGTGGGCACATCTTCTATGAGCGTAACTTTCAATTTGACACAACTGTTTCCTGTCTTTCCTGCTCACCTACGAAGAACAGGGCGTTCGATTCGTCACTTGCACCCACATGTTTGAGATCGCGAAAAGCCCAAGGTAGTTCTGCACATCCCAGGGATGCGTCGGGTTGATAAACGCCAAGTCGAAGTTGCGCAAGAGCTGTATGTGGTGAGAAACAAGACGATATTAGACATGCTATGTTTTTTTCCTCCTACTCACCTCAAATACCAACTTTCCAATCTCAATTTGAGCAACAACCTTGCCTAAACATTGGAATTTTCCGTGACCAAACATAAGGTCGCTGGTCCGAACCATTTCAGCCAGCATGGCACGATCCGATGTGAGCCAGCGCTCGGGTCGGAACGCGTCTGCATCCTTACCATAAACTTTCTCGCTCCGGTGCATACCATACGCCGAGTACCCGATACTGGCGCCACCTGGTAGGAATACGCTCTCACCGTCGACGACAAGAGTGTCGCCACCTGCCGGGACATCGCGCGAGAAGATGTTTGCAACGGGGGGACAGACCCGTAGACCTTCTCGGATTACAGCCTGAAGATACGGGAGCTGCTTAGCCTGCGCGGCAGTAATCAGGCCTTCGCCGGCACTTGAAACCTCGCCACGGCGCACGGCCTCGTCGATCTCGCGTTGCAGCTTGAGGTAGACGCGTGGATTCGTCAGGATGTGCAGAAGGATACCACGAATAGCAGCCGAGGTAGTGTCAGAGCCTGCAAGGATCTGTTCTAGGGCCTCGGTGCGCAGCTCATCATCATGCAAGCCATGACGTATGAAAGAGGCCAGCATATCGGATCGTTCGTCGGTGGAGCTCGCAGCGCGCTCGTCGACAAGATGGAAGCAGGCGTTCATCATCCTACCGAAGCCGTTGTTGTCTTTCGGGGAGGGTGCAATAAACCTACCGACAAACGGCGCCTGAGCGAGCCAGCTGAAGCCCAAGGCGAGAGCGGTATTGGCCATTTCAAGTCCCTCCTCGGTCGATTGGAGATAGTTTTCCACGTCATGGTCACTTTGTAGCATACCGAATGCCTTGCCGAGACCAACGCTGCTGATTACGTCGAGGGTAAAATACTGAACCTTCTTTGATAGGTCCATTGGTACGACTTGATCTGAGGAGACATATTTGGACCGGACGAGAGTCAGCAACTCTTGAACTCGCTCATCTATAGTACCCTCGAGGTTGGGATTCTCCCGCCCGGAATACTTTATGAAAGATCACTGGTTCAGACGTTGCCATGAATGAATGGAAAGGAAGTCGGAGAGAAAGAAAAAACGGCTGTCATACCCCTGGAGCCATCTGCTTCCTCCGTTGCTCGTGTTTTGCATTGTCCGTCTGACTAAAGACATTATCTTTCCGATACTCGATCCGCGTGGCGTTGTAGTACCAATCGGAGCGTTTATAGCCAGGCTTGTTGTTTACATGCATCCATACATCGGGGGAGGACGTAATGAGCACACCGGGAGCTACACGGGCGATAGGACCTAAGTCGAGCCGAGACCGTTAGCTGTAGCTACACCTTCGTAGAGGTTCAAGGCACAAAGCACTCTCAGTGCCTGCTAAGATGCGCACCATGTTTATTGTTGACTTCTGCATACCACTCGTGGCAATTTCCCCGAAGTATCGCTATGCTATGAGGCCAGTTTGAGATGCCAGTCCATGAAGGACCTCGAAATTTCCTCAATTTTGCATAAACTGTGGTTATCCTGAAGATATAGAGGGCCAGCAGACCACAGATGAGTGTCACACCCTGTCCGTATAAGGTATCTACGCCCATGGTGAAAGAAACAAGATTTGATCGATGAAGAACCAGATTAGAAGTTCCCAAGGCCCTCACTTCTCTGGATATTTTATCTTGGGGGAGTGCGGGGTGCTACGTAATATCTTACTTCCATAATACTATTGGACGTGAGACACGCATGGGGGAGTGGGGAGAGCCTGGTTGAGTTGCATATGTTGACAATTGGTATTGTTTGCCTGTCAGACTGACGCCCTAAAGTCCCTGGGAATTCCCAGGGCTAAGTGGAAGCAAAAAAAAAGAGCTCGTATTTGTTCAATACGCTGCAGTCCCGTCACATCCACGATGTTTTGAGGACACCAATCATCCCTATAACTATGTCACTTAATATGAGGTAGGATTTTGAGGAGGCTCACATTGCATATAATATTCCCTGTGTGACTTAAAGGGCGAAATGTAGGATTAAATCGAAGATTTATATTTTGTACAATCCCGAGAGAGATAAAATGATCCAATTAGTACCCCCCGTCCTTCGGTCCATTATTCCAGCCAATCAAAGCTGAATTGAAGAATGGTCAAGTCGAAGTAGAGAAGAAGTGTATGCGCAAGAGATGCCTCGAGGTCTAAGTTTGGCCCGGAGTTATTTTACATACGTATGTTCCCAGGTGGCCAATCCGTCCAAAATGGTACTTGAAAGATTCCGGAAAAGTGGCGAGATTCCAGTATCCCGCTTTCCGGCCAGAGTAGAATTTATGTGCGTCATTTTCGGCATTAGTTTCGTGGCGATCTTCAAGTCAAGTTACATGCTATCAGGTTCCAAGCAAGATTAAGAAATTTATTCTATATAGTATACAGCAGTACATTGTTCAGTACATACGACCATAGGGTGTGGAAAACAGGGCTTCCCGTCCGCTCAGCCGTACTTAAGCCACACGCCGGTGAGTTAGTAGTTGGGTGGGTGACCACCAGCGAATCCTCACTGTTGTATGTTTTTTTTCAAGTGAATTTACGTTTTGTTTGCTATCGTGAAAATATACACTATGTATAGAACTAACTAGCTGCGAAGGATCATCAGAACTCCGCAGTACGGCATACGAGCTTCGTTAATGGCCTAGCGGATGGCTTTACTTAGCGCAATATTCAGGATCTAGAGAGCATTCCCAGATTGTATAAATGTAACGCCTCCTGCTTGCCCACGTCTAGCACCGTATATGAAATATTCTCACTGGACATAAGCTTCAGACAGCTAGTGAGGCCGTTTCGGCGCTTCTGTGTGCCGTTATGGGACCCGCTAGCTTGGGAATTAAGTAGCAGTAGCAGAGGATTCGCATCCACCAGATTGGATATAGAGCATGAGGCTGGGGGAAAGAAGAGGGGGGAAGAGGAAAGTGGTGACTTGCTAAAACGGGAAGTATATAAACTAGTGGGTCCACCTGAACAGTAAGTAGAATCTTTTACGGAGCTATACAAATCAGTACCATATGGATAGATGATATTTCTAGAGGTGATATCCCACATAGGTAGGACGTATGACTATACTCGATAACGCTAGCAGTATTATGTGCCTAGGTGTACTTAATCTATTGGAAATTTCTCTCTCACTTTATTTCTTACTTATCCTTCCACTTACCTCCCGATGTCTCACTTACTGCTTACTTCATCTCTTAGTTAGCTCTCACTTTATTTTCATTTCACCATCTAGATTTTCATATGGTGTCACTGGGATCTACGTTATCTGACTGGAAGCCTTCTACTTCAAACACACCTAACAGACCATGCACAACCATCTCTATTCCGGACATAGTTTCGAGGGTTGTTTCTGACCCTAGAACGAAATCGGTGGATAAAAATCCTGCATGCAGAGTTGGCCGTAGAAGAAATACTAGCGGAGCTAGCAGAGCTACATGTAAAAGGCAGGTAGGCTTGTAGAGTTGAGTGGAAATTCGCTCATCAGACGCTCAGACTAAGTGATCAACATGCCACAATAAGTGACTTCAATTAACCAGGTGGGTGTAGATGTCATCGTCTGGAGGAAATTGGGCGCGGAAGATTTAGCCACCACATAGCTAGTCCAAGGCATTTACATTACCCAGCCGGATGAGGTGGGCGCATAAGAATCGCTAGCATAATTGCTTGAAGGCCAGACAAAGCGAGAGAGACCTTTTGGTGGGCTGACTATGGAGTTACAATGCATGGGTAATGGCAAGGCTAATAGGTCTTTTAGCAATCACACTTCCGAAACAGCTTTCGTGCGAGGGACACTGTTTGCGCAGACACCAACAACCGCCCCCTTTCCCCCGGTGGTTATAACTTCCGACCACAATACCTAAATCCGGAAGCCGCTCCCCCTTCCAGCCAGCTCACATAATGCAACCGAACCCATTACAGACGCTACATTGGCGATTCTAGCCCTGCGGCCGAGATCGGAGATGGTGGCCTATACTCTCCTTGAGATGGTCGGTGTACCTGTCACATCCGGGATTCTTAGATCATGGTCGAATCAATCAGGCGATTGATTCAAGCATTGGCCTCTTACTGTTCTCTTTCTATCTGTTCCCGGTCGTATCTCTTTCTGTTGCGGGTAATGTGATTCAATGGTTGAGGTAATGTTTTGGGGTTGATCAAGTGGATTACCATGAGCAAATATATATCACACGCATAACGGTGAGACTTACGCCACAACCATTTGTTTGACATTGAAATAGAAACCAGGGTGACTAGTAAAAAGAAAGCACCTTCAAGACCACTCATTAAAACTGATGTATCAAGCTTCGACTATAACTAAACTCGATATACAGGCGACGGGTAATATTTTTGGTTTATAAAGCATTATTGGCTGAACTTTTCTAACAGCCCAGGCCGGGCTAGCTCAATCGGTAGAGCGTAAGACTCTTAATCTTAAGGCTGCGGGTTCGACCCCCGCGTTCGGCTCTTCCTAAAAACCAACAGGTCTTTAAGATTACTTTTTTTTTGCTGTTTATTTTTGCTCAAGCAATTGATAATATCATAGGTTCTACAGCGAAACTATCATGGAAAACAAGTTGTGAGCTGTATTGTTTTTTCTGCTGTGTTTGTTCTTTTCCAAACGAGGGGTAGGATTACGGACCACTCTCTCGGTATCTGCACAACAGACATCCTGGTCTGCAGTAAGTACCCTGAACGTTTCAATAAAGCCACTCTAATGAGTTTCAGATCACGGAGTGGGATAAGATATCCCATTGGTCCGGCCTCCAGTGCCCAGTGTGACTATTGGCTGTACGTGTCAAGGGTATATATGTGGTCTGACCCAGCATATCGAATATTCCCGGTCTGGATGCAGTGAGTCATTTATGTTACACCAGTACCTCACATACCGAGAAATCAAAGCTTGGAAAGATCCAGACTTTCTTACACAAAGGAAGGTGAACGAGTCGGATGGAGTTGATGACCCTGATTCGTGTACCCTGAGAGGACTGAGCGCTAATCACTTCGCAGATCATGACGAACCCGCAGCGGGTCAGATACACAGTTTACTAGTTTGATATACTACGATTATTCCGTAACTAGATACTTAGATACTTAAGTCAGATACTAGGTGTTCTAGATTATGCATTGCGTGATACGCCTGTAATTTATAGTAACGCCATGAATGTGACCGTAGGATACAGTATACTTATCATGAATTGTGTAGATTTATATATAGTACTTTATAGAATATCAATATGAATATGATCAGAGATATCATTCTATAAATACCCACCTACATAGCATACATATACATATCAAGGTCCAGATAAGCATGAAATAAAGTAAAATAAAGATCTAGACCTATATTACCCCCGGGGGCCATTACCGTAAAATTGTAGTAGGTAAATATAGAGGGGCAAAATCACTATCTTATCGAAAACCCTAGCGTAATTTTCAACTTTCAATTTTCCCCTCGACGGGTTTTTTTTTTTTTTTTGTCTTTTTTAGTTTTCTACTTCTTCTACCCATTTCCCCTCTTCTCTCCCTCCTTCTCTCTCATCATGTCCTCCACCCTTCCAGATGCCTCCCCAGTTGCCGAAAAGGCCGGACAGCCCGGAAATCACGATGCCGCCAGCACCGCCGAACTCGCCAGTCTTAAGGTAAAGCTGCGCGGTGCCCTGCGCCAATTCCCGGACTTCCCCTCTCCGGGAATTTTGTTCGAGGATATTATGCCCATCTTCGCCGATCACACTCTGCATGAGGCCCTCATTCGCTCCCTGGAGCTGCACATTCTCGCCAACCACGGTGGCCAGAAGCCCGATGTCATTGTCGGCCTTGAGGCTCGTGGCTTCCTGATGGGTCCCAGCCTGGCCCTGCGTCTCGGTGCCAGCTTCGTTCCCGTGCGCAAGCAGGGCAAGCTTCCCGGTCCTTGCGAGACCGTTGGCTACGAGAAGGAGTACGGCCAGGACTTCTTCCAGATGCAGGCTGACTCCATCAAGCCCGGCCAGAAGGTCCTTATCATTGACGACATTATCGCTACTGGTATGTGACGAGCATTGATATCCAACACACATATACAAGAACAAGTACTGATTTCGATAGGTGGCTCTGCCTACGCTGGTGCTGAGCTCATCCAGAAGATGGGCGGCGAACTTATGGGCTTCATCTTCCTCCTCGAGCTTGAGTTCCTCCACGGCCGCGACAAGCTCCCCGCCCCCGTCTACACTCTCCTTTCCGGCCAGGCCTAATTTATACCACTGCCCAAAAAAACCCCCCCACCTCTTTCTGCGATCACAACCGGTAATAATGACCAAAAGCCCGACCCCGATCCTGCGGTGCGCATCTCGGACCCAATCGAACCTACTCGACTCGAGATTCAACGGAGCATGCTTGGAGCCTTGTTTCGCTGGTCGACGGCACCCGCCTCAGTTGGCTGGACCAAAGCTGCCCAGATTATCATCCTATATAGAATAGCTTCTTCAAATACAACTGATACGTGAATAGAACAATGACTTACACGTAGTTCTTCAAACTTTTACCAGTCTAATCTGTCTACCCGAGGTATACGTATGTATGCAACAGCTATTCCTCAGGGATGAATTTCCTTATAACCTCGTCTACCCAGCTTTGCGGCATCCCCAGCTCCACAGACTCCCGAATCCCCCGATTCATCCGCGCAATATACTCAAACTTGGGCTTAGACACCGTAACGCAGTTCTCATCAACATAAACCAAAACTTTCACTTCCCCATGCTCCCCATCATCCAACCACTTCACCACCTCCGCCTCAACAAACCACTTATTATAGCTCCCATCCCCCTGCTCCCTCGGCCGAACATCAACATCAACAAACCGCCCATCCGCATCCCCGGCATGCGTATCAATCCCCTCATACCCATCCAGAATTCTCTCATCCGCAATAACCATCTCATAAAGAACCCCATAAACCGCATCTTCAACCCCCGAAACCGGGATCTGTGGCGCAGCATCATCCTGACCGGGAACCCGCAGTCCAGCCGGCGGCAGGACATTCGCATATCCCGCTTCGCAGATTAGCCAGCGCCAGTGGGAGAGTTTGGCTATTGCAAGGGGTTTGCTGGATGAAGGGTCTGTAATGCAGCGCATGGCCATCTGCGCTGGGGAGAGGTTCGAGCCATAGGCGAAGTAGAGGTATTTTGGTCTTGTAGTTGGGGTGGTTGTTGGTGCGGGGATTGGGGAAGTTGCGGTGTGTCTTTCTGTTTCTGCTTCGTAGCTGGCTGGGGCTGGGCCTGTAGATGGGGTTAAGGAGATGTTTGGCATTGTTGGATTGAGGGTTGTTGTTATTGGATATTGGAGATTTTATATTGGCGATGGAGAAGGAAGAGGAAGAAGAGGAGGTGGAGGAGTATAAATAGTGGGATGCGAACTAGAGTGCGGAGTATAATAGGCTCGAGCTCTTTGCGTTCCTGGAATGAGTAATATTTCGAAATGCACTCTACTATGCTATACTATACTGATCCTATACTATACCATAGGAATATAGGAATATAGAAATACATTCCTCTAATATCTTAAATTTCAATCTTTGATAATAAGATACTACCGTTAAATTGTACACAAAAACAAGAAACAAAAACCAACAACAACAACGCACGTCATCGATGTAGGAGATTGCATATCAAATAAGAGTCACTTTAGTAATGTTGGAATACTATGACTGAGTTCGGCTGACCTCCGAAACCCTAAAGAGAGGCGGCTTGACTTGATGACTTCTCTCATCTGCCCCTTCATTTCCACCTTCATTTTTAACTATTTTGATCACTGGCAAAATGATCATAAAAGGGCGCAAACAAAAGCAAAAGATCCTTCAAACTTATGATCTCCCTAAGATACTCAAGTTCCCAGCAGAGATACTTGACTTCATCTTCGACAATCTCACAGCGGTAGACCAACTTTGTTTCGCATTAACCAGCAAGCGTCTATACGCCCATTTAACCTCCAAAAATAGGCACCAGTCTCTCCCTAAATTCCCCAGGAAGGGCCGTCGCCCCTGGCTGATTGTAAAGGCCAAGGTTGAAGAACAAGACAGGACGAAGCTCCTCCGCCGCCTAGAAGATAAGCGTTGGAAACTATGTCTTGAATGCTCTAAGCTACATCCAAATTCGGCCTGGAAACGCCCAAAAAAGAGAAAGCAGGATTGTGCTCATTGCGCTAAGCCCCTGGTGAATCGATGTATGCCATACGAAAGCCTCGTTGATTTGTGCCCTTGTACGAGCATCGCATTGAGCCACCGAGAACACGTACTCGATATGATCCAGAACTACAAAAGCGCCACGAGCACTGACAGATATGCGAAGCGATTACCCGGATTCATTTACAAAAGGCCCACACAGTGTTTAAACCATAAATGTAAATTCACCAGGCACGGTACGACCGTGATAACTCAAATCGAGCTCTATAATCTCAACAAAAACACTGTCCGGGACAAAGATTCGCTTCGAGTGTCCAATTTTTACGTGGTTGACTTTACAGAGAGTGAAGTTGCGATGAGACGTTGCCCAAACAAGGATGCCATTAAATGGCTTGAAGAATTCTTTGGCGAGTCTCATTCGTTGAATGGCTTCATGGACTGGACCAAGTGGTACAATAGATGGAGGTGGGTTGAAGTGACCGAGAAAAACCTCCATTCCGTCAAAATCAGGGTGGTCAGGAATCTGGGGTCTTGTAGATGGGGGTCTTCTAAACAGCCGCCTCATATAAGGCCAATATTAGAGATATTGTAATGGCCGTAAAATGGCTGTTCTCAGTTCGTACTGGTCAGAGGTTTCAATCACCACCACCCTTGCTTTTCCTGACGGCGTTAAAAATAATCAATTATCGAGATATTTGTTATCAACATCGTTTTTTTTCTCCTTTTTAAGTCGAAGTCAGATCTTCTCATCAAATGTTATACAAAATGAAGCAAGAGACAGAGCGTGTGATCGATGTAGGGAATTGCTCTTTGAATATGAGCTACTTTGATGTCAATTTTCTCAGATGCGTTTCTATCTGTAGAGCTCATCATAAGTTGCTCGTACTATAGACCTGGACTTTGCCATGATGTCAGTGCTAAAGAGCATAGGGTCTGATTGATTATGGGAAACCTCCGACGCCCTAGGTAGGAGCGGCTCAGAGCCCGATGACTTAACCGCCATAAATACATATGTATTTATTGCAGTTCCTAATGCACTTCAATTCCCCTTGAATTTGCTCAGTTTACCTTCAAATATCTGGCATTTCCGTTGAGAAATAAACGCAACGATTCAGCAACCTCACAAATATCACAAACATGAATGAGACAGCTGAGCTTCATAAGATCCCTGGGCCATACAAAATCCCAACAGAGATACTAGACCTCATATGCAATAGCCTCATAACTCCAGATGACGTTTGCCTTGCACTGACCAACAAAGGTCTTTACGCTCATTTCAAGTCCCTACTCAAGACCAAAAACCTGACTTTCAAGGAACTTCTACCACGAGGCAATTGCTTGTCGCTGGGCAATCGATTCTGGCTGCGCAAATTCCATGAGGAAAGTTACTTCAGGGATAGGCTACTTTATCGCCTGCAAGATTCACGTTGGAGATACTGCGCTGATTGTTCTATGCTCCACCCACCTTCGGCTTGGATCTGTCCAGCACAGAAGGACTCTGCCAATTGGGTGCAAGGGAAACAATGTGCGCCATATGCAGGCTTTATTGATGGTTGCGTTTATTCGTACACCAATTTGACCACCCGAGAGCGTCTAATCGATGTCCTTTGCAAGTCAGCAGAGACCGGGAGAACCCACGAAGATCTCTGAAGTATCAGCTCAAAAATCGGTATAGTTATTTCAAACGGCGTTTATATCACGAATGCAGCCAGGATGGTCCGGGTACGACCTTCAAAGCCTGAACCGAGGTTTTAATTTCCGTGAAAGAGCTAACTACCTTGAAGGAGCGGGGCGGTTATTCACTTAGAATGCACAACAGCTATGATTTCGATTTCCCATAAAAGGAAGATCTAGACACAGCGCTCGATTATGCGGACGAATGTAACTCCAGATTCTTTCGAGATGTTTGCCCGTTCAACTGTCTCCCGGCTGGGTACGACGAGGGTTATCACTACTCTGCGGTTGGAGGATACACAAGTGCCACCATTTCACTCGTCTCAGAATTGGGGTTTGGCGTATGGCCCAATAGAAAGAACACTCCCGATCGCGATTGAGCTGCTGTGTGCCCCAGCCACAACTTTGCTATTAAATGTGATGACCATGACCCTCACTCTTGCTATATGAACACAATGTCGAATCAAACAAGCGGGCCTCTTGCTGTTCCTTTTTAAGAATGTATAGCTTAGCTATATTCTTATTATTCTGGCTATCCCTACCTTCTATCACAAGTCTCTGAATGACAGCAGTTGTAGTATAATCAAATACACCCAATTCCTCAACAAGAGAGATAAATCAACTGCAAGAAACAATTGTATCAAAGCCTGCCTACTCCGGGACAAATTAGCGACTGAACCAATCAAATCCAGCATTCCCTGCGTTCTCCATATATTTACTCCATAATAACTAATATTGGGAGACCCAATGTCATATCGCTTTCGCATAATATACACAATCGAAATCTCCTTCTACACATATTCTCATTGTGCGAAAACCCCCAAACCACAGTGTGATCTATATCCAAGATGGGCCCCAACGAGAGACAAGACCATGGGATAGAAACATTATCAATCGACTCCCCAACCCACATCGCCCTCGAATACCCCGAAGGCGGCCTAGCCGCGTGGATCGTGGTCGCCGGCGCATCAATGATGCTAGCCTGCACATTCGGCATGATGAGCACAGTGGGGGTGCTGCAATCGCACTGGGAAACGCACCAGCTAGAAGGCTACAGCTCAAGCACAATAGGATGGATACCGTCTGTTTTCATATTCCTGAACCTAGTGCTAGGCCTACAGATCGGGCCGATGTTTGATCGGTACGGGCCGCGATGGATTATGCTCGTTGGCTCTGTCCTCTATACGCTCTCTATATTTCTTCTTGGGTCTTGTGAGAAGTATTACCAGTTTATGCTATGCTTAGGTGTGCTTGGGGGAGGGGGCAGTGCGCTTGTTTCGACGCCTGGCATGGCGATTTTGTCGCATTGGTTTTGTCGATGACGGGGCACTGCTACCGGGGTCGCTATGGCGGGGTCGAGTCTGGGGGGGATTACTTTTCCTTTGATTTTGAGGGCTGCGCTGAAGGGGCTGGGGTGGGGGTGGGCATTGAGGATTCTAGGGTTTATCTTCTTGGTTTTTTTTTCTATCGGAAACGTTTGTGTTAGGAGTCGGTTACCTATGAAGCGGAGAAAGGGGATTGTTGATGTGCGGTGTTTTGGGGATTCGAGGTTTATCTGGACTACTGTCGGTGCTTTCTGTATGTGATACTTGAGCAAATACCGTTGGATGAATGAATGGATGCTCACATTCGTACAGTCAGTGAGATTGTGCTATTTACATCATTGGGGTTGATACCGACATATGCATTATCTCAAGGCTTTGGTTCCGAGACTGGTGTTTACCTCTTGGTGGTGTTGAATGCGTGAGTCTATACCTACTCTCTCTTCTCTGTCTTTCAATGCTAACACAGCTCAGCGGATCTGCCTTTGGTCGATGGCTCTCAGGAACAGCTTCCGACTACTGGGGACGCTTCAACACCATGACTGTAATGATGGCGATAACCACGATGTTCATCTTTATTCTGTGGTATCCCTTTGGCCATTACATCGGTGTCCTTTATCCTTTCGCATTCCTTCTTGGGTTTGGAACTGGAAGCATCCTCAGCTTAACTCCCGTCTGCGTCGGTCAAATCTGTAGAACTGAAGAATTCGGGCAATGGTTTGGAATGTGTTATTTTGTTGCCAGTTTTGGGTAAGTCGTGTCGTGCTGTATTATATCCTGGTGATTGAACACATCTGACACTTGGATAGTACTTTGATTGGAATTCCTATTGGCGGACAACTACTCCAGGTAGCTGGGCCTTCCAGGTTGGTTGCTTTTCTTGGTGGTATACTCGGGCTGGCCTTTACGAGCTTTGTTGTGGCTCGTTGGGCATGTTTGGAGTATCACTGGAATTGGCAGGTGAAAATTTGGGCCAAAAACAGAAACTGCTCACTATTTTTCTCAAAAGCGTTGTGGTTCAGTGTATATAAACCTCTTGAGAGTGAAAGAGGGTTACCCCGGATTCATAGTTCCAACCGATTGACGATCACTATTTTTCGGTGATCAAAGACCGAAATACTCCACTCCACACTCAGGAACATCAAGTCCACATTGAAGACATCATCGAATGGATTGAATTGCGGGGTGAAACTCATACCGGAAACCGAATTCCGCATTGGGAAATATATCAACTTCAACTCAAGCAACAAGATCTAGATTCCAACAATGCTCTACAAAATGGCGTCCAACAAACTAGCAATCTCCAGTATCTCCATCAGCCAATACCCAGGCCATCTATTAGACCATCGGATCCGTGCCGCCGCAGCAGGCGGCTTCGCCGGCATCGAAATCGTCTACAACGACCTAGCAACCTACGGCCAAGCCCAAAACATCCCAATCCAAACCGCAGCCCAAAAGATCCGCAGCCTCTGCCAAACACTGGACTTCAAAGTCCTCTCCCTAGCCCCCTTTGAAAACTATGAAGGCGCATCAAGCCCCCTATCCCAAAGACTCGCCCTAGCGCAGCACTGGATGGACATCGCCCGCATCCTGGAAGCACCCTACCTCCAAGTCCCCTCGATCTTCGCTAGCGACTGCAGCCGCGACGAAACCATCATCGTCAGCGACCTCCAGCGTCTCGCGGACCTCGGCGCCTCAGCCAAACCAACCATCTCAATCGCCTACGAAGCCCTATCCTGGGGCGTGAACTGCTCGACATGGGAATCCGCGCTAGATCTAGTGAATCGTGTCGACCGGCCGAATTTCGGACTCTGCATGGACACGTTCCACGAAGGGACGCGGATCTGGGGCGACAATGCCTCGCCGAACGGTAAGCAGATGGACGCGGATTTACGGCTGCGGGAGTCTCTTGCGCGGTTTGTGCGCGATTGTCCTGTCGAGAAGATCTTCTATGTGCAGCTTTCTGATGCGGAGCGGTTCGATCCGCCTTATTCGGCTGAACATCCGTGGGCGGTGGTCGGGGAGGCGAAGGAGTTTACGTGGTCGCGACATGCGCGACCTTTTCCGCTTGAGCGGGAGTTGGGTGGGTATTTGCCTGTTGCGCAGATTGCTCGGGCGTGGATTGTTGAGAAGGGGTTTAGGGGGTGGGTTTCTATGGAGGTTTTTGATCGGGCGATGAGGGATGGGAGTGTTACTCCTGAGGCTGCGGCGAGGAGGGGCGTTGAGTCTTGGAAGAAGCTTCAGGTTGAGATGGGGGATCGGTCGAGGTTGTAGAGTAGAGCTCTGCTAGATATAATATAGGTTCTAGATGATGAAATGAAATGAACATGAATTGATGAATGCGAAGTTTCTTGACTATATTCAAGTCTAGACTTATGTACAGCAAAAGACTCGAACATGATGAGTATTGTTCCAAAGGGTATATATTATGAAAATCAAACAATATGCAGATTCGTGATGGGGACACCACGCGAACGCATCGTATATCGTCTCTTGACTCCGATACCGCCGGCATGACGGAGGAGCTGGTATGTCTCGTCGCCACCGCCAACCATCACCATGCTAATGAGATAGTTGCGTGGGATTCCACTGGCAGTCATCTGGGCCTCGTCTAGGTGGGGGCGGATGAGGGTGGACTCGGCCCGAACAGCAGCGAGAGAAGACCGAGTGCCCTGTGGTTCTGTGTTGGGCATGTCGTTGTCGTATGAAACCACAACTATTAACTTCAGCGCGTTGCGCGTTGGCCGGTATGCGGGGATATTGCGGAGTTTTTCGGAGAAGGTGCATCCGCCGCGTTTTATGACGAGGACCTCGTGGTGCTGGGCGATTTCGCGCGGGAAGCTCTCATTGCAGAGGTCATCTGCGAAGTATATATTTGACCATGTGAGAGGTTTGGTGGATTGGCTGCCGAATAGCGATGTGGTGATGGCCTCTTCAATATCGGGTAGCATGGCGGATCCAACACCTGTGGAGATGGCGGCGGGGAGACTCAGACGCAGTGGAGCTGGTTCAGTCGGTTCGTCGCGGAGTAAAGACGAGACCGAGTTAACCAGAGACGACAGCATGGCTTTTACAGTTGAGTCTGGGGAGTCGATTGCGGCATCAACAGCGGAGGCGGGTCTGTGGCCGACGGAGTCTGGCGATTGCGGATACTCTGTTTGAGATTGTTCATCTCGCGGAGGAGCCGAAGCATTACGTCGGCGAGAGGGCTCTGGGAGAACGTCAATGACGAGGTCAAGCATGGTATTGTCGCGAACACGGGTGAAGTTCGGATCATACGGATCGACGACATCAAAGGTGATCTGGCGAGAGAGATATACCTTCTCATCTTTGCCCAACGGCACATTGTTGATCACTTGTACCCGGTATCCGTCTTCTTCCTCCCCGGTCGTGGGCGTCGGATCTCCTAGTCTTACATCCTGCACCATACTCAGACGAAGTCCTCCGATGGTTTTGACAAGGATCCCGTCTCGCACTCGCTCCAGTGCTCCTGGTCCTAGGTTGACACCGCCTGGGAGCGATGGGAATGAGATGTCAAGCGTGGGTCGAACAGCCATGGGGGCACTGGTGGCATTATATGGCACCAGCTGCGGAGGTAACGTCCATGGGTAAAATGTGTAGTTCGTTGGGGACGAAAGATCGGCCACAAAGACGCTTTGATGTTCGGGCGAGCCTTTCAGAATGGGACCCTGGGTTGCTTTGCGATCAGGCATCAGTTCCAAACGTGCCAATGTGGCAGCGTGGAAAATATCTGAGCGGGACGCAGTCGAGGATACACCGAAGAACAGCGGGGGTGTGATTTGACATACCCCCGGTGGGATGCGCTGTTCGTTGGACGGCGAGCGCTGGCGAGGCGGCGATGTTTTCTTTTTTGGGATTATGAGAGGGTGACCTTCAGTATTGAAAACCCACGGGGCATCGATCTTGTTGAGCGGGTGATTCTGGTCGAACAAAAGATAGAGGTATTTGGCTGTTTCACCGGTAAAAAAGCTCTCCATGCGATCAATCAGCTCACCAGTCAAAACATTCCGAATTCCAGCCCAGCCACACTTGGTCCAGCATCGTCGCTTGAGGTCGCTGAGAACCATTTCTCCAACATGCAGATACCAGGGATCTTGAGTTGCGCGATAAATATAGTAGTTGGACTCAATGAACTCTGGCCGGCCTCCATACCACGGCATACCATTGTCAATGTCACCAGTAGCCACGTTCCACCGCTCAGGGATGCCCGAGTAGCGGGTCCAGATGGCAGTAGGCAGCAGATGGATCTGGATTGCCTCTTCCACCTTTCCATCCAAGGCGAGGACACCTGGATAGAAGGCGCTCAAGCTATCGATCCAGAATGCTCTCGTGGCACCGGTGACCACATCACCCACAATGAGATGGGGATGCTGATATCCCTCACCTCGGAAAAGATGGCGATTGATAGCCGTGTGCGATTCTTCCCAGACCTGCCGGAAGGCCTCAGAAGTGTGCTGGTAGTCCGTCAAAGGCACTTGTGCATAATGAGAGTCCATTGCCGCCCAGGGGCTTTCAAGATCAAAAGGCACACGCTCCCCTTCAGAAAGGAGGACGGGAACCTTGACAGCATATTCGTAGAAACTGTCAATGCCCGCGCCTATTCCAGTCCATGGACCAACCCAATTGCCAGACTCCACATTGATACCGAATCCAAGTAATCCGATGTCACTCCGGCGGTCCCAGACTGCCCAGAAAGCTCTTTTACCGAGGTCTTCGTACCGCCCATCCCCAGTCAATCGACTGAGAACGGTCAGTTCGAGAACCAGACTGCCCGCACCGGCACTGCAGTTCTCTGCCGGTTCGCTCGACGAAGATTTATCTTTGCGCTTATTCTCCCCTCTTCGGGCATTGGCGTTCAACGGCGCATTCTCATAAAAAGGTATTCCGTGACGCAAATTAACCCTAGGGTAGGGAAGGCCGGTCTCCGTGTAGAAGGCAGGAAGCAAGCGATGTGCCAGGTCAACGGCCAGTCGAAGCAGTTGACCATCATATATAAAGCCATTCTTCCACGGAATGCCATGATCCTCCTTTCCAAAATTGGTTTTGTCCCACGCGCTTGCGAAAGCCGTTTCTCGTTCCGCGGGCTCGTATCCAGTGATAGGCAATTCGCCAACGGCAAAAAGATGGGCGCTTAGCAATCCACCTAAACCAAATTAGTATGAGACATAGTATAGTCATAACCCGCCCCTGGTGGAAGTGAACAATAGAAAAACATACCGAGTCCCCGAATCACAGTCTCAAATAACTGGACTTTGCTATCCAAATCAAATCCCCTAGATCTCTCGCCCTGACCAGCAGGGCCATCGGATCCATCACCATAAAGCCTAACGAAGTCCTGAATGCCATCCTGAAACTGGGCCAGTGCCCGCTCGCCGCTATCGGGACTCGAAGAGAGAATTGCCAACGTCGACAAACTGTCAATCAAAGTCAAGGAGTAATTCCCCAGCACGTCGTTATTTTCGGGGTTTTTCTCGTCGCGCACGAGGGGGCCGCAGGTCAGCGCGCGCAGTTCGTCTTCGGGGAACGCGTAGTGGAGGTAATTATCGAAGCCATGGAAGAACATGCGCTCTGTTTCTTGTCTGAGCAGCATTAGCACACATTATCATATAAATGTAATAATAGGTACTGGGCAAGGTACATACCTGAGTTCGTTGACTTGACTGTCTCGCATGCCATGGGCAAGGGTTAGCCATAGCGAGAGGAGGATGGCCCAGAGTACCATCGTCCCGGAGAGGTTGAACATTAGGCTCCGTGGACTTCATGGACTTCACGGAGCGATAATCAGCGTAGGGTCATGAATGGGCGCCGACTGGCAGGAACCTTGCAGCCCTCGGGAATGTAGAAACGAGGTGGAGATGGGAGATTCGGCCAGATAAGCCCTTTTTTTTTGCCGCTGATTGCATCATACGGTCTTTTGTTTTTTATGTGGCATATTGTATATTTATTTTCAGTTATTGTTCTAGTCGATTTTGTATTTGAATCAAGAATCTACAAATTCCAATAAAGATCAATGAAATTCAAATTCATTTTAGCAAAGAGCGTAGTGGAGTAATCATAGATGGCTTACAATCTGATTAGACCTGGGCATATTGATAGAAAACAAAACGCCCAGCGAGCTTTAGAATTAGAAAACGATATAGCAGACCTTGTACCCCAATCTGCAAACCGCGAAAACAATGGACACACCCCTCGATTTGTGAATAGTTCAGCTATTGTATTGAAATATCCTGCTGCTGCGGCAGCAATATGCTGAAACCCAGTATCATGGGCTTTCGAGTTCACTTCGGCAGGGGAGTCTTCTCCTCAAACACGGTAGGCATTGGTGGAAGAATGACTGTGACAGGCACATCCCTGATGATATCGCAACCTCGACCGAGCTTCGTTCCACGTCGTTCGGCTTGTTTTGCTTTCCAATCACCTCGAATGGCGCGCCAGAAGCAATAAATTTGAACACAAAGCAAAAGAGCCGAAAGCAGAGCGAGTGTAAAGCTCACGGTAGTAGGGGACTGCATGTATTTGTCTGCCAGGAGTTAGCAAAGAGGGTCTAAAGAAACAGATATTGGAAGTGATTTACTGGTTTCGTTGATCATCCAGGCAAGCACAGCGCAGTGGTAAACGCGTGGCGTCCATGTTTCCCCCTGTGGTCGAACGTTCGGGCGCAGCTTGATGCGTCGAAAGATGGCTGTGTTATCATTGATGAATTCGACCTCAGAGTTATAAGGAACACCAAAGGCAATCTTTGGACAAGTAGACATGTTCGGTTATTCCAAAAAAGTTGATGACATGCAAGGTTGGCACTTGAAAACTTGGAGCTAGTACAAGAAGCGAAGAAGTGAAGAAGCGAAGAGTTGAAAAGGTGAAGAGGTGATGTAAAGTATAAAGGGAAGAATGAAAGAAGTCAGAATTGCGCCTTCCAATCTTGAGAACTTCACAAGTGTTCCCAAAGTATCTTCACACCCGTCGAGGCAACATAGTGAAATCAAGGACACCAAAGTCAAGAGATGGGATGGATTTAGTGCGTAGGAGATGGCCTAAAGAGAGAATAAATTGATTAGTCTTCAGTTCCTTCGGGTGTTGGAAAGTCGATGTCTTGGATATGAAGTAGTTCGCTGCTCAACTTTCACGGTTGAAAGAGACCAAATAAAGTGAAAAAAGTCCCGAATACAAAAGAGAAAGGCTTGGACAGCGTACCTGGATATGACATGTTGCTAGACTTGCCTTCGCGGGATGTATTTTGATTCCCCTAGACGCACCACGGCAGCTATATTGATTGGCAATGAACACGGGGTAAATAGTCATCATAACGTACCAGGCAGTGGGGGAAAAGCTTCGACCTCATCCCACATCATTGTACCAACATCTTCCTCGTTTATAGCCCGATATTCAAGTATCTGCGTGCTCTCGGGAACAAAATCATGACCGGCGCTATCCATGAGCTTCTTGGGCCTCGAGCCGCAAAGCGTTTGAAACAAAGAGATCTCTGAGTTGCGAGATATTCGCAACGCGCAGAAAAGCTCCAATACGAAGAAGAAAAGCCAAATAGCGATGAAACCATTGGCTGAGCCGGTGGGGAGTTTGATACCCCCAGCATATATGAAGTAAAGCCCTATTGGAATTAGCAACGAGTGAAAATCATGGCAAGCCCAGTAGACATACAACAAGAACCGATAGAGGCGTTAATGGTTGAAACGATGTGGAAGCATTGTTCCCATATCTTCCATGGCGGCTTTTGATGGGGAACCAGTCGGCCACTTGTATATTTGACGACGTTATTACCGACCTTTTCATCTTGGTAATAGGCAATTTTGATGGAGGATGCCATAGCGAATTGACGACACCAAAGAGAGACGATGATAACTGAGTGGCTTGGTGATGGTCCTGAGGGGGTGCAGTTGATTCGGAAAGGAAAGTTCGATGTCGTGGATGTGACATGGCTCAAAAGTCAAGAGTTTGGAAACAACGGGTATATTCTATCCAAAGGACTATACACCAACATAGTAAGTATGCAGCAACCCCAGAAAGAGCATAGGAATATGGCAAGTGACTCAGTTCTCGACTCACAGGAAGGAATGCAGTCAGAGGTGCTTAGCCTAAAATGATGCTTTTATCTAGCATAATGCTGTACCTCTGAATGAACCATCTCTTCTCCTTCCTCTTTTATCCCCGTTACAAAGGGGGTACCAAATCTGTAAGAGAATAGTGCTCGTCGAAAGCAAAAAAACTGGAAGTAAGAGCACAGCTCCTGCGTTGCAAATTTCTTAGTGTACAATTCATTCCATATGTGGGATAAGGCACAGCTCAGAGGATACTCCGACTGTTAGCTATATATTTTTTTTTCTCGAGACCAAGCTAATCGAGTGACTTGGTATGTCAGGTTTGAAAAGATGAAATTGACGCCCGCTTATCTTCATTATAACATTATTATTTATGCTCACTTGCCCAGCTCTCCAAGCATCAGGTTCCTATCAGATGAGCAAGAAACAACTGTGAACATGGTTAGATATGGTTGTTTTCTATCAGAGGGGATAAACTCACTGATTGGCTCATCGTTGGGGGAGAAGCGGACGTCATTGACAGTTCCCTTGTGCCCGGGAAGCTTGTACAGCAATTTCGCAGTCTTAGCATCCCAGACAACCACACTTCGATCACCGCTGCCTGCGGCAATCTTCTCACCCTTGGGATCCCAACTGGCGCGGATGAGGTTCTTCTCCAGGCCGACAGGAGCGCCATCGAAGGTTTTCACTTGTCGGTTAGTCGGTGCGAAAGGACGGATGTCCCATGTGCGAACGGTCGAGTCGTGTGAGTTGGACAACAGAGTTTGTGAGTCGGGAGAAATTTGTAGAGATGTGACCGTATCTGTGTGACCGGTCATGGAGTAGACAATGGCCTTCTTGCGAAGATCCCACGCGTGGATAGTGTTATCAATACCGCCGCTGTAAATTTCGTTACCTGCCTCGGACAAGGCTACTGCGGTGATGGGGAGCTCAGTCTGAAGGTAGTCCAGAGCATCCTTCTGCCGAGGGTCCCAAATACCAATGTAGCCGTCATCACTACCACTGACCAGCAGTTCCTGGCCTCGTTTGCTGATATCAAGACAGTTGATAATCTCTTCGTGACCCACGTGACGGCGCACTCGCTCTCCGGTTTCAACGTCCCAGCTTCCCAGCGTCATATCTGCGGAGGCGGAGAACAAAGCCCGCGAATCGCGCGACCATTGAAGGTCCAGCACGGCGCCTCGGTGGCCGTTCAATTGGCCGTAGTTTTCGCATTGTCCGTATGTGTTCCAAAGTACTATTTGCGGCCTTGATCAGCAGGTATTCGAGGCCGTTTTCATGAAAGGTCAGACATACAAATTGAACGGTCCATGGAACCAGATGCAATGTGCTGGGCAGTGGGATCAAACCGAGTTGCAAAGATTTCACCGGAATGTCCTGGTAGAGCCTCAATGTTAGCGCGTGTATAGAAATTGATTGGCGATAGCATCTCACCTGTGAGCTCCATGATGGGAGCATCTAGCCCACTTGTACGAGGGACCTGCGAGATCAAGTTAGCGACTGTTAATCACATCAAAAATCTCGAGCTTGATGTGTCCCATTGGCGCATACAGATTGAATCAGAGCTCCATTCTGCGCGGAGCCTTTGACCAGAGCGGTTCCTCCATTAACGGCATCGGCCTTGTTTCGCTTGACCACAAGCTCGTGGGAGGACCCGAAGGCATCGGTGGCAGGGCGCTTTTCTCCAGACATGATCAAAGCAGGCGCGCGGAGAGATTGTAAAAAGGATTGGGTGTTGACCAATCGCGACTTCGAGCGAAAGTGGTGGAGAGCAAAAGTTGGCGAGAGCTACGGGAAGAACGATAATCCCACTCTCGGCGGTGAGTGGATTGTTTGTACAGTCAACTCCAACAATCAACTGACTCCCCGCAATCACTGATCAACTGTTGAGTTATCGTATTTGCTTGTGCTTTTCTGCAAGCTATTTCGTTCTTGAGTGTTATCACCAAAAAGCTCTCTCGGAGCCGGATCTTACAATGTCGTCAAACAAAACCTCAAGGATAGGAGAAGAGTAGGTTCGGGCATCTTAGCTTATGAACTTTATGCTAACTTATAACTTTCCTGCAGAATTTGGAAGTCAGTTAACCCAAGCATCCTATCACTGGAATTGAGAGGCTATTGTCAATTGACCTGGCTGTGTTGCCATCCTCGAACCGAAACTAACCAACGCCTTTCACCTGCATAGAACAAGAGTCGATAAAGTCAATGCGGAATTGGTCACATTAACCTACGGAACGATCGTTGCGCAATTATGCCAAGATTACGACAGCAACTACCAGGATGTCAACAAGCAGTTGGACAAGATGGGATACAACATCGGAATGCGATTGATTGAAGACTTCCTAGCGAAGTCAGGCGTTGGTCGATGCGCCAATTTCCGAGACACCGCCGATATGATTGCCAAGGTGGGTGTGGCTCTATACGAATATAAGGGGCTCTATGACTGACATTCCGCAGGTTGGCTTTAAGATTTTCCTAAACGTCACCCCAACGGTGACGAATTGGACCAGTGACAACACCCAGTTCTCTCTTATCTTCGAAGACAACCCTCTAGCCGACTTTGTGGAGCTTCCAGATGATGGGCGGGCCCAAGATGAGCTCTGGTTCTCCAATATTCTATGCGGCGTTCTCCGCGGATCACTGGAGATGGTAAGTTCCCCGATCAATTGAGTTAGGCTCCCTTGTTCTGGGTCCGATCACTAACCCGGATTCCAGGTTCAAATGCAGATCGAGGCACACTTTGTTAGTGACGTACTGCGCGGAGACGATACTACCGAGATGCGGGTCTCACTCGTACGATATATCGAAGATGAGATGCCACCAGAGGAAGAGTGATATGCGCATTGACTACATGATTGGCGTTTTGGTGGTTATTTATTTTTTTTCCAGGGGAATCAACTTTTTTCTCACTTGTAGGTAATTAGTCTTTATGATGTATCCTCGCGCTGAACCACGCGATTTATTACTGGCATACAATAAGTTCTCCATAAGCACAAATTTGATTTCTAGATCAGGGATCTATCTAGTTACTTACATATGTAGGCAATAATATTCGGGAGTTACCTGCTTAGTTGATGATCATTCCATATACAATGTAAATTGAGATTGTATATAAATTGCATGATTATCCTTTTTTATACACGTAGATCTCGGCGACACTGCCGGAGTTTGGTCTGTATGGTAATAACAGAACATGTATTGCCTTTGGACTGTATAGCTCAGTCATGTATATATCATTGTAGTGACTAGCTTAATCTATAGAAAAAGCGGTTAAGGGAACATCCACAGAACAGTATTTAGTATGTATTGTAAATTACAAACATTCATACCAAGTCTGTACCACTATCTCCGCCCCTCAACTTCTTGACATATCAAATTTCCTCTTCGCCTCTTCCCATCTCTTTTTTTCCTTTTTTTACCCCCTCAGCTGTTTCAAGACTTGCTGCACTCCAATTGATCCTCCTATCGATTTGTTTTATCCCCTGGGATCGTTCGATCTTCTACTCAGTGGAAAAAAAAAAGGTAGTGGCTTTACCCTACTTTTTAGACTCCCGCTGGGATCCATCGCAGGGCCCATCACAGGTATCATATCAGACTTTCCCTTGTCTCTTCGTTTTTCTCAACATCTTTTCTTTCTTTATAAATGTTTTTACTTGACTTTTCTTTCTCTAATATTTCTCTCAGTCTTGTTTCCCTTTTTTTGTTGCAAATTCTCATATTCAATGGTTATCAGATCGGTGCATTCCCAGAAATACGCTTGACAGCGCCATCCCCAGCCCCAACTTCGGATCTAGTTGATCCGCTCCGAACAAGCGATTCTCCCGCAGAGCGCAGCGCCTGTCGCCGTACAGTCCCTCCCCCGGCTCCCTCTCACTGAATCCGTCCTCTTTTACTGTGAGATCCACATCTCTTGGACTCCCCTATCCTATTCCTAATCTGTTCGTTTGCCCCCTTGTCTTTGGGTATTTTTGTTCCTCTCTTTCTTTGTATAACTTTGCCTGGTGTTCTCCTGTGATTCTGCCCGATCGGGTGTCTGGCGCCGCCCTCCCCCCCCATACCAACCACCTCACTTGTGCGCTATTTCCGCCTCCTTGTACATCCTGTCATCGTCACCATTTAGACTGCGCACCTTTTCCATTACACTTGATCGTTGTTGAATCTTCTGGCAAGTGCTCACCAATTTCTCCAGCCAGAGACGTCGAGCGCACTTCTGCGCCTCCGAGCCTCGATCCTCTCGTTTTCCATCCCGTCGCGTTTTTAAAAAACGCCGCCAGTGAATCCAAAATTCCCATCGCCTGCCGTCTCATCTGGCAAATATACAACCGGTCGGGTTGCGCAGTCACGCACACGCGTCACTGAGCCTTCTATAAACCGGAAGCGTCGTCACCGGTTCATTCCAGTATATTTTCCCTCGCGTTGCATCTATAACCCCGCGTTAAGGCTTCATAGCCTGAAACGGTGGTCGCGCGTCGGAAGCTACACAGATTAGATTTGAACACCTCACGATACAGGCAAGGGTGGCTGCAGTTCCACCGTTCGCCATGAACCAGATGAATGCCGGGATGAACCCGGGGGTTGGGGGCCCTGTCGGTGGAGTTCCAATGATGAACAATGGATCTACGGCTTCTCGTAACGACAGTGCTATGACCAACCCTGAACTCATGATCAACAATCTCAACACGTATATCTATGATTACTTTTTGAAGCGTGGCTACCACGACTGCGCTCGCGCACTCGTGCAGGATGAATCCGTCAAACTCAACACGGATCCCAGCCCTAAGACAAGTCCCGGAAGTCGACGTGATGATGTCAATGGCATGGATACCGACGGCATGATGACTGATGGAAAGGATGAGAAGATGAAGATCCCCCATGATCTCCCTCGCCCAAATCTTCCTAATGAAATTCCATCTTCATTTCTGCTTGATTGGTTCAGCCTCTTTTGGGATTTCTTTTGGGCCCAACGCAAGAAGACAAATGGCGGTGATATCAGGCAATACCTCCAGCACAACCAGGTGCGTGAACGCTTCGTCCCATCAAGGGCGCAGACCAACGACTAATTATGGTGCTTTTTAGCAATTCATGCGTATGCGAGAACAGCAGCATAACCAGTTCATGCGCCAGCAACCCATGATGCCGGCCGCCCAAATGAACCAGTTGCGGAGGCAGAATGGCATGGTGCCTCCTAACCTGCAGAAAACAGTGCTGCAGAATAACACCCCTGGGCTGTATGCTACATTTGAATATTCTTTCCCATGCGGAATCTAGGATAGGGGTGGACATGCTAATGGGTTTGTCTATAGTACGCCACAACAACAACAGATGGCACAGTTCCAAAAGACCCAGCAGATGCAAATGATGCAACAGTTGCAACGCGAGCAATCTGAAATGGACATGGGCGGACATCGCCCACAGTCACCAGCATCTGCAGACAATGCCCCTTCGCCGTCGAAACGCCCTCGCCTTGAAGGCGCTGCCAACGGGCAGCAGCTGGCACCGAACGGACGCGGACAAGGACAAGGAATGCCCGGACAACCCCATCAGGCGATGATGATGCAGAATGGCATGCAGGGACGGATGAGCCAGGCGCAGCAGTTCCAGCAGCTCCAGCAGTCGGGACAAGCGCAACAGAAATCTATGCAGGTATATGCTCAAAACTTGGCCCTTCATCACTCTCGCTCAGCATCGAATTCCCAGGGTATCCCGAATGGTGGTATGATGAATCCCGGTGTTATGGCCAACCAGGCAGATCTGGTGCCGATGCCCGATGGCCAAGGAATGTACCCCCTACCTGGCGGTCCTGAGTACTACAATGCTGCCAACGGTCAGATGAACCAGGTCCGACCCGGTGGTATGCAGACTCCTGGACCTCAGCAAGGTAATCATGCTCTTCAAGATTATCAAATGCAGCTTATGCTGCTTGAACAGCAGAATAAGCGGCGTTTGATGATGGCCCGTCAAGAGCAGGACACCATGTCCCGCGGTGAGGGCCAGATGCCTGGACCAGGTATGCCTGGCGCTTCCCCAGGCAGCAGAACGGGTACATCTCCCATCCCCGACCAAATGAAACGTGGTACGCCCAAGATGAACCAAACTGGACTTCCCGGATCGCCTAGTGCCGGCGACATGTCCCAGCGCGGATCACCTGGATCCATGAACCTTAACGGTGGGCCAATGCCTCCGGAGATGGCTGCTCAATTCTTCTCTGGCCCCCCCAACATGCGACCCCCCAGTTCTAACCCTGCCTTCACTGGACCTCAAATGGGCCAACCGATTCCGGCCAACGCCGGCCAGCGTATGCCTAGTGGGCAATGGCAGCCAGGACAACCGCAGATGGCTCCGCAGCATTCGCCTGCGAACCAGACACAAGCTGGAACTCCGCAAGAACGAAGCGCGATGCCTCCGCCCTCGGCGCCAACTGCAGGCCCCAACGCTGGCCGCGGCCAGCCAGCATCCCCCAGACGGCTGGCAACGCGCCACCAACGCCCAACCAGACTAACAAGCCTGCTCCAAAGGGCAAAAAGGACGCCAAGGATACTCGCAAGGTTTGCATTAACCCCGATGTTGCTTATGCAATGCAAGTTTGCTGACTTCATACTAAGCGACCTACCAAGAAGGCCGCCGCCGCAGCTGCCGCAGCAGGCGCCACTCCATCCACCGAGGCCGCAGATATGGCGACTCCATCGACTCCCGTCACACCCCACGCTCCCGCCAACGCCTTCAAGAATGGAGCCAATGGAGCGAACGGGCCTGTACAAGCTCAGTCCCAGGCACCAGGTCCTCAGACTATGGTCCCGCCCTCTGACCCGAGCCAGCAACCCTTTACCGACCTCAGCATCCCCGATGTATGTCATGTCTTCTATCTTGTATCTGTTGTTTTCACACATACTGACCTTCTACAGGCTTCCGCTTTCAACCTTGACTTCAGCGCACTGGAAAACCCAGACATTCTGGAGAACTTCGACTTTGACACGTTCCTCAACACGGACGCCGATGCCACGGGCTTCGGATTCGACCCTAGTATATCTTACTCGGCCGACGGTGTTGAGACAGGAGCCGGCGACGGCCTGTGAACGTGTAAAAGTCTTAACGGTCCTTCAGGTGCTTCACCTCCGATATACCCTTGTTTGTACATTTGATCATTGCTCTAGTGCGTTTTCGCGGATACTCGACCTGTTCTGTTTTTCTCTCCCTGGATCTGTGTGTTTTCTCTTTTCGCGCATGTGGTTGAGATAGGCGTTGGGTGTACCTCACATCTCCCATTCCCTTTTGCTCGTCCTGTCCATCTCTCCCTGGGACTTGGACCGAGACTTTCTGTATTCGAAATTAGTGCACTGTGACCTACGAGTTTTCTTGGCTTTTTTTCTTTTCCTTTCTTTCTATTATTACTATTATTACTTGTGGATGTGGTTACTTAATTCCTTGCCTTGTCTGCATGGGCAGTTGATACTCAGTATGAAGTCCAGTTGCCTACGATCCAGTGCACTTTCTTTCTTTGATATCTTTTTTTTCTTTCCTTTTCTGTCCACTCTGCTCTCTTTTTCGACTTACAAATGCCGGCCGTTTCCTTTTTTTCTCTTTTGTCTACCAGCTTTTTGCTGGTCTTTGCTGTGATTTTCTTTCATTTGCACTATTGGATCATGGATCTCGGATCAGACCTTGGGAATTGAGGTATAAAAGGGGAGAAATGAACCATGAATCTTGCTTGGTGTTTGGATTTGGATATTCCCCTAGCAGACTAGGAGTTCGACGTCGTTATGCTTATGGTCTCATATGATCGGATTCATATTTCAATTCAAGTAATTCACGTCATTCAAGTCGATTGTAGTTTGTATTCTGATATTATTGTATTTTATTGCCCTGGTTCACCCTTTGCTATTTTTTCTCAAGCTTGGTGCTTTCGATCCATTTGCGACTCACTTCTCTTTCTTCTTCTTCCCCTTGAGTGTAATATCCTGTAGAGACCTCTCTGAGCGTTTCATGAGTGCTGAGATAACCTTCCAAGTCAACACCTACTGTTGTGTGTAGAAAGTCTGGAAAAAGTAGGGTTAAGGCTACTAGCTGTATCATTAGTAGACTGCCACGTGCTAACACCCTAAAGCGAGACCAGCAAGATACCTCGAAGGATATCTAGCAACATGGAAAAAGACATGAAAAAAGGCAGATGGCATGATGCTTGGAAGGACTCGCAGTTCTATATCACCATTTGCCTAATAGATCAGGCTTTCAATTATCTTCTTCGGTGTACGGCATCCTTCCATCTTTCTTATTTGCTCATTGTTTCCAAGGCTTCTCCGTCTCTTCCATCTACCTATCTGACGTGACTGCCACAAAACATGGCAAGGTCAAACACAGACAATGCTTTTTTTCTGGCGCGCTTCCTCCAATCCACCACGAGCCTGGCATCGACTGCGAGAGCCTGACACTCCTTTCTTAGTCGAGCCTACAGAAACAAGATATCTGGAGCAGCTGATCTTTCGCAAAAACCTTGTTTCTTCAAATGAGCCGTCAAATTTGGAAGATACTGAAGAGGAACTGCATGGTGAACCGGGCGATCTGAGCCCCCCAACAACACACCAAAGCAAAGCGGCGTCGGATCAGTTGACGCCCTGTCAGGTTTGCCATCCATTCTTGGCACTTCTACGGCTTTCTTGCCTAGTTTAGTTCCGTTCTATTTACTCCTAACAGCTCGCCGTTAAAACCTGTTAGGCCTTGTCCAGTCATGAAGAAAATACATTTCTTACATCCATGGAAACAGACAGATAGAAGAAATGCGTAGAATATGTATAGGAGGATGACAATAGAGCGACATTAAAGGATGTTGCCAGACTTCCTAGACGCGATATACTCTCAGTTCTACATGATGCACGCATATCGCGGATATCAGTTAATGGGAAGAACCAGAAATCAATGAAAGGAGACTCAGATTGAACAAGCATGCTATGAGGGTACGACCGATTCAGTCAGAAAATCACCATACCACGCCCAAAGCGCTCAATCTCCGGAACTCCATAATAAATGAAAATATCAACTGCACAACGAGATCAAACTCAAGCAGAAGAGCAATTTGGCAAGATTCAAATAACGAAATCTCAGCACAAGACCGACTCTTTCAAGAGAAAGATTAATAAGAAAGGACCCCGGATGGCCGACTCTGGCGATCCAAACAATCCTTCGTCTCACCTTCGATGCGATGTAGCCCACTCAGCTGGTCCTTGTACGTCTTATCAGAGACGTTAGCATCCTCCTTGGCCATCCTGAGCATATGCAGAATGACATGCTTGACGGCGATCTCTTCGGCGATCTCAGGATCGGGGTTCTCGACGTCAGTGAGCTTGATTGGGCTTGCGCGGCTGAGGTATGGGTGACTACTGTCGAATTTGGCGAACATCTGGTAGACGTGAGGGTGGTTGCCGGGTTTCTTTTCACGGATGACTCTGGGGTAGTTTGCTCCCAGGACGTCGCAGATTTCTATATGGTTTGTTAGGGATGAGGGTTTTGGGGAGGGTTTTGGCTTACTCTCCATGATCCGACGGAACGATGCGCGAGTACTCAGCAAATTGAGCTCATTTTCCACACTCTTCAACTTTGCCAAAGGGTCTTCGGTTGGCTTTTCGGTCTCACGGAGTGGTGCCAGTCGACTGTTCGCCAATGGAATCATGTTCGAAGCGCGGGCGACGAAAGGAGGCGGACTTGGAGGGGGCAGGCGATTTGCGGGCTGGGGCTGGGGATGAGACTGGGTTTGGGGCTTTGGATGATACTGATGCTGATTCTGATTTTGATTCTCGGCTTCCCGTTGTCGCAAGTTTGCATTGAACCTTTTTCTAGCTCGCTTAGACATCACAGGTGGAGGAACGGATTTGGTCACGCCTGCATACCCACGAGCTGCCTTCTTCGGCTGGAGGGGCTTTCCCGAGCGCAGAATCTGGGTACACTGCTTCTGAATTGATTCCTGTACCGGCTTTGGCGTGCTAGCTGTGACAGTAGTCGAAAAGATTGCAGAAACAACAGGGAAAGAGCCAGGGAGAACATCCTCTGACTCGATCACCATCAGCTGATACAGTGCGGTGTGCGCAGCGGTATTCTGCGCCTCTCCCAGACTACGGCATTCTCGGACAGTGCGGAAAAGCTTGTCTTTGACGGAGGTGTCACAGTGCCAAAGATTTCCGTTACTGCTGGGTCGGTACAGAGGCTGAGGCCAGGCTCGCTCCATGCAGTAGTCTAGATGCTTAATTAGCCCCAGCTCTGGTCTCATGGAGAATTACAGCAGCCAGGCCAGTAGCAAAATCAATAGAAAGGCAAAGAGATATACACAAAACAAAACTTGGAAAAAAGATCACTCACCATTCAGCATCCAGATCCAATTCCAATCAGGAGTCGTGGGCCCATCAATAGGCTGGGGAGGAACCAGCCACTCAGGATTAGTTTTTGAGATCATCTCCAAAGCCCGACGACATGCAGCGATGTTTGCTTCGGCAACGGAGCTTTGAGACGGGGCAATGACCACAGTGTGGCCCCATAGAGTGAGCTTGACCCCGATCTTTGTTAAATTCTCGCCATCACGTTTGAAGATAAACTCAGGCCTCAAACGAGCCATGATAGAGAGGACATGAAAGATGAACAGCACCTGGTGGCTCGAAAGCAGCTCCACGGCAATCTTTTCCATCTTCAACTAAGAATCAGTACGTATCAGTCCAATTCACACAAGAACGACCAGGATTAGAACCACAAGCTGGTACTAAATAGGCACCATACATGGCCATCACTTACAGGCTCAGAAGAACTCCCTGGGCTTTGGGTGTTGACTTTACTCAGCGAGTCATCGATACTGCTGTATCTGTTTGGATCCACGGCCTCACCAGGTTCCAACAGGTCGAGAGGTGGATTACCCAAGAAAACCTGGGAAAATCCTCCATTGTTGGAGGAGCCTTTGGAACTGCCAAAATTGGTTTGCTCGCGAACATCCGAAAGAGATGCCGAGTAGGGTGCAAATTGGCTCCAAACTTTTGCTGACAAGTCAGAGTCATTTCCACCCGCGACAACATTCCCCAAAGGGGCAGGAGAACATTTCTCAGGCTTCACCTCGCTCTTAGAAGCGGGGAGATGCCTAAGGAAAGGCACAGCAGGTACAATCCGCCGGCCTTTTCCTGCAATAGGCAGACCAAATGGATTCCTCTCGCGCGTAGGCTCTGAGCCCTCATATCCCTGACCTGAATACTGAGGGCCTTGACATGGGGCGGCGGGCAAGCCATGTATTACCTGCATACCAAAAGCAGACTTCTTCCTGGGCTCAGATTGGAAGTTTTCGGCTTCTGATGTAGTAGCAAAACCAAAAATAGGCTTCTTGGGGAGGTTAGGGGTAGCAGCACCAGGGACAAGCCCTGAAGTGCTGCAAGTAACAGCAGGACCAGGAATGGTCTGCTCGTTCACGTTAATGGGCTGCTGCTGAACATTATCCACGACAGTGTTGCTTAAACCATGTTCAATGGCCCAAGGTTGACCATCTTGACTTTCAGGCCAAACATAGCCGCCAGTAGCAGAAAGTCCAGGCGGAGGTACACGAGGAATCGGCTGCTGGTTCAATTTTTGGCTTGTTGAAGCAAAGCTATCCCCAACAGTGAGACTGGTCAAATCTTTGTCTTCGCCGAGGAGCTGGCTCGTAGCTTGGCGACTGGGCAACGGCTGATTGGGGCTCAAAACACGTTGCTGGGCAGCAGGAAAACCGGACGGGACTTGTCCAGCACCGAAAGGCTGCTGGTACGGCCCTGCGAAGGAATGTAGATGTGGGAACTGGCTGAGATCCCGCTGATACTTGCACACTTGATCGCCCTGGACATGGGTCAAGGGAGATCCACTGGTAATAGTCGAAGAAGACACCGCCTGCTGAAGAGGCGAAGAAGAAACATCGCCTCTCATGGGGACATCGGCCGAAGACTGCTGGGCCGTGGGCTGCTGACTCGAACCCTGATAATGCATAGACAACAATTGACCACTCTGGTCATATACCAAAGTAGAATCACGATCAAGATCCATGCTAGACAGCTGCTGACCCAAAGGAACAGCAGTCTGACTCTGGCTAGGGCTAGGCGAAAGCAAGAAGCTGGGGCCTGACACCGGCTGCCGAGAATCCTCATTTCCAGCAGCGTGATTAGGATCCATCACATACACGATTTCATAAGTCTGACCAGTATACTGCTGGCTGAAGGCCTGCTGATCCTGAACAACATAAGGAGAAGGCTGGATATAATCCGGGGCCTGGGAAAATCCAGCAGACCAGTTGTTCTGGTTATCAGCCATGCGGCCCATCAAGAGGTTCAGACCAGGCAGCGGTGCACTCTGAGGCATGACACGCATGGCATCCTGACCAAGCGGCTGCACAGAAGCAGCTCGCTGATGGCCAAGGTGCTGATTGAAGGGTTGGGCCGTGTTGGGGTCACAAGCATCCGAGAGACCAGACATGAGCTGGTGGCTCGGGGTATCGGGAGCCATGGCAGACTGAGAAGGGTGTTGGCTTCGGAGATGAGGATTTTCAGGAAGAGCAGGTTGGATGATGGGGACGTCAACAGTAGCAGGGAAAGTTGCAAACTGCTGGGTTGGTTGATGCTCGACTGCCTCGGTGATATCTCCATCTGTCTCTACTGCCAAACCGCTGGGAGCTGTCACGCTAGTAGGTAAAGTTGAACTTGACACGTCCACAGACGAACCCGAAATAGTTGTTGGGTCCGTAGTGGGCAAGGACACAACATTTGACGACATTGTCATAGATAGAAAATGAGATGCAGGAACAAAGAACACGCTAAATACGCAGAATATTGAGGGGTGGGAAGAGGAGGAAGAAAAAAGAAGAGAAAAGAGTTGGGATGGGGGAAATAATAAACAACGTGAAGCTTTTCAAATGGGGAAGGAACCCTACAACCTACAATTGCTTTGAAGTACACATACACACATTTTATTTACGATGGGTACTTAATCGTTCGGGCCTCATTCCAAGATTACATATGTAACTACTTCAATCTACTACATTCAAGATGACTGTCCAACGTGGAGAAAAATGCAATTCGAGCCATCCATTGTGATAAGAGATATTAGAAGTGGAAGCAATGATAAGTATACAGTTGCGAAGCTGGGTCTGTTCGCCGTTTACAACTCTTCATTCAACCTGAATCTCCTCCTGAATTTCCTTCTCGGTCTCTTTTCGAATCTCCTTCTGACCCTCCTTCTGGTTGTCATCTTGGACCACCTTGAGAACTTCCTTGCTAGTCCGTCGCTTTGGATTCTTCTTGGACTCCTTGCTGTGCTTCTTTTCAGAATTTGTTTTGCCATCCTTGTCGGAGTTTAGAGACAACAAACTAATGCTAGATCCCGAGACGTCTCGAGTATCAGGCTGACTAGGCTGTGAGCCATCCGTAAAACCTGAGGTTCGTCGAGACCGGACGTATCTTGCAACCCGCGCCTCGGCAGCCGCCGATGGCTTTGGGGGAGGCATGATAACAGAAGGGGTATGAGAGGGTGCTCTGGTTCCAACCGTCGGTGCAGCTTTGGTGGGGGTCAGAGATTGAATCAGCTGATTGTACTGTTCATCATCCATGCAAGCAGTGATGCTGGGTTGTCTGCTGTGCTCGAAGCTGAACCCAGTCATACTAGAAACAGGACGACTGCTGCTCGAGTTTGAGACATAATCAGGCATTGGAACATCTTCACGTGAGGGTCGGGCACCCCGTTGGCGCCATGCTGCATCATCAACGAAGGAATCCATTCCGGCCTCCATGATGTATACATCCTGCGGCTCCCATCGGGGCTCTTGAGTATAATTCCATTGTGTTGCAGGGATGGGAAAGCCACGATGAGGGGCCCAGGCATTGTAGGCTGATAAAGAACTACCACTGAAAGTGGCGGTGTTGCTGCTCGACGGGCTGGTTGGATAGGCTGCAATGGTTGCGACATGAAAATCAGGTCTTATCTTGCTCGGCGAGTGACCATGGTCATCATATTCCTTTGACATCCCGTAGGGTGATATCGCCGTCATATAACGTGGGACATTCGGCACTGGCAACCACATCTTATGGTTAGGCCACGCGATTTCGGAGTGCTCAAGAGCATCTGATAATTGAGTTAGCAATACAACTATATAAGCCACCCCTCATTCTCCCTCTCTCTGTTTCTTTCTTTCTTTTCTTCTTTCTTTCTTCTGTCTTGCTTGAATGGCAAACTTACGTATAGGGGCATGTTGGAAAGAAAACGCAAGGACATCCCTGTAGCGTTCAAAAGGAGGTGAGCGGTTTGGACGAGAAAATCCTTCTGCAATGAGAACTCGAATTCGGCCCTTGTGATCTCCTGCATCCCAAGTCCTCTGTTGAAGTATTTCGCTGTGAAAATGCGGGAAGTGGAGGGAGTCCGGATTGCCTTCTCGATTGAAATCTGGCCATGTCAGCTTTGGATATGAAGAAAGAGAGAGTATCTCATACGAATACTCAAGTCTGTCGAAGGAGTCAGTATAATCGGATCAATTTCAAAAGCGATAACCACTCACCTATGATTTGCGGCCAACCTACTCTTTGTGAGTAAATCTTGCCACTGCAAAATGTTAATTCAAGCCCACAATATCAAATGTAAAGCAGGATAAGCTCACGCAGAAAAGACACCATCAATATAGACACGAGCCTCAAAAAGGACAGTGTCTTCCGGTCCCATATTGTTTTCGATCTGGATGCTAGGACGTGGAATCTCCCAGCTGTGTACAGAGACTTGAAAAGGGCTGTCAGGGGGTTGACTCGGAATGAAGGCCGTCAGTGTCGGTAGCTGATTGAAAACGCCCTCATGATATACATTAGGGCCCAAATGAACGGCATGCAAAAAGGGGGCATGCTTGTCTTTCGTCACGAAGCACTGAGTCTTGAACTCCTGAATAGGGACCTTAGATTCCGCAGGAAACAAAAGGACGTCCCAGTTTCGGTACCGCATATTGAACGTGAAGAGGTGCAAAATTGAAAACAGTATGAGACACTTAGTTGTCACCCGGCTGGAAGGTGCATCTATTTCGGGCAGGAACATCGTGAACAAAGAAGGAACTACACAAGTCTAACGTCACTTTGGCCTCACTTTGGCGTTACTTGAAGAAATTTTACGCGATCAAGATAGTGAGAGGCTATAAAAGAGTATTAAGAGAGACTTGAAACAGACCGGTAAAAAGGGATGAGTAGGAAGGAAACTGTGTATAGAGAACATATAGAGAACGCATAGAGAACGCAATAGAAGATGATAATGCAACCCTCTAAAGAGCTTTTATCAGATACAAATACATTAAAAGATATACAAAAAGATAGCTAGAAAGATGTCTTTTTCTAAAAAATACATGGTCAGGTAGATGACAATGAAATGACGCTCTAGACCTAAAATAGCCCTAATTCTTCACACTTTACGCATGCAATATCCAACCGGGATCAACATGAGTGAAGATCACAGAAAGAAAGATCCGTCTTCAATCAAGTGTCAAATGGAGCAGATGCATTCCAATCTAAAGACTACACATGATGCCTAACCCAACCCCAAACTACAACATCTAACATCGAATCGGAACCAGCCACAAGACGATGAAGAAGGAAAATAAATAGTAAAGACCCACTAGCCGAACGCCAGCCGTACAAGAATGCAGCGACATTATTGCAGACCAGAAAGCTTTCAACGCTGAGGCGCACGAAACAGGGTGTTGTACAAGCGGAGGTCGTTCTAACAAACAAAGGGGGATCAAACAAAAAAAAAAAACATTCCTCGAAGCGAACATAATTCAATTTAGCTGCTTGAAGAAAAAAAGAAAAAAAAAGTGACACAAAGGAAATAAGGTGTAGCGTAGGGAAATGGAACTTTTCGCAGAATGCCTGCCCAAGGAGTATAAGGGAAAAGAAGCGCATGAACAATTCGGACTTCCGTTACACGCAGACAAAGACCCAGGGCGGAGAAAAAAATTCCGATAGCATAAGGGCAGAGTAGACATCGAAAAATAGTTAAAAAAGGGAGGATACGAAAGAGCGCAAAGAGGGATAAAAAAGAGAAAGAGATACATAAGAACAAGACAGATTGAAAGGGGAGAAAGCTCAGATCTTGCTAAGGTAATAGCGCTCACGTAAAAAGGAAATGCGTAGCACAGGAGACAAATGCTCATCAAGAGCTATAGCCTTGGCAGAAACCAGGGGAATCACGGATATGACACAATAGACCCATTGTTGGAATGACGCAGACAACTCCTGGTGGTGCTTTCAATCAAAGGAAACGCTTACTGGAGAGTAGTCAGCCGACCGCCTGCTTCAAATTTGATCCGGGATCGGGCTGCCAGGGTGGTGGTGATCGCTCACCTTCATAGGGGCAAAACCGCCATACCCGTGGGCCGGGGGCATGCCCATGGAGGGGTACATGGGAGGAGGCGGGGGAGCAGGGCGGTAAGGGCTGCCGGCGGGGCCGGAGTTGTTCTGGGAGCGACCCCAGGACAGACGAACGCGGGAGTTACCGATGGGGTAGCCCTGCATCTGGTTGATGGCCATCTCGGCGGCGTGGCGCTGGACGAACTGGACGAAACCGCAACCCTTTCCAGGGGGAATCTTGACGTAGGTGATTTCTCCGAAGCCCTGGAAGAACGAACGGAGCTCATCCTCGGTGACGTAGCCGGAAAGGCCACCGACGAACACAGTGGTGTTGTTGGGGTCGGTAAACTGGTTCATGGGCTGGGGAGCACCGTAGAAGGGCATGGGAGGGCCACCCATGGGAGGGTACATGCCAGCGGGGCCGGGCATACCCATGCCACCGCCGTTGCCGCCAACACCGGGACCCTTGTTCTTAGGGGTAGCGGTGGAGATGCGCATGGGGCGGTTGCCGCAGTAGACACCCTGCATCTCGGTGAGAGCACGCTGCTGGTCGTTCTCATCGGAGAAGCGAACGAAGCCGTAACCGCGGGACATGCCGGAGATGGGGTCGGTCATGATCTTGGCGGACTTGCACGAGGGGAAGCGGCTCTGGAAGAGGGAGACGAGAACGTATTCGTTAACCTCAGGGCCGAGGTCACCAACGAAGATGGAGTACTCGGGGCCACGGTCATCACGGCTGGAGAACAGAAGTCTTATTAGTACTATAACGAGACAAAACAAAAAACAAAGGCCATCAAGGATAACCCAAAGTTATAGCTTACCTGCGATCAGCCAGACCGCCGCCGGTAGCCCAGTTGAGCTTGAAGACACGGTTGGTGTTGGGCATAGGAGTGCCGTTCAGGGAAAGGGCCTTGGCAGCGGCGGCAGGGGAGGCGAAGTCGACGAAGCAGTAGCCAGCATTGCTCCTACTACCAACATTAGAAACAATCTTCCAAGCGATAATTCACGCCAAAGAAAAAGACCAAACAAGGACAGTGTCTTACCCAGAGAACTTGTCACGGATCATCTTGACGTTGACCTGCTCACCCATCTGGAACCAAAGGTTGCGGATGAAGTTCTCATCAATCCAGGGCTCGAGCTCACCCATCCAGAGGGTGGTCTTGCCATCGGCGCCCTGCTGGGGACCGGAGGCGGAGTTGGCATCACCAGGGACGGGGCCCTGGAACTGAGCGGCGGAGGGATCAGCCTGGCCAGTCATGTTGGTGTCAACGGGAGCCGGAGCGCCAGCGGCGGCGGGGTCCTGTTGAGGGAAGTTTTCGAAGTTGTTGTAAGACATTGCAAAGCTCAAAGTTCGAAAGTCGACGTAAGAATATAGAAAGGCTGAACGACTAGAACTTTCGTGGAGTCGTTAAAGAAAGACCGGCGTGAGATCAAGTTCGTAACGAAGCCAGGCAAAGACGTTAAAGCTTGCTAAATAAATAACGGATTAGAACTTTTTTGAAGCGAAAATGTAAAAGGCGAACCGAGATATACGCAGCGAAAGCGAAAGTGATTGATCAAACGAAGCGAAGCAAATGAGAACAAAAAGTGAATGGGGAGACCAAGCGATTGCTTTTGCGCAAATAGGAATTTCAGCCTCAAGCCGGGAATCGGGAATCGCCAAGACCAGAGCTTCGGGTAGCAACGAGAGAAGCGAATATTGAAAAGTGGATCAAACGGAGACGGAGGACGAAGAGAATATGGAATTTGCGCGCGACGAAAATGGCTCATTTCCATTTGGTGGATCATGCGCCGGCCGTTTCCGTCTTCAAAGTCCAAATGCGACCGCCCAATCCGTCCATTCCCATATCCATATCGAGGCGCGACCGGTAGAAAATCGAGACACCAAAGCACTGGTCAAGGCGAAGTCGAGTATAATCATAGAGGCATAAAATCATGTAAAGAAGCGAGAGATGATATGTTGCACTTCGAGTGTTCCCAGGGTTTTGCGCGGTATAATGATGAAAGAGGCTGATAATGCGAAATAGCAGAACTCACCTAGATATGATGATATCTAACGAAAAACTGGAAATGCGCGAGGCAAACAAAAAAAGTATTGCAACAAGGGAAAGCAGAACTCCCAACAAGAAAAAATCGAAACCGAAATCTTATCCGAACAATAAGGAAAAGAGAGGGGAAGTAGAGGGGAAGAAGAAAATGAAGAATTGAAATCTCATGAGGGAGGGGAAGTGGGAAACGAGTTACGTGACCAGGTATGGTGGTATTGGTATTTCGGGTATTGGTATTTTTACAAGTAATATAAGATTACCCAACGTTATTTGTTTTTATATTGTCCATAGCTATATAACTTGCATGGTTATGTAGTTATCGTATGAGTTAATAGTAACTAATAGTATGAATAGCAGTATAGTAGTCATGTATTTAGGCAGGTAGTAACAATAACCACCCAATTTATTTCTAACCTACTGCACCTTACCTCGAACTTAATCCCTTTTAAGCCCCATGTAAGTACATGTTGATATATTGCTTAATACCCCCGGAATTCCTGTCAAATGCACTGCATCAATATGCGGGGCTTGCTGGATTCTCCGTCCAGGATCCCGGGAAGCCCGGGAGATTCAGCTGATACATCACGTATAAGACCGAGGTAGAGTTGCCGATCGATTAAATCCTTCCGCTCGATCCGCATGCGAACATACAACATATGTACAAACAAGATCAAGGGAAACAAAAACAGTAGTGGTAGTAACTACGGTAAAAACATACAATATTGTTCAACAAGGGGCACGGAAAGCCCCAACGCATGAAATCTGCAAGGACCTGTCGCTGTCCTCGCAATGTGACTTGTCCAGGTGGACCTTCTTATCGTCATATGCTGAGGTAATTTCCGCCTGAGTCTGGCTGAAGTCTTGGTGAATCGTTTGTTTACAATTGGATGTGATTCTGTATATTCAACGCTGCCTAGATGTAGATGAGATACATATACTATAGAGATGTTCCACATAAATGCGCATATAAACTACATACACAGTTACTCTGTACATGTGTAACTATAACTAGCTATAGCTACATGTAGTATAAATCACTTTCCTCCATATGTACGTATCATCAGAGCCAAGGAACGCACCCAAGCACAGAACCATGGAACTCACATTACAGTAATCTATATGTAATTTTCCATACCCTCTCCCCTGCATCCCATCTACTAGCTGCAGCCCTGGGCTCAAGCTCTTTTCAAAGCAAGGTTGTTCAATGTAAATATACAAGCAAGGATCCTTCACACCTTATTCCAAAGACAGGCTACATCTGCCGACATTCCAGGAAATTTTGGTTACACAATACGTCACCCGCCTACCTACATATACGCATAAAACAAAGAACGAAGAAAAAAATTCCAGAACCATGGAAGAGTAATAGTTTGCCTATTGGTCGGGTTTGCTGGGCCGCTCGTATTGAAATTACCATTACCATCTGGAGGTGCTTGGCGGGTGATGTACACGGTACGCGACGCGTTTTTACTTACTTTATACTGTTGAAGCTGGTTACTATATTATACTTTATGTCTATATGGACATAATGAATGTACTATAAATATATTCAAGGTCAGTTTACAACGTATATTGTATACAATGTTGTAGGGGTTTGCAAGGGATGTTGGAGGTCTGATATCATATGGATCTAAGAAATAAGCTAATTCAGCCCTTGCATAGTGAGACACGGGAATTGTAAGAGGGCCAGGGTCCTTGTACATCGCAAGCTACAATGTATCTGGGGTATTATAGTTCATAACTAGTACATATAGTCTGTATGCTTTGTTAAGATTAAATGTAGGGCATACCCTCAGCTCCAGTCCCAGACCCAGTTCCAGTAAGTATGAATAACCATCCAGTAATCAATGTAATATAAATCCCAACCACGGCAGCACACTATATAATAAAGAACCAACATATAAAACCTCCCAGAAACAAGATCTTTCCTAGATTGTATTGTTCAGGATTCAAGTGGAAAGTCAAAGCACTCCAGTAGTCACTTCAGAGCTACGACTGGCTCATTCACCTGAGCGAGGCTGAGCACCAGACACAAACAGTCCCCACTTTCAGGGCTCACATCCACTTAGTTCGCTCAGTTCTGTCCACACAGAATCCCAAAGCGCTTTGTGACTGTTACCTGAATTCAAGGTACGGGCACGCTTACTGTATACTCCATTACAAACCTCAGCTCTGCATGTCTTTGCTCCACATCTAATTTTTTTTCCCTTCGGGCTTTGCGAGGGTTCTAGAGAAGTTTCTAGAATGTTTCATATATTTTTTTAGAATTCATTACAATCTCAATGTAGATTAAAAATTGTATGCAAACTGGTGTGTCCACCGTGTGGGTGCTATTATGTCACTGCCTAAATCTAAGTCCGATGGCCTAAGCGTTTTTGCTGCATACTAAAGATAAGTGCATTCTAAAAATATCATAGATCCATCTTCCTTTTTACATTGTACTTCTAACATTGTACATACATAGTCAACGTCGAATCTCAAGATACTTCAAGAACAAACAAAACAAATGAAAAAAAAGCCTAACAACTAAACTCCACCTCAACATTATCCTGCTCAGCAAGCAACATAAGACACTTCTCATAAACCTTCGTAGCCTCCAACATCCAGGGCTCATTAAATTCATACACTTCCTCCTCATCCCCATCAAACCCAGCAGAAGTACTACTCGAAGACCCCAAACACGAAAAAACCCGATACCTGGTGCTCTCCGCCAAACTCCGAATCCGAACTTTCTGCGTCTCCGTGGCAAGAGACTGGCCAAGCACTGCACCCGGCAGCGCAGCCCCGGTAATCGGGTGCGTACCGGTGCACAAAGCGGCAAATATACTGTCCAGCTTGTGCAGGATTGAGAGGGTCGGTTGAACCGAGAAGGGGAACGAGGGAAGGGAGGACTCAATTAGTCCGGCTAGGGTTATGAGGGCTTCTGTTTGGATTGCCGCTGTGGATGTTAACTCGCCTGATAGACATAGAGACTAAACGTGCGGGGAACGCTTATGAGGGGGATCCATGTATGCGCTTACGTGTAGCAGATACCCAAAGCATATCAATTAGATCCTCCACGTCAGCTGCTAGCTGGGCGAAGGACTCGTATCTGCGCTGGGCGTGGGGCGTATCGGGTGCGTCCATGCCCATGTCGGATTTCATTTTGCGGTAGTTGACTCGTTCGAGTCCTGTGCTTATCTGACCGCGGAGTTGGGTTTCTTCGTCTGAGCCTGAGGGGATGGGCGAGGCTCGTTGAGGTGGAAGTGAGAGGGTCGGTGTCCATGTTGGTGGGCGGAGAACAATGGGAATGTCCGCATCTGCATCTGCATCTGTGTCTGCGTGGGCGATTGGGACATCTTCGAATTCCACGTTGGAGTCGGAGTCCGAGTCGGAGTTTGGTTCTTTGATCTTGCCTGGGGCCATTTTGGGTTTGACTTTGAGCTTGTTTGTGTTGAAGGGGATCTGATGGTTCGGTATAGTTGGAATTAATTCAATATTGATTTGGGGGGGTTGATATTTTTGATGCTTTTGATGATGTTCTGGAAGACGTGTAGCTTATGCGCAAGACGTGAACTTGCAAAATATATAACGAAAGCTTTTGTCTCAGGCCGTGTGATGATGCGATTTTTCCCTAGGATAGTTTCCATATGTTACCCCAAGCAGTTCTAGGGTTCCCCCATCTTAAATATTTGCATAGATCCGTACATACGTTGTATATAGATGGACTTGATTTTCCGTGGCGGGTGGGGTTTTCCTATTCGAGCTGCCGCCGCTTTATTAAGGGCGCTCAGACTCACGCTCTCAGAGTAGATATCAGCACGAGCTCAAACCAGTCACGTGAATGATGACTGATACTTTGTACTGTAGATGCTCTTGGGCGCTTACTGAGTACTCGATGGTACTTTATGACTAATCAGTGGACAACTCTAGACAACCTCTAAACATCTACCTAAGAGGGTGATAAGTACCTGGTAGACCTTGACATGTCCCGTGGGGCTCCCGCCACAGGACTCCCCTGTCACTACGGAGTAGATTTTGGTCCCATGAAAGTGGGTCTGGCAGGACTGTGGGAGTTTCTTTGCAGCTTAACAATGCAAACACTAGCTAACTCGTGACTTAAAAGAGGCAAGCGATATTTAGGAAGTGCGAAACTAGAGCGACCGCCAGAAATATTTAAACGATCCTATTTTCCTCTTCATGTTGGGAGCTACATGCAGGATGGATAGAAATCAGTTTCACCGAAGTGTTCATTCAGAATAATCTGCTCCATTGAATCTTCAATGAAACTTGCGGCGGCTCTCAAAGCTTGGTGCACTGAATGTGATACACAGCCAAAATGTTGCGAACAACCCCATTGAGATACTGAGCGGTACTGAAGCATTTTGAAGATCGCCATGGTGCCCCCATTTGAATAACCACGCGAAAAAAAAGTAAAATGACGGTACCAAGGAAGCGAAGCTCCATAATAGCAACATCCGGGTCGATCGCTTCTCGATAATGTAAAGGCCCCAGAAGATCTCGTGTGAAGGGTCTCGTTCCTCTAGAGTGCTATCACGCTTTGGAAGCCTTTGAGTGACAAAAACGTCATCGAATGGCTCATCCCATGACGATGTAGTCGAGAACCTCTTGGCAATTCTTCGAAGGATCCTGAAATACCAAGTATAGGATTCAAACCAGTGTTCAAACTGATGTGGATCAACAGGTGGTTCAGGGTGGATAGGTCTTGGGAAGAAATGATATGATGATTGCTGTGTATCAGGGTACTCCGGACACAAAGGAGTGTATGCAGCCTGGGAAAACCTTTCAAACTATAAAGGTATATATTTAGTTGTTTCGAACAAGATACGTATAAGACGCCGACCGCTTGACGTACCTTAAAGAACTCACAGTGGGAATACCTATAGACACTAAAGCAATTTGAGAAGAATCCTCGATGACGATAATACGTGGCCCTGACCCAAGAAAAAAAGGCTTTGTCGGTCATGGATTTTGTTGTTGTCTGAGCTAGACGATAATAGGAGCTTCTCAGTAGTGAAGAGTGTAATGTGACAAGGAAGACATGAAGATCTGGGTTGTTTCTCTCCCAAGACTTGGCTTTGAGATTTGGACCCATCGGCATATGAGCTGGACCTTGACCCAGAATATGGCTCTGCTTGGCCGGTCCTTGGCGGGAATCCCCTGGGGCTGCTGCATTGGGTGGTTGGGAATCAGGCGCTATCTGGTTTTGGCCCCCTTGTGAGATATATGACGGGGCAAGTTTCTTCCCAGAAGCGCCCGTGACTGTTTTTGCGAAGGATAGAGGGACTTCAGCCCATCTAGACCTGCCGCAAGTCTAGTTGTAAAGAAAGGTCAAACTCAGTGGCAGAAAGTTATGGGTTTGGTTCATCAACTTACACAATTCCAATGTAAACGAGCTTCGCCCCTCGCCAGGGGGCGCATGTATGGAGCTAGTGGCCACCAGTCCCATGTCTCTCCCGTAAACCTCTCCCACCTGCCTTTGATTTTGTTTACTGCGGAGGACGTGTCTTGCAAACTGAAAGAAATTCGATCAGGAGTGATATGTTGCAGTTCGCTAACTATCGCCTCGAGGTTCTGGAGCTGCTTTTGTGTGAAGGCTCCAGATCCACGCTGCTTTGAAATCCAGCGCATCATGATGGAGCGGAATGAAGGGAAAACAAAATCAAAAAATTCTCTTTCCATGGTTGGGAACGCGGTCGTTCTGAACAAAAATTCCTCAACAATATGAAAGTTATCTCCAATCGTCTGGTCTTGAGCTTCTTGTTCATCCAGTCCATCAAGGCTCGAATACTCATCCGAGTCGGACTCGGCCCGTTCAACACCTCGAGGTTCGGGTAAAGGATTGGCGCTTGAGCGCTCCTCTGAAGTTTGCTGGTTGGAGGCGAGCCCGACCTGATTTCGCTGTGACTTGAAGTACTCGTCTATCCTAGCCTTCGCGGTTTCCTGCGAAAGCTGGCTAAGGTTAGATTCCTTGAGTCCAGAAGGGCCAACGATCTCAGGGCTTTGCAATATTCGGCTTGCAATGTGGAATGATGCTCGTTGCACAAATTGAATGACATTCATATGGTCTTTTGCTTGTGTCTCTCGACCCAAATGAGATGAAAAAAGCCGGAGAAGTTTCGTTAGGTTTCTGTGAACCTTGGCTCTTGGATATCGCTTCTCCAGGAGCGCAGATTTGCAGAGTTCTTGAAAATGGGTATTTCTTAACAGTGAGGCAGAAAGTATATCCACACCACTGATAAATATTGGTTGATCGAACGATGAATTGGAAGAGGCACCGCCGGCAAGCGAGAAAGTAGTAATGATGGATCCTGAATCTGAAAGGTCCGAGTCTGAGTCTTCGTAGTCGGATGTCTTATTCGAAGTTCTCTTTTGGGAGAATTTACCAAGGAGGTCAATCGCTTTTGTTGTGTCTGGGTGTCGTTCTCCAAATATTTTCACTCGAATTTGTTTCACCTTTCTCTCAAGGTTTTCAGCCTCCTCCCGCTGGCCCTTATCAAAAAGAAGCAACGCCAGATCTTCCATGCTATTCAGCGTGTCAGGATGCTCCGGACCCAGGGTTCTCTGACGAGCATGCATGACCATCAGTTGCATTTGTTCGGCATCATCGATCTTGCCTTGACTTCTGTGGTTAACTGCCAGAGCATTCATGTTCGAAAGCACACTTGGGTGATCTGGTCCGAGTACTTCCCGGCCCATTTGAAGAGTTTCAGTCAACAACGATTCAGCGTCCTTCCACCGGGATTGGTCAAAGAAGATTGAAGCCAAATTTCCCATAGCGAAAAGCGTGTCTGGATGCTTTCTGCCAAGTTGTATTGTCTGAGATTCTGTGACTTGCAGCAGAATTTCCACCGCCTCGTTCAGTCTCCCCTGGTCTTTGTAGATCAATGCTAGATCGTTCTGGGACATAAGCACATCCGGATGCATAGGCCCCAATATTCTCTGACTTTTCTCAAGCACGCGCAGTTGTAAGGCTTCAGCCTCGCCCCAACGACCTTGGTTGCGATATACTGCTGCCAAGTTGGCCATACTGTTCAAGGTATCGGGGTGATCCAGGCCCAATACTTTCTCGTGAGACTTCAGAACTTGTTTTTGAAGTGCTTCTGCTTCGCTCCATCGACCTTGGTTTCGATAGTCTGATGCAAGGTTATTCATGCTACCGAGGGTATTCTGATGCTCCCGCCCTTGGAGATGCTGGTATGTCTCAAGGACCTGTACGGACAAGGATTCAGCTTCTGCCAGACGGCCTTGGTTGCGGTAGACCGAAGCGAGATTATTCATGCTAGTCAAAGTGTCTGCGTGCTCTCGTCCTAACAAACGAATGCGGATATCAAGGACATCCTTTCCCAATATCTCCGCATCGTGCCATCTTCCCTGGTTCCAGTATGTTGTTGCGAGGTTACTCATGCTGGTAAGAGTATCTGGATGATTGGGGCCAAGCACCTTCCTTCGGATCTCGAGCACTCGAGAGTGTAGCAATGCCGCTTCCTGCCACCGACCTTGGTTCCAGTGTGTTAAAGCTAGATTACTTAAACTCGTCACGGTATCCAAGTGCTCTTCACCAAGGATTCGCTCTTGTATCTTGAGTACTTTCAAATTCAGTAGCTCTGCCTCCTGCCATCGGCCTTGATACCAGTAGGTCAAGGCCAGATAGGTTGTCACTTTGAGCATGACGGGATGCTCCTCTCCAAGTAGGTGGCTATAATCCGATACCAGTCGCTTCGCTAGCTCCTCTGCTTTATTCCATTGACTCTCAAGTATATACGCTCGAGTGATTGTCATCGCGGAGTCCATAGTCTCCAGGTCATCTGAGCCCAGTAATTCCACCCTCGCCTCGAATGCTTTCTCGGCCATCTGCCTCATATCTACCGTACTCCCAATCATGCTTGAATACAGGGCCCCTTTCTGAAGAAGTGTAGCCCACTTTAGCCGAGATGAGTCGATGGTAGGACGCTGGGACATTGCCACTTTCACATGGGGAAATAAGGATTGCGATTTCTCCCAGCTGTCGAAGTCTTCTAGTGAGAATTCGCGGCACAAATTGTCGATAAATTTCGTCTTCCAAATCTCAGACTGGTTTTGGTTTCTAAGCCAGGTCTTCACTGCAAGTTGAATCAACCTGTGCATGGTAAATATTTTACCGCTTGCCTGAATTGAAACGAGTGAGTAATCTCGTAGTAAAAACAGATCTTTCTCGAATGACCAGTAATAAAGGTCATGATCATCTGAATCACTGTCTTTCCTAGTTTCAAAACTGCTCTGATTTTCGTCGGATTGACTTCGGAGCAAGTTTTCGGTGAATCCATCCGGGTCAAAAAAGCTCATCAGAGACAATAGTTCCACAGCCGATGGGGCTATCTGTTGTAGATAGTCAAAGGTGATTTGCCATGTCGTTAAGACTGATTTACTTTGATCCCAGTCACGGTGCAAAAAGCCAGCTTCTTGACTAAGTAGTTCGGTCTGTTCGTGCTCGCTTTTCTGGAAAAGTTCTAGATACTTCGATATGCTCATCAGAGGTGATTGAGTCCGAATGTAGCTAGCGGCTTGAGCGATTGCAAGTGGATGATGGCCTAATTGTTGTAAAAGAATTATGGCTTCTTCATCTTTTGTCTTTGAGCCTAGCATGTTTTTTAGGAGAGTATGTGCCGCTGATTGTTTCATTTCTCCGATTAGAATGATATTGCGATACTCTGTAGTCCTCAATGCCGCGCGCATGCTGCGTGTAGTTATAATGATCGATCCATAATCACTAGAAGGAATGTATGCTTCAAGCGGCGTTTTTGAAGCGTCGAATTCATCGACCACATTATCCTCTTGGTTTTTTCCCGATAAAGGGTAGAGGGTATCGTCGTCAACATTGTCCAAAACGAGGATCCATCTCTCCTGTTTGTCGCTGATCCAGTCGTGTACTAATTTAAAGATATTTGCATCAGGGTCAGCGCGGTGGGGAATCCTGTTGTAACCGGCAAGTTCCCGATAGCTCTGTTGAAAACGGGCTGCGCTGCTCGCATGGACCCAGAACACCGATGTGTCTGGCGATTGATCTCGGACTCGATAGCAGTACTCAAGAGCAACCTGTGTCTTTCTTCTCGGTATTAGCGGTTCAAAGCCGGAACTTATTTCGAATACCGAACCTACCCAATACCTCCCAACCCAACAAGTGCTGTTCGAGATCCTGGCGTGGAAAGCTTCTGGATTTGATCCAAGATTTCCTCGTCGGCGACGAAGTTGGAATTACGGCTAAAAGGAACCATATAAAATTGTCTGAGAGCTCCTTCGGATACCTCTTGATCTGGTAAATCTTAATCAACGCAGACGAGTTTGGTGCTCATCTTTTCAACCTACCTCGGAAAGAGTTCAAAATCGTCCCATGATTGACACCAACCTGGAATCCAGAATTGGCACCTCCGAATGAGATAAATGAGCTATCGGAGGCCATTTTATTATGTGTTAGCTACACAAACTGTGGTGTTGGAGTTGCTTGTATAGAGACACGGGGTGGCTCCGGCTCAGCCCACCTCCAGGTGAACTCAGCCCCTCAGCTCTTCATCAGGTGACTTGAATGTGCCTAGTCATTTAGTCACAGGAATACACTCAAGTTTGCTACTTGCAGATTGTCCTTCCAATTGTAAGTATTCTTCTTTGATCTTATGAATCGGCAATTAGAGGCAATCATACTGCCGGGACAAAAATCCCAGTATGAGACATCATTATCAAACAAGCCTCTTTCATCACCCAGTGGTACTCTCTAAGATAGTCTACAGGTGTATTTGAATTTTGGTGTCTTAGCTAGGCCCCTGGTAACTCATAGCAGCCTTGGTATCGACACTACAAATATTGGGCAGGGCAGAGGAAGCATCCGGTCTCACTCCGTCGACTGTACGCTCACCTTCTTCGGCCCAGGTATCAAGGCGCTGAAGCTCCAATGAACTCAAGATTACCCAGGTACAGCAACCTCGCAGTGAGGATCGAAAAAGAAACCAAAAGGTTCAGATATTAAGTCATCAGATAAATAGATACAATATTCCTAAAGGCTAAGCTCAACGCAACTACTGAGCAGCGTCACAACCACAGTAATCAAACCCAGCGACGTCGCAACAGGGGCCTCGACAACCCCAGTGTGCTTCTTCTCATCCTTCCCACAGTATACAGTCTGATTTACAGTGTGATCATTCTGATCTGAGAAAACCCATGTCCCAGCAGTCCAGTCATCCTGGTGATACGGACAAAATCATACCGTAGGACATCATCATCATAAGTATAGTGGAGGGCAACGGCAGCTCGAGCCATAAAGTCACCAATAAAAAATGCTGTCGCTTGGCTGTGTGCAGAGACCAAAAGATCAGTGTTTCGGAGTCAGCAGCCATATCCAAAAACGTATCACCATAGCCAAGCTGAGCGGCCAGCCCGACCCCCGGTCGCGCGACCGTAAAGCGGCGCTCACCTAGGAAACTGCTAGCAGTAACGCGTGACATAGTCTACGTAGCTTCATTGGTATTCATGAGCAGGCTATAACAATTGGTGGGGTTTCTCGAAGCCCCGTCAACGATAGCGGGTAATTAGCTCAGATGATTGGATATTTGGACAGAGTGGGTGGGTCTCCGCACCAATAATGCCGTAGTCGGGGATCAGCAAGGCGCGGGCCCGTCACGTTGAAGTTCTTTACGAACTGGTTGAGGTTGAAAGTAAAGAGGCCGATGCAGCGCGGAGTATCTGATATACACTTTGCTGTTATTGAAACCCTTCTCTCGCACGGTAGCAGTGACATGATATCTCCATTCGCAATAACAAAGGGCAAACACTGCTATACCCTACCGGTGGTACGAAGCAAGCTGAAATTGGTTTACCGTAGGATATTCTGTAGAAAAATTCTTACTTTTGACGATTGAGTGGTCTTCGATGTAATATCCGCCCTTGGGTTTCTGCGGCTGTTGTTGAACCATGACACGATTCGATCGAGCCATAGGCCCTTGTTCTGATGACTGTAGTGCAAAACTTGCTGTTATCACTGGAGGCGGCATGTCTGCGCATATTGTGCAGCCAGTGTTGTCATAGCCATGTTGACTAAGCACTACTTGCCAGTCGAGCCTTTCGGCCATTGACCAATATTCCTCACTGCTGTACATAAAAGCATTGGGTTTTTTTCAGACAGAAACATGGCTTAGGATAGAATACGGTATAGTTAAGAGACAGATCGTTGATAATTGGCAGTCTGCGGGACATCTGAGAAGTATCTCCCGGTTTTAGCTAACCTAGCGACGACCCCTTAGTCGTGCATAACATATAGAGCCCTGACTAGAATAATCTTTCTTTTAAAAGGAAATATAATTTCAAATATAGCTTACTTAATTCGTTTGATTTCTACTCTGAGCCTACTCTGTGAGCGAGTCAGTGTGTTCAGAGGCGTGCTCAATTTAACTCTGATATCAAAAAGCAGCAAGAAGTGAGCACTAAAATGGAAGAAGAAAGGTCTCGAGAGCTAGCCATTCTCCGGTACATATGTAGACATTGAAGCAACTTAAGTGCTAGAGGTGGGATGTCATGCCAAGCCTTGGTCTGTGCGGAGACATAAACGTCTACAAGCTTCAATACATCTATACATTAATTGTGTACATTTATAGCTACATGTACATATATGACTACATGAAATAAGTATATACTGAATCAAGAATTGATATTTAGCTATCATGTATGTATTCATCTAATCGATTATTAGCAAATGCGAAACTAACAAGCGCGATAACAATTTCAACAAGATCTCCAATTCAGAAGGTGAGAAGATTGTAGTAATGCTGGTGGTTGCAGACATGGCAGACAGCGAACGAAGCGCGTCTTACTACTATGGCCCCAGCGTGCTCATCAGGGAGACAAAGCCAAAGAAGAAGGAAAAGAAAAAAAAGACAAAGACCAACTCACATGTACATTGGACGCCACGGTCCTTTTATCCTGCACCCAAAACGCCACGCTCCATACAAAAGCTCACTCAGGCTATCAAAAAAGTCAGCAAATCCCAAGAAACCAAGAACCCGAGAAACCGAAAACTCACCCGAATCTTGCCCCTCCGAGCCTTAATATCCGCCAACTTCTTCTTATCCTCATCGAACCTCTTAAGCAACCGATTCTGCCTCTCCTTTCTCTTCTCCCTAGACTGGAATCGATAAAAGTCCTCAAGACCCTCCCTCTTCTTCTTCTCCTTCTCAACGAGCTCACGCAACTCCTCCTCCCTAGCAACAGAGTTCAACTTCGGCCCATGCTGCACAGTAACGAAACCATCCTCATCCGGCTCCGCAAAGCGCTTATGATCTTCGCGCTTGCGCGCCTCCGAAACAGCACTGAAGGTAGTCATGAACTCGTTCACGGCGCGGAGCAGCGTCCCACGCTCGGGGTACTGCAAGCGCTCGTGAGCGACGTATCTGTTTAAACCGAGCGCGGGGATCCGGTTAGCAGGCAGGTTCTCTGCCCAGACGATGGAGGAGCCGCGCTTGGCGGCCTTGGCGGATGCTTTTAGGCTGGAGTCCATGCTGGCTTTGTCGGCGAAGATGACGATGGCGTGGGCGCCGCTCTTTTGCAGTTTGCGGTCCCAGGTTGAGGGAAGGGAGATGGATTCGAGGTGGTGCTCGAATTCGTCGGCTGTTACGCGCTTGCGCTTCTTTTTCGAGGTGTTGGTTTCTGTGCTTGTTGCTGCTGTGCGCTTTTTGGTCGGGACATCTTCGAATTGGACGCGCTCGACGCGGCCGGCAGATAGTTGCGTGCCGAATAGGTGGCGGATGTGGGCTTCTGTTGTGTCGATTGGGATGTTGACGATGAAGAGGGAGCGGGTGGAATCTGGGTCTGGGATTCGGGGCTCGTGGGGGCGGATGTAGAGGTAGTGGGTGGCGGGTTTGGGGAATAGGGGTGTTGTGGGGAGCTGCACCGGTAGGGTGGTGTACCCTGGTACCTCCACTGATTCTCCCTTCATTTTGAATATGAGGTTGATGCTGGATTGTTGCGTTGATTGAGCTGAACTTTTTCTGCGGTTTTTTTCTTGGCATGGAATTTTGCCGGTTTGCCAGAGCGGCGGTCCAGGCGGTGACCCTTCACTTAGGGCTTCTACATCCATTGCAACGACTCGACTTTCAAATGGCATCTTAACAATATAATTTAGAATATGAGCTGTAATATACTTGACTTATTAATGAAGTTTCCCATCCAGCTTTCATCGATATAGAAATTCTTGGAAATCGTCGTCACAACCAATTCAGTCACCATACCTCTCCAGCTTCAAACCTTGTCAGGATCATTGATACCACCATTGGTAATGACATAGATAGCCTCACGCTCAGCACAGTCTTTCAAAAGTCAGTACAGCAGCACACACCAAAGCAAAGCAACATACCTGGCGAATCCTGAATCTTCGCAACCCGCTCATCACCACGGCCCTTCCTCAGCAGCACACGAGTAGTCGAGGCATGTGCAAGAACATGACCACCAACAGGCTTGCGCCCATCAGCACCAGCAAAAAGCGCACTAGCGCCAGGGTCACTCTGAACCTGATTTGTCTGCAAAGGCAAAACATAAGTCCCCATGCCAACACACAAGGACACCATTGACACTCACTATCAAGACACAAACATTGAACTCTTCGCGAATCAGCAAAAGCCTGAACCCAAGAGCAAAACACAACAAAATCTCACCTTCAGCCATATGCGCCAACCTCATAAGAAACTGATTCAATTTTTGCTGCCGATCCGCCAACTCGCCACGCCCACTGTAATCCACCCGAAAACAATTCATAATGCTATCAATAATGAGCAAACGGAACTCGCCGCCAGCGAACTCACGACTGAGTGAGTTCAGCAGTTCGAGCTGGTGCTCGCTGTTGAGGGCGCGCGCATATGCAATGTTCTCCTGCGCGGTATCGGGATCTATGCCGAATCGCTCTGCTATCTGGGCGATGCGCTCGGGGCGGAAAGTTCCTTCTGTGTCGATGTAGGCTACCTTACTGTCTGCGCCGCCGAGGTCGCGGGGTAGCTGGGCTATCACAGACATGGTGTGGCTGAGTTGGGTTTTGCCGCAGCGGAATTCGCCGTAGACTTCGCTTATGGACATGCTTTGGAAGCCGCTGGGTTTGTTAGAGTGTGTTGGTATTGGGGGTTTGAGATATTGGGGGAACGGAGGAGAGGGAGAGGAAGGTACGGTACCCGTTGAGAATTGAGTCGAACTGTTTACTTCCTGTAGAGATGCGGACTACTTTTTTGCGTTGGTGGTGGAGTTCCATGGCGGTGATGAAGCCTGTCGCTGATGGGAGGCATTTCTGGATTGCTTCTTTTACTTTTTCGACTTTGACTTCGCTGAAGCCTTTGATTTTGAGGAGGGTTTTACGGGTTGCGCCGTGGACGGACTGGTGAGTTGTTAGATATGATGCATGGCAGGACAGGATGAGTACTGACGGCAACGGTGTGGAAGCCATTGGCTTTCAGCTTGGTGATATCAGCTGCATTGATGCCATGGGCTTGAATGCTGTCGATTTCTACGATGAAGGCCTGCTGATGGTCAGATGGGTGTCAAGTCATCAGTCTTGGGTGTGGAGGGAACTTGTACATCTTCATCGTTGAACTCCTCACTTCCCATCGAGCCTGGCATTTTGACTGAAATGGAATGATTATGGTGAGATGAATGATGGAAAGGAAAGACGAACAAAAGGTGGGAGAACTCGACGTGTTTGAAGTCACGGGTTCAGACAACACCAGGACAAGTCTCTGTTCTATAAATCAAACACAATCTACGCAAAGAAAATAAATAAATAGGTGAAATGTCTTTTTTGGACTCTCGAAATACTTACTCTCCACGACTCTTCCCATCACACATTGCAACGATCTCCCTCTCAACTCATCTCAGCCACTGCATCATCTCTTGGGAAACCCGCAATCAAGAGTCAACCGACATAACCAGAAGATGAGAATAGACAACAGACGCCAATCGTAAGAGTGGGTGAAAAAAACAAAAATTCAGGAAACTTTTTCTGTTTCATACATAGGGGTGATAAAATAAAGGAAAAAAACACGCAGCTGTTTTTGTCGCCGGACCAAAAACCCTTCCTAACGAGGGCGTGATTCAAATATATGCAAAGGAAGAGGAGAGAAAGGGCCCAAATCGAGGTTTAGGGGGAAGAATGACCATGCAGATTCAAAAATTCCCATTATAGGGCAAATATATGGAGAGTTCAAGAGACCTATGCGGCAGCAGTTGTAGGAGCCGCAGCAGGGGCAGGAGCAGGCACAGCCTCCTCAACAGCCACAGCAGCGACAGGGACAGGCGCAGCAACGGGCGCGTCCTCAGTCTCGGCAGCGGCAACAGCCACGGCAGCCGGGGCAGGAACGGGAGCACCCTCGTTGGTGGGGCACTCGCGGGAGATGTGGCCCGCCTGAGCACACTTGTAACAGACCTTACCAGCAGAGCTGAGCGGGCCGCCGTTGGGAGCGGTGCAGTCGCGAGAGATGTGACCGAGCTTGCCGCAGGCGTAGCACTTCATGGCCTGAGCCTGGCAGTCACGGGCGAAGTGGTTGGGGCCGCCGCACTTGTAGCAGGTCGCGGCGCGGGGGTAGCCCTGGAAGCCACCGCGGAAACCGCCTTGGAAGCCACCACGGCCGCCGCGGGTAGCGGCGGGGCCGGTGGGAGCTCCGGTTCCGGCGCCGGGGGCAGTAGCGGCGGCGGGATTGGTGCAGTTGCGCTGGGATTTGTTAAAGTGGGTTTTTGCTATGCTGGAGGGCGCGAACTTACGGCAAGGTGGCCGGGTTGGCTGCAGTTGTAGCAGCGGCCGTTGGATCCGCCGTTCAGGCGGAGGGTGGGGCAGTCAGCCTGGACGTGACCGACACCCTGGCAGTTGTAGCACTGCTTGGCTGGGTGGTGTTAGTTCTGTGTTTGTGGTGGTTGGTGTTGAGAATCGCTTACTCTCGGTGGTACGGGGAAGAGGGCAGGCGCTGGACTCGTGGCCTGGACGCGTTAGGAGCTTGTTTTTAGTTCGAGATCGGACATGGGCATACCGGGCTGCTTGCCTGTGAGGTCAAAGGTATTAACAATTGGTGCGTATGAAGTGTGGAGGGGATTTTCACATACAGTTGTAGCAGAGACGCTCGGTGGAAGAGCAGACCTCTAGGATCCGGGTTAATTTTTGCGCGGCAATGCCATTCATTCTACTAACCAGCATAGTGGCCAATAGTACCACACTTGTAGCATGCACGACGAGACAGCATCATCTTGGCGGTATTCTATGGCGAGTCAGTCGGTGCCGAGGTCATGGTATATAGCTCCGATAAGCCACGTCTTCTTCCCCTCCATTGCGATCGAGGAGGGCAACTCGGATGGAAATAATTGTGGTCAAGTTGCTTGCGCATGCCAATTTCACATATCCACCAGTCCCAGTATATCCATATCCCAAGCTTATCGGGTTGCGATGCGATCTCAAATTTTCAGCGGAAGGAGGGGGAAAAGACGTGTAGATCGGCATTGCCGGCGGGGAAGCACGAGGTCGAAAAGCGAAAACGAATGAAAAACTCACGCTCACAATAACTTCTTCAAAAATGTCAAAGTTCTCTATCCAATATAAATATGCACCTTGTTAGTGAGAATCTCTTTTGGAGGGGATGTTGAAACAGCCCACTTTTGGGAAAATCGAAAAGTGGGACACACAAAGAACAGAATAAAAAAAAGCCACAGGAACAACAGGAATGTTCAACTCACTCAACAACTTCGAATCTCTATCTCTCTCAACCGTCAACAACTCCTAAAGAATTCTCGAAACGAAGAAAGGAAAAGTGGAAAAAGAACTGCAAACTCGTCAAACGCTTGACAGCTTAGCTCCCGGGCTTTTCCGTATTGCGTAAGGTTGCTGATTCATTTATTTACTTTGTATACTTAACAATGCATATAGCAGTGTATATAGCAGTGTATATAACAAGGGATATAGGATTCTATATTATATACTCTATACCGTGAGAAGAAATTCCCGCCCTACATTCTACAGAAGATCCATTCCTAAACCAAAAAGAAAACTATATTCATTTCATCGTTCCAAAAAAGACCTTTTCTATTCTACTCCTCTCGTTCCAGAATAGCAGGTGCTTTAATTTCTCTCCCCTTGAGGAATTCCAAGTTTTCACCACCCTGTAAAACAGTTAGTATCAAAAGTATCGTTAGAATCAAAAGAGAAAGACATACGTAGCTAATGAGAGGTGAAACCTCAACACCCTTCGCCTCACCCTCAGTAATGACAATACCACCCGCAGCCTCCACCCAGCGTTGACCCTGCGCCATAATATCATCACGGCTAGTATCCGGGTCATCCTCGCCGGTACCACGAGCATTCTTTAAGGGCGAGAACTCATCCTCGCGACGAACCTCAATACTGGCAAACTTGTCCAGCGGCGTCATAGGGAAAACGTCGAAAACGAACTGCTCCAGCTTCACACCATTAGGCTTCTCGGGCTTAACGAATTCACCCGTCTCAGCATCTGTGAAGGGAATCTTCTTGCGAGCAACGTGGTGAGGAAGCTGGTGTGCCCAGTTCTCAATCGACTCCAAGAATCGGAAGGAGTAGTAGTGGTTGACGATGTTGGCAGCGCGGTACATGAGCACATCGGGCTGCTTGGGGTCCTTTGCCTCGGCAGTCGCGGTGTCGATCTCGGAGTACTCGACGACATCGGGCTTTCCGTTCTTGAGCAGGATCAAACCGACAGACTCGGTGGCGTTACGCTTGCGCACGACCTTGGTCGCGATGTCGACGTCCTTAGAGGCCGAGAAACCAATGAAGACCGGGTCGGCGACCTTCACGAGACAGTTGTCCACGCCGTAGAGGTGGATGTGCTGAATGCCGCGCTTGCGCATGTCCTCGCGGACGCCAGAGACAACGAGGGCCTGGTAAATACCGCCGTTTCCGTCCGGGGCGACGGCAGCCTTGGCCTTGGTCTCGAGCAGGATCTTGCCATCGTTGGAGATGCAGGGGAGAACGCCCTGTTCGAAGATCATAACGTTGGCCTTGGCCAGGCCGAAGTAGTTGTTCTTTTCGAAGAACTCTTCTGTGGGCTTGCGAGTAGGGCCGCTGGTCATGATGTACCAGGGAATGATGGTGCTGCCACCGGCCATGGACTGCAGCTTTGCGATGCGCTGGGCCTGCAATTGGAAGAGGGACTTCTCGCTGAGAAGCCCGATGTCGAAGCAGCCCTTAGGGGCGGAGCTGCCGAGACGAGTTCCCTGGCCGCCGGCCATGAGGACGACGGCGACCTTGTTCTCGGCGACGAGCTTCAGACCTTCGTCGTTCCATTTTTGGATGTCGGCGGCGCTGGAGTCGATGATGGATGCTGTGGCGGATTCGGGGAGAGGCTCGAGAACTACGGGACCGGTTGAAGCGGGGGGAGGGTTGAGGGCTTTGTCGGCCAACTCATTAATGCGGGCGGGATTGAAGTTGGAGAGCTGGTGGAAGAGTTGAGATTTTTCGATGGTGGTCAATTCCTCGGCAAAGGCGAAGACATGGCCTTGTCCGGCCTCGTTGTACTTCTGTACTAGTGATTGGAACTCTTCGGTTGAAGGTTCACGAGGAACCTCTGGGGTTGTGCCTTGAAGTTTTCCGAGAACGTTGGAAACGGCATCTTTAATAACACCAGCCATTGTGAATGTGAATTATAGGATGAAAGTAGAATTGAGGGGGAAAGTGGCGGAGAAAAGTAAATAAATGGGGGTGAAGCTCGAGCTGAGTAAGTACTCACCGTAGAACACCTCACACTAAAAACACTATTTATCTGTAACCCACAGTTATTTTTAGTCACTTTTTTTAGACAGGTTTCAAGATCTACATACTATATAACAATAATGTAGGCGAATTATAGCGAGCGCCATGAAAACGAAAGTGACTAACGAATTGCCGAGTGAGACCTACTGGAACTAGTGGCGGGGCTTTCCAAGGGGCGAAGTACAATATTGTACAATACTACCTATGTAGGTGTGACTACGTTGGAGGTCTACATTGTGTTTACAATTTATATGCAATATGTTATGTCATCAATTGGTGTTATGCTTGAGTAGTCATGGATGCCTTGTTTAAATATGATGGTACATCGGCTTTTGACTGGGTATATCCTAGTATCTCCGATCATCACGGTAATCTCGTTCTCGGTCTCGGTCTCTCCGTGAATCTCTGCGGGGACTGCGACTATAAGAACGACGACGGTATCGATCATCATTTCGCCTGGGGCTTCGACTCCCTCTGTCGCGACGGGACCCACGATTTCGATCTGAGGATTCACGTGGAGGGTTGACCGGAGCATCCTTCTTCTTGTTTTTGTCAAATACCATCCTGTATCTGGCGTCATCTTCGTCCACAGGAGCGTCGACAACCTCTCGGTACTGGCGTTTCTCTTCCAGATCATCAACACCACCGAAACCACCTCTCGGTCGGCGCTTGGTGACAGCTGAGTTGCGCCAGGATTCGGATAGCTTAGAAACCTATGGATGAATTAGCATGTATGGGTCTCTATGCGTCGCGATGGACTTACACTCTGTGAGAAATCCACATGAATGCGGTGGTCATCAAGTAGAACACCCTGCATCTTGAAGTAGGCCTGTTCACAGTCCTTTTGTTGGTCGAACTCGATAAAGGCATATTGTAGACTCTCATTGGTACGCTTGTCTCGAATGACCTCGCAAGACAAGATCTTCCCAAACCGACTGAAGATCAAATTCAGATCGTCATCTAGTAGAGATGAGCAAAAGTCCACACAGCACATGGGGAACATGACATACCTTGTGTGACCGGGTTCAATTTGCAAACGAAAAGGATATTCTCTGGCGGCCTGACATCGGCAAAAGGCAGATCCCCCACCATCTCCAATGTCAAGGCCTGCGCGCGAGCCTCCCGTTCTCGTCGTAGCTTGTCCATCGCTTCTTCGTCCATATTGTCATCCAGGTCCTCATCGTCCGCAATCCTGACAGTCGCCAATTGCGCCTTGGAAGGCATGGGGCTTTCCGCGGGCTCAATCAATGTGGGCGGGTCATCGAAAGGGTCATCCAGGACAATTGTGTGACGAATTCGGATATCCTTCAACGGTCGACCGCGATCATCGATGAAAGATTCATTGATTTTATCCAAGACCTCGAAGCCCTCGACCACCTTACCAAAGATCGCAGCCTTCCCATCCAGATAATCCAGATTCTCTCCTAGTGTGATAATGAATTGACTAGCCGCCAGTCGTTGGTCGGGATCATTCGTAGCAGGAACCGTTGCCATGCTCACGGTGCCACGCTCCAAGTGTTTCAATTTCCGCGGCACCTCGATCGGGAAAGTCCTCTTGGAGGGTCCGTCCAACAGACCCCATACTGATGATCCTCCATCACTTTCCGGGGCGTCAGGACCGAGTGGGTCTCCGGTTTGGAAGGTAAAATTCTTTTGAACGCTGTGAATGGGCGAAAAATTGTAATACTTGAGCTTGCACAGCTTCAAGAAGCTATAGCAAACAAATTAGTTTCAGTTTCAGCACCGCCAACCAAGTGACAGCCACTTACTTGTTACACGCTTTGGGCGCGTCTTCGACCAACAGGTCTATGACAATGTCGCCTAGGGATGTTTCTAAAAGCGCGCTCATTGGAGAAGTTGATTGGTTCAGAAATTAAGAAGTTGAAGGAGGAAACGGAATGAGGAGAGGTTGTTCGGAGCTTTGACCAATCACCACCTACCGGGAGCGCCAGCCGGAGAAGAACTAACTGAGCCTCTTGCAGTTTCATCTTTTCTATCTCTTGTCTCTGTTCTCTTTCTTTGCTTTTCTTTGCGTTTCTTTTCTTTCTTTGCTTTTGCTTGTTATTCTCCTATTTTTATTCTTTCTGCATAGGAGGATTTTAACATGATCGACCTTGTACAACGATAACTTACCAATCGAGCGGCATATCTTCCGAGTGTCCCCGTTGGATACATTACGTTCTTGAGATCGACGTGCAGCGGATCTTATTAAGGGCCTTGATCGACCCTGGGATTGAGCTGTTTGTGCTTATATCCCTCACCGGTTTATGCACTAAGCAGGCTCTACCAAAAGAATCGGGATTTTCAACCTCTTGGCATTGTCTCTGGTTTACTTTTCCCAGTTTTCCTTCTTGTGTTGACTCTGATTTGACTTCTACCTTGAGCTCTGAAATCAGTATGACATCCACGTTCACGGTCCTCTCCTCCTCCAGTCTATGACCTGTTTCACGGCAGAAACGTTGGAAACGGCCGGCCTCCTGCAGGATTTTAACGGGTATCATGACACTGGCAAGAGCCACACATACACACGTGGGAGGGACAATAAGCAAGCCTCTCAAGTCTGCTTCTTACGCCTCTTGAAGGTCAGCCCTAGACTTCTTCTCTTCAGTCCAACAGGGGGGTTGCCTCCGTATCGCCTGCAACAAGGGCCAGTCTCAATCCCAATATGTTCCTGGCGAGTCAAAAAAAGTCTGCTTAAATTGGTCATGAATCTCAACTTTTACTTCCCCCCGAATGTCGTGCATCGTCAAACCCTTGGCGTGGAGACGATACTTCCAGGCTCAGAATGTTATTTGACACTAGGTAATCTCAGAGCTCTCTTTTATTTTGCTCGTGTCCTGACACAGCTAGTGTACAGTGACCTTTTATAATTTCTCTGATACTAACCGACTACCATATACTGCCATACTACCAAACTATCATACTATTATACGATATCTTACTACCATGTTTCTATACTCTCACCTTCTAGCCTCCTAACTCACTAACACTAACACCATTCCTTATCCCATCACGTATCCAATGTCATGTAACGCGAAACCAATGAACCTTGCAAGTATCCCAGAAGTTCATGCATCTCCATGGTCATCTCTATATTCCCCTTTTTAGCTTTGGGCGTCGATCGTGATCGAGATCCTCTACACCAAGTGAGTACAAAATAGATTCATCTCATTTAGACACCTATCCACTTTGGCCAAGTACCCACGTCTGCTTCATTTTAGTGCGAATTGCTTTTTTTCCTATTTCCACTTCAATCCAGTTGCGCTGGCGCTAAAGACCCTTGTTGTCGATCACTCTTTTTTACAATCATTGATCCCTGCGGTAATCAATAATTTTTTTTCCTTGTTCTTCTAGAGCTTGGTTCGGAGGAGGCTCGCTCGTGCTCGTGCTCGTCAAAGTGACAGGTGTCAGGCTTTTTCTTGTTTTTTTTTTAAAGCTGAAAATTCTCCATTGAGACATTTGAGCGTTCGTTGTCTTTTATTATGTTTAATTTGGTGTTTAATTCTTCTTTCTTTTTTTTTCTTCCCATTGCCCTCTATTTACTCTGGAGATCAGGGCGTTTGCCAGAGAAAATACCCTAGGTATATACCTCCAGATATATACATCTAGGCCTCAGAAGGCCTTTGGTAAGTTCCCTCGACAATGACCAAGTTCAGAACTGTTTGATGCAGATGCAGCCACACCAATCGGTTGAACTATTGAAGCAAACATTTTCCAGGCCTTCATCGGATGTCGGTTATTCTCCCCCGCCGGATCTGCAAACAGTACACGGCAGTTGCCCGTTTTGCCATTATTCTGGATTTCCAAGGGTTGTGTGGGCCTTCTGACTAGGAAGATCTCTTGATATGTATGTTTTTCTCTGGGGGAGGTCGTGAGTGATGACCCTGAACTGATTGTGCCCTAACTCGTTTATTGCCACAATACAGTGTCAAATCAACTGAAACATTGCCCTCCGGAGCACTCTTCTATGGCAATTCGTGTGACGTTACGTTGTGAAACCTCATTTGATAAAAGGCCTACTAAGGTCTTTCATCATACTATGGCATCTGAACCGGAACAGTGCATATCATTTCCCCTTGAATAAAAATCGGAAATATACGAAACGGTTAAAAAGAATTTAGAGCATTTTCCAGGAAAAAGAAACAATTGGTACTTTTGACGTATATGTCTTCATCTGAAGCCTCTAGAAAAATAAACAGGGGCATACATAGTCGATCACACCGATTGTTACCAAAATATGGCTTAAATCTAGCCCTATCTCCCAGAGACATCTTTCTCCTTTCTCCTTTCTCATTTATAGCACGGTGAACTTCCGTTTTATCTTTCACATTCTTTGAAAATACTTTCTATAGTTCACCATGGATCATTCCTATGACAGTTTGGACATGGATGTCCGGAACGATAACCTCTCTGCTCGTTCAATGCGCGTGGTCAAGCAAGAGCGCACTGTTGTCATTGACCGGGATGAAAAGTCCCGGAAACAGAGAAAGAGAGCTCTAGTTGCAGTAAGGTGACCTTGATATAAAGTATTGAAACCCTCCAGCCTCTGACTTCACCTAGTGCAATCGATGCCGGAAAAGAAAGATCAAGTGCAACGGTGATCTCAACACCGGCCTGGCCTGTACAAGCTGCCGTACTGTGGGAGCTACCGAATGCCAGTACTCAAGAGTAAGCCCCTCAACCTCCTACCTCATTATCACTTCCAATCTAATTTACCACGCAGGTCAACTCTCTATCTCCGGAAGAGGTAGCAAGATGCTTCGTAAAATCAACAAACGGGAGATCAACCCTTCTCTCCATGGGCTCTCCTCAAATACGGGCTCCATACCAACGAGAAGAGTACGACATGGATCATTCCCAGTCCAACTTCTCACGACAACCCGTCATGGACTCTCTGAACTATGATGATCAATCATCAACCTATCCCCATCCATCAAACTACCTGCTCTCCAACAACCCAGCAGACTACCCATGGGCCAACCGCTGGGATCCAGCCCTAAGACCCGCAACCAGCGAGTTCTTCGAAGAGCCCATGCCCCAAGCCTACAACTTCGTCCTACCCCAATCCCAACCCCAGGCCCAAGTCCAAGTCCCCCAAGTCATCTCAACCGACGCACCAACAACCTACCCGGACACAGACCGCACCCTTCCAACCCCAACATCCCGCCCAAGCCCCCCAGACCTCCTCATGACCGACACCAAACCCTTCTGGCCCCGCTACCCAGAAAGAATGCCCTATCAACAAACTCAGCCCCAACCGCACTCGCAACCACGCATCAAATCCGACGACCCAGACCTAGTCTTCAACTACATCCCGATGGCAACAACCGACGAGCCAACCCCCATCCCAGCACCAACCCCCTACCTCGAGGAACTAGACTACAGCACTGACCGGCGCTACCGCGACGCAGGGCAGCGCGTGCTGGCCCTCTCATCAGACTGCACCCCAGACGTGTACGGGTACAGCAGCGGGCGGAAGAACGAGCGCGCAACCCTCATGAACGGCCTTGCGTATACGCGCGTCCGACATCCGGACTCGTATTCTTTTTTGCCGGATTCCATGGCTGACTATGGGCGTCTTGATGTGCATCGTGCGCCTACTTTGCCGCTCGGTCATCAGGACGCTTACTGATTGCGTTGGCTTTGCTTGCTTGGGTTGGGTTTGCTCCTGTTGGTTGGTTCTTTCATACAAAAGAGATACCCGAATGGTTCTTATGTCTGCCCTTCTGTAATGGATTGTTTTTTTGCCTGTTTATCTTGCTTCTTGCTTTGCTTTGCTTTTCTATTGTTTTTCTATTGTTTTTCTGCGATTCTGCCTTCTGCTTCAAATAATCCAAATCCCATGGGAAGGTTGTCTGGTATAACGTGGTCCATCCTGTCATACTGGTCTTGCCATAATCCCCTAATACTCCAATATATGTGGTGATTTATATCTATTTCGTGTCTTCCAATATTGGCTTGTTTTGTTTTTTTGATCATGTTTTAGTCGTTGGTGGGAAAGCTTTTCTGTTTTCGTTTACTGCCGAGAGACTCCTGTGATATCTTGTGTCCGCAACATATATCTAGGCGACGTTGGGCTCTTTGGTTTTGTGTAGTATGTGGAAGGTCATTATCTTGTGTTTCCTATTCTTATCACATTTGCGCCGTCGCTATATCTGAAGTGGTGCCTGATAATATATTGACTAATCATCATTACTGTCCTTGCAATATTCGATATATCGATGTAGTGTTAGAGCAGCCACGAGACCTCTTAAATCATCAACCCCAGTACCCTGTAGAATGGTCACGAACACCATGTGTCCGATGCATCCAGCGAGTGTCCTGCCTAATAGGGAAATATATGACGCATCACCCAGACACGTCGACGCCTACCACCCTACCATCTCAATTACCCTGCAAGTAAATCTCACAGTAGCAGAGCACCAGGTGACCCAAAGGCACATGTCGATATGTGACAGCTTTGAACTCGGACAATCAAAACCAATTAAACAAAGGAATAGAATATAATGATGAATATGTTTAGGTTGTGTGATTGTAAAACCCGTCACACGATCGAAGACAATGTGCCTGCATCTCTCACGCGGATTGCAGACCTCGGAGTCTTTCGATGGTGTTACCTATATGTTCGTTGGATTGCCGATATAGTTCTTTGCTATGGCGGATCGTATCTTCGAGTGCAATTGGTGCATCGGATGTTCTGAATCGACCCGGGTGGTACAGGGTGCTTCCGGGAAATGAGATCGACTTTGGCGGAGAGTTCGTATCAATGCTTGTATAGGTACCTAGTTAGTTGGTTGTGAGGTGGTTGATTGTACGGGGTTGATGGGAGAAGTCGATCAGCACGAACAAGCAGTATAGACGATCTGGATCGCTACATAACTATTATGCATGCATGGGATAGTGGACACTTCACGCAAGCCACATATCAAATGTACAAAGGTCCTAGACTACTTCCCGTCTACAGGAGAATCACCTACAGAGCCCGAGTGAAGAGAAACAAGTAAAATGTAATTTCATCCCGGGCAAACAGCCGAAGCCCGGATTCTCATAACCCTGTGGAAACCGATGACCCCCAAAAAAATACACACAAAGAACCTCGACACAGACGCCCTGCTTACTGACGGGTCATCTGGCCTTTTTTTTTTCTCAACGGGAATCACCGGCATCAGGAACAGGAAGAAAAGAGTTTCCACGATCTTCACCAATCAACGGGCATCATTTTGGGTTTTAGTCTGATGTTCGCTGAAAAGGAAGATAAACCACCCCCACACACGACCGACCGCACCTGTCTCCATATAGAAGCTATAGAAGCCAGGCGGGAAACTCCAGAGCCAAAGCCGCAACCATCCTCGCCAATCGTATCAGTCCATGATTCGTGCGAGAGATTGATGACACGCTTAATCCTTGCTCTTCTTGGGGCCCTTGACCTTGGCGACACCGCGGAACTTCTTGGAGCGGTTCTTCCGTTGCTTGCCTGTAAAAGAGGATTATGATTAGTGGGGGTGCTTCGGGAATTGAATTGACGGTGATGGTGGCACATACGCTGCTGGCGGGAAGCCTTCTCGATCTTGGAGGCGGCACCGATGCGAACGAGACGGTAGTGGGGCTCGAACTTCTTGAGGGCCTCGGCGGAGTCGTAGACGAGGGCAAAGCCGGTGCTCTTACCGCCACCGTACTGTGTGCGGAAACCGAAGACGGAGACCTGGTCCTTGTTGGACTTGTACAGGTCGGCCAACTTCTCACGGAGCTCGTCCTTGGAGACGTTGGGGCGGTTGGGGTGGAGGACGTCCCTAGATTCGCGAAAATATGTCAGATCGATGTTTTCTGGTTGTTGATATGGTTTCTGTGTGCGTTGTGTGTATTCCGATTGTGGCTTCTTTTTTTTTTTTTCTTTCTCGAGGGTGTGTCGTCCGATTTCAATATGCGCGCACTCGATATGTATTTTCCACCACACACAGATTCCAAGGGGAAAAATTCAGGGGGTTCTTACACGACCATCTGCTTGCGGGCAAGCAGAGGGTTGCGGATGAACTTGCGAGTCCGCAGAGTGACGGGAGTGTCGGCCATTTTGGTGTGTGCGTTGGATGGAGGAAGTGTCGACGGGGTCACTGAGGATGTCCAACTTTCAATTTTCGTGTGGTGTGGGCTCGGCTAGGGGAGACGCTAGCCTGTTTGGGAAAGTTTGCCATGATGCCTCAGGCAATGACTAAGTCCGCCTTTCTGCCTGAGGTTGTTAGCGGTTACTCAGCGCTGATTATGTCACTTCTGACTCATCTCCCCACTCTCCAATGATATCGCATTGATCTGCAATATAATTTTGATTCTATGCTTCATTTTCGATGTTTGAATATGAATTCCATTCATAAATTAGCAGCTCAGTACTTCCAACTGGTGGAACTACACCATCTGGATATCCCGCCAGGCTCAGTGCTTGTCCAACCAGATGTACAAACAGCATTATACGAGTACATGTTCGACGAAACTATCTTTCCCATTCCACCAAACAGCTACCGAAGCCGAGTTCTGAAACAGATTATCTCACGAATCGAGGAATCAATCACTGACCCAGAGCAGGATGTATGCAAACCCCAAGATCAATCATTCCTATTCCAACCCCAATTCCTAACACTAATCATGACATCCATGCAAAATATGCAAAAACCCCCAATTATACCTGATCTAATACATAATCCAGGAATTAAACGACAATCTCATGGAGTGCTGGAGCACCCTACTTTCCCAGCCAAAACCCTCATCTCTTGAACAAGCCCAACAACTCTCTTTAGTAAAATATACAGCACCCAACAAGCCCACGCTCACAGTAACGACCTCCGAATCACGAGGTCTTATTCTCTCCGGCGGCACGACGGGCAACCGAACCTGGGAAGCAGCGCTGCATCTCGGCTCATTTCTTGCCTCTGAGGCCGGCGAGACACTGCGCGGCAAGAGGGTTATCGAGCTCGGCGCTGGGACGGGATTCCTTGCTCTTTTCTGTGCGCGCCATCTTGGTGTTGAGAGTGTTGTTGTTACGGACCGGGAGCCCTTCTTGATTGATAATATTCGTGCTTGTGTGCGGTATAATCTCGATGGGAGAGAGGGCATTCCAATCTACCCGGCTGTTTGGGAGTGGGGAACGCCGTTGGAAAGGACTGGGGAGCTAGATGGTGTTGCTGGTGACGGGTTGAAATTTGATATTGCGCTTGGAGCTGATTTGGTGGGTTTTTTGGTGGGCGATTGAATGGTGCATTTGCTGATATTTCCAGATCTATGATTCCGATCTCGTTCCCTTGTTGCTGTCTACTGTGCGGGATCTTTTCGAGAATTATGGTGTTCAGCAATTTATCATTGCTGCGACGTTGCGCAACGAGGATACGTTCCGGACTTTCTTGAATGGATGTGGTGAGTATCTTTTGCGGATGGATTGAGTGCCTCGCTGACTTGACAGAAACAAACACTTTCGCCGTTGAGACTCTTCCCTTCGAGTCTACACCTTCAAAAGACCAAACAGGGTTCTTCCACTCGACCAGCATTCCAATCAGGACATATCGGATCTCGCGGACAAAATAAGCACACACCAATGTCTACGTTACGAGGTAACGAGTATGAATATAGAGCATGATAGAAAAGGATTGACAATATTGATTGATATTGCAACATTTGACCAAAGTACACTCTTCTACGAAGTTTGGCGACATTCTAAATACCACTCAATTTAGTTTCATTTCTCCGCAGGTCTTTTTGAGGACTAGCTCAACATTTTTGGCCATTTGATTATGTATTTATAGCAGCAGAGTAGCCTCAATATTACTACAGTGTATTGACTTTGATATAAGCTGCTTCCAATATTTGAGACTCAATTCAATGTCTAAATCAAAGCTAATTGTTTGACGAGACAAATATGATATTGGAATACTCATGAAGCATCAAGTCTAGCGACCAACAACCAAAAAAAGAAAGAGAGTATCAGCTAGACAAGTCGAGCAAAGCAAAGACAAATCCATGGGTATCAAGTTCGCAATCGCACACGCCATCGAAACCGAGACCGAGACCAGAAAATGCAATCAAAACGTAATACCAGAATGCAAGGTATGAAAAAGGGGAGTAAATGCAAGAGCAAGATGAGTGTACGCTAAAAGAAAAACAGCAGAGAATCTGCATCTGCATCCAACGCAAAGAATCTAGCTACTATTCGGCCAAACTCTCCCGCAGCAAATCCTCATCTAGTCCTGTCGGATGGAGAGAAACCGGCGCAGCAGGTGGCGGTCGCAAGCCCATTATCGGGCCTTTCTGGTTCACGCCTGGGTATCTGAAGCGGAGAGCCAGAGGGTCTGGTTTGAGAACGGGGGTCGTTGTAGAAGGGGAAGAGGCGACAGATGTATTGGGCGAGTCTGCTGGATCATGTGGGTCACCGGAGACAGGTGCCATGCCCCACCTGCCTAGGACCCAGCCTCCGACGCGGCGGCCTAATGTGGCTTTGCGGCCTGTGGTTGTTGAGGCTGTGCTGGTGCTGTCTGAGGATACGACGGAGGCCGTATCAGATTTGGTTCCTACGGCCATCGAAGCGAGGAGTGATTGGGATGTGTATGTTGAGCTTGTGGCGCGGTCTGCTTGGATGGAGGGGGCGGAGATGATTGGGGGTGTTGAGACTAATTCGACGCTGGGGGATAGAATGCGTCGAGGGATTTTCATGCCGGGGTGCCAGTCGCCCATTCGCAGGTGGCGGGTTTGGGGCGTGTGGATGTCCATCCCTGCAACGGAGAGTAAACTGTCGTGTGAAGAGGATCTGCGTATTCCTGAGGGCTGTACGTGCATGTTACAAATGTCATCGTCGGGGACTGGGCGAGGGGCCTGTACGGATGTGTCAAAGTAGGCCACAGATGGCGATGACTCGGATTCTTCTGGGATGGCGGGTTGTCTATTATTGTCGCCTGGATTGTGGAAATCTCGGCTGTAGATATCATCTTCGAAAGGCATAGACTCGGGATCGTTATCATCAAAGCCACCCATCGGACGGAAAGACATATCAAGACCCTTCAAGTTCCGTACTCCCATCAAAGGAGAGGAAAACACAGTACTTTCGGGGCTGGTAGGTTGCGAGAATTCAGAACAACGTTCAACGCGGTCAAATATTGACGATGGTCGAAACGCGGACTGTGGAGAGCTTGCCAGTGAGTCTGGCGCATGTGATTGTAATGACCAGCGGCGGGACGATTGAGGTGGGATGGAGACAGAAGTGTGGGACAGGATAGTTGACATCGATGAACCGGAAGACTGAGAACGATGGAGGACTCTTCGAGGCGACTGGGATCGGACGGCAGAGTGCATTGCAACCGGGCTTCCCAGAGCAGGACGGCGTTTCTTGACACGGCGATTCAGCGGAGCTTTCTCTTTCTTTGCAGCTTGCGTTGGTGTATGGTAGTGGTGGTGTATATGGAATTCCTGGGACACGCGGCGTTCTTCTTTTGCTTCAAGCTCCTCGCTCAGAGTTGTGGAAGACCTGGGCTGCGCATTTTCTTCATCGACGCCGGCCAGCGGCTGATGAGACATGACCTGTTCCCGTAGATTTTTCACTTCTTCGTTCGAGTTGTCAAGTAATTCGCGTAGCTCTATGATCCCAACTTGCAGATTGGCGTTGTCCTGTAGTATATCCTTGACAAAGCGGGACACCACGTTGGTGCCACCAGCGTTGCGATTTAATTCGGAGGCTGCAGCGGCGCCCTTGAGACGCCCAGCTGCATTATCCAGCTCGCGCTCGACGGCCCTCTTCCGCTCCATGCGCTCTACCAGCTCGGTATGTCGTTCGCTCTCTTCGCGTGCTTCTTTTTCGATGCGGTCGACTTGATCATGAAGGTCACGCACGTTGCACTCTGCTTGCCTCCACCGCTGGAGGGCCGATTTCTCGTCTTCGCGCGCGGAAGTAAGGCTTTCCTGGAGTTTCGACTGCTCGGTCTCCATGAGAGCTAACTGCGCCTCAAGCTCTGCAGCGCGCGTCGCAGCCACCGTCAATCTTCGCAGCTCACACTCGGTGCTTTCTAACGTGTTGGTGAGGGACTTGACATGGTCGTCAGACTCGGCGACGGCTCTATTGAGGGCGTCGAGTTGCTCCAACAAGCTGCGATTTTCTTCGATAATGCGCGCGTTTTCCGCCTGCACTTCTTTCTTTTCGCGCTCTAGATCGTCAATGCTGGTGACCAAGCGGTGACGGTCCTCTTCCGCCTCAGCCATGTAACTTTCATGACGATGGAGCAAGGCCTGTAAAGAAAAAGTCAGCGAGGACGGCCCCAAACATCCTGCCTCGGCAGTATAATCGTGAAAGGTAGCCATGACGGACGCCAACGCAATGTGAAAGAATGGGAGATCGATATTTGGCGGCCATGAGAGTATGAAATTAAGACTGATACACTGACGTGCGCAGTCTGAAAGGAACAAATTAAAAACAACAAAAAGTAAACCACAAAAGAGGAATCAAAGTAGTGTTTGTGAGGAATGACGGAAATGATATATCAGATATCAAACATGCATGGCTGAGCTGAGCAGAGGAGCTGGCGGCTAGTCCTACCCAACCAAACTGCATCGCAAAAATTGGGCTGATATTTAATGATACGTACCTGACCGAGTCTTGCCGCTGTCTCAAGATCTTTTTCCAGACCCTCAAGCGCTATATTGTTATGCTCAAGCAAAGCGCAATCATTGCGGCCACAGCAGCAACGAAGGGTGGTAGAAGTGCTTGAATAGGTCGGAATGCTGAGAGCTCCCGAGCTATGCGGGTGGGAATCCATGCTGAGAATGTGCCCCTTAGGAGCTAGGTGTGGAGAGAAAGCTCTCAATCATCAGAGAAGCCCACAGGTCAAGTAACACGGGGGATGCATCTGCAGGTTGTCTTTTTTGGAGAGCGGAGATGCCCAACTTCGCTGGCGGAGATGAATAAGCAGTTCCTGGATTATGTAAGGCAGCATAAGGTTTGACGGCTCCACGGTTTCACAGACGCTGAGCCCTATGTGGAATTCGGCATGGTACGTTGGATATAAGAGTCTACGTGATTATCGTGAGATTCAAACGGACTCGATGTCTACTTGGGCACATACTAGGGATAAAGCGATGAAGATGTGCCTCTGGCATACTGCCAAGACTCGCCCCACTGTACCTCCACCTATCAGGTAAAAATTCAATACACTTTGGATCGTGGGACGGATAGACCAATGATATATAACGGCTATGGTCGAGATGCAATGAAAGGAAAATACGGTGACTTAGTTCCTGCAGGGGATAGAAATATCGGTATATTGCTTTTGTGAATACCAAATTACTATACTCGAAATATGAGATCCGGATACACCACAATCCAAATGAGATCAAACACGAAGGCAACGTCTTACTACATAGAACCTAGCCTGGTATATCACTTTGACTCATCTATTATATATAGAATTATTTGAACAAACTCTTTGAAACCTGTTGACCAACTAAATAGGTAGCAGCTAATAGTATCTTCGAGCAGACCTAACCTAGTCAACCGGTGAAACCCCAACACTCTTTCTTACCAACTAATACTCCAAATAACCAACAAACCATACCTGTTTCATACAGAACCAATTCACATGATTCAAATCCCCCTGTTTTTTATATGGTCTTGGAAATGAGACCAAGAACAGAATCCAGGGAATTATTAAAAAGAACAAAAGGGTCCAAGGAACAACGTAACACTCGAAATCCAATCGAGTTTGAATGCAACCTAATGCTCGATAAAAGATACGAAGAACCACACGTGACAAGACCAAGACAGCAAGTGAGGAAATCAAAAACCCACCACAGACAGCGACTTGGCCCAGAAATGAACAACAAAGAGGAATAAGAAAAGAAAAAGAAAAAGCCCAAGCCAAGCGCCCATCAAAGCAAAACATCATTCCGCACATTAATGAACGCCCCAGCGCCGCCGTCTTCACTGATTTCATTAACCAACACCTCTGTCTGCTGGTATAACCTTTCCAACGCCGCAGCAGAGGACTTGCCCAACGACACTGTAACCGCAACCATTAGCACCAAATCAACCACCAAGGGAAAAAAAAGAAACATACCCAGAATCGCCGAGTTCAACTCCTCAGCCACAGCCACCCGCCCCTTCGTTTCAAGATAATGCCCATTAACTGATTTCTTGGGATCCGGATACGCGACGAGCGAGAAGATATCATCGAGTAGTTTCTTATCGCCACCGTTCTCATCATTAGGATAATCGGCGCGTAGCTGCTGGCCGTACTGCACGGCTTCTGTAAGCAGGGCGTTGAAAGCAGATGAGTCAGTGTCGTCGTCGAGTTCCATCTCGTGATCGAAGACGGCGTGTTCGTTGGAGTGTGCTGATGATGGACGATTACTGAGTTCGTTAGAGCGACGCATCATTTCGAGGAATTTGCGGCAGCGCAGCTTGAAGTGGATCTGGGGATTTTCGTCGAGTACGTTTGTGTAGTAGGCTTTTGTGTGTTTGAGCGCTTTGTCGATGTCGCCGTCTAGGATTGCGGAGCGGATTTCTGGGGTTGTTAAGTTTCTCTCTATAGGTATGAGGTATGGATGAGGCGAAGGGGACGTACTGTTCCTGTTGATGGCTTCGTGGTCTTCTTCTACTTCATATTTCTTTAATGGCTCGTTGCGGCCGTTTTGTAGAGCCATAGTTTCTGTGGCGACTTCTTCGGCAAAGGCACGTGCTGTCTCTACGTAGCCGTCGTGGGCGAGGAACTGAGCCACTAGTTCTTGTAGGAGGGTTGATTCGTCCAGTGGTGGTTGGAGATTCGTTGTTGATGTGGCATTAATCTCATTTTGGATGGCCAGTCTCTCTTGCTGGTGGAGATTAGTATAATTCGCTGAAACTGGGGTTGTCCACCACATACCCTGACCATGCTATCGATATCAAAAACGAAAGGCTCCTGTCCAAAGTTCGCTTTGAGATGTACGGGTGGCAATTTCTTCATTCCTACAGAAGGATAAAGCTTCACGTTTCGCAGTTCGTGGAACGCATTCCCTGTTCTCGTCAGCTTCATTCACGTCCCCCATAGTCCGAGACATACCCAAGAAAATGCCGTTCTTAGTGAAGAACGCGGACCCCGTAGAAAAGTTCACTCCACAGCCCACGGTATCACCAACCCCAAAAGTCGGTCCATACGCCCGTCCTTGGCCCTGACTCTCTCCGAAAAACGACTTCCCGTCATCCCCATGATAAGCCCAGGATTCCTGCTCCCAGCCGGGAAGCCTTTCTACAGACGCCTTTGGACTGGAGAATCCAATACCGATCATCCTGCGCTACGTCAGCGAAATCCAACCACCCAGAACAGACAGACCACATACCCTTCCTTCGGCTTAGACTCAACTTTGACTTCAAAGTAGTAGATCCCACACTGCGGCGGCATGGGGTGGTCCGCGCGTAAAGCAGCAGCCTCATGGTCATGCTTGTGAACGGGACCGGTGTACCGCACATCGAAATTATCATTACTCAATTCCAAGCCGGCGTATTTGTCCGCGACGCTCCACTGGCTGGGCAGCGGGGAGAGGGGATCCGCGACAGGCGGTTCCTTCTCTATGATATCGTAAGTCATGCCTCGGTGCGACGGGGCCATGCGAGGGAGATGAACATTGCTTGAGGAAGCGGACAGAGGCGGGTTTGCATCCTTTGTTTGTTTCGCTCCGTGGGCGGACTCGAGGCGGGCGATGTAGCGGGAGTTGCGGAGGTAGGAGGGGATCAGGAATGGGGGGTCGATGAGGGCTGGGATGTCAGATTGGAGGAATCCGGCATATTTGCGGGAATAGGGCGGCAGGGATTCTTCCGTGTTTCTCCAGGCGGAGTTCATTTGCATGTCGGCATCCACGCTGAATGGAGTCCTTGGGACTCCGTGTGGGTAGAGGGAGTTGAGGTTGGAGAGGGAAAATGCGTTGCCGGAAACTACTGAGGCGTAGGAGGAGCGTCGTGGGATGGAGGAGATGGGGTATGGAGCTCGAGCTCCACCGGATGGGGGAAAGGATCGCTCATGGTCGTTCGCGGGTCGCCCCCCAAATTATCAGCCACGTTCCGGTCTTTTTGGAGTCTTCCGTTTTCGGGTATGTCTGTGTAATAGGTAAGTAAATTTGATATTGGTAGAAAAAGGTTAAGTGCGCATCGATATCGACGGGAACATGCGTGGAATTAAGCAAGGATCAGTAGAGGTGCGTGGATGAGAGTTATGCGAGTGCGTGTGAATACACGAGGGCAAATGCAAGAAAACAACGGGTGATCGAGTTGTCGCAAGTGGTACTCCGTAAAACAGATCAGATCAAAGAAAACAGAAAGTTGTCTGATCGCGACAAAGAACAGGAAACATATAGCGGGGAAGAAGTGAGAAGTATACATAGTCCATGTACTTAGGTCTAAGTGTACATAGACAAGGTATATGTCACGAGCCCCTCTTGCTTCGGACAAGACAAGGCCTTTGTCTACATATGTTGGCTATATTTTATCCTAATATAGGCCTGGAGATATGTTCCCATGGCATGACATGTTAGCATGTCCATTGCCCTATGATGTATCCGCATATACAAATCTCGAACAGATTAGAAGAAAAAAGGACGCTCATCCGAGCAAACATTTCAGATACCACCAAAAATTATGATACAAACCCCCGATCCCAGCCAGCGCCAAACCCATAAACCCATAAAATCTATGATACAAAAAACTCAAGCCATAATCGCCGGCGACGAAGGCTCAATCAGCGCAGGGGTCACATCCCCATCCCCACTCTTCTCACTGGGCACAGCACTGCTAAGCTCCGGTAGCATCTTGCTCTCACTGGAATCCATATCCTTGGACAAACCCGGGGTGCGCCATGAAGGCAGCTGCCACATGATCCCGGTGAAGCTGCGGAGCTGTAGGGGCTTGCGTTCCCATTTGCGGCATGCGGCACCAGTGCGGTCGAGGGCGCGCAGACCCGCGTTTATGGCGCCGGTGTTGGCTTTTGGTCCAAGGCGCTGGGCGGCGGGGAGTTTGTCGCCTTCTTCACTGGTGGGGTGTTAGCTGTGATCAACAGGTGGGGGATTGAGTTTGATTGAGAGTAGAATGGAGATTGGGGTTGGAATTGCTTACAGCTTGGGCTTCTTCTTGGGACCTGGTCGTCCGCGCGACTTGGAGTCTGTTTGACCGTTTGGGCGCTTGTTGCCTGGTTTGGGGCCCGGGACCCCTTTCCGACGCGGTGTGTCGCCTGGTGTTGCCCCCGTGGCGGGAGTGGAATTTGCGTCGTCGGAGCCGTTGTCGGCAGATGATGGGCGAACTTGGTGGTCGGAGGAGGCTGGCGACGAGCGGTCTTTTTGTTCTGGGGTTTGGACGAACTGGGCGAGGGAGCTGGATGATAGCTTGAGGACGATTGTCAAGGAGGAATTCTTTCCTCGGCGACTATTTGGTGTACTAGCAGGCATGATGTAGTAATATTAAAGAAGTTTGTTAAATGTCACGACCGTAGCCTGTTTCCCCGTCAGGGTTGTTGATGGGATGTGGTTGATGAAGAGATCATAGTATGAGGGATGGGGGGAAGAGAAAAGTGAAATGGAAGGGGGGGCGAAGTAAAAGAGGGCGTCGTGGATCCCATGGTTTTTTTTAATTCGAAAAGAATGAAGCACAGGGGGTCATTCAGTGAAAAAGGGCATTTCTCTTTCCTTCGGTTTGGTAAGGACTTTTCGTATTTTACCATCAACAACTACTTGTATGGAGTATCATACACGGGGTTATGACCATACCTATACTTCTTTTTCTTCTCCTCTATCACTCTTGACTAGTGATGGTCTTAATTCTATCTGTATATGTTATTCATCATATCGATCTCAATAGTCGAAAGTCTCATCGTCAAGAAGCGATCTTCAACGGTACAAAGTTTCTTACTCGATGGATCTCATTCTAAACCCGCTGTGTCCCGAAAATCGCTCAAACTGACCGCATGATGTCTCGCACTCTTACCAATTACACTGGACACTAACTGTGAAATGACGCCAAAAAAGTCACCACGGTGGAAGTCCTGCCATACCCAAATTACGCACGACGTACATACGTATACACACGTATCTCCTACAATTTACCCGCTTGACCGGGGACACAACCACTTCACCCGCCAAGCTCCGTTAGTCATTCTGTTCAATCTTGGAACGCTCGGAAGGTTTAGGGCTGGAAGTTAAGGGAAACATTACCGAGTCTACAATGGTACAAAATGCCGAGAATGGCCCTTGCGTCTACTCGCTGTTCCTCTTGAAATTCGGTGAATTGTATGGCGCCAAGTTTCACGTCCACGTTTTGTTGGACAGATTTTGGTTCGACCTCGAGCTCTTTGTCGTCTGATTTCCACTTGGGCACATCCCAGCAAAATAGCGAAACATACATATGCAGCCAATGAAGCTTCGACCGAGGCCTCTCGATTATCGAGCGTCTTCGAATAATCGACTAACCCCATGATATCACCATGCAGTTCAAAAGGAGCTCAAGACCCAGGTCTTGGGATCTGTCCCCACCCACGGCGCCTACTCGGGGATCTACAGTGAGCCACATTATGCCCTCAAAAGGCCGTCATTATCAACAAAGCAATGGACCCTTGACTTCGAGACTATATTCTCAGGCGCACAGAAATCGAAGCCACATCGAGTAAGGACATGTTTGAACGGACGAATACAAGAAGAGTAGTTCACATGCGCATGACTGTCCAAGGATTGACCTCAGCTTCGTCGAGGACTCGCGATATTCGCACCGAGTATAGCAGCCCCGCGAAAATTACATGTTGGTCTCATATCAACGAATGCTTGATACTTGGTATACAAGTTCAATGTAAGTATATGGATTGATGTAGCTCTCTCTCCTTTTCTCATAGCCCCCATCCGCTTGTGTAGCTTTCACTCCAATCATCGATAGCAATATATGTCTTCATGCTCTCACTATGGACCGGAAAGATGTCATACGCTCGATAACGGACGTTGCCTCTGCGTCTCAACCTTAACGTATCATCTCATGGTCATCGACACATCGTTGTCCTTGTCGCTGGCTGTCTCTCATCTTCTATACCTAGTAGCATCTATCACAACCAACACAATACTAGCGTCTTCTTGCATCTGATGGTCTCACGGTAGCACTCATTTTAGGTCCATGAAGAATTCGCGTAGAAGACAGCGACTTGGACTATCCCGAACGGATAAGCTCATTCACTCCACGAATAGCCTCACAGTATTCCCACTGCACTGGCTCATCTATCTACTGTATGATTAGGTGAGCACGTGCCTCAAATGTTTTATCCCGGATGTTGTGTCACGACTTGAAACCCGGCACGCTGAACGACTGGAATCTGCAAAATTTTTCGTCCCCGACACCCACCGCACCTCAAATCTCGAAACAAACGAATCATTTCTTCATGCAAACTTGGCCGTGATGATCGACTGCGTGGAAGACGAAGCTGCACTGGACTTGAACGCTGTTGGTATGGTCTCCAGGGAGTTCGAGGCCGAGAAGAAACAGCTTTGCGCTTGGCTAAGGTATCTAGGGACATATTGGTCGTTGGATCCGTCTTTGGCGTTGCCTACGGGACTACGGGTTCGTCTACGGTTGGATGCCTGCAGGCTTGCACTGGGATATGTGGTGCCTGAGTTAGGACTGACGGACTCGAAGACAGCACGCATTCTCCCCAAGACACTGGAATATCTGCTTCTCTAGTATGCCCCAGAGCTTGACGGCAAAGAAAACCTCATGTAGATAGTCTTGAGGCGTTGGGAATCAAGAAGACTGGCCTACATTTCGATCGTGGACTTTCTAAGCTCAATGTGCTGATGCTTCAATACGGAATGCGCGTATCTGGTGGCAATGGACTTTTCAAGCTGTGCTGCTACTATTTTATCAGGGTGCTGACTCTAAACTACATCTCCGAAAGTCTTGGGGGAACCTTCCAATTGTTGGCGGGGTGATGCAGTGGCCATGAGGAAGGTACTCTGGAAGTCACTGTTCTAGTGATCTGTAAGAGTCAAGACATGGGAGTACTTTCCTTCCCATTCAGAAAACAACCTGGAGCTCCCAAACCTATAAATAGCCCCTTCTTCTCCTTTCTTCTCTTCTTCTCTTCTTCCTTCTTACATCTCCCCAACTTCGTCATCTTTGTTCATCCTAACTTCCATCAGCCTCTTGGTGGTTTATCCACTTCATGCTTGACCAACTTCATCATGGTTCATCAACATCATGTCTCACCACACATTGACAAGCACGTCCCATCAACAACATGGTGCCTGATCAACATCATGTTGTCTGATCAACGTTGTTACGTCTCAACAACACATTTCATTCGTCTTTCATGACATTCTCTTTGCTGTCAACATCATCATAGCACATCAAATTGATAGCTGACCTACGTTATGTCTAGTCTACTTCATATTTCCTCAACATCACGTCTCAATAACACGTTGACACCACGTCTTATCAACAACATGGTGTCTGATCAACGCCATGTTGTTGATAAGACTTGTTCTGACGAAGCTTGCTGACAGACCAAATTGTGACCGTGGCGGGTTCTCTGAACTTCAGGACAATCGGCACAGTTTGGCAATCTTCCACCGATTCGATACCCACAACCATAATCCCATTGCAACCAACTGTGACCGTGGCGGGTTCGATAACCTCAGCACAATCGGCATAATGGGCTCTGAGGTGGGAGGATTCATGGGAGGGTTGATGGGGATGAAATTCCGACTGCAGAGGGTTTGAAGCTTTATGGGTTTTGTCAAAGTGTGAGGCATTGTTCCTTGTATCAGTGGCAATTTTTATGAGACCGGATTCCTTCAATACCTTCTTTAAGCTTCCCAGTTTAACAACTAGTAGAGTAACCAAGCCGTAAGGGTCGATTGTACAAGAGTATAGAATTTCATGTGGGCTCATAGCGTTCAACAGAAAACCGGATCGTTATCAACAATAATATACATTTCTACTCAACTCAATAGTATTTTAAGTAGTCTATCAGTCATGCTTGTTCTCAGCCTTCCGTAGTTCCATGACATTTGCCACAGCCTGCTGTACCACAGGACTAGACCTCACTCCAGCGAGGATCAGCCCTTCCTTCATACCCCTTCGGAGGGTCGAGACACTCTCACGGTCACCGCGGAAAGGAGCCAGTCCCATCTGCATGATTCTAGTGGCCTCGGCATCAGTGGCGCGGCTCAACTGCACCAACTGGCCCATTTTCTGCATGGTCTGCGGAGAGATTTTATCTCCAGTTCCAGTCGCAGCTGTTTTGGCGGAGGGAGGGGCAGCCTGCGAGATGAAGATGTGCAGCATGATCGATGCGCGGCGGGCAAGTGTCAGGATCTGAAAGGGGAGGAGATAAAAAGAGTTTTTGGGGAGGTAGGCTTGTATTATGTCAGGGAGGTAAGTGGTTGGCATGAATACTGCTTGGGGGTGTGTGATCAGGCCCAGTTCGAGGGTGAGGAGGGCGCCGAATGTGATAAATCGCCACTGGATCAATGTTAGATTTGGAAATTGGAAATCTGAGTTTGGTGGTTGTACTCACGTAGCGTCCCCAATTCGCCCACCACAGCCAGTTCAGGAGCATCATCGTGACAAATCCGCCGATATACTGTGGCACAATTGACTTGGTTAATGAGGTCATCAAGTAATCGCGCATGGTCTTCTGCTCGCCCCAGTTGAGCATATCTGTTCCAAATCTATCATATGCGAAGCGCTTCACTGGATCCACCAGTGTCTCCTGGGCCCGTCGAATGTACAAGAAGTAAGACTCGGCGCCGCTGTCGATTCCGACTTTGTCAGGATGGTATTGGGCAGCAAGTCTGCGGAACCGCGACTTGATTGCTCGTTCATCGGCGAATGGTGACACGCCTAGCGCTTGGTAATAGTCACCCGCCAGCTGGACTTGGTAGAATGTCTCATAGAGCGTGTAGAGGAGGTAACTGGTGATCACGAAAATAAAGATGCGGCGGCGATGACGCTCATACCGTTCTGACTGAGGTGCTGGCTTTGGGTCCCCTGCACGTATGGTCATACCATAATAGACACTTTGAAGGAAAGACGTGGCATACTATGCTTTGTATATTAGCTCCGGTTCCGTTGTTGACTTTGTAACAGTGCACACTCACGTTAGGAAGAACGGCCCACCCAATAAAGGGCAACAGTGATGATGCCATTGTAAATACTCAGATTCCCCTGAATCCCAAAATCACCATATCAAACAAAAGATCAAAGGAAGCGCCGAGTGTTCGACCCCAAAATAGTAGTCTGGGGCCATCTGGCGCCCACCGACACCGCTCATCCGACCGCCTTCCCAAAATGGTATACCAAAAGCCAAAAGAAAAAAAAAGAAAAAAGTTCTCGACTTCAAGAAGCACTCAATCCCTCCACATCGAACGCTCCGTGGAGCGCCCAATTGCGACAATGGCAGTCGATGCAATGGATATCGACGCCCTGCCCCTGCGCACCGCAGAAGCAGAGCGCAAGCGCAAATCCAAGACAACCGCCTCATCACCAACAAAAAAGCGCAAGCAAGCTGCTACTGCTACTGCAACTGCTGCTGCTCCTGTTACCCCGGAGTCTCCCTTTTCCCTTAAAAAAGCAACCCTCTACCTCCCTCTCTCGCCAATCTCGATCTCCCCAACTCATGCCCTAGCCTCTCTGCTAGCAGAGCACCTCTCCCCCCTCCTGCTCACCTACTACCCACCACTGAAAGGCGTGGTGATGGCGTACTCCAACGCCTCAATCTCAAGCAAGCCGCCCTCACCCACGTCCACACCATCCGAGAACCCGCAGCCTCTCACCCTCGCCAGGACAGCCGACGAGTACGGCGTGCTATACGTCTACCTGACTGCTACATTCCTGGTCTTCAAGCCGGAGCGCGGCCAGATCCTCGACGGCTGGGTCAACGTTCAGTCCGATGGTTTCCTCGGCGCGGTAGTCTTCAACTTGTTCTCCGTTGGCATTGAGCGCAAGCGCCTGCCGTCGAACTGGAAGTGGGTTCCTCCTGGTGAGGAGGCCGAGGCTACGGCCACGGACGAGGACTCCGCGTCCGATAAGGATATGGCGGATTTCGACGCCGAGAAGGAGGGCTTCCAGCCTGCTGCGCTGGATGAGGAGGAGATGCCGCTCGAGGGCGAGGAGGAGGAGTCTGCGCATTCAGGCTATTTCCAGTCTGTTTCGGGCCATCGGGTGCGCGGCTCCGTGCGCTTCCGTGTTGTCGATGTCGATGTTATTCCTGGGTCTGAGAGGGATCGTGGGTTCCTCAGTATTGAGGGAACTATGTTGGGTGATGAGGAGGAGGCGCGGCTGAGCGAGGCCGAGCGACAGGGACAGTCTCTGCCGCATTCGTACTTTGATGAGCCAGTGAATGCTTCCATTCCTGTGGCTGTGTCGGCCGTTGAGGCGGTCGAGGAGCCTGAGACTGTCGACGTGCACGTTGAGAGTCCGAAGAAGGAGAAGAAGGTGAAGAAAGAAAAGAAGGACAAATCCGAGAAGAAGGAGAAGAAGTCCAAGTCTTCCAAAAAGAAGGAATAAACCGCTCTATGAGCCCTGATATCTGATATATCATATCACTGTTGACTACATCTGGGGCGTTCAGGTTCTACTTTTTTCTTTTCCATGTGTATATGCCAATTGAACATTCAACTTCATACCAAACTCAATCGCTACCTAGATCAATCCAAAAATTCATAACCAACAATCAAACAATCTTAACATCCAAAACATTCCCCCCAGCAACAACCTCCTTCTTCCCCAACATCCGCCCAGCCCTCATCAACTCCGCACTCTGCACCATGACCGGATCCACCCCCATAGTAGCAACAGCAACAACCGTCTCCCCCTCCGTATAATACGCAACAAACTTACCCTCTCCCTTCTCCTGCAAAACAACATCATCAAAGGACCCGGCATACCCACAATACCGCAGCTGCGCCCCAAGCGCCGACCAAAACACAGGGATGAACCGCTTAGGAGCAACCTTGATGCCGCGGTGCGCATAGACTATCGCGCGCGCAGCAGCCCGCCCAGCATTCTGCGCTACGTTCCAGTGCTCGATGCGAACGGGGGATCCGTTGCCACCGGGTCCGTGGTACGGGTATGTTGCGATGTCGCCGACGGCGTAGACGGAGTCGAGGCCTTTCACGGCGAAGTGCTCGTCTGTTGCTACCGAGGCGTCTTTTTCAAGGGTTACCGACTTGTTTTGTTTAAGGTAGTCGGTTGCTGGGCGGACGCCGACGCCTAGGACGACGAGGTCGGCTGGTAGGGCTGTGCCGTCTTTTAGGTGAACGGAGCCGACAGATGAGGAGTCTTTGCCTGGGGAGGCGTGGCTGACGCTTGCGGAGAGCTTGAACTGGATGCCGTTTTTGGCGAGGTTGGATTGGAAGATGCGGCCGACTTGGGGGCCCATTACTCGTTCCATGGGGGCGGATTCCATGCCTACTATTGTGACGTTGTGGTCTTTTGAGAGGGCGTTGCCGACTTCCATTCCTATGAAGGAACTGCCGATTACGACGATGTTCTTTTTGTCTTTTGCGGCGGCGAGGATGGCCTGCACGTCTTGGATTGTGCGTAGGGTGAAGATGTTAGATAGTTCGCCTTTGAAGCCTGGGAGGGGCAGGGTGCGTGGGATGCCGCCTGTTGCGAGGACAAGCTTAGTGTAGGTGATTTTCTTGCCGGAAGCGGTAGTGATGGATTTGGTTGGGAAGTCCACGGCTGTTACTTCATCTGTTAAGGTCTCGATGGAGGCTGAGTGGTACCATTCTCGGGGACGCCATTGGATTTTGGCGGGATCTGTGATGAGTGCTTTGGAGAGCTTAGTTCGGTCGATGATCAGATCGGGTTCCTTGGAGATTATGGTGATTTGGCCGGGGTATTTGAGTTCGCGGAGGGCTTGGACGAGGCCCAGGGTTCCGCTTCCGCTGTTTGGAGTTAGTGAGGGTTGATATGTATGGTTGTAAGGCAGTGAAAAAGAGCTGATAGAGCAACAGGCAAGTAAAATGTTGCGGTATGAAGTGTAGGCATCAAGAAGGGATATCATAGGACAGCCAGGAGCATATAAACCCTTATAGGTATAGCAGGGCATATATCAAAGTGCACAACCAGGTGTACATCAGGACGTTTGATATGAACTTACCCGCCAACAACCACCACCCTCTCATCCGGCTTCTCCACGCTGCATTTGTCGACGGGATTCCGCTGTCCGGACTTGATATCTTCTTCTTTGGCATTGATGTAGACAGCACCGTCTCGCTCGAAGAGCTCGTACTTGTTTAGGGCGTTGGGAGCGGGTGCGTCTTCAACGTCGCCAGTTGATATGTTGAAGCAGGCTGGATATAGCATTAGCTTCTTCTTCTGATTTCAATATTGGAGGTTCCGTTTCATGACAACAGCGACATTAAAATGAATAAACACTAACCTCCATGCCAGGGACAAGTAATCCTGCCCTCGGCCGTAACGACGCCATTCTTCAGTGGCGCACCATAATGCGTGCAGCGCGGACTGATGGCGTGGACTTTATCGTTTGCATTGACGAGGAGGACTTTTCCTTCTTCTATGCCTTCGACCTCGACCTCAATTTTGTCGAGGGGGGAGAGGGCTGATAGAGAGGTGATATCTTTTAGTTTGTATTCCTGGGCCATTTTTGATGATGTTGATAGATAACTGGGGGATACTGGGATTGAAGATGGAGATACTGGAGGTGAGAATGAAGAACGAAAAAGAGAAGCAGGTAAAATGGTTCTGGAGCGGGGAATAAGTGATGACGAGATGCAGCGTAGAGGGTTGCTACACCGACTCAATTGAGTTGGGTTCAGGCGCAGCTTGTTCATGGGGAGATTGGGATATATTTGCTGGGGAATTTTGAATGTAGCTGTACAATATACTGATCTCTTTTTGCTTTAAATGATTGAATTGAGTGGACTGGCTGAACTGATCGAAGGGATTGTTGAAGGAATGTCTGGAGTATACAAATGACATCACTCAGCCAATTCCACCAATCAACTGTTGGATTTTGTCACCAAATCTTGATCGACTCTATACAAAAAGTACTTGGGTACTTAGGCCCTTGAGAGATGTTATTTACTGACACATATGGATGAATCTAAGAATGAAGAAAAGAATGAAGAATTTATATTGATATTCACCGAAATATCCAAAAGAATGTGTTCCTAACGCCATCGCTTCATATGTAGATGTCCGATAGCTAATAAAATGTACATCAGAACTTTCTTGAACTACGTCGCTTCTTCCTTTGAGACTGCGAAGGACTAACGCTGACCCCCACCATCTTCTGGACTTTGCTTGTCGAAGCACGCAAAGGACCAGATCGAGGAGAGTTCTTGTCGGCTCCAAAAAGGGCAGACTTGGCGCGCCGAGACGGAGTCGAAGTGTGTTCTGGCTCGGGGCTGCCCACTGGGCTGGTGGTCAGATCAATCACTGCTGATGCTTGGGAAGCTGGGATCTGGGAGGTAGGGAGTTGTGGTCTGGAGTTGTGGTCGACGGATTCGCGCGCTCGCTTTGATTTTTTGGAGCGGGTAGAGGCGGCAGGGGAGAAGAAGTCGACGAGGTGGGTGCCGTCTGTGGTTGCGGGGTCTTTCTGGGCGCTTGTTGGTGGTTGCGGAGAGGGCGAAGGCGAGGAAGAGGGTGAGTTGGAACCGGATTTCTCGGAGGCCGACGCTGAGTGTGACGAGTGATTGTCCCCATTGCTGTGTTCTGACTCCGGCTCCAGCTCCGGGGATCCTCCAGAGGCCCCATCATCATCGCTGATAGCGAGCAAACGATCTGGATCAGACTCTCCGTTTCCGAGTCTGCTGAGGAGATCCGTCCACGACTCCGACCGGGACGAGCTTGTCGGGGCGGTGTTGCGCTTCTCCTTCTTGGATTCCTTCTTAGCGGGCTGTGATCCAGATGCGCCGTCGCCGCGAATCGTCGAAAGAAGTGAGCCAGATTGGGGGCCACTCCCGCCGGATTCAGGGGGCGGAAGACTTTCCACGACTTGACGCTCGTGGTGGTCAGGGGTTTCACCAGCATCGTCGAAGGATTGGTTGGCCGACGTATAAGAAAGCATGGAAGGGCCTTCGTCGTGGTTTATCACTACGGATGGGGTTTCGCCTCCGACGAGAGTATGGCCCTCAAGGTTGTTTTCTTGGTTGGGGCCTGGAGTGCGTTGCTGCCAGGACCGCGCGGAGTGAAAGCCCGTGAAAGTAGGGGATGGAATGGGAGGTGTGACACTTCGTTCCGCGGATCCAATCTGGACCTGTATCTGCGGCACTGGTGCAGGGCCGATGGAATCACGAGGAGACTCAAGATGGCTGACTTCATTTCCGATGGTGACAAAAGTGGTTTCATCAAGGTCCATCTCTGGCGCAGGCTGGACGTTCGGTACGGATTCCTCGACTACGGAGACACTTAGAAATAGTAAGTATGGATCAAAAACCAAAGTTTATTTCACTGACATGCTGCTACCTTCTCGAGTTTTTTGCTCGTCGCCTGATGCAGGTTGAAGAAGCTTTGGGTCGCTTATTTCCGCAAACGCAAGCTCACGGTATCCATCGTCCTCTTCTTCGTCATTCGCTAGATCGGGTACTTCGAACTTGCTGAACTGACGGAGCTCATCGTCCCCCCTAGCCGATAATTGCTTTCGGTCTCGCTTTGCTAGTAGTACATTAACCACACCGTGCTCTTTGACAGACCGCACTTCTGCCACTCTGTACTCGGACATCTGAGGCTGCCAGTTCGTAGCTTTGGACATGTCAAGTTGGCGGAAAGCAATGATTGCTCCGACCTTTAGTTCGCTCTCACTCAAATCAGGAACAGAGCCCATATCACTGGGCGGAAGAGGCAGATCATCGGTGGCATTGGCAGTTGGCTCAGGTTCGGGGCCTTCGTCGTAATTGAGTTGACCCTCACCTTCAGCCTCGCCTGCATAGTGGCCTTGATAATAGGGATCGGCGGCGGCTTCGTAATAGCCTTGATCATCTCCTTGGTAATAATCATCACCATACCAATTTCCGTTCTCGTCGTATCCCTCCTCCTCTTCCGCCTCCTCATTGTTGTAGACTTGGATCCGTTGCTTTCTCTTCCGCTTCTTGCTGGTGCCCTTTTTCTCGCGAATCAAAGCGTTAGCTTCCTTGTCCCAGCGTTGAACGAAGGGATAAGGAGGTGCGGTCAATTCAATCTCAGGATAGACACACTCGACGGCACGAATGACTAGCTTGTTCATCCAATCGCCACCATCGTCAGATTCATCTTCGGCCTCGTCCATCTGATCGGGCTCTTCATGGGCAACCTGCGAAACGTGCTTTTTGGGCCCACACGCACTGGCTTTGGCAGCCAGCTTTCGGCGAGTTTCCTCTTCGTCCTCCTTGGTCTTCGGAGTTCGCATACCAAGAGAGCCAAACAGCATGCGCCTTGAGCTGGCGACATCCAACGTCCGTCGGTGAGAAGCTTCTTTGGAAGATTCCTTCTCTGGTTGCTCCTCCTCAGGCACTTTATCTGCAGGAGATTCAGCAGCAGATTTGCGAGGCGGGTGGTTTTCCTTCTCTGATGTTTCGTCTACATCAACACCATTGCCCATCGCGAGAGCATGGAGCAGCTTCTGTCGTTTGGCTTCGAACTCTTTCTGCTCCTGTTCCTTCTTGTCTTTCTTTTGCTGCTTGGCAGACTTCTCGGATGACTGCCCTGGTTGCTCTGATTGAATAGGCACTTCCAAGTTGAAGGATTGTTCAGGGTTGAACCAGCCATTATTCTTCTGTTCCCATGCGCGGAGCGCATCGAAGTCCGCTTCATCAGGGAGAGCGCCGAGCTCCTTTAATTTGGAAAGACGACGGCGCATTTTGAGGCGGTTGTTGCTTTTCTTAGTACGGATAGATCCAGCACCAGGTGCGCTGATAACAGACGGTGGCTGGGTCTTTGGAGCAGGCGGAGCTTCGTCTTCGGACTCGGAATCAGAAGAATCAGAAGAATCAGAGCTATCAGAGCTATCAGAACTGGCATCTGAGTCGGAAGAAACAGCCTCCTTAGCCGGCTCCACCTCGCTCGAAGAGGCATCATCGGAGTCGGAATCAGAGTCACTCTCCGAGGCAGAGGAATCTGATGAGGAAGAATCAGAAGATTGCGCAATGCTCTCTCCAGCCTGAAGCTCAGGGACACCTTCTTCTCCTTTATTGAATCTCACGGCCTTTGAAGTCCTCGGAGAGTCATCTGCCCGAGACCGCTTGCTAGAAAGCGAAGACGCAGCCGCAAGTGATCCTTTGGAGGTTGGTCGCTTGCCTATAGAAGCAGCGCGTAGTGGATGTCCAGTAGAATTCCGAGTCTGACTCCGAATATCCACAAACTGGGATGGTTCTTCGAAATCCTCCTTGAGAGCTTGGAGCTCGCTCTCCAGCTCATTCTCATCCACCTCCATGTCCGAAACATCTCCTTCGCTTTCAGACTCGAGGTGATTAATGGGATGGCGAATCACAGTTCCCATGGACTCTTCATGCTCAGCCGGCATGATGGAAAGCTCTTTTCCGAACCCGGTTTCTGGAGGCGGCATCCATTCTCCGTCGCCTTCTTCATCGACAGGCGCGTCGAGGGCATCTTCAGCTGTAAAATCCGGACCCCGCTCCCAGCCCGAAAAAACAGTGCGCCGTTTCTTTCTGGGCGGGATTGTAATTGCCGGTCGTGTAGATGTCGTCCTTTTCAAGAATGGTGAACCAAATGCCACACCGTCGATCAGATGCTTGCCTTCGGCGGTGATTTGGTGACGACCACAGAGTCGTCTGGTGCGAAGATCTGCCAGCTGGAGGGCACGGATACTATATTCAGCAACGGTCAGCAATCCACATCTACTAGCACAATATCTAGAGATACATACACGACTTCATCGCCATCCCGAAGCAACCCATCAACTTCCATGAAATGCAAGCATTCCGAGCCGGCAACCTCAACGACATAGTCTTCCAATCCCCACTGCCCACTAAGCTCCGCATCAAAGACCTGAGGCTCAGTTTCTAGCGGGACAACCTCATTGACATCCTCGAGCAGTTGCGCGACGGTGTATCCACCATTCGAGAAGGCGATATTGGGGGCCCGCGACGATGCGACAGCGGCTGCTGATGCCGGGCGATGAGCGCCATATTCGCCTGCTGACACTGCCGCGGTTGTCCAGAGGATTCGCGTGACCGGCAGGCCGTGTCGCGAGATAACAAGGTGGAGACGCATGTTGGCCAGTCGTGAATCAAATCATTGACGCGGTCGAGTTTTCTTCGAGCTTTGAGATTTCACGGTGGGGGGTTGGACATGTGTTTGCTTTGGAATATGTGGTAGTGGGTATACGTCGGTCGGATGAAATATAGTAGCCAAGAGTGAGTGTTATGGCCAGTGCCATGCGCGGGGTTTGGACTGCGTGAAAAAGAACTGAGAAGCTCAATTCGTGGAGAGTGCGCTAGTCTCTTTTCGGATTAGTGTTCTTCCTATAGTAGATCCCCTATGCCTGTTTCGATCTACGCTCGTCCGAGGTGTAAACAAACGCGTAGATTCTACATGATTGGTGCAAATATCATAAATATGTCATATGAAAGGTTTAGAGATTGGAAAAAGTGAGGTTATCAAGAATCTTGGTGAGATTTGTGGAACTTTGGATCCACACACTTGTACTACGGAGTAGAGATACCAAGTTGGAGCATAATGTAAAGAATAAGAGTGTAAAAATAAATATTCTTAGACCAACGCCTCAAATTATGCAATTCAATAATGAATAAAGCTATTTCCAATATAGGAATTTGATGGGTATCGAATATGGCAGCAATGAAGCAGTTCCATGGACATGCTATATGCCATAATATCCACAGGAGCATAATAAGCTGCAATGCAATTCACAACCCGTCGTTAGACGTGAAAAATGACCAAGGAAAAGATTAAGAAAAGGACCATGATCAATGACCGCGATTAGCCGGACTGCCTGGTACAGGTTTCCGATTCGGAACACCCAGATTCATAGGCCGAGAATTACTCCCGGAAGCCTGACGCTGCGCGGCCGGAGGAGCCTGAGAGCTAGTGACGGGCTCGTACTGCGGTGGACTTTCATCGTCAACGGGATTGTGCGAAATCTTCATCATGCTTCCTGGTCGTAGCACCGGGGACTCCGAGCGAGGCGAAGGGGATTCTGGCGGCGTGGTAGGTAACATATCGAAGGACTCCGAGGAAGCGCGGTTATTGCGACGGCGGGGCGCCGAAGATCCCTCTGCCGCGGGCCCGTCACCCTGCTGGGCTGCGGACTTGGCATCAGTTCCAGATTCCATGGGATGGGAGGCGTCTGGTGGGTGATACTCGCGGCGGGGCCCGTCTACTGGGCTTAGATGGTCTGCCATGGCATCCTCGTAGCTGGGCGGGGCCTCCTCAGTGTCGTAAGCGTCACCTGAGTTGACGGGGACGGGCTCGCCGCTGGGTCGGGGTGGCATGGGTGGTCGGATGTTTTCGTTTTCTGCTGGAATGCTGGCTTCGGGTTTTAGTTTGCCTGGGTGGAGGGATGCTGCGGCCATTGCGTCTAGGAGGGCCTGTGGGGGTGCGATTCCTGAGAACACCTTGACTGGCATTCGGAGGGGAAGAACGATGAGTTGGGGCTGTGGTTCGGTTAGCCAAAGGGTAGGTTATAAGGATAAATAGACACATACCTTCATCTCTCGGGTATTCCCATGTGTCAGACCTACGCGGACCTCCAGCTCGTAAGATCTTTCGATGTTACATGTTTCAAAAGAAGGTGCCACCGAGTTAGGTAGGGGATACCGATTCCAGAGGCCTGGGTCAATAGTCCAATCAGTGCCTATGGGATCTTCGGGCTTGCCTAACGGTATATTCATGTTGCTGCGACTCATAACAACCCAGGAGCCGCTTTCGGTGCGCGTGAGATCTTGGGCCAAAATTTTGGTGTAAGAAATTAGCTCCACCTGTAACATTTGAAGGAAGATGATGTCGGGTCCGTTGTTCAGTCTTTTAGCAAGGAGACGAAGCGGAACGGGTTCATTGCAAGTGAGAATAGACGGGTTTGGAAGTCGAGCATCGACGGATACTCTGGGAGGCTCTGCTGTGGGGTGGTCAGATGCCCGTGAGAATAAACTTTTCTTCTTGGGCCCAGCCTGAATTTTAGAGAATTGGTGCTGTCGCCTGGCGTAGGTTTCCTCGTTGGGGTTTCCAATCCTTGGCGGTTCAATCGGGAGAAATTTTAGAGGCACAATCTGCATTCGGTCAGTTGTTGAGTCGGAACATAGACCGTCATACCACGTACAGATCTGATGTTTTCTTTGTAAAATTGTGGCCGAATAACGGTGGCCTTGACGAAGTATTTGATATCTGCTTCGCCTGGGAATCCACTCAACGATGGCGGGAGGGTCTTTCTGACATGTCGGTTGGTGTCTTTGGCTACTTCGACTTTCAACCCAGAGAAGTTTAGATTGGTGAGCATGCTGTTGGTGCTGTTGCATGAATTATTAAAGGGGAACTATTAGAACACCGTTAATATATTTGCAATAACCATAGCAAATTAGTGATAGCTACCTTGAATTGAAATGGATATTCGTAACTCCCTGCCGCAAAAGTATATGAAGGTGCAGGAGACCCATTCTGCATCACACCCGGCGTGGGAAAGACGGTAGCAACCTTGTAGAGTATCTGGAAATTCCATTAACCAATGCTCCAACCAACCATAGCCACCCGTCCAAAGCATTGGGATATCCTCTCACCTTGTGAACCTCAAGCTCGGTCCTCTTTTTATCCGAGTGCACATTCTGGGGGTTCTTAGGCCCAGATAGACGAGTGCGACTCTCACACTCCAATTTGACCTGGATCCCCCCGATAGCCGCTTCAGTCGGGAGCTGAAGCACCACCTTTCCCGTCAAAAAGTCCAAGTTTGTGTAATGGGTATGGCGGCTGTCCAAAACGATATTTGCGGACATGGCGGCGGAGCGCCCGAGCCCTGGCGGGGCTTCTTTGAGCTAACAGTTGAATTTTAGGGTGGAATGCGGTCGCGTGATATCTGGAAAAGAACGCGACAACGATCAGGTTCTCGAAAAGGGCGGATCAAGAGGTTGGTGGGTGAGAGAAGTTGAGGTGGGGGAAGCAGATTATATTATAAGATCCCGGAATGACGTTGTGAGCGTTCGTAGATCAAGTGATCGCCAAGCAACGTTTTAACTATCAATCAATATGCATGTTCGAAAGGATGTAGGAATATAAAACATATTTTATTAAAACTTGAATCAGTTACATGCTGCGCCTCAATAAGATCACAGCCACAATGTCTTTTTTTCCATGGAAAAAAGGGTCTCGGTCTCGGTGTTTGAACTCTACTAGTATAACGGTTGAATACTCTTCCCCCTACACTCATGATATAGCTACATACAACTTGAATTGGCAAAAAAAATCCTAGATATATTGGCCTATCTCTTACAAAGTGTCAAAGACGAGAATATATACATGCAAATACATTGCCCTTCGTACAACATAAAACGAATTAGAAAGTGACTTGAAACTCCAGGCACCAGAATTCCGACAGAGCCGGATTCCGCGACCCACAGGGCTGAGAAAAATCCAAATATATCCACTTCGCGGTTAGTTCTCAGAGGCCCTCTTTGGCCAACATGTCTAGGTATGTCAGTCTATGTTGTAGTTTCGGGTGATCCAACACAACCCTGACACATACCTGCAATGTCCAAATAAAAAGCGATGGCGTTAAACCTGCAAAAGGATCAGCCTAGCCCTTGGAAATACAATATTCCATGATGCTTACTTCCGTTTGTTACCTGTTATCTCCCCAGCTAGCCACTTGAGTCGATTGGTCCAGTTGATTAGGTCGAGATGGCTCACGCCCATCAAGGTTCCTTTGTATCCTGCTTCACCTCCCCAGCGACTGCTGGCAACACTGACTAGGCCGTCATTTGGGCCTTCGTACTGTTCGAGGATTCGATGGGATAGTCGGAATGCGGAGAAGAAACTTGGTTGGACTGCTGCACCGTAGGAAAAATATCTGGCGGGTTAGTAGTGGAGAATAAGAGGGTGGAGATGAATTTACCTGACGTCTTCCACGTCTGGGGTATTCGGGTTGAAGCTTTCAATCATATATTTGCGAGTTAATTGTGAGAATGCGCCTGTCTCAACTCTCATTCGATTCAGGGCGTAGTAGATCTGCGGTAGGACATCGGCTGTAACGAGGTAGGTTAGACTTTCACCTAGCAATAGTCGGGAAGTCTTGACGAACCCCCAATTTGATCAAATACATAGTCCGCCACAGATGAGCCTGTCATATAGTCAGCAAGAAATTCAATACAAGCAGAGATATGTCAGACCTCGATGCGGTGTTGCAATAGTAGTCAATGACAAAACTTTGAATTTCTCTGGTCTAATGCGACTAATCATGTATCGCGAATCAAGACCACTTGACTCGTTATTAGCGTGAGTCCGAGCGTTTTTTTTTTCTTTTTCGATATTCGACAGGTTGGCTCACCCCTATTAAAAATAAGCATTGACACCGTAAATCGATTGAGAATTCTCACCATGCTATGTCTGCAAATCAGTTAGAAAATGAAGAAAACTCCAATCAGATAGGAACATACGCAATAATATTAACATCCTTTCCTCGTGCGCCCGCTTCGATATCTCGAGCTAGTTCTTTTGCTCGATCCTCGATGGTACCAGAAGGGGGAACTGTAGCTATAATAACTTCGATCCCCCGTGCCATCAAAGCTTCTTTGATACCACGCCAGTACTGAACACCCGGAAGATACGGGCCCCCAAGGCGCAATTCGTCGAACCCGAGTAAACCATGGGCGAGAACGACAGGGTGTTTGGGAGCAGCTGATCGCGGGTTAGCAACAATCAATGGAGACTCGGTGAAAAGAGCATACAATAGTGATCCCGGACAATTGAGTATTCATCGCGAATGACTCTCCCATGGTCCTCTAGTCGCGGCTCGAGGAGGGGTCTGAATCTGCATGATGATACATGATATCCTCTGCTTATAACGCGGTATGTGGGCAGACTGTATGGTGAGCACGCTATTGAAATTTTTAATGCGTTTGACGCAGGTATCCCATAATTCATCGTCGTCGAGGGTTGTCAATTGAGCGCCAGGGCCCGTCGCGGAATGACGCAACAGGAAAACAGGTGTGGACGCCTCAGGCAGAAACGAACTATATAACTAACAATTGGACACATACATATGTTGCCTCTACTGCTTCTCTCTTCAAGTTGGTGCATGTTAGGCGCTTGGCAACTGAATCACTTCAATTTTCATGTACTATAGAGGGGCAAACCTTGATTTTATGTGTAAACTTTTCAAAAATGGCGATGTATATTCAGTCAGTCAGCCACAGGTGTGTATACAAAGAGCTGGAGCAACTAACTTTTAGATCTCAAGCAAACATAGATTCTGAACTACTTCCAGCATCTATACCTATGGATTAGATTCACTATATTGCTTACTGCAAGACGTTACCAGTGTCAAATTCGCGACGTCCATCGGGATGAATCCAATACCAATAGCCACCTGAGCTCTTCTGAGGCTTTGGAACCACCCTAATGATATTAATAACATCATCGAGACTAATGGCATGATGATCCCGCTTGAAATCCCAGAACATGTGTTTCCACCCATCCGGATGCTTAACAGTTATCTTAATACCTGGGGTGCGCCGGGAAAAGAACATATTAGTATCTGTAAAGAGAAGAGTATTATTGGCTATAACCATACATTTTTTCTCGTATCTCGTAAGGACAACCTCGTAGTCTACAGGTTAGGATGACTACTTTTTTTTTGCTTTTTTCTTTTTCTTTTCCCTTCAAGAATGAAAACAAATAGCCGGTGGCCGTCGATACTCAAGGCCCCAATCCGACCCATTGCGCATCGTAGTGGAGGCTACAATTTGCGCTCGATCATAGTGAACCTTCATCCAGCCCACATCTTGCTGCGTACACCCGTATAATGGCTCGTACCCATCATCATCTTCTTCCCATTCAACAAGCTCCGGCACCCACCGCCTATTGATCATCACCACAAACCCAGTCGTATTTAACTCATTCAATTGCTTCTCCGGTATCTCTAACACAGACTGTACCGCTTCCTCGTTAGCTATGATACAAAGCCGATATCGGGCTCCATACGCCCATTCTGCGCGCTCATACGTCACCCCTTGCTCCGTCTCACAGGCCGTCATCGCCCACTCCTTAAAAGCGTCTCGTATCTGAGCGGGTGTCGCTCCGTCAAACCGACTCTTATCATCCATCACCGTAGGACGGAACGAATCCCACATGTCGAGACCTTCGTAGTATTCTAGTGTCTCGCGGACCTGGCCGAGGAACCGGCGGAGGAACTCTTCCCAGTCCGACTCGCTTGTATAAGTGGTTCGGTAGATCACGATACCCCAGTACCAGAACCCGTCGTCTCGCATATTTCTCTCGATGAGGTCGGCTTCGTTAAAGTTGACTAGGTACCCTGGGGTTCTTTTGGAATCTTCGATAACCATGGTTGGTGATGTAGACGAAAATGACCGAACGAGTAATTGAATTTGAAGCGGAAGATTTTGTTGGAGCCTTCTTTTAATGCCGGGTCGTGCTGCTGTGTTATGCCGTGATGCGAGAGTGTGATATCCGGTGGTAGATAAAGGTAAGGAGGCGATGCTTGAAAGGCTCCTGGGGGCGCTAGATTGATATGTTGGGCTTTTCAGGAGGCTTCTGACTCGGGCGGAGATTAGTGACGACATTGCATGATTTTTAGCCGTTGTAAGAATTAATCAAGATGCAGTAACCGAGAAAATCGCGGTTCAGATTTAGATTGTTATACTGGCCTTACTGCCTGACTGCCTTAGGGTTTCACTTTGATCTGCGAAACAAAGATTCGAACCATCATCGGTCTAGGCCTTGTATCGTAAATACCGGACATTTGTATTATCCTTTGGTTCATATACTCCACCTAGGGTATGATGTGTGGTCTGAAGGGACGGGGCCAGGGATAGTGTGTAGGCCATGGCTTGTGCAGAGCACTAACGGGAGTGCTGCAGCCTTAGGGGCACTCTAGTGCGATGTCAATGGTTCACTGTCATTCATTTGCTTGTAGATTGGGGACATAATCCATGACTCACATGTTCCGGTGGCCAAGACTAGGGACGAAGAGACGGCAAAGGGTGGTGGCTCTTGCGCTCGTGCACTGTGGTCGAATTTTCTCGGTTCTGTCAAATCGCATCGTCTTCAGGGTCAGTGAGACAGGTCAGGCTAAGATTCACATATCTCGACGTGGATATTCGCGCTTTGTTGGGTTACACATAGGGGCTGTATAGCAGATCAGCTCAGTCGGCTGCTGTGGCGGAGACCCTGTCGCACAAACACTTGGACCAGCCAGCCTAAGTCTTGTCTCTTGGTCGGCTGGCTGGTTGGCACAGTGAACGGGGAACAATATCTTTACAGAGATTTGATTTTTCGGTGGGACTATGGTCTCGGATGCTAAAATTTTGTTTGATGCTTGGTTACCCCTTGAATCTCGACATGTAACATGCTTGACAGGGCTTAGGGGGTTCGAACACGGGCTGAGGATAATTACGCCGACGGAGCAGCGTATGCACCGTGAGACGCAGAAGTTCCCTCTGCATTGGGGCTAACATGTCGGTGATAGCTTCGAATATACCGAGGTAATCTAGACGATATATAAGCGAGAAAGAACGGATGTAATGGTTATTGATAATCGGAGAAATCGGCGTCTCTGTACCTCTAATGGCACGCAAGGCAGACATTCTCTTACTACAACAAGAGAAGTAGTCAAGCTCAAACTAGTGTTCCAAGTGGCGCGGCAAGGTGTACGTACCAACCAACAGTGCCACAGTACAACATGACTTCAATGACTCGGGGTTTCTGGGGTTCTACTTATCTCCAGAATATTGGCGCCTGATCAGAGAGAAAGTTGGATCAGCATGCGACTCCGATTTGCGCAGATGAACTCGATCTAGTTCCAGCGGTATGTTAGTGTGATCTGTTTCGAAGGATCTTTTGAATAAGCCGAATATGAAAGCCTATAATTGGTTGTGCCAAGTATGGATGTGATGAGCAGAGAGGCTGGAATCATTCAGTGTGATAAGTAGCCTTGAGAAACACGGCCAGCTTCAAGCAATAGCCGGAGGAACAATAAAACCAGGAAGCAGAATATTCCACAAAAGTATAGGGAATGCACCCTATAGCACCAAGAGGTTCGATGAAGCAAAAAGAATTGATATTGTCCGTAAAATGGATATCGATGAACAGCACGCAAGCGCATCATCCCGCAAGCAAAGAAAAGATGTACTGGAATATCTAAATTATGCCTTAATCTTCTCAGGCACCTCGGGCTTCACGTCGGTCGTCACACGGATCAGCTCGTCCACCACCTTGTCGCCGTGCGACTTGCCAGCTTCCTTGATTTCCTGGAGCTTGACATCGGCTTCCTTGTTGGATTCGCCTTCGGCGACCTTGTACCCGCTCGAGTGCTAGCAGAACCGATAATTAGCACCGCATTCATGCTTGCAATGACCTTGCAGTTGTGTCTCACCTCGCCCTCGAACTTCTTGTACTCCTCTTCCTTCTGCTTCTTGTAATCCTCGATTTCTTTCTGAGCCTCTGACTTGGCGTCTCTTATGCGCTTGGTGCGGTCTGCATCGTTGCGAAATTAGTTCAACCAGCGAATAATGATTGGGTCCGAATAGCGTACATTCTCTGGCTGAACGTGGTGTGACGTATTAGTACCTATTTATAACGACAACGACGAGGGTGCAAGTAGATCAATCATACCTTGCTGCACAATCTTTTGAGCCTCTCTCTCGGCCTAGCAAATTCATGGTAAATATCTCCCCACGCTCAGGATACAACTAACACCTACATCGAGGAGGGTCTGAATGCCCGCGGAGTTCTGAGCCGACTGTTGTTGACCGTTAGCAGCTAGCCACCAATTCCAAGAGATATCACCCACCATATTTTCTGGAGACCTCTCAGCTGTAGGAAAAGGAAAGAGGAGAAATGAGGCTGACAGGGACGATTTAACGGCTAGTCTGGAGCTCCGAGTCCAGGTCGATCGGAGCCACGCATCGCCCCCCAGAGCGGTGGGGGTTCTGCCATCCCCACCGCCCGATCGATAAACTGATAATCCCCGACTCGTTTTCAACGTCTATTCAATCTTTGTTTGTGGCCATTATTTGCTGAAGATTTGTGCTGAGACGTGATATTTCCTCTCCTGCCATGTCTCGCGCATCGAAATTCACATTGGCAGCCACCGGCCTCGGCACAATGGGCATCGTCTGGTTCGTCCACTGGGCGCAAGAAGCAGACAGGGCGGTATGACACGACTTCAATTCTGTTCTGTTGGATTTTACTGACTTTGCGTCCTACAGGCTATGCACAAAGGCGTCGAACGAGACATGGAGAAGCAGCGTATCCGACTAGAGCGCCAGGCCGAGTTCGAAATGCAAAAGGCCCTCGAGCAGGAGTACCTCAAGCTCCAAACCGTACACAGCACGACCGGTGATCCAAGCACAGCCGGCCAGAAAACGAGTCCGGGGTCATGAGGCAACATATAGAGCATGGGGTCGCGCTGTGTCTTTCTGCGCGGTCTGTTCCGCATTTGTCTGAGTTCGCCTAGAATCTACCGGGAATGGTTACGACGAGCCGGTCGGCGATGCATGGGTGCCAGGAGTTTAACTTGTTTGATTATGCATGCGTTGTTGTACAAATATTCCGAAATGAGGTGTATTATATACCCGATCTGTACTATAACTTGAATTCACCTAACTCTCTACTACTATAAGTGATGTTCCTGTTCGAAAACCTCAGAATTGTGCTATATCATTGCAAATATGCAAAATTTTTAGGTATTCCAAGTCTCCAAAACGAAACAGGCATTCTTATATGAATTTGGACTCTAAAGTGGGGTCAAATATATATAGCAGATCAATGTAGGATGGATTGTAGATGAAACACGCGACGACAGGATCTCTAAACACATTAACAAATGCAGACTTGATGTTTTCTATTTTCGAATCCGTGAATTGAATCTGGTTGGCTGGCAACTAAATGTGTTGTGGTTGATATTCCGAAAACGGCAACATTCCCAATGCGGAAGTATGAATTCATACAACACCAACCTTATTAACTCTAAATCAGAAAATATCTTAGCTGTTCAACTGCCGAGAAACCTTTTCTCTCCATACCCTCACGTACGATGAAAAGACCAGCACCTACACGGTGATGCTGGCCATGATACCACACCCGATGACCTTCAAGCAGCGGCCCTTACACAATATCCTGATAGTGTTATCAGTGATATGTTTCGTTTGGGTCACCTTGAAATCCTACCAAATCTTCTCTCATCCAGAGCCAGACTACCCACCCAGCAACAAGCTGCAGCGAATCGCCAAAGTATCCATGCTCTATGGAGAAACGAACCATATGTACGAGAGAGCATTGCAGAGCCATGCACGCCACGGAAAAAGATGGGGATACCCTATGCATGTCCTGCGAGAGGATATTTCAGTTGGATTTTGGAATAAACCGAGTTATCTCATATCCTTGGTGATCAACGAGCTGGCCAAGCCAGCGGGCGAGAGGATGGAATGGTTGATGTATGTATTGTGCCCTTGTCTGAAGGAACTCCACTAACTGGACCAGGTGGGTGGATGCAGATTCTATAATCTTGAACAACGATATTCCCGTGGAAGTCTTTCTTCCCCCGTCCGATCTCAAAGATATCCACTTGGTGGCAGCCCAGGACCAAAACGGCCTCAACACAGGAATAATGTTCCTGCATGTCCACCCGTGGACGATTAGCTTTCTTACCGAGACCATGGGATACCCATTATATCTCCCCAGCATTGACCTTGGTCGATCCGCCGACCAAGAAGGCATGAGGCGGGTTCTTAACAAGACAACTGGGGGACCAAACGGACGGGGATATGCTGATGGAGTCGCTTATCTGCCCAGACCATGGATCAATACCTATGAATGGGACTGGGCGTATGAAGGCAAGAAAGGAGATTTGCTTGTCCATTTCCCTGGTCTGGAGGAGCGGCGGTGGCCGCACATGGCCAAGTGGTTGGATATTGTTGAGATGACGCCTCATGAGTGGGACATGCCACTTGCAGAGACTGGCTATCCAAACAGAACTGCCGCGTATTGGTCGCAATTGCGGAATGCGAAAGAGGGTATCAAGTTGGCTGAGAAGAAAATGCAGTCTGGGGAAACTGTATCTGAAGATACAAAGGTGGCAGTCAATGCTCTCAAACACGCATTGCGGGAGGAGTCAGATAATATGGATCTGATTCAAGAGCGACTGCAAGGTCTTAATGTTTTGGTGGGTAGGATATAGTACATGTAGATTTTTATATTCAATGCCAGAAGAACCGTTCAAGATTCAACAATGTCGAGATCATGTGAATTAGGCACAATCAAGTTCGTGTATGAAGACTCTTACCCATAGTTCTCTACCGTATTATCTGCCCAGGTTTATCCATGGTTTCATATTTCTAGATCTCGCATGAAGCCCTAAGACGAAATAACTAGGTAATTCTGGGATGGACCTCATCAACATGATGTCATGTTTGTTGACTTCCCCATACTAAGATCCTATTGATTCTGAATGTAAATCATTCAAAATACTAGGTTTGTCCCGCTTACGCCGTCGCTGCCAGAAAGCTAATTACCGAAATTTCTTCATCCCTATTGTTCCTTTGTTGCTACCATATGGAATAGGGTATACTTTGGTCGCGTGGATCCTCACTAGGGTTGAGCATACACCGCAGTAAGAGCCAATTTAAAGCAAAAGCCTATATAAGCGCTGACAGATGTAGTAAACACCCCGGATGGACTTTTCAAAAGACTTCAACATCCCCAACGGTTCATAGTCTGTTCGACTCTTACATTCAGGTCATCACGTACACCAATTTTTTTTTCGGTTGCACAGGGAACTGATTTTGGCTTCCAAAACTGTTGAGGCTCACTGAGCCTCTGGGGAAAATAATTCTCATTCTTGATGCCGACAGTCGATCCCGCGATGGACCGAAGGGTATTTCAAGCAAAGTCCCGCTGAATGTGAACGAACTCCACCCAGAAACAAGCGGTAGACTGAATCATTCCATGTATGATACGTTTCTACCCACATTGTATGCTTTGCTTCAAGCTTATACTAACAATTGTAGCAATAATCCACGGCTACGACTATCGACTAGTCCAAAATCCCAAGACCATCTGACAATTCGGAACATGGACAAAAGTGACCGCGAGAAAGAAAGCCCTGGAGCATTACGAATACGTTGTATTCCTAGAAGCAGACGCCATGATCTTGTACCCGAATCTCGCCATGGAATGGCTATTCAGCTACTGGGATATCACCTCAGATACTCTACTCGCCCGAGCGCTCGACTCAGATGACCCGCACAATCGCGATTGGAACGGCGATACGATGCTGAACACTGGCTTAATGATTGCTCAAGAAAGCCCTCGTGCCCGCGAACTGTTCGAGGCGTGGGAATCTTGTCCCAATGAGACAAGATATCCAAGCTGTGCCAAGTGTAGTGGCGAATGGATCATTTTCGGTATGACTTTGATAGATCCGAGGATATTAAGATTTGCCTTGTGCTGAGGCGAATGGGTGTCCTGAGGTCGCGACTACAGGGTGGGTTGGGGAGTTGATTAGGCATTATTGGGGGAATAAGAAGTCGTTGACGGCTACTGCGGGAGATGTTGTGCAGTACTTTTTGCCGCAGTTGCATGGGCTTTTCTATCAGAATTTGGAGACAGTTGTGGTTAATATGACTGAAGGTGATTTTGTATGACAATTTTTGAGAAATTTGCTCTATTACTTTACGATCTAAACGGAGAGAACTCCATTTGATACATTATTTCATCCCTATGCTTTCCAGCTTCCATCCATATCGTCAATAAGTAAAGAAATGGTTTTTTGTCTCAACAGCAGATGCTCATTTATTTAATATGTGTAAATTATGGTCAGTTTGAATGATCAGCTGAGCTGAAAAAGAGGAGAACGTCTAACAAGCATGAATCCCTACTGTAGTACTAATGTTAGCCCCATATCAAACGTACCCAATCCAACTGAGATCGGTTAGTATCGGAGGCCGGTAGCATTCCGGCCTCCGAACGCTAGGAAAGTCAAAAATGTGCTTATCAGCCAATCAGAAAGCGGGATCATCAAGATACAGTCTTGGCAACACATGGAGTATAGAGCATACATCATGACTTGAACACACCCTTTGGGCATTTATCCGTAATAGATGGCCACTAAATGGTCAATCTCTTCGTTATAAGCATTTTTAGTACCATGTGTAGCATCTTCCACCGTATATTTCCAACAAATACCAGTCGAAGGACATAAGCCGCCTTTTAGAGCCGCTGCTGTATTAGGCCTAGCGTCACCCCGTGACCGCCGTCTGCCCTCTCTCACTGGGCAGTTGTATACTTCATCTGGAAAGAAAGATGGAAGGTAAAATATCGTGTTTTGCTCAAATCTGCCCATATAATGTGCTAGAATGAGCTCAGGATACGAATGGAGCCTATTTACTTCCTGCAGCATCGGACGTCACCCGTTCCACGCTATCTCTATCTCTTTCGTAATGGTGGACTTGAGGCCGGAATTGTTACCGGCCTCAAAGTATTATAAGAATCTGCTCCTCACCCGCCCAAATCCCACAAGATCCAAGTCTCTTCTCATCTTTTACAGTCTTCTGACTTCTTCCTACGCTTTTTTTACCCAATATTTCCACTCTATTGGTTCTTGACTTAGTCTTTGGCTTTTGTCCTTTGACTTCTACCTCTACATAGTAGCACCTGCCCATACTTCACTTCCCTTCATTGCTTATTCTATAATATACCAAAGGGTCTTTGCCTTTCACTCATACATCCTTCATTGCACTTCATCATGACCCGAACCCAAGTCCAGTACCCTTCCCCTGCTACCCTGAAGCGGTTCCCTCACATCCATGATGAACCCTCAGCTCTCTCCCACTCTCTTGACCCCTTCACCATCACCACTAAGACAGGTTTCCTGCCTTATGAGACTGCTCCCACTGAGCTCCCAGAGGCCTTCAGTGCCCTGTTGTCCCTTGTGAACCGTCTCCCCGTCGTCAAGATTGATGGCACCCCCGGCCTACTGGCTACCTATGAGCTTGGCCCGGCTGTAGAGGCTGAGCTCACTGACCTCACCCACGAGGTCGAGAAACTGGTCCTAGCCGATGGCACTTATGACCGCTTCACTATCGCTGCTGTCTTCCGTGACTATACCTTCCTGGCCTCGTCCTACTTGCTCGAGCCTTGCTGGGAGCACTGGAACAAGGATCCCGAAGGTGGCTATGGGCTTGGTCGTGATGTGCTGCCTATCTCCATTGCCCGTCCTATGTACCGCTGTGCTGAAATGTAAGTTTCATTTCTTCATCCTTCTTCTCTTACTTGGTCAAGTATATAACCTTGTCACATTACAACAAATAGCTGACCAACTCCAGTCTGAACCTCCCGCCTTTCATGTCTTATGCTGCTTCTTATGCTTTGTTCAACTATACCGTTGCCGACCCTGCCAAGGGTCTCAGTGAGTACTCGAACCTTCGTCTGATCCGATCCTTCGAAAGGGGTCTTGACCCCAAGAGCTCCGAGGCTGGCTTTATCCTGACCCATGTTGACATGGTTAAGGAGACTGGCCCTCTCATTGCCGGTGCTTTGAAGGTTGTCGACTCTCTTGAGCAGCATGGCTCTCGCCAGGAAATCAATGATGGATTCCGCGAGATCTTGAAGTCGATGGAGAAGATCGAGGCTTCTATGGAAGGTAAGCCACCAGAATTTGCACCATCACTATCCCATATACCGCCCAGTATCGGAGAATTGAGAGAATACCCACTAACAATATGATAGATATGTGGGGCAACTCCAAGCCATCGGAGTACCTCTCATTCCGCGTCTTCATCTTCGGAATTACCAACCAGTCCATGTTCCCCAACGGTGTAGTTTATGAAGGCTGCGAAGACAACAAGCCCCTGCACTTCCGTGGCGAGAGTGGTGCCAACGACAGCATCGTAAGCAGTTTTCTCCCAAACCTTTAAAGCAAACCACCACTAACACCCTCAGATTCCCCTTCTTGATCATCTCTGCGAAATTCCCATGCCCGAAACCCCCCTCACCAAAATTCTCCACGAATTCCGCGCCTACCGCCCTCTTCCCCACCGCGAGTTCCTCACCTACATCCGGGAGAAGTCCGAAGAAATCGGCGTTCAGAAATACGCCGTCTCAGACTCCGAGACTGCAGTCCTCTTCCTGCGAACTCTCAACCACATCCGCAGCTTCCGCTGGCGCCACTGGCTCTTTGCCCGTGAATACATCATTCGTCGCACCCCCCACCCCACCGCTACCGGTGGCAGCCCCATCGTTACTGTAAGTCAATATATCAACAGTGCCAATCTGGAACTCAAGACACTAATGAATATTTGCAGTGGTTGCCCAACCAGCTCTCAGCTGTCATGGAGCTTATGGTTAAGATCTATGACGAGCATCTCGCGCCCAAAGAAGGTACCGCTGTTAGAGGCAACGAAGACCTCATTGCCTCGCACAGGAAACAGGTTGAGCCTATGATGGAACTTGTTCGGGATCAGAAGGAGAAGCTTGCTAGGGAGGTGGAGCGGTGGTGCCAGGAGCGTGGTGTTTAAATAGTGCGCTTTCATATTTGATTCTTGTTTTGCATTGTTTAGATTGCGAAATTTCACTTTTGTTTCAACTCGGCCGCTCGGGACGAGTGATCTTATTTTGATGTGAGTTCTTGTAGTACTGTGTAGCAAGCTTCGGGTGATTAAATACCTCTTATCTTCTGTTCTCGTGTGTGTAACTATACTGATTCCCGAAGCTCTCATGTTATCTGAGTGCCGATCCAAAGCGAGGTGTCACCGTTCTAAGATTACGCACCGAAGTACTTGTGTCAGTTCAGCTCTGCTTATACGCAATCCTGATTTTCAAGACAATAGTAATGGCGCATTAATGTATTTTTGTGACAGTCTCAGTCCGCTCTACGTACCCGAAGTGATCAGATCTTCTATCCCTCGACTGATCACTCCTCGATCTTGTTGCATTTCCCTTCCATATAAAGCCAAAGCAAATCAAAAGTAAAGCCCGTTGCAAGGTTAGTTCACCGCCAGGATCGGACTTCCTAATATGTACCGGACAATGCCTGGCACTCGAAACCTTTCCCCTTCCCATTTAGTGCCCACGTCTTGACACTTGTTGGTCTTAGAGCAAAATTGAGCACGCCTCTGAACACTTTGACCAGCCCACAGATCATTACATAAGTTCATCAAGCATCATCTGATTGCCATATGATCGACCTAATTCGCTCACAGAGTAAGGTCAGAGTAGAGGTTAACTGAAATGAGTAAGCTACATCAATAAAATGCAGTATGGTAGTTTTATAATGTGCACTCTATTTTTCTAAACCGCCCCGCCCCTATAATTCTATTGAAAAAGACTTGCATCGTTAAAGTGACAGTTCGCTATAATGATCTCTTCCTATTTAAATAGTAAATAATAGTGTAACCTGTTAACCTATCTTCTAGTCCAACCTTTACTCCTAGGATTCCTTCGTTTATTAGCCTCCAATATCCTAATAAAGCTTTGAACTTATACTAGAGCGAGTACGAGTAGTCGGGTTTATATGATATCTCTAGGCTCCTAGTAAATAGGTTTGTTTGACATGGGTTATCAAAACCTGCGCTTTAGACGCCTCGAAGCATAAACAAGGACGCTGGCATCCTGTGCAGCACGTGATGCCGCCCATCTTCTAATAGGGACTATTGTACAGGATAATTCCCTATGAGGAATAAAAGAGGGGAAAGGCCGCACCCTATTTATCTTAGCATTCCTAATTTCAGTTCTGGGTTCATGGTCTCTTGCAAAACATGGTCTCTTGCAAAAGTTTCATCTGAGTGACTTTTGCCCGAGATTTAATACTCCTGAAAGAAAAATGTTCCAGTCACATTTCTTTGAACCATATGTTCTGACACCATTAGACCATTCAACTGCGCCAGTTCATTTCTCGTTCTTTGTTAGTTTTCTCTGCCAAGATCCCACCCTGGGATTATCAGTATTGGAAAAAGGTGTCCAACGCCTAATTACTCTGCTTCCATTTTTATTAGGCAACCTTGTTCAATCCCTTCAATTAAAGGGCACAAAGAATGTCTTCGAGGTGCAGCCGACAGATCCATCCCATTTGAGCAAGCTACCCATGCTCAAGATAAAGCAGCATGCGCAGTGTATCTCACCCTATAATGTTGATATGAACACCCGTGCTTTATCATCCGATGATCTTTTCAATTCTCACTATATACCTCTCCCATTTTGTATACCTGCCTCCGAACCGCAGCCGCTTTTACGACTACAGGCGAATCTTATGGCCGATGGCATTATTCTCTGTCTGTCCTTCCATCACTTTGCCATTGATGGGCTTGGAATATCATCACTTATGCAGGCTCTTTCTGAATGCTGCCGCAATCCTGACCAACCGCCTGAAATATTGTCGACTTCTCCGGAAAGTGAGGCGCAAAGCAGGACGAGAATATTTCAGAGCACAAATGAAAGTCGCCTGGCCATGTACGACGTCTATGGGTCCTACATTTGGAAGGCAGCACCAAGCTCTGACCTTAGCGCCCCAATCAGCCGCCGCTTTTGCCTCGACGCTGAAAAGATCAGAAGGCTTCGAGAAGCCTGTACTACAACCATTAATGCCGGAAATTACCAGGCGCACCGAACTAATCCGTCGAGCCCTGAACATGATGCTAACTGGCAAGGCTTTTCCAACAATGAGGTCGTAACAGCTTTGATCTGGCTTTGCGGAATGCGTGCACGGTCTCGTGCGACATCGATAGAAAAGGATAGGTCTTCATTGGCTGACCGAAATTCTTCTCTCTTGTTTGCGGTTGATGTTCGTGGGATTCTCAACATTCCAAGTACATATATGGGCAATGCAGTTGTCACTCCTACAGCCACGTACGATTTTAAAGGTACCGAGTTAGGTGCGGTAGACCCTTTGGTGTTCGATTCAAACACTAGTGACTTGCACGAATTTGACCCAAACGACATTACTCTTCTTACCAACCTTGCTCTATCAGTCCAAACAACATTCCAGTCTGTCAACCCCAACTATGTCCAGAATGTTATTTCGCATATTATGGCGAGTAAAGATTGGCACCTTCCAGCCAAGCCTGGGGACTTGTCAGTCAGTAGCTTGCGTCGCGTACGGGTATATGATATGGATTTTGGCCCATGTTTGGGTTCCCCTTGTGACTTTGATGTACCGGATAACAGAACGGGTGGACTTAGCTGGATTACACCTCCACGTTCTGACTCTAGTGCTCGCTTAATGGGCTATCCAAGTCGGGGATTCTGGGAGGTTCGACTTTCACTAAACCCAGTTGCAATGAATTCCTTCATAAGCGACAGGCTTTGGCGGCAGGCCACCTTGGAGATAGCTACTGCAGAATAGACTTTATCCCAAACAAGTGAAAGAAGTTGACGATGAGATCTGTTATAGTGGTATACATATACATGGCCTTTTGTTCAGGAAATAAAAATGGGGAGTGAGCTCTTGCAGGAGCCTAATTAAAGTCATGTGTATTATCTAGATTTTATGGCAATATCCTGTAACGGAGCCTAGAAGAGTCTGGGTACAGTGGCGACCGTTATTGCCTTCCATGCGAGGATCATAGGGATAATTTTCCAGACCTTAATTACATCGGCAGACTTTCCGCAGTTGACATGTACTATGCGGAACAAGTACTTCCGTAATTTACCATATCAGTTACAGTGACGGTCCATAAGTTTCAGCACGCCTGTTCTGCTGGCCTAATTTGACCAACCAAAAGCCTAAATCTTTGAGCGGTATGACTGTCCAAGTAGGCGGTGTGATTATATAGAAAGGCGGTAGCTTAGAGAGTGCTGAAACTTATGTACCGTCATCATACACCTAACCTACTCCGCATTGATCTCCGCATTAACCTTTCTCAGTGTTGATGTCATAGTACCCCGAAACTGAAGGGCGGGTGTAAATAAAATGGGTTGTGGTAAAAAAAAGTTAAATGTGCTTTCACCCACCTAAATTAACAAGGGGGTTCCTAAATCTAGCCTTTGCAAAGTCTTCTACATTTAGGTACATAGTTAAATCTGAAGATATTATGCAAAGCACGGAAGTTGCAGGTATATCGGGCGAGAGTCTGTTCCTAGTTACCCTCTTTTGACGCTGCAGTCATGGGAAATATAAAGAAAATACGACCGTGTTCGCTGTGATCGCCGTATGGGACTTCTTTAAAAGTAAACTTTCCTATTACATGTGATAAAATTGGCAAGTATGCACTGATTCTTTAGTTCTTGCTGTTCGTACTTATCTTACTACCCCATCGCGGAGGCATAGGCAGTATTACTGGATGATTGAAATCGGGGTCAAGAATAGTAATAGTTGATTGTTCCAATTTTCATTAACGACAACAGGGTTTTAGTTCACTTTTATAATGCCTTAGGACTCCAGGCAACACCTAGACGAGATCCCACTTCATATTGGGTCCCTTATCGCTATTTCCCACTATAACAATTAAGCGTGATTAGTGTAGCAGAAAATGGTATTAAGAGGGCCAGTCTGTTCAGTTGCATTAGCTAGCCATCTAAGAAGAAATGCGAGAGGGGCAAAGCGTACTTGAGTATTAGAAGCTGAGCAGCATATGCCGTGAGGCTGAGAAGAAGCCGCGTTGCAGCTTTCAGTGAGAGAAATTTCCTCTGCGAATGTGGGGTAAGTAACCAACACCCTAGCATTCAAGAAATGATCCAACTTACTACACCCTAGACCGTACACAAAAAGATACAGGTTAGGCAGAATTTCTTTATCCGGGACTTCTTCCACAGAACAGCAGAATTGTCTGCCACCAGGTGAACAGGATCTTTTCTGCAACACACCCGCAGATGTCACGCTTGCCATAGTGCTTGTAAGAGTGAGAATTGTTAGCAGAGCTTTGTACTGCATATTGAAAGATGATTTTAAAAAGAATTTATGATCAATATGTTACAATTTCAACATTTGAATGAGAGGGCAATCTAAATGCGCATTATAAGTTAATGAAGAACGAATTAAAGTTTAAGTAATTTAGCTCTCTAGGTCATAAGCTTAACACAATGTTCGATGCGAACGGAAAAGCAATCGCCAAGTAGAGATTAGGTTCACATTATCTTCGGAAGCTAGACCAGGCCAGACCAGGCCAGACTGACAATAGCACTTACCTACGTTTTACGTAGACTGACTTAAGTATATATAGGAAATAGGGCAAAGTACTCCATTATTGGGGTCTTTAGCAGCGGATATAATCAGACTGAACAGAAGATAGGTCAATCGCATTTGGAACGCCTATCGTATATTTTCCATGCTCCGTGCATAACCATACTTGGATGATAGCTGAAAGTTGATCGGGTGATGAGTGACGAAAATATGTGATCATTACCTACTGCTCAAGCATGATTGCAATGTAATGACGCGCATTTTGGAACAGCAAACTAGCCTGTTATTGAGGTAAATTTGTGGCCTGGTCGGCGGGTCTTCCTCTTTTTCTTAAAAAATAAGGACTATTCTTTTATAATATGATAGCATTCATGACTACGTGGGCTATACTGATGCTCAGGAGAGTAGAGAACTTACATGACGCAGATCGTGTGGATATATCCAGTCATTAGATAGCTCCTTGCGTCAGCTTATAACCAATCTTAGATGACATTACAATCCTCTATATTGCTTGGATTCTAAGTCTGGTGTACTGTGCTCTATGATCCCGGCATGGAAGGCGATGTCGAACGCCACTGTACAGTACTTTCGGAAATCGGGGTCACCACCTACATTATTGGATCGTCAACCAAACCCTATCGGCAATACCACTAGTGCTGATTGATTTTATTTCCGGACGAATAATGTTCCTGGACATACTTCGTTCAGTACTCTGATGTGAGTTGCGTAACGTCAATTTGGCACACCGGCCAAGCTTGATATTTGATACTCATGAGGAATGCAGGGAAGACCAATGGAAGTGAATGTATTCCCAATGATGAAACTTTGGGAAAAGAACATAGGGATAGTCTCCAGTGGATGAGATAGATGGATAGATCGCTCCTTCTCTCTCCGTCCACAATTTAATATTTCATTCTTCATAGTTCATTGCCCATTGTATGATATTCATAAAAGGCCCCGGTGAGGTACTTGCAAATTGCTCGTCGTAGGATGACACTCCATCTAGCTCGTTATCCTCACTGCATTTTCCACACATGGAGATTAAACATCATGAGATTTTATATGATTGGAATATATTTAGTATAGATCATCTACCGACTTGAAAGGTGCTTCCGGTCTGGTATATGAAGAAGCAGAAACCGCACTGGTATTTAGTGGGTAGAGAAAGCGTTAGAACTTGTTTCTATTGCAGTTTGAGAGCTCGACTTTAACATTATTCTGTGCCCATTTTGGCCCCTTAGCATGCATTGATATCAAATCAACGCTCGGCGTTCACGTCGGCACCTCGATCTAGTAGCATTTGAACCACCTCTCTGTGACCCTCGCTTGACGCGGCTTGAAGTGCATTGCCATAGACTCTACCCTGGGTGCTCACATCGGCACCTTGATTTAACAGTGTTTGGACCACCTCTTTGTGACCTCCGGATGATGCCGCTTGCAGTGCGTTGCTATAGAGTCCACCTTGGGCGTTCACATCGAGATCTTGATATAACATCATTTGAACCACCTCTTTGTCGCCTCCAAGTGATGCGGCTTGAAGTGCATTGCCATACTCTCCACCCCGATGCGGTTCGGAGAGCCCGACTCGTGCTTGATACAGTTATTGGGCAACATAGACTCCCATCCTTTGAGGACATGTTCAACCTACCTTTCACAATGGCATTTGTGAAAGAAGTGCTCCGATGGCGACCGGTAGTTACTGCGGGAGCTCTTCATCTGGCTGAGCAAGGTGATGAATACATGAGATATCACATTCCGATAGCCTCTGTTGTTGTTGCAAAGCACTGGTCGCTGGATCTTGATGATGATGATGATGATATGTTTGAAGATGCCAACTCATTTAGTCCAGAGCGGTAGATCCATAATGCCAATCTACCACTAAGCGCCTTTAGGTTTGGGCGGAGAGTTTGTGTAGGCAAGTACCTTACTATGAATTCTCTTAGCATGGTTATCGCTAGGTTGCTGTGGGCATATAACATTATGCCCGAGAAAAGTGGTAATGGAATTGAGTCGGTGGATCCAATTAGGATGAAGCAATTTGGCCTGATATCAAGGCCAATGCCACTCACATGTTATTTCAGGTATGGTCACCCAGCGCAGAGGGGGTGATACGAAATATAGGAGCGAGTTTCCTGGAGGCACCTGATGAGGTTATGAATCGTATCCAAGCCAGGGTCGCTGGTGCTAAATTTATCTAGCTGCTGAGCCTGATTTACTGTATTATTGCCTAACAGTCCCCTTTGTTCTGCTGATTAGAACAAGAACAAATTCCTGCCCCGAGCAGTTAATTCAGAATATAGCTCAATACCGCAACAGATTCAAGCCCCTATGATACTCAAGTACCCTGACCGCTGTGCCAGCGGAAAAATTTGCAAGCCGGATTGTATAAAATATAATATAAATGCCTGTAGCATTCTGTTGCAATCACATGAGCTATGGCGACGCAAAATTAAACCGCATGTTGAGCTCTCTTATTGTATCTGGATTCAATTACTGGCATGGTATCCATTAGATATGTATACGTCGACATTATTTTATCATTACTTAGCAGTGAGCTCCAGATACCTCTCTATATAATAGTGTGCGTGTATCCAATGAATTAACCCGCCTGCTCATTCTTCCCGAACTCGCTCTTGGAATTAATTGTCCGTGAAATATTCCACAGGCCAAGTATGTGTTTAAGGAATACTCGGGAATGCCCCCGAGCGGCTCACCCAGCCCAAAGGGTGGTAAAATGAGACCAGACCTTGGTGTGCTTCAAGCTAGGGCGCTGTTCCGACCAAAAATCCTGCCGGTGCTAGATATTCCGGCGTAATCCGAGTCCTCTTGGGCTTCGGTGACTTCTGCTGTGCCATCCGAGATGCACTCAATTTCTGTTTCGCGTTGTGCAACAAGCCAACAAACTTTGCTTGGAATATTCCTTCATATATGAAAAGCTGAGGTGGTAAATACATATTGAAGACCACTAGCGATGATAATATGCCAATATATAAATAGGCTACAAGACAATTTATACAGACCCGTGAGACAAACGTTTCAGCCGAAAGTCATCCATACCACAATGAATCTCATCTGGCTCATTGCAGTTTCACATTCGATGGTCAACGCTGTCTTGGCTTGAGTCCGTGACCGGGGCTCCCAGTGTGGTCATATGATCATCCGTCGTGGTATATTGATGTATAGGAAGACCTAGAGTGTTTTTTAGCGGTACCAACAAAGCCTAGATGACAGTGATTATTGAGTCCAGTTGTTGAAAAAAGCGGAAATAGAGACCGGACGACAAGGACTAAATCCCACAAGGGATCTATTCTACTGTTGGAGTAATGGCCAGGTCAGATTCGAAAAGCATTGTCCTGGTCGATGCTCGTGCTAAAACAAAATCTCACTATCTAGGATGAAACGGAGTCACAGTAATTACTCGAAGAGTTCAAGGAGATGGTCGAGGTGCTTATGTTTCTTGCCACTCCGCTCTTGATCAAATACCTAAGCCAGTAATTGGACAGATGGTCAGATGAATGATGACGGATAATGACAGAAGGTTGCAGAGCATAAGTATGCTTCGGAATAATAATGCAGTGTAACATTATGGTCATAGTTCCAAGCTTGTAAGGAGAATTGGTAAATAGTTAATAAGATATTAACTACCAAGTCTTCCCTGTCTACACCTTTATTTTCACTATTCCTACCAGTTCAAATTTTTTTCTTCAGAATATAGACTATTCTATCCTACCCTACAACACTCTTACTAGTATATTTCTTGTTCACATTTGAACAGAGTCCTACGTTGTTTCTCTATTCATCGAGCCTTTTGTCTGCTCAAGGTGACTATCAATAGAAACATGACAGGTATCTACAAGCAGACAGAGGAAATTCTTCGAACTTGGTTACATAATGTTGGATTTGACCTTCAGCAGGCAGTCCGACCATTTCACACAAAACTTTACGCAGAGCTCGAAGAGTGGATCATTTCTCAGGATCTCCAGGAGCACCAATTGAGCCGCATTTGGATGCTCTTGCCAGCATCTACCAGCGCCGCAGACAAGTGGTATCCTCAAGCTAGTTACCAGTTGAAACGATATATTGCACTCTTCACCACTTTTCTTCTCTATGTGGACGATAAAGCAGAACAGGACCTTGAACATATCCTGCCCGATCTTCAGAGAGTTTCATCTGGTGCCTGCAATGGACTCCATGCTCTCAAGTGTGATGATACTGTTTTCAATATGTGGTTAGAGCTCGTTGCTACTGAAACCGGAACTTTCTATGGCTCATATTCAACTGGGGTCATCACCAAAGGCCTAGTCGACTTCATGCTGGGGAATACTGTTGAATCAAATGTTGCTGCAGGCCTGAAGGTTCCAGCAAAGTTTGGACAACGAGGATCCAAATTTGTACGTGACAAAACCGGAGCTGGGGAAGTTTACGCCCATTTTATATTTCCTGAGCACCTTGCAGAAGAAAATCGGCACTTGCCGACCTATGTGCCCTTCATCGCATGTATGCTTGACATCATTGATGATGTAAATGATATTCTATCGTTCTTTAAGGAGTCCGTGGTTGGAACTGAGATGAACACAAATATCATGAACAGAGCTCGTACCTCATGTTGCAGTCCTCATGATGTACTAAAGCAAATTTGCAGCGAAACAGTTGAGGCTATGCATGTTGTCAGTCATGCATTTGAAGAAAAAGGTGTTGTTGGGAAGCTTTGGAAGGATTTTATCAATGGCTATATTATGTGGCACATTTGTGAGGACCGGTATCGGCTGAAGGAAATTGGACTCGCAATGAGACTTGGACAAGACAGGGTCTAGTGTTATTGAATAGTTCATTGATCATACAAATATGCCAGATTGTATTAGAGCAGTGGATTTGATGTTATAAGTTATCAATTTCTTGTTCCTTTTTCCTCGATATAGTTCTCTATTAGTCGTATGCCTCCACAAAATATATCCTCTCCTACATACCGGAATGATTGAATGAAATACTGGGAAGTGAGCTTTTAATTCGCGTTGTATAGCAGAGAATTATTTGGATGTGAACAATACTAGCCACTTATTGAACCATTTTGTGCGATGTGTAGCGTGTGAGCGCTAATATTCCCCAAATCTCTATAGGCACCGAAAAGTTTAGCAACGCATTCGGTCCCGGAATGACCTCTAAATCACCGCTCGCTCCGTTAAAGGACGGTTCTCCGGAATCCGCGAATACGAAAGAGCTCCGAGATCCAAGGTTTTGAACGCACCGTACACAATCAACTCTGCCACAGCGCGACCACAAGCCGGTGCCTGTTGACTTCCATGCCCAGAAAAGCCGACACAAAAGTGAAAGTTTTTCACAGTATCGTGTGCTCCAACGATGGCATTGTGGTCGAACGTGTTGAACTCGTAATGGCCCATCCAGGAATCAGTAACCCGTGCGGTATTGAACTGAGGAATTCGGCGAGTAATGATTGGCAAGACCTTCTCATCCCAAGCATTTTCCGCAAAACTGAAATCATCGACATCCACCGCGACGTCAGGACCAATTGGTGGGCAACCAACGAGATAATCTTTTGATCCGTAAGACCGGAGATGGACGCCCGTAGGATCAATAGTTAGAGGGAGATCTTGAGGCAGTGGGTCGTCAACTGAGAAGATATAAGTATAGCGTCTTCGAGCCTCAATTGGTAACTCGATGCCCGCCAGCCTTGAAACTTGGGCAGCGCGAGTACCGGCAGCGTTGACGACGGTGTTGACTGAGATACTCTCGCCACTGCGTAGCTTGACACTCTGAATTCGGGGTCCGTCTGTAACCATCTCGACGACTTCGTTGTTGATGTAGTCGACGCCGCTTTCCTGCGCCGACTTTCGCATCCATTCAACCATACCAATAGCATTGAAGGCCCCTTCATCTTTGGTGTTCAAGCTTCCAGCATCGAGGTCACCAGTGAAGAAAAATGGATATTTCCGCTTGACATCCTCCGCAGAGATAATTTCGGTTCCTGCACCACAACCAGCCTGGAGCTGTTGGTCCTTTTGGAGAACCTCTGTGAATGACTGGGAATCAGACAGGTAAAGATAGCCGAAGTTTCGAATCGGGTCGTCTGGCACACACGGATCGTAACCAAAGTTGGATCCATATCGCTTGACAAATGCAGCAGCATACTGGGCGATTTCCACATTGATCTTGGTAGCAAACTGCTGCCGCATACAATTGTTGCTTGCTTTTGTTGCAGAGAACTGCAATGATGGGTCACGCTCAACGACGAGGATGGAGCCGTGGAAGCCCGCATTGGTTTGTAAGTGCCAGGCAATAGACGAGCCACTGGTAGCACCCCCGACAATAACCACATCATAGTGACCAAGGCGTGGTGTTGTTGGAAATTTTGTTGAGAATTTTGGGGTCGACATCGTTGTCAATTATACGTTGCTGAGGGAGGCTAATAAAAGAGAAGAGCGTACAGAGTATCTATCACATTCCTGACCAATGCGAGATTTCCGCGCTTTATATATTGCTCTTCAACATCATTCATGGTTTATTTTCTCCTCAGCCCCGACAAATGGAGCCAACTTCCTCTTCCGGGTCCCCCATTGCCTCATTAATTTTCCAAGATAGTATTTCAAGGTGTATGTGTTTACGTCAAAATTGGGGGTATAAGATTCCTTTTGGAGTGGGTGGGTACTATCCGCTTTTCTGGGCTCCACTCGACTTCGGCTTATCAATCCTTTATTTAGGAAAGGCAGGATATAGCGATTACATAAGAGAAGCCGACTCGATGATGATCTACCTAACCTATCATAGGGGACTATCAATCCATAATTTGAAAAAAAAAGCAGGATATACCGATTACATAAGAGAAGCCGTTTCGACGGCAACCTACAGTCAGTGGACATGAGTAATTACAACCCCAGCCGAGCTAGGTGGGGCCAAAGGGATATAATTACTTATGTCCAGTCACTATATCATAATCTATTATAAGGGACTGGTATAAGAATCCGTGTTTCTTTCGATCGAACATTTTCTGGTTGTGCTTCTCTCTATATTGATTTTGTCTTGAGCTGTTTTAACGTTGGAGAAGAACTTACCGAAAACATGACTCGCATTTTCATGTATGAGCCCCGCTAGACTTAACACTCAAATGAGCGTTCATGGACAATTATACTTACGCGCTCTGAAGAACAGGTGTTTCTGGCTACATTGGCGGCGATGTTCTCAACGGTATCATTAAAGCGCGACTTGCTTCAAGAGTTGTGGCTTTAGTGCGAAATGAGTCTCGTGCAGCACGAATTACTGAAAAATACCCATCTATCACCCCGTTGATTGGTGACTTGGATTCTATTACTGCAATTCAAAATGAGGTCTCCCGGGCCGATGTTGTCCTCCGTAAGTTGCGCGAGACTTTTACATTGAGCGCGGTATTTAGATTGTACTAACTATGAACAATAGATCTGGCTAGCTCCAACCATATTCCTAGTGCGAGAGCTATTGTAGACGGTCTTTCGAAAACGCAGCGACAAAACCCAGGTACCAAATCCGAAATGCATCCTCAACACACTAAAGTCTAACATCAGTTAGTTTGGATTCAGATTTCCGGGGCTAGTCTTCTTTCTGGGCCCGAGATCGTGGATAACAGCTTTGGCGAAGCCCGCTCTAAGGTTTATAACGACCTAGCAGGAATTTCTGAAGTCCGAGATATCATCAACTCTTCCCCCAAAAGGGTTGTAGACCAGCTTGTTACCAGCCTGTCTACCAGTCAACCTTCCGTCCGGACAGCGATTGTATATGGGCCTATGATTTACGGCTTGGGAAGGGGCCCTGTCAACCAACGAAGCATCCAAATCCCGGACTTAGCAAAGGCAACTTTGAAGCATGGGCAAGGCCTCCACGTCGGGAGGGGCCTGAGCACTTGGAGCCATGTTCATATCTCAGACATCACGCGTCTGATCGTGTCGCTGGTCTCAAAGGCTTCCTGTGTGACCGATCAACCACTGTGGAATGAGAACGGAATCTATTTCCCCGAGGCGGGAGGAATGGTAGGCCACTAAGAGCGTATGCTGACATACAAAGCACTTGGCTAACCTCTGCTGTCATTCTTCGATTAGCCGTATCGTGATATTGCGAAGAAGATGTCCTCTTTTGCTTATTCGAAGGGACTCATTAAGTCGCCCCATACCCGGGAAATCGATGCTGAGACAGCAGACCGGCTCACTGCGCACGGTTCTGTTCTTTGGGGTACAAATGCTCGAATATCAGGCGATCGCGCCCGTCAGTTGCTCGGGTGGAGCCCTCAGGGCCCGAGTCTGGAGGAGGAGATTCGACGAGCGATACTGGCGGAGGAAGCTGTCTCTGGCGATGAGTTCTCGAAAATGCTGGCATGATCTCATGAATGTGAGATAGAAATTTGGGGGTATTTGTATAAATTGATATGCTACTAGGTCAAGCGCCATGGGTCTTGATCGTAAGCAATCCAATTGTATTGATTCGGTTATTGGTCTTTATCAAGTGTGCTAGCTGGTCAAATTGTTTGGCCCACTATCCATAAATGATTGAGCTCAGAAGCATGAAAGCCTCTTTGATGCTATCGCCGTAAGCTTTTATCAGGAAATTCATTAAGTAGAAGGTGGGAATTTGGCTCTTCGCGCTCAGGAATACTGCGAGGAGAGTTGGTAGTGGGGATGCTGAATTTCGTCGATACAAGTGCCGCATAGCTCTCATCACAACAGTAAGTTAAAATGACAGAGTTCTCATTACCATTGGTTGTACTATACATTAGGAACCAGGGTAGTGACAGGAATTGCCCCCGTATGACTAATCGTTCTGCCCTGCCCTTTTGGGACCTTCCCGGTTTCCCTCTTGACCATCGTCTCATTTAGGCCACTCAACGACGAATGGCTGAACCATGATACCACGCATTCGCAGTTTCACAGGCTGCGGCACGTGCCGATCTCGACATTTGAAATGCGATGAGACTCGTCCCGGTTGCCAGATGTGTCTCACACTAGATGTGCCCTGTCCTGGTTACCAAGGTCAGCTGAAATGGATCCAGTATGCTCACTTACAGTCGGAATCGCAACAGAAGGAGGAACCTCAGGAACGTGTGTTTCGGCGTCCGTTATTCGCACGTAGGTTTTCTTTCCAGCCTTGCGCGGAATTGCATGTAACAAGAACGACAGAGAAGGAACAAAAATTAATGGCTCAAATGACCGTCAAAAGTCTTCGAAGCCAGACTGCGAATGAGGCCCTTGAAATATTGAATCGAGAAATCAGTTCCCAAAATACCGACTCGTCGGAGAGCTTGTTTCAGGGTCCCTTCGGTGTTTTTAATGTCACACTAGATAAGGCCCCGCCAAACGACTTCACGGAATCCAGCCCGCGTCCAGCAAGGCCCCAAAAGCCGCAGCCAGCAGTGCCATGGCAATCTCCAGAGGCAACACCGGTTAATGAGGCACGACCTGATCTTTGGACGCCGGAGTCTTCTATCTCTAGTTCTCATAATCATGCCTTGGTTTCCTCGCCAAATGAAAGCTCCAATCCGGGAATCGGGACCTTGGTTCATTTCAGTAACTATCAAGAGGACAGTGCTTCTTATCCACCTTCTCTGGGAAATATTCCCTCCCCAATCTTACCGTTTTCGCCTTTTGTACCACCCGCTTCCCACGTCATTCCGGAACGAGCACCGCAGCTTTTGCGTTATTTCAAAAATCAAATTGTCTCGCTTTCGTTCCCTCTCAAGGGCAGCAAAAAATGTCCTTGGCAGAATATTCATCTCCCCAGAGCTGAGAAAGTGTATGCGGAACTTTTACTTCATCAAACTGCTAGCAACACAGGCTTGTCTTTGTTCTATTCTCTCCTGGCTGCCAGTTGTCTCCATATTTCTTCGAAAAACGACACTACCTTAGATTGGGACAAGCTCGGAAAGCAATACAAGCAGATTTCCAGGCATCATCTCGAGCTTAGCATCCAACAAGAGATAGCCTCGGACACGCGAGTAAAATATAAGGAGTTACTAATGGCTTTATTATCAACAGTGATGCTCGAGGTGCCATCGACCCAAATTCCTGGCATGCCACTGGCTTTTGATGCTAATATTCTGTGTATCAGATCACCTGTGGAAATTATACCGATTCCCAGAATCTTTTGGTAGAATCGGAATGCCTAATTCGGAAAAGAGGCCTACCAAAAGTTCACCAATCCCTCAAAGTTCGCACTCTCCATCACGTCTACACTTATATACGCATAATGGCCGAAAGCACATGTGGCTGTGCTCTTCTGGATATATGTCCTGCACGACCCAGCACCAGGCTCGTCTCTAACGAAGCGGCCTTTCATTCCTTGCGAAGTTTCCGTGTGGCAGATGATAGCGCGATATCTGATCTAAATGCATCTGTGGAAAAGGCCCTCGATATTGGATATAATGACATTCATTTGGAGGTACTGGGGGTCTGGAAAGATTCCCTCTTCCAAGAGATTTACGGCCTGCCAGAGTCTTTGGTGGGTCTTTTATCCCAGACCATCCGTTTAGCAAATGAACAAGAGCTGCTACATCGCGATACGAGCCCTGACCTTGATATTGTCATGACCCTGAGCGAAAGGACGAAGATTCTGGAGTATCAGGTTCTCTCTTGGAAGCGAGATATGGAAATTCCAGGTACTCAAGAAGCCAGTTCGTCGACGTCGGGTCGTGAACACGCGAAGGCAAGATCAGGCTACTACTTGAGTTTAGCTGTGCATCAGGGTCTGATTCTGTTTTACTATCGACGAATGCACAACATCAATGCTTTGATTCTTCAGGACACAGTCCTAAAGGTGCTTGACTTTATCAAGAAAAGCGAGGAGTCTGCCATGGCAGATGAACATTACAGAGCCTCTCTACTTTGGCCCGCCTTCATTGCAGCATGCGAAGCCTTGGATCCGAATTTGCAGCGAAGTCTACTCGATTGGATTACTTCTACTGGGCTTCGTACTTCCATTTCCGCATTTATCGCCGCTGCCAATGTTGTTCAGCGGGTGTGGAAAATGCGACAAGAGAGGATGGACTACACAATAAGCTGGTTCAATGTCATGGATCATGATCGCTGTCCGATCATTGCTGTCTGATACCCTTTGTCTCATTATTATCTCCAATATGTAAATGCCCACCATACATGGTACATGATATAATTTCCACATGGATAAAAATGACTGATTTAACTTCGCAGGATAGTCACGTTCTGCTGGATCAATTTCTAGGAGCCAGGAAAGGCAATTCGAAGCTTACATACCACATGAAAGTAAATTCTTGAGACTCAAACATAGTATCAGTTCTAGACACCACATCCAGAGACTCATGGCGAAATTCAGATGTAATAACCGATGTATATGAACCAAAACGGTATGTAGGTTGCTATAGCTGCAGAAGTTCTGAACAAAATCAGATATGTACTTCATGCTATGGTCCCAGGCAAGTGCTCAGCGAGTTCGAGCTTGCTCAAAAGCGACTTTTACTCATGCTGAGGTGGGGATAGAGGGCGTTTCCGCGGCACTGAACTTACCCACTCAATAGCCGCGGGAACTCCAGCTGAAGTAGATTGCTGAAGAGACAACTTAAAAGAATCAATAATAAACCATAAATGAAGATCTCACAAGCACGCCTATCAAAGTCTTCTCGCTCTCAATCATCAAACAGAGCAACTCTATTCAACCATGGCTGACGAAGATCTTGTTCGCCTTGAAATCAACGGCATTTTTGCCCTCATCACGCTGAACAACCCAACAAAGTTCAACGCCTTGACACAGAGTCTGTATTACCGCCTTGCAAACTTGCTTCGAGAGGCCGAAGAAAACCCAGAGGTCTATGTTACTGTCTTGATCGGTGAAGGCCCCTTCTTCTCGGCGTAAGTTCTCTTCCCCTTGGCGCGAAAAGATGGAAGGTGCGAAGAGATGCTGATGCAGATTCAAGAGGGGCTGACCTCAAAGGGAGACCCCCATCTATGGAGGAGACTTTATCTCGCCATTACTGGCTTCCCAAATTGGTTAACAACAACGTTGATGTGGCGAGAGCGCCCTACAGCCATTCGAAGATCCTGGTCACTGCGCTGAACGGGCCTGTTATTGGACTTTCTGCAGCCTTGATATCTCACTCGGACTTTATCTACGCGGTATCCGATGCTTATTTGATGACTCCTTTCACCTCTCTCGGCCTTGTTGCCGAAGGCGGCTCCAGTGTTGCATTTGTGCAGCGAATGGGTCAGGGCAAGGCAAACGAAGCACTCCTTCTTCCAGCGAACGATTTCGAGTGCGTGGTCCGCTGGAAAGTCAGGCTAAAGAGCTGTCCGCTCTTGCTTTCTATATAGATCGAGGTCTTGCATACATCCCTGCGGAGCATAGTGGGTACGAGTTGCTAGACGCAAGTGCTTATACCATTTTGGATTTTGCTCGGCGGATATTCAGGCCACAAATCACCCTAAAGAATTGGCATGTCTCAGAACAGCGAACTTCTGTTGCAAACAATGCCAGGGCTTCTAGTGAGGGGCAAGAATGAAAATGGTATTCTCATTGCCAGCATGACCCAGCAAACTATTCTGCGTCCTAAAACTGGGTTTGTACCGCGGATCTGATTGTCAATTTTATTCGCAAATACAAGCCTCATCCTTCTGGTCCGATTAGACATCCGCTTAGGTCAGCCTAGTTGAGCATACGCCTTTTATTTCAAGCCATGCTTGAGTTTATGTGTCTTGGCCGTTCATCCCTGTTTACCCACTAGTCTCTGGTTCCCCATGTCTCTTGTCTCTCTCTTTCGGTCTCTCTTTCTAGAATACGTGTCTGGTTCTCTCGATATTCATTAAAAGGCTGCCGCAATTCTTTGCAAAGGCCTGGCACCTCCGTGTATTGCCCCGAAGGTCCCAGGGCTGTTTTTGAAACACACTTGGTCCTTTTCTGTTATTCTGAAATGCATAGGACCTATATAATTATCTTTGATACTAAGTCTAGTACATATGACCACAGGGTATGGAGAACAGGGCTTCCGTTCGCTCAGCCGTACTTAAGCCACACGCCGGCAAGTAATAGTTAGATGTGTGACCACCAGCGAATCTTTACTGTTGTATGTTTTTACTTTAAATCTTTGTTTTCAGTTTTTGTAAATCATCTCAGGTGTTCCAGAACGGAGCGAAGCAAGGGAACGGACGCGAATATTGGCAAAAGAAATTTGATGAGCTCACATGACCCAAGTGCCTCAGTGTTTATCAGCGCGTCCCTTTCTTTCTCTCTTTTTTCCTGCACAGCCAACCTCGTTCCTTCCCGGGGGGTTTGTCCAGCTGCCAGACCTCGGGAGGAGCTACCATCAATATCCAATGCGCAGGACGCCCCACAGTCCTCTATGTCCAATTAGGATGTATGTCGTCCAGAAAATTGATTAATGATTGTTGATTATAAAGATTGGATCTGCTACTAATTCATGGAGATTTCCGTCTAGTACGAAAATGAACTCAGCAATGGGTCAGGATGGTGAATTGCACTAACACAGAGGCAGCAGCTAGAGTCTAAACAAAACAAAGTCCTCCATTTGCATTCACCGTGCTTCCCGTCGACCAGCGACTGCCCTCCTCAGACAAGAAAGCAACAATTTGCGCAATGTCATCAACCTCAGCGATCCTCGCCCCAGCAGGAATTTCTTTCATCTTCGTCTCCCACTCATCAAGAACCTCTTGCTCGGTGTCTCGTAACCACATATCCGTCTTGACCGGCCCAGGGTTAACGCAGTTTACAGTAGCCCCATATTTCTGTCCCAATTCCTGCGCCCAAACTTTGGTCACTCCTTCCAATGCCGCCTTAGTTGCGCAATATGCCGTGCTGTACGAGCCTCCCATACGTGCAATGACGCTGGAGATGTTGACGATACGAGGTGCCGTCCCGAAGTGCGGTACCGCTTCCTTGACCAGGAATGTTGGGAACCGCAGATTGCAGTCGAGGATCTTGTCCCATAGCTCGTATGTTAGGTCGCATAATAGGGAGTCGTCGCCGGCGCCGGCGTTGTTGATAATAATGTCGATGTGACTCCAAGCTTCAACGGCTTTAGCGACGATTCGCCGAGGGGAATCACGGTCACTGCCACTGGCTTGCACACCTTCTGCTTCGACGCCGAGTTCTTTCAGCTGGTTGATGACTGATGTCGCTTGTGTGCTGGACTGGTTGTATGTGATGAGCACGTTCGCGCCGCGCTTGGCCAGTTCGAGGGCGACTCCGGCTCCGATACCGCGGGATCCGCCGGTGACGATTGCAACGCGGCCTTGAAGAGACTTTAAAGTTGAGCTCATTTTTAAAATAGAAAAGAGATTGATTCCTTGCGCTGGCTCGGATGAACTTGAGGGTTGGAGACGTGATATATATGAGCAAACAAGAGATCGAGACGATCGAATCAATGGTAAGAATAAATATTTAATCAAGGACTTCGTATATTATTTGGAGATCGGCCCTCATATAACTTTGATGCTTAGATGTTATCGCAGCATTCCCAGCGTTATAGTTCTCGAATAAAGGGGCTCGCTGTGGATTACTTCTCACATGCAGCCTCCGCGCAGAATACGGTTGTCCTCGAGCCCCACCTTCAAATGTCCGCCACTCTGGCTCGAATCTGATAGACAGGCGATAGGTAAGTACTCTGCATCGAGCACGGGTTGGATATACGTCATTTGATCATGTCTTCTTGATGATTTTGTCGCTGTTAACTTCCAATCCTATGATCTTATCTAAAGTTGGAAATGGCGAACTTGACACTATCCACTGCTGCTGGCTGCTCGGAATATCAGGATATCCTGGCCAAATTTCAGAGATTGCATCCAAGTCTAGGTCGCTGTCAATTTCCAATGCATAGTATGCGCCAAATGATTCGATGCCGCTTGGGCCTTCTAAGGTTTGAACTTGTTTGATCTATTCGCGACATGCTAGACCCTGGATAGAATCATCAAGATATAAGGAGGTTCATGGTCCCATTTTGACAATGAAAAAAATCCAATCACTCTTGGAATTTTGAATCTACTTTCTTCATCTTCCACCAATCACCAAGCACATTTTATTTGCGCCTCAACCATGACTGTCGAGACCAGACTATTAGTTCCGGTGGTGAAGGCCACGGCATCAGTTGACGAGATCGTCGCCAACCTCAAACTGGCCGGAGGTGTGATTATTCGCAATGCAGTGGGACAGGCAGCGCTCGACCAGATTGAGTAAGCAAGACCCTTCCCCAATTTTATTGAGAACACAAACTAACCTATCAAAGGGTTGACGTACGCCCCGGTCTCGAGCAGGACACAGCATGGAGCGGCTCATTCTTTCCATCCCAAACCCGACGGACAACTGCGGCGCTTCAAAAGTCCCCAACCTATGCGCGCGAAATTGTCATGCACCCACTGTTCCAAGGGGCATCGAACCGTATGCTGACGGAAAAACAATGGTTCTGGTCTGGAAACGAAAAGCAATGGACCGTCTCCCGTCCCCAGCTCTCGAACACGATCGTCTTCAGTATCGGCGCCGGCGCATCGGCACAGCCTCTGCATCGCGACGACTCAATCCACCAGCGATATGCTCATTTCGCAGATGTGTATCCGTCCGGTCGCGAAGGCAATTTGCGGGACAGCAGCATTGGATTTTTTGTCGCCGGTAAGAAAGTGAACAAAGCCAATGGCGCCACCCGTTTCATCCCTGGAAGTCATCTGTGGGATCAGAACACCCCACCAAACGAGGATCTTTGCGAGTTTGCGGAGATGGAGCGCGGAGATGCGTTCATGATGCTTGCTTCTTGTTTCCATGGCGGGTCGGCGAATACCACTACTGATGAGGAGAGGCTTATTTTCTCAACTTTCATGACAAAGGGATATTTGAGGCAAGAGGAGAACATGTATCTTTCTGTGGATATGGATGTCATGAAGAAATATCCCGTCGATATTCAGAAGATTGCTGGATATAGTTTGAGTGAGCCTTTCCTCGGATGGGTGGACTCGACTGATCCCAGAAAACTTTTGGATCCCAGTATTCCCGACAACACCGATATGTGGACTGGAGCGGAGGAGCCTGCTGATCCTTGGATTTAGTTGTAGCTTACTGTGTAGTTTTTGCTTCATGAAATACGGCAGATTTTAATCTGTTTCTCGTTTCTCGTCATTTTTAGTTCATTTAATTTCGGATTTCCCCATTTACTGTTCATTCGTAAATCTAAAAGTTCTTCACCTGCCAGTGGGTAAATACTCTGTCTTTAAATTGCATCGGATGGGAAGGAACCCTTCAAATCTTTACCTGGAAAATAACTTCATGGGCTCTTTCATTCTATGTACACTACCATCCTAGATTCATATTCGAAGTCCACCAAAAAAAGAGCGTAGGCATAATGAAGTGAGCAAGATATTAACAGTGGTCGTTATTTAGCTGGATAGTTTTAGCCTGCTAGGAAGTTTACGTTTGAATTATCGTTTGATGACACCTGGGTTTTCGGGTATACCGAAGAGATAAGTTTCAACCTCTTTGTATGGATCTTGAAACATGAAACTCAGTTTTCGCATGTATCAACCAATTGATTCCGCTGATCAAAAGGACAACAGCACAAGCGAGGACCGCCCAATTCATGTTATCCATCGTCACTGGGAGATATAAAGGAAAGCAAAGCCAGACGAACACAAAAATGATCCATACGACCGAGATCAGATTTAACGCTGTACCAAGCGCCTTTCCCAAATTGAAATAATGAGGCCTTTCAAAGGCCGATCGTTTGCTCATCAGAGAGCAAGCAATTGGAATGGCGTAGGAGAAAAAGATGCAGAGAACGGCGGATCCCAAAATTGCATTCAGTGCTGTTGCAGAGCCGAGTTCAAGAAGACCAATCAGAGAGCAGGCAACGACAGAGAAAATTATGCTGTTGATTGGTAGTTGCGACGAGTCACTGATCCTAGCCATGAATTTGGAGAAAGGAACACCGCCTTCACGCGCTAGAGACCACCAAATTCGGGTGAACGTCGTCAACAACGTGATGCTGGCGCAGGCAAAACAAATAATGAAAATCAGGGTTCCGATGATGGAAAGCGGAAGCGAGTGGAGGGAGTCAACCATCAGCTGGACGATGGGTTGGCCACCCAGGGGATCCAGGAGATTTGCGGGGTTCGTAATGCAAAACATGTAAACCAAGATCATCGGTAGTCCAGCAATAGTACTGGCCACTGCGCTGATGAACATGACTTGTGGAACCTGCCGGGAAGGTTCGGACATTTCTTCAGCCATATGTGCGGCACTGTCGAACCCGTTGATGGCTGTGAGGCCCGGTAGCAGACCGATGAAGAACACGACCGCATTCGATGACCAACCGGTTTGGTTCACGAAGTCCTTGAATACGTATTCGCTCGTTTGTTTGGGACTTGACCGAACAAGTAGCAGGACAAGGATGAACAGGCTGCCGAGGTTGATGTAGACCACCAGGCCTTGCAGAAATAGAGGATACCATTTGAAGAATACCGTGTTCGGCAACAGGGCCCAAAGGCCAATAGCAAAATAACACATATAGTAGTGCCATGCCAGAGGAGTAAAGTGGGAATGGCAGATTTGGACTAATGCGAATATCAACTCAGAGGTGATGAGGAAGGTGGCTGCTGTCCAGAAGAAGTATCCAGCCGCTGTTAGCCAGCCGACGAGGTAACTGAGGCCACGAGCATATCGCTGGGGTGCCAATTGGGACGTCCAGTATAACTGGCCTGCAAATAATCCGTCAAAAGGCCGAAAAAGGTGTCAAGAAAATATGAGTATCTAGTTACCTGAGGAGTGCGGGAACACAGCAGCAAGTTCTGCTAAGGAAGCACAGATACACAAATTGAAGATAACAGAAACGACGTATCCAAAGAAGTATACTGGACTACCACCAACGCCAACACTGACTGAAAGATAGGTCCCAATCGCCAAGGGCACTGATGTAACAGAAAACGAGATTCCTAGTGCGCTCCAGAGATGGAATGACTTTTGAAGTCCGACGGCCTGGACATCACCGATACCGATCTCATGGCCAGAATCATCTTCTGCGCTGGTGCTTAAAGTCTTCATATCATGTTCCCCTTTCCCAGAGATGTCGGACATATTAAAATCGATCAATGGCGAACTAAACAGAGAAACATCATAATCATCATATTGCTCGAGCCGAACAACAGTTATATACAAGCCAGATTTCTCCTATCGGGTCTAGATTTGGAGAAAGACTATAATTCAACTGAGTTTGTACCTATCTGTAACAGGCATGAGCTTGGAGATACGATAATTGCCACAGATGTGAGATGTGAAGATGTGAGGAGGATAAGTGGTGTTTAATCTTGAGGAAGACCCTCCTTATCTTTTGATAGCAGATAAGCGACCTGACAGGCTGAGAGTCAAGGAATGGCGAATCGCGATAGTCAATTGCACCAGTCAAAACCCACCAATAACCTGGATAGGATTCAGGAAACTCATAGCGAGATGTGGGGCGGTGATGAATCATCAAACAAATTGGTATTCGCGTTAACTTACGAGCCGCTTATGGTTTAGTTCCCGGTTAATCCCCGACGATAAGGCTCCACTAGGTTCTACCCGGCCTTCGCCATTTGATTGTCTCTTTGTCACTTGCCATCTGGAATCCAATATCATGCCCCGACGAAGGCCTAGGGAAGCTGTCAAGCGATCAAAGACTTTCACAGGCTGCTGGACTTGCCGATCCCGAGGAGTTAAATGCGGTGAGGAGAAACCGGTCTGTGCCAGATGCAGTAAAGGGTCCTTCCATTGTGAGGGCTATGGAGTTAAGCTCGTTTGGCCAGATGAATACAGCAATAATCCCTCGGGCGCCCAGAGGCGCTTGTTCACCCAATTGCAGAAGACCAGTGGACCCACCCTCAGTGAGCTAGAACTTGATATCTCTCTCTCGACGTTGGATGCAGCGATTGTCGTCGATCAAGAGCAAGATGGCCTTTTCTCGGTTTTTAGGCTGCCATCCTCCGAAGCAGATGATTTTCAGGAGATCTCAATATCACGCAGTGAAACTTCACGATATTGTGTTGATGGTGGGTTCTCCAATCAGTCCGTCGTGGAAAATGGGAGTTCGCTCTTTGCAGCCTCGTCTTCTAAAGACTCATCGATCTCAACCATACTGGAGGAATCAGGTGAAGATGATGTTGTGCACTATAATAAAGACGAAAACTTGGATGTTCCGATTTATAGATGCCGTTCTCCATCCCGTTCGCAGCACAATATGGCATTTCATTGGGAACCCTGGGTGGAAGATGCTATGGATCCTTTTGGGCCACTGGAATATTTCACACCTCTCAATGACCCGGGACCCCGAGAAGAACGAGAGTTAATGCATTACTGGGTGACGCATCTGAGCGATCTTATGATATCAGCGGGCTTGGCAGACAATCCTTACCGTACCGTCTGGATTCCCATGGCTCTGGAATCCACGGCAGGCAAAGATATCTTGCTTGAGAACTCCGCTCTTCTTCATGCAATCTATGCGTTGTCGGCCTTCAACAAATTCCAGCGCGTAGGCTCCAGTAGCCTGCCTTACTCCATCAGCGCCATCAAACACTATCAATTGAGTCTCGAGTATCTCCGACAGGCATCAATGCAGCAACGCGAAGCGCAGCTGGAAGTTGTGCTGGCTACCATCAGTGCTCTATCACTCATGGAGGTTATCAATGGCAACTTCTCATTCTGGCGCAAACATCTAAAAGGTGGCCGTGCATGGCTTCGGTCCATTGAGCGAGGGAAATGGACTCGTTTGCAAAAGTCGGCGACTTATCAATTCTTCCTGTGTGCTGAAGCTATTGGATCCTTCCTTCCAAGGGCTGCCGAGAATGCGCCCTTGGAAAATATCTATGCATGTGCCGTTGGCGACTCAGACTACGTCCATGATTCAACCTTTGGTGTTACGAACATTTCTCTAGACGTAGACTACGTTCTTGATCGATACTTCGGTATTACGAAACCAATTTTGGAGGCCATCACACATATTAATCATATTCTCGCATCTCCCTACCGTCCCTCTAAGACCGAACTGGAAGGACTTGAGATTAAAATTCTGCTCAACAGACCGATATCTATATCGAACAGACGAGCAAACTTTGATCCCGAAAGCCAGGCACTTGTGGATTACAAAATGATGTTCTATTATGCCTGCCATATTCATTTCAAACACAACCTACTGCATACCACTTCGGAGGACCTCCAAGGGATAGTACGTCACTCTCTCTTACATTTACAAAACATCGAAATCCACGAAACAACCTATGGGTGCTGTGGGATTTTATGGCCAATCTTTTTGATCGCCTGCGAATCTGACGAACGCAAGTCGCGCAACGCATTCCTTAGATGGTTTTCCACGAAGGCGAGATTGGGCATTGGAAGTCTGGCCTTGGCTTTGGCTGTAGTTATTGAAGTTTGGCGCAGGAGGGATGCCGCAAGGTCCCGTGATCATGGCAGCTGCTTTGTGAGCTGGGAGAAAGTTATGGCAGAAATGGGATTGGATTTGTTTATTATTTAGACATTCACCATACTGTTTCATTCCGATGAATATATATATGTGCAGCACGAACTCCATTGAAAGAGCTATCTATTCCCACCACAATCAACTATTTCAGCTCAATTTTACAGCCCCATATAGTCACCAATCTCCTTGTAATCAATCTGCCACAGCCCTGGACTTCCTTTAGGATATTGACTTCGGAACCCGATCATTTTCTGTGCTCGTGGGCTCATTTCCTTCACTAGTTCCATCTGGACTAAAAACGGATAAGCCTCTTCCGGTGTTAGATAACCCGGTTGAAAAGTGAAAGCAAGGCCTCGACGTTTGATATCCACCGATCGATTAGCGCCACCACCATGAACCACTTTCCCAGAGATCAAAAGTACATCACCCGCCTTCATCTCTGCTGGGATGGTCATCTCGGGCGTTCCACGGTTGTTGAAGTCAGACCAGTGGTTGCTGCCAGGTATGACTCTCGTAGCCCCGTTCTCCTCGGTGAAATCCGAAAGCGCAATTAAAAAGTTGAGGGAGACCTCCGGACCCGTGGGTCCCATGGCGATGAAAGGGTGAGTGTTTTCCAAATCGCGATGGAGAGGTTGCGCGTCATTTCCGGGACTGATCTCAATCACCTGCGCAGTGCTCATCCAATAGCTTTGGGACTCCTCCCAGAAGGCTCGCTCGGCAATGACATGCACCAATTCGCTATCTAGTAGCGTATCGCGGAATGTTTGGCTTATCGTCACAAGATTGGTGATTCGTTTGGTCTTCGCGCCGTGGAATTTTGAGATGAATTCATCGCTGTGTGTTGAACCAAAGTTCGCTTCCGCCACCGCGGCGTCGATTTCGTTGTTCAGACCCTGGAGTTGATCCAGGGTCATGAAGTTTTCAATGATGACTCCCCCATCGGCTTTGATAATTGCTAATATTTGCTCAGAGCTGCTAGTGTTTGGTACTCTTTGTAATGATGGAGTCTGGCTGGTGTTCGACATGACGTGAAATACGTTCTTTGAAGGACCGGGAATGAGAAATATGGGAATGAAATGTTTTGGTTTTGTGGAAAGGACGCGTTTGTCCTTTTATCATGCGTTTTGCTTAAGCAGTAATTGACAGCGAGGATCACTTTTCTTCTTTATGCTGTACAACGCTGTCAACCGGTTACTTAATCGATTCTTTTAAGGTGTACTACTATTACTATCGAATGTGAATACATTAAGGCGGCGGATAATGGACAAGATTTTGATTGGCTCCCGAGAAATTCATATTGATGCCACTGGGCTCCACCGGACCCACATGAATGGAAGGCGAGGGCGAGCCCCAAGTAGATCCATCCAGGTGTATTGATCACGGTATCTAGATAATGGTTACTAATAAATACTGATAGTGCCAATCGTGAATTTCAAGGCTGGCAGAGCATCTTTAGCCTAGATTATGCACAAGCCTTTATTTGAAATCTAATTTCTAGTTTTTGCTAGCTTGAACGAATGTCCACCAATCCTCTTGATAATCACTCAAAATTTGATATTGCCTTTTGAAAATTCTCCCCTCAGCATACATCCCCCTTTCAAAATCGCCATGCGTATCGCAATAGCCGGTGCCGGCGACCTAGCCAAATACCTCGTCGAAGAGCTCCTTGCCGCCTCCCATGAAGTCGTCGTGCTAAGCCGAAGCTTAAAACCCTGGTTCGAACGCCGTGACATCTCTTTCCGCCCAACCGACTACTCCGTCCCATCGTTGGTCGTAGCTCTAGAAGACTGCGACGGTTTGATCTCCGCGCTACTCGACTACTCGCTAGGCAGCGTCATCGCCCACCTCGCCCTCTTGGAAGCCTGTCAGAAAAGCCCAAAATGCAAGCGCTTTATGCCTTCCGAATACGGTGGTAACGTCGATCTCTACCCCGAGTCACCAGAGTTTTACTACGCCAACCATGAGCCCGTGCGGCAGGCGTTACGCGCCCAGAAGGATGTCATGTGGACTCTTTTCAATATGGGCTGGTTATCTGACTATTTTGTGTCGGCGGGCTCGCGGTATATCAAGGATATTGGTGATTTCCACCCCGTCAACTTTGAGACGGGCGTGATGACCATCCCGGGAACGGGCGAGGAGTCGATTTCTTTCACTGCCGCGCGTGATGCGGCGGCGGCGATGGCGCGCCTGATTGACCAAGATAATTGGGAGGCGACTACCTTTGTATGCGGCGAAACGACCACTTGGAACGGCGTTGCAAAGTTGCTGGCCAGGCACGGAAGGGACTTGAAGGTCCGTTATGTATCCCTTGATAGTCTGCAGGATTGCATCAAGCACGGCCGATCGGGTGACGATGATGTCATTGCGGCGCAATATGCCGAGTTCTCTTTGACTGGTGGAGCTATCTTGCCGCAGGAAAAGGTAGAACGTCAAAAGGAGCAATATTTCAAGGGCGTGAAGATTCGATCAGTGGAGGAAGTGGTACTGGCAGCAGAACAGAGCCCGTGGACTATTGTCTAGGGATGTGCGATATGTTCGATTGTACTTAGAATCAGATATTCAATCAAAATTGCATTATACCTACATAATTCAATCAATTGATGGTATAAAGGTAAATAATGCACATTGGTTCCGAATTGGCATCTCCCCCTAGTCATCTCGCAATAAAGCAGTATCGACTTAGATTTCTGGGTGCGACGCTCAATAAGGAATGAGTCCTCTGCTTATTTACGATTTGTTTTTCACCTCCGCAGTGTCCAATATCCTAGGCCAAAGTTCGGCCGATAAGCCAGAGGATTAGCAATCAAAATTCGTGTCACTAGATTAAAAATTGAGAAAGGAATTCGGGTAGCTCGCTATGGCTTTCCCATGCTGGATCTCTTCTCAGGCTTAAAATCCACAACAAAGTGCTTCGACCTGTATATAAAACCTCCGACGAAGACCGTTAAAGTAAGATCGCAAGACATACCATAAATCTAGTCCCTAAGATCGCGTATCATTCCCTCTGAAAAACTCCAGCCATCGTGCATCGATCAATCTTCCCTCCCGCAACCAAGAAAATGTCCGAGGAATACAAATCCCCCCTCAACGCTCACGGCATTAGATGCTTCAATTCAGCCGGCATGGGCACAAAGCTTTCATCCCTCTTGCACATTTCCTCCGCAGTCGTTCTTCCGCCAAATACCCGCCAGGTCGTGACATCTGGTCAGACCGGCATGCGCGAAGACCTCAGCTACCCGTCTTCGCTAGTCGAGCAGTTTGACCTAGCCTTCGCAAATGTGGAGGCATCTCTCGCTGCCGCCGGTGTGCAGGATGGGTTTTATGCTGTTTACCAGATGACATCGTATCATGTTGGGGGTTTGAGTGGTGGTGAGGTGGACGAGGCTATGGAGTTCGTGGTACAGAAGTACTTCGGCAAAAATCGGCCTGCTTGGACTGGGGTTGGGGTGACCGAGCTATATGGAGAAGCGAAGGTTGAAATTACAGCCTATGCTACGCTGGTGGATTGAGAGTGCTGGGAATTCTTTCGGGGAAGATTTTGTGAATTACTCATTGTTCGCTGTGGTGACTCGTGGCCCAATGATGCCCTCGTAGGGTGAGTTACATTGGTCGCGCAGGCCCAAAGGCTTTTCGTTAAATTTCTTTACTTGGCTTCTTGGTAAAAAGTGCTATATAACCTTAATCAATAGATCATCCAATATATACGACCATGGGGTGTGGAGAACAGGGCTTCCTGTCCGCGCAGCCGTATTGAAACCATACGCTGGGTGACCACATTGGAATCCTGACTAATGTATGTTTTTTCTTTCACCGTAGTAGCGCCTCGTTGAAGTGCTTGACAATTTGAAACAATCGTGAAAACCAACTGCCGCACTCATTCGGCGGCCGCGATCTTTCAGTCATTGCCCACGTAGAGCGTGGCCTTTAGGTAGTATCAAAAGATATCGTGGTCTTTTGGATGTTGTAAGATCGAATCTAAATCATGGCGCTTTCGTAGAATTTGCAACTATTTGGCTCTCGCTGCTACAGAACCCTTGGTTCGTTGCACCACTACTGGTGTCAACCAAGAAACTCGGGTGAGGCTTGGAAAAGTCGAGTGGGGCACTAACCGGGCCTTACATTTTTTACTAAAAAATACCAGACACTCCAAAGGAGGGTCCGACACCCAAACCAACATACTACCCAATAAAAACTTTCACCAATTTCAACTTACCATCTTCAACCAACAATATCTATATCACCATGCCTAAAGACAACGCCAAAATTGAAATCCAAATTGCTAAGGCAATGGATATTCTATCACAGTAATCTAAGCCTAATATCTCTAAAACTGCGCGTGAATTCAACGTATCTTACAACCGGCTTCGGAATCGCTGGGCAGGTGGAAAATCCCTATTTCAACGACAACCCAATGGTTGCAAGCTCAATTCTGCACAAGAATCTGCTTTATGCCAGTTCATTGATTACTTCGATAAAGCGGGCGCTGCGATAAACCAGTCACAAATCGCAATTGCAGCGAATTCAATTCTCGAAGAACCGCATACCGATCCCGCAATCCCACCACCTAAGATCGGCGAGCACTGGACTCGCCGGTTCTTAAAACGCAATCCTCAATATTACCGACGTCGCCGACGAGCCCTCGATATCGAACGAAGCCGAGCGATGGATAAAGGGGTTGTGGAAAAGTGGTTCGATAAATATACCCGGATCGTCAAGGAAAATGGCATTTTACCCGGCGATATCTACAATTTTGAAGAGACTGGCTTTCAAATTGGTGTTGGTAAAGATCAATGGATTATTACCCGAGAACCGAAGCGCAAAATATTCAACGGTTCTGTCACAAATCGTGAATCCGTAACGGTTATTAAAGCAGTTTCGGCGGATGGTTTTGTCTGTCTACCACTTATCATTTTAAGTAGTAAACAGATGATGCTACGATGGTTTGAGGCTATTCAAACTATTAAATACCTCGCTTTATCCGATTCTGGATATATGACCGATGTTTTAGCATTCCAATGGATTCAAAAATTCCATGAATGGACATTTCGTCAAACTCAGGGTGTTAAGCGACTAGTTTTATGCGACCGATTTGGATCGCATTTTACACGACAATTCGGTGAATTTTGTGAGAATAATGACATCATTCTTTTCTTTTATTGCCGTATTCAAGCCACTTCCTACAGCCTCTCGATGTCGGTGTATTTAGTGCTTATTAACATTGGCATAGTGAGGCTGTCGAATCTGCGACAATAACTGGATGTCAAAAGTTCACTAAAGATGAAATATTTCATACGATAACCTCGATCCGGGAAAAAACCTTTCGTCTACGTACAATCAAACTCGGCTTTAGATTAACAGGTCTTTGGCCAATTAATTCTAAATTAATTACTGAGGATTTGGTTGACTACGATCCTTACCAACGACCACGGCCATCAACACCAGCAACCAATAGCTCAGTCTATACAGACTTCAGCACCCCCAAAACCACTGAGAAAGTGCAAAAATTAAGCTTAGCGCTTAAAGAGAGTGAAGTCCATTCCGCCCGCTACAAAAACGCACTTGCAAAGATCACAAAAAGTGCTGAAATGCACACTGCTTTAGTGCATGCATTACAGTCCAAATTAGATACGTCTTCAGCTATCATGGCTGCCCGCCACGCAAGAGATAATGTTAGCCGGGCGAGGGCTCATACTAGTGACATTGTTAATGCTAGTGGAATGAGAAGTACTTAATATAAAGCATTTAAATGGACTGAGGCTGAGGATATTTCCAAACGGAAGCGGAAATGGGCTAAGGTCAACACACAGATCAGAAGGCATGGACGCATGCAAAAAAAATGGGGGCGGGTCGTGGCTATTGAATCTATGTAATTTAATAGATTTTGTATTTAATTCTTATTCTAAATGAAGTTCCTTGATATATATGGTTGAAATGGGGGTTTAAATTAGATATGGTGGATCATTTTCAGTTTGGGTAGTATGTTGGTTTGGGTGTCGGACCCTGCAAAGGAGGGTCTGGTATTTTTTTAATAAAAAGTGTAAGGCCCGGTAAGTTTATGCTCTCGTGCCCTCTTCGCCGCACGATCTAGTTATATCCGAGCGTCAAACCTTGTATACGGAATTCCCCCAGTTATATCGATCTCGGAGATACCCCATACCCCTTTTGCGTCTCTCGTAAACCTATATCCTTTGATTACCCCGGTGGCGGGAATCAGGAAGTTTTCATTCGTTCGTCGTCGGATAACCAAGACTCCCGAGGGGTATTCCCGACACTACGATCTTCTACTATACGCTGTAACAACGGGGAATCCACTCGAGGCAAAGACCCCCTCCCTCACTACCTATTTTCCCCACCCCCAACCCCAACTTCAGGGAGTTCACGTCAGCTGCCTTGAGTAGTGGATAAGAATTATTTCCTGCGAGGATTTACGGATCTAATGGGCTTCTCACTCAATAGGTTCACTGTATGAATGTTAGAGAATTGTGGCAAAAGTGAGGTTCTATATCCGACAAAATGATTGACATAGGAGTCCCCGTCATCTTTGGTCGAAAGGCGCTTTTTCCTGGATCCAGATCTTTGAGAGCAGCTTGGTGGGGCTGTTCCTATATACGAGAGACAATCTGATACTTGCCGTGTCTGGAATGCTTGCCTGGCTGATACGGGGGAATCCCGACAAACCTGGCTATGAACCAGTAGCCGTGAACGCAAAGCGTCAACCTGCGATAGTACACGGTAATATATGTTTGATCATACCCGTGAGACCGCAATTGCCATGGCATACCTCTGGGGCTGCTTAGGTATTTATATCTTCTTGCTTGTCCGACTAGTAGCCAAAAGAAATTCCAGGACTCAACGGCTCTGCTTGCCTTTTTCTTTCTTGCCTTATCTCACAAATCCAATCTTTCAAGACAGCCAAGCATAAACAAACATGAACGGTACAGCTCGTGCTTCGAAGGGCATCATCACGCCGTTGGATGCGCAGCCGGTAGAAGAGGGAATGGCACCACGAACCAGATGTATCGTTGAAGAACGATCTGTGGATGAAGTTCGTCCTCTAAGGATTGTCATCATCGGAGCTGGCATTTCTGGAATCCTCGCGTGCATTCGGCTTATGCAGAGAATCCCAAATCTGCAACTCTGCATTTATGACAAGAACCCCGACATTGGGGGAACTTGGTTTGAGAACCGTTATCCCGGATGCGCCTGTGGCATGTATCCCCCTCCGATCACTATATGGATACTTTCTCACTGGCAGCGGTGGCACACAGATATCCCAGCTCATACCTACCAAGCCTCTTTCGAGCCCAATAAGGAATGGTCAACCTTCTACGCCAAGTCTCCTGAGATCCACAAGTACTGGACGCGCGTAGTCGAAAAATATGGATGCAGAAAGTATATGAAATTGAAGCACCGTGTGGCCAATGCTATTTGGGATGAAAGTATCTCAAAGTGGAAACTACAAGTGAGTGGATTCTTGCCAGGTCAGGAGTGAAATGTTGACTTGTCTATTTATAGATTGAAGCTATCGATACGGGCTCCGTGTTGAACGATCAGTGCGAGGTTGTGATTCAGGCAACGGGTGCCTTGAATGATTGGAAGTGGCCGCAGATCCCCGGGCTTCATGACTTCAAGGGTAAACTGATGCACAGTGCATCTTGGGACGAAAGTTATGACTACAAAGTATGCACTTGAATATACACATTGTCTGATGGCGACAAATAACATTCTATATAGGATCAGCGAGTCGCAGTCATTGGAAACGGATCAAGCGGCATCCAGATTGTCCCTGGAATCTTGCCCGATGTGCAACATATAGATCACTATGTTCGCAGCCGCACTTGGGTGTCTCCCTCTTTTGCACGGAAGCATATTGAAAGACGTGGTAACGGATTAGAGAACTGTGAGTATAACTAATAGGCGCCTCTAGACTTATTCTTCTAACCACGAACGTATAGTCACTTTCAGCCAAGCGGACATTGAACTTTTCAAACGGGATCACGAATCATATCAGAAATTCCGCAAAGGTAATTCGCAAACCGCATTTCCTATATGTGTTTTGCCTAACACAGTTACAGAGGTCGAGCTAGAGCTGCAATCTGTCCACGGATCTACTATCGAAGGCACGGAGATGCAAATTCGCGCCAGAGAGGAATTTGTGAAGAACATGAAACGACGACTTATAGCGAAACCGGAGCTGATCGATGATCTCATTCCTTCCTTCCCGCCTGCGTGTCGTCGCCTGACCCCAGGGCCCGGTTACTTGGAGGCATTGACAAATGATAAGGTCGATGTCGTCACGTCAAGCATAATGAAAATTGACGAAACCGGTATTATCACCACAGATGGACAGCACAAACCTGTGGATGTCATTATCTGCGCAACTGGGTTCGATACCTCTTATACTCCCCGGTTCAAGGTGAAGGGGCGGGAAGGACTCACGTTGGCTGAGCATTGGAACGAAACGCCCAAGACCTACCTGTCAATTGCTACTGATGGATTTCCAAATTACTTTATATGTTTGGGGCCCAACGCCGGGCTAGGTGAGGGCAATCTTTTGACTCTGATTGAGAAAGAGGTGGATTATTTTACAGAATGCGTACGCAAGATTCAGCGCGACAATATACGCGCAATGAGTGTGCGACCTGATGCTGTCAGTCGCTTCACTCAGTTCTGCGATCAATATTTCTCGCGGACCGTGTTCAGCAGCAAGTGCCGCAGTTGGTATAAGGGCGGGACTGAAGATGGCCGCGTTATAGCCCTCTGGCCTGGTAGGTGATGTATTTATGTTGTAACTTCCTTTACTGCACTAGCTGACCGGTTTAGGATCATCATTGCACTCGATGGCTGTGTTTGAGCACCCCCGCTGGGAAGACTTTGAGTACGAGTACGTTGGAGACAGCCCCATGGGCTGGCTCGGAGATGGGTGGACGGAGAATGAGAAGTACAACAAAATCAATGTTGATTATCTAGATGATGAGCAGATTGACTTTCCACAGCCGATCAAGGCTGTCTAGAAGGGGCTTAATTAATTTGTTCATTTCCTCGGAGGCAAAAGACGAAAAAGACGAAAAAGTAAAATACCCATCGTATATTACCATATGAATACCGGATATACACGAAGTTTACAAGTCTCCACCGTAAAAGACGACACCCGGCCAATACCCAAGGCATTTTCTTTTCCCCTCCCACCCTACTACCCCGGATTTTTATCGTTCCCGTCCATCATGAATCTAGATAAACACATACGGTGCGAAATATGCCAGCAAGGCTTCACGCGCAGTGATCACTTGAAAAGGCACTATCTGCGCCGTATGCAAACCACCCTGCCTACTCCTGTTTCAAAATTAACCCTCGTTCAGATACTGGTAAGAAGCCATACTTCTGTATATTTTGCAATAAAGCCTTTGCGCGATGGTGAGCTTGAAATCTGGGCCCCCGTACACTCGATTTTATCCTGATATTTACTCTACAGTGATGGTCTTCGCAACCACTATCCAGATTGCGCCAAACGTGGAGAAAACCAGATCCCTGAAAATCGACAGAGAGGCAGAAAGCGACACGCTTGCCAATCGGTAAGGGTTATAGCCTAGGGCATCTAGGAATCAGAATATGCTAACGGGCTCACTGCATGCAGTGTACCTTGTTAAAACTTCGTTGCGACGGGAAGCATCCATGCGACTCGTGTGACAAGAAAGGTATAGATTGTAATAACAACAGAGCCTCATACCCGGAGAATCCCACTTCTCCAATTGGTATGGGCCAATCCAGGCTGCGTTACGAAAAATCCACTGCCAAAGTAGGGTCGTCGTTAATGAGCCAAGAGCCTTACAACCAACCATCAGACCGCGGGTCAGTAAAATTCTTACTCGACGGCGGGACAGACAGCTTCACAGAGAAATTCAGACACCCCCCCCGTGATGACCGGACCCGGGGAATGGCATATCATTACCAGACAGTTCTGCGGAATGAGGAGCTTAAGAGCATCCTTCAGCATGTTGGAAGCAAAAGTCCGGACCACACCTTATTGTGTGTAGATTCCAGTGTTTCTGAACTACCCCAAGTTGCATTTTTCGACTTATTGAATGACCCTTTCGGCAGTGGATACTCAGAAGATTTGTATGTTAGTGGAAATGGTGTTCACTCACAATTATCTGAGCAAGGTCCCGATCTCTCTGCACTTTGGGGAGATATAATTCTTGAACCTGAGCCGCCATTCGTGTTGGCCTTGATTGAAGCTATCTTGGCACAAGGTTGGACCGTTTTAAAAGACGCTAAATCCCAGAAAGACCTCTCCACCAACCTTACATTTCTCCTGACAAGCGCACGTATCCGGAAGTTCATCGCTCTTTATTTCAAATACTGGCATCCAAGCTGCCCGATGGTGCACGAGCCTACCTTCAAGCCTGAAACAACATCTGTGCCGTTATTAGCTTCTATGGTCTTTATGGGGGCGATGTATACCATTGACCAGAAGGAAGTCCATGCTGCAAAGAGAGTGATCGATTTCGTGGAGCTTTATATCTTTTCTAATGATATCTTCTCACCGGAGAGTGGGATTGAGGCTATGTTCTCCGGCAACAGGTGCTACGAGGATGAAGTGGACGATTGGGTCAAATTCCAAAACTTCCAGGCAGGACTATTGATTACTGTGGTACAATACTGGGCAGGGAGTTGGGTCTCTCGAGACCGTGCGATAGAGGCCCGATTTAGTGAGATTGTCAAGGTAAGTGTACATACCCATTCCCTCATCGATATAGCGAGACTAACAGTATTGGACTAGGTTGCTCGGGGGATTGACCTAGTTAAATCTCGACACCAACCTCCAGACTATGTCTCGGAGGATTTGTGGATCAAAAAAGAATGCCGTATCCGGTTCGTAGTTAACAGTTTTTGAGAGAGCTTGCCCAACTGACATCCAACAGAACCATTGCGATTGTATCTTTGCTTGATTGCGCGTTTTCCTTCTACCAAAATTACCCCTGTCGTCTAACAGCTGCCGAGATGGAATTCGAACTTCCTTGCGAACAATCAGTTTTCCAGGCGGAGTATCCATTCGCCGAGCCTCATTTTCGATTTTCGCGCAACATCACGGTTCTCAGGGCTTTCCAGGGCCTTTTCATTGATAATAATCAAAGGGGTTCTCCGCAGCGTTCTCCCGACACTATCCATATAGACTTGACAACATTGGACATGTTCATTTTGATTCACTGTATGGTCCCCCTGCAATCCTTCTTGGCTTTTCCTTTTTCGCTAACCCTTCCATATAGTACTATACGTCTTTATTAACATGAATATGTCTCCCTTGGGCCCATTCGCACACCAAACCCATTATGACCGGAATGTGCAGGCTAGTAGGAGTGACGGTTCGGGCATAAGTCTCAATTCAAGTGACTCGGTTCTCGACGCGATCCGTAAAGCTTTGTCCCGCTGGCGTGATAATTGGGTTACACTTCATAGCCAAGTTTCTCATGACGAATGGAACTCGTTGGGCTTCTACAAGAATGGATACAATTTCTGGCTTGTCTCGCAGCTGTTGATCACAAAAAGCGACGCCGTTGATGTGGTCATGCACATGAGCGTAAAATGTGACGACAAATTAAAGGAGCTAAGTGTACTATTGCTTGATGAAGAGGAATGAAAATGAGGAGCGAATTTTCAACCAATAATCAGCTGTCCACCTCTATCAGAAGCCCTCCGCCTTCTGAGATAGTTACTATATAGTTACTATAGGTTGATTAAGAATTGGCATAAATTAATTTATAAAGGAGGTGCAGTACGCCTGTAGCGATCATAATGCATATATCCGATAAATCGGGGTTTTCCCAATAAAATTGCCGGATTCTGCAATTCCCCGAAAGCGAACCTTCGGCTCTCGGACCGGACATACCCCATGATGATTGATCGATAGGAACTGACTACCAGGGGCTATCTTCGCTCCGATATTACACAAGAATGTTAAATTTCTCCTGCTGTGAGTGCCGAGAGAAAAGCCGTCATTTATGTCATAGATCAAAGAAATTTGCAATGATCTAAGCTCATGGAGCCAGGACCGGTGTATAAAATGGCTCTAATTACACTTATATTATTTCGACTGCTTGACTGGATTTAGTAAACTTCTTATCTTCGACGAATTCACTACAAAGGAAATGGAACCCCAGTCGGATGCTTTCCACCCACAGGATATAGAGCAATCCAGGCCCTCACAAGCCTGCACTGCTGATATGCCCGACGAGAAGGAGAGAAACCTCGTCGACTGGGATGGCCCCAATGACCCGAAGAATCCTCACAACTGGCCCAATTGGAAGAAAGCCCTGTGCACAATCTCCATGGGTACATTAAATTTCTGTGTGACCTTCTCTTCCAGTGTGATGACTTCAACTGTCAAGCCATTGTCGGAGCTGTTCGATGTCTCAGAAACCGTTGCGACCCTTGCGACCTCCCTCTTCGTCTTGGTAAGTTTCCACCACATCCACGGTGGCCCATCCCTCTGCCACCATCCAGCTGACGAAATGGAATATAGGGGTTTGCTGTTGGGCCCATAGTATGGGGACCGCTGTCTGAACATTTCGGACGTCGGACTCCTATGCTCTTCGGCTTTTTTGGATTCGCTGTATTTCAAATCCCGGTTGCCGTCGCGCAGAATTTATACACCATCATGATCTGTCGTTTTTTTGGTTGCCTGTTTGGCTCGGCCACCCTTGCTATCGGGGGTGGCGCCCTAGCGGATTTCTGGGCTCCTGTGGATAGAGGGGTAGCTGTATGCGTCGTATTTGCAGCTACTTTTGGTGGTCCAGTTGCCGGCCCCATCGTTGGTGGCTTCATCACGCAGTCATTTCTTGGATGGCGGTGGACACAATGGATTACTCTCATTATGAGTGCATTCTTTGGGATTTTGGCCAACTTCCTGATTCCGGAAACCGCGGCTCCCATTCTCTTACAATCCCGAGCAAGAAAAATCCGCCACAGCACTCAAAATTGGGCCATGCATTCAAAAAGTGAAGAGGCATCGATCACTATGAGTACCATAGCCTATAATGTTGGCATTCGGCCGATTATCATGTGCGCCCAAGAGCCGATTCTGTTGTTGGTGAACATCTATATTGCACTCGTCTACGGTATCCTTTACCTCTTCTTTGAGGCATTTCCGGTCTCGTTTGAGGAGCAACGCGGTTGGAATCTGGGTGTGAGTGCGCTCCCTTTCCTTGGCATTCTCATCGGTGTCCTTCTCGGGGTTACTTTCATTATAACCTACACCAAGACACGGTTTGCGCGCAGTTTTAAGCAGCACGGCAAAGTCATTCCAGAAGAGCGTCTTCTACCTATGATCGTCGGTGGAGTCATGCTACCCATTGGTCTATTTTGGTTTGCGTGGACATCTTCCCCGCATATTAACTGGATACCACAAGTCATCTCAACTATTCCAATCGGTATGGGGCTGATGATGATCTTCCTGCAAGGACTGACTTATATCATTGATGTGTATCTATGGTATGCTAACTCCGCTCTTGTGTCCAATACAATCATGCGGTCTCTGATTGGTGCTGGGTTTCCCTTGTTCGCGACGGGGATGTTTCACAACTTGGGTGTGCCATGGGCATCTAGTCTACTAGCGTTTTTATGCATAGCGTTGGTTCCAGTGCCCGTTGTGTTCTTTATTTATGGGGCCCGGATTCGGAACCTTTCGAAATTCAGTACTGCTACGTAAAGACAACTGGGAACCTTCGAAGCTGCTTCAAATATACCACTCTTTTATCAATTAACTCATTATGGTTTTTCGAATGATGAAGCTTCTCGGCTTTGATCGCTTGCGCATGTTAGTGGTATTGCAGATTGCCTGAGAACATTTACCCAATGGGCCAAACAAAACGGAAGTGGGGTGCCGTCATTCAACTACTCCCGAGACGTCTGTTGCTTGACTCCCGGATAACGATCGTGAGGAATCGACCGTCTTTTAACTTTGCCTAGATGCTATGCCCCCCAGAAACTTGACAGTACTTGGGAACATACTCAGTAAATGGCGGAAGGCCATAGATCATCTCCAGAGAAACTGCTTGGAGACGACCCAATCGAAAAGTGCGTACAAGGAAGCTATTTTGTATTCGATCTGCTCTTCTTTTAGTTATGCAGTCGAATGTTTCATCTTTCGCCGTTAAGTTATCTCATCTATCTTGTCCCCTATCTAGTCAAAGCCAGCCCTGACTCGAGAAGGCGGGCAAGGAATTATAACCGAACAAAACTGATAGGAGGAGACTCAAGTTATCTAAGGATCTCTATATTTTCTTTATTTTAGGAACTCTTAGAGAGTTTTTCAGGATTCAGCCATCGAATCATAGATGATATATAAGTGTATACTAGAATTACCGTTGACATTGAAACCTTGCGACTTCTGTGGGGTATTCCCGAGCTCGTCGACCAGGAACATGTATAGAAATTGTATGACACATAGGACTCTGATGCCGAGAGGAAGTGCTGTGTAGGCCTGATAGGTAAAGGTCACAGAGAGCTTAAGCGTTCGCTGGACTGACTTTTCCATCTTCTGTCCTAGATTTAGGCCTTTGAAATAATGCCACACAGCGACGTCCATTTGATGGTCCTTGATGAAAGGGCTGCTGCTGTCAAACTTGATGTCTTCAAGAAAGATTCTAATCACAGATTTCACTTGGTCAGTCTGAGGCATTCCTTTGATAACACCAGTCTCATTGTTGCCAGCGGACTTGGTTCGAAGACCATGATAGGAAAGATTACTCTCCGCGTGGATAGGGTCCATTTCAATTGAAAGTAGACAGATACCCGAGAATCGAGGCGAAAGGAAGTTGATGGTAAGAGGTGTTCTGCGACAATCTGCTGAAAGACAGCAACTTATACTACTTCTTGCATTCTTCTTTTTTCGCACCTCCTTTTGCAATATAGGGGATACAAAGTCAGCCATGACGTTGTTGCAAAACTCATCACATGTAATGCAAGTTGTGCATAATTCCCTAGCTGTTGCGAGGTCCATTCACTATGATGTCTCATACCTTTTTTGGGGCAGTTTTGCAGAAAAGCCTATCGCAAATTCGAAGCCTGAAAAATGGGCAAGCATGAAAACTGCCGAGGTTATCGGACTCTTCCGCTCCACTTAAGATCAGCCAGCCTCCATATGAGCAATACTGCCATGCTCGCTCCCATTCGCTCTTGGCCCCCTTGTGGTTGCCCCCTTGTGGCTGCCTTCTTCAGACTGGCCTGTTTGGCTTTAGGGTCGTACGGATTTACCTGCACATATCTGCATGTTTCACCTCTATGATTGCTCCATTTCCTGCACTTGGTCTATCTAATTGCCGCAGTGAATCTGTTGTATGTTGCCACCGATGCCTCCACTGACTCGTGTTCCTCGGTATACTCCCCTGCCCCAATAACATCTGACCACCGTGGTGCCCCGCTTCTCTATTACAAGTTTGCCCCCTTGGCTTGACATGCGCTCCTGGGTTGCGCTGCCGTATTCAAATGTCCGTTCCCTCACCCGATCTACGCTGTGCCGGTTGTCAATCTGCACGGGATTTAAATTCCTCTAATTTCTCAACCTCTTCTATTTTGGCAGTGAAAAGACTTGTCTGCTAGGGCTGACGGTCTGTTGTTTTGATTGCAGGTCTAGGTAGAAGTTAGAAAAAGCAGTACTACTATTGGGCAATTGGAATTTCAAAGTCTGATTCTACAATATTCCCTGCTTTCCATTTTGTATTGTTGTCATAATCACAGAACTCAATATCAATGTAGGGACATTTGATCTTAGTGCATTTCCCTTGCTAGATTTTCGCTTGTGTTAGGTAGGTAACTTGTCCAGAGTGTGATACAAAGCAATATTGCAAGGAACCACTCACTAAAAAAGTAGACTAGGCTAAAATTCATTCTAAACCGACTACCCTGCCCGGAGACGGGTCCACTCGCGACCAGTGCACAAATACATCTCTATGCAAGCACTGATATACGTACTGACATCAAAGGGGGCATATCAAATACAGCAATTGACAAACTATATGTCATATAACACACGTTCCAGCACATAGATATATCATAGGATGACGTTTACTTATTTGGTATTTGACGCTAATACTGCATGCATATGTTTGGTCCTTATGACGGTATAGGGTTGGGCAGCAAAAGCATACCACATCGAAGCTACGAGGTAAGTTTCGAGACCCACGTACATGATTATATCAATTGCGCATTAGTCGTGATGTCCTGAAAGAAGCTACTTTGCTGAGCAAAACAATTATTGCATTATACGTTCTTCTGAATCATCAACTCAACACTAGATTTACCTAGCAGATCACATCCTTTTACGCCAAGTTTTACAATCATGACGCAGTGAGCGAAATATGTCTTAGGCCGAGGTGTTGGAGAATCAGTTAGGTGAGCTTGATCCTATATAATTAGACCTATCTGTGCCTTTAAGTGCCCCCCACCGCCTTCGGGATGGGGGTGCACCACACCGGAAACCCGATTTCGAAGCCATTCATCTTCTTGAATTTATTCCCACCCACCATCATGCCAAAAGCACCTAAAATAGACGAATTCCGTGTAATTGAGGCCTGCGAAGCCGCCCAGCGCGAACAAAAACCGAATCTTGCGAAGATCGCGCGGGAATATGGCGTTTCGTATGAGATACTGCGCGGTCGCGTTCGCCGGGGACAACAGGCTCGTAACGCCTATACACCTCAGAATAAAGCCCTTAATGAGTATCAGGAGAAAACTTTAGTCCAATAGATTGTCCGTATGCGTGATTTACATCTCCCCGTTACCCTAAGATGCTCACGGAGTGAGCGAACCGGGCTCTCGTGCGTGCTGGTTCAAATCATGAAGTCAGTAAGATGTGGGCGTATCGTTTCGAGAAAAGACTCCCAGCACACCTTGTGTTAGGCCCTGTGATACAGAGAACAAAGGATAAGAAACGTCTTAAAGCAAAGGATGTAGGATACCTACAGCACTGGTATAATCAGCTTGCGAATATACTTAAAGGTCTCCCATCACACTTGATCTATAACTTTAACGAATATGGCTTCTAACCTGGCTAGGGAAAGGCTCGAAAGGCTATTAGGACGAAGGGAAGATGCCCTGATCTCGCTAAGTTCGATCATGCTAAGAATATCACGGCGATCGAGTGTATCGCTGCTGATAGGTGGATCATGGAGCCGCTAATCATCTTCAAAGGCGAGAAGTTCATGGAAAGTTAGTATAACCACCCTAATCTACCACACTTTTGGACGGCTGTATCTCCGAAGGGATATATCAACGACTTTCTTACTATTGGATGGCTTCAAAAATTTCATAAAGCTATAAAAGAGCGGGTAAAAAAGGGTGAAAAACGTGTGTTAATATTCGATAGTCATAAGTCCCATAAGACCGTCGAATTTCTTCTGCAACTCTGCGAGGATTTCAATATTATTCCTTTTTGCTTTCGGCCTTATATAACCTATATCTGCCAGCCTCTTGATAGTAAGCCTTTTCTTACTTATAAACAACATTTTCGTACGCAAAATAACCTCATCTCTCAGTGGGGCGGGATCCCCGCGGGGAAGGCGGATTTCCTTAAGGATATCGTGAGTGTCCGAAACAAGACCTTCAACCAAAGAATTATCCGCAATTCTTTAAAATAGCGTGGTATATACCCTCCAAATAGCGATGCTATTATTCAAAAACTTCAAGATGCACTTCCACCGATACCAGATCTCTTCGTGCCCGATCTTCGTGCATATAGTGAATCAACACCTCCCCTAAATATCTCTTCTTCCAGAGTGGAAAACACCCCTTCAAGGAGTGCCTAAGACCTCGAGAAGAATCAAAAAAAGCTTTCGAAGGTATTTACTACAGCGGGCCTCACACTGAAGCTCAAACGAGGCCTACAACGTGCGTTCTACCATCATAAACGTACGGCAGAAGAGCTTGCGATGATGAGCGATACAGTCAGTCGAATAAGAGAGATATAGGCCCCTCGAAGGCAAAAAACCACTAAGAGAGAGATTCGTAAGATCTGAGACTCTGGTATACTCATTAAAAAAGATGCCAATCTATCAATGAAGGCTAGAAGAGAGAAAGAAGCTATACAAGAGAAGAAGAGATTGCAGAAGCAGTGGACAAAATTGTACGGCCAACCGCCACCAAAGTCACCTACTAGGGAGAGAACTATATTGCCAGATACAGTGATGGCAGCGCAGCAGGGAGGGGAGTCTTTTTGGATAGATACTCAGGATGAAAAGCAGTAGTTAATGTGAATGGCTTCAAAATTGGGTTTCTGGTGTGAATTGGATTTCCGGTGTGGTGCACCCCCATCCCGAAGGCGGTGGGGGGGGCACTGGAAGGCACAGATATGGTAGACTGTTCGAAACTATGAGAATATTACGGGAGCTACATAGAAAACATGTCATTTTATTCTCAACGAGAATTCCCAACAGGCAGTGTACGGCCGTTAGAATGATGTCTCTGATCACACGTTCTGGAGATGCTTAAATTGAGTGCATGCGTTTAAAGCTTTTCGTCATGATTGCATAGCTGGTACAGCCAGAAAAGACGGTAGGTTGACTAGCGACCAGGTTCACTTTGATTTCTAGGTAGCTACAAAACAAATTGTCGTGCGTATTGTCTGTATGCAGTCCGCCACTCCGGCTCAGCTAACGGGGGAGTGTCTCCCATCTTCTCTTTCAGCCGCGCCACATATGTCGTGATTTCTCCTCAGCTTGGCAGGAAATTCCTCAATGGGACAGGTAGAGCAAGCTACATAACGATTATCATACTTCAGCTTCGGCAGCTTGTCTAAACATTCGTACGTTCTGGGCGAGCCTAGCCTTCTCATGATCGCTAAATGGCGATATTAGCTTCATATAACTAACATTAACCAGTAGCACTGTTACAATTTTACTAAGACGTACGAGAATCCTGACTACTCAGAAGTCTGATGAACGGCTTCCTTTCTTGCTGGGATTGTCTGTGGTTTTTTGCGATAGCCTATCACTACTTTCAACACCATTCTTACAACTGTTAGGATCATCTTTAGGCAAATCTTTCTACGTTCTTAATAAATTCGGACATACATCTTCGTACATGGATCTGGCCAAACGGCTGGCCATGCACTACTACTAGTACTCCGGTGAGTCTACACTTAAGAAGTTCTAAGAACACAAGCGTCACTGACCGAACCGAATAGGTAGGCTCTATCGTGCCACCTATCGTGCTAACCCTAGTAAGTTTGGTATAGAAATGGGTTTATAAGTCAATTTTAGTCAATTGTACATAAATTACTCTTGTCGTTTATTCTCTGGCCGACACAACCGCTGTAATTTCTAATGAGCCGGTTGTGTTTACGGTAGAAGAGTTATAACCCTGCGACTTAAAACAGCAGAAGGATAACATGTAGATAGTGCTTAATCTAACAATAGTAGCAATGAGATTCTCTCTCTTCTTCATGATGATGCTGATAAGTGATCAAACTTTATAAACAATTTTGGGGTTATGTCTATTCTTATCTATGGTTTTCGCCGGGATCCGTTGGTTACCAGCATATGAAAGCATCTTTTCTTTTATGATACAACGCGATACCTACGTACCTAGAGCTGCTACGTCTTAAACCCTTCCCCCTCTAATTGCCATACCTTAACTCTTCGGAAAGACGGTAGTCATCACTACTGCCGTGCTATTCGCTATCACTAGCGCAATCTTAAGTGGGATAGGAGCAAGTGATCGGGATGCTTGTATCAATATCAAGATAACCAGCATCTTTGGGACTATCTATATAGGGATTGGTGTTTTTCTGGCCGCTTTCGCCAGTTATCCTCTATGATAACATGTGTTTAGCCGGCGTTAAGTGTCAATGACATCACATCCTAATTGATTGCCTAGAGTTAGAGAGAACCAAACCGCTTACGGCATTGGCTTTCGAAGCAGTCTCGCATCCGATACCTCCAATCATCTCCCAAATGCCAGCAACCGTTATCGCGAAAATAGCTCGTTTCGAATGAGAGATTCCTCGTATCGAACGAAAAACAAGAGTATATCAGCAACAAGCGTGGAGCAGAAGGTTAAGAGACCACGTCGGGGTTCGAGGTTATCGAGATGGCATTCGCAATGATTCTTCCAGGAATCTACGTCAAGAAAGAGTTCGGCGTAAAGGTAGCAAAATTGAACAAAGCTGCGCTGCACACGTCGATGGGCGCGCTTATCGTTCTTGTAGCGCTGCTGCTATTGTGCACCATTCAGGGACTTTCTTCGATACTGTAGAATATTTTTGGCTCTTGCAGTGCAATGCTGTCATTTTGTCAATATTCAAAACTCTCCAGGTACACTCACTCTAGTATAGACTTATTGCATATTGAACAGCGGCCTTTCTCGGGGGGGCATGCCGGGATAATGAATAACACGTTCTGTCGACTTGCAAATAGAAACTGAACAAATTTACTTACAGTCGATCTTGTTTGCAACGCCTCCTCGAATTTCATGCACACGCAACTGGTCTTTGAATCCGTCGCGCCGGGCCAAGCTAGTGAAGTTATGGTGCAATGAGGAGAAGGTCAATGCCTTTGTTGATTTGGGTCCTTGAGAAGTGACCATCCTAAAGAATTGAAGATCCTTCGCAGCTTCATTCCATTCAAGGGTCCATAATTCTCTTCCATTAGGTGTCTTTGTGGCTAGAACTTCTGCCACAGTAGGTTTCCATTCAATGGTACCGTCCACGATCCCATAAACGATTGCCCACAAAACGAAATTCATTCCAAGAACCGGATGCTCCCTGATCCAATTCTTTGGCTTCTGCTTTCTATGTTAGCTTTTCCAAATAGTACAATCCTAGCTCTCAAGGCTCACAAGCTAGTATCGTCTCGATAACGCCAGTATTCCTAGAATTCAGGATCAATTGTCACCCAACGCATTAGAAACCTCTTTTCTTTGCTCCATTTGAGATGAAATGGAAGGTGATTATAATAATTGGTCAGTCATTGATTTAATAAGGGATTGTAATCATCTAAGTACAAACCCTATAAAATAAGCATTCATTCGAGTCGCGATAAGCACTTGATTCGATGACAGCCCCTGCGCTTGCAGCCGAGCTGGAAAAGAATGAGAGAGCTTTCGGTCTGCACGCGTGCTCTCTCATGTAAATAATCGTGACAGTCATCCACAAGCAGGTGTTGAAGCAGGTAATCTATGTCCTTTCTGTTGACCAGGAACCGCGCTCTAGGCTTAGTAGGGAACTTGTATTTCACTGTCAGGTTAGTGGTCAATTCGTCAGGTATCTAGTCCCCCTTCCATTCTTATAGATATCCGGAGGAAGGATAGGGTATATATTGCTTATGTTGATTCGAACATAACATTCGCACATATCTATATAACTAATAGATTGAAAATTTCGAATGGTTGTTCCTAATTTGTACAAAAGAGTATAAGAAGTGGATTTCATTGGTCTTCTCACAACCTCCACTAGCAGGCAATCTAGCCAGTCAATTATCATGTGTCTAATTGACTAGAGTAACACGAACGGCGATCGCGCGACCTGTATGATTATCACCCCGATTCTCACCCCTTCTATTACGCACTCACCCTTCTCACCCTTGGTCGCGCGACCGCAAAGCGGCGACCGGTTGTTTCCCCACTAGGCTAGACCAAATGATTGGCCCGCATGGCCATTCAGCGTGTGGCTTAAGTACAGCTGAGCGGACGGGAAGCCCTGTTTTCCACACCCTATGGTCGTATGTGCTAGATTCAGTGTGGAAGGAAACTATGAACTATTAGCGGCTGGAAGGTTGAGTGCGCTATATAGGGTGACGATATAGCTATACCCGGAAACTCCAAGTATCCGACCTTCTGCGAATGAATTCCAAAGGCTGCTCAAATGGCTCAGTGATAGATATGGATATCTTAAGATTTATGTCACGGAGAACAGAACTACTGTTTTGGATGAGAGTTATATGGAGCTGGAGCTGGATGAGTTGCTCAATGATGAGTCTGGGGTGCAGTATCTCCGGGATGATATTGGTGCTATGGCTGATGAGTATACCTTGGACTCGGGCATTGGGTCGTACGTACCGGGTAGGCCAAGACGTTCAGCTACCGCGACAATGATCAATGTGTGTGCGGCGCGCAAGAAACAGTCACCCACGTGCTGGTGGACTGCCTAAATCTGAGGGAGATTCGACGGAAGTTAAGGAATGAAGCTGGGGACGCGTTTAACAGCGTATCGAGTCTTCCGGGAGGCTTAACAGAAGGTGAAAGAGGTAACCCAGACACCGTCTCACGGGTCAGGACAGTCCAGGCCGTGCTGGACTTCGCCGAAGCGTCACAACGATTTCGCAGTCGCGCGCCGCTAGGGCAGCCTAACAATGGGAGCGGCAATAAGACCACGGCAGGCCTTGACGAGCCCCTAAGTTCGTTTCCAGGAAGTGGGTCATTCTCTATGTACGTACTGTGCAACAAAATACTAGGCATTTGAACGAGACTGTTTAAATCTACCCCATGAAGGGAGTATCTCTGCACCTATCTACAGTCTGAAGGACAACAAGCGAGGGCCCTATGAAGATTCTCCAACTTTTTGCAGTGGGTATTTACCCACTGCGGCCCTAATGAGATTGGCGTATGAAACTGATCAGATGATGCCTCCGGCGGTTAGCCTTGAGGACCTCATATAACAACATGTACATGGTTATGTATAGTTGCGGTAGCCTGTATATCGCTTTTCATTGCAAGAGGTCAGAATGGAAGACAACACACGTACTCACTTCCTGTACTGATAACAAGACCAGCCTCACCATAGAATGCGATCTTAGCGACTTCCTAAAAAACTGCCAATACTTTTCTCAGGCAAGCAGGAACTGAGCTTTTCATCGGGAATTTATCTAGTGGTCAGAACACGACTCGGTGACAGAGTATGAGTATTGTAGATCATCACCTAGTTGTTCCACGGTGGCAAGATGAACAAGGCAAGTTTAAAGGCCTTGAGCGGAAAAAAGGATAGGTAATCGTTGAGCCTTTGAACATTTTCTATATGTCATTGAGCACTTTGGGGTGCTTGTCTGTAAAAAAAATTAAAAAAAGCTGTACGTCCTGTACGCCACCTCCTGCCACGTCCCACACAGTGCCCCGCTCCAAGACAGGAATATTCTGTTTCGAGCCCCTACTTCCGTTAGCACGCTTACAACAATATATTTTCTGTCATAAGCGACCCATAGAGGAGCTAATTAAAGGTGGTCATCACGTCTAGTGTCTTAGCTCTTATCGGCTAATCTTGCCCGTGCTCTGTAAAAGGTAAATGGTTAATTTTCCTTGTCTCAGTTGTCACCGAGAGTCATGGATAGCTAACTATGCCATTGGCTAGTGCTGATCAGATGGTTGATTCAAAATTGACTTGATGGGATGGGACGTATCATTGCTAACTCAGCCGATATCAATGGCCGGGATTTTATCCTAATTCTTACCTATATTAGAGATCGATTTTCTATATAAGCCTGGTGTCCCCAATGCTCAGCCAAATCCACCCACTACAAACCGTCCGAAAGACTTAGGTCAATATACACATTTGGAACTACAAAAAGTCTGTTTTCTATGCTTGTCTAGTTATCGAAATCAGCTAACATGAAGTAAGAAACGAAAATCTATCTATATACAGACATGAAGCTTTTAGGGAACCTAGCCCTGTTCGTTTGCCTCACGGCAGGTGTCAGTGCCCTCCCAAAACCTTACGATAAATCGACTGATACCGTCCCCACCCACGACTGGAAGCGCGGCGATGAATCGATTGATACTGTCCCCACCCATGACTGGAAGCGCGGCGATGAATCGACTGATACTGTCCCTACCCACGACTGGAAGCGCGGCGATGAATCAACTGATACTGTCCCCACCCATGACTGGAAGCGCGGCGATGAATCAACTGATACTGTCCCCACCCATGACTGGAAGCGCGGCGATGAATCGACTGATACTGTCCCTACCCACGACTGGAAGCGCGGCGATGAATCAACTGATACTGTCCCTACCCACGACTGGAAGCGCGGCGATGAATCGACTGATACTGTCCCCACCCATGACTGGAAGCGCGGCGATGAATCGACTGATACTGTCCCCACCCACGATTGGAAGCGCGGAAACTAATTGAACAATGCCGCTAGCTGTGTAGCCTTTGACTATTATACAATGGGAACCGAGAGATGGGATCTTGTCTAGCTATTTTGCTAATCAATCATGAAGATCAAATGCTCATCCCTTCTCCTTATAAGTGATGATCAGACAGCATATAAGGCCTGTGACGGATTAAACTGACAGTAGTCCCTCGACAAACTATTACATAACTACTTCGTCTCGCTAGTTAGCTCACTCTGTCTTTATTCATACCTATAATAAGCTCTCGGTTCGCTTAGGCTCTATGACCATGAACGTAGAATTTTTATGGCAATCAGGGTCATGACTAGTTACAAAATTTGAGTCCTTACACAGGGGTGATTGGGCAAAGTTGCACAAAAGAGAATTTCCATTTCTCCGAGCAGCCTTGGACTTCGCGACGGCCAGGTGTTGTTGCGGTGATTAAGTAAAGACATGGTTTCAAATACTTCTCGCGCGCAGCACGTTGATTGGCGGGAGGTAACAGGCATTATTTCGAATAATGCGAGGTATGATATTTTGATTGGGGATCTCGATACAATGTATGGTCGCCATATCACTGTGATCACCTGAAAGTGCCTATCACATTCGAAATATGTCTCCAACTCTTGTCTCCGGTCGCCCGGTAAGCTTCGTTCGTTCCGAAATTAGTAAGTTGCAATAAAATGAGAAACCACTTCGGATCAAACATTGATCCAGACAAGTATGACAAAATCCTTCTCATGGGCGATGACAACATTTTCAACTTGGCAATATTGCCTGTGTGGATGAGCCCAGCAAGGGCTGGCAACAGAGAGGTTGCAATAATCTCGAAGTGATACATCGACTTGATAAGCCGGCTCGAAGACCTTTTCTTTGTTACTGTTCTGCTTGATGCGGTGCAGGTGATATGTGAAAATTTGCTGAGCCTGAGCCCTGGATCATACGAAGCGCATGTAAGAAATGAGGATATAGCAGTTGCTGCACTTTACATGTTCAAGGCAAGGAGGTGTTGAGGGGATTGAATATTCAAGCCAGGGCGAAGACGTCAAAAATGTTGATGAGTCAGATCAACCTTGGTCACTATTATACCAGCTCATTTTGTCTTGATCTCTTGACGGCTGAGACGGGTATTGAAATAATCACCGAATCGCCGATCGACCCGACAGTGTATGATGGTCCTGGGATCGAGCCAGCCCCCGGATATAGAGAATCTGGAGAATGAGGGAATAGACTATTCGAGCCTCACAACTCTGCATATCTCATGGATTCCAGGGCCATAGGAATCGAGAGTTTATACGGCCTTAACGCCTGGAATTCACACGATACGCAGTTTTGTGAGGCGCGAACAGCTTCATCAGGACCTTAATGTGGCTTCCGCACGGGCGGCTAACAACCATTGTTTCGTATTCTGATTAGCAGACATATATAATCGAGTTTTTACCAGCAAAACATAGCTAAGCAACAAGCGTTATCTCGTTAATGCTTCGAAAAATTACGTCCACTTCTTCTACGGCAATAAGAAATACGCTCGTGCCATATAAGTGATATGGGCCGGGTTTTGGTCGTTCATCTTCGTCACAAATATGTCGAATCTATCCTCTTTCTGCCGCTCAGTATACTCGAAGCCACGATCATACGAGCAACATCCACAGGAAGGCGTACAGTGACCAGCGCCTTTCACCCTTTCTGTTTCATTATGGCGACGCCGACAGCATCCACACTGTCGAGCATAGCAACCGCCTCTCTTCACACAATCGTCGATGAGGTCCTTTCGTAGATACCAGGCAGGATTTCGGCGCAACACATTATATGATTTTTCCAACGGTCCAAGTAGAAGATCATTTTCGGCCAGGTAAAGCTCGTACTCAGCGTCACTGTATTTTCGCAGTAGGCCCTTGAGCTCGGTCTCGCATTGCGCTTTGGCCTTTTGGTCGGCAAGCTTTCTCGACACTTTGGCTTTTTCCTAAAGATATTCCTCTTGTTGGACAATTTCTCGAAGACGATATTCGGCCTTGATGATGTTCACAAAGACATTGGTTTTGATGACGTCTTTTCTGCCATATCGAAGTTCATGTGATTCCCAGTAAGCAATTGGCGAGTAATCCTTGACGGGTTCTAATTGTTTTTTAGAACATTTTGTAAACTAAGTTCTCGTTGAAGAGTGTGATGATTGAAGGATTAAGAAGTCAAGAAGAACCTTAGAAGATACAAACATGGATATGATTACGATAATGTCCGTCATAGAGAACCAACTATGACAGGACAAGAGCCGCGTCCGAATCGAGTATACTTCCGATTAATATATGTAAGTAGTAAGTCAATCTCACAGTTCTAATAGATCAGCTTTTACAATATGTGCAGTATATACAAATTCCAATCACAGCTTCGCCTGATCAGGCCCATTCTCGAGAACATAGCGATACCTCGCCTTTCCATCATGCATGTCCCCAAGGGCAGCATTGACATCTCTCATATCTCTCCTCTCAACCCAAGGCAAAACTCTCTTTTCAGCAGCAACCCTCAACATATCGCGAATATCCGCCGGAGACCCAATATTCGACCCCGTCACCTTGACACTCTTCTGAATAAGACTCCAAGCCATAAGCGGCGGCAACGCATCCTCCGGCGCCCCAACCTGCACAAATGTCCCATCCCGCTTCAATAACCGCAAATACTCCGCAAAAGGCATATCATGCGCAGAAACAGTGCAAAGTATCACATCAAGCGTTCGCGAGTTCTTCTTCGCCCACCCCTTCTCCCCAGTCGCAATAAACCCATCAGCCCCGAGCCCCCCAACAGCATCACCCTTCTTTCCCGAAGACCGCGAAATTGCAACAACCCGATCAGCACCAAGCGCCTTCGCAAAGAGTATCCCCATATGCCCTAACCCCCCAATTCCAATAACGCCGACGCTCTTCCCAGGCCCCACGCCGTATTTCCGCAGCGGCGCAAAAACAGTAACGCCCCCACAAAGCAGCGGCGCCGCCTGCGCAGACGGCAAACTCTCCGGAATCAAGAAAACGAAATGGCCCGGTCCCCGCCACGTCTCCGCGAACCCACCGAATGACTTCGACCGCGCACTATCCAAATACCGCCCGTTATACGTGCCCGTCATGCGCGCGCAGTAGCTCTCCTGTCCGTCTGCGCAGGCCTCGCAGTCAGCTTGCAGACAGGATCCGCTCTGTGCGCCGACACCGACGCGGTCGCCGACTTTGATCTTCTCTGGGTTGAGCGTGCGCTGGCCGATGCGCGTTGCTATGCCGATGATCTCGTGCCCCACGACGCAGGGATAGTCTGTTGGGCCCCAGCCTGAGCGAAGGGTGTGGATGTCGGTGCCGCAGATGCCGCAGTGGGTGATGCGGATTTCAACGTCGGATTCTGTCCACGGTTTCGGTGTGAAGGTTGTGTAGGTGAGGGGGGATTTGGAGTTGTGGGCGACCCATCCTTTGAAGGGCTGTGCCATTTTGGGGGATTGAATTGATTGTGAGCTTTTTGCGATTTGGTATTTGGAGCAATTGGTGTAGAGGAACAATTTTAAATACGATGTTCAATTGAGTGGACTTTCCATATGATGCGGAGAAGCCGAGAGAAAGTTACCGAGGTCCGTTTCGAGGTTCTTAGCTCCGAAGTTCATGATAAATTTTGAAAACCAACTCCGTATTTACATATTATGTACATTATTATGGGGTATCAATTGATCACCGGGCCTTGCCCATCAACTCGTCAAGCTCATCAGTAGTAAGTGTACTTCTGCGCCGGTTGGGCGGCCTGGACGCCTTCTCTGGACGACTTCTCTTGCGCGATTCGCGCTCTTTGCGCTCGTTCTGAGCTGCCCGTGCTTCGTCTTCGGCCGCTGCTAGCTTTTGGTGTACGCTTAATGATTCCTTGTTGGACAAAGAATGGGTTAGTCTGCGGGTTTTCTTGGGGGATCGTCATCGTGGCATACCTGGGGATCTTCTTTTGTTTCGGTCTTTCGCCTCGGGGGTTTGCGGGTAATAGTCTCTGTCTTGGAGGTCTTGATATCAAGGGTTTCGTCGCCAACATTCTCCACAGCTGGTGAGCCTTGGAGACCTGGAGTGAATGAAACCTTCCGGGGACGCTTTGACATTGGGTTATCACTGCGTTCTCTCAGCGCGCGATCGGATCTCCCGGGTACTTTGCGAATTTTGGACCTTGTCTGGGGATTGATGACTTCAGGCTCTTGTGCCTTCGGATCGGCATCACTGTTATTGTCCTCTTCATCCTGGTCTTCGAGGATTGTTGGAATGGAGTTGGACTCCTCGCTTTGCATGCTCACATCCTCGCCGGGGTTGATACTGAGATCGAGGTTCATGCCACGCTTCAACTCTTCCGCTTGGATGGAGTCTCCGCCGTGTGCAAGGCGCTGCTGCCAGCCACCCATCAGAGTGACTGCTTGCTTCCACCGACTTTCCATCTTCACCCAACCTTCCCGCAGTCGCTTGATCTCTTCGTCTCTCACCTCGACTTCTTCAAGGGGGACAAATGAGGGGTTAGTGAGCAATGTCCGGAGATGATCCAGCACGGCTTCCATGTGAATTGATAATTCTTCACAAGAAGTTGGCAACGAAGTGACCGGCCCCGACTTCTGCGCCACACTTGCAGCCATGACCGCCTGTTCGGTCTCATTTGTATTTTCTGCCTGCGGCAATCCCTGCAAATCCTTCAAAGTATGAACAGTGTTTCGCGCAAGCTCAATCAATGTATCATTCTCGTCACTAAGATTCTGACACAACTCCGTCAAAAAGTCCGTTGTCTCCTGCTTCAAGCTATATCCAGGATCATTGATTCGGTCTCCTCCACTGGCCATGAGTCGTGATCGGTCCGCCGCAGGGTTGATGTTGATAGTCGTGACACTCAAGCCTTCGCGCTTGCCTCGTTGTCTGTCAGCCAGATGGGATTTGAGCTTCTGCATTTCCAAATCGCGTTTACGAATATCGTTGGCGCATTGCGCGCGAACTTGTTGCACTGTACTTTTCATGCGCTGGATTTGTTCTTTGAATCCACGAATGCTCGCTTCAGCGCTGGACATATTCGATTTCAGGGTGCGCTCTTGCGCCTCTGCAAGAGCCACCGAGCGTGTCAATTCGGATGTTTTCGTTTTTAGTTTCCCCTACACGAGTAAAACGCGATTAGCGCGGCGCCAAGTTCGTTTTCAATAGCACATACAATCTCCGCAGTTTGCTCCGTCTCGGTAGCCTGCAGCATCCGAATAGTCGAGGACAAGCTTTCGCGGTGTTCGGCTTCGCGCTGCAAATTGTTAGTCCCAAGCCCAGTCGCATCGCAGCACATAGTACGCACGTCTCGTCTCAACACCAAATCGTTGACCAAGTTGATCACACGAGCCATTGTTCCATCGATTCCTCCATCTTCATTTTCGGGGTCTGCAAAGTCGATCGCGCGACCACCTTTCAGCAGACCCCTGGCAAGCAGTATATTATTAACATAGGTCGAAGCTGCCTGCAGATTTTGCGACTCCATGGCGACAATGGAGGTTTACGATGGTCAACTCCAAATACCCGATGGGGAAGAAAGTAAACACGGGAGGTACGGAATGCCGGTTGTGCCAGGTATGCAGGACGGTGAGAAGAGGGGGTGAGGTTCTGCCGGTTTTACTGCGGAGTTTGTTGCTATAAATGCGCGGGAAACTGACTCGACTTGTCTTTATGCCGAATTGTTTACGGAATGAGTTGTTTGAGCAAAAGTCGTCTTAAAGAGAGAATAGCACTCTGAACCTGCATCTTGACGGATTTCGATGGCTTGCTCAATTGTGCATATGGCGCAGAGACGTAGTGCGTGGTGATATATACTACACCGTGGAGCTAAACCATCACCCAATCCACAGGTTGAATCTGTCCCTTGCGTGGCTATAACCGTCTCATCTCCACTCCACTCCGCATGTCTTCGCCAACTGTCCAGACAACTATTCTGCACTATGGCGTCAAGGTTAAATCCGCGTGTAATGCGCGGACCAATGTCCAAAAAAAAGGTGAATACAGAGGAAGTCGCGAGATTACAACGAGCTGGCCAAAATGCCTACAAAGCGGGCAATCTTCAAGCCGCCATTGAATCCTTCACTCAGGTACGCTCTAGCTTGTTTATGTCGCCGTGAATCAGATTGACCATCTCAATCTAGGCATTGACTGAGAACAATGAGGATATTGGTGTTCTCGACAATCGAGCTGCTACTTATTGCGGACTGAAGCAGTATAGCCAGGCGCGAGCTGATGCTAGAAATATGGTGAAGCTTGCACCTAACGATGATCGTGTGAGTATCGATTTCAATGCAGTTTGCGCTTGAAAACTATGCTACCTTTTACATGCCTTGCACTCGCCATTTTTCCTCCCCGAAGTTTCCCACTGACTGGACCAAGGGGTATCTACGCCTCGCAAAGGTGTTATGTCTTGATGGCAGCTTCGACAAGGCTCGAGATATCTACGAGTACGCTCTTCAGAAGCTTCCAGCTGGCCACAAAGGTCGTGATGTAAGTGCTTTTCTCTCTGTTGATTTGCCGTAAATACCCTCACTTGACGATTATCCTGCTTTTACATTATGGTCTCAGTATCAAGAACCTGATGTTTCCTCTGTCGCTTCTGCTGCTGCTACTTCCCTGTTTCCTATATTCGCTCGCTCGCATTATCTCACTCCACAGTCATGGACACCCTGACACGTACCTCACTGACTTCACCAAGCTCATCTCTCAGCTTCTGAAGAGACTTCGAGACAAGCTAGCGGGAGGAACTCGGCGCGACCCATTCACAGCCTTGCCCCTTGAAATAGCCCATCTAACCCTTGGGCTGTTTACCTTTAAGCAGATCGCGTGCGTAAACTTTATTTTGAGATTGGAATGTAGCTAACTATTGTGGCAGAGCAATCTTGCGTGTCTCAAAAGGATGGAATAAATTTCTTACCGAACTCTCTAACCTATGGATGCATGTTGATCTTACAGGAGCCAGATCTCGCGTACCTTGGACGTCTGTTCGGAGCTATATTCATCGATCGCGAGTGCAATTGACCGCTGCAACAATTGTGAATATTGTTCCATCATCTACGCCCAAGGTACTTGATATGTTGAGCAGATGTCCCAAACTTGAAAATCTGGCGTTGATGGCCGCCCACGAGCAGCCCCCCGATTTCTATGCCAAGATAATAGAGTTCCGGCATTTGAAGAGTATCACTTGCGGACCAGATATCATGTTATCTCATGGTTGTGTCGGCGGCATTCTCTCCAAGCTTCCTCGGCTCGAAAAGGCTGCATTCTACCATGTTTGGGATTCTCCCTCAAGGGCGGACCGGGCTGAGTCCTGGCCTTTAAATCATCCGAATATCAAGAGTCTTGTGATCGGATCTTCGCAAGAAGATCGGACTGGCCTCACTTTCCCACTTGTCGTTCCGGGCCTTGGTGGAGTAAGCTTCCTTGATTCTGCTCTTTATTTCCCTGCTGACAACTCTATCCAGACAACTGATCATTCATATCCTAACTTAGAGGAGCTGCGCCTCATATGGAACCCAGCCCGATCATGCTCCTACCGCTTCAACCCAGTGCAGGACGGCGAGACTCTCCCACCATTGCGCATACTAGAGCTGCGAGGCGCCGCAGTCCAACAAAATTTCTACACTATTCTCCCGACCACCCTTGAAACTCTCCGCTTCTTTTCAGGCTCTATCGAAAACGCTCTAGTTGGAGGCTTCGGTGGGAATTTTCTCACACCGAGTGGGAATGAACTACCGAACTTGAGCACTCTCATCTTCAACGATACGCCCTGGGTCAACCTCAACACCTTATCAGTCTTCCTTCTCCAATCCAAAGCCCCACTCCGATCCCTCCATGTCAACCTCTGCCACAACATAAAGGGCCAGGAGTTTCTCAAAATAATCTCCGATCCAGAGAAAGCAAACCCCGAACTTGCAAATATCACTGACTTGGGTGTTGCTTGTATGACCGATATAGATGACACCAGTGTTGGGCATCTGTGGGCTACTCTGCCGCATCTGACAGTCCTTGATTTGTCTCAGACTAAGATTACGGGTTGCACTGTCCGTATGCTTGCAGATACACGGAACGAGGATGCTGCTTCTGCAAAGCTTGAAGTTCTCACAATCAAGGGTTGTGATGGTGTTTCTCGTGATGCGATCGATTATGGCCGGAACATGGGACTCAAGATCTTGACTTGAGTGCATCATCAGCACTGTGGTATTTCTAGCTCGGTGCTGGAATTCACTTGTACGATAACGAATAGCATGAAAATTCTTGAAACATACCTGTCTTGACTTGATTAGAACGATACTTCTTGGAGATGCTCGAACAGAAAGCGACTGATATCAATGTTATTGCATGGCTTGGTCTTTGACCCCTCGTACAAGATGCCTCACATGCTGTGTTCCAATCTTTCGATAGCACAACCGTCTGGTCCACCAATTATTCCAAACTGCTCAAGAAAAAGCACCGCAAGTACCTGTACCTGAAGTGGTCTATTCCTGGGTGGATGGAAATCGCTCATTCTTGGTGTTGAAAAGAGTCCCAGGTACAACGCTGAGAGACGCTTGGGGAACTATGTCTGCTACCCAGCAAGATTCTATCTTAGAGGAGGTTGTTCATATGTGCGATATACTTGCTTCTATCACTTCGGAGCGACTCCAGAATGTATATGGAGGTCCAGTGTTGGAACCTTACCTTGCTCACTCGGAAAGAGATTCATTGGAGCTGCTGAGTGTGTGTGAGAGCAAGAAATATTTCTTTCGCGAGGATCTTCATCAGAACCCGGAGATTGAAGAGCGGTTCCATCTCTATCATTCTGATCTAGGGCCAGGAAACATAATTGTTTCGAATTCGAAGCTGTCGGCGATCATCGACTGGGAGTGCGCTGGATTTTACCCACGTTTCTGGATCTCAACCAAACCTTCTGTCTCTCCGGGACTGAACTTTCATCCACCAATTTCAGGTATTGATGAGACTGAATGGAGAAAAAGACTCAGGATGAGACTTGAAGAATCATGGAATGGAGGAGGACAAAGTCTAGATAGTGAATCAAGGAAAGTTCTTGTATGCTCAGGAATGTTTTGAGCGTTGCCTGCGTGATGGTGACCCCAGTTATCGCCATATTCAATTTCACCTTGTTGACATCTACTGTCAGTTGGGATGTGCCGAGTTGGCGAAAGATCTGCTCCTAGATGACGTGGAACGGCTGAGGCACACGCAAAGCCAGCAATTGAAAGTATTCAGGCGTCTGGTACTCCCGATAACCGAGGTTCACATCAATTTGAGACAGCTGAACGCTGCAAGATACACCTTGGAGGAGGTACTCCAGGTTTACAAGAGCATGAAGCACCTTGATGTGACTGACAAACTGGGCCATGTTCGCACGATGATTAGCCTAGCACGAGTGGATTGGTATAGAGGCATGTACTCAGATGCTGACGAAAGGCTCAAGCGTGTAACAGCGCTCGTTGAGAGTTATTCAACATTCATCACCCTCTTTCACTCTGTTGTGAAGAGAGCCCTGGATAGTGACATCCTCTCAAAGGTATCACGTGGCTATTTCATGGCAGGAAACGGAACGTATTGTCTCAAAGAAATTTCCTCCAGTGCCTGAACGTGTGTTTCTAGCTATAATAGGGAACTCTCTTCAGTTCCCTTCGGTCTCAATAATTCTCAATGCACCGCTCACTAAATGCAAGCTTCCTGTTATCAAAGCGTGTGCCAACGTAGAAGTTCGACCAATTATACGAGCCCTCTCCAGGGCACCTTCAATTGTCTCTTCAATATATACCGTACTACTAGGTCTGTATGCTCTCCAAGCACAGGCGTACACTTGTAACTTTTCCACTGAAGATCGGGCCTTGAAATTTCTGTCTAGGACAAGATCAGCACACTATCTATGTTTTTCACGTGATCTTTTGACATGCATACCGATCATTGCCTGCCTGTCCTTTCTTTCAGCGTACGTAGTGAATATCATGTGCTCTATTTCGAGACCTTCACTATCGAGGGATTCCTTAATAATGCGTAAAAGTTCCATGCCATCACGGTCTGAAAAATGGCTGAAGATGACCGTTCTCAAGGGGTGAATGTTGAGACTATCGACATAAGCACCATGCTATCGCGGAGTATCTGTAGGTGATTACTCCTACCTTTGTGATTCGCTCATCTCAGCAAACCACGATACCGCAGTGGGTAGCCCTAATTTGTTGTGAGCACCGTCAAGGAACCAGCTGTGATTGCCTTCTTCTATCTGCTGGTAGCGGCCAGGCCAATCAAACTTTTCAATGCCAAGGTCAATAAATTTACTCAGGTTCGTCAATCTATCGGGCTCCCTGAGTGATATCCATGTCTGGGCTACTGCTTTGGCAAGTGAGCAATTTTCCTTCTGAAATCTCGTTACTTGCAGTGATGAATCAGGTTCAACAAATAACAGCGTCACATCTTTCTCGTTTGCACGTTGTTCAAGCACCTTAGCAACATTTAAATCTTGGGGTGATGAGATAGCCGGACAACGAGGCTTGAATATCCCCGCCTTGTGCCAAGCGATGTTTTCAATAGTGGGTCCGAGGAGTTTGACATGGTCTTCTGCAATTCGAGTCACCGCTGTCACGACGGGCGATGATACGACATTCGTCGCATCGAACTCGCCACCCATGTGTGGCTCATAGACTGCAACGTCAACCTTTTCCTTGAAAAAGACATGGAAAGAAAGAAGGGTCAAAAGCTGGAGGTATCGGGGGATATCCGTGTCGGCACTAGCCTCACGTGGTAGTTTATACCATATTTCGAAAAAAGCATTCGCAAAGGCGTCTTCCTCTATCGGCTTGCCATTGATCCGAATTCTCTCACGGATGCTGAGAAGATGTGGTGAGGTATAGAGTCCCACCTTGCACCCGGAGCTCTGGAGTATGGATGAGATATATGCGCAGGTGCTTCCTTTCCCATTGGTGCCGGCTACATGTATGGCGTTTAACGTCCCTAGGTGGGTTTGCTGGTGCTATGTTAGAAGCTGCACTTCTTGGTGATATTTGGCCTTGCCATACAGAATAACCAAGTCATCCCAACCATTTTTTCATATCGTCCGAGCCTCTCATTTGCTCCAGACTCGGCTGCGCACTGGCACGTCTGGAATTGAGAAGCTCGATAGCATCCTGCGACATTTACAAGGTGTGACATCACAAGTCGATGGATAAACTCACTTTATACTGCATGGTCATCATAGTGATCATCACTCGAGGACATAGATATGTTCGTGCGATGCGGGGTTGCGGGTTGAATGTCACCTGATCTACATCCTCCACAAGCTCACATACTCCGTAAGCTCTTACAAGAGCAAATTAATTTGGAAGACATGGAGAGATCCGTCCAATGTTTAACAAGCACAAAGGCTAAGCAAAAAATGAAAAAAATTGAAACTGGGGCCCACTATTTGCCGAGTTACTAGATACTATTTCACTTAAATTCTCAGGAGGAGCTGTTCCTGTAATAGGCAATAGTTTCGGCACCAAGAAATCCTTTGTTGGCTGATTCCCTATCAGCACCATCAATTGTTTCTCCTTATCTAAGAGGGGAGACGTTGCCTCGCTTGGGCTGTGTGGTTGCTCTGTTTTCTTTTGGCGGAGCCGCTCCCTGAATTCTGAAGCATCTCTCAACCTTTGGAGGAGACTCCCAGTCGGTCCATGATCCAGCGTCTGTGCTGTTTGAAACTGAAGTAAATTGCCAAATCGAAGAACTAGATTTGTCAACAAAAGTAGGAATAACAACATAACGAGAAAGAAGTCTATAGAGAGTACTTCACCACGTATGCATGCGCGTCTCCAATCCCGAATTCGCCAAATCGGCAACGAGCGAACACTCCGGACTCTTACGAAGCGTCTCACATCCCACAAACATCTCTGTCAGGGTAGCAAGATCCGGGTTCCGATTTGTTATGTTTTCAATCGCCGCTCGGAGAGCATTGCACAATACCACCACATCCTGAACTCCATTGTTGAATCCGAGCTTGAGATGGGTTGTGAATTTATGACAGGAATCTCCGACAAGCACGATCCGCCCTAGACTCCAGTGTTTCAAGATGCCCTCTTCTAGATGTGTCAGACCGGCTGCTGACATGTTCGGTCAGACATCTTTGACTTTCATAGTGCGGTTCAGTTGGAAATCTGCGAATTCTTTAGCTAGTCTCTCAACTTCGATCTCTGTATACCGAGTGCTTTCGATGGTCGACACCGACAGTTTGTCATATAAAGTGAACGTAAGATTTTCCCGATTTTCCCGAGGACTCGATGTCTTACCCTTGGCAAGGCGGGGAAGCTGGTGGGAATGTGCATGTGCCATAGAGCAGTCTGAGGGTGGACATTTATAGCTGTTCTGGATCCCATTCGCGTTGCGGATCCTCTTTCAGTGCGATGTCACGCATTAAATGCCGAGTTCTGCTGTTTCCGCCGACTGCGTCTATGGCCGTAGACCCCTGATAGATACTCCCGTCGGTGCATCTGACTGTAACGCCGTCATCGGTACTTTCTATGCTATCCAGTCCTTTGCCAGTGAGGACTTTTGATCTAGCAGCATCAGGTAGACTTTTGTACATGGCTTCGACGAGCTCAGCTCAATAGAAGATGACGGGTTATTAATCCTGACTACTTTGGTCATATGAAAGAGGTGAAAAAGTCATCCGATATCAACTTACCTCTCTTTGGTCTTGCTGTAACTTGGACTTTCATTGAATGTAATTCCGTCTTTGGTAAACAACAACTGATCGTCAAGTTCGGTTCCTAATGGAAGTAAAGACTCTAGAAAACCGAGCTGATGCATGACCCTAACTGTCTGAGGGTAAACTACAATACTGGCACCTTCATCCTCAACAATTGAAAATCTGCACTCTAGAAGAAGGAAGTCGATATTGGCGCGGTGGAGCGCATGAGGTGCGATGAGACCAATTGGACCTCCGCCCACAACAATGACCTTGAAATTACTGTCCATAATAGCAAACCGGTGCTTGTTGGTTGTGACACGAGAAATGATTGGTAACTACAAAGAAAGAACTGGTTGCAGCTCATCGGTTCATCAGATCATGCCCATGCTAACCTTTACTAGGCTAGTGCTTATCCGATGTGAAGCTGGAGTGCCACGAAGAATCGCTTTGTCCTCTACGACAACGTTTTTTTGGAAACTAGAGCCGCATCGACTGGGCCAATTATACCGACACACAGTGTAATCTGACCTGTCATTATTATAAGTAGAGGTTGCAGAGCATCAACTAGATTCATTGTTGATCGACGCGAGGGTTCTGCGTCTGATCCTTGATTGCTTGCGGTTTTCGATGACGGGAAGGCGACTTAAATTTAGCTATATGCCCCATAAAATACTTTATGTATACTAATAGGTTCAACTGTCCGGGCTCTGTGTTTTTGCGTGTAACCTCACGCGGAAATGCAATTTTGCAGCCTAGTCGTCTCTGGAGGACGGAAGCCCGGCGGCTTACGATATTGAGGCTCCGAATGTTACAATCACACCCAATCGGCGGCCCTTGTACATGTTACGCATAGCACGGACCGAGAATCCGAAGGGGCCATTCATAGCTCGTGTATATTTGATGCGGCAATTAGACATTTGTTGGTATTGTTTCATTTCTTTGCCTTGAAAACCATTGCAAATGAACCCTAAAGGTTTTCCAAAGACTCTCGAAGTGCAATAATAAAGCAGCAGAGGAACAGCTCTATTGTGGCATAAATTATAGCTACATAGGCGTGCCGATGCGATTAGATCTAGAACAAAATAGGTAGCATCTTGAACGTTAGGCACACCATTTCCGCGTTTCAATACCACCTGGTTGTGATTATGGGGGTCTTTTGGCATCACCTTTTGATAAATAGAGAAATAGCACTCGCTCCAAGCGGTGGTTGTGTTGGAAACTTCAGTCTCAACTCTAAGGCTATGTATCACCTATCTTTCTTTCACCTGACCTTCTTACCAAACTGTTCTGTTATTTCCCAGACTTGGTGGCAGACTTTCTCCCACCGCTACAAGCTACCATAAAGCCCATTGTCATGGTAATTCCCTCCGTCAGCGGGGTTTTGTAACTAAATGCATGATTTGCAAGGCCTCACGGCATTGGGACCAAATAATGATGGATCAACTCTTCGCCTCACAAGGTGATACAGCCCATCCCCAACCCTTTGACAGCAATATTAATCACAGTGTTCCCAGATCACTAGTCACTCGTGCACATGTTTGTGGCAGGTGAGACGATCGGAATAGAAGGAACCAATCAGTTACCATCCGGTTCAGTTGAGACGAGGAGTTGACCTTTTTCCTCTTTCGTTCTCCAAGATATCTAAGTGAGGGAAACCTAGGGTATAAGACAGAGAGATTGACTTCCTACAAGAGAACCATTCAATTTCAACTAGCCTCGCCTCAACAGCTAAGCTCCAAGCCTTAACACTCTATTCTTGACTTTATTGTTGTAAGAGTGACTCCCGTGTTCTGCTCTGTGAAATGAGTTATCTAGCTAAGACAATGACAGTTAAGCAAGCAAAAATGAACTGGACATATATTGTTGGAGTCATTAGTGTGGCTCTGACTGCTTTGGCTAACCCACTACCTCAAATTGAGTCAGGCAGTAAGTCTGATGTGTCAAACTATGTTTGGAATATTTATTAATCGTATATATCATAGACAGTATCGGAAGTGGTAACACCTGCGTTTCAAATGGTGGCAGTACCAATTGCTATTGAAAGGACACCAGTGTCGTCAGGCATGATAGAGGGTTCTCGAAGCCCTCATTTAACGGAGGTATCAACTGTGGAAACGTCAAAATACAGCTTCAAGATAGCGACGTGGGTCGTACGCAGTCCCATAGCGTTACTACCAATCAATGTGGAGGTCCCATCCTGAAGCAGTTCATATCCCATTCATTACATATATAGGATTTGGTCGTAGTAGTAATCACATGAACAGGAGAATATTTGTCCGAGTAATATAACATATTTTGATGGGTATCTAACTGCAAGGCGGGCACTATATTGGTTTTATCTGAAAACCCTAAAAGTGTTTCTGCTAGCATTGATCTTTGACTTACCTACCACAGTATTCCGGCGACGAGATTAACCATCAGTGGGTCAATTTTAGCTTGACTGAGATTAGGAAGCACTGCTCACTGCTGGGGTTCTTATGTTCCAATTGATCGCTCGATTTATGCTGGTATACCATCTCCACTGTTGGTAATAATATGATCAATTTAGACACTATTGAAACAGTGGTGACCTGAAGCAAGCTTCTGCTGCAGCTAAGCTGCAATAGTGGCCAGATCAGTTGCATTACTGCCCTTCGTGGACCATGTTTTCCTCACCGAAAAGACAAATATAGCACGAAACTGGGGCAAATTGGCAAACGAAGAAACCTATAACTACCTTTACCGATGAGCTCTAGCTTGCAGAATAGGCAAAGTTACCTTTCGGATAAGTGGTACTTGTCTTGTCAAGGCTCAATCGCTTATGAATGGTGCTGGATGGGGAGACGTGGATACAAATATATTTATAAGCAATATAATGAAGAATAACAGAGCTTATCCTCTTCGTCTCGATAGGAATCAATAGTACTGCGAGCTATTCACTCGCCTTTTGGTACCCACAAACTGGTCCACATCTACTGTGTGGTCCAATCAAGCGATCTTCGTTCCGTCCGGCTTCCGCGACTTTCCCGGTCTCCTCGGTAGAATCGAACTGTGAAGATCTCTTTTCAGGCTACTTATCATTACCTAGAGACTCCTCTGTATACAAGATAGCTAGTGCAATACAGTTTATGAAACGAACCCACATGCTTTCCCGCTTGTCCTGAAACATCCTGAAACAAGAATTCTATTCTATATTAATGTATTTTGCACCGAGAAGAATAGTGATTAGACTGGTTTCAGACATTCTCTCTTCATCAGGGTGCTTATAAGTTGAATTTAGGATGAAGGATCATACTTGAACCTTTTCTGATGATCGCTCTTTTCATTCTGTCTTGCTTGCATTCTTTTTTTTACGGTAACTGACGTTGAAGTGTTTTGAGTCCAATTGCGATTATGAATATCCAATTCAGCTGCATTTATTTAAAACTTAATAGAAAATAAAGCAAAAAGACATTAAAACAAAAAAGCGCGAAGCAGAGATGTATGCCAATGCTGATGTTTCTTTGCTTCATCATATTACAACCCAAATTGTGATGTCCTCCATTTCACCTTGTTTTCACGGTGTCTCTCTCAATATCAAAGTCTTTTGGAGGCGCAAAGGCATTGCCTTTTTCTCCCAGCATGGCGTGAAATGGACATCCGTTAGCCTCTTTCTTGTGTCGTTTGATGAACCAGGGCGCAAAGGCAGAGTCAAGGGTCCGATAACCGGAGATTTCCTGCTTTTTCTCAACCTTCGACATCTTCTCCTGCTGCTGCCAATAGGATTCAGTTGGGTCTGGCAAAACCGTCTTCAGAAACCAGAGGAAGGTGCCAAAAACCAGAGTAATGAGGTAACTCAACAAGGGATTAACGGGCTCAATGCGACAAGCTTGCAAGGTCGTAGGCAAGGATAGGCAGATGGGGATTGCACGGCCGAGCCAGCGCAAGCCGGGCGGGAAGAATCGAAAAGCGAATTGGTCAAAGCAACCTTCTGCAACCAGATTCGCACGTTCAGGTGCTATCCCCATGCTGGACTCGATTTTCTCGTTGTACTTCTCAATCTCATCCCAGCTGTCAGGGAAGCTGTGAATCGCCTTCCCTCCGCAATGGAAGAGCTTGGCCATCTCTCTCCAAAAGATAGCCGCGGCCACTTTCTGCTTCTCGCTAAAGCCGGGTAGACCGAGTCGAAGGTTCAACCGGTGCATGGTTGTTGCGGTATAGGTCAGGGTATATATATAATCATCATTATGCTCAAAATCTCCCGGGAATTGTTTATTGTAGTAGACATGGATATCGTTGATGTGATCTACCGACTTCTTCGTAATCGGAGAATGGGGCCCATACCACCACCAGATTGCGTTGTTGTTGGCCGTCTGTTCGACTCGTTGGGTGGCTTTGTAGACAATCTTTCCGCCATCTGACCGCCAGACTGCGCGGGATCCTTGCTCAGTGGCGATGAAATTTGGGAAGGTGATTGCGTAAACCAAATTCAGCAGAAAAGGTGTCAGCCCGTAGCCAGCAGAGAGCCGCCAGATTTCCTCGTAGTCTTTCTCTGGGTCCAAAGATTCAATTCTCTGCTGGATCCATTTGCGAGGCTTTTGTTGTTCGACGGCCATGTTCGAAAGCTGATCATTTACACAATATGATGATATCTTGGAAAAAGGCTTGTCAGAGTAGAATTTAGATTGCTGGCTGTTTCTTCCAGGGAGGGGGTTTTATTTGGCAAGATGGATCGAATTAACTAATTCCACTGCAGTAGATTATCAATATTTACTTCCACGAAGCGGATCTTCCATGGCCGCCACTTCCGCTTAGTCATGGTGCCAGAGAAAACAGTCCGTATCACCCAGCCCGAAAATTTGTTTTCAACACGTATGGTGGACTATCTAACGAGATCACCAGTGAACTGTAGATAGCAATTTTGGTGAGATCTGCCTGCGTTGCTCCGCTGAGGAAGAGGTCGTCTATATGACTAACTAGTCGGCAAGATTGATCGTCTGTCGGGGCTCCACTCAGCTTGATGATAGCGGCTTAGTCAGCGGAACCAATTCTAACAAGTCTGCACTGAGCCGGGAGCCCTACCCGCTCTCTCTCCCGGTCAACCCTTTTCACAGCGGAGTTCTAGATTCCCCTGTTAACTTGTGTCCTTTGATGGTGGCAATCGATTGATGAGGTGGGCCTCAAATGTTTTGATGCCACGCAATCATAGTGGGCCTTATCCGTAGTCTGCACTGAAGGTCATGAATAAATCGTGTGATAGGACGCTAGCATCATCTTTAGGTATGAAGCGCTATAGCCTAGCCATTCTATAAGATTTATTAATGAAGTAAAGAGACACCTTTATCTACTGTTATACCCGGTCCCTTCAAAGGTCGGCTACGACGCCCAGAAGTCGAAAGAAACCCAATGAAATCCAATCCATCTCTCGCAATGAGCTTGATTGGTTTGTTTATACTAGTAGTTTTCCTCACCAACTGCCGAGTCGGACTGCCGAGTCGGACTGCCGGGTCGGACTGCCGAGTCGGAGAGAAATTTGATAATAGGAGTCTTGGAATAAGGTGTCACGAGTATTTCGGCGTTGTGATTCCTACAACTTATTCAAAAGGGGTCATGTAAGTTGAAGCTTAGATCCCAATTATTCATGGATAATCACGTCATTCCCCGACCTAGGGACTTCGTGGCTTACTGCAAATAATTCATCAAGATGATTTTGGCGTTAAGCGAATGATGGACGATCCTGCTTCGTTCTATGGTCGTTGTGGAATTAATTTTCGCTTGTGACCTGAGTTTAAGTGTCATTGCTTCTAGGTGTTCTAGAACATGACATTGTTGAGCTGAGTTGGAAAAATTTGCTTTATGTCAAACATAACAGGCCATGAATGAAGAATCAATCGTATGATTCGTAGGTCTACAGTATAAAAGAGATATCTCAAAATTGAGTGGTTGGCTCGGCCAAGGCCCATGATGGGTACTCCTTCCCTGTCCACATTTCGTCTACACATTCATCACCTCGATCGTATCATGCTTGTGATGCTTTCTCCGTAATCTTATCATGGCTGCGGTCGTTGAGTGTGTTCGTTTATCGTGAAATATTCAACCTCCGAGGTGCCCGCTTGTCGCTATTCAGACTTTACTCCAATTGTTGAAACACGTCCCTGCTTGGGCTGCCTGGTTCCAATTCCCGCTCGTGCGCCAAAGTCAAATTGCGCCAATTATCAAGCCGCCGATGCTGTGATACCTTCTTATGTTGTTCCTTGCTTTGGGCTGTCAGTACCCTTGCATACTTTCAGTCTTGAGGGGATATTGCATACCAGTACAAGGCCGCCAGAGAGAGAGCGGTGTGCATGGAATCAGTACCCATCCCAGCTAGGTTAAAGCTGCATTTGCGAAACCCTTGCTACACAAGAGCCAATCAATCGGCATAGAAGTATTTGATGTCGAGTGTATTAGATAAATTATAGAGGCAAAGTATGAAAGAAAAGGTGCATTACATATCAACTACAGCTACTGCAAAGCTTATTTGGAAATTGACTTATGTGATGACACCGATTATTTATTTCCATCTCCATGCGGGTTCATTTGAGTTCTTGTGCCTCCTAACCGGCTCTTTACTTTCTGAATTACGAACATTAAAGACCCTCGCATAGCACATGGCTAGTTTACCTAAGACGCCAGTAGGACCGGCTCAACCCGGCAATTTAGAACCTACCTAGCCGCGCTAGAAAGCGCCTTAAAGCATACACCAATGCAAGGGCTATATCTATCTGATATGAAAAAAGCGTTCGTATTTGTATCTTCGAGAAGATGACCTAGTGCGGGTGACTATTTGTGTTACCTCGAAGGCGATTAGTAGGTCTGTTTGCATTTTCTTTCACCGCAGACATACTACGGTTGGATCTCTCAGAATCGATCCATATCTCTCTGCAAATTTGCCTCAACTTGAGTATGAATGAGGGACAAATCAACCCTGCGCAGAGAGTAATACATATCAGATCCGAACAAGCGCCAACAGAAACACAGAAAGAGAACATGAACGATGATGCCATGCATTTCAATGAATCTGATGCCCCTGAGCTACAAAAGATTCGTCAGGTAGTCCAAGAAGCCATCATACTCGCTGGTAGTGCGACTGCTGTCTTATTGCAAGTAGCTGAACCTGGCGTTGCCAAAGGGGTTGATCGACACAGCAATTTTGCACATCGACCATTGAACCGCCTTCGTACCAGCGTGACATACATCTACTGCATGACATTTGGCACCCCAGAGGAGAAAAAGTCTATCATAGAGTTGGTCCATCGTGCTCATGCTACAGTAAAAGGACGGAGTTACTCTGCCGATGATCCAAAGCTCCAATTATGGGTGGCTGCAACGCTCTATGCAGTGAGCATCGAGCTTTATCAGCAGGTCTTCGGCTTCATGGACGACATGACCGCCGAGACAACCTATAAAGAGTACTGGATACTTGCAGAATCTCTTCGTGTCCCTTTGGGAATGTGCCCGCTGATAGTAAGGCATTCTGGGCGTATTGGGACCACCAGCTTGCAACAATGCAGATTACTGATCACGCCAGGAGTGTTGCTCAAGACCTCCTTTACAATACCAAAGCCCCCCTTCAAATCCGTGTTGTCCTCCCTCTGGTACGCCTGGCAACTGTCCAGATGCTACCTGCGAGGATTCGCGAAGCCTACGGGCTGAAATCAAATAAGCTTCGAAGGGGTGCATATCGAGTCATTGTGGTGCTCACTAAATTTATTTATCCTTATCTTCCTGAGACTATGCGTACTTACCCCATGCGTTACTACTTGGGGGAAATGCGGCAGCGCCTTCAGAAGGAGGTTTAACACTCACGCGTCAAGATACCCTTGGCACCAAGCATCTAAACAATAATGACTTAGCCTAACTTGGCAATCTTGTAAAACGACATTGTCTTTGAGTGGTGATTATTACCGTCCATTGGAATGAATATTAAGCCGGTACGAGCCGAGAAACGAAGTGTGTCTGCCTGAGGGGTAAACTGTTTCAAATTCTACTATAGCCCAAACTTGTCCACCATCGAAGACACGGAATATGTGGCGTGCTGTAGCTCGAAGTATGACATAATACTATTTATCGAATAGTATCCCTGAAATTACTTGGTGAAAGAAGAGCCAATTTGGGAGAAGTTGCATTGTGCCGGTCGATGAAAACAAACATCCAACAACGCAATCACGGCCTATCTGTAGTTCAAGGCCAAGTGCAAAAGTTGCTTTGCTCATTCAGGTGTCTGATTTAGAGCTTGAGTATATCTATATGCCCACTAGATTTGAGGTTTAAGTTTTGGTCTCCAAAGTCTTTTATGTCACCTTGTGTTCTTTCTCGCCGAAGGAGATGAGATACCCTGTTCTTTCTTCACACAGTTCAGATGTATCAGTCCTAAAGTGGAATGAAAGAAATCTCTTTATGACCATTATTAAACAAACCCGCAGCTTTGGAAACAAACTTCTCAGCACGGTTCAAGGCATCCAAATCCTGATATCGCCAATGGACTTGAGCTGAACATCTGAGATAGAAGTTTCCAGGGGCGACAGCTGATATTGAGAAAGAGGTAATTAGAGTTGATACATATGGCTGATATATATGGCTGAGCCGACACATGATGAGATGAAAAATACAGGAGAATATCGCTGAAAGAAACGACCATCTGGATGCAAAACGACATGACTGGGGTTGCATATGCTTCCATCGCCAATAGAGCCAGTCTGTAACCATTTTCTGTCACGTGAACCCAGTCGCACCGGCGTCTTGAAAACGAAGGTTATTCCCATAGCCACCATTCACTGATCGCCTTGTCTTCTCCCTCAGAACAAGCGCAGTGATGAGAGCCATCAAAACGAAGCTGTCCCCAAAATCAGCATAGAGAAGCAATGCGCCATCCGGCTTCAGCCTGGCGCCACCAGGCAAGAAAGATGCGATGACCTCGTTTGCCTCATTGACCAGCTTGTGGCTCCCAAGAGGTCCAAAATTATCATTCAACTCGGTATTCTTCCAAGCAAATGTTCGCATCTGGCGATCGACTTCCATCTGGAAGACATGGCGCGTTGCCATGAAACCCTTCTTGCTTAGCTTAGCCGAGGTCACCGTTTTGGGAAGATCGGGATCTCCCAGGATTATTTGAATATTGGATGAAAAGCTGATGTATTTGCCGGACCCTACGATCGGACTGTCTGCGCTATCTCCGGCGTAGAAGGTGAGGTAAGGCTTGTCTGGCGTGGAACTTGTATTTGTCACATGGTAGAGCGTGGTGCCGTCCAGCACTACTTGGTATTCAGCGTTCCAGGAGCCGCCGGTGATGGTATATTCAGTCGCGCTTGGTAATTTATTTGAGAACTCCATCTTTATTGTGGGCTGAGTTTGAAATGTTTATACGTCGATGTGCAATTGGTGTCCAGCTGGGTGTAAAAGGTTCTGTTCCCCTTATATGTTCAGAGAGCGAGGCAGTGCTACCACATGGTGCGGACGTGGGCGCCCCCGCATAATAAACACAGTATTTGTTGGGCTGTGTCCTATCCGCCCCCACACAGCCCTGTACCTCGTATCCCCGACCTCGGGATCAAGCCACATCTGTTCCTAACCCATTTAGCAATAGCAATTCTACGCGATTTTATTGTGCAACCTAGTATTGCAAGAATGACTGGAAGGGCATAAAATGGTCATTTGTGTTGCTCTCAGTACACAACGAGTCTAAGACCGTGTGTCAGATATGGTGGACAGCACTGTGTTATTTATTTAAGGAAATTTAATGTACTGATACTACTTATACAAGAACATTAATATTCCGGGGCTGATCCTATTATGGATTAGCAGATCTTGGAAGTGGGGCTGGAAAATCAATTTAAGAGTGTAGGTGGTCGCACCAGTTTCGAGACGAACTGTACTCCACAGTCCAAATGCAGACCACAGTCTTTGACAGGGCTTGTGCCTTAGAGCTTCTGCAATTTAACAATCCTTTCCTTGAGGAAAAGGGAATTTCTACACACTCATGGACCAACTTTCCCAACCCTGTCAACTTCACTCCACTCCTTAGGGTGTGGGACAAGAACTCGGGTAGTCACCCAGATTCGTCGAATAGAATGCTGGCTCGCCTGCCCCGACAACGATTGGGCTCGCGAGAGAGCCGAGAAAGGTCACTAGCCACACATGCTGACTATCAGAAATGGAACCCGACGCCCTTCATATCATTCACTACATCAGTATCTGGTCTGCAAATATTTCTGTCTAGGAGAAAGGGGGCAAGCTTCCCTAGAACACTTACCGTTATCAACCCAAATGTCCGCATTGCCAGCGGCCTACCCATGCTCGAAATGGAGTCAGAATTGATATATTATGAAGTACCTGACCCATATCAGAAGGCATATTCGTATTATAAAGATGAACATCTTTGTCTCTGGGAGATTACGCCTGAGGAGATTATAGGTTACATAGACTGGGACCTTCTCATCGAGAACGCTGATTGATACGAAGACGAAATATTACCTGCTTTCAAAGAGCATAACGATGACTTCTTACGCAGGAGTCAGACTGAGGCGACCTTTAACATGTCAACACTACAAAGTGCTTTGCCCAGAACAATCTCTGTCTCAGTCAACAGACACGAAATCGATAGGTCAGACTTGAACTATTCTAACAACTCATTATCTATTTGAAAATTGGGATTCTTCAGGTGAGGAGGATTGGCAGATTGGAAGTGAGACTTACTGGGACACGGACGATGAAGCGGAGGAGAACAATGCAATCGATGATATGTATAAGATTCTGGAAGGCGACTGGTGAAAGATGGCCGGGCTAGAGCAAGCAATGCTCTGTTCCGGACAAGAAAGGCGATAACGGTCGCCGTTACAAGTATAGTATTTGTGTTCTATGGTACCAGACATTGAGAACCGGTTCAAGTTCTGTAGGCTTGTTGTCTCTTTAAAGCCGAGTGTCGAAATTAACCTCTAGCACTCTCTTTCTTTGCGCCTACTGTGTCGATACACCATGCAAGCAAAATATTAAACCCTTGATCAGGATCCACTTGGTAGTAACTCCCGTTACGTTTGAAAAAGCTTTTCAGCTCAGCAAAAAGCTCCTCGATCAGATTCCACTCAGGTGAGTAAGGAGGCATATATACTATGAACGAGACTACACTCTTGAAGAAGGCGTGATGAAAAAGCTAGGCTGACAAATTCTGGATTTTACTCGGACTTTTGCGAATAGAACTAACAGTCTACTCATCTCGAAGATCAATTAAGTTCAAGCCCCAGCACCCATATCGTTCTATAATGGCCCTGAATGCAGAATCTCGCAAACATCCTATTGCGGTTGGCTGTTTTGCTGGGGGGTAGATAAAGACTTTCGACATAATAGATTACCCGTCTTGCCGCTTAACCAGATCAGCATTACGACGGAAATAAGCAATTCTCGAAGCAAGGTCATCATCTAGTTTGGAGGCTGTGACAATTTTACCATGAATCAAGTCCGCAGAAGTGTATATAAAGACCTTTCCACTGCTTAGGTAGCGGGCCTAAGCATTCAACCATGCCACTCACAACTCCGCCCTCGAGAAATGTAGGAAATGGACGAATTCTTAGGTAGAGCAAAAATAAAATAGCTATATAGTTCTTTATATCACAAGCAAAGCCTAGTTCTTTTCTATGAAGTCGATCTAAAGGGCAATAATGCATCGGTGGGTATCCATGTTCAGTAGTGACCTCGGTTGCCAATTTTCTGAGCTAACCCAACGTCACAGCGATAGTATCCTTCTATGCGAAGGTCTTTCGGAAATTTGATAGCGCTCATACGCTCGCCCTTTTTCCAGAGATCGATAAATGGCATTCTTTGCTTCAACGGCCGACCAAATAATTCACACTTAGTGCTTCTGCTAATTCCATTGATAGGAGGAAATATGACACGAACCGGATTAACAGCCGATCGCCAAAGTAGTTGCAGATTCAACAAAAAGAGAGGGATTAATCGGTCGATATTCAGCAGGTAACCACATGAGGTTGAATCCTGTCATAGGTTATCCAGGAACAGTCAGAACTTAAGCCATACCGATATTGTTCTGGCGAGGATGACGAAGAGTAAGAAGTGGATGGGACATAAATACAGAATATGGAAGACAGATGAAACGGAATATCTTCGAGGGTAAACACCAGTCAGAATGTTGGGGTTATTATCACCAGGTTGCTGCGATCCAAGATGGATGTTCCAAGGTTATGTGTAAAATGTGCGACCATGTTCTGAGCCACCCCACAGACCGCCACCGTGGAACATCGCCTATGAATAAACAGTATTCATCAGGAGTGAATTGTCGGAGACTAGTGCCTCGCGGGCAAGATATCAAGTGTCTATTACGCAATGGGGTATATTTTACATGTGCCAACGTTTGAAATTGAAAATTACTGAGAAAAAGGATTCTGCCCGTACCGTATCAACCCCACCTACTTTTAACCGGGTCTCTTTGTCTCTCTGTCTTTTCCCCAATCTCTCTCTTTCCCTAATTATTCTTAACTTCCCTATTTCGCCCCATACCTTTCATAAATTACGCTATGGATCCTGAGCTTAAATCAAATATCAGATTCTTTCAGCATGACAGACCGTGAGATTCTCCATACCTGTCCATTGTTCCATATTAACAAATCTCCTAGTCCAAACACGCCCAGACTTTCCATGGAGGTTGAGCCCACAATCCCAGTTATGTCTCTAGCTAAACCGGGAGGGTTCATCATCACTATCCGTCGGGCAGAGGATGACTGTGACAAGCCTTGTATCTTCCGCTGGAACTTCCTGTGTGATGGATGGGGTCCTTCTGGCTTCGTGCTCTTCCAACACACGCCAGATGGTCTAAAAAGGGTTGAGATAGTGCCTAAGCCGCCACCTCCCTAGACTGTCAAGCTTACAGGATATCAAGCTGAGATGGAAGAACTTCAACCTGGCCAAACTCTCAGAAGAAATATAGGCGCCCCGGATTCCTTTCTGGACCATATGGTCGCTGGCGAGAGATATGAGCTATTCTGGCCCGGGGCTAAATATGCCTTGTGGGCTTGGGGGACCTTACGTGAGAATTGGGATCAAGAAATTGGGGTTAACTCGGGGCTACCCCCTGTTGTTATCCCGGGGGGACCCTACTGCTCTTTTCCCTGCGTAGAGGTGGAAGAAACTCCGGAGCCTGAGCCGTACGACGACCCTCGGGTAGAGAAATCGGAACGAATGTAAGTAACCCTCTAATATGATTTGCGTCTTTATCCTAACTGAAACACTTCTTATAGCTTTGGAACCCCTTACATAAGTGTGTTTCTAGAAGGCCCATCGGAAATGTCTAAAACGGAAATTTTTTTTATTACAGTAAAGATCACCTATAATGGTCTGACGAATGAGGAACACGAGGCTATCTATACTGATCCAAAGCCGATCATCATACACGATTACCCTTTTACTCATGATCATTTTCGACTTCAACGCCGCTGCCTTGATTACGATGCGTTGAAGAATTCTGACGAGGATCCTACACAGTGGAAGACTTATTTTGACGACGAAAGAAATCCGGGTTGGAGGATTGTAGATGAGCCCGACATTGAGGTCAACGTCACGGATCCCCAATTTTTCCGCAGCCTAAAACCAGGGGAAACTTTTGTCAAAAACCATTCCTTTAACTTTCTCGACTTGCATCCCCATACAGTGGTCGGCGACACATATCGATATCGGTACTGGGGTGGCTGCGTTGACTGGTGGATTTGGGGTGATCGCGAAGAGCATGCGAATACAGTAGTGAAATTACCATGTTGGCTGCATGATTATGTCGTCGACCCCGCTGATAATGATGGAAGGCCGGTTATAATGATCCCGTCATCCAATTTTGTCGAATTTACTGTTGTTGATTGACACGAATGGGTTCTCTTTGGTTCAAGTCTTGACCTCAAACTTAGGAACCGGGATAGACATGTATTCGAAATGTACTTTTTTTAATGATGGAAAAAAATTTCGTAATGTACAAGCATCCGGCGTCGACTTCACAGGGCCTCATATTCTACAGTAATTTTCAAATTCAAATGTGAGCTAAAAGCTAAAATCAAAATGTGGTATATGTATCACCCCAAAAGCGGCTGTCTTTCTACCTCCTCCGCAGATTTAATCTGTCGCATAGATAACCATAACAAAATTCCTTGCCCCAGAGCAAAGAATGCATCGTTGACAGCGACAAACCCAACCATGCGGTACCATGCATTGATTATCAGAATGATCGGGTGTCCACCATCTAGGTATAGATCCCATGGAACAGAGACTCTAGGAACCCAGGAAACGGCTGAGAGAGTGAAAGCCGCTGTTTGAAGCTTTAGTCCAGTCAGACTTTGAGTTTGCAACGGCATACGGGCTTGCCTGAATATTCCTATAACAAGTGGTATAGTCGTAAAAAATGGCAGAAGTATAATACTATGAAGGCCCTGGAAGAGAGCGATTGGGTCTCGCTCATGCTCAAGGCAGTTTGGATGGTGTGGAGGACAAAAGATGTCAGACACTGCATCTGTTATGACAGGGACCATGGATATAATGAGAAAGCCGAAATAACTGACTACCGTCAAAGCCTTACGAAGGCGACTAGTAGGTCTATAGTAGAGGTTAAGACCTAATCTGGAAATTTTGGTCAGTCTCTGGTCTCTTTACAATTACTAGAAAGTGCAATGTTTTAAGCTCACAGGATATTCCATAATACCCATACACCCACACTTGGACAAAATTAACCCAGTCAAGTGCATTACATGGATGGTGAGTCCAGTAGCTTGTCTCAATAGGGAGATTGATAGTGTAAAACAAGACCAAAAGTAGATGCTCTGTAGAACAAATGACATAATAAAGTAGGTAGAGCAATGAAATGTCTCTAGTACCCTTATTGAGCCAAGTGTGGTGTATGTGAGGAGCGAAGGCGGTAAAGACCAAAACAAGGATAATGCTGTTTGCTTATTATGGTTTCTGGAAAATCTATAGTTCTAGCTTCAGAGAGGAATACTCACAAGCTAATAGTGGCTAATAGCATACTGTGCGATCATAATTAGGACTTAGGAGGGATAAGGTGAGTGAATGAGATATAATGAAATATAGGAGGGACGTGGAAAGTGAAGGGAGGCGCAGGACGAGGTGCTAAAAGAAAGTAAATCAACAAGTAGCTCGGATAAAGAGCCGACTATTCTCTAGCGAGAGTAGGAATATCAGTTTTTTCTAATGGCATGCTTTCGAATAGCAGTACGGAGTACCGATTATGGTATGTAACCCGTTGCCAAGACATACTAGCAAGATTCAGAAAGGCTTTATGTGGTCCAAGGTCGCCGCATCGTTACATTCGTCTTATCGGTAATAGAACCAAGCAAGCGGCTAGGAGATTAGACATGAGCTTGAGGGCAACTATGGTTCAGTCTACTTCAAATCTCTAATAGACCCATTCGCTTAAGAGGAGCCTATAATACACGGCAAAAAAATAAACTTTAGCTAGGGCCGAAAATCATCGTCGCCATTTGCCGAGATCTACTAGTTCAGTAGTTCAGTAAAGGAACCAGGGACTAATTTATCCCACTATCGCCGGGCACGATACGACTAAATCGAGTGAAGAAAGCAGAGATTTTAACATCCGGTATAGAGATAATAATGAGTCATAACGGCCCTCAACCAAGTTAGACAATCGCTGAGCGTCTCCAGCCTTATAAAGATCCACCTTCGTTGGTTTTTCTTCTCTTTTCTTTCTTTCTTCGCCTAAGCACCTCAAACGGTTAAGTCTATGGAGTCCCGATCTAAGACAAGACTATACACATTTGTCCTTAGTGCCCAAACAATCACAGTCGGGCCGCGCAAGGGCCGCGCCGGCATCAACCGTAGTGGGCCGCTAAACTCTCCCGGGCTAGTTCCACCCGCTCTTATGGCCCCTGCCCTAGAAAATCCACGGTCTGCTGATTACTGTTAGTGTCCCTTAATTGTGTCGTCTCATGATAACTTCGCTTATGGTTTGCCCCGCCGATGCTCACTTAGCTGTCAAGCTATCACGATTTAATAGAATAATTGGACAGAAATGTATCTAGTATGTGTCTTTATACCGTTTGTTATAAACCTATAGGAAGGCAGACAATACCAATAGCTATATTGAATCCTGCAATAAAAAGCAACATCTAGGTATAGATATCAGTCCACGGGTGTACTCAATTTCTCGAATTCACCGTATGGTACCTAGTTATTGATCATATCCGGAGGAATAGGGCTCCCTGGAACTACTTGACGCTAGAATGAATGTTACCATCTAGTCCAATTTCGAGACTACTAGAAATACTACCTCATATACTGTAACTTCCGCTCTACATATCTAGTGTCGGAATATAAGCGAGGCTATAGCTCTTTACGGCAAGGTAGACTTGTATAGCGGAAAATTTCCACCTACTCCAAATGTCCTGCCCCGTTGGTGTGAGGCGATTAGGGCTTGATCCAAAAATTATAAAAGCACTGTAGTTATTTCGTAGCGGTCTTTTCCATTACTTTCCCTTCACCCACAATTGCCACAGTCCATGAAAAATGGAATCTTCAGATATGATGATATGTTGAGATTGATGCAGGATCTATCGTTGTCAACTCTCGTATAGTACTCAACCAATTGGAGATATCAATGACTCTGTATTGTATTACCCCTAGTTCACGCTATTTATTGTTGGATTGGTGCAGATAGTTGTTTCTCTCTCGCTCTATCTCTCTCTTTTTCCTTCTCTCCTCTGTCCGCGATACAATATTTATATCTTCATATTCCATTGCCCCTTTATGATCTCCATGACTTTGAAACCTTTGGGATATATTTACAAAATCCTATGACAGCGTTCACTGTCTTCACACACGAGGCAGAATCAGGCTTACCTCTTTTTCCTTCCACAGGACCTCCTCACAGGGTGGATATGTTCCCAAATAGATCGCCTACCCTCGCTTGAAGCTCTCGTCTCAACCCTCTCAGATTCGTACAATCCAACAAAACGTGAGTGAGTGATGCTATCTCGCTCACCGCAGACGCAGAGGTCATCCTTGCAGAAGCAGAACACCTTCGCATAGGTGGCTAATCAGCAGTGTCCCGTCCGCATTTGTGTCAGCAAATAGGCTCGATTCATCTCTAGCAGTCCATAAAGCCGCCTCGTGTCAACGAAATACTGAAGATAGGGAAAAGAAGGAAAGAGAGAGAGAAGAAGAGCTCCCAGAACTATCTACACCCCACTCAACCTGACAAATCAGGCATTCCTGTATCCACGAAATCCCTTATAAGCATGTACTTGGGTCTGGACAAATATCGAATGCATTTTATTAGGATCTCCACCAGGGAGCACTGTGCGATGTATTGGGTTACGAGTGAAAAACATAAGATAATTCCTTGAGCCACAAAATGTGTATTTGCATTGTATTCAGACTAATCACTGGTTCTTAGTGGGAGGTATCTACGTGGAGTTATCTACGGATTGTGGGGTCTATTCCGAATTATCTACCATATGCACATACAGTATGCATGAAGGCAAAGTGAAATTGGAGGATCTCTTTTGCAGGCTATAGGCCATGTCGTATTTCTCCCTAATGTAGCACCTAGTATTCATCTTCTCTGATCTCATCAGCCAGTCTCGCAGCAGCTATTTGAGCACTTCTAACTTGTTTGGAGTCATCGTAGTAGGCTAGAATGATCCATTCGTTTGCTTTAGCAAGCCAGATCCCGCTCTGGCGCTCGCTCTAGTAATGTGTTTTTTAGTCTGTAGCAATACCTGGGAGCACCCATATCGAAAGCTTTACCTGTTTATTCCCACAGATAGAGTTTTCGTCAGCGCTGACGTTGATATACTTAACACCGTTTACCAAAAAGACCCCTGTTGGGGTGGATTTGGGGCTCTTGAAGAGAGATATAATATCCATAGACTGTCCATCCTTGATCCGTTTGTCTCATAAGTCACAGTGGACCAAAAAAGGACCCATATTAGTAGTGAAGTCAACATACACTATAACAAGGTGTCATAGCCTCAATTACGTCGTCCTTGGCACCTATCAAGGCAGAATGTGTTGCATCACCATTGGAAATAAAAGTAGAGCAGCGGTGGGTAATTAGTACTCAAGAACTGATGCGCAATAGGTAGGGGAAACGGTATGTCTCCACCAAGTAACCTATGGCTAATGTTAGGTGTTTCTAAAGGGTAATCTGGCTTATATGACTTACTCTGCCAGTCCATGATAAGCAAATGACTACTGAATGTTGTTTAGGAAGCGCTGTTGATAGATAATATTCTTTGGGACTATTCAGCTTCTGAAATCCTTTGTCGCTTTATACCCGTGTGAAGCTACAGCGAATCATCTCCCATGGGATTTGTGAAATTATCCTGAAATCCGCAGCTACAGGATTTAGTGTCACTCTCCACTCTTTGCAAGATCCGGCCTTACTGTGAGACAGGAAAATGCCGATCTTGCTTTTACATGCATAAACCAGATGCGTATCCCTCTCCTTAGCGCCCAATAAGAGTTTAGAGCATAGCGGTGAAGATTCCGTGATTAGTTGTAGATTACAGAGTACACTTCCTGGCCTTGAGGCGATATAAAATGTATACTAGGGATGAACAATAAACTTATACCAGATAGCTTACAATCACTACTAGTAAGTAGTCTTGAAGCGATTGAGGCACAGACATTAAGATTTGCCACCCATCGATTGTACGACTGATCGAGATCGAGCAAGTTGGCAAGGTACAAAGGTATATGTAACTCCTTCGTAGATATGTATCAATAAGAGTGATAAAGTAAGAATCTGAATGATATTTGATACCTCGAAACGTCTATCCACTGTTTATTTGCAATTCCTCTGTGATGTTGAAAACCCTATAAATTGCCAGAACCAGGCTAAATCAAGCACAAAATTTTCATACATTCTCATGGATTAGGCCCAGATAGGATTCTGACAAGAGGACTAGTATTGCTTGTAGTAAGTGGTGCCTCAGGCCTACTTCTGCCTCAGGCTCTGCTTACACACCAGAGCCTAGAAACCTCAGGGGATCAAAACCACAACAATCATGTATCTAGTTTCTTCTTCTTCGTGCCAGTGAAAGTCATCGTTTGCTGTATTCAGTTCTGTAAGTGGTCATCTTCTCTACTCGTCCAGTTGAATATCATACCAATCCGTGCATTTCCAGTGAACTAGGTGGAACAGGAGGTGTCCCACGGTCGGGTGGTGTCGTCTGGTCGTAGGGCACGATCAGTGGAAACGCATCGATTGCGACCAGTGGAGCGATTCTCGCGCAGCAACCATATAGGCTGGAACATTAAACACCCCTGATCTCTGTTACATATCTTCGAGTAAGATCAAGATCTGAAGGAACAGACATAATGCCGTCGTTACTTGACCTCCCCTTGGAGCTCCTAGTGCAAATTGTTGAAGAAACGATCCCGGTGGATTTTGAAGCGACAGCCCTGTCCTGTAGAACTCTGTTTGCTGCCAGCACCCCCTTCCGAGTGCAATATGCTACGCGAAGGAAACGCTTTCGGAACTTCTCATTTTCGCGAATTGTTCAACGAACTCCAGAAGGGGCAGAGGTATCCGACTCAGACGAATGTTGGGATGAAGTTACCCAAGCAACAGGCAACCGGATCTTGACTACGCGAGGGTTGTTGGAATATATCGCGTTGGATCCCTCTGTGGCGCAATACATACAATCCATTGACCTGAGAAACCACTGGGATATAGAGGAAGACGAGGAGATGATAGAATCGCTGCATGCCGAGGTACCTGAGACTTTAAAGAGTTTGGTGCGTACATCGCCCTTCATTGAAGTCTTTTCAGGGACCCCGGAGGATTGGATTGAAAAAATCCGATTGTCAGAAGTACATGCAGATGTCTTTCTTCTGACGCTGCTATCGCAAGTACAAAAGCTGAATTTGCACTCACGTTGGGATGAACTAGATCGTTTGAACAACGTCAGAAGTCTGGCCAACCAACAACTGTGGCCGGTACTCGACATGATTACGGACCGGGCCAATCGTGTCAAGGAATTTCCTAATGCGCCATTGTCTATGCTCTCCGTCGTGCAGCCATCCCGTGATAACGGCTACGATGAGAGATCCCCATTGACACCATATGTACCATTCCTCAAAATCGATTCCGTCTGCGAAGCCACGTTGACGAGCTGCATCTTCATAGATGATGGGTATACTGGATACGCGTTTGACCCGTCGGTGATTTTATGCGCCGGCAAAAACTTGCGAAAACTGACTTTGGAGTCATGTATCGCTGGCCCGAAGGAGCTATCGCAATTACTCTCGTCAATTCCGAACCTGGAGATCTTTGAGTTCTCTCATGAGACTAAGTGGCATGGCTGTGGTCATAACTGGAATGCTGGTGCATTCCTAGATACAGTGCAGGATGCCTGCGGAAGGACGCTCAAGGAATTGTCGGTCACAATATCCACTCTGTATGGTGGTGATTTAGGAGCCACTCTAGTGGATATGACTTGGTTCCAAAAATTGGCTGTGCTCGAATTAGACATCGATATGCTGTGTGGTCCTGCATATGATCCGTCGATGAGAGATTTGGAAGCGGACGAACTTGATGGCAGTCCAGCCTGGCCCAAATTAAGTGACATGTTGCCAGCAACCATTGAAAGGCTCAACTTGTGTCTTAACACATTTAGTGATGATCATCTGAAGTGTATCACTCATTTGGTTGAGGGCCTTCCAGATGCTCGGGTCAAGAAGCTGCCCCGTTTAGAGAAGTTGAGCATTTCTGTGCGGATGGATTTCAGCCCGACGATTCCGGACGTGGCACTTGAGTCTTTAAATGTTGCGAAGAGAAGTGGTTTCTCAATACTGCGGCTGGGTACATCCATTACTCTTCTATAGATGTCATTTTTGTGAATTATTAGACGATAGATGATGTGGCTATCGCCATAACCTTTCAATATGCTAGCCACCCTTGAATCAAGCTTTGGGCAAATAAATAAATTGAGCAGCTCATTCTTACTGAGATGACTAAGATAAGAATTTCGGTCCCATCATGCTGGAGTTGGAAACAAAGAAGCAAAGATATACAACACCATGTTTGATGTTGTGGTCACCTAGCGCCCACAGATCGGGCGTAGGCGGCTTGCCGCTCTAATCAGCCCTCTTCAGGGCATTCCGGGTGGACCTTCTTCCACCTGAATGTTGTTCACTGGTATATTCAGCCCGCACAGCAAAAGATAGATTTTCCCATTTTGAATGAAAAAGCTACTAGTACCCTTTCTTTCTTTTTCTTCCCTTTCTATTCCCATATCCCTGCTTCATCAAGAAAGCATGATACTCACTAAACATGATCCAATATTACGTGAGTAATGTGGTGGATTTTGGGGAGTAGAGTAAAGATGAAATCTAGCGGGCGGTGCTTCTATGAATAGAATCTGTTTATGGGGACTAATCTTTTTTAAAAAATAAGTCACATCTATAAGAGTAGAGAAGTGGCTCAATTGTGATCCTGTCACTAGATTTATCAATTAAACCTGTAGGCCATACCCCACCAGATTTGAGGATATACAGGTCTTTTCTTGAGTGGATTTCTAAGGGAATGATTAGCTAGACTGAAGAAAAGCCTATAGTCAAGATAATTTAGGGCCTCTTTAGGCAATTTGCCACTGGAATAAATAGACAAAGAAACTTTGAATTCCTCGAAGCCAGCTAGAATGCTTTTAGTTAATAAAGTATATATAACTGCTTTTATATAGATATTAGGGCTAATAATTCCTAGTATATTGTGGGAGAACTAAAGTTAAAGATCTCTCTCTGAACTAAGTAGTTGAATGAAGATAGTAGTATATCTGTCATGGACCAGTAGCTGGGAAGACCGGAGAGCCGGGTCAGAAGGCCAGACGGTAGAGGAACGATGAGGCCTAAGGCCTTGAACGTATGTGTCAGAGGCAGACTAGACCGGATCAGGGCTGGCGCAGGTGCTGCGCTCACTTATAGCTTTCTTGTTGTTGTTTTTTGTTCCTCTTCTTCTCTTTTCCCTAGATTCCATATCTTGATCAAGTGAACCTTTTTCTTCTGACCCTGATTCTCTCGTCCCAGTTGCCTGGAATGCCATGTGTGTTTGCTGCAAGCTGGGAGAGAGACAGGGCGGTGAGCTTCTCACATGTATGCAATATCATTATAGTGAAAGCCAACTTTCTCATATATTCAAGGACAATGGTGCGCTATGAAGTGCAATCTCGTAGGTGATGTATAGCTCCTACATATTGTAAGGGGAGATAAAAAGACTGGAAGCGTGACGATCTAAGTAGCACCTGACTTGAGAGACCCAAACTCTTTATACTTATCTATTCCTAGTGACGCGACTGAAGTAACTCCGCGAGCTGCTTTTCTAGGTGCTTTTTCACTCTCGTGACTTTCCTATCTCGCCTCGGAAGCCACGGTCATTTTTATGAAGGCGCTCAAAGCCATGTTCGCTAATCATAATGGGTTGCTTCGTGATAAAAGAAACCATTTCAAAGTCAAATTCGAAATTGATTTGAATTCATTCAACTACTTCTGAGATATGAACAAGGAAGCACGAGTGAATTGAAGTCAATAAACCATTAAAAGAGAAGGCAAAAAGTCTGGACACACGCAGAATAACACGAATAAGAATGCTATAAGAAAATATTGATCAAAGGAGTGGACGAGACCCATAGAGTCTCAAGCTTTAGCCAAAGCCTTCAAGCACGGACCTAAAATCGAGTCATGTTAGCAAGCGTTTGTCAATATTCTACAAGTTCATCGCCCCCTTACATTAGGATCGGAGCCTCTTGTAGAAATCAGAATTGCGGGTCGTGATGAGAGCATCCAGATTCGCCTCTTTGAATTCGTTTACAACAGGGGTGGAAAGGGACTTGGCAGAAAACTCCATGGCAGGGGCAAGGTTTTCAGTGACACTCACCTCCAGAGCAGAACCGGGGTTGTAAGCCGCATTAATATCAGCAAAGGATCGTTGCTTTCTGACGAGCGCTGGTGGCGGCGAGAGACCATCGTTTTTCGAAGATAATCCCGCAATCTTCTTACCCAAGGCATCTGCCGCGATCGGCAAAAGAGTGCTGATCACCTTCGGGGCGGCCTTGGACACGGCACTCCCAATGACCTGGACCATAGACTTGATGCCGTCGAAGAACCCTTCGGGGCCAAACAGTGACTCCGTCTGGGACTGAGAGGCGCGGTCAAAGTCATTCTTGTCAAGCTTCATGACGGCGCGCAGGGCAGCCTCGGCTATAACAGCCCGCTTGGTGAGCAAGGTGGCAGCAACCAGATCATCTTTGTCCTCAGGCTGGGTTTGGGACACACTTTCCTCCCCAGATGGTGCCAATGCGTTGTTCAGAAGCTGCAAACCGATCTTGGCACCCTTGAGAGCGAAAGGTGCTGCCTTCGTCACGGCCTTGCCAATGAAAGATCCAAGTCCATCGAAGAAACCTTCCTCGCCATCGACAGGTCTGGTTGCTTCCAGCAGACCTTCGACAAATGGAGCTTGAATCGCATCAACAGCTGACACAGATTCTGTTTCATTTCTGATACCCCTGCGAGCGCTAAGCTTCACATTGTCGCTCTTCCTCATGTAGTCCTGGGTGACAGCAATTCTCAGGGCGGAATCCTTCAGCAAAGGAGTCATCTTGGGGGCAAGGTTGGTGACATGCGGAGCCAGCTCGGAGTAAGTAACTTGCATGTCGCGGAGGAGTTTCTCTGTCAGCTCCGGGTCTTGGATTCTGAGGACAGACTGCAGTGTTGCCTCGGCGAGAACAGCACGCTCCGTTGCTCCCTGGGTTGCTTGTGGGATGCTCACGGTAGTAGACTCGGCGCCAGCGGCATTGGCGACAGCCGACAGGGCAGCACCAGCAACAGCGGAGAGGGGCCCACCGAGAGGCCCGAGCAGAGGAGAGGCAATTGGGAGAGCGACTTTTCCTACCCGAGCAACAACACCAACGACAGACTTGAGAGCATCGAAGAAGCCCTCCTCTCCTTCAACTACGAGATCTGGGGACGGGGCTTCACGACCTGGGAGAGTGGGAGCTGCGGTGGTGGTAGACAGAGCGTTGGGCTTGACAAGGTTGACGCCCGCAATAGATGTGACCGTTGGATAGGATGTAGTCAAGGCCGAGATGTAGGCGTTGTAGTCATTCCCGTACTGACCTCCGATGGGGCTGGCAGAATTCTTGTCAGCTCCACCGTAGCAGTGGGCTCCAATAGACACCTGAGGGGTCTTCTTGCGGAGAACAGGAGATCCAGACTGGCCTATATTTACCCAAAGAGTTTCGTCAGTTAGCTATTCTTACCAAAGAGGTTGTAGCATCACAAGTCATGAACTTACCACCAAAGGTAGAAAGGCGGTATTGCAGCATCTTCAAAGCGTTATCTTCCAGGTTGTACTTGATGTCCTGGAACAACTCATACATCTGAGCGCCAATTTCATCAATCCCATCGCTATCCTCGAGGTGCATATCACCCGGATATCCAACAACACCGATCATCTCGGCTCCCTTCATCGGAGTTGGCGCAAATGAAAAAGTGCGAAGGTTGCCGGTGAATGGTGCATCAAGCTGCACAAAGGCAACGTCGCGATGACGGTTGTCTCGGCTATCGATCCACTCGCCAGTGGTCACGATCTTCTTCGCAAATCGAGTCTGCACAGACGAATCTTTCAAGGAGTCGCGACCATTATATCCAATGTGGCACTGCATGATGCTAACTCGGCCAAATCCTTGTCCATCGTTTCCGGCGTGGTCGTAAACACAGTGTCCAGCAGTCACGAGGATGTCCGGGCGGATAAGCCAGCCAGTACCCATGGATGCCATCTCAGCTCCGGGAGGCATACCCTCGTAGGACATTTCCAGCTTGACAATGGCTAATGGTAGAGTGTGAGCTCTCACATAATTTATACCCATGGCACGGTATGATACTCACAGCGATACTTCCCGCCATCCTTGTAATCAGTTTGATCAACCCTGGCCCGGTGGTCAGGCTGGAAGACAGCTTCGGGGTTTCCTCCGCCCGGGAGTAAGATGATACTCTCAGTCGGGGGAGCCTTTCCTGTTTCTAAGGTCCAGGTCGCGGCTAGGCCAGCATATTGAGAAGGAGCTGCCATTGTGGTGACTGTTGAGCTGAGATGAAGTTATAAGTAATAATTTGAAGACAGAGGGGATTGCTTGGGTTTGTTTGAGTGTTGATGATGATAGAACCAGACATGAAGGAGTAGGGCTTTTTATACCTATCTTATTCTGGAGACCTGACTTTGTCAAGTGCCATCTCGATCCTCGATCGGCTAAACTGGCCAACAATTCGTCCTTTTTCGGCCAAGTTTGACTTCACAAAAGTAGTCATATGCCCAGTCTCATTCTCAGCTCGTCACATTCGGCCCTGTTGCACCGACTCGGTGACACCGACTGGATCATTCCCCGCTAGCTTGTTTGAAAGAGTAATGTGAACTTGGTGCACTTCAAATGATGAGCTCATCAGTGGAGAATTGGACCAAAAAGCCGAACTAAAGAATTCATCAAGGCTTTGAGATGTCTCGTAGATAACAGAAACAACCAATGACAAGGATACGGTGCCATATGCACACAATAAAGAATCCCCGGATGATCGATTCGCCAGAGGGGTACACCGAAACCATCGGATTCTGTGCAAAACAGCTAGTAGAAGCGAACAAACGTGCAATATACATGTACTTTGGCCTTAGTCTAGGGTCCATATGTCAGGTACAGGGACCGTGCGAACAGTTCACAGCTCGCCGTAAGCCCACATGTGCTCTGTTCAACATTGGAACCCATGTGGTGTGACTAGTAATGGCGCCAATAGCTCAGTTCTGGGCCCTGTCATCTGCGGGGCTTATTCTTCAGGAAGGGCAGCCGACCGAGGATCCAGTGGGGTACGGAGAATTCCGATTGTGGGGTGTGAAGAACAGAACAAATGACAAACTATATTTTGCCGGTTAGTCTTGCCGATGATTGCTATTCGGGCCTAGTGTCGTCCATTGATGAACTTTGCAGAATGAATTTGTGAGAGAAAACCAATGAGCGCTTGAGCTCATAGGGGAAACGACGACATATTTAACAACAACAATTTGTATCGTTCTATCTAAATTGCGTTCGGGTAACATACTAATAGACAATGCAAGGTACGGCTCCTTAGCAAATTGGCACTGCGCACAGTCCTTGCTTTTTGATCGTAGAAGCCACATAGTCGACAGGGCCAAGAACACCCTCAGGCAGCCTCAGTCACCACAGTTGTGAGACTTTCCACGGTTATATTGTCAAGTTTGGCAAAAAAACACCGGACGGATCGGGCCGTTTCAAGCCACGAACCAATCGGCAATCATTGCCATGTTCCACTCCACTAGAGTCTAGATATTCATGCTGCAGGTCAATCAACCGGATAGCTCGTTGGGGTAATTATATCCTGAGTGGTCTCTCACAACAAAAGATATAGCCCCTATCGACTGGATATCGCTTCTGGTCGGCCTCTTCCTTAGCAGATCAGACTTTTATGTCCTGAATGTTGAAAATTTCGTTCTTCTGATAAATTTGCACCCAGGGAAATTAGCCAAGATAGGGATATCGATATAAGCTTGTTTCATATTATTGGCGATACACTGGTCTGGGAAGCAAGCCTCAAATCTATTGAAGAACGCCATAGTAGATAGAAAGCCAGTGTAAAGTAGATTAGAAATAGTTAAGATCCTAATTTAAATGGGACGTTGGATTGCGGGATGCTACGGTACTTCAACCCTGGATGGAATCGAATGTAGGTTGTCGTGATAGATGTCCACTCAATCAGCGTACTGACAGAACTCAAGTTCCTGATCCAGAAGACCTCGGCCGAGCTGGGCTTGGCACGCCTACATATCTTCTTTACACGTTCACTCGAGCCTTTTAGAGAGTATATAATATAGGGAGATCGCTCTAGAAGACGACTAGCTAATGAATCAACCAGGTTTTGTAAGGGTATCTGATTGCAATTTCACTTTATGTCTTGACAGATCTGGTGGGTACGTTAACGTCATGAAGATTCTGAACCTCTTGGGTGCGCTCCTCCCGACGCTCCCAACGATAGACCAACAGACAAAAAGAAAACATAGGTTGAGGAAGAACAGAAAGTAAATATGTAAATAGCACGTGTTAGCTACACAGACGACGCGACAGCATTTGAGATATAGAAAGTGAAAGGCGAGAAGAGAAAATATGAAAGTGATGGTATGAGTTTATCAGTCAAAATAATCAAAGAGAAGAAGCCAGTTATATCAATCACTAGGTGAAAATATAAATCAAGCTAACATGAGCAGATGTTTGTAGAATCCAAGCTTTTGCATGAGTCGCTCTGGAAGGCCAAGATAAAGGTAAGCTTTCCATTGTTGCTGAGTCAACCTGAAGGGAGAATTTGGAAGAGTTTTCGGGTCCATCTCTTATCCCAATTTAGAAAAGTGTTAGCGGTAATGAGTGTAGAAAACGTAAGAGGGTAAAGGATATGAGGGCAATTGGAGAAGATTGTAGGCAGAATACAAGATAGTCAACAGAGACTTTGGCCGCTCGATTAGCTAACACTACAGTGACTGGACATAAGTAATTGCACCCACCTTGCCCCACCTGGTTCACCACCAACACTGCCTTCCCTAAACGCGTAGCATAAAAGCTGACTTTTCGTGAAAAGGGAAGTATCAAGTCCTTCTGAGATCTCTAAAACTACTGCTTTTACTACATCTTACCTTCTTTCCCCCTCGATATGCCACGTTCGAAACAGCTCAGTTAAATATTTTAGTATTTTGACTAACAATTTATGATTGAAAATCCTGAACCGCCAATCGCTAGTACGCCAATTATGCTCAGTTTAGTGGGTCGTATACGTAGTCGCATTTATAATTACGTAGCGTACTTCAGATGAGGCAACCTTCTCGGTATAACTGTTCACCTACATAGCATATACCAGTGACCACACCTTCTGTGCGAAGTGCATAGAAAATTCTGACATTCAGGAGTAACCGAAACGTACTCATGTTCCATTGGCCTGTCCAAGTGAGACAAGCATATCTGAATTCAAATGGGCAGAAATATGGACTGTACACATGCACCATTCTGGGAATTGAACCCAGAGAGAATTTGATAGGAGGACAATTCTCAACAGAGTCGAAATATGCTTTCATTCCTGATGGACGATCTCATCGAGAACATACCCTTTCAATGACGGATTTTGTACTCCGAATTGAAATGAAGGAACGCCAATGACCCTAAATCATCCCTTGAATAGCAATTTGCAACAATGTTTAGAGTCAAATGTCTGTAATTGGTCATAAATGGCTAGCCACAGTCAATCTGCCGAGAACAACATTTTTCACGGGCACTTTCTGGCTTGCTGGTCCACAGTGTACTGTATAAATGTCAGTAAAGTGGACATATCGGTGGGAAGAACTTATCAAGTGCTTTAGACGCAAATCTGCTCGACCTTGCAGATTCGAGTGAATGAACCGTAGAGCATTTTGCCAGGGGTAGAGGACATATCAATAGGCATCTCAGCTTCTGTCACTTACAAGCTTGAGAGGAAGTGTTGAAGCACATCTATCCTTAATGAGGGCTGTCGAAACCCATGTCTTCTTTTTACCGCAACTATTTGCGGCGAGCTCTTTTGCCTTTGGATGCTCAGCGATAGAAATGAGTAAAAGCAGTATTGAGAGGAAGGGATGCTGAGTCGATCAAGAAACGTTGGCTGACTATTGAATCCTTCACGGCCCTGTTATATTGAGGCTTTGTGGGAGATATGCAAACCGCAATGACGGGCTCATATTTCCTGTTTTGATCGCCTCATCTGTGAGCAACTCAACGTTGAATCACCGAAAAGCGCCTACAATTTTATACCGAGAAGTTGTAGATTTTTTCCCCTAGCCTCGCTTTAGTGTTGTGTTGGTTTTGTCTGAGAAGTGAGTCTGTCCGTCTGGACTGCAGAAAGCGTTACGGTCGCGTGCGCGGGTACTCGACCCGTCAACCCGTTGAAGCTTGGCCACACGTTGACTCAATTTTTGAACTTGTGACCATCAATGTACATTGGGTTTCTGTTATATTGGGCTTTTTTTTGGTTTTCTTTTTGATGGCTGTAAATTCTAAAATGTCTTGTTTATCGAGTTTCTGAGACTTTCAACGAAAGGGAAAGAGGTGTCTGACTTGAATATAGATTTCTCACGATGAGGCTAATATTTGTCTGCTCGGGGCTTTTCTCTGATGCATTTAGGTTTTATTGTCTCAGCTGCCTGAAAAAACGTCCTGGTGTGCTCCGAAATAACTCCAATTCGCTGATCCTCGGGTCTCCCCCACCAAGCATTGGCAGTGACCATGATAATTGAAGAAATGTCTCTCCTATCCTTTTCGAAGACGATCACTTCTGTAATACCACCTGGTGTACCTCATAGCCAAAATGTCTAACCTCTATCCATGGGAGGCGACGATCTTGCTCGCCGCCACAAGTGGACAGACTGCAAAAATTCAACAGCAACTAGAAAATGGCGTGCATGTTGACACCCGGGACATGGAGCACGGACGGACTTGTTTATCTTGGGCAGTTGAGCAGAGATATGCTGATGCTGTACATCTGCTCCTTCGGTGGAAAGCCGATCCCAATGTTCAAGATGGATTGGGCCGCACACCCCTTTTACAAGCAATTGAGAACGGCAACGAAGATATCGTCAAGCAACTACTGGACGCTGGCGCAAGTCTTGAGCTAGCTGATTTTCAGGGCCAGTCACCGTTGATTGTGGCAGCTAAAGAGGGGTTTGAATCTTTGGTCAACATTTTGCTCAATGCTGGAGCTAATCCCGACTCGCGAGACTGGCACTACGGCGGGACGCCTTTATCATGGTCGGCAAGAAAAGGATATGCGAACATCGTACAGGTCTTGCTAGATCACAATGCCACGGTGGATGCGAAAGATGAAAGCAACCGGACTCCGTTGGCCTGGGCAGCAAGAAAAGGTCATGCGCAAATTGTCAAATTGCTCTTGTCACAAGATGCTCGCACAGATGTCCAAGATTGCGATAAGAATACCGCTTTCGAATCTGCGTTTGAGCGTGGGCATGATGCTATTGTTCAGCACCTGACAGGAAAGTCCATTCAAGAGATCAATGACAACTTAGCTTCACAGTCCCCGGCTGTCAAGTTAGAAAACCTGCGCGAGTTGTTCAAAAGATCAGTTAAGCCGAAATTTGATCTTCACAACCCTGAAGACGGCGAAGTCCTGGTATGGGCCATTCAAAACAACCGCGAAGAGGACGCACTTCTCCTGATTGAACAAGGAACAGACCTAAATTACCGAGACGAAAAAGGAACAACCGCTCTTAGTTCGGCTTCAAGCTGTGGTCTCTTAGACGTGGTGAAGTCTTTGCTAGAAGCCAATGTCAATCCAGACTCGGTGGATCAGGATGGTTGGACTCCGCTCATGGCAGCCGCTGAAAGAGGTCATTCTCAGGTGGTCCGGTTTCTTTTAGAGAAGCAAGCCGATGTGAACTGGAGAAGCCACGACGAAATGACACCTATACTATGTGCATCAGGTGAAGCGGTCGCGGCGCTGCTTTTGGATGCGGGGGCAGACCCAAATGACGCGGACATGAATTGCAGGACTCCAATCACGTATGCTGCTGAGAATGGAGATGAATCGTTGGTCTTACTGTTGTTGGAAAGAGGCGCCTTGCTAGATGAAGGCCAGGAGTGTTCGCCTTTGATGACTGCTATTAGCCAACACAATGAGGCTTTTGTGAGACTGCTCCTCGAAAAGGGAGCGGATCCGTACTCTGATGAGTATAGCTGCTGCGAATATCCTCCCATCAGATATGCAGCGGATCTTAACCAGCTTGAGATAACAAAGCTTCTCTTGGAGAAAGATGCTGCATCCGCTGATATGAAAAAAGATCATATTCTCCGAGCTATCGATTCCGCCTGTGAGAACAACAGTAACGACATGGTTGATTTGTTAATAAATCAACTTTCCTCCGGTTGCAAAGGTGATGATGGTCTGAAAAAGGAGCTACTGGAGCTTGCTGAGAACGTCTTCGAACAATATGGATATGACCGACTCATCAATTGGCTCAACACGAGCATGAAGAAGCTTCAGTTGGAACCTAATGAGCACTGAACAGGACCAATCGGAGAGCCCAGAGGGCCTCCCGCATGATTGTCGAGCTTCACTATACAGTTTATGTGTGTGGGTGTGATTTGTATAGTGTCTCAGTAACCTACTAGCCTGTGAACCTAGAGACCATGTTAGGATCTAAATGGAAATCTGCACGCCAAGTAGATGAGCCACCTGCCAAAAAAAAATTAATAACCACTTAGGTGTTAAACTTCAAGAAGGTTGGATATCATTTGACCGAAATAAGGTGCACTAAGCTTAGGGACAAGAAATGTGGTATTATAGCGATACCAGACCTTTAACATTTTGATCTCCTATTTGCCAGTCGTTGAAATGAATTGTTATTAAGGTTTTCTACCAGATATTTACCGAAAACTTTTCTCAAGCTCCTAAGCTTCAAGAAGCTTAGGTTCTAAACCAAAATTCTAATTATCAATTAATGACTCTGAAGCACGATGCTTAGCGGCAGTTTCGGGAAGCCAGCAGTGATAAGGGGCTTCTTTGTCGTATGAAAAAACTCCCCCAAAACATATACTCAGAACACTCTTTCCAGCGCTCACGAATACAGCTTTGAATTAAAGTCACATCTTCTATACACTAAACCCGATAGCTTCCACGTCAATGTAATAGAATAGCCGATGTTCCATCAGTCTAAATCACATTCTTCCAATCCTCCTCCAGTGTCCAGTGTCGATGTGTAAGGCACCAGGCTAGTCGTTCTATGCGCATACGAGCTATTAAGCCAGGTTTGCGTGTCGAATTTGTTTTTGAAACCTGGTTGTTCAGAATTTGCCAGATCGAGATAATTGATATGCTAATATTCATCTCAGCACTAATTTCACCGGCAATATCAGCACATGGTTTCTCTCGGCCGTAGCGATCGCGACGAATATTAGCTAATGCTATAGCTGATACCTCAGATGTTTGTTTTTTTGGACGACCAGAGCGTGGTGCGTCAATCACATATGCATCCGTAATCATTAAAGGTTGCCGTCTAGGGTCAAACCCACGTTCAATTGCGCGATTCCAGATGGTGTTTATGGTGACCGTAGGGATATCCGTGATATCAGAGATCTGCCGAGGTTCCATACCAAGCGTTTTCATAGTCAGCACGAGGGTGCGCTGGGCAATATCGCATTTACCCATTGTGTATGCGTGAAAGGGAGAGAGGAGGAGAGCGGGGAGAGAGAGGTTGGGTGTATGGCCCATGACCGCGCTAGTATTATTCAATATTCCAAAAAAAAAGCAAGCATAAAAAAAAGACTTTTGAAATGGCATTCGGTACATTGCATATTATGAATACAATAAAAGTAGGTCGTTGTGTAATCATGTATACGTCTCTTTCCAGTCACCTTGATATCACACCTGATTATCAAAAGTACAAGGTCCTTCATTGGTGGGATCAGCTGACAATGCAGATTCTGAGAAATCAGAATCTTGTGGCTTGCAGTTAAAGGTGACAGGTTACATTTGACTTAATTTTATGTCAATATTACCCCTTACACATACGGAGTTGTGAGACGCGTGGTATTAAACCATCTTTCCTGATTCAAATACTAGTCCATGTACAAAAGGAAATCCCTAAGGGCAACCAAGATACCACTATAGTAGCCTTATCTTGAGAGGTCATCCTCGTGACTATCGGATCACCAACGTCGGATCCTGGTTCACTGGTGCCCATATCTTGACTACCTTGCAAGAAATTGGACCCTCCATCCGTGCGGCTGTGTCAAAGAACTCAATTCTGATATCTGATAATGATCTTTCTCCTATCAGATGACTACTTGACTGACGCATAATTACATGATGGGTGAAAACATTCACGGGACCTGATTTGGGGTTGATCAATAATATCGATCATTCAATTATAGTAAGATTGATGTAGCCACTACACTCAACACACCTCCTGTATTCTCCGTGTTCTAATGGATTGTTTTGGTAACTTTAGTAATGCAGTCTCTTTGCTTCGCATCTACATACAGATCAATTAGTGTATACGAAGTCTTACAGACTTAAATCGATTTTATAGATGCTAGGAAGATCGCCACGAAATTCCTCCAGACGCCCTTTGCGATGGTCTAATTTCTTGATTTCCCCGCCGCACAAAAGAGTTTAATTCCCAAAGTAAATTAAGACTGCATCAAAAATAGGAAATAGGTAGCCTACTTCTGTATTGCGATTATGATGAAGGATAGATATGTTAATTTACAGAATTCTGCAAGGTTCTTTCTTCTAATCGGTCTTCTTTAGTTTGTACATTTTCCAGGTGGGCTTAAGAATTGCCAGTATTTCAGCAAACATATTGCGCAACACTGGCTCTTAGGGCCATCAAGTAAAAGCTCATTCGATTGCCAATAATCCCGCAGTCTGATCATACATTCAAAGAAAAGAGCATATTAGAGCTTGGGCTATATATAATAGTTCGAACAAAATCGAGTTCTAGGTCTATAGCGATGACGGTGTGATAATAAGAGCTTGACACGGCTGCTAAGAGCAATAATGATCATGGATTGTCAGTATCCTCTTCTTATCTGCCATCTCAGAAATTTCAGTGGTATCACAGATTTTTGTTTTTGCTCTGCACAGACTTTAACGAGAGAATCATGATATGTCAAGCTGCATGCATGAATATCGTTTTTATTACACATCATATTATGTATAGGGTTGAATATAGTCTTCAATACCTTAACACAGAACAAAACCCAAATTTTAACTAAACGGGCTTCTGGTCAACTTTTTACGCTTCATTGTCCCATCATATGATATATTGGCTGCGTAAATCACACATTATACGCGTGTAACAAATGGATTGTGACCAAAAGCTTTGTGCTTGAATATCAGATTATGACAAACCATTCAGCATCTCAGACTCATACTTGACATTAGCTCAATCGATGTATGTTACCTAAAGCTACGCTGCAGACCAAGTACCATATATTCAAAATCATTTTGTATATCATTGGAGTTGATACTCGTTGCAACGGGCGCAACTTCATCTGGGTCTACAGGTATCGACTTACGGAGGTCTTTTGGAGTGTTTTGAGACCCTTCATGTAGCTATTTATTTATATTCTATATCAGTACAAATTATAGTGCTATTGAATTCCTCCGTCAAGGTCTATCGATCTCCCTCTCAAAAAAGCAATCAAAACCTGTTGTACTGATAGGGCGGTTGAATCTGGAGGTACACAAAGCTTTGGGCAAATGCGTTCTTCAAGGTGTAGCGGTGAGAACAGCGGTATAATGGCACACTTCTACTTGGAAAATGATGACCGAATCTCCAGCTGAAGTTCCTTATGAGCAAAAAGCTCTTAATAAGGCCTGCTTGGATATTTTTTCGGGCGCCATACCCGCATTTATACGAGTCATCCCTGATCACCACCACATTGGTGGCGCGCCCGGCCTGGATCCGCAAATAACACCCGACCTTTCCAGACTCGACTTTATCAATCCCTGGATCTCATACTATACCTGGATAAAGAGGGCTAAAAGAGCCCATCACTGTGCTAACCCTTATCTCGCCCTCCTGAAACAATAATTGAAATCTCCATATTATAAGGCACGTCATTGAATAATCACTTGCTCAGTTCCTTGGATATACAAAATCTGACCAAAGTGATCCTTCAGACCTCAAACCATCGATTTTGCCGACCTCTGCCCCGTTCCTCGCGCATTGGTCACCCTTGTATCCGGCTGCTGATCCTTTTCAAAGTTCACGCACTGAGATCCTGCACTGAGTTCCTTGATACATTGTGTTTTTTCCGGTTATGGGATTCCATGTACTCACAGGTGTAAGGAGTTGATTGACTTCAGAGCTATTAGCGAGGGTGTGGTATGTTACGGGTGCAGCCGAGTCTATCCCAAACTTGAAGCTGTATTGTAATTCAACTTAATAAACTACTTGTCATGGTAAAAATTCAATGAGCAGAATAAAGATTTGAACAAATCAACAGGGTAAGACTTGAAACAATCACGTCGCTGTATTTTTAGTATCTAACGCAGAAAACAGTCATGTTATAATGTAAGACCAGGTATTGGGATGCAGCATGCCAAGTTGTCAGTGCATGATCTTTTGCTTCCTAACAACCAAGGTATTTGAAGAACAGATCTGCCCCGGGAAGTAGGATCGTGATCCTTTTTGGTCAATTTAACTTCCACACCATACCAGGACTAACAAGCCATAATGAAGATAACCGGGCTTATTTGCCTCGTGAGCTTTTCACTCGTCGGATTGGTAACATGCCAGCGGATTAGATGTGGCGCCAATGGGACATACGACTATGTCGTAGTTGGTGGGGGTAATGCCGGGAGCGTTGTTGGCACTCGTTTAGCGGAAGCTGGATTTAGTGTGTTGATCCTGGAAGCTGGAGGAAACTACCAAACCTATTTACCCGCGTTGGAAGTCCCCATCAATCTGGGCCTCGCGGGTGGAACAGGGATCGAGGGAATTGATAAGAACGTTGACTGGGGCTTTGTGACGCAGCCTCAACCTGGCACAAATAATCGCGAACTTCACTATGCTCGGGGCAAGTGCTTAGGGGGATCGTAAGTCTCTTACATGTGTTGTGTTGCGAACGTTGGAACAGAAAATTAATGACAAGCCTCTTATACAGGACCGCATTGAATGGCCTAATCTATCAGAGGTGTGTTTGGGATAATATTTGAATGATTCTGAGCTAACATGAAAAGGGGAACCAAGGAGTCGTACAAAAGATGGGCCGATATGGTTCATGACTTCAGCTTCGAGTGGGACAATATACTTCATTACTTCGAGCGCAGCGTTCGTTTTACACCACCGAATCAATCCAAGCGCCTTCAAAATGCGACCACCTCGTTCAATGATCAAGTGTTTGCGAAAGACTCTAGTCCGTCATTGATCGATGTGTCATATCTTAACTTCGTGGCACCATTCTCCACTTGGTTTATCAAGGCCATGCAAGCAGCAGGGATTAAAGAGATCCAAGACTTTAATAGTGGTCAGCTTTTGGGGACTCAATATTTGAGCTCAACCGTTTCTCCCAGTACTGAGCAACGAAGTAGTGCCGACTTCATTCTTGCGGGCGCGCAAACCAGCACACTCAAAATCTGCGCCCATACTATGGCCCAACAAGTGTTGTTCGACGATGCCAAAAACGCAATTGGTGTGCAAGCTGAATACAAAAATCTCTCATTTACTGCAATTGCAAGAAAAGAGATTATTGTCTCTGCCGGTGCTTTTCAATCTCCGCAGCTATTGATGATATCTGGCATTGGGCCGAAAGACACCCTGGACTCTATGCTGATTCCCATTGTTGCCGAGTCTCCTGGAGTTGGGCAAAACCTGTGGGATCACATTTTCTTTAGCGTCTCGTACCCGGTCTCAGTAGACACATTCACTCGATATTTTACGGATCTCGAATACCAAACAAATCAGACTTTACAGTATCTGGCCACCCAAGCCGGCGCTCTCTCCGGAGGTCTCGACCTCATTGGTTGGGAAAAAGTACCCAGGAAGTATCGATCTGATTTTCCTCAATCAACACTTGATGATTTGGCACAGTTCCCAGCTGACTGGCCGGAGGTTGAGGTAAGTTACACGATTGGCTTGATGTTGGTTTAATTTTAATCCCACTTCATATCTGACTAGGCTCTATGTTAGTTGCTTTCGGGAAACTTTTTCATCAGTAATTACAGCAATGTGGCCTCCCAACAACCTAAGGATGGACGCCAATATGCATCAATCTTGGGAGCGCTGGTGGCTCCCACATCCCGCGGAAACATCAGCATACTCTCGTCTAGTATTTATGACCAGCCCAAGATCCATCCCAACTGGCTAGCCACTGAGACGGACCAACAAGTCGCAGTGGCAGCTTTCAAGCGGATCCGGGATATGTGGCAGAAAGATCCCCTTCGGGAAATCGTTGCGGGAAATGAAGCCTATCCTGGAGCAGAAGTAGTTTCTGACGAGCAGATTCTCAATGCAATTCGAGAGTCAGTTGTTCCGGTCTGGCATGCGTCGGGCACTTGTAAGATGGGCTCACATGATGACGCCCTGGCTGTTCTGGATAGCCAGAGTCGCGTTCGTGGTGTCAATCGGCTTAGGGTTGTGGATGCTAGTGCATTCCCATTGTTGCCACCCGGGCATCCTCAGAGCACTGTTTGTGAGTCAAATGACTATGAATCAAAAAGCTTTAGCACTAACTCTTGCAGATATGCTGGCAGAGAAAATTGCGGACAATATTCTAGCAGGCATATAATCCAGCGGTGTAATTGAAAGAAGAGTGTGAAGGGCGATGAGAGAACTACACTGCTTCTATTGTTTTTAGTGTTGAAGATGTGATGTCGAGGAAAAATAGAACCCGGATTTGCTGCTTAGGAGCTTTCATTGACTGATATTTGAACATTGAAGAATTCCGAAAAAAAGTTTGGTTAGCCCCTTGCAGATTATCAGGCGCAAACACTCATTTGTCTTCCGATAGAAAATTGCCCCAAACACAAAACCCACTATTGCTACTCCTGCGTACGATTACTGGGGTATCGCTATGGATTTGAGGTACACATTAGCACCAGCTCGCAGACGGTCAAATGGTCGGACAGCTATAGGCTGTAATATTTCCACTCTGTTCATAATTTACTACCTAGGTATAGGTGCTTTCGAATGCCCCCCATCCCGAAAGGCGGTGGGGGCACTGGAAGGCAATTATATATATATGTCAATCCTCTAATCGATTACCTATCCTACAAAACTTGCAACGTATATTAAGAAGTAAAGGATCGTAATAACTAGTAAGGTCCTGAACTAAGTAAGTATAAATACTTTTACTATCTTTCGATGTCGGGTAGATCATTGTGAAAACATTGGAAATGCTCTCGGTAGTTTGATGAGTGCCGCCAGGCTAACCCCGCAGTATTGTGCACGACCCTGGACTCAAACCGACCTCAACAATTATCCGATATCGGTGTTCAACGTCAACTTCGCCGATTCCCGATCTTACCATCAGACACATTCAATACATACAAGAAGAAACCATGGAATCACTTCCATTCAATCCTCTACAGCCTATCGGCGAAAATATCCATTTCTTCCACCCTCTAGAACCACATGTAACGAGCAGTCCCGCTCTCATCGTACTCTGTACTTGGCTCGGCGGCGCAACGCCTCAACGCATCCAGAAATACATAGCTGGCTATCGGACTCTGTACGCCAATTCCGCAGTCCTTCTGATCACTACGCGCATACTGGAAATCAGCGCACTCCCCTTCAGTGTTCTCCACACGCGTTTGGCCCCCGCCCGCGATGTGATTCAGCGATTTATCGGCTCTGCCACCGGGGAAGAACGCGCTGACTCTATTCTGTTACATATTTTCTCACATGGCGGGTGCAATACTGCCATCCAGCTGGCTCTCTCATTACGGACCGATCCCACTCATCCGGTTTTAGAATTTGGGAAGTATCTCGGTGGTATTATCTTTGATTGCTGCCCTGGCGATACATCCTTTGGGCGCGCATACCAGGCGGCTGCACATTCTTTGCCTCGTTCTCTGCCGGCTCAAACAGTTGGAAAGGTTTTACTCTACCCTGTCATCGGCATTATCAATGGTCTCCAGCAGACGGGGTGGATGGGTTCTGTTCGAGACCTGCGCGCACAACTAAATGACCCTAGCGTTTTTGGGACGACAGCTGCGCGATTATACTTGTACTCTATGGCGGATCAAATGGTTGGATGGGAGGATGTGGTGTCCCATCAGAAAGAAGCTAAATCTGAGCTGGGATGTACGGTTCAAGGGGTTGCTTTTCCGAACGGGCCACACTGCGGCTTGGTGAGAGATCATCATGATCAATACTGGGATGAGATTCAAAAGTTCTGGAAGGAAAGGGGGACCGCGACACTTCCTGGGCTAATAGACTCTGCGTCAGGCGATAAGCCCCGGAGTCGGCTCTGATAAAATTGATCCATCGTGAGGCGACCCAGAATATGCAAGCACACAATAGCACCATTCACATCAAATTTCATTCATTGAGATTTCTGAAAGCTGTTCAAATTATTAATATCATAATGTATTATAGAATCAGGAACCCTGATACGTGCTCGTTCTAGCTACGACTAGAAAAATGAATCTGCTTCGGGGAGGAAGTTTATTCTACAATAATGAAATACACTTCAAGCGTTTCCGATACTGAATTTAACCAGTACTTGCGTGTTGTATCCAGTAGGAAAAATCGAATATCACTGTACTGCGAGATATGGAGAACAGTAGATGTGTCTATCAATTGTGATCTGCTTTTATACTAGGGTTATTTTCTCGCACCTCGTGCATAAAACCTTGCTCCGTTTCATGATTCTGGTTCATGTCAAACTCTTTGATGAAAATGCTCAGGATCAGATTGAGGCCTGCAAAGCCACACATCACCATCCATATCACCTGGAATGATTCTACCAGAGCCTGCCGGATCATGATCGCCTCGGAAGAGTCAGCCGGTAGCTTTTTCAATATTTCTACCAGTGTAACGGCATTCAACGATTGCGCCTGCGATTCATTCGCAGCTCCCTTCGCCACCGCATCAGACATGTGCTTTTGGAGCTGGTTGTCGAGAATCACACCTCCGATAGCGACACCAATCGCCTGTCCCATGGACCTGAAAAACAAGACTAATGTCGCCGCCATGCTGACTTGGCGCTGTGGCACAGAGGATTGGATCGCGAGAGCGATGGATGGAAAGAGCAGCCCAATTCCTAGACCGGAGACAGCCTCCAGGAAAATCCACTGCACAACGGTGGTGTTGGAATCGAGCAAAATGAGCAGGCCCACACCGAAGCAGGTCAGGAGCCAGCCTAGCCAGACGGCCCAGCGGTACCGACCTGTGAAGCCGACTACTACTCCTACCATTATGGCACAGGGCACGACAGTCACTGTCTGCGGGAGTGCAGCCACACCAGCAATCACAGGGCTGTATCCCTTGACAGACTGGAAGTATTCAGGCATATAGTAGACCAAACTGTACAGGATGAGGCCGTGGAATGTGCTGCCCGCGTAAAGAATACCCACTGTCCAGTTGGGCAGGACTTCAGGTGGGATAAGAAGAGGCCTTTTGGTGACCGCAGCTGATCGTGCAATCCAGAACTCGTAAATAACAAAGGCGATGAGCCCGGCAGCACCGAGGATCAGTGGCACAATAGTATGCCAGCTGGACCAAGCATACTGAACACCACCCCAAGTGACAGGAATCAAAAAGGCGGTGATAGAAGCAATAAACAAGAATGACCCAGTATAGTCAAACAAGCGTAGCTTTTCCGAGAACGAACGAGAGCGACGGCTCAGCCGTAAGAAAAGCCCAATCCCAACAACCCCAACAGCGATAATTGGCAGGTTAATCCAAAAGATCCAGCGCCACGACCCTGATTGCGCCAGCGCACCTCCGATTATTGGTCCTGTGGCACTCCCCAATGCCCAGATCACACTGACAAGTGCATAGAAGCGAGCTCGATCGCGTAGTGGTACCAAATCGGTGATCAAAACAGTCGTCAAGGCAATGAGACCTCCACCACCGAGGCCTTGGATTGTGCGACCAGCAAGCATGGTGGGCCAATTATGTGACACGGCGCAGACGATAGCTCCGACGGCGAACACGAGCAGCGCGGTGAGCATGATTGGGCGCCGACCGAATGCATCGCTGAGTGTTACCCATATCAGCATCAAGATAGTACAGGCGAGCAGGTAGGACGTTCCGGCCCAGAAGGCTTCGGTCGTTGACCCGCCCAAATCGGCGGCGATGATCTAAGTTGAGATATCTCGTTAGCTTCGATTAATCACGGTATAGATCTATCTATATCGGGGGAGGTAATCGATACTGGGAGGGCGACGGATAATGTCGTTGAATCGAAAGAGGCAGCGAGGTTTGTAAATGCGATTGCCCAGAATGCGAGCCAAAATTTAATACCGAGACTCTTTCTTTCGGTTTCTGGTGGTTGTGTGTTGATGATGTTTTGCCCTCCTTCAGTTGAGGGCTCAACCCGTGTAGGGTGGACTCCATCTCGGGCACTGGACATCGCGCGTTCACACAGGTTGAAGGGAGTGCCACCAGTAGAGATTAAAAAGCTTAAAATAAAACAAGTAAGCCAAGTGATGTGATAACAAAACAAGAGCAAAGATGAATTGAGACAACGGCGTCCTTGTTACAGGATTCGGTAGTCGGATCTCCGAGTGCCGAATACTATCTTTGTTTGCTCAACGTCTGGGGTGTGGCGGCAAACGTCGATATTTACCGCGTGCCTATATTTGCTGCTGATTGATTTCCATCAACTAACAACCTACTATAGCTTGTGAAATGGCTTATACTTTAACGTCGATAGTTCTGGGGGTTGTGGTATTTGGCCTCACACGAATTATTTGGGGGTCCATATCCTGGAATTTGCGGTATCGGAGATTCCACAGCAGTGATGGATGCCAACGGCTTCGTTCAGCACCGTCAAAAGATCCCATATTGGGTTTGGATCACTTCTTCCGTCTGGGCAAAGCAGCCCACAACAGCAGATATCTCGAAGCATTTCAAGAATGGTTTCAAGCAGTCGGATCCACCTTTGGCGTCAATCTGATGGGTGACTATGTGATCTTCACCAACGAACCAAAAAATGTGCAGGCTGTGTTGGTCACAAAATTCAAAGATTTTGAGATCGGCCAGCGGCGTCGCGACAACTCTGCTGAGCTGTTGGGAATTGGCGTCTTTAATGCGGACGGCCAGACATGGGAGCATGGTCGAGCCTTGGTACGGCCGAACTTTACGCGGAAACAGGTCGCCGACTTGGGTCTCTTCGAAAAGCATGTCCAGCGTCTCTTTGAGGCGCTTCCGAAAGATGGGACCGCGGTGGATATTCAAGAATGGGTATTTCGATTTGTGTGTCCATTGGCCTTTCCTCGTATACATCATCCCCACTCAGCTAACTCAATTTGCTCTTGTCTAGACTTTGGACACCGGAACAGACGTTTTGTTCAGTGAGTCGAGCGATGTGCTCTTGCCCAGCGCCACCGAGGTAGCTCGCAAGTTTGCATGGGCATTTAACCGTGGCATTGACGGGATTGCACAACGCATTCGATTGGGCCGGTTCGCCCGATTCTACTATGATCCGCAGTATACAGCTGCCTGCAAATTTGTCCACGACTATGTTGATGAGATTGTTGCCAAGGCAGTTTATCGTGCTAAAGAGTGGCATGCGGAAAAGAAAGACAAACCAGTACCACCAGATGACGCAGAGGAGGAACGGTATACCTTTTTAAATGCCCTTGCTCGAGAAGGAGTGGAGCCCAAGCAGATTCGGGACCAGATATTAAATATCTGTAAGTGCCATAATCGCTTCCTAGCAATTCGTGTAGAGCCGGCTGACAACTCGCCCTCAATTCTCAGTGGTTGCTGCCCGCGATACATCCGCCTGCCTCATGAGTGCGGCGGTATTTGAGCTTGCCCGCAGACCCGAGTACCAAGTACAACTTCGACGGGAAATCGCCGAGAAATTAAGTGGACGCCAACCCACATTCGAAGATCTTAAAGATCTCACCTTCCTGAATCATTTTGTCAAAGAAACTCTACGCATGTACCCCCCAGTGCCGCTCAACGCACGGGTAGCGAAGAATGACACAGTTCTACCCCGTGGGGGTGGCTCGGATGGCATGGCCCCAATTTTTGTGCCCCGAGGGCAGCTCGTCGTGTATCAGGTTTATTCCATGCACAGGCGAGAAGATCTGTGGGGTTCGGATGCGCACATATTCCGCCCTCAGCGATGGGAAACGACACGGCCTACTTTTGAGTATCTGCCATTCAATGCAGGACCGCGCATTTGCCCTGGTACGTTATGGTCATGTCTAACCTACTTTTTACAAAATTATTGTGTCATCTTCATGGTTCAAATACACAGCTAATAATTCTGTGATTCTGTTCTAGGCCAGCAATTCGCCTTGGTAGAGACAAGCTACGTCTTGGTCCGTTTGCTCCAGGAATATTCGAACATTGAGGCCCGTGGCAACAGTGCACCGTGGAGGGAGCATCTGACCCTTACTTGCTCGGTTGGTCAAGGTGTGTGGGTGAGTCTGGTCAAATGAAGATCTTTGATGGTGAAATTTGTTGCAAAGAGCGTACGTAAGCTCGCAGTTTTCTTTTTGTTTTCTAGATAACATACTATACTCCATAGGCCTGGAAATATTTCAGTTTTTCCATCATCGTCATCATCATTAGAAGCAGCATTTAATGCCTAAAGGTGCTCGTTGGTAGCCTCAATAGAATTGGTACTTCACCCCAAAAATCTCCCATGGTGTAGCTTTCATCCGCTGGCTTCCCTGACCATTCGCCAGACAGGGGTGACTGGATCTAGAGCCAATTCATTGAAGCTCTTGTTGAAGCAGCGACCACTACGTGAGCCGCTTCTGCGAGGGCGGTAATGCAGCAACCTCGCCGGACCTTCTCGCCAGCACAATTGAACAATCAACCCACCGCGTTGAAGCGAACTTTCTACAGACCGTGGGAAGAGTTGTGGACGACGATCTGCGCTGCGACCATTGCAAGGAAGGGCTCGGGCTATTCTGATTTTGTGTAGTCCTGGATACCTCAGGGCAAACCAAGGATTGCAGAAACTGCCTTAAAGACCAGATCAACTGCACTCTGTACGGGCCCCTCCTATCTCCGTTGGTAGCTCCATACCCTTTTGCGCTGGCCGGGATCGACACCCCTTACGCCGTTATATCTCCAGGCTTATGGGCTATCATTTGCAACAGTTTCTACGCGTGAGGAGCGTCGCTGGTGGACTATTCAACACCTTGTTTATACAGTCGAGCGACTTTATGCTAACGAGTACACCTTTTACTACCATAAAGTCGAAACGCCTAGCAAACTTCATCCACCACGATGTCGTAACGTGGGCAGACTACGTAATAGCGCTATTTTGTGAGGTACGCCACGAGGTGCGACCCGCCTTTCTGACGGTTCAGAACATCACCGGCAACTTAAATAGTTGGTCGGCTTTGTTTCAATAGGTTCGTGGTTAGGTCTTCGGGCAACGGGGGCATGTTGAGAGATGCCTTAACTAAGGTTTTGGCCCCCATCTCGGTGCTGATCTCACCATAACCACACAGGACGGATCACCGATTGACCGACGACCGACGTCCGATGGCCGATCGCCGTAGAGAGATGGATCCAGGCTTGCTTAGTATAGCCTGTGCCGAGAATGGAAATCTCACATTCATCGATTTCGAATTCCACAAACCACCCCTAAGCCGGATTCAACCATCCAGAGCTGCCAAGCAAAAGATATTCCAGATACCAATTACACTGTGACTCCTAGTCCACCATGATTGGCTTCTATTTGCATCTCATCACCGAGACTCCCGCCATCTTCAGCTTCCTCTTCTCGCCCTCCATGACTCTGGCACAACCCCAGCCCTACGCTTCCCCGGTCATCAGGCAATATGGGGTTTTGCTAGCAGTGACCAGCCTTATTCTGATTAGCGTCATGATTGATATTGAACACCGCGCCAAAATGACCAACGACGATCCCTATGCTCAAATTTTGAGACAGCGGATGGCGGGAGCGCTCGCGGTCTATCATCTTGCACCTACCTTTAGAGCCATTGGACGGTTGGGTGTTCATTTCCGATCTCCATTTTGGGTTGGTTTGGAACCGAGTTCAAAGGAGGTTCGCGGAAGGACTGTGGAAAAAGGATTATCCAAAGCTATACTTTCGTCTCCCTTGGTGCATTTGATGTTGCATGGAGTGTGTTGTGCGCTGCTGGTTGACATGGCCCTCGGAAGAAGCTCTTTGTATTAAAGGAAGTCAAATCGCAAAGTGCTGCTGTGGTTTACTCTGGAAACTCCAAGGATTATTGATAGACTAAAGAAGCAGCTTACAGGAGTGAATTGAGCACACAAATATCCTATATTGCCAAACATGGGAGTACCCATCACGGAAACCTTTCCAACAATCTTAGTCCTCATCCACCTCGCATCTCCTCAACATAGCCATTTCAATTGCTAGTCCAGGACCAAATGATGTCGCGACAACATACTCCCTCTTTCCCAACGACCGAAGCCGATCAAGAACAATCAGGACCGTCGCACTCGATGAATTACCCCGAGTACGGTATATTTCCCGACTTGCCTGCAGCTGATCTTCGGTCAATCCCAGAACCTGTTTTGCGCCCTCTATAATAGCTTCTCCGCCAGGGTGGAGGGCCCAGTCAAAATCACTGACGCCTAGCGACTTTGCTACTTCCCCTACTCCCTCTCCGGAGCTAGATTGAATCTGGCTCTGATAAGAGGGAAGAAGTTTCTCGAACATTGGACCGATCGCGTGCTTAGTGTATTGCGGAACATCACGAGTGAGAACAGTCCGGTAACCTACGCAGGAGCGAATGGTTAGTGCATATCCCGATCTCAGCAAAGAATCAACGAACCATCAACATCTGCAAAAAAGGCCATATGCTCAACCGTATCCGGGATCAAGGAATTGCCCCACTCGAGAAGTTGAAACAGAGGTGTGATCTCCGTTTCAGCCATGGCATACTCGTTACAAAGAACGAATGCAGCGGCAGCATCTGAGAATAAAGCCCCTGCAATGCTAATGTTTTCCGCATTGGGAGCCTTCTCCGCAAATGCCAGATCATGGCGGACATTGGGAGTACACAGCTCACATGCGAAGGCGAGGATGCGGACCGGCTTCCGTCGCATACTAGCACCGCAGGCTATCTGTGCTGCAGCTCGCATAATAGCTAGTCCACCTGCACAACCAACACCATGGAGAAGCATACGATCAACATTGGCTGATAAACCAAGTTTACGATTCACAAGTAGGTCGAATCCCGGGTTACCTTGATTGGTGCAAGTGACCCCGATAGTGTGGGTGACATGTTGAGGACTAATCTGAGACTCCCGCAGAGCTTTCTTACAAGCTTGAGTGGTGAGGTCGACTCCGGCTTGATGATAGAATTCAGCAAGCTCACTGATCGTTGGCGCCTCGGGCCGAGTTGCAAATCCGCTTTCGTAGGACCGAATAGCAGATCTTGTCTCGATGCCAGAGGAGCGGTTGATTTGCAAGAGCTTTTTGAGTCTACATAAACTGAATTAGGAGATTCATGCTGTGAAGACAGTTAAAGAAGCGATATCGCATACCCTGGACTCTCTACATCGTAGAAGCGTGCCGCGAATTCCTCGAGCTTTTCTGGTCCCAAAAGATATGGCGGGTATTGGGACCCCAGTCCAGTGATGTACAGGCCTGGCGGTGGTGAGTGGTTGAGCACCATAGTATTCTGTATAAATTAAGCTCGTGATGAACACTGCAGCGCAAAACGTAGATGAAAGCAAGAGAAAAGAAGAAAAAAAAACCTGGGGGCTGGGCTTTTTTGCAGTCGCTGGAAGACCGGCTGTCCGAATGGTATTCGGATTACCGAACGTCGGCCCCGTCAGCACGACGGCCTTTCCAAGATCAAGCTGAAGGGCCATGGGGGCCATTTTTGTTGTATATATAAACTCGGATTCTTTAAGAACTGATGAATCAATTTACTTCTTCTCTCTTTTTCTATCTCAACCCAAAAGTCTTGTGGCTGCCTAGCAGCTCTTCATTCGCAAATACTTTCACCTAGATCAAGGACGCCGTTGTGTTTGCAACCCTTCGATTTTATAGAAAACATTTCAGCAATATGCTTGCACAAGATGTCGAATTCGTGGACCTTCCTCCACCCGAAGCCACTGCTGGGGCCGCTACAACGGACAATGAAACATCTTCCTTCAATTCAAATCCCGTGCCAACCCCCAGCGAGGCGAGCTCGATAGGTCCTCCCCATCAACTCCCTGTTCCCGTTCCCGACGGTGATCAACCGCCATTGGTGGAGCCTATGGCCATTTGCGGCATGGCAATGCGTCTTCCGGGAGGCATCCGCGATGCGGAAGGCTTCTGGGATCTATTATACAACAAGCGGAGTGGGAGATGTCGCGTCCCGAAAGACCGTTATAACGTCGAGAACTGGTTTGGACCGGGAAAGATTGGGCACGTCGCCAGTGAGTACGGCTACTTCTTGGATGATGTAGACCTGCGAAATGCGGATGCTTCTTTTTGGTCGATGACCAAACAAGAGATTGAGGCGATGGACCCTCAGCAGCGACTTTCCCTGGAGGTCACGTATGAGTGTCTTCAAAACGCTGGACAGCGGCCTGAAGAACTTCGCGGCCGCAAAATCGGTGTTTATCTCGGCACCTTTGAGGGAGACTGGCTGGAACTCGATGGGAGAGATCCTCAGCACTATCATATGTACCGTCTCACCGGATATGGAGATTATATGTCTGCCAATCGCATTCACTACGAGTTCGGATTTATGGGTCCCAGGTAACTTCATAACTATGTTGATACCGAAGAACACTATTGATCGTTGGAAATTGCAGTGTAACAATTCGAACCGCCTGCTCCTCTTCTCTCACCGGTCTGTATGATGCCTGTCATGCTATCTCCGCTGGGGACTGCGACTCCGCCATCGTGGCATGTGCAAATATTATCTACTCTCCCCGAACCTCTATTACCATGCAAGAACAGGGTGTCATATCGCCGAGCGGATTCTGCAAGACTTTTGATGCAAATGCCGACGGATATGCACGTGGTGAGGCAGTTTCGGCTGTGTACGTGAAAAAGCTCAGCGATGCTATTCGTGATGGAGATCCCATTCGCTCTGTTATCCGATCAACATGCATCAACGCCGGCGGCAAAGCGTCAACTCTTACAGCCCCAAATACTGCTGCACACGAGACATTGATCCGTCGTGGTCACGAGTTGGCCGGTGTCACGGATTTCTCCAAGACCGCTATGATAGAATGCCATGGTACAGGAACAGCGGTGGGTCTATTACCATTATCAATTGCGATGTCTTGCTTTTTGGTGATCATACTAAATCTTATCTAGGTCGGCGATCCCATCGAGACAGCGGCTGTAGCTAATGTGTTTGGAGAGCACGGCATTTATATTGGATCGGTGAGCGACGGGCAGATATCTTCGACTCAATCGAAAGATTCTAATACCCCTTCAGGTCAAAACCAATCTGGGACATAGCGAAGGTGCATCAGGCTTGTCTAGTATCATTAAAATGACCCTGGCGCTTGAACACAAAATAATTCCGCCCAACATCAACTTCACGACTCCCAACCCCAAGAGTGCGTATCGCAACCCGAACTTTTGCTGGTAATTTGTGAACTAACGACTTAATCCTAGTTCCATTTGAACGATGCAAGCTGAAAGTACCCACAGAGCCACTTCCCTGGCCCAAAGACCGCGCTGAGCTGGTAGGAGTCAACTCCTTCGGTATAGGTGGGTCAAACGCCCATGTGAGTATATACCATAGAGTACAGAACTACTCTGCAAGTGACTATGTGACTGACATAGACTTAAGGTTCTGTTGGGATCCGCTGCCTCCTTTGGAATAGGGTCAGTACAGCAGAAGATTATTGCTAGTGAACAATCTGCAGAGGTTGCAATGACCGAGCTGACACCACGCTTGTTGCTATTTTCCGCTAAGCATCAACAATCGTTGGAGCGAATGGTCGCTAACCACCAAGCGTATTTCCTGTCCCACCCCGAGTCTCTTGATGATATGGCCTATTCTCTTGCCCTCAAGCGAGAAGAGCTTTCCCATCGCAGCTTCTGTGTCACAAATGGCGAAGATGACTGGGTCCCTTCGAGGACTCACCGCACCAGTGGTAGAGCACCTCCCATGTTGATATTCACCTTCACCGGTCAGGGTGCCCAGTGGGCACAGATGGGTAAAGCACTTATCGACCAAGTGCCTCGTTTCCGACGCAGTATCGAGAAGCTGGATCAAGTACTTCAAGCTCTTCCAACTCCTCCTCGATGGAAACTGATAGGTAAGTCAATCAGCGTTCTGGTTCCTCATCAATTGGACTCTTCTATAATTGGAGTCTTTGTTTCTCACGCAACGCATAGATGAAATTCGAGCTTCGAAGAAGAAAAGTCGTCTTTCCGAGGCAGAGCTTTCACAGCCCTGCTGTACAGCAATTCAAATCGCTCTGGTCGATATTTTGGAACATTACGGAATCCACCCAGACGCCGTAATAGGCCACTCCAGTGGTGAGATTGGTGCCGCTTATGCCTCTCACGCCATCAGTGGAGCAGATGCAATTCAAATCGCATTTTATCGAGGCTTAGTGATGTGCAGTTTGAATCCAGCGGAGCGTCCTGGGGGCATGGCAGCCGTTGGTCTTGGGGCTGAAGAGCTCACACCTTACTTGCGACCAGGAGTTCGCGTGGGATGTGAAAATAGTCCCAACAGTACAACTCTAACAGGCGATAAAGTATCATTAGAGGAGACCATGAAAGCCATCAAGGAGGCCAACCCCGACGTCTTTGTCAGAGCACTCCAGGTGGACCGAGCCTATCACTCGCGTATGTCATGTGATTGTAATGGATGGACTGAAAATGCTAATAGCGTTGTTTGTAGACCATATGGAGACCGTGGCTCCTGAATATGTCGAACTTCTCACCAACCAGAGGGTCCAAGCCATGGATCCCTCAGTCAAATTCTTTTCCAGCGTTACTGGCCGTCAAGTGGATCAAAGCAAAGAGCTCGGCCCCTTGTATTGGGCCAAAAACCTTGTCTCTCCAGTCCGCTTCTCGACGGCCATGGAGGAATTGGTGCAGTCTCTGATTGGACCTAAGGTCTTCCTGGAAATTGGACCTCATTCTGCGCTGGCTGGGCCTATTCGGCAGATCCTCCAGCATCATAAATCAACCGATGAGTATTTCAACACATTGACTCGGGGCAGTGACTCCCACAAGGATCTGCTGAAGGCAGTTGGTGAAATGTGGCTGCAGAATATCCCAGTGAATCTGACTGCAGTCTTGGGTGAAGGTCGCTTCCTGCCAGACTTGCCTCTCTACCCTTGGCACTATGAGGAGCCTCTCTGGTGCGAAAGTCGTCTCTCCAAGGAATGGCGCTTAAGGGAATTCCCTCATCATGACATCCTCGGATCAAGGGTCCTCGAAAGCACCGATCAGAATCCTAGCTGGCGTAATATTCTCCGTCTCGATGTGGTGCCATGGATCAAGGAACACGAAGTAGCCGGTGAAATTGTCTTCCCGGGTGTTGGTTACATATGCATGGCTGGAGAAGCCATTCGTCAACTTACTGGAGAGACTGGGTTCACAGCCCGCCGCGTTCACATCAAGGCTGCGCTGGTCATGCATCAGGGTCAAGACGTGGAAGTGATCACTCAATTGCAGAGAATTCCACTTACCAATGCGGCCGACTCAAAGTGGTACAACTTCACTGTTCATTCCTATAATAAGGGAATCTGGGTTAAGCACATCTTTGGCCAAGTGTGCGCAGGGTCAGATCGAGAGCACCAAGCTCCTTCATTGGAGTCTTTGCCACGACAGTTGTCGCGGCGTGGGTGGTATCGTAAGATGAAAGAAATGGGACTGGAATATGGGTCGCGATTCATGGGCCTGACTGACATGACTGCTCATCCCATTGAGCGCAAGACCATCGCCACTGTGGTTAATGATATTCGTGAGGGAGAGTCCAAATATGCGGTACACCCTGTCTCTCTGGACTGTTTGCTTCAAGCCATTGTTCCTGCAACCTTCAATGGACTGACAAGACGATTCCAACATCTCGGAATCCCTACCTACATGGAAGAGATCTATGTATGCCCTCCGCTACAGCCAGAGATGATTATTGAAGCTTGTGCCGACGAGCAACCCACAGCTGCTCTCTCGGGAAGTATCATCGCAGTCTCAAATGGACATGTTACAATTGACATCAGGGGCCTGCAGATGTCTGCAATTGGTGATGCAGCCGATGCCTCTGGGCAAGATCCACATGCCGCGGTTGAATTGGAGTGGCGTGAAGATATCAATCTCATCAGTGATGCTGCCAAACTGATCCACCCAGCGAAGGACCGAACCGATCTACACCACTTGCTGGATAGGTTTGCCTCGGCCTCCATGATGGATACATCTACCCGCCTTCGAGGGGTTGAGCCAATCCGATCGCATTTGACTCATTACCAGAAGTGGATTGAATCGACCGCAGATCTAATAAAGCTCGGCAAATACCCTGGCCTTCAGCCTGAGGATGAGATTGTCGAAGTCTCGGACGCGGAGCGGGTAAACATCATCGAGAGTCTGTATCTTTCTCTCTTGGAAACAGATGCGGCTGCGACCGCGACAGCCATCTATCGAATCTGGAAAGAGTGTCAGGGCATCTTCACAGGTGAAACCGATGAACTTGAGCTCCTTCTAGAGGGTGAGGTTCTCCATTCGTTGTATGACTTCATGCAAAACTCAGAGTACCGGGTGTTCCTCGAGCTTCTCGCACACCGGAAGCCAAACCTCCGGGTTTTGGAGATCGGTGCCGGCACAGGAGGCACTACTGCGACGGTACTTCCTGCCTTGAAATCTCTTTATGGAGAGCGAATGTACCATTCATACACGTATACCGATATTAGTGCCGGATTTTTCCCACAGGCAAAGAAGCGATTTGAGAATTACCCTGGATTAGAATTTGCGACGTTGGATATTTCGCAGGATCCGCTTTCACAGGGCTTCGAGGCAGAGTCCTTTGATTTGATTATTGCCTGCAATGTGAGCTCATCAAATCAACATGTCTGAGATATTCTGCTAACAGAAAACTAAAGGTGCTCCATGCGACTTCAACTCTTCAGGACACGCTTACGAATGTCCGCAGGTTGCTCCATCCTCAGGGTCGGCTCTTCCTTCAAGAATTATCGCCAGGTAAGTGCAATATGTTTTTCTCCCATTCATGGATATGAACGAAATTAATATCTAATTTGTTCCACTAGCCACAAAATGGATCAACTATGTCATGGGTGTTCTTCCAGGATGGTGGTTGGGGGAGCAAGACGGCCGATACCCAGAGCCTTATATCGGCATCGACCAGTGGGACGCCCTGCTTAGCCAGAGCGGCTTCTCGGGCATTAATTTGGTGAGCCACGATGGATACCTGAACAACAACATCGTTGCCAGGCCGGCGGCAGACACACAAAGACAAAAGCGAATCACCCTACTTCACTCGTGTGAAGACAGCGCTTCTGTCACAACTTCAATAAGCCAACTTCTCTCCTCAGCTGGATTTGGAATCGATCTCTATGCAATTGAGAATGCGAACATACCAACCCCCACGCAGCAGGATATCGTGTCCATTTTGGATCTTGACAGGCCATTCTTCCATGACCTCCACGAATCCTTGTTTGAGAACCTGAAGGGTCTGCTTTCACAGCTGCGAGATACGGACAGCGGAATTCTTTGGGTTACCAGAGCAAGCCAGGTAGGCTGCAAGGATCCTAGGTATGCGATGGTCAACGGAGTTGCTCGTGTTATTCGCACCGAGCTGAACATAGACTTTGCGACACTGGAGCTGGAGGATTTTGAGCAGGAAACCCTGGCTCTTATACCGCAGGTGCTGGGAGAGTTCCAGCAACGTATCTCTGAGCCGAACATCAACACGACTACAGAGTGGGCCGTTGTGGGACAAAAGCCACTGATCAGCAGATACCACTACATTCAAGTTGCCGAGGAGCTGAAGAACAACGCGGTCGCTGATAGCTCCACTGTCAAGAAGTTGGAACAGAGCAGGCCCGGTCTTGTTGATACCTTGTGCTGGAAGAGCATGCCGATTTCACATGCGTTGGATGAAAATGACGTTCTGGTTCAAGTCAAATGTGTTGGGATGAACTTCAAGGTATGCACAGATAGAGACGTTTCGGTGGTTGAGGGACGCTGGCTAACGCTTTACACTTAGGATGTTCTGATCAGCACCGGAGTGATCACAGAGAAATCCTCGATTGGCCGGGGACTAGGATACGAAGGAAGTGGTCTAGTGCTCCAAGTGGGGTCGGCCGTGCACAAGCTTTCAGTGGGAGATCGAGTTATTATGAGCTCAAGTGGATCTCTCACCACCACACAGCAGCTTGACCAACGCCTATGTGTTAAAATGCCGGACTCCATGACATACGAAGAGGGTGCTACTATGTCCGCGGTCTATTGCACCGCGATTCACTGCCTCCTAGATGTTGGTGGATTGCGCAAGGGACAGTCCGTCTTGATTCATTCCGCCAGTGGAGGTGTCGGTATTGCAGCCATGTACATTGCGCAGATGGTAGGCGCGGAGGTAAGTCTTTATCGGAACCTGTCGAGTGAGCATTAGATCGATTTAGCTGACGGAACATCTCTTAGGTATATGCTACAGTCGGGAGTGAGGAGAAAACTCAATCACTCATGTCCACTTTCAATATTCCGCGCAATCGTATATTCAACTCTCGCACCAGTGAGTTCCTTCCGCGCATAATGGAAGAGACGAATGGTATGGGAGTGGACGTGGTGCTCAACTCACTTTCGGGTGAGCTTTTGCACGCTTCTTGGAAATGCACAGCAGAATTCGGTACTTTCGTCGAGATTGGACGACGTGATTTCGTCGGCCAGGGCTTGCTTGACATGCAACCATTCGAGCCTAACAGAAGCTTTGTCGGGTTTGATCTTCTTCTTTTCTCCAACAAGCGACCGAAAAGGATTGAAAGGTATGTTAGATGATTCATTTCTGCTTCGTTGAAACAATGGGAGACTAAATCATTTCTTATAGTATCATGACTCGTGCGATGGACTATTACCGAGCCGGTTTCATTCAACCCATTAAGCCCATGACAATGTTTGATGCTGTTTCCATTGTTGATGCCATTCGCTACATGCAGCGCGGGCAGCACATAGGCAAGATTGTCATCACAATGCCAGAAAACAGTACCGAGTTGTCAGCTGAACCACCCCGGCAAGAACTGGCTCTGCGTCAAGATCGAGCCTACCTATTTGTCGGTGGACTGGGTGGCTTGGGTCGTTCGATCGCAACCTGGCTTGTCGAGCATGGAGCCCGCCATCTCGTGTTCTTGTCACGATCGGCGGGTAATGTTCCTGATGACGATCCATTTGTTCAAGAGCTAGCAGTCCTCGGATGCACCACTACCAGGATATCCGGTGATGTGTCTAAGCTTGATGATGTTCTTCTGGCTATCCGGGCATCTGGAAAGCCTGTTGGAGGTGTTCTACAATCTTCCATGGTACTTCGGGTAAGTCATACGCGTTCATAACCACATATCCCTCGTTTCATCCCCTTTAGCAACATGCTGACAAACTCCATCGCAGGACAACTCATTTGTGGATATGAATTGGGATGAGTGGCTGGGTGCAGTGCAGCCTAAGGTTCTAGGAACATGGAATCTGCACAACGCTCTCCTCAGCGAGCAGCCGGAAGAAGCCCTCGACTTCTTCTTCTTATTCAGCTCAGCCGGCGCAATGAGTGGCCAATGGGGACAAGCCAACTACAATGCTGGCAACACATTCCTGGACGCTTTTGTAGCCTATCGCCATTCTCTGGGGCTTCCTGCTTCCACAGTCAATATTGGCGTGATCCAAGACATCGGATACGTTAGCCAGAACCCAGAGATCCTGGACTCACTACGTTCAACAGCGCAGTACCTCATGCGTGAGCCTGAGCTGCTTGAGTCAATCGAGCTCATGCTCCACAGGTCTTCGCCCGCTGAATCAGTTGTCGACCACGCTGTAGGCCGGTATGTTACGCGGTCGCAGATCGGCATCGGCATGCGGTCCACGGTCCCCATGGACGCCCCGAGCAATCGAACCATTTGGAGAAAAGATCCCCGTATGCTGGTCTATAGGAACCTTGAAGTCCAATCCGGGCCAGTGTCGTCTTCTACCGGGTCCGATCAAGTTCTCACCCAGTTCCTCCGCGAGATCGGCTCCAATATGACGATGTTGAAAGCCCCCGAGACGGCTGAACTACTGGCCGGTGAGATTGGTCGTACTTTGTTTGGATTCTTGATGCGGGCGGATACTGAAGTGGTTGATCTTGATGCTCCACTTGCTAGTGTTGGAATTGACTCGCTCATCAGCATCGAGCTACGCAACTGGATTCGCCGAAAGATTGGTGTAGAAGTTACTGTGTTGGAGATTGTGCGGGCAGACAGTGTGAGGGATTTGGGTGTGCTTGCTCAAAAGAAATTGGCGGAAAAGTATGAAGCTCGTATGTAGATCTGCTGTCCCCTACAGATATCGACAGTACCACTACCAAATGGAAATGATCTACAATAATATATCCATTCGCTATTGCTGTAACTAAACCATGACTCCGACCTTTATGACGAAAAAAACCACATTAATTACCCTCAATTAAATTTCATATTGACCTAACGTTCTCATGCGAATGGCTTCAAGGACCATCGACTATATCTCTCGCGCTGTGCTTGTTGAGTTTTTGTCACAAACGTGAGAACTTTTGGTTGGCCCTCTTATTGATCTTTAGAGCTAATTATTTATACAGCTTCTTTCAATACTTTTATCACATTTAACGCCGTTGAGTTAATATCACGAATAGTTGTTTCCCAGATTTGCGCCACTTCACTCACACCACCCTGGGTTGACGACGGTCTTTCGCCCGGCTGCCCTAAAAAGCAACCAACAAGACTTTCTGGCGTTTTCCTCGGAGGTGCATCCACCTTCTTCTCCAAAAAAGCGTTTTTCATACTCATTTGGAGCTCATTCAAGGTATTTTCAGCCGAATTCAAGATCATTGCTAAGTCAAATCGGGGATTGGCGCATAGAGTCACATCGCCCATTTGGATACGTGGAAGTAATGACTGGATATATCGTACAGCACAATTCTGCGAGCTCTCGTTGTGGGAGCTTCTAATAATCCGGTGAAAGCACTCGAACACTGAGCAGAATGAGCCCAGCAGCCTTGTATAGCATGAGAAAAGAAGGAAAAGATTTGCCTTGTCTGCAAAATATACGACTGACTTGAGACCCAGTTCGTCACTTTTTCCAGTGACAAAAGAATTTTCGAACTGCATAAAGGTGTTTTCTGCTCTGTTTGCGTCGTCTGTTGGTTTTGAAACTTTGCCGATAAGTAGAAGCAGTTGCATTGACAGGTCAAATATCTTTTCAAACGGACAAGTAGGCTTGGCCCGAGGCTTTGTAAGCTCTGCGCTAGAATTGGACTGAATAGACGATGGTGATGATTCATAACCTGCAAAACCCGCCAGGCATGTTTCAACGAAATTCAATGTCGATCTTTCATGTTGACCCAATTTTGCATGGAGACAAAACAGCGCTTCAAGCCAATCACAGTTTCGGTCTTCCTCGGTGTTTCTCTGATAGGATCTGTCGTCACCACTGCCGTGGCTCGAATCTTGCTGATTGCTCCATTCTTCGACCATTTCCATGGGCAATGATCCCGTATTCAGCACGGTGCTTTGATTATCCACGGAGTTCATCCCTGATAATGATGATGATGCGATCACTGAATCCCAGTGAAGCTCTCCAGGTGAGCAAAGCCCACTCTCTGCTGTCGGTAAAGAAATATGATGATCGCCATCCAAATTCTCCCATGAGGGCATACACTCAAAACCACTGAAATCGTGGCTGTGCGCTAAAATGTTCTATCAGTATGTACCAATTTTTTATTCTATATTTAAACTTACCATGAGTGGATAATTCCGAGGCTAATTCCGAGGCTGATGCCTTTGATCCGTGACTGCTGTTGCACGCTGAAAGGGCCTCGGACGATACTCGCTCTTTCCTCGTTGCCGTAGACTTGCCCTGTCGAACTCGCTTTGACGGCCTTGTCACACAAACTGCTCCCACTCGACTGCAGCGGACACAGTCATTTTGTCCTCGAGCCTGGACGCATCGGAGTTTCTGGGAATGGCAGCGATAACATGCCGACCGCGGAGTATTCTCGGACTCTACATCCATCATCTTGGTTTCGAATACAATAAACAGCAGCCAGCGAACAAGGGTAGGGAAGTATGAGTTAATTAAGCGAGTCAGAAGTACTAAGCGAGAAGTTGTTGGGATGGCCCCCAAGAATGCAAGGCTGCAGAATTGGGAGCGAAGCCATATTGAGCAGTAAAGATCGAAGTCCCCAGTGGGGCCTGCATAGGCAGAGCGGATTCGCGGGTACTCGCGACCTTTCTTAATCATTGAAACCTCGAGATGCCGCCAAGAAGTAAGTGGATCAATACAATTTTGGGGCGAAAGGGGCCGTCTGATTTAATCTTTCCTCAAGAGGCAGGTGCAGAATTCGCTTATGCCCAAGTGATTCTTGATTTGGCACGGATAGGTGAATGTTGCGATAATCATACGCAAGCAGGGATTTTCCACCAGTATCAAAGCCACCAATACCGAGCACTAGTTCAAGTCGTCCCAAGTCTAGTGTGTCATCAATATGACATGCATGTAAGAAGATAGCTCCGCTGAGTACGTTGGGTTGAAAGCATAATGCATTAAAAACTCCGTGAATTCAAAATGCGACCGCTTATTTTCTCTGTAGCTCGTTCAATTCCGCTATCTCCCTGGTAATAACGCCTCGTATCGTGTTTGGACCCCAATCAACTGCAATTGTTTGGAGCAGTGGCTCGTGGGGAGCCACGGTGGCCGGCTTACGACTTCGTGGAGTTCTTCCACGAGGCTTGGAAGTTACAAAGGCCCACTTCTTTGCGGCAGCTACGGGTACGGCACGCCTATACTTCGATCTCCTTAACCAATGAACGTCTCATCAGTATTCCGCGGAGTAGATCGACTCACTCTATTCGATCGATCCAGTATTGAAGATGATGTGAGAAAGTTGGGGCCAAGGACTCTAGCGATTATTTCTCGGATGCGACAACCTTAGATAGCCCCAAAGGCCCCCCTCGTTCGCTCCAGAGGATCTGGACCTCAAGTAACGCCAATCCCAAGGCCCTCCTTAATCTGCTCTGGAGGATCTGGGCCTCAAGTACAGGCTTTTAGGTTGAAGTCGCTTGGACGGCATTCGAATCAATGACCGCCACACGATCTTGGGTTCATGCTAGGCAAAACCAACAGGGGATGTCTCGTTAAGCATACATTTCGTTCGTTCAAAGCATGAAGATATTCGTGGCCACAGTCCTTCAGTGTGAATAATAATTAGCGGACAGTGAGATTGTGAATCTGGGTCGAGTGACGGTGATGTAATGAACACATTTCTCCGCGTAATCAACAGGTCCGTGCATTTCCTGGTACACTTGAACCGCCCAGGTCTCTAGCAAGAAATCGTTGCAACCTACTCACGAGGTTAACTTAGTATTGTCCATTATATTCTGAGCCCTCGGGCTGGATTGGACCACTCAATAGCAATTATTGATACTCTTCTACCCCTTCAATTCTTATATTTAGGTGACTGGCTCTATCCAGTTATTCAGTACCATCGCGACCAGAAACTCCACGCACCCCTCTATCAATCGTTCCTTTCCGCCGTGACCCATATTTCTTCGATCATGGCAGCTTGATCAAATATACGGAAATTGTCTGCGCCAGGAGCCTGGGTAGCGCTTGTTGGACTTGGTGATGTCGGGTAAGTGAATATGAAGATGGATCAGCAGAATGGTTAAGGGTACCGGGCGGGAACTAACGGCGGAACCATGGGGGCGCCCGAACTCTCTCCCATGGACACGCAAAGATCGGAACACTATCTGATTCGGCGATCCACGCGAGAGGTGCAGGGCCTCAGCAGCAATAGCCTGTCCTAAATGATTTGGTTTTATCACGCGGCTGAAGCAATATACCGCGATTGACAGAATATTCCAGCAAACTGCTATTACCATGAATCGGTGATCTTGAGGCTTTGCAATGGATTATCCCTAAGGTTTGTCATCGCCAATTCATTCCAGGCCTTTTAAGCAACTAGTCCATGGTATCCCATGATCCTGGGTCTAGGAACTTTCAAATATTGAGATTTCAAGCTGAACTCCAGCGTGAATACCTAGGTCCCTGAGCCGCTGCCTCATGTCAGGGCCCCATTCATCGAACCCCTCATCTACCCACTCCATGGAAATGCCCCAAAGATGCGGCGTCCATGTTTTCCATTCCTTCAGCCATGATTGAAGCAAGCTCAAAAAAGCGTGATCCTCCCACTCCCATGCAGGCCATTGTGGTTCCATTTGATCACAATTTTGTATGCACAAGTCGTTGGTGATGGTTAAAAATTCGATATTTTGTGGAATTACATCTTGCAATCGTTTCGTCGTGTCTTGTGCGAACCCCACTAAAAAGGCCCAAGGGATGTGGAGTCTCTTAAGCATAACAAAATTAACCATCACACGCAACGACCCCTCAGTCTTGAGACCAGGAAGGTTTAACTCAAATTTTCCGTAATCAACCTCGGCTAAGATGGTCAAATCCGTTAGAGTACCTCGAACATGAGACATCGCATCAGCAATCTGATCAAGATCGATGATAGGCGAGTTGAAGTCATCCCTAAGCCATGCATCGTAATACAAATTCCAGCGAAGTGTTTTGAGCTTCGGAGTGATTGATATAATACACCAAGAGATGCCTCCCTAACACAGGACAATTCAAGCGATCTTATATTCAACGGTACGGGTATCTGTGCTGCAGGCCATTTAGATGTAATTGGGTTATGGATCGAAGCCGCCAAACGTTGAAGACTCGGTAAATAAAAGAATGGCAAGACATCCGCTGTATTTTGGACCCTGTTATCGGGCAAGCTGTATTTTTGATCGGCCCAGCAGAGGAAAGATACGTCTTGGAGGTGCCGAAAGTCGGGTAGCCTGTATTCCATAGGAGCGCCCAGAGCTGAACGGAGAAACATGCCGATAATTACACTGTGTTCGGTAAAAGTAGGGCCAAGGTATAAACATCTCAAATTGGAGAGTTGTGCTAAAAGGAGAGCAACAAAAGCGTCCGTTTCGCCTTGGGACAATCCTTCTATCCAAATGTTGATATAAGGGACTTTGGTCTCCCGGATGAATGCAATTAGTCCATCCATCTCGGCACCTGAGACGGAAATGTTGGCACGTTGTCGCCTAAACAAATGTTGCGAGAGTTTATCGTGGTCGAAGTGAATGTTTTGATGTAAGCACCCAGCTGAGGCCTACATAAAATTGTCCGTAGGAGTTGAGCGATTGGGGGAGGATGTTCAGGATCTTTCCAGGTCCACTCGACTTTTGAGTAGAGATATAGCTCCGTGATTGTGCGGAAACTTTTGTTTACAAGGCATAATTCACGGAGTTCAGCAGGCGATAGTAACTTGAAAACCAAGTACAAGATATCTTCCGGGCACCTATCAAAACCAGATGCCGCTTGGTTTTTCTAGTAACATTAGCAAATTACGTTGAAACCACTCGTATTGACCACATACAGGTCCGTTTTCCAGTGGCAGCATAGATGGAGATTCACTATTCTTCGTTTATACGCGCGTAAGTCACGATTTCTGAGCTGCACGGTCCTTGGATATTGGACTGCGGGACTGCCTGGAGGGACTAAGAGGTGGGGATTGATAGAAATTTGCGAAGCGAGAAATATTTCCGTTAGCCTCAACGGTAGCCGCCTAACTTTTAGACTAGGAACCTAGCTCATTAACTTCAGTCGAGCCGAATTTGCCTAGTATTTCCGAGGGAGTATTGGTATTTTCACTTGCATGAGAGTTTTGTTACGCAGAAAAATGTATAGCTAGTAGCTGTCTTGTTCTCTTCCCTTTTCTCTGCTCCGCTCTTCAGTGTGATCTCGTTTGATGAGTCATCCTAAGGTCAGGCAAGGCATCAATCCAACATAAACATTCAATTTGACCCCTGGCCGCTCTACACCGGTACTCATCTGTGACCCGACTTAATCTCTTTCCTTGAAAAGTTGTTTTCGTGAGCCTCTAAGCGGGGTTAAAGGTAAAAACTTAATTATAAATTTAAAGGGATTCACTTTCAATTGCTAGCCTGTGATATCGAATGAAGCGCGTGAGATCTCGGACACGACGTAAATGGGCCGGTGGGCTGTGCGATCCTGTTGCATTGTTGCGTAATTAGAAGGGAAGCCACGATGCGTACGAGCCGAGCAACCACTCACCTGAATTAAGCCATCAAGTTTTAGCATCGCTGCTATTTCACGAGATAGGCTTCTTAGAACGTTTGAAGCAGTTCGTCATGATTCAAGCTCTGATAAGAGAATGCAGAAGCCGCTGGGAATCAAAGTTGAAAATGAGCACCCGTCCCGAGTCACAACCAATAGAGATAGTCGACGGCCCCACGGCAACAGCAGAGGGCCGGTACACCGGCGGTAACCATAGCATATTCTGCGAGTTCCAAGTGATCCATGTACAATCGGGACTAACACCATATCCTTGAAATCGCAGTATCTTAGGCTCGGGTTTTGTTGGTCCTTGACTTGAATCTAATGATAAGTGAATGGTGCCGAGGTCAATTTCAAGCACTGATTTGGTAGCGTCTAGCGACTTTACAGAGACAACTATTTCAAAGCTTAAAGTCTGCAGACACTGGGCATTACTTGTATCCCAGACCTTTACGGTCTTATCGTTTGAAGCCGAGGCAAGGAGCTTGGAATCGTGAGAGAAGATGACCGAAGTGATTGAGCTGCGATGACTCTTAAGCGTCTGTAGGCATTTTCCGTTACTTGTATCCCAGGTCTTTATGGTTTTATCGTCTGATGCTGAGGCGAGCACCTTTGAATCATGGGAGAAAACGACCGAAGTCACGGAGCGGCTATGGCCCTTGAGTGTCTGTGGACACTGGCTGTGATTTATATCCCAGACTTTAAAGGTCTTATTAGCCAAATTATCACCTAGGCCGGCTGCGAGGAGCCTAGAATCATGGGAGAAGATGACCGAGATGACCGAGATCGCCGGGCTACTGTAAGCCTCGAAAGTCTGTAGACAGTTCCCATTTCTTTTATCCCAGACCTTAACGGAGCTATTGGATAAAACCAAGGCGAGTAGCGTAGAATCGCGCGAGAAGACGATCGAAGTGACTGGGCGGCTGTGGCCCATAAGTGTCTGGAGGCATTGTCCATTGCTTATATTCCATATTTTGACCGTTTTATCGTTTAATTCCGAGGCGAGCATCTTCAAATCGTGGGAGAAGGTGACAGTCCATGAGTCGCTATAGCGTGAGTAGCTGTAACCCTCAAGCGTTCGCACGCACTGGCCATTGCTTACATCCCATATTTTGACCGTGTTATCGTTTGAAGCCAAGGCGAGCATCTTAAAATCGTGCGAGAAGATGACCGAAGTCACTGATTTGCTATGACCCTCGAATCTTCGAGGGAGTATTGGTATTTTCGTTTTGTATGAGAGTCTTGATAGCAAGTAGCTTTCTTTTTCTCTTCCCTTTTCTCTTCTCCGCTCTTCAGTGTAATCTCGTTTGATGAGTCACCTCCCTGTCACCCAGGTGCATATGGAGATTCTACATTCTTAGACCCTTGATATCGTACCCTCGGCATTCTGATCAGCGCCACCCTTAACTACCCTTTAAATTCAACGACATTCGTGGATTTTCGCAATAAAGCTCGGATTGCTTTTATTTCCTAATTAGGAACCGCTACTGACGTCCAAAAATGCTTCTACTTCTCTAGCCTAGGAACAAATATAATTGAATATGATGTGCTTACTAGCAATAAATACATGAGCTGTCACTCGTCAAGTGCCTTAGGGTATATCATGTACGGAATTTGGTTTTATTTTGACATTCTTCATCTTATTGGTGCGGTAGACTCCATCAATTGAACACGCTACCCCCGCCAGGAATGCTGGAGAGTCATTTGTGGCTATGCCAATGACCCCCCGATCGGTATACTCGCTCTCAGCTATATTGGCAGTAATGCACAATGGTCTTGCAAGGACCAGCTTGGATTGCAAAATCTCACATAGTAATATTTCAGTCTCGGCGGTTGTATGAACACGCTATTTTGGGGACTCAGCCTCGACAAATATAGTCCAAGGCTTCCGTATGGACCAGTCTATACAGAGATCTTCTTAAGCCATACGAGAACAAATTCCTAGATATAAAACCATCAGATCACCCATTGTCCTGAAACTTCGGTCCATCATAGACAGGCACACAACTCTGGTTACACAGAGAATTACTTCGATTTAGTACGACTGATTGTGATTGGACCACCCATTTCATTACAAACCTCGACCAAAGTCTGCATACATCAATCGAACATGAAGTCGGCCTATATTTGTCTTAGCCTTTCCTTGGCCATCCTGGTTGTTGCTGCTCCAACCCCGCAGATTGGTAGGTAAATTTTGAAATGATGGTGTCGTCGAAAGCCCACTGACATGACTTAATACACTTAGGAAATGACAACTGTTGTACAGCCACCGAAGGTGCAACTTGTATCTCGGAACTGATTTGCTCTTCGTTGACTGGTAGCGTTGTCATCAATGTCACTCCTGAGGAGATCAGAGGGAACTGTGACATCGTGAATGATGGGGAGAATTAATATTGAACAATCTTTTGCTTTCGTTAGAAGTCCCTTTGTCTTCAGCTCGAAACTATGTGTGGTGGGGTGGGAGGTGTTCATGACCAATTTTGAACATTGGAAGTTCGGGAATTTCGCAGAAGTCTTTTATATCTCGTCGTTGAATCATTGTCTCTTTATTACCAGCATAGATCTATTGTTTAATGTTGCAATACTCGTCGTTCAATTTTTGCGTGTCGGCAAGGAGGATGGGATACCAGGAAAGAAAATATTAAATTCTGTAGAGGAGCTCCTCCGGTACCTAGATTGGTTTCGGAAGGCATGTATACTGGCTCTCTACTAATTGCATGGATTTCAGGTCATAACCATGGATGGAAATTGGGAAAGTCACACGCATGGTCTACCGTTTTGAACTCGATAGACTTGAACATTACAAATGTTATTACGCTGTAAATACCATCTTTTTCACAACAACATGTCAACTCATGCATTACAGTATCCTTCGCCCGGCTCAGCGAGTCACCGGTCCTTTATCCCACCGCCAGATAGCCCTCATATGTCTCCTTCAAGGCAACCTTACACTCCATATAGCTACAATTCTTGTCAACTGCTCAGGCAACCCTGGAATCTTATCAATAGACCAAAATAATGAGAATGGATTACATATGCTAACGAGGAGCCGGTCCCCGCCTAATAGAAATGCAAAACACGTAGCAACACACACGCGCAAACAAAAGAGACGCCCTTCATGCATGATATCATCATCATTCATTGACCAGCATCACACATCCCCAGTTTCAATATAATCACACACGTCACTCATTCCGCCTGCCGACGCGATCAATTCAACACCCGGTCGAATAAATTGCGCAGATGAATCGACATCCAGCACACTCGCCCACCAGGAGCATATCACGGCCAAGTCACAGACCCAAGTCGTAGAATTCATAACACAGTTCAATCTGCACGGCAACAACCAGTATTGCCAGAGCATTGCGGGTCTTTGAAAAGCCCCGCAATGCACAAGAATGCACCCAATGGCCCAGCCAAAAATCACCGACAAGACCCCTTCTCACTCGAATAACCTGAATCCGGCCAGCGGGGCGACGTCGATGCCCGCGAGTGCCGGTCACAGACGTACCCGACGAGAACGGTCTTTTCCTGCACACTGTGGCCGCGCTGGCCATAAGCTTGGCAGGGGTCGATTGAGTGTTCGAAATAGAGACATTTGCAGACGGAGTAGCGCTCAACGACTTTGTAGCACATTTTGATATAGGCAAGGGTGTGTGGTGTGTGGTGTACAAGGGGAAGTTTCTTATTGGCTGTGGTGAAGAGAAGAGAAGAGAAGGAAGGAATGAATGTGGAATTCGAGCCAGCCCGGTATTAGAGTATTGGAGTAATGAGTGGAGAGAAGTGATAAGTAGAAGTAGTGATTGAAATATTCCGGACAAGGATTCCAAGTCCGAGTCCGAGTTATATAACAGCTATTACGGGGTACAGAGAGAAATAATGCACGATGTAGATCGAATCAGCCCTATGGGAATCGTGGCCCCAGGCAGAAACCGAACGGAGTGGCCGACGGGGCGCGCCCAATTAGGGACGACGATTGCCGTGACGATAGTATTATAATGCATCTCATATTCTAGGATATGGCTTGAATGGAATATCTTTAGTGGACCGTTTTACCCCTCTAAGTGGGTAGGGCGTATGGTGGGATTGGATAGTCTAGCTCTCGTCTATGGACTTCAGCTGGGTTGAGCAGTATGACTCGAGATAAGCCTCACTATTTCTGAATGCAGTAATATGGAATGAAATACCAACAACAATAAATCTAGAAATATGTAAAGACGGTGAAGACCTACTGAAGAATGTACCCCGCGACGAACGTTTTGGTGTAGCGAGTCGGTGAGCCAAGGCTGAGTCCGAGTCTGGGCGTTTTTAGTGCTTTTAGTGCTTTGTTTGGGTTTTTCTGATTGGTCGGTGTGATGTGGTCACTGGAGTCCCCATGTATATTTAGTTTATGTGAACTCTATGACTCGCCGGGCGCAACTCGGCCTCTTGAGGCTCTGTCTTCACATCTTAGGGCTGTGTACATCTATGTACCATATAGATTATTGCTTATTATTTGATATGCAGGATATTCACACCGCATATCCGTCGAGCATTTACTGTACAAGTTCGTCAATCACTGCTGAATCCCATCTTTCATAGCGGTGACTCGATTTGTCTGTGGGACTAGGCTCCCGCATTTAGACGACGCTAAGAGGCCAACAGGACAGGATTAGCAATTTCTCAAGGTATAACCGGTTTGAATTTCACTAAGGTAGGTGCTTAGACCCATGCACATTGTATGGGTCATGAGGACCTTGCTGTCATTCCGTAGGGCTGAGGCGCGACAGGGTCCACTTGGGCGATGGATTGTCCGTTCGGGCAATCGGACTGGGTTGGCACATTGGGTATGTGTGCGCGAAGTAATGGCAAGGGTAGTATAGTATACATATAAGGCGTAGATACTGATTGGCCATGAATGAAATAATGCATTGCTATCGTACAACTATTGCACAGTGGAAAATATACTCCATCCCACATTGTATCCAGTTCCACTGCAAATACGTTCCCGCATTGATGTCATTGAGCCTAAACTGCACCAAGCGCACCACAACTTAACCCTCTAGCCAATCCAAGGCGCAGCATTCGCAGAATGTCCTCGCCCCGGGCGTCTTCTGCCAAACCGGCGCGCCAATCCCATCCCCGATCCGCATCACCACTGACAATAACAGCCGAGTCGCCGGCAGACGCAGATCCATTGCCTGAGCGCGTGCGCGCAGACTCGAGAATATCGTTCCCAATGATTGAGAAGGTGGATGCGTTGAAGTTGACGGATTTCTTGAGGAGGGATCGGGGTGAGGGGCGGTCAGATTCGCCGCGCATGGAGGAGTGGTATTCTAGGAGTGTTGAGCGGAAGCATTCTTCGCACTGGGCGTAGACGCGAGGGGTGACAGTTTCGAGGTCTTCAATTGCGGAGAGGATGGTGAATTGTTGGGAGACGGTTAGGACGGCCGTTGGTTCTGTTCTTGTTAGTATGTTTTAGTTCTAAAAAGTGTTGTGAGACTCACGCTTCACAAATGCCAGTGCTTCGCCAAGCAGTGCGAGCAAACCATCGACTTGTACGGCCGAGTCGCGGTCCGGGTCGAACAGGCCACCGTAAATGTTATCGGCAGCACTGCCGATGACGGCGGCGAGGGCTTGGGCAGCAGCGCGACGACGGGCCAGGGGCTTGTAGCGTGGCTGCTGGCCTTCTTCTAGCTCGAACTCTTCGTCGCGAATCTCGTAGAAGCGGCGGAGGGTCGCGTAGCCACTGAGGTAGAACTGGAGAATGCGGGCGGCTTCCTCGTCGATTTGGGCGATCGAGGAGAGACATGCCTTCGGTTCTTTCATGAGGGAACGGAGTTGTTCATCGAGGTCGGCTGTGGCAGGATACGCGCGGGATTGGACCAAGCTATAGGAAATCAAAAGGTCGACAACTGATTTCACCTTGCGGCGGTTCTGGGCGCGGGCGTAGCACACTAGGGCCAAACCGAAATTCTCGGATTTCGAGGTCAACATGTCGCCGAATCGCTGTATAAATTAGCATTTTGGTTCAGTCGTGGTTGATTGCTTGCGTTGCTCACCTCAGAGACTCTACGTCCTTGGTCATCCAACTCAAGTTCCGAGCAGAGAACAACCAGTCGGTCCAACTGCTCGGGGGTTTCCAAAGGAAGTTTATCCACGATTTCGGAGACAGCCTTCTTCATCTCGCGTGCATCGTCAAAGCGGTTCAAAACCTCAAGCGACAATTCCCAGCCCTCCCGTGAGCCGTTCTGATCCTGAATGACGTCCAGGTCATAAAGTCCAAAAGCATAGTTGCGGAGGATGTCATCCTTCCGCAAGGTTGTGGAGGATTTAGGATCCTGTCCATAGGAGAGAACCATGAGATCGATCTCGGATAAACCAGGTTGCTGCTTCTGCGTTGCCCCAGACTCAAACCAACCACCCTGACTAGCAATTTCTGCGACAGCAGCAGCCAGACACAGAGACCAAGTCTGCACCAATTCCAGAACACCCTGTACATTGCCTTCGAAGACAGATGCGAGACCAACTTCCACACTGTTCATGGTATTGGGACGGAAATCCGCGCTATCGGAGGCATCTGTAGTAGTGTGGCTGAGAGCTTGTTCAAGGCGATTGAGATAGGCCTCACGCATGTTACGATCAACAGCGCGAACCTGGTTCTTGGGCCCACGCGAGCGCAAGAAATCTTGGAAATGATCGCCTTCGCTGGCGCCAAAGTCCAACCCCGCTCCATCGTCCTCGCCGTCCCACCACGCTGTCAAAGTAATTGTGGCTTCGACCCAATCCTGAGACTTACCCTTGATAGCGGACGGGTCGCCGAGAATGATTCGGTAAATAGATCTCAAGCTTTGGTAAATTGACCACGGAACGCGGCTTTCAGCCATGCGAGCAGACTGGGCGAATGAAACCGGGTTCGGGTTGAAGTTTTGGTTGAAAGTGGACATGCCAAAATTGACGGCCTGGAAACGGTTTTCCTTGACAGGGACAATCGATTCATCGCGCTCTTCTCCCTCGGCAAAGTCTTCCAGGTCATTGACGGCAGAAAGAACGCGCTTGCGGTACTGGGACCACTCGTTGCCAGTAACCTCCCAATCGTCGGACTGGGCAGAAGGGCATGATTCGAGAATCTGAAGTGCCTTGTTGACACAGCGCTGGATGTTCTGCAACTGCGCACCACGGTAGCCTGGCTGCGGAAGTCCATCTTCCAGTGCAGATCGGGCGTAGTTGAAATCCGCCGAACGGAGAACCTCGGCTGCATCGCTCAAGCGGCCGCGCAGAACGGATGCAATGATGATGTCCCAGAAATTTGTAGACGCTGTCGGGTTGGGTTCCACATATTTCAGTGCTTGGAGATCCTTCTTTTGCGATGCGTGGTTATCACTGAGCCATTCCAGCAACACCCGTGGCAGTGTCTTCGGGACAGCAGGTCGCCCCACAGCTTTCACCAAGCCAGCGGTGCGCATGGGGTTGATTCCTGCGACAGAAGGAACTTCACGAGGAGGGTGGTGGATCTGGAGAAGAAGTGAGGCTAGGAAAGTTGCTTTCACGAGATCGGGAGCTTGCGGCGCGGGCCCAATACCAGTATGGGCTCCGTGAGGCCGGTCACTCCCAATCTCGTCGGCAGCGGCTTGCCAGGTCTCGACCAATTCCTTAGAGACATTGGCCAGGACAGCATCGAAATCGACATGTCTGAACTCCGCAGCCTTGAGCTCATCGGAGAGCTTTCCGAGAGAGTCCTCCGTGCTTAGAATGAGTTCGCTAGTCTCGTGAACAGCGGGAATGCGCGAGCGGGAAGCGAAGGTGTGTAGAATGGAAGGCATCGCGGACGACTTCTTGGGTTTGAGGTTTTTGCGAATCGGAGACTTGCTGCTCCAGTGTTCGTCGAGCTTAGGTCGCTTTGCATCGCTTGGGTTTGTGTAGATGGGCTTGCGGTGGGCACCGAGGGACGGCTCGGATTGGAAGGGGTTGCCGAAAGCTGAATCCAAAAAGTTGAATTTCTTAGACGGGTCCTGCATGCTTGTGTCCATTTCCTCGGTCTCTTCCTCTTGATCTTCTTCCATCTCTTCCTCTTCTAGTTGGTCTTCCTCGGGGTGTTTTCCCTGCTCCATCTCGTCCTCGTCATGGTAATCCGACATTTGCGACACTCCAAACCCATTGGACTGGCCGAAATTCAACGAATCGCCAAATGTGCTCTCGTTTGTCGTACCAAAACGAAGACTGGATTTTCCTAAGGGTTTGGAGGAGGGTGCTTTGGTCTGTTTGGGCATGGAGTAATCGGTCGACCCAAAGGACGATCCAAAAATGCTGTCATTTGTGTTGATGTTGCCGGACTTGGTAAAGACGGAGTTGTTGAATTCGTTGTTCCTTGAAAACGAATTTTGATTTGTGGAAAATGAGTTCTCGTTTCGGGAAAAGGAGTTGATGCGCGAGCCTCCATTGATGTTGGAAGTAGGTTGCGCGAATGATCCTACAGTGGAGGGCGGCGGGCCGGCAGGAGTTGTCGATATATTACTCCAGAGGCTGCGAGAGCGATCTTTGTCTGGTGTCCCAGGCGGACTGGACTCGTAGGGGACTTGGAAGGACATGGCTGGAGTTGATCAAGATGCGAAGAGATGGATTGACGGCATCAGAGGACGCAAGTTTTGGGCCGCAATAGCTCTGTTCGATCAGAGAACAATCAGAGAATGGAATTGATTATGATTGATTATGGCAAAAAGTAATAAAGATGCCCGGATGATGCTGTAGTTTGTTTGCCAGAGGAGATCCCTCTTGAGGTTTCACTTGTTTTTCTTGAGCTTCATTTTCTCGACGCGACAAAGTTTCAGGCATTCAGGCGCCGAGGTTTCGACTCACGTGATAGAAGCCTAGTCACGTGCACGTATACACCATGTGTATTTCCCGTATAGCTTCAAATATTGCTTGCTTATCCTTCATTTTCTTTTATCTCGATTCCGATAATGTGATCATTATACTCGATGGTTTAGACTCTTAGACAAGTTTTGCGTCACAACATGTGAAAATCGAGGTCTACACCAAACTAAATTCATTCGCAAGATGCGATACCCACAGAACATCAAATTTACGTTCAGTTCAGAAGTATGTTTCGCCAATAAATTCCATCCACCACCTGTTTTCATCCATGTCTATGCCCAAAACCTCATTCTACAGATTAGTTGTGCAATATATACTTTGCCACTATGCCTTGCAAAGATCCCAGCGTAGTCAGCATTGTCTGTTGATCCTTTCCCCTGCTGAATTAGCGCATAGCCTCATCGACCCCAGGTTTCCTCCGAATCAACTTCTTTCAAGAGCGATCATGACGTCCAAGGAGAACAGCAACTTCTTCATTTGGATTGAATTTTGCATATCCTGGGGCCTAAATCACGTGGCCGCCATGTGTGCCCCCTTTTGTCTTGGGGGCCGCAACTCTGATTGGTTTGTTGCCCTGCCTTCTGCACTGCCAACATCCCAAGGCTCAGTCACCGGTTGGGGCCAAATTTGATCAATTTGGCTGCCCCGAATGGCTTCAGCCCTGTCGAAACAAATTGGATCATAGCAGGGCTGAGAGGTCTATAGCAGATCCGAGCAAAGTATATATAAAGTATGATAAAACCACGGAGTTTAATAATTTCAGACTACGAATCCAAAAGTTATCAAAGAATCACACTCCCAACCCAAAACCACACATCATGAACGTAAGCGCCAAGTACATCGTCACGCACAGCTTCTGGCGCCATAACTACGACATTAGCACCCCAAGCAAAAACCACCTCTACCACGTCTCGAACTCAAGCCTGACACCAGGAAAACCGGATCTTACTTTCCACACGAGCACCGACAGCAACGGGCCGATCGCGGGAGTCTGCAAGTTCCGCCATTTCTCCTCGGACGCGGAGATAGGCCTTGGCAATCCTTCCACACCAAATAAGATGGAATGGGGTTATCTGCACAAGCAAGGCTTTACTAAACGCCAATTTTGGTTCCGTATGCACCTCGACGATGGTTCCAGGCAGACTTTTACTTGGAAACGAACCCACTCCCTTGGCAGCGGCTATGAAAATTATAAACTTGTCGAGGAGAGTAACAAGACGGTTGTTGCAGTCTTTTCGTCTGGGAGTGTGTTTTCCAAAACGACCGGTACATTGGATATATATTTCGATTATGGGAGGAGGTTTCACCTTATGACGCTCATTTCCGCAATTACGGTTGTTGAACGGGCGAGAAGATCTAAGGCTGCCGCCTCGGCTGGCAGTACTGGTGGTGCAGCCGGGGCTGCCGGTGGGGGCTGTTGAGCCAAGACTTGGGGTTTCATTTTTGGCGTTTCTGAATCACGAAGTTACGAGATACATGCAGTTCCAATGTTACTCCGTAAATGGAGATTTAGATCTTCGATCCGAGATCTGAAATTTTACAATTTGCTAATTTCTTAATTTTAATAATGTCAATCTCAATTCCTTTGTGAACTGACCTCTCGGCACAACTGCCAAGTTCCGTTAAGCATGATTTCTATGTGGGTTTAATTTCTTAATGTATTTAAGCGAATAGACTAAATCAATCGATCAAATCAAATGTCTCGAAAATAAAAGTGCCCAGTCCCTGAGGCAGTGCAGCAGAGACAATGTTTCAGATTAGACAAGCCTTTTTTTCGATGTTTGATCGACAGGGTTCCGTTACATAATCCTATACTAGTTATATCAAATCCTGTTGCCTGCCCAGTCATCAAACAAAAATTTCCAGCCCTTGAGAGCCTCAATCCTTACATCGTAATATGGCTACAATTGCATGACATGGTGCTCCGACGACCACATCGGAAATCCCGCCACGGCTGCGTGGAATGCAAGAGGCGACGAGTGAAGGTATGAAAAACTACCATCCACACCCCGTCACCGTACCTGTACCTGATTTAGAGACCAGTGCGACGAGGCCCGCCCATCCTGCACCAACTGCGCCAAGCGCCATTCCGAATGTGAGTACGGCTCATCAACATCGCTCCTGTGGTCAAATGACGACGACACCGATTTCGCCTCAAGCGCAGGCGCAAGCGCAAGCGCAAGTACTGGCGCAGTGCCAGGCGCACCCGACTCCACTGAAAATTCAAACCCTCTCAACCTCCACGATCTGGAGCTCATGATGCAATGGTGTAACTCGACGTTCCGGACGCTGTCGCGCGACGAGCGCACAGATCCCATCTGGCGAAATATCGTCCCGGAAGAAGCCCTCGCCCACCCGTTCTTGATGCATGGGATTCTGGCGCTGTCGTCGCTGCATCTTGCGCGCGTGGGCGCTGATACGTCGCGGCGCACCTCATACCTCAACCGTGCAGTTGCGCATCAGAATCAAGCGCTGGCGCTGTTTCGCGGCTTGTTGGGCGATGTCAATGAGGGGAATGCGAAGGCTATGTTTGCTTTTGCAGGGATTGTGGTTATCTACACTTTTGCATTCCCGAATACGCCTGATGAGCAGGATCATTGGGCTTGTGTCGATGATTTGTATCAGGTCCTTGTTTTGACTCGTGGTGTCCAGCAGGTTATTTATTCGCCTAGGGATTTTCGGGATTTTTTGTGGAACAGTGATTTCGGTCCTATCTTGCAAATTGAGGAGGTGACTGGTATAATCCCTGATGAGGCGGTCATTGCTTTACGGAGATTGCATGAGGCCAATGGGAACTCTGATCACGACTTTCAGGTCTATAAAGGGGCTATCGAAAATCTGCAGGAAATGTTGAGTTGGGTTTATGGTGGGATGAGAGCGAACACGATTGCCGGTCGATGGGCGATTAAATTGCCCGGTAGATTTATGGAATTGCTGCGTGAACGCGAACCCTTGGCCCTCGTCATGTTAGCGCATTATGGCGTGCTTTTGAATTGTCTTCAGCATCGCTGGTGTTTTGATGAATGGTGTGTTCGTCTCGCCAAGGCCGTGTGGGCCATTCTGGATGACCAGTGGAAGCCTCTTGTTCACTGGGCTATGACAGAGATTCTCGGTGAAAATTATCGGGAGCTTGTGATTTGACTTGATTTGCATATACCCTTGAGCGAAATGTTTGTAAAAAAAAACACCAAAATGTTTATCCGAAACTCCTTGCCAAATTCATCATAATTATATTTCAAACCATCGCAGCGTCTTTCACCTTCAATCCACCCATAGCCGTGATGGCTCGTCCCCTTCCGAGGTGGTAGTTCACCTCACTGGGGTGAATGGCAATGAAAATAGCCATCAGCGCAAACATCAACAACCCATCGAAAACATAAATAAATGCCTCATGACTCATCAAATACCCGTACGTCCCCTGGGCATACTCAACAACACGAACAACAGACCGAATCAGCACAAGAATACTGGACGAGTGCAAAGCCCACATATGCTTGTTCCAGGGATATTCACTGGCAACCGCAGCAGCATAGGGATGAACAGCAACCCGGCGTTGGAGAACGACCGCGCTGACTAGGAAGAATCCAAAAAAGACAATCTGTACAATCAAGCCACCGATAATGACATTCTGGCCCGTACTCATTGAACTCTCCGAGCCAGAAACCATGATTCCCGCGCCGGATGCTTGCATCAGGAAACTGAGTACGTCGCCCGCGACAAAGATCTTGGTCATCCAGGTAACGCGCACAAGAGAGAAATGCTCGCCTTTCACCATGAGGATGATCCGGCCAAGTTCCATGTAGATGCTTGCTGCGAAGAGAGCAGGCGCGACGAGGAGGAGCGTGCTTTGCATGACGTACGGACCGATTGTCCAGTTCGGGGATTCTTTTGAGGACATGGCGCGGCCGATGTAGCCGACTAGTTCGACTGGGTTTTGTTAGTTCGAGAATAGGACGAGGTTGGTTCGAGATGGTACGTACAGTATCCGCCTATCATCAAGGGGATGAAGAACCATGTTCGTGTGCGGAAGAGATGAAATGTGTGTAGAAGTGTGATGATTGCAAAAAGGATGATAAATAATACTGCTGCTCCCATGGAGGGGGTGTATGTGTATGCCACCCAGTTTTCGAAAGACATTTTGGAGGATGAGAGTGTAGGTTTGCCGCACTTGAGAGTATTATTGAATGAACAGATTGATTGACTTGGATATAAAACTAAATATCTGCAATCATACCCCCCTTATATACATCTTAGCCCTCTGAATTTTCACAAAAAAAAACGAAACCAGTATCAAAGGAGTGGAGTTCGTATACAAGCATGTTCGTTCAATTATCCTAATTGGGTTTAGTCTGTAAATAAGAAAGGAACAGGCTAGTCCCAATAGGGATAAGTGAACGAGGGCTGCGCTTAGTCTAACCCCGATATGGAAAAGAGTACGAGGATGCGAATGTCGATCTCCAATTTTAGACAACAACAGTACGCGTTGTACGAATGGGTCCGAGATGGTCCACGGGTCCGATTATGGATTTGTGGCGCATTCTTACTCTAAACTTGGTCTGATCTCGCTCAGAGCCTAGACCTCGGGACCGTTTATAAAGAGGCTGGAATTCTTGATCTAGGCAGTTAGATAGACTCACGGATCCTTTGATACGATACCATATGAAGATATATATTGTGAATGAATAGAATGTGTATATCGCGTGAATTGTGATGCGCAGTTGCCATATTGTTAAAAAGGATGGTCGAGAGGATGCAAGATGCTCCTACGTTTAGCGGTATGAGCATACCGATATGTGATGCGTATTCAGAGATAGAATTCACCCGGGCAGTGAATAGACTAGCAAGAATTCCATGTGTTAGACATATGCCCCCCATCGGATGGGCGGAAGTTGGCTGAGTGGTCTAGTCTGGGTAATTTGGAGCTCACATTTAAAGATCACCAAATTCTGACCCCGCAAAGGTGCGGGGCTCTTCCGGCCATAGAACCCTAGCTCCAGACAAACCGATTCCAGGGTGATAGGCCGCCAAAAAGAAAAGAGAACTCTTCCCAGGACCCCCGCCGACGTCTCCGCGGTCACTTACGTAGCCGTGGAGAATGCACATCTAGGTGCTGGACCCCTTATCCCCCTAATGTGGGGCCATTTGGTCCGATGTTGGCAGATCGCTTCAGCGTGATGTCTTTTTTTCCCCCAGCCTCAGTCATCTGGCAGTCCCGCCGCTTATCTGTGCATCTTTCGTCATTATACTATCATACTTAGGCTTCGAACAATTCTCATCCAGTCATTCAGCTCTTAGCAATATCATTTTTGCATAATGGCCCAAAATACACAGCTCTAGGGTGCAGCTAGCACAGCCATATACAGCCTCCTTACCTTGGAATACTACGATATTGGGTTCTCGGTTTATCGAAAGGTTATTCCTAGTGCTGCCCAGCCAGGGCCGTCTAACTTCCTTTTTTTCAAACAGCTCATGCGCGAAAGGCATCTAAATATCGGGCCTGCAAGCAGCCATTACTCACAAAAGCTGAGACCTCCAAGAAAGCCCAAGTGATATTCAGGGACTTGAATCTGCATTCTCTGAGCTACGCTAAACAGCGCCTTGGAAGACCCGATACTCGAACTATTCAGGCGGATGTCACAGTCACTGCCGTTGGCGATGGCTCTATCTCCATCTTCTCCGTTTTTCATTGTCTGCCTAGTCCACTGGAGCAAAATGTGGTCCTGTTTCCGAAATTAGATCCATGTCTTGCGGAAAATAGAATAATTTATGGAACTGCGGTTCTTGGAAAGTACATCAGACATACTATCTTTGGGAAGACTTTGATAGATCTGCACAATCGTCGAGGTGTCCTTTCAAACTGTGATAATTGAGAGGTGGAAATCCGGGAGGCACTTTGGAAGGATATCACCAATTCTGACGTGTGTCGTTGGACGGGCTTTGATGTTACGGCTTCGCAATCCAGGTTCCCATAAGCCCTTGGGCAGTAATTCAAAATTCACACAAGGGCGATAAATTCAGAATCAAACAGAAGGCGCTTAACAGGGGGTATCGACACTTAGTACACAAAAAGACTCGAGCATGCGGAAATATCTAGAATGTAGTTTCCCTACGAGGAGATACTCACCTCAACACTACCACTAATAAGAATCACGCGGCTGCTGCTGCACGCTACTCGACGAATAGGTGCCCGGGGGCAATGAAGTCGGATCCAAAGTAGCGGCGGCAGGGCGAGACAGAGGAAGCATTCGCACAGATGAACTGGGCTCCGTAGGTTGGAAGGGGGTAGCAATCCTCCAAAGGGACGAACTTAGGACAGCATTCTGTTTCGCAGTTCAGCCGCATATGGCAATCGATCATTTCACCGCAAGCACCGCAGGAATATGGCAGAATGAGGGACTTGGTCTGTTTAGTATAAACTCATATGGGCTCGTCAGGTTCGTGAACTCAAACCTTTCGCGGTGTGTTTGTGATGTTGAAGATATTGGTAGCCAATGGGCTTGGGCTCCCACATGAAACAGCTGTCAGTCTTCTGGCGCCTGGATGTACGCTCGTTGCCAGACGGGGTGGTAGCTATAGTTTGCTGAGTCAAAAGGCCGCATAGGTTCTAGGTCTCTAGGTTGACAGTACCTATAGAAGAGTTTGGCGAATATAGGAGCTGACTGACCAAGCGTTAAGGCAAAATTCAGGACGAGTGTAGGAGAACGAGCGAGTCAATTTTAGAACCCAGATGATAAATGAGTTCGTTAAACTAGTTCATAGTACCTCTCCATTCGTAATATTTGAGAAATTGCCGTGTTGAAATTATTGACAAATATGCAATAAATTACTTAAAGTACTCGCTCATTAGATAGTGGCTTCTCTGTGCTCGAATTACTCCGTAGGATCATGGAATTTCAGTACTTCCTACATATTCTATTTTCTTCAAAGAGGCGTATTGATGGAGTTGAGGTGTGGGGCCTTTGGTAACTGTTGATATCATTGGTTACATGTTTCAATTGACTTCCAAGACCCACCTCGCAGGATACTAATTCCGGGGAACACCACGTGACCTTAGACGTCTGGCTATATTTGTTGTCATTTTGGCAGCCTCTCTATAATTCTGACAGTGAGTGGAGATCAAATTGATACCGTCCATAATTTTCACAAATTTCCCTGTCGTGTCGCACTGGTTTTTGCTCCTCTGTTCTCCAGCCTTCGTTTGTGGAGAGCAGTAAATGCGATTTGGGAAGAATTAACCCACAACTTCACAACATGTTCGCGTCACACTGGCTACCAGCCGCCCGGCTGAACATCAAGCAAGCACGGTCATTTTCTTTGCTTTCTACCCACGCGTCCTTCCCGGCGACAATGTACCGATTCCAACTGAGCAAAAAGGCTACGCTTTACGATGCCAATCAAGAGGAGACCCGTTACAGAAAAGACGGAATCAGAGTCTCTGAAGATGGTTTGGTTCATGCTAACATCTCCAAGTCCAGCCCATGTTCGTCAGCTCGAGTCGAGTCGGGTCTTATGCGACGTTCTCTGAGCTAACTTTATGCAGACTCCAACGGGCCAATTTTCATGCCTAATTCTCGCCTTTTGCAGCAAATGCTCAAGTTTGACTTTGACCATTATCAAGAGGAAACCAATGACGGGAAGTGTCCTATGGACCCTAGTGTTATCTGCGTGGAACGAGGTATGAATATGCTCCGAGCGAAGCGAAATAGAGGCCACAGCTCATATAATCAGGTACTTCCATTCCCTCGGAGCTAGTGATGTGGAGAGAAGGTATCTCCCGCTTCTCTTTGCAACCTTCGAAGCCCACAGAAATTGAAAGTGAGTAAATTGGTCAGCTTACCGCTCTACCACGTCGCATTAACCGCTTTTCAGAGCTCAACGACCTGCTCAGTGAATTCTATGAGAAGTCTGCGACGATTGTCGGTGCAGAGGAATGGATTGAGAAACACCCGTACCACGAAAGCTTCCCAGACCAGAATGAGGAAGGCTGGATGAATGCATAGATACTCTGTTCTATGTGGAGGCTTTGTATATGGCAATTGTATGAGTAACAGTAAGCAGGCCTCGTTGACAACAATCCGGCATGATCGTTGATCTGAGAAATCATTTGAGAGTTTACGATATCAATCTTTACCTCGTAGGGTAGTTAAAAAGACGGAAATCAGCGATAGATGGATTTCGACATATGTGTGATTTTGACAAAATTATCGACATCAAGTTTCAAAACATTTGGAAATATCGCCACAATGTAAAAGGGATCCCTTTATCAAACAGGAGTCAATGACAGACTGAGCCGGTCCCCGTTGAAGTATGTTCAAACCTGAGGGAAGCTGCTGGAAATTGAACGCAGTCTGTGCCGTCCAGTAGACGAGAATTCATCGCCGTATTCTTGAACGCACACATATCGAAGAGCGCCCTTGAATTCATCCTTTGCCTCCGCCCAGTTGTTATATCCAGGGTCTCCCTCACGCAAACGCAGCAGCCTCTCGGGGTTGAATCGGGCCCAGTCACTGCCAGTGATCGCATCGATGGGAGGGGTGCAACTACGCAAAGCAGCGCGGCGACCAGCGAGGAAGCTTCGGTATTCTTCGAAATCGTTCTGTTTGAAGATTAAAGATTGTCCTTTTGGAAATAGAAGGAATCGAGACTCACATCTTGCTCCGAGCTTGGGTACTCATCATAATCGACTTCGGTCAGCATGTGATAGCGGCGATGTTCCAGCTCGGCTTCCTCAAAGCCCCGACAGAGGTCCCTGGATGCTCGGCAAACGGCCAGACGGAAGTTCTGAGACCAGGTGAAGCTATCGGCTCGAGACCAAAAGCGGGTAGTCCAAGCAAGGATAGTGCAAAGATCCTTGACATCTCCCTGCACACCCATAGCGGGCTGGTATAGTCGGTTAGTCAAATTTTTTTTGGGTAAATGTAATGAGGTGAACACGTGCCGATTCGCAGATGCCAATACGTTCGAAGCACTGATCGCACGGGGTCTCTCCGTCCCCGATAGTACATTGAATGGTCATGGGACGGGTTCGGCAAGGATCATACCGCACGATGCTAGCGTGGAAGCAGCTCATGCACCAGTTGCGGAAGAGATCCTCCATTGTTGCAGATGGCCTTGTCGGTGATGAGGGGGAAGCCTGAGGGAACATAGAATACACGTGAATGAAAAAAATCAAATCGATCAAAGCATTTTTCACGTGAGCCGTTTGATTTCCCCATACACAATTGGGATGGAAGGTGCGATTGATTTCGTGTTTGCGAATTAGGCAGGCACGACCCATGTTGAATTTCAAAAATCGTATATATGACTTCTCTAAGGTTTGCTGTGACTGGTGGCCGGTGTTTTCATTCTTTCGAAATGTTCGACATAATATACCCAGTGTGCACCTGCGTGGGATTGTATAGTAAACTCATAATAAAAGCGAATCTGATATTTTAGCAGATGCAAGGCAACAAATTGAATGCTCCCGCTCATACACTTAATATATATAATGTTCTTTGTTCTATTATTCCAAGATTCGGCTAAAACATCATAACGATGCGATTGGAATATAGGTTCGTATTAAACCTAATTTATTAAATGTGAATAGGATAAACGGTGGTGGAGTAGTGTATGGTTTTGTCGATATGTATATTTGAGAATGACGGATAAACATGCGGGTGGGTACATACTTTCCGACAGGGTGTGTATATAGATTTCTTAATCAAAACAGCTCGCAACCGCTCTTCTTTCCAAGGTTGTCGACAGGCTTGTAACATAAGCATGCACTAGTTGCAGCACCACCGTTACGGTGCCAGAATTCTCGATTATTATCATTTACTAGGGGTACTTGTCACTTAGCCAAATCGGGTTTCATGCATACGATATCAACTACACGGTAGCGCTCGCGGTGTTAACTGCACATACGCAACTTCAGGAAATTTTTTCTTGATGCCCTAGTCTCGTCAAATATTTCTGTATACTTTAATTCTGTCTAGACAGATTTTGTCTCAACTAAATTGCCGTGAATAAGTTCAGCACTCTATGCGATTGTCCATAGAATAGTGCCTTCCGAAGAAAAGCATCAATATATCCAGTTTCAGGACTACAAAGTAGGAAATTTCATTCATTTTCTCTCATACATCTGTAACAGTTATCCTTGTCCCTGGATAAAATTGCTACTTTAGATCTTATTAATATTGCCCGTCTTTATAATACACTAGCCCTCCAAGGCTCGTTAATTTATTATTGTCAGATTGTTATCTAGGCTTAGCCATAAGAATGTGTGAAAACTGTGTTTTCATTACCCCGGTTCTGGCAATTTATAGGGTTTCTAACATGTGTAAGAAATTACAAACAAACAGTGGATACTCTCGGGCAGTTCAAGGACAATTATCACAAGCACGATTTCATTTCTGCAACATGGCCTATGTTCGATTCATAAAACCTCGGTCCATCGCCCTATCTGTTGCCTTGAATGTATATTATTCCAAATGCATTTTTCTGTCATTTGGCAGAGATCGATCTCAACTTTTCCAACGGGAGACTTAGGTAACTGAGAGTGTTTACACATGGAACTACATAGTCTACATCGTTTGTCATTGCTGGATAATTTTGGGGCCGTCAGGATTGCGGGTTTGGCCCGATTGCTGTCTAGTAAACAATAAGCCAATGGCAATAACTACGGATATCTATATGCTGATGGGCCTAAAATTAAAGGGCCCATGCCCTGCATTGTGCAATCTCGTAGATGACTGGTCTCCGGGCGGAATCACGCCGAAATATACGAAAGGCTTAAACCTAAATCTTGCCGAATAAATAGGATCTAGTGCTTCTTATTCACTTGATCTTAAGCGTTTGGGACAAAGCAGTCATTCTCCGAGGCCCAGGCTCAACACTCGCTCAAAGACTAACCGAAAAGGTTGCCTGATCTCTCTCTAGCATCAACAAGGGTGCAGCGGTTGTGGATATTCCAAGACAATGAGCGCACATCTACAACCCAAGTAGACCACCTGCATGCAACACTAATTGCTAGCATGACTCGAAGGATTCAGTGGGGAAGAAGGAAACCCCTCATTACCTAAATTTAGGTCCTAGATACTGTGGTATAGTGTCGGTTCAGTTCACTGCGATGCCCTTTAATCCGTACAGCATTACTTCGAGCAAGTTCCCTTCTCAACTATCTATACCGCCTTCAATTCTCAATTATCTTTGTATCTTTATCAAGAAATACCTATATCCAGAAGTTTAGCAGAGCACTCGCCAATCACAACCTCATAATTGAAGAATATGGCCACCCATTCTGAGCCCCTCCATCCCGAGATTTACATCGGGGATCCAGAATTCACCTCTCTATTCCTTCCTTGTATACATAAATAAGCGGTAATCTCCGACCATGCGTCAGTTCAGTGCCAGCTAGATCTTTATGGCAGTGACAGTGTTGGGTCGAAGTTCGGCTGCATCAACGCCCACGCAGGCAATTTCACTTCGCTATGTGCACCGAACTGCTTGCCCGAGAGGCTCGCTCTTATCTGTTACACCATTGATTACGGATTCATCCATGATGGTACGGGAGCAAGGAAAATTAAATTTGCTAGTTTGGACGAGTACCTCGCATTTAGGGTCGTTGATGTTGGTGCAATGTATGCCGCTCTTTTGTGAGTGAAAATATCTCAACCGCCGAATTTGATTTATTTATAGTTGGACGCTTGCGCTCATTCGATGGGGAACCGGAATCTATCTCACCCCCGAGGAATAACGGATTGCCGGACCCATGAACTACGTCGCATATGCTGCTTTGTCTCTCACAAATGACTATTTCTCGTGGGAGAAAGAACAGAAAGCTCATATCATGAGCATTGGACGTATACCATTAGTCAACGCGGTGCAGATTGTCATGGTCTCCAAAATGTCAACAGAGAGCAAGGCCAAAGAAGCCATCCGAGCGGAAGTCAGAACACACGAAGAGAGGTTCTGCCCGCTAAAGAAGCAGTACCAGGCTACTTCTAATTCATCGGGATCTATTCTTAGCTTACTCAATCTGCTGGAAGACACAATGGCTGGCAATTTTGCTTGGAGCCTTCGGGTCTCGCGCTACTGGAAGATTGATCGCAACCCTTATCACGATCACCTAGGAGCCTTTGGCAGCGACGAAGTCCGAGTTATTAAAACGCTTGCTCAGGTCCACGACGACGCATTGGTCGACGATACGGTTATGGTTGATCTCGTTGATCCCGAGGGCGTCAAAATGTCAAATGCGTATAGGTACCATTTGGTTCTGGCTGATCTTTTGACGAGACCAGCGATTTTGTGTAATGCTAAACGTGATATCGTGATAGAACTTGAAGAAAAGATCTTGATGAAGTGTTCTCCGAGTACTTCGCTCAAGGAGGAGGTAAGTCTCAGTCCATTAAAATAGGATGGCAAAGGCAATGGCTAACCATTATACTACAAGCTCGTGTTGAATCCATACGCTTACATCAATTCGTTGCCCTCTAAGAATGTGCGGCAAATACTCATATCGGCTTTGAATTCTTGGCATAAAGTGCCCGAAGAATCCCTGTCAATTATAGGTGACGCAATAAATTATCTGCACAACTCATCATTGTTGTATGTGTATAGAATCATATTGAATTTGTATCTTTACTGACCAAGACCAAGACTTGACGATATTCAGGATGGAAGTTCACTACGACGTGGCAATCCGGTCGCGCACCAAATCTTCGGCGTTGGCCAGACAATCAACGCGGCTACGTACTTGATGAATGAAGCTTGTGTCTTATGCAGAAGCTCTCTCAATCCGCAGTTTCCATTTACTCGGGTATGGCAACATCAATCTACTTGTTTGGATAAAACGAGGCTAATGCGAGTAGATGAAATGCGCAACCTCCATCTCGGACAAGGTCATGATCTCCATTGGAGCCATCATACCCATGTTCCCAGCCTGGAAAAATTCATCAGCATGATTGACGGCAGTGAGTTCCGCTATCGAGTTTCTAGTTTTTTGCTCTACTAAGCAACTGATAGAGACCGGTGGCCTATTTCGTCTTATTAGCCGATTGATGAAGTCAGAGGCCCCAGAAAATAGGTAGTTGATTCCTACCTCGCAATTAATCACATTATCAGCTAACATGGGCTTGGGGCCTTGATCTGAATCACTTTTCCACTTTGCTGGGGAGAAATTTTCAGATCCGTGACGATTACACCAAAACCTCAAAAATCCTGATGTACTAGTCCGCCTCCTGTCCCGTCTTACTCGAGTATATACCCAAGCTAACACTACTATCGCATCTTTTAGTACGCACAGAATAAGGGCTTTTGTGAAGACTTCGACGAAGGAAAAATTTCATTTCCATTGATATTGTCGATGCAGTCCCGGAACTTCTCCATTATAGCGCTTTCTAGCATCTTCAAAAGCTAGCATCTTCAAAAGCCTCCATGAGCATCGACCTCTGTCCCTGGAGCTAAAGCATTATATGTTGGAGCAAGTGGCCGCTGGAGGGGTGCTCAAGCAAACGAGGTCTGTGTTGCAGAAACTGCATCTTCGAATCTTGCATCTACTTGCGAATACCGAGCGAGAAGCTGGTGGCTCAGAGAATTGGGCACTAAGATTGATGATTTTCAAACTCGATGTTGGTAATGACGGGGCAAAGGATATTGAAGAAAGCGATTCACCTTGGGCAGTGAATCAACAACCAGCGTGTGTAGGCTGCGAAGAGAATTCACGTCCTGTCGATCTGTTTGTTTCTTCGGGGTCAAGCGAGACTTATTGAGGCTAAAGGCAGAGAGATCCACCGGGATTTTAATTATGGCGAACTTAGTTGTCAATTTTGACTCTTTTTTGTTCCTTCTAGGAGCAGTTTTTGATTTGATTATCTGACTGTGATCTTTCATGAAGTTTTGAGTCCTCTTGAATGAATGAATGGGAAACATCTTCCGTGCAGTACTCGCTGTCTTCGAGAATTTCTATTTGTCACATTTTCATGCATATCGAATCACAGCGCTGGCCAAAATATTTCATTGACTACATTCTATAACCACATCTACTGCCAAACACGAAACGCACAAATCAAGTTCAATTCGACCAGAACCAAGTTTCCAAGACTCACATGTTCACTCCTCATGCACCATCGAAGAATAAAAGACTTTGGAGGCCCACTCCACCAAATCCGGATTGGCGCATCTGTAGCTTGTATCCTGATTTCCTGATATAAGTAGCTTCATTGAAATAAGTAATAATTGAAACCGCAAGATGAATAGAATGCCCAAACAAAGAGATCCAAATATACAATGTTCAGAACTGCATGGGTCAGCATTCCAAAGCTTTGCCTTATCCCTCTTCTCTCAATCCTCAACGGCTTGCAGACTCCTCTTCTGCATATCATCATTATTTATCTGCAGTGTCTCCTGTCACGCTAGATTCCCAGCATAGCCATCAAGACTCTTCAAGACCCGCTCATACACCTCCTCCTCTATAGGAGAAGTTCGGTTACACGGCAGTTAAAAGTAACCCATCATCCGAACCTTAGGCATTGGAATCTGTATAATTAGTGTCCCAGACATATGCAAGGTGTATGCATGGCTTGGACATTGGGATTTGTACGTCAGTTACCTAATTAGATACAAAGTGCATACATGCCTGGGGCTCTGCGTTCCAGTGAATCTCAGACTGGCGTGTCTACGTTAGGCATCCTGATAGTTTGTACTCCCTGCACTGAAGGAAACAGGAAAACTGATTTATTATTGACATCAATAACACTTGGGCAAGTCCAAGTGCCATGTTCTACACAGATCTACATGCTGCGGGGACCTGGGCTTTGTACATCTTGTGGTTTCGCTTTTGCTTTGCTGTTTGAAATTTATTTTCTGTTTGGAATTTCATTTGTTTTATTCACTTCTATGATCAGGTATAAGTGCCCTTCATGTCGCTTGGGTGAGTGTGACACAGAATGCAGGCTTTTTGTCTTCCGTATTGTTACACGGCCGAATAGAATCGGCACGCATGTGCATATCGTGGAAGGAAGGTTTGCGTGCGGTACCAAATCACGTTTACTGCATCATCTTAAGGGATAACTCAAGCGGTCAATATTGCATGACGTATGTGGTAAAATATAGCTGCCCTTTCCAAACTGTTATAACCTGGCATTAGCTTACTCCTATTCGATCGCTCTTCATCCTTTCCCCTTCTCGTTTGATACCGAGACGTCTAGCCACGCGTAACTTGTACTACTCTAAACGATACCTAAGTGGAGTGTAGACTTGGAAAACTTTCGCGCCGATCAAAAGTAGGACTGCGTAAGCGATCTATCCTCAAGATTGTTTCTCGGGCGCAGATGGTTGATCTTTCAGTCGGCCGATCGCTCACCAATATTAAGTGGTCTGTCAAAATATTTAATACCACGCCACCATGCTTCTACTAGAAAGTTATACAGGGGCGCAAATTATATCACGTATTTCTTATCCAAAAGTATTATACTAGACAGCATGAAGATACTCTGCCTCCATGGCTACGGGACAAGCCCCGATGGCATGAAACATCAGATGTCAGCGTTGATGAAAGCATGTGATCCCACCTGGGATTTTCATTTCCTGGCAGGGAAAGTAATTTGTCCACCTGCTCCAGGTATGTTATTTGTGCCTAATGGTTCTGGCTTGCGCGGACAATAACAAATCCGCATCCATGGCAGGCATCGAACACGCAGTTCCTGGTCCTTACCTTTGTTATTCGACAGAGCTCGATCCTGTCAGCATGAGGGCCGCTCTTGTTTTGGTTAAAGAAACATTTGACAGCGAAGGGCCCTTCGACGGAGTATTTGGGTTTAGCCAGGGGGCCGGGGTTTTACTTGCTTATCTGCTCGAGCAGATGGATAGATATCCAGAAAAACCTCTTCCCGTTCAATTTGGGATTTTCTGCTCCGCCATACCAATGATTGCGACAGACCAAATCTACTACCGCTCGGTGTTTGGCTCGCTCTCTACAGAGGACGAACAGCGTCTTCGCTCTGGTCAAGACGACCAATTATTCCATCTCGCGGAACCAGCTCGAACAGTAATCAAGCCATTGGTCGGGGTTTTGGATGTAATGGAACCAGTTCTTCGCAGACCACGTACGAGCTTCCTAGATCGCCAGCCGCTAGAAGTCCCGTGTGTGCTGAAACCAGAGCTATACAAGGCGCGTCTACCTATTCCAACACTTCATGTTCGCGCGAGAAATGACCCACAAGCCTTGAAAGAGTGCTCGATGTTGGCTGAGTCATTCTGCCTCCCTAAATGGCGACGATCTTTTGAACATAGCGCCGTGCATAGCCTCCCACGTTCTATGAATGATGTGCAGAATATGGTATCTGCTATGCGATGGGTTATTGCACAAGGCCAACGACCGAAGTTATAGCAAGTTGTGGAGTTGCTCAGTAACTTTATTGGCGAGCTTCTCAACACGTTGAATAGTGTCGGGTGGGGAACCAGCCTCTAAAACCGGGAAGTCTGTGGTAGGTGTAGAAGTATTATAAATGCGAAGTTGCGTCCCCTTAAATTACCGATGGTTCAAAAGAAGGCACTCTTTCGGCCAACACTTTCACCCCTCCATCCAACCTCGAGATTTGCACATTCAAAATACTATTCGAGGATTTGAAAAGCCTGGTCATCAAGCAGTTGTCAAAGATGAAACTTTTGAGGTGAAATGTAGTATGTAACAATGGAGAACTCGTTTCGTATGTTGGTGGCGATTCGCCTGGTTTGAAGGCATAGTACTCGTAGAAGTCTTCTTTGCAATCGGTTTGAACAAAACTAGCGCGGCCGCTGGTCACGCTACGACCACCTGCTCGGTTTTCTAAAGCCATGGCTGTAGCATGAGCACCATTCTTGTAAATGTTGACGTCGACAGAGAGAGTGGGGTGTAGAATTCCCGTTTCGCTGGCACCGGCGGTTTCGATTTCGGCACGGCCTTTGAGAGAAGACAAGATGGACAGGGTTTAGGATTGGATGCAGCCGTGCGGTAGCTTTGGGGTTCGAAAACATATAAAGATAGAGATCAGCGATCAGGTCCAGAAAGCGCGAGGTCTCATAACCTAACGGGGAAACAGAGGATGAAGCAGTACAAATAAATCAGTATGTACTGCGAGAGACGAGCAGGGGAAGAAGAAAGAGAGATCGGGAAAATCATATCAATCCTTCCTGTGGTACGCAATCTTAGTTTGATGTGCAGTGCGTGGGCAGTGGAAACCTTCTCCATGATGTTTAGCTAGTGGAAGAATGTACACGTTCTCTGTTCAGCTGAGAACAAATTTTCATTGTAAGTAACACAAGGCCATCAGCTCCGTGGAAATAAATTTTTACCGAGGATGACATAGCTCGATAAAATGACAAGCTGTCTTGTAATCAGGGGCTGGAATTCTAAAACACTCATTGCATTCGTTCTATATCTCTCATTTGCCACAAAGAAAACCAAATACTCACTGAATTAAAGCCTGGAATTATTACTAGCCTTGGCAACTAGCATTTGACCAATGCGGGCATCAACATTGCTGAACATATCAATGACAGCCTCTCTGAGCTCAACGGGGACATCTTCTAATGTTTCCGACACATTGGCAATCCACTGCCGTTTCTCATTTTCATCAAAGATCCTGTTCCATAGCTCTCGGGGTTGAATATAGTCCTCGCCATCAACAGCAATCTCGTTTTGCGCGAGGATAGCATTGTGGGCGACAGGCTCAGTGTGTCTCACGTTGGAAACGAGCTGGCTTGGTACACCGGGGCTCAGTGAGCTGCGCACATAGTTCGGGTCACCACCATAGTTTCGGCCTATGGTTCCCATTCCGTCGCGCTCGAAGGGAGCATAGACGGGGCAGATTGCTCGGTTGGAAGGGAGCTGGGTGTAGTTCACTCCCAGGCGGTATCGTTGAGCGTCGGGGTAGGCGAACATGCGGGCTTGCAGCACTGTAATATGAATGGTGGTTAGAATCTGGTCGAAAAGTGAAAGGAGTTGCAGGCTGTACTGACTTGGATCGGGGGTCATGGCGATTCCGGGCACCATGTTCGATGGGGAGAATGCGGCTTGCTCGATTTCGGCGAAGTAATTCCGGGGCTGAATCTCTGATTAGCGATTGCTCATCGTCCCCGCCGGAGATATCGTACGTTTTCGTTCAGAGTCATTCTACCGACTTCAATCAAAGGGAATTCCTTGTGGGGCCAGACTTTGGTGATATCGAACAGTCCGCGGCCGTATGTCTCAGCCTGCGCTGGTTCCATGATCTGCACATACAGTTTCCACACCGGGAAATTTCCACGAGCGATGGCATCCCACAAGTCCTGGTTGTGGAAGTCGGGGTTCGCACCAGCCATTCGGGAACCATCTGCGCCAGAGAAATGCGTGATTTCGAGACTCGGCCGGAAGTGAAACTTGCAGTAGCGGAATTCGCCATCGGCTGTCACCAATTTGAAGGTGTGGACTCCGAAACCTGTGACTCGACGGATAGAGGATGGGATACCTCGGGATCCAAAAAGATGCATCAAGGCGTGGACACTTTCCGGTTGATTGGTGTGGAAATCCCAGAACTGCATAATTAGCTTTCTTGGCCAAATCAATATAAAATGCCACTCACCATATTCCAATCTGGTCGATTGGTGGCTGGGTGTTTCTTGTGGCTTCTGTTCAAAGAAGGAAACCTCATTGGATCCCGCACAAAAAACACGGGCTAGATAACAGTCAGGATAAGATATTGAAATTGCGAAACGGCACATGTCTCAGACTCACAATATGGTTTCCAACAATGTCATGGTTGCCATCTTCCGTATAGAACTTCACGGAGAATCCGCGCACATCGCGAACAGTGTCTGCACTGCCTTTTTCACCGCCTGTTCCACTGAGACGAAAGAGAACTGGTGTTTTCTTGCCGACGCCGTTGAGAAACTTTGCTGACGTGAGAGCCGCAATGTCATTGGTGACCTCAAATTCACCCCATGCACCGGCAGCCTTGGCGTGAACCACTCTATCTTGTGTCAGATCGCCTAATACATCGGCCACACAGATGCGGGTAAATTGATGAAAGGGCTTCACACCTTTCAGGAATACGTTCACGGTTAAAATGAGTAAGGGTCTCAATGAGAAGCGTGTCGCCGAGTGTCGTATAACCGCCGCCACCAAAAGTTGGCAGAGTCGTACTAACAGACGGGTCTGAAATTGGTTGGCCTGCTAGATGTTAGAAGGACAGTAGTTCCGCAGGGTGATGTTCAGATATGGAGGATCCTACCCTCTGCCAAGGTGAAGCTAGGCTTTGACATTTTGATTGATTGTTTCACTTTGTCAAATTGATGGTTTGCTGATGTTCTCTCTCTCTCGGGGGAGGACATGGCTTTTATGAGTTTGCATCTTGATGCTATGACATCCAGTAGTTCTCCAATTTCTTCTTGCTAAATCGGTATCCGAGATAAGTCCGGTCGAACTCGTCATGGATAAGAAAGCAGTTACGCCCGAAAAGCCTCTATACATATTTCAATGCCGAGATACCGGTCGGGCGCATCTCCAATATAATATGATATGAGGGGAAGAATGTGTGTCAAACGGATGAAGGGTAAGATTTGCAAGTCAACGGCTGAGACAAGGCGTATTCAAATTAAGTTCTCTGATTGGCCGAAATCTCAGATTCGGCACCGACGGGCCGAGGCTCAGACCCACTTGGTGACGGCCAAATTGTCTCCGGCAGAACACCGAGTGTTTGCCGAGTATTTGCCATTTCCGACATGCTATTTGTATCACAACCGTTGAAGAGGCTGTCACTTTGATTCGCTGTAACATCTAGGGGGTTCGTGCGGGGGGCTTTTTTCCCCTCATGAGGAGTAAATCGGAGCTGTGCAAAGCTTGACAGCCACTATCGTCACGTCTGGAACCAGCCCTATGGAGAATGCAGATACACATTTTTTTTACTGCAATGCAGGGTTCCCAACTAGCCGCATTGAGCATCACTGACAGTCTCAATCGTTGAGTATCGCCGTCATGACGCCCGGGATCCGGCACAACGCGCTATTTACCATGGTCGCTGCCTTGAAGATGTGAATATAAAACGAGTGCCATATCCCATCATTTTCTCCATCACACATCAACACACATCGAGTCATCTCGACAACAAACAATCCTCACTCTCAACTTTCCTCTTTGAAAGATTTCATCTCAAGCAATGGCATTCGTATCCAACGGATCTGAGTACGACTTCGTCGTTGTCGGCGGTGGTACCGCAGGCAATGCAATTGCCGGTCGCCTCGCTGAGAACCCCGACGTCCGCATTCTGGTCGTCGAGGCCGGTATCCCAAACCCCGACCAAATTGACCAGATCACCACTCCCTCCAAGGCTTTCACTCTTCGCGGCAGCAAATACGACTGGTCCTACAAGACGACCATGATCAAGCGAGAAGACTATGAGCGAGTCGAAAAGCCCAACACCCGTGGAAAGGCCCTCGGTGGATCTTCCTGCGCCAATTACTTCACCTGGATTCCTGGCTCCAAGCCCACATTCGATGACTGGGAGGCTTTCGGTGGCCGCGACTGGAACTGGGATAACTGTGTCGACTACCTGCGCAAGTGCGCCACTTATCACGACGATGAAAAGCTTTATCCCACTGATCTTGCCAAGATTGGCACCGGTGGCCCTGTGCAGATCTCCCATGCCGACTTGGTTCCGGAGATGAAGCCTTTCCGCGATGCGCTTACTGAAGCTTGGGTCTCCAAGGGCCAGCCCCTTAGCGAAGACATCTACTCTGGAGAAATGAAGGGTCTCACTCACTGTGTTGACACTATCTACCAGGGTGAGCGCCAGGGCAGCTTCCTCTACCTGAAGAACAAGCCCAATGTCACCATTCTCTACGGTGTTCAATCCAAGAAGCTGATCATCGATCCTACTACCCATGTCTGCTCCGGTGTCACTGTCATCAGCGACGAGTACAATACCGAGCTCAGCGTCTACGCCAGCCGCGAAGTCATCCTGTCCCAGGGTGTGTTCGAGACACCCAAGCTCCTGATGCTGAGCGGTGTCGGACCCGCTGATGAGCTTGCCAAGCACGGCATCACACCGATTGTCGAGTCCCCTCACGTCGGCCAGCATCTCCTCGACCACCCAATTGTGCCTTTCGTTCTCGAAGTCAAGGAAGGATACAGTCTCGATGACCATATCCTCCGCACCGGTCCCCTCAACGACCAAGCCATTTCCACCTATCAAAAGGACAAGACTGGCCCTGCCAGCTCCGGATTCCTCGAGCTCGTCGGTTTCCCCCGTATCGACGAGCGCCTGCAGAAATACCCCGCCTACCGCGAGGCCAAGGCTGCGAACGGTGGACTCGATCCCTTCGGACCCGCTGGTCAGCCTCACTTCGAGCTCGACTTCGTTGGCCTGTTCAGCACCGCATTCCAATGGCACTACCCATTGCCCCCGAAGGGTCACTACATGACCGTTATCGTTGATTTGCTCCGACCTCTTTCCGAGGGCGAGGTCACTCTCAACAACGCAAACCCCCAGGTTCAACCCAACATCAACCTCAACTTCTTCGGCAACGATCTTGATATCCTGGCCATGCGCGAAGGTGTCCGCTGGACATACGATGTTTTGACCAAGGGCTCTGGCTTCAAGGATATCGTTGTCTCCGAGTATCCCTGGAAGATGCCCCTTGAATCTGACGAGGACATGAACCGGGCTGTTCTCGATCGCAGCCAGACTGGATTCCGTAAGATTATCCCTTATAATTATTTGAAACAACGCTAACACTCACGCAGACCCATGCGGTACTGCCCGTCTCTCCAAGAGCATCCACCAAGGTGTTGTTGACTCCAAGCTTCGAGTCCACGGAGTTCGCAACCTCCGTATTGCGGACGCTTCGGTCATCCCTGTCATTCCTGACTGTCGTATTCAAAACTCGGTTTACATGATCGGCGAGAAGGTTAGTTCCAGTCTTTCTGATGGATTTCTTGGCAACGCTAACAAAAGTTCCAGGGTGCGGATATCATCAAGGCTGAGCACAAGGATCTCTATGCGGCTAAGAATATTCCTCTTCTTGTCTCTAGCAAACTGTGAGACACTCCTGTCAGGACATCAATGTCTACAAGCATCTTTTAGAATTCTCTTGTTTATATACAGCTTTTTGTTATTTAATTACTGTCGCGGTCATTTCGTTTTTGTTTTGCGATCCTGAAAAATCGAATTTCTCTCTCCTTATCTTACTCTCCATCATATTATTGTAAACTGTGTGATAGAAATTTAGATTGTTCTAGCCTAGAACAAAGTTCGGCAATGTCATTCAGCCAATGGCCACGGCTCCGAGAGAACCACAAATCTCGGCAAATGGTAGCCAATGATAGACTCAGATTAACATGTCAGAGACAGAACGAAGTTCCAAGTCATTAATCATGTACCTCGTATTCAAGCTGTACCTACCTTCAATGAATATGATCAGGTGCGCTTTGCACGGGAATTTGCTAATGACTTGGAATTTCATTTGGAGCATTCAAAGCTTTAAGTATATCCGGGAATACCTTTTACAAACCAATGAACAAACTCAACCTCACATACTTCTTCAAATTGATCTTGAATCGACACCACCAAATACTTTATTACCAAAATGCCTACGGGATCGTGTCTATGCCGCAGTCTCAGATATGAGTTTACCGCGGAGCCAATAATGAAGGCAAATGAAATGATCATGTATCAACTGTTCTAAGCTGATCTATACAGGCAATATGTCACTGTCTGTCCTGTCGCAAGATCACCGGTGGAACAAATTCAGTAAATTTGCTACTCCCAGGGGACAAGCTTCGTGTCACCTATGGCTCTGCCAAGCAATACACTGAGATGCACGAGAGTGGCATGGAATTGACGATCAACTTTTGTCCTAATTGTGGATGTATGATCTACAAGACGCATGAGTTGTTTCCTGGGAAGGTTGTTGTCTTTGCTGGGACGCTTGATGACCCGGATGGACTTGAAAACTCGAAGCCAGAGGCGGAGTTGTTTTCTAAACGTCGTGTTAGATGGTTGCCTGGTCTTAGTTGGGCGGAGCAAAAGGAAGAATTTTGAGTTGGGGAGATTTGTTGGTCGGTCCTTTCTGCTCATTTCTTCTCTCCTTCTTGCTTCATCCTTGCGATGATGAAATCATGCGTTTGGTCTATTGGTGTGAGTTGGTGGCACTTAAGTGAAAGTGAAATGGAGAGTAATATCATGAAAAGGGCCACAAAAAAAAGCTGATGGGGGCTGGCTACATTTACGGAGTCTGTTTTGCTTGTTGATTTGTTTATATCAATTGCATCTTTGCCCCGGCTAAGGAATATCTCTAGTACAGTCTTACACTTTACTGGGTTGACCTCAAAATGGGTTTCCGATACATTTTCACAAACTATAATCTGCGCTTTAAGTCGGTTGAAATGGTAATTGACATTTTATCGGGATAATAAAAGGCCCATTGAACGCCGTTCAGTCCCCCTATAGCTCTGAATTCTCCAAAATTTTGAAATAGCATGAAACTCTTACTTCCCTGGCATTTGCTGCTGCTGTTTTAGGTGAATATCTTGACCCGTCCTATAAATACAAGTCGCCATTTCCAGTCCAGGCTGATCATCCAGAAGAGTTACGTTACAATCTTAAATGTCGAAACATCTTCTTATTATCCTATTCGTCACAATCAGAAGCCTCCTCGAATTGTTGAAGTGCCGTTTGATACTCCTGCTTGTCCTGGATCTTGGCAATTGTCACTTTGTCGAAGGTGAAGGTCCAAAAAGTTCAAAAAGCCCGCAAAAGGTAGGAAGTAAGTAAAATTCCAGTCGCTGTCATCGAACATAAGTGATTCTTCGTGATTTTTCCCTGGATCACGACCATCCCGCTTCCCCATAACATTAGCCCCATATCAATCGAAAGCATGCTTCGTTCTCCCGCAATTTTGGAGAATCACAGTAAAATGAATTCCAAATAATTCAAATAATTGGATGTTTTGGAAAAATTCTGGTAGAACCTAACCAAGAACTTCGGACATTCGGTTATGATCGGGCAAGCTGTTGATGGGCAATTCTACCCCGATGAAGAAGATCTTGGATTGCTACAAATGCAAATATTGTCAGGACGACCGAGCATTCATCGAAAGACTCTATACGTACCTTCTGGGGGAGGTCCGACAGGCTCACCCACTGGAACTTTAGGGTATTTGATAGACTCGGGTGGAATCGGAATCTGTTTTAAAGTTGGGCCATAGGCACAACTATCAGGGACATGCGAACTTACATTGTTAGCTTCAAGATCCGCATGGACCAAGTCTGCTGTCCTCTGGATATTTTTCAACAGGCTCTGCAAATCTGACGTTTGCGACGAGACTGAAAGTAGCGGCACTCGGTATTTTGCGAATATCTTCTTCCAGCTATACCACTTGATGGACGTCGCTAGAACAGTGTAGTTATTTTTTGCAAGCCAAGACACCAACTCCATATGTGTGTAGGCGAGAAATAGACCTCGGTTGACACATTGAGGATCTTGTCTCGAGGCATTCATTAGTCGGCCATCGGATGAAGCGCGGGCAGCGTAGTCGCAAAGCAATGTTTGTAGAGACTTTCTGTCGAGTCTGTTGGCTTTGAGATTATCTGCGATCGTTTGAATTGTATTTCCTAAATTCTCAAGTAATTCAACGGCGGTGGCAGCTTCCTCAGGCATGATGAATATGAAACTTGAGGGTAGTACCTCAGAATATTCTCAGATAGAAATCGTGCGGGGGGAGGTTGATAACAATGAATCATTGAGTTCTTTTCTAAATCAGCCAATAATTTGGCACATGACCTACTGATATTGTCAAGAAGGTGGTGGCAAATATTGTGTCCAACCAAAACACCGGACCTCGTTAGAGAATAGAACAAATGGTAACATTGTTGCCTATACGACCAACCAAAGCTATACTTAATTTCTTGCTTTTTTCTCTTGTTAGATAGCTACGTGGTAAGATCTCTAGACCATGGACGACAAATCACCATTTCCGGATCCGGATCCGTCGACTCTGACGCCCCAAAAAATAAAGACCAGCCGCAAATGGTGGCTGACTTGCTGAGCCACAGTAGTAAGTATACCATCAATAGAGATTTCTTTGTGCAATAAGCACTGTAATCTGTTGAGTTCTAGATAATTCTGGAGTAAGCTAGGTTGTTGATGGGTCCAAAATACAGAATAACTGACCCTATGATCTGTTATAATTTGAAGCCAGGTTTGAAGAGCAGAGCCCAAATTTATCTCAATGATATGAACAGTGATATACTAGTAAATTAGTCACATGTATAGTTATCGTATCATTTTTTATCGAGATTGCGAGGAAGCTCAACCAAGCTATTTGCTCCCTTGACCCCGATCTTCGTATCTTAGGTAGCCATTCCAACACGCTGAAACAGTTTCACAAAGGATTGTTCTTGAAATACAATCAAAGAAATTACCTCGGAGGATATACCCCGCTTTTCTGCGTTTCAATTGTGAAGATTCTACGTCTGCATTTCCCCGCGGCTATGTGGCCATCTAATGGGACTATTTGCTGAGACTGAGCAAACCTGAAAACATGTTCTGTCATTAAACAAAACCCTTAAATCCCACGGTATTTTATCATGCCAGCATATATTTTCCAAAATTGATATGCAAACGGAAACATGAACGAGTAAAGTAGACATCCGCTAACTCGCCCTCGAAGCATTGCTAGCCAGAACTCAAGTCCTCATTCGAGATAGTAGGAACTGCGAAGCACGCAACTCTTTTTGACAGATCACTGCTTGTGTTACTCTGTTCATTGGCTATCAGGAAAGGTGCCTGCTATAGGGCGGGGGAATATTTCCTCAATCAGGATGAAATCATGTTTCTTGCTGATTGAGCCTCTCATTCTTCATTCCTGGAGACGACTTTGGCGACCGACATAAATTTAGCAAATGCACACTTCTTGATTTGATACAATTCAGTCCTTACAATAATGCTAGCTTATTGATAGAGATCAGAGTGACCCGCGGGCTTTACTAGAATGCCCATTTTCCGAGAAGTGTTAACCTCCTAGTTTGGTTCGGGCTCTGATCATCCACCCCTTGAGCCCTATTGGGTTTATATTGGCATATAGAGAAATTTAATATCATAAAAGTATTACATCTAGCTAGTTATTGAATACCTAGCATTCAGAGATAACAAGATAAAAAGATAAAAGGTATGAAGAAAAGAGACCCATAACCATGCGTCAACTGGTGACCCGATCAGCAAATTCAACCCAATGGATTGCAACTCTCTATAGATCAAAATTTTCCATTATGTCACTACAGACTCATCGGAGTTTCGGGCTCACATGTGGGCATTGTAAATATCAACTTGTGCCAAGTACATTTATCCGTGTAGTGATGCCCAAACTACTGTTGCGTAACACATTCGCATGATTAATTACGGATGTTTCTGCCACTCGAGTTTCTACTGAATGACATGCACACCGTAATTTTACGCGAGGTCACACAGTGTATCATGATCTTATGCAGAAGGATGATCTGCATGCATGAGTATGAAAGGAGTCTTAATGGACTATGTGGCCGCTGATAACATGACAACATTGACAACATTCAAGAACTTACTTAAGGCACGAAATTCCAGCCATTTGACCGTTTTATTCAAATTTCCAATTGGATCTCGAGCACCTAGATAATTTCAAGATGGCCCCGATTATCGATCTCGCACCTGTGATGTGCCACCTGGGTGCATATCTAACCATCATTCTTTATCACACTCGACGCCAGATTCGGATCTATAGCAAGATATTCTCTAAACACAGAGCATCTCTTATCCTTCATATTATCACCGGCATTACAGAATTGTCTCGATACCACATCACCAAAACACGACTTGGCCACGATAATATCCTTCCTGAACCCCTAGACGTGATGTCTTGCATTATCTGGGGCTGTACCAGCGTGGTCCTTGTAAGGACACTCCGTCGCGGCGATCCAATTACCACCCGGCCACCCTATCAAGTCGGTGCAATACTACGCCCTGTCCTCTCTATCACATCATATCTGCTCAAACTGCCTGACCTACACAAAGTATCTATATCTGCACTAGATAGTTTCCTTTACGCACGACTAGGGATCTTCTTCTTTACCTACACGCCGTATCTACGTGGATACTCCTCCAGCGCGATTTATTCGCTCTCCATCCCCTTGGCCGCTGTTTTCTCTATCCATGAAAGTTGTGTTCCTGGCGCCTCCTTGGTGTTTATCCTTGCGGTGGCCGGCGTTGCAAAAGTCAACGAGTGGGTCACGCATCGATCAAGAATTTTGGAAAAGTAAGTTGGCGCAATTCACTCTACTTTTCTTCTTATATGTTCTAATTTCATTGTTACAAAGATGCGGACCCAAGTCACAGATGGATATGCTCGAAGGATATGTACTCTCGGGGCTACTCTATCTTGGGTTTGCGGATCTAGACAGGTTGCGAGAAGTCTCCAAAAACAACGCACTGACGAAACCTCTTGCGGATGAATACGTTCCAAAAAAAGAATCTCTCACTTGACTTTGAATATCACGGTTGGGTTTGGAAGGAGACACCCATTGAATATCTGTCGCGACTCGCTGGTCAGTTTTCTGTGTCCCGCTATGGCGATGTGGTTGAACGCATCAAACTGGGTATTAGTTAGGGAATTTTGAATTGGGAAATTACGTCCCATGAGAAGCTCTAGAATTCTGGGAACTGGGTCAGAAGCAATCTCGGATGTTTTTCATTTGCCTTTGGAGATAGATCATGATAGATTATGTGTACACCGGCTTCCGTGTTGCTTATGTTTCTTTCAACTTTTTTCTTTCCTTTGTATAATTGAATACTTTTGTTCTTCTGGTACTAGAAATATATAAGAAGATTTATGTCGGGATAGTTTACATACAATACGAGTGAACGATTTAATAATCCTCTACTTTATCACGGTCTAGCTATACCCTACAATTCGCATCGACTCTCAAGGCCAGGCTCTTTAAGACTCAGCAACTATTGGCAAAGGTGGAAGTAGATATTGCATGAAAAACATTCCTGGGTGTGATGGGATCTCAGAACACCCGTTTGGGGCACTCTCAAAAGACCCCTCCGTCTATTGAGAGCGCCCGGGCATTGTTAAAGAGAAAAGCGCCTTTTGATAATGTAAGGAGGGTGGGGGCTATGTCTTTGAAGTGGTGCAGTAGTTGTAGGCATGATTCAATTGGCCATATTTAATATTCATGTGGCGGATCGCACATTTCCCTTTAAGGCAATGTTTGTATATGTTTAGAAATTATTTAATGGCGAAGGGCTTCCTCACTTATATATTATTGTGGTTCTCAATGTGTTTTCATGGTATCGTGGCCCATAAAGCGTAAGATACAAAAGAAAAATGCAAAAAAATGCTCACACTCGGAGTCGAACCGAGGATCTCATCATTACTAGTGATGCGCTTTACCACTAAGCCATGCGAGCTTCTTATTGGACAATGCAGCATTGTTTGCTCACATAAAGCTAAGGCAAGGTAAAAAGCCATGAAATCAAGAGTATCTTGAATAGAATGTTGATGGAGTATATGTAATAATTTGATTTTAAATATACCCTCCAAGATCTGGATCTCGGTTGCATTAATCAGCACATATAAAACTATATTATCTAAATATGGAGGTATGATATCCGTGTGCCGGTGGACTGATAATTCCTAATTCCGCGACAATACTGTGATTTTGTGATTACACATGGACAACAGTACTAATGAAAACCGGCTCTTAGCTCTCTATGTCTCTCTCTAATCTCAATATCTCTTTCTCTTTCTTTAATCTCTCCCCTTCATCATCTCTCCCTTTCGTTCTCCTTCTCTCTCTATCTTTCCCTCTTTCTGTCTTTAGTAACCAATCCACCATCATACTCTGCTAGCTTCCATTGCGAGTCACCTTGATTTTCATGACTTGGGGTCTTCTTTGTTTCTGATACCGTCACCTTGCGTCACTGGCCTACGAGATAGATTTCCTTCTCTACCGCACTCATCATACTCTACTAACTTCCATAGCTGAATTTCGCAATTTGAAATCTTCAGCTTTGCTCCTCACACTGTGTCATAGCCTCAAGTATCATGCCTCCTCGTCGTGGTCAAAGTCAGGGGAAGTTTGCGAAGGCACCGAAATCCAAAGAAGAGAAAGAAGAAAACAGGGACGAGAGAAAAACATACTGCCAACACTGCAGGTAATTCGAGTTAATAGATCATCCATGCTTTCCAATTTGTCGAGCATGCGGTGAAAGGTTTGCTGGCGGGACTGGATGTGATGCCTTTCCTTGCTGCGGTTGCTGTATCTCCTGGTCTCCCCATCAATAGTCTGCCCTTAATGAGGTCGATTATCCATTCTCAAATGTGATGATACAATACAGCTACTCAACTATACATGCTAATACCCATTCTTCTAGGTCACATTCCCTATTTGAAACTCATTATGGCCCGACTTAGCGACTTCCTTCTATCGTAGAATTCTTTAGAGTCGAAACTGGATCGCAAGCCCTATCGAGCCATCTTTCAAATATCCAGTGGTCGGGACGCTTTCGCTGATATGGCTTACAAGACAATTCTTCCGGATATTAAGGATTTACAGCATAAAGTGATCACCCTGGAGACTTTACATGTCGTTCGACGAGAACAAACAGAAATCAAACAGCTAGGGATCTGGTATGACAAGTAGCTTGATTTCTTAGTCTCATGACTTTCCAGCAACCTCAACTATTTTTGTCACCAGCAAGTTCCTGCTCACCTGACCTCATTTTGAGAGTACAAAGTAATATCTTTGCAATCTCCATCGATGGCAGCAGTGGCAGCGATGGTACATTGGCTAGCGATCCGTGTAGTCAAGGCAGCATAATTTCCTCGAGAAGTCTAGCTAGTCGCGCTGAGAACTTATTAAGGAGATTGAATCTTCTTCGAAGCCAGATGGCTAGTATTAAAAAAACCACATGCAGAAAGATATTATCTTCGTATCTCTTACACTACTTTTTAGACCTATTGCCCACTTTTCTTCCTTCTCATCCTTTTTTCACTTTTCCGTGTGTTCCTTTTTCCATCATTCATCCCACAACGCTCCTCATCAAAGAGACCTGACGAAGGCTATATCATCATGTAATTATTTATTGATATATTAAAACCTCTTAGCCTTCTATATAATCATTCCAGGAATATCATCATATACCACAGGAGTTAGGGGTGGCACACCTATAATATCATTCACTTGTGTTCATCCGTGAGTTCAGTGTTACAAAACGTAGCAGTCCAAGATAGCATTGCAAACTTTGGGTAGGACTAGGGATATGGCCTAGTAAGGCATTACATAGTGAAAACTCCAATAAAACAACCTGATTGAGGTATTCTTCGTAAAGGCTGATTTACTTCGTCGATTGCATACATAGTCTTCCACAGGTATGTTCAAGGGCCTATGCCCAGACGGTCGAATAGCTATAGACTGCAGCACCGGATTCATGTGTTTATCTACGATATAGGTTGAAGTAAGTCACTAGCTAGCAAAAAGATAACTAGGTAGCAGGGGACAATATCAAAGAAAAAGTCTTATTTATATGAAAAACATATGTTAAAAAACATCAAAAAATGCTCACACTCGGAGTCGAACCGAGGATCTCATCATTACTAGTGATGCGCTTTACCACTAAGCCATGCGAGCAATTGATGGAAGGTGACGGTGTTTTTTTGAACTATAAAGCAAAATTACAATATTGGAATTTCTTTTTTTAACAAAAATGCATCATGACCACATGTACGTGTAGTGCCCAGGTGATGCGCTAGGCTTACCACTAATCTTAGAAGCCATACGAGCATGTTATTGGTTACCTTTTTGACGTCATGTTCTATTCCACCAAAACATAACATTGAAAATTACAAAAATAAAAATAAAAATTTCAACACTGTAGTATCAAAACCTTTTCAAGGTCAAAATTACAAAAAGAAATGTGCATCATCCGTGAATCGAACACGGGCCTCGTCGATGGCAACGACGAATTCTACCACTAGACCAATGATGCTAGTTGATTGTGATTTGCTCCACTATAATGGATGAGCACTTAAGTGCACTTTACCTCAAACAAAACATTCAAGAACATCACTATTAATTATCAATCATCTTAGTTCTCAGAAAAACAGTATTGGAGACACATTCTTAGTAGATTCCAATTTATTCAGCAATTCCTAATATCACTAAATATTTTGAGATTCAATTTCTGGTTGAAGTTTTGATGGGCGACGCTACACCATCCATGGGGTGAAATATATATATTTGAGAGGCAATGTCGAACAGGAAATGTGAGGACTTTATACCTCAGACGACAGGCTATCTACTCCTCGCCATTGTGTAGATTTCGACCCGGGGAAGGCAATAGATACTGTAATTTTTGATCTATCATAATGATCAAACATAGGATATGTGCTATTCATCTGCGAGGTATACCAGAACAAAAGTATCTAACTCCACTCAGAACACAAATAGCCCCGTTAGAAGATGTACTACGTCACGAAGATGTAAAGTAGCAGATTGTAGGGATGCAGTGCCGGCGCAAAGAGGCACAACGATAACGAGCAGAGAAGTAACGCCAAAGTAGAAGAGTAATGGCAACGGGAAGAGGAACGAGAACTACACTAGGAGGAACACCGACTATACAAGGAGGAGCGACTATTATACGCAAATAGAATAAGGAACGACGCGAAGTATTCAGGGTTTTCGTGCTGCGCTACTCAAACCTTGGAAGACATGCTTTCACCACACGTGTACACAGTATCCACAAAATGTACCACATCGGAATTGAAGTAACCATATACCAGAGGTTTGATTCTATCTAGGACATGGATATTCTTATCTACCTCAGAAGCACTAGTTTGACCTACATATATAGCTACGATGGCGTCTGATACCTCGAGCATCAAATACCGTTGAGCCCTGGTGGCCAGTCTCCCAATAGAGCAATGATGACTGCAAATCGAAAATGTCTGAGATGTCATGCTCGAGTTTGAGATGTAGTCAATAGAGCGTTGAATGGCAGTGACTGTCTCAAGAGAAGGATAGGATGTAGAAAACTCCACCCCATCTCACTCGTATATAAAGAGAGAACTGCGTTACAAGTACCCTACTAGCCCTAGAAATAGGCTCAATTGAGAAGCAACTGTGTATCTAGGTAACCATTCAATTGCCAACAGGTCCTAATCTTACATGTTATGTCACACTAAAATGTAAGAACAATGTCCTATTAAAATTCGAAGTGGGCGATGCCCTCGTTATTTTTTCTCCAATAGAATCGATGAAGGCGCTATATATCCTACTGCCTTGAATTGATTTTCTCACCTATGGATGGTATAGTCGAAATATTACTGTTTTTTTCAACTTAGCGAGAAGCATTCATAAAGAACTAATTAATTAGGCTAGGGATCATATTCGAGATAAAAATGTACGCTAGTATATGAAAACATAACTAATGTTCTTAGAAGCTTGACCTTTTATAGTCAGGTGGAGCCTGAGCTCAGATTACCATGTACTTACCTCGGTGCACCTTATTTTTGACACACAGGTTCATGTAGCCAAAATTAAATGCCCCAAATATAAGCTCGCATGGCTTAGTGGTAAAGCGCATCACTAGTAATGATGAGATCCTCGGTTCGACTCCGAGTGTGAGCATTTTTTGCTATTCATTTTTTTTCTCGATCCTTATAAAAAAGATATCGATCTTGCGCACTACAGTATATGCATTGCATATATATACCTGTGGACTAGACAGAACAGGCTTTTTCCATGATCCCTAGTTCCAGGAGCAAGCAGACCCATCAATGCTCAATTGCTATGATACCTGAACAGAACAGGCTTTTTCCATGATCCCTAGTTCCAGGAGCAAGCAGACCCATCAATGCTCAATTGCTATGATACCTGAACGCCCCACATCCATAATGCCTCGGCATCATGATCTACGATGCATAGCATAGGGCTGAACGAATCTCCAAATTCAAAATCAAATACTATGGTGTAAGTCGAGGTGACGATGGAAAAAAGCCGCGATTTTGCGTGCTTATATCAAACAAAATCGTGGTGTTTCCACATAGCCAGCGGCAAGATATGGGAACTCGAGAACTAGACGAAAAGTGGTTCAGCTCATTTATGCCTACATGCGCTAGGAGTTACCTACAATGTAGGAAGATAAAAAAAACACAAAAACATACAACAGTGAGGATTCGCTGGTGGTCACCCACCCAACTACTAACTCACCGGCGTGTGGCTTAAGTACGGCTGAGCGGACGGGAAGCCCTGTTTTCCACACCCTATGGTCGTATGTATTTGACAAAGTATTTGAAGAGATTCTATAGGCAGCATTCAGCGCCCGGCGCGGCTCTATCATGAGCAAAACATGAAACCCACCACAGTTATAATATAATAAAAGAGGAGCTTCGTACTTCGCAAAATGCTCTTTTCTCCAATCGACTACCCTTCAACATCTTGCTACGAAGATGCCACGAAAGTTACCGGATGACTAGTCCGCCTTCCTGAAGTTTATACGATACTTCCGGATGTATTACGCGAGAAGATGGAAAGCGAGTGTCCCTTCAAGCTAGGACGACAACTAACAAAGGTTAGAGCAAATCCATTTTACTCATACAGATTGTTAACTGATAAGATGGTGGCCATAACACTCACTGTTGAGTACGATCTGGATAAAAGCGGGAAAACACAGCCACCCGTGAACATCGACGATGTACTGTTTATCACGTATAATCTACTCGCCCAGTGTGATATAGCATTCCCTACATCCCGAGCTCTTTTTCAATTAAATACATTGAGAAAAATTATGACTTCAACGTCTGCTCGGCCTGGAACTTTAATCGAGTTTTCCGGACACATGAGAGCTAATGATGCTCTGAAGTGGAAAGATATCGAATTGTACATTCCGATGATCCACCGTCTCAAGTTCTTCTGATGAGGGTAACACACCGGCTTGTCAAAGGAAGGAGAAATCAAGGAGTTGCGTAGGTGTTTTCTATGCCGAAGGAATCATCTTCTGACAGAATCTAGACCGATCTTTACATACATTGAAAGAAACGATAAACTAGGACTCTGCGTCATCCAGGACATACTTATGTATGCATTCCTTGATGATGCATTCGAGAGCCCATTCATCAAACGCCCCAGAGAAATTTGGGAACTTATAAATGTACCTGGACATCGCCACAGTACGCCGATCCATTTCAAGAAAAGCATGAAGGATGTTCCTATCCTTAGACGTGCAACCCGAAACAAAGATCGCATTTTTGTTACAGATCCGGAAAAAGCCCTTCTTTATATCCAAGTACGGGAGTGGGAGGAGGATTCTAGCGCATTAGCTGGGTTGCGGGAGCGAGGGTCTCTCTACAAATATAGGAAGAGAGCGGCTGCAAACCTAAACTCCTATAGACGGGAATCTAACTTATTGCAGTAGGAACTTTGGATGAAAATTCAAGGAACATTACCACATTTGCCAATCATGTCTCTGTGAGGGATGATACCCAACCTGTGTTCATGGAGACACCAACTAGCGATTCTTTACTCAATCTCGCGAGCAATGCAAGTGACACGTGATGCCTCAGTGCCAGTTCATCTTTCAGCCAAGAAGGAGTCTCTCGGAGCGGATCCTGAAATTGTTCAACTAAGGCGAGACTGCAATTCTCTTCGGAATGACATTATTGCTGAATTCCATCAGTTGAAGAAGGCAAAAAAAGCTAGCGACAAACGTTACCACGAGTTTACAGCACTGCGGACTCAGACCAGGACGCGTCGAAAGAAGCTTTATACGTTTGTCAGGGAAGAACTTCGTGAGGGGTTCTTTGATGGAATTGGTAATCAGATCTTTGAGCATGATTGCCACGGGAATCCGATAACTTTCATACCAGATACCTCTCGAATACAGCCGGAGAGAAAGAGTTTGGCTGACCTCGAGTTCAAGAATAGAGATGTTGATACCATCAGCGATGAGGAGTTGGTTGGGGACCTCATTAAATCCCTGGAGTTGAGGTTGGAACTCCACAGGATTCAGATACCAAAGCCTTTGACGAAGCATCTGAAACTCAACCAGAGCACCACAGAGTTGAAAGCTGCTTTACTTTGTTTCTTGAAAAGTGAAAGTGGCCTCGGATGCCCTGTATGCCCAAGTTGTCCTGATTTACATTCACAAGCAAAATTATATGTGTATTCACGAAAAGATGCTCTCCAGGCTTATTTCAAAACCCACAAACTGCCGAAATAATTTGCTGGCAAAGGTCGCCTATGTGATATTCCTAGATGCGAAGGTGTTTTGATGTCTCTTTCGTGATACAATGGTCATATGGCAAAGTGCCCTAATATCTTTGTTTGACGAGCTGAGAAATGAATGAGGAATTTTGGGTTCTGATATATTCTTTAATATCTTGCTCTTCGCTTTGCTTTGACTGGTCTTTGTTTGCCATTTGCAACATCTAGTTACTTGAATTAATGGGCTTTGAATATAATAAATGTAGGTAAAAAACGATGATCAAGATTATATGGAGAAGTTCACTAGACAACTGGAAGACAGGGAACCCTGGCTGCATTCGTCAGAAAGTGGGGGAGCAGAATAAGGATCTACAGGAATGTTACTTTTATAATTTGTCCGAGTTTCGGTCATACCATCTAGTATACATTGACGAGTCGGGCTGTGATGGACGGGTTAGTTTCTGGAGGACAAGTTGGTCACCACTCGGTACTACAGTATCCAAATTTCACCGGGACCAACGCTAGAGTATAAGGCTTGATTCCTTTCAGATTCATATTTATTTGCATATGTCCAAATCTAGCTGTTGAACGATCAACTTAGCATTGAGGTGAGCTTGGACAAGCGGTCAAGCAACCTATGTTGATTTCATATCAGTCAGTCTTGTAAGAAATATGATAAGGCATGACTTCCCAGTCAGCAATACTTAATTCACTCACCAAGTGCACAGGCTCCTCCTGCTGGGTTTGATAGTCCACAATAGTTCACGTAGCATTCGTCTCTACTTCTGCAGCAAGTATCGATGTTACAACACGGGCTCAAAAAGTCGCAGCAGCGCCTAGTGAGCTTCCCGTCGTGCCCCTCGGTAGCGGCGACACGGGAGACGACGTCTTCGTAGGCAGCGAGTTCTTCGGGAGTTTTCAGAAGCTCTATTATTTAGTCAGTGGGAATGATGGACTTGTGCGGGCAGAATTGAAGCTTACCATGGATATCAAAGGTCTGTGCAGCGCTGATAGCAGCTAAAATAGTCATGGGAATGATGAAGCGCATGTTGAAAGATGAGGGAGAACGTCGTGGTAGCTTAGTTGTTCTATGGGTCTAGTTGAGGGGAGGACATATCTTTTTATATTGTTTTCTAATGTAACACCATTCGGACCCCGCAAGCCTAATGCAACCCTTAGCATTGTTCCTTGGTGTATCTCGCCTCTGGCGGGACAGAGATCAAAATTGAGGCACAGTTAGAGCGCCAGAACGACTATCTTATTAATATGGAATCGCTTAGGCAGAAAGTCACTCTAAGTGGTATTTGTTAAGTGGGTACCGACTGGGAGTCAAAGTTACTGGTTGGGAGTTTGGTCCATAGCCGATATTGAACTGGACCAAATGGCTAGTCCTCTCTAGCGGTAAAATAAGATGAATCAAGGACCGTCTTCTCCTGTCGGCCCTTCAAATCTCCAGATCCCGGTCGAACCATCAGGGTAGGGGATAACAAAAGTATAGTCTGAGAAAGCTGTATTACGCTTTGTTACGTTGCAAGTTCCCAGGGCAAGACCTAGTTCTCGCCGGTAAGTATACGCCCTAACGTACTGCCATTGACCAGAGTTAAGCCTAATTTCAGGCTCAATGGATGAAAATATAAGGCTAAATCATGCTACATCTTGGCCTCGAAGCGGTCAGCAGTCAGAGCAGCAGCTGTACTATCCTGCCAGAGGTGGCACGGCGTCGCTATGATTGGCTCGTAGATTGGCACTAAGTCTCGTGGAAAAGGCCCGAAGGATCTCGAACGATTGCTCTTGGTTTCCCCGCACAAAGCGAGCACCGAAGCTACTGCTAAAAGCTATCACTGCTATTGGTAGCTTGCTTTCCCTAAGTCCATTCAAGAAAGGAGCCAGGGCCGATGGCTACTTTGGAATATCAGCTCCAGCCTTGTGGAAGAGATGATCCGTGCACGACTGGCCGATCGCCCGGGGTTGGCTTCACCGAAACCGAACCCAGATTCTTGTTCGCTCAGGCCCAAAGATGCAAGTGAGACCACAAGCGGTTTGTCTGATGAAGATAGCCTCTATTTCTCGCTAATTCTACTGTGTGGTTACACCGACTTGATTTGATGTTACGCCATGAGAATATCCGTCCCTCGGATCACCAGACATTCATCCAGTGGGCTGGCGAGGCCAAGCGGTGGCAATTCGAGAGACACAGCCTGTCTCTATCCGTTAGCGAAGCGAGACGTCGACGGCCGTGGAAAAATCACTAGGACTGCACAGGACACCCTGAGCATCCGTGTTCTCTCGCGCAATCATGGGCGAGGGCGAACGAAGGGGTCTTGACCTTAGCCGTGCCTGAACGGTCCGTTCCGACACGTGGCGACTCCTCGTGGCGCGTATTCAAAAAATCACTGATGACTACTGGAAGATTCCCAAGCCTCACTCACAGCCAAAATTTTTGCCGAAGGAGGGTGACGACGAGATAACAATATCCACTTCACCGTAGACTCATGGATCATCAAGGACCCTTTCTCAGAGCTGAGACGTATTTCATTTCCAAGGAATGATGCGTTCGAGAAACATGTACTTTTATCCCAGCCTGTGGCTTGAGCTTGTTTCATCTCAACGCTCGGATGCAATCTGCTGGCCAACAGCCCGTCACTCAGTAGTACGATGTCCAGCAACTGGCATTTTTATACAATCTTCTGAAAACTCAAGGGCACAAGAACTTGAGCTGGCCTGATATGGAGGCATTTACTAATTTGATGGCGATTCTCATATAGTCGTTGGGTCTCGGCCAAGGAATGCTACCTACTGACATTATAGCTAAGGCTAGCCCTGTTTTGTTAGATGGAGCTTGTCTGCTAGCACCCGCAGTCGCGCCCGCTAGGTCGATGCCAAAAGTGATCATAAGGAAGGTAGATGTGAATAAGTAAGCTAATGATGAGTCTCTGAGAAATATAAATATCATCTCCACTCGAGACTCCAGATAGATACCAATCCATTAGAAAAAATTCCCCAACTCGTCGCATTTCCACATCTTCACAAGTACGTGCGTACATCTCCCCACATCCCATGTTCAATCTCAGGTGAACCCATACTGAGCCTCCTATAGTAAAGATGAAACTCTCCTCCCTATCAGCCCTCTGTCTCACGGGCCTCGTCACAACGGCCTCGGCGCAAGGCAGAGTTTGGGCAAAACCCTGCTACTCCTCGGACTCATGCGAACAATACGAATACGTCGATGGAGTCCTCTGGGAGAAGGGCGAGTGTGTGAGCTTCGCGCGAGGGATGGCGTCGTATGCGATGTGGGGGTTCGGTGGTTGCCAGTTCTTTAACGAAGGGAGCTGCGCGGGTCGTTCCAAGACGGATTATGCGCCGAATGTGTGGTATAACTCTGATATCAGCTGGATCTGGTCATTCAGGTGTACTTAGTCTATTTGATCATAAGGAGTATAGTGAGGCACTAGAGACCAATGTATGCAAGGGCAGATTGGATTATATGATGGATATCATATGAGCAGTTGCCTCAATACCCACCTATTCTCGGCATCAGAACCAGAGCCAACCCATGTTCCATATCTAATCTACATCTCAACAACATACATCGATCCTTTCCTCGGTAGAGAGGCATCACTGCCACTCTAATGCCCTATCTAACTCGGAATTATACACCCCTAGCGTGATCAGTCGCTGCTGACCCCCCGTCAAGGCTGACTGATACCGCACATTCTGAGCATGCACAATGACCCGACAATTCTCCCCAATGCAGCGCGGTCCATCCCCCGAGTCGATCCGGAGTCGCCCGCCCGCATTCAGCTCCACATTCTCCATATGCACCAGCACCACCCCGTCTGGGCTTCGATCGGTGAGCCTGATGGTGATGTCGCCGCTGGCCGTGATCGAGGTGTTCCGAACGAAGATCGCCTGGCCAGTTTTTTGATCGTTGCCGGGAGTAGTGGAGTCTGGGTCCTTGCCGACAGTCAGGCAGAAGTTCCGGCCAGCCGTGACGTGCAGGTCGTTGAAGTTGCAGACGTTCGTGCAGACACGGCCGGCCGCTTCCGTGGCCGGGGAGCAGATCTCGATGCATTCGGGGTCGATGGTGCAGACGTCGGTGCAGGTGTCTGTAGTGCCTGGGTCCTCGGGGTCGGTTTGGCGTTTTGTGAGGGAGAGGAGGTTTTGGCTGAGGGGGTTGGGGATGGCGAGGGCCGGCAGGGCCGTGAAAAGGATGCAGATGAGCTTGAGCTGCATTGTGGTTGATAGAGAGGGAATACGAGACGAGAATAGGAAGAGTATACGGAAGACGGCCCCTTTGGGGGTAACGGCTGAGTCGACATTATAAGTGCCGCCGCTGAGCGGGAATACGGGTTTTTTTCCGCTTGATTATCATCTTGGGGTTCAGGTTCAGCTCTCCGCTAGTCCGCTAGCCTCCACCAGGGATGTAAGAGAACAAGCATTGTCATATATGAACGGGAGGAGAATATTCTACAGCTGAAATTTAGTGGAGCCGCTAGTCCGCTAGCCTCCACCAGGGATGTAAGAGAACAAGCATTGTCATATATGAACGGGAGGGGAATATTCTACAGCTTGTATTTAGTGGAGCCGCTAGTCCGCAGGACTACATCGCCATGACTCAACAAAGGGAATAAGAGCCGATACCATAGTTGCTCGATAGTATAGAACGCAAGATACTGAGTTCATATAAGTCCAGCCGCTCCCACGCTGAATCCCAGTGGATCTAGTCTTTTGCTCTCCGTCTTCACGGCAACCTCACTCAGGATCAACGCCGACATGGTCAAGTTGTCTCTCCTCCAGGCGCTTTACGGCGTGGCAGTGACGGCCAATGCAGCCATATTTGCAGGTCTTCAGGAGCTCATTCCCACGGTGTCCACTGTCCTGTCCGCCCCATTGCCAGATCCTACCTCCATGATCCCATTCCAGAACGCCACCTTGGCCACACGACAGACATCAGACGATCCCTACTGCCCCGAGGGGCTCATTTGCGACCTGGAACGCTGTTCTTCGGAATGTCCTGAAGGCCAATATTGCTTGGCCGTTGGGGAGAATGCTGATTACTGTATTTCGGAGGCAGCAACCTTCTGCAGATTTGACCCTACGACGCGCACGGCTTGGGGATGTTCTCGATCAGGCGTCGAGTGCTGGTACGTCTATTATTTCCTGCTTCATATGTTATGCGGATTGTTGCGGGGAGGGTACCTGCTAACAGCAAGGGCCATAGTCATGGGAACTGTTTGAATCCAGGAAAAGAATGCTGTGATTTTTTCGATGCCTCCTGTGACCTTACGCTGCAGGACTGTGGGCAGTGTGCGGTTGGGAGTTGTGGAGCGAGTGGTTGTCTCTCGTCTTCGTCCACCACCACCACCACTACTACTACTACTACCACTAGTAGTAGTAGTAGTAGTAGTAGTAGTAGTAGTAGTAGTAGTGGAACTACCTCGATAACCAAGAGTGCGAGCACGACTAAAAGCACTTCAACAAGCAACACAACAAGCAGCTCAACAAGCACCATAACAAGCACCACAACAAGCACCATAACAAGCACCACAACAAGCACCACAACAAGCACCACAACAAGCACCACAACAAGCACCACAACAAGCACCACAACAAGCACCACAACAAGTATCACCACAAGTATCCCCAGTACTACGGTGCCAAGTACAACCGCGACGACCTCAACATCAACGACAACGACAACCCCACCCACCCCGACCATCATCCCCGGAGTCGGAACATTCGTGTATAGGAGCTGTCTGGTCGACATCTGGGACGCACGGGTCTTGGTTGCCGACTCCGATGACTCCCAGAGCATGAGCGTGCAACGATGCGTCGAGGTCGCGCAAGCCGGCTACTGGCGATACGCAGGTGTCGAATTCGGCACGTAAGTATATCCTCATATCCATGTTCAGTGGTCGATCGACTGATCGATGTCCAGGCAATGCTACGTCGGAAACACACTCCATGGCCCTGATCAGTTCCCGGACAGCGACTGCTCGCAAGCCTGTGCCGGCGACGGTACACAAGCCTGCGGTGAGGCAGGCCGAATCCAGGTCTACGAAGATCTTACCTGGAAGAATCCGACAATCGATGAACTGGCCGCGGCCGTGGAGCGGTACAACGCTACCATGGAGGATGCGCGGGCAGTGATTGCCAGCTACCAAGGACATGTCAACGAGCTTGAAGAACTCCTCCAGTCTCAGTCTTCTCGCAAACGGCAAGCGCAGCAACTTGAGGAACTCGAAATGAAAGTCAGGAAAGACTACAGTGACGTGGAAGCCGTCCGGGCCCGGGAAGGTAGCTATGTCACGATACGGATATTCCCCACCAAATAGGCCCCCTAGCTAATCGGACATTATGTTTAGAGAGTGACCGGGAGGCCGGAAATGAGGCCCTAACTCATAGCCTCCAACGGGACACACTCGGGACGGCCAACACGCCAGCACCACTGCCCGAAGATCTCTTCGAAGAGTGGGGCATCACGGGCGAGAATTTGAGTCGATACCTTGGTCAAATTCGAACCCGAATCTCTGGGTGGCTGGATGAATTCCAACGCGCGCAGCAGGCCGGCAGTTCCCCACAGATTGATACTGCGGCGGCAGCTGCCGAAGTAGAAGTAGCGCTGCAAGCGATTGGGACTGCTTTCACGGTGGCGCTTACCACTGGCTTCTGTAAGTCGGACCCCTTCACAAACACAGAAGAAAAGTAGCGCGTTAACGAGGGGTCCCATCAGTCCTTGTCCTGGATAGTATTGTTTCCTTCTTCAAGGGACTCTTCTCTGGTGGGGGTGATGGGGATGGTGGGGAGCAGACCAGCACAACTACCACAACAGGTCCGACCAAGACGACCTCCACAACGACAACTACGACATCGACGTGCACTGCAACTGCCACAACCACCCCGGTTGCCATCTTCGCTGCTTCAGGCGCCAGCACTGATGATTTCAATGCGTTGATCGACACTCTGCCTGACGACCCGGGGAGTCTCACCCTCACCGAGTCCTGGATGCCAACTGTGAGTTTCCATGCTTACAGTCCACCTTCTTTGCTTTCCATGATACAGGTACTAATGTTCATACAGTACCTCTACACGGGATATGTGGACGGATGTTCCCTCGAGAAGCTGGCCAAGGACCCGATCGTCTCGTCTTGGCTTATCACCCAGGGCTCGCAGGCTATCTGGCAATTTGACCGCGAAGGAAGTCTGAGTTGTACGTTTTCATCTACCTAGGCAATTGGATTCATCATAGTTCCCTTGCATATGCCGTGGATAATATACTTGCAATTCACTCCCTCCTTAAAACTCTGAATCAAACCCCAAATCATAGATGAGACACAATACATAGAACCTCAATCAATCCCTCTTCTAAACAAAAGCTACAAGAAAGTCAGGATGAGACATCCTATTATACCAAACTGGCCGCGCACTCTACCATCGACGGCTGTATATTCTTCCCATATATGGAATTGATAATTCGAGTACATGCTTTACCTATATCCTGTGCAGTCACTGCAGTAGATCTGGTCGAGCGCGTATTTGGGCATATAATCCATTTGCTTAGAGTACAAAGAGATTTGTGGACGACACTAAACGTTTGATTGGATTTCACCGAAATATCTTGGATCCAGGAAAGGGAATGGTTATGTCCGGCGTGTGAGGATCTAAGCCTCACCCCGCAGTCTTCAGTTTGAAGAAGTGGATTGGGCTCCTTTATCATGAGATGAGGGAGCAAACACGTCACAGAAATAGGTCGATAGTACTCACATCGTATACTTGTCCATGCGAATGACAGTAGAAATTATTATGAAATTGAAAAGAAGATATCCACTCCGGAGAATTTGACACATTATGAAAATCCGATCTTTGCCAAGCCTGCCAAGCAGCAACTGGCGCTAAGCATACCGGTATAATGATGAGATCTTGTATTTTTGCTGCAGCTGCGGGGCCGCTAGTCCGCTAGTCCGCATTGGAATTGCCTCTTTTTGATTATACATGTATGAACAAGGGTCAAGTGCGTTGAATCTGTGACTTTCGGGATCCGCACATTGTTAATTGACCAAAATTTCTCTAATCATAGTTAAAACCTTAACACTGAACGGATATCACTTCATATCCAGCCAGATTCTGATGGCACCCAGTTAGTTTTGACTTCTGCAGAACGACCTGGGTATTCCGTTGTCCCTATTTGAATTCAAGACTTTGCATCGTCTTATGTACAAATTTGCTGTCGTATAGGATGGTGGCACATACTGCTCTCTCGCTCTTATACCACTGTGGGTTAGCTCGTAAGCCGTTCCGATGGCGTAAAATATCCCGATTCGCTTGGCAAGGTGGGCCGGTCGTTGCTGCATGGAAGCGACTTACTTCTTGGGCAAACAGCTACCTCTCATTCGTGTCGAGCATGCCAAATGCGGCTGCTATTTGATCATGGAGCTGTTCTATGGAATCAAATTGAATCCTGCTTATCATAAAGGCGTGGAAGGACGTATTATGCATTATCGATTCTAGCATACGCAGAAATGAACCGAATAGTAGTTGTGTATCATTACATACAGGATGCGCTACAACAAAATGCTTTTTGGCGTAGTTAGAGGCGCTAGGTAGGGGCTGAAATTAGTGCTTAGTAGCATCGGCACACTAGCGGGCTAGCGATAATGGCGCTACTCCTCCGTAGTCTCATGGATATAGTGGGATTACTCGCGGTGTTTATGCCGCACGTGAATACGGCTTCTCCAGTGTCTATGATCACAAGGTTTCCGCTTACCTTATTGCCAGGAGTTCTTTGCTTTCCGAAATGTCCTTATAATATACCTTGAAAAAGTACCAAACGCCCACATTATTGTGGCTAAATGGATGATTTTGTCGTGGCAGTGTTCTATATACAAAAAACAGATGTAGGTATTCCGTATATGGGAATGCTTGAAAGTAAGTATAGCGCGAGGCTAACGGGACTGAAAAATACAAGTTACGGCACAAATAGAGGGCGTAATATGATGGTACCACCAGGGTACCAGAGGGCCCATTCACACGACCCTGTTCCTGGAAATTCTGAGACAAGAGATATTTAAGTCAGCTCCTTTTCGCTCCTGGGATAGACATAAAATCCACCCAAACATTCTTTTCTGCAAAGTCTCCCGCTATTTCAACCGTAGAAACAATGTACATTCCTCTTTTGCGTGGCAGTTCACCCATACACTTCTTCATGGCTGACGAAGAACAATAGACCCCCAAAATGAAGACTACCAATCTCGCAACCTTGTGTGCATTGTTTGCGGCGGCTACACTGGCCCTGCCAGCCGGAGATCTTGAAGCCCGAGTTCTACAACCCCAAGTTTATGGCCGGACCTGCTACTGCGGCGATAATTGTAACACGGTCAGCTGGCTATACGCTTGGGAATGGGCTGACGGGTCATGCTTCAACTTTTATACGGGCATGGCGGCCGCGTGGATTGATGCCGGATCAGCGTGCACCTTCTACAATGCGCCTAATTGTCAGGGCTCCTACATGGGTTCCTCGAGCAAGTGTACCAATTCAGATGTTGGCTGGCTTTGGTCTGCAACGTGCCATCGGTGATAGTCGGAACCGTGCCAGCTTAACATCATGATATGCTGAATACAATGTTTTGCCTTCTTATTCCGGTAGTTCCAAATCTCTGTTCCTCAAAATCTCTTTCTACGCTTATCCAAATATATGGCAATTTAGTGATAGTTTTAACGTTATGAATCTCAACACTGTGCATTTTGACAAGGCTTTTATTTATATCTTCACTTTATTCATAGATTCTAGGGCTTCAAAGGTACCAGTCCAGACATATAAATCAGTTGGCCATGCAAGAATTTGAACTTACGCTGGAGTACAAAATTGACAAATTCCAAAAGCAACCATGACTGAGGTATCAAAAAATATCAATGGAGTAAAGGCGTTTTGTAGATCCGTCTTGTTGACCAAAGTGAGCCAAAGTGAAACAAACACAAAGCCAAAAAACTTGGGTGACAATAAATCAAGATATTATTTTCAAACCAGACCATCCTTGTACAGCGTGCAAGCCCTATCCTTCTGTGCCCATGGTGTTCTGAAGTGAAGGCGGTATTCTTTTCTTTGGTATCAGCTGGAGAATTTCTATCGTACCAATGCTCTGCTTTGGGTCCCTGAGACCATTCGTTATAGAGTCTCTTGCTATGGCCATGCGTACGTCTTCGGGCTCAAGCTTTTCGAAGTCATACCATGCATTCCTCGAGAGGGGAAGCTCGGTTAGATCGGAATGGACATGACTGTTACGTACTTTGTAGAACTAGGCTATAAGCTATTGTGTCATTTTGTATAAGCGTTCTGTTTATTTACCTTGATGAACTTAATTGAAGTGCAGGTTTTCCAAGAAAAGAAGTGGTGTTTGAGATATCCACGTTTTCTGATATATTCAGCCTTGAGCTTCTGGTAGAACTCGGTATTAGCTCGGATATTTTCGGAATAAGGAAGCATAGAAAGCATAGTCTGTCTGAGCCGAGTCCAAGGCCTGTCAACGCACCAATATATTCCGTTTGAGTAACCACGGTTCTTTTGGAATGTTGTATCTCGTAAAAAGGTCCTGCTAAGGCGCGTCCCTTCCTAGTTCCTGCTTGAGGAGGAAGGTTTGAACCTGAACAAGCGAAGTCCTTAAATAAGTCACTATCTTGATGTCTCCTAGCATTTGAATGTTGAGTATCTTGCTGATGTCGCGGCAGAGTTGGCTCCGAATCACCTCCATGACGAATCGGTATCGGCATGCAACTAACTTTGACGATATCGATCTGCTTCTTCCAAAGACAAATGGCGAAAGAGCTCTTTCGATCCACACTTCAACGAAAGTTAGGCTTAACCATACAAGGTAGTTTTCAAACTTACCATCCATTTAACCGTCAGATATCCAGGTGGACATAGATTATTAGGCTGACGCAATGGCCACCAATCTATAGATTCCGTAGTAAAATTTTGTATGCCTATTTTGATTTGATCGATGATTGAGGGGGCGGTATGTCAGAGAAGCAAATTTCACGAATGCCATCAAAGAAGTGCTGCCTGATTTTACACGAAGGCTGTAGGAAATTGAAGCAAAGGGTAGAAGTGGTCCCCGTTGAAAAGGGTTTCTGGCCGTCATTGTCCTGGGTCTTGGCGTCGGCACCGTGGTTAAGTAGTGTTCTTATACTTTATCCTGAACCGGCCTGGGCGGCGAAATGAAGAGGTGTACGACCGTCTTTGTCCTGGATGTTGACGTCTGTACCTTTGAACAACAGTGCCGATATACAGTCCTCTGAACTAGACTAGACGGCTGAGTGAAGAGGCGTGCGACCGTCTTTGTCCTGAATAATGACGTTTGTACCGTGGTTAACTAGTGCTCTTATACTGTCCTGTGAACTGGACTGGGCGGCGAATTGAAGAGGCGTGCGACTTTCTTTATCCTGGGTCTCGGCATCCGCACAGTTCTTAAGCAGTGTCGTTATACTGTCCTCTGAACCAGACTGGGCGGCGAGGTAAAGAGGTGTACGACCGTCTTTGTCTTGAAACTTGACGTCTGCACCATGGCTGATAAACTCGGAAAGAGCCGGTAAAGACCCGGACTCTGCTGCGAAGTGAATTTCTGTTCGACCTCATTTACTTTTTATCCCGATTTTAGCACCAATCTGGATCAATGTCGTTATGACTGTGACAGCGTCTAGTTTAGCCGCTTCCTGTCATAAGGTATGGCCTTCACTTAAGTAAGTATTAACCAAACCTGAGTACTTCAAGACTTCGTGAAATTCTTTCCAATTCTCATCCAAAGCATGCTTTCGAAGGCTTTTCCGGAATTCAATATACTCCTCTTCCACACTCTTAACGAAATCAAACAGCTTTGACTGGCCCCACTGCTTTGCCCGCTCTGATGCCGATATTCCTCGAGCGTCAATATCCTTTGAGCTGGCGCCGGCGAGTATCAATAACCTTATGCAAGGTTCGGATTTTGCCCATATTGCTAAATGAAGAGAAGGGTCTCCATACTGGCATCTTTCGGGGAGGTTTTCTCCTTCTTTGAGTGCGTTGTCTACGGCCTTCTCATCGCCTTCCTTGTCAGCGAAGTGGATTCCATGATAAGTGGACAAACTAAACTAGAAATCGTAATTCATCGTACCCGTCCGATATGATATATCTAGTTTCTTGGCCACATTGCGTCATTGGAGGGCCTTGCCCATGTAGGCATTTATCTCCGAGATGAGATAAATGAATTGCGCGTTCAAAATGATACTAGGTTTATTTTGATAGGCGCGCATGTCTTTCCTACAAAAACTATGACCAGTGTCCCGAGCCAGATATTATTAGTGGAATGTGGGGTATGTAGTGATCAAGGATAGCACCCGAAATTCACGTACCTATGTATATTGCGGGACTTGTGAATACAAACAAATTCTATCTTTGCTTTACAAATAATCAGATATACAATAAATAGTCAAGATAAAGAAATACAAACCAAGAGAAGCTGTTGAATTGAAGTGAACATAGATAAGTAGAAGTCAGATGCAAACAGAACAAACGGCTATCGGCATATCGGCGTTGTTCCCCGCGGTCGATTGTGCAAGGAAAAAGAAGAAAAAACACAGAAAAAGCCAGCAATCCTCCCTGCATATCTTTCAACTTTGCGCCAATCACTTTTTGCGATCTCAGCACTTTCATTGACCCAACATTGACAGACCGAAACCTCTGGTTAACCATCAATATGGTCCAAGGCGTAGCCCCGCAGGGCATCGTCTCCCTCTTAGACACGGATCTGTACAAGCTGACCATGCAATGCGCGGTCCTCAAGTACTTCCCGGATGTTTGTAAGTAGCTATAGACTGGGAAGTGGGACTTGGACTGACATCAGTGCAGCTGTGACCTACAGCTTCACGAATCGGACCCCGCACATGAAATTGCATCGCGCGGCTTACAAATGGCTACTGAAACAGTTGGATTGTGAGTGGATTAATACACGATGATCCCGGATCACATCTAACTATTCTGTCATAGATCTGGCTGAAATCCGCGTCACTGCCGAGGAGCGCGAATTCCTCCGCCAAAAGTGCCCCTACCTAAATGACGCATACCTCTCCTTCCTAGAGACCTTCCAGCTCAAGCCTTCCGAGCATGTTGAGGTCAAGTTTACTCCGACACAAGATACGGGCAGCGACGATGACGAGGGCAACGTGGAATACGTCATCAAGGGACTCTGGCTCGACACGATCCTGTATGAGATTCCTCTGCTTGCGCTGACCAGCCAGGCGTATTTCATGTTCAGTGATACGGACTGGGATTACGAGAACCAGGAAGAGAAGGCATACCAGAAGGGCTGTACTTTGCTGGAGAATGGATGCGTGTTCTCCGAATTTGGCTCCCGACGCCGGCGAGACTACCACACACAAGACTTAGTCATGAATGGACTTTGTCGCGCCGCGGAGGAAGGAAAGAAGCAGGGCTGGTCGGGTGTTATGGCCGGAACGAGCAATGTGCACTTTGCCATGAAATACAATAAGGCTGCAGTTGGTACTGTGGCGCATGAATGGTACATGACCATTGCGGCTATCACGGATGACTATGAGAACGCCAATGAGCTGGCGCTGAGCTACTGGCTCGGATGCTTTGGGGAGGGAGTATGTTATTTCTTTTATTTTCAACTTCGGCAGTAGGAGATCCAGCTAACCAGAAACTGGCAGGTCCTTGGAATCGCGCTTACCGATACCTTTGGCACGCCGGCTTTCCTTGATGCGTTCAGCAAGCCCGTTTCTGGGCCAAATGAGAAGGCTGGTGCCCGCTCAACTATGACTTACGCTCAGAGCTATACCGGTGTCCGCCAAGACTCAGGAGACCCAGCACACTTTGTCCAGATGGTCCGAGAATTCTATGACCGTCAGGGTATTACCGACAAGAAGACCATAGTTTTCTCGGACTCACTGGACATTGAGCACTGTCTGGAGTACAAGGCCATTGCCGAAGAGGCTGGATTCAACCCTACCTTCGGAGTAGGAACCTTCTTTACCAGTAAGTCAGAGAATTTGGCGCTTGATTTTCACCCATACTGATATTATGCTAGATGACTACACGCAAAAAACCACTGGGGAAAAGTCCAGGCCTCTCAACATTGTTATCAAGATCGCCACTGCAAATGGAAGTCCTGCAGTCAAGCTCAGTGACAACCTGGGAAAGAACACAGGCGATCACGCCAAGGTTCAGGAAGTTAAGAAGAAGCTGGGATATGTCGAGTACTCGTGGGAAGAGGGCGATGAGAGCCGTCGTTGGACAAAGCAAGCTTAATCAGCCGTGCCTTGCAGGATATTCCCAAAATATGAGCCATGATCACATCGAAGAAATTGGTGGTGGATTTTCATAGACATAATGTGTCACCACAATAGAGCATAAGAATAGATTTTAGTTGCTATCACTATGAGAGAAAGCACATCGACTGTATTTGAAAGGGATCTTTAGAGCCTTGTCTGTATCCGGATATGAGTTTCGCTGCATTGTAATTTGTATAAATTTTACTTAATCGGGTTGTCATCATCCCAAGGCTTCACAGTACGTTCTGAATGGATATAGCTGTTCAAAGTGGGCCACTATATCGACGTAAGAGGATCGTTGGCCGCTGTATTTTTACATCTTAAGCCATCAGGGCTCAGGAAGGAGCTTCGGAGCATAACGCAATAACAACAGCTGATAGGAAACGGCCGATGAAAACACCCATAGAAAGTGCGGTGTATGGTGACTGCCAATAGAGTGACATCTATGCAGGCAGTTAGGAGAATTGACCAGGAGTTACCTTTACTAAACGCGTCGAGTGTGTTCATGGCAGCTCTAACTGTCCAGATCAGTCAGACCATTCTTGATTCACTTAATCGGCACAATTGACATGGCTGAGATCATCTCTCCGAGTACCCAAGGGGAACCAATTGACCTCACAACCCCGAACACCCAATTGGAAAGTGTAAGCACCCTCTATTCCATTCAGCCACAGCAGCATACTCACTCCCAACAGGAAAACGACACAGAAACCTCAGACCACACAAGAGCAACAAGCCCCCACTCAATCGTCAGCGACATATCCAATCCCTCCCAATATCGACCCCGAGGCGTGAAAAAGATAATCTCCCAAGGCCACTGCCTAATCGGTCTGCTGGACGACAAATCTGTTCTCAAATACGCCAGCGACCCAAACAACAAAGAATACCAAAAAAGCATCAGAGTAGAATCCGCCTTGCTGCAGCTCCTCGGACCACACCCGCACATCATCGAATGGCAAGGCCTCTACGAAGAAGCCCTCAAGCTCAAATTCTACCCCCAAGGCACCCTCCGCAAATACCTCACGATGAACCCGCACGTCGAAATCAGAAAAAGACTCAAATGGTGCAGGCAGCTCGCTGAAACAATCGAGTTTGTACATTCAAAACGTGTCATCCACTGCGATATCTGTCTCCATAATGTCCTGCTGGACGATGATCTGAATGTCGTGCTTGCTGATTTCCAGGGCGTTTTCAAATCAATTACCGGGGCTGCGCTGCTCGATGGGTTAACGCGTGAATGTTCAAAGGCTTATATGCCAAGGTCAGATATTCACTATGCGAGTACGGGTAGCGATTTGTTTGCGCTTGGTTCGGCGATTTATCATATTATGGTGGGTCATGAGGTGTTTCCGGAGCTGAGCAGTCTTAGAGATGCGGAGGAGATCAACCGTAGGTTTGAGAGTCAGCTTTTTCCAGGTGATAATTATGTGGCTAGCCATATTGTGGAGAAATGCTGGAAAGGGGAGTATAGGGTTGCGGCTGAGATTACCGCTGAACTTGATGATCTGGAATTACTGGCTCAGGCTGTAGAAGCGGAGGGAGCCTTTGGAGTTGGGTAGATTGAATTAGATAGGTCATGGAGAAGGTTAGAAATCGGAGTTTGCAAGGTTTTGTATCATTAGGTCTCAAGAGTCCAAATTTAGTACTATTTCTACCTTTCAAAATTTTCAAGGCCCTGGATTTAGTAATTCACAGTAGCTATATGCAGCTGTCAACGAAGCGTGACGGGATCAGTATCAGCTGTTTCCAGACTTTTACACCTTCAGTAATATCACACAGCATAATGCTTGGGTGCTTGGATAATCGACCCGTGGACCGCAAGGTAGCAGAAACTGGATAGCAAGCTTAGTCTCCATTAGCACATTCCAGGACCGATATGCAACATGACATAAATCCTGCAAATGACGCATATTCGAGTGCATTGGCTCGTAAATTTGATATATACACATGTAGAAGAAGTATACATAACACAACCACCTTCATATTACACTAAAACATATCATCTCCAGATTGGAATCCCAGATCTTTGTCCAAATCACCAGTAATTTCCGGCCTTGTGTCGTTCACAGGTTGGTGCTGAGAGTGACCCCCAGGGGTAATATCATTTGCATCTTTCATAAAGGAAAAGAGATCGTCGTCTTGGACTTGTTGTGACTCATTTGTCCTCTGAAGCCCACTGAAAGTTTCGGCATGACTGAACTGGTGCATGTCTGTGTCCCGGAAGAGCTCCTGTGTCCAGTCGACGGCATCTGGGTCTTGGGCGTGTGGAGAGATGTTCATTTCATCGGGGTTGTTGCGATTCGAGTTTTGAGGTGTGGGTATATCGGGGAAGGAGTCAATGTCGATGGAGAGGAAGTTGAAGGGGTTGTTGTCGACGCTGTTGGGGTCGTCGAATTGATCGAAGTCGTCTGGGAATAAAGGTAGATCGGTTTCTCGTGTGGTTTGGGGAGTGAAGGCTTTTTGACTAGTGCCCTCTTGGCCTGATGAAGCTGGTGGCCTCGAAATCGGAGTCTCAATTCGAGTGACTGGCTTCTCGGGTAATAATGTGTTGGCTTGAGGCGTAGAACCAGATTCTGCGCTTGGTTTCCTAGTCGTCAATGAGGTGGCCGGGGCATCGAGGTTGTATTGCATCACCTCGAAGAATGTGCTTGATGCGCCGGACTGCATCTTTATGGCAGCTTCGATGTTGGCAAACTCTTGGTCGGCCGCTGGGTAGATATCCTTAAGACAATGGAGGACTTGAATACAGCGGTGGAAATTGTAGACACTGCTTTCACGGACGGCTGGATTGTCGGACATGGTGTTGGATAAGTGTGCCACAGCAGCAGGTAGAATCACAGTCACGCCAGACTGTGGTAGGAAACGCGTCAGATTGAGTTGATTTAAGCCTTGAATGATATGTGTAATGCCTCCAGCTGCATCATGCATCTTCGTGCGAGCAGTATTCCGCCAATTATTACGTGATTGAGACTGGTCGTTCGAGGCTATCGCCCATGGCCTGTGGAGTGCACTGCTGGTTGCATGGTAGAGCATGCGGAGCATTGCGCCATGTAGCAAAAGCACATCTTCACCATCACGGAAATTGGTCCTTGTCTTTGGTACGAACTGTGCGTCTTTAGGAAGTGCACTAAGCCATGAGTCGAGTTTCTGACCACACCGCGCAAACTCAGACTCAGAGGCCTGACGGGGAACGATTGTGACTGTGGTGCGATTTGTGGCTCCGAACTGGCGCTGTGACGGTGTATACTGAGCAAATAGCACTCTACCGATACACTGACAAAGCTTCATCTTCTCAATGAACATAATAGCGAGGCGCTTCTGATGCGATACGTCTTCAAGTTGGCGACATCGGAAACTTGCCACCACAGATGGTGAGAAGGGTTCAAAATCGAAGTCGTCTAGCCGGAGCATTGGAACACTACTTGTTCCCTCGTTGACTTGTAGTGGGCGGCGCATGCCCATGGCAATAAGTCGATCTCGAGAGAATAGACACCACCAAAGCCGAGAGCGTAGTCGTCGAGTCTGTAAATCCATTTCGCCCGATGCAGGGTCCCTATTCAGCCCAATTGAATGTGCTTGTGTGTTACAAACTCCGATCCAGTCCCAGATATCCCGCTGCGGGCTATTCTCTGGATCAGACCAGTAGGTCATCAATAATAATGTTTGTAGAATCACAATGCGATCCTCTTCACAATCAAGAGAGTATAGTAGCTATGAGCAGGTTATTGAGTTAGCTGAGTAATCCAAGAAAAGGAGGGCTCGAGAGAACACAAACCCTTAGGCGAGTGAAAAAAGCATTACGTGCGCTCTTCCGGGTTGAATACCCAGCGTCCTGCAAGTGTTTGAGATCGACGAAAGCAGTACCGACAAACATGACTGCTTGGAACAACAAAATACTAACATTCCCCTCTGGGTCATTCTCAGCCACACACCGCAAGAACTCTTGCAAATTCAAGACTGGCATAAAACTGTGCACCCATTGGATATAACAGCGCAGCAATTCGTCTCGAAGCCCGCTCTCCGGAAGAGACAGCGCGCCACGGAATCGCAGAAACTCCAAGTCCTCAGGTGCAATACGAGCGGGCAACGGCTTCAAAAATTGAGGCTCATCATCCAGCATCGCGGTTAGCGGATCAAAGTCGGGGTCTATCAGGTCCTGTACGGCAGACACCATGTTTGCCAAAGGCATGGAGTGTTGCACATCGGGGTTTCCGGCCCTTCGCCATCCATTTGCAGGTTTAGACTCGTATAGCCATGGTACTTGAGGGTCATATTGAAGGCTGTGTCGCTTGGCTGTAGGGTCGAGGCGAGTGTCTGGCGACTTGCGCTTCAGAGTGTGCGCCTGGCTATCAGGCGTTGACGACATGACCTTGCATCTAGGGTATATCAAGTGGGTCTTAGATACATTGAGTTTCCGCGTTGCGAATTGATCGACGTGTCAAGAAGTTGGTGGTTGAAGCCGTAAGAAAGCGGTGTTCGGAGTCGGGGAAAAGTGTGGGGGCGTGCGGAGAATCTTGGCGGGAAGATCGCCACTACCTGCAAAGGTGTGTAGCGGCCAACGGTCGGATTGAATTATCTGCAGATGCTTGACTTAAGTTTGACAATAAACTAAGATACTTGAATTACTATACTAAAGGCTATAGAAAAAAAAAGGGGTGAACAAGAGGTGAAAAGAGTTCTAAGAGTTGTCAATTTGATAATGTATAGAAAGTGAATCTGACCCCTGGCCGCTATGCATTTTCCCGCTATGATAAGATCCAGAATGTGATCGAGGAAGCCGATAAGGAGGTGATGCCAACGAGGATCGGCCAAGATAGCGATGGCCAGGAAGCTCCGTACAGCCCTAGGTATCGTAAAGGTAATCCCATCGAGATGATGGAAGAGCAAAACGACTTGCCAGACAGAGATGCCACCGATACAATGATAGAAGGACAAAGCGACTTGCTAGAAATAATTCCCATCGACACAGTGATAGAAGGGACTGAGGATATTAATCGAGAGTCTAGAAAGCCTACTTAACAAGCAGATAAGATCTGGAACAGGATAGAGCAAGCCGATGAGATTATATCACCAGGCATCGGCCAGAATGACGATGGCCAGGAAGCTCCGTATAGCTTAGAGGAACTGGAGCTGCACCGGATTTTCAAATTTTTGTGAAAACACCGGCACAAGATACAGTGCAGCCATTGCCATCAAGCTGCTAGTACCGTACAAAAGTGGCAAAGTTTGATTTCTGGCATCCGCCACGCTTCTGTCCACCGTCTTTCACAAGATCGCGATTCTCTCGTCCAGATAAATAGTGCCGCCATTGAGTACTTTATTTATATCGGTGGATTTCCAAGCATAGAGAAGCTTTGCCGTCTCTTGAAGTTCCTGGAGCGTAGACTCCCAAAGTCAGAGCGTCGTCTAGCGCAGCCAAGACGGAAGTTTAAGCACTTAGCTTCTTTGCCAAGTTTGCGCTATGAGCATCTGAAAGACCGATTCCTGTTGCTGCCAAAGCCCCCCCCCGGGAGTTCTTGACTGGATTGAGGAAATTTACAATTCGAAATGGTTCCTGCAAGCTGCATTCCGATGAAGCCGATGCACTACTTAGTATTAGTTTCTTCCGATCCGGTAAAGACGTCGAACTACAAAGTTTTGTTGATGTGTATCTCGCAAGAAGCAATGTGAAATGATTCGTAGGGTGGTCATTAACACCAAGGAGTGTGGACCGACGAATGAAATCTCAACGACTACCCCCGGTACTGTAGATCAAGGGGGCTCATTTGTGACCTGGGGAAGGATTGCAAGGGTGTGCAAATGTCGGGACACGATCTATAAGCCTAGACTTGACGGGCCATCAGCGTACGGATGGAACATGATTTTGTTGCTTAGGAGGTATGGTTGGGGCAGGTGGTCGTGTCCTCCTAGTTGCTCTCGCAAGAGAGTGGTTGGTTCTCCATCGAATGGAAAGTTGCTGCTTTGTCTTTCTAGTCTAGAGCGTTCTGGAAGCGATGCATCTTCTCCTGTATCAACCTTCCCCTCAATCAATATACTCTCTTCGAACCCGACACTTCCTCTACCTATCTGCTCCAATTCTACGGCCAGCCTGCCCACTCTAGCAGATAGCCTTTTGGAATTAATGTTAATTTTGGACGGGCAAAATGGTAGATCTAAACAAAGTCTCCGGTTTTTGCACTAGAGGCCGAGAAACCGATTGGGTCCCGGCCGACCCACAAAGTTTGTTTCAAACACCCATCGCATCTCGCGCCCGTACCTTCTGGCGGCGTCTACGGGCAGGCGCTCGGGCAAGATAGCCCCACGAGGGGCACCAGCAATACAAATATGAAGGCCGTCGTCATAGAAAGCTATCTAACGACCTTGGGTCCCTAAAAAACGCGATTGCCTAGAATAGGTTAAGATTGTTTCAACCCCAGAGCCTCTAATCATTCGTTATACCTCATGACACTGAATTCGCGTCACTGCTATCCTGAGGGAAAATGGTTTGATTAGTCTTTAGCACCTATACCCAAATTTGATGATCGATACGCACGTCAGAACCGCTACGAGCCTCCACCAGAGTTTCCTCTGGCTTCGCCCTATTCAAGGATAGTTCACCATTTTCGGTCCCAAGTGCTTCACTATGGGTTATTTCTCTTTCTATCAATCATGCTTTCTTTTTTCCCATCGCTCTTCCGACCTTGCGCCCTTGCTGACTATTTATCTCGGATTTAGGGCATGTACATATTGATATGATACGGTCGCAGTGTCATCCAAAGATTACCTATGATACTCTGAGTAGAGAGCAGTTTGATTGATACCAACAATTCAACCTTCTCATGGCATTTCAGATATAATGGCTCAATAAGACACAATAGAACGGGTAGACTCCAGATGTTACGATGGTCGGGTGAACATACGTCTTAATGGAAAGAGTTAAGAGATATATAATTGGCAATGGCTGGGTAAAGCGAAGTGAAGACTCAAAAGCGAAAATTGTTTTACAACTAGCGGAAAACGTGCGCAAGATACAAGAGTTTCAGCACTCAGAAGGCACTCAAATTGCTTCTGCTGATACAGATCACCTTATGACTGTCGTGTTCCAGGCCCTTATTTGCGCTTCGGTCCTTTTGATATCGTCAAGGACTTTCATTGGTATTTACGCAGCGGGATGGAATTTAACTCCAAGTTTGACCCTGAGTTCCAGGAATTTTTCAAACGAGACAGCAGGTCTTGGCCGTTGGTACCTAGGTATTTACCCACGGTGAGCTTAGCAGCCTTAGTATTCTTGCTAGCAGGGATAGTATCTCTGGTATCATTTACGGGGAACCGCTAGTTGGTATCCATCATATTGGGAATATACTACTGCCTATCAAGTCAACCAACAGAACTCTTTTTGGGTCCATGAGATTGACAAATTCTTACAACCAATGCCCGAAGAACTAGCGATAGACCGTGGTCGTCAAAAATCTTTGGAGATATTTGAGTAATCCTGGCTTGTGTGATCAACTAAAGGACCCTCCCATGAAAATAAAACAATTATTTATACTTCTATAACAACCTTGCAGATACTTGTACTTATTGGATCTATTTCAACCGTCGTTGTTCACGCGGGGATAGTCTAGGTAGACATTGTTTAATTGATTACAGCATCTGTACACGTTATATTATTCCTAGTAATAACTAAAGCTTTTCCCAACTGAGTCAATACTCACCGTCGCTAATAACGTTCTATAGTAAAAGAGAAAGGTTTGGAGTAAGCCACGAGTGTTTGACAATAGCACGCGGCAAAATTCCTGATATTCATGAACTTGAAACTGGAGTCATCATGCGGGATATTGCATGTCCTCCAAATAATATATTGTACAAATTATCCCATCCCAAAACCGCCGAGCGAAAAAATATCTATGCATCATGTGTTTTCCGTTGACCGACGCCGATATGCTTCCACTGCTCCAAGGGAGATCCGAGTCGTGTCACGGGAGGTATCAAAGGCATGGTGGTATTACATACTGCCTCAAGTTAGTATTTGTTAGGATAAATACCGTCGTTAACGATGGATTCGAGTCAGGGTCGACTTACGGAGGAAGGAGGAACTCTCCGAGGCTGGAGGAAAGGAACGCAATACCGGCCTAAGTAGCCATTCGTTAGTTATATGGAATGCAGGAAGAATCCAGACTGATATGATGAAACATACACCGAAGACAATGATACTGCGGACAATTGTCTTGTTCTCGGGGTTGGTGGCCTCATTGTAGGCAGTGCTGAAGAAGCTCTTCTGGGGGCGCGAGCCGGAGGGAATGATGCGCTGGTTGGGAGCCATTTTGTGTGATGTAATGAGACGATGGAAGACGGAGATTGATGTTGTTGGTTGGAAGTGATGGTCGGATCTTCGAGAAATCTGCGGCTTCGGAACATTTGGCGTCACTGCGCCACTAGCTCCTACCGGTGACCGTATCTTTTGCCCGCGCATTGAAGGACGATGCGACAACATCTGCGACAACCTTTTTCTTTGCTTTATGTATCTTGTCTTTGGCGATTTTTTGAGCTTTGAGTTGATATCGCTGTTTTGGGTTTAACTGACAACACATCGGTGCACCAAACGCTTTTCACGGTATCAGTGACCCAGCCGTCGCAACCATGAATGTCGACGAGCTCTTCAAGGTTAGTTCCACGGTGTTTCTTGCTGTCTCGCATTGCTCAAACAAGTCTGACTGTATAGAAATCATCCTCCACTGGAGGTGCTAAGCGCAAGTTCGAGCCTCTCCAAGACCCAAGTACGCCCTTCCCCCGCAAACGCATTAGTCGGACTTTCCTAACATAAATACAAAGATGAGGTGTACAAATCAGCAAAGATCGATTCAAATGGTGATGTGAGGTCGAAAGGGAAGGCCCCCATGGTTGAGGATGAGGACGACGGGGAAGCTGGACCTGAGCTCCCTCCGGACATGGAAGAGGATCTCCCAGATGACGAGGAGGGCCGCTTCTTCGGCGGTGGAATGGAGCAGAAGACAGCGCAAGCGATGGAATACATTGACCAATATGAGGAAGAAGAGGCTGCGGTATGGAATATTCAAAGGAATCTGAAGGTTGTCTGGTGCTGACATTCACATCTACTAGCCCGAGAACTTCGACTCCGCGTGGGTACGTCGCTTCGCATTGAGTTTCGAAAAGAAGATTTCCAAGAACGCCGAGCTACGAGCAAAATTTGAGAGTGACCCAACAAAGTACGTGGGTCGGAACGATTGGTGATTTCAGATGCTGATATGGTCACAGATTCATGGTCTCTGAGGCCGATCTCGATAGTGAGATCAAGGGCCTATCGATTCTGTCCGAACACTCTGAGCTATATGAGGAATTTGCAAAGATGGGATGCGTGGGATCTCTGATCTCCCTGCTCGCACACGAAAATGCAGACATCGCAATCGATGTCATCCAGATTATAAGCGAATTGACAGACGAGGATGTGGAGGCGGAGCAAGAACAATGGGATGCCCTCGTTAATGCGATGGTATGTTGAAATTGCCAATTTGGGAAATAGAAAATGCTCACAATGCTTAGATGGAAGCCGGTCTTATTGAGTTGTTGACACAAAACCTCTCCAGACTAGATGAAGGATCTGAAACCGACAGGGCGGGAGTGTATTATGTGCTAGGTGAGTACACACAGGCGAGAAAACCGAGGGAAACATACTTATTGAAAACAGGCGTATTGGAAAATCTTGCCTCCCAGACATCACACGCGGAGACAATTGGACAAGACGCGGCGATCCTGCCATGGATTTTGTCACGCATTCAGCAGAAAGAAGCAGTCGTCACTCAGAACAAGCAATATGCAGCAGAAATATTGGCGATTCTATTACAGTCATCCTCAAAGAATCGTGGAAAGTTCATTGACCTTGACGGTATCGATGCCATTCTTCAGTTGCTTAGCTTGTACCGCAAAAGAGACCCGGCCAAAGACTCGGACGAAGAAGAATTTGTCGAAAACCTGTTTGACTCACTCATTTGCTTGGTCGAAGAAAATTCCGGGAAAGACAAGTTCGTTGAGGCCGAGGGAATTGAATTAGCACTGATCATGCTCAAGGAGGGCAAGTTTAGCAAGCCTCGCGCGTTGAGGGTACTTGACCATGCCTTGGGTGGCGTCGGAGGTGCGCCGGCATGTGAGAGACTGGTAGAGGCGGCTGGTTTGAAGACTGTCTTCGGCATGTTCCTGAAGAAGGTAGGTTGGAGTTCACCAGCAGAACCGAGCGAAACTAACACCCATATAGCAAGAGGGCCAGAATATCGAACACTTCCTGGGGATCTTTGCTTCCCTTCTCCGACTCCTCCCTGGGGGCTCTGCGCCACGAATCCGGACATTAGCCAAATTCATGGAAAAGGACTATGCAAGAATCGAGAAGCTTATCACTTTGAGACGAGAGTATGCCGCGCGTGTCTCGCCAGTGGAACAAGCCATTGCAAAGGAGCGCAGAACTTTCGATGAGGAGGAACAAGAACTTATGGCCGGGGAATGGTTGTCCAGGCGGCTCGACGCTGGCCTGTTCTCATTACAGGCAAGTCTTGCCCTCAAAAGATTTGAATTGTCACTAACAGCCCTAGACCATCGATGTTATTCTGGCATGGCTTCTTGCCGAAGACGATGGAGCAAAGAAGAAGATCGTGTCGCTTCTTGCGGATCGTGATGAAGATTTGTCTTTGGTCCGCGGCACGTTGAAAGGTAAGACACATATGACACTACGATATTTCTAATCTAACTGAAATAGAACAACTCGAGGGACTCGGTGAGGAGGAACCAGGCCATAAAGACTTCAAAGACATGCTCAGCACTCTTTTGCAGTTTGTGTGAGCAAAATACACACCGAAATCAATTGTACTATATTAAAAACAAGATCATCCTCCAGATTCATCAATATCATGGCGCTAAGCGTAATGATTGTATTTTATTCAATGACATTCAAGATCAATAAAGAGTGACTAGATGCCATTGGATACTTCGAGTGAACCCTTTGGGCGGTGAGATCCTGGTCACATGATAACTTCTTAATTGGGACTAGTGCAAATCCAGCGGGCTCAGAAGCATCAATCGTCTGAAGATCAGTCCCTTCATCGCATCATTGACGGGGAGTTCCTCATTCATCTCCGCCAGTTTGTCAGACCTTTTTAACTAGCCGCTCTGACTCTCTGACTCTTGAATCTCCCCTCCCTCGGCGATCGACAGGTGGTTGCTCCAGCGCGTTGAGCGTTTCTCGCGGAGACCTGCACAGGCCGACGCGCCTCTTGCGCTTTTTCTTCCCACAACTTAGCCCTCCTACCTTCGTTATCCGACAAAAGAGTTCGACCTAGATACCCCGCCATCATGGCCGACTACGATGAAACATACGAGGAGGAGTTCTACGATGAGGCCGACGAGGGCATCACCTCCGAGGATTGTTGGACGGTGATTTCGTCCTTTTTCGACTCAAAGGGTCTCGTCTCTCAGCAGCTTGACTCTTTCGACGAGTTTATATCCTCTACCATGCAGGAGCTTGTCGAAGAGCAAGGTCAGGTGGTCCTCGATCAAACCCTCCCCCCTCCGAAGATGAAGTAAATCCTGTTGTTGTGCGCCGCTATGAGCTCAAGTTCGGCACTGTCATGCTTTCGCGTCCATCGGTGACAGAAGGCGATGGTGCGACTACCATCATGTTGCCGCAGGAAGCCCGACTCCGAAACCTCACCTACGCCTCCCCACTCTATCTCGGTGTCACAAAGAAAATTGTGGAAGGTCGCGAGAAGCCCGCCAGGGACGATGAAGATGAGGAAGAGGGTGACCAAAAGTCTAAATCATACGGAGGCCTTGATTGGAAGGAAAAGATGCTACCTCAGGAACAAAGCAAGGAGGAGACCGTTTTCATTGGAAAGATGCCCATCATGCTGAAATCCAAATACTGTATCCTGAAGGATCTCAATGAGTCCTCACTCTATGCTTGGAACGAGTGTCCTTATGACTCTGGTGGTTACTTCGTCATCAACGGTAGCGAGAAGGTTTTGATCGCACAGGAGCGCAGTGCCGGCAACATCGTCCAAGTCTTCAAGAAGGCACCCCCAGCCCCACACCTTACATCGCCGAAATCCGAAGTGCAGTCGAGAAGGGTTCCCGAATGCTCTCCTCGCTTACCCTCAAGCTATTCGCAAAGGGTGACAGTGCCAAGGGAGGATTTGGCCCGACCATTCGATCGACGCTTCCATATGTCAAGGCCGATATTCCAATCGTCGTCGTTTTCCGTGCGCTGGGCGTCGTTTCTGACGAAGATATCCTAAATCACATTTGTTACGACAGGAACGATACCCCAATGCTGGAGATGCTCAAGCCGTGTATTGAGGAGGGCTTTGTCATTCAAGACCGTGAGGTCGCCCTGGACTTCATTGCCAAGCGTGGCTCTTCACAGTCAAATCTGAACCACGACCGCCGTGTGCGCTATGCCCGCGACATCATGCAGAAGGAATTGCTACCTCACATTTCGCAGAGCGAGGGCAGTGAAACTCGCAAAGCTTTCTTCCTTGGATACATGGTCCACCGTCTCCTCCAGTGTGCTCTTGGTCGCCGCGATGTCGACGATCGTGACCACTTCGGAAAGAAGCGACTTGATTTGGCTGGTCCCCTTTTGGCCAGTCTGTTCCGAACTCTTTTCACCAGAGTTACCAAGGATCTTCAGCGCTACGTGCAGCGCTGCGTTGACGGCGGTCGCGAGATTTATCTCAATGTTGGTCTCAAGGCCGCAACACTCACTGGTGGTTTGAAGTACGCTCTTGCCACTGGTAATTGGGGTGAGCAGAAGAAGGCAGCTAGCGCCAAGGCTGGTGTGTCCCAGGTGCTGAGTCGTTATACTTTCGCCTCGTCTTTGTCCCATCTTCGCCGCACGAACACACCAATTGGTAGAGATGGAAAGATCGCCAAGCCGCGTCAGCTGCACAACACCCATTGGGGTCTGGTCTGCCCGGCCGAGACCCCCGAAGGACAGGCTTGTGGTTTGGTCAAAAATTTGGCACTGATGTGTTACATCACTGTCGGTACGCCGGCTGAGCCCATTATCGATTTCATGATTCAACGAAACATGGAAGTGTTGGAGGAGTTCGAGCCTCAAGTTACTCCCAACGCCACGAAGGTCTTCGTTAACGGTGTTTGGGTGGGTATTCATCGTGATCCCTCGCACCTTGTCAACACCATGCAAAACTTGCGTCGTCGAAACATGATCTCCCACGAAGTCAGTCTCATTCGTGACATCCGTGAGCGTGAGTTCAAGATTTTCACCGATACTGGACGTGTCTGCCGACCGCTCTTCGTTATCGACAACGACCCTAAGAGTGAAAACTCTGGTGGATTGATTCTCAACAAAGAGCACATTCGCAAGCTCGAGCACGACAAGGATTTGCCCCTGGACATGACTCCGGAAGAGCGCCGTGAGCAATACTTTGGTTGGGATGGTTTGGTACGCTCTGGTGCCGTTGAGTATGTCGATGCTGAAGAGGAAGAGACAATCATGATTGTCATGACCCCAGAAGACTTGGAAATCTCCAGACAACTCCAAGCTGGTTACGCCTTGCCAGAGGATGAGACCAACGATCCCAACAAGCGTGTTCGCTCGATTCTCAGCCAGCGCGCACATACCTGGACGCATTGCGAGATCCATCCCAGTATGATCTTGGGTGTTTGCGCCAGTATCATTCCGTTCCCCGATCACAACCAGTCTCCCCGTAATACCTACCAGTCCGCCATGGGTAAACAAGCCATGGGTGTCTTCTTGACGAACTACGCGCAACGTATGGAAACTATGGCCAACATTCTTTACTACCCCCAGAAGCCTCTGGCCACCACTCGGTCGATGGAATTCTTGCGTTTCCGCGAACTGCCCGCCGGTCAGAACGCTATTGTCGCTATTGCTACATACTCCGGATACAACCAGGAAGATTCCGTTATTATGAACCAGAGCAGTATCGATCGTGGTTTGTTCCGCAGTTTGTTCTACCGTACTTATACGGACACCGAGAAGATGGTCGGCCTTCAGGTCGTCGAGCGATTCGAGAAGCCCATGCGCGCCGACACTCTCGGCATGCGCAAGGGTACTTACGACAAGTTGGATGAGGATGGTATCGTTGCTCCTGGTGTCCGTGTTTCAGGAGAAGATATTATCATTGGAAAGACTGCTCCCTTAGCTGCCGACGCAGAGGAGCTCGGTCAGCGTACCAAGGCACACACGAAGATCGATGTGTCGACACCACTGCGGAGTACCGAGAACGGTATCGTTGACCAGGTGCTTATCTCCACTGGTAACGACGACCTCAAGTTCGTGAAGGTCCGCATGCGTACCACCAAGATTCCCCAAATTGGTGACAAGTTCGCTTCTCGTCACGGTCAGAAGGGTACCATTGGTATCACCTACCGCCAGGAAGATATGCCTTTCACCCGAGAAGGTGTGGTTCCTGATTTGATTATCAACCCCCACGCCATTCCGTCCCGTATGACCATTGCCCATTTGATCGAGTGTCAATTGAGTAAGGTTTCCGCCCTGCGTGGCTTCGAGGGTGACGCCACCCCCTTCACCGATGTTACTGTTGACTCCGTCTCTCGATTGCTGCGCGAGCACGGCTACCAGTCCCGTGGTTTCGAGGTCATGTTCAACGGCCACACTGGTCGCAAGATGGTGGCTCAAGTGTTCCTCGGTCCCACATACTACCAGCGTCTCCGTCACATGGTGGATGACAAGATTCACGCTCGTGCCCGTGGTCCCACCCAGATTCTGACCCGCCAGCCCGTCGAGGGTCGTGCCCGTGACGGTGGTCTGCGTTTCGGAGAGATGGAGCGTGATTGTATGATCGCTCACGGTGCCAGTGCCTTCTTGAAGGAACGTCTCTTCGATGTTTCTGATCCCTTCCGTGTCCACATTTGTGATGATTGCGGTCTCATGACTCCAGTTGCGTAAGTTTAGATTCATCTTTGCCCTTTCGTCGCACAATGCTAACAAACTGTTCTAGAAAACTGAAGAAGGGTCTCTTCGAATGCCGTCTCTGCAACAACAAGCATCGCATCTCGCAAGTGCACATCCCCTACGCCGCGAAGCTGCTATTCCAAGAGCTGGCCTCTATGAACATTGCCGCTCGGATGTTCACCGATCGCTCTGGGGTGTCTGTGCGTTGATCTCGATCTCTAGTCTCAATTTTCTCTACATTGTATTTTAATGATCTCGCTGCAAAAATGCGCATCTGCTTGGCCTTGTTTCGCGGCGTCTGGGAGGGTTGGCCTATGCATTTGAACGGCCATACATAGTTAAATCGCTTTTCTGTGCAGCACTTCTCTTTGTAAAATAAAAAAAACCTCAATACAGCAGAATGGTAGACTGAATTACTATCCGAACTCGGATGCTCTTCCATTTAGCTCGGCTCCCGGATATCCCGAGATCCCCAGCTTTGGGATTTCCATCCCCGCCATGTTCCCGGAAATATAAATACTTTAGCACCTTCACCTGTCCTCTGAAACTGATACATATATTAAGCGCAAAAATGTCTCTCGAAGACCCCATAACAGTACTCTACAAAGAGATCAATGGCAGCAAGATCACAACAGACCTCTACCTCCCCACCTCTTCATCTGCACAGAAATATCCCGTTGGTGAGCTCTTGCCAAACAGTCCAATCCCATTTAAAAACACTATATGTTAAAGACAAATTACTAACAATCCCAGTAATCGACATCCATGGCGGCGCCTTCATGCTCGGTCACTCGCGCATGGTATCCCTCCCACAAGTAAACGACTGCCTAATGCGCGGCTGGATAGTCCTCGTCCCAAACCACCGGCTCTGTCCAGCTGTGAACCTCCTCGAAGGCCCAATGCAAGATATCCGCGATCTCCTAGCCTGGATCCACGCCGGCCATCTAGACAAAGTCCTGCCAGCAGGCTACAGCGCCGATCTGGAAAAAATTGCTGCATTCGGGACCTCATCCGGTGGAACTTTGGCATTGGCATTGGTAACTACGATCCCGAGACAGAAAATACTCGTAAAAATTAAGAATATATCAAATGCTGATCCCCGCAGGGCTTCGACGTCCCAAGACCCGTTGCCGCCATCCTATCTCTCTACGGTGCAGTGCATTTCACAGATCCAGCGTGGAAAACGCCCCTCCAGCACGTCGCTGCAAAATTGCCGTCTAATCTATCCGATGATTTCCTGAACGGGGTCTACGACGAGTATCCCGTTCCGACGGATAGCTCGGTTTCATTGGAAGGGCAGACGGAGTCGGGCGTTAGCAAGGGACCTGATTTTTCGAAGCCGAGGGATGCGTTTGCCTTTACGCGGATTGCGTCGGGGAAGGTGATTGAGGCCATTTATTCGTCCGTGGAAGATCCGGAGATGAGGCGCGTTGATCCTGTTTTGAATGTTGGATCTGGGTTCCCGCCTACGTATATTGTTCATGGTATGGCTGATACTATGGTGCCTATTGGGCTTAGTCGGGTCTTGTTGGAGAGATTGAAGATTTGTGGGGTCAGGTGCGGAATGACGGAGGTTCCTGGGGAGGAACATACTTTTGCTGCTATGATGGAAGTTGGGTCGAAGACTTGGTGGTTGCAGAGAGAAGGGTTTGATTTCTTAGAGAGAGTTATTGGGAAGGGTCCTGGATTTTAAATTGCATTAAGAGATAAAGATGTCGAGAGATTAAGAAATTAAAATACTGTATATACTTACTGGTGCATGTTTATGAGCCTGGACTTCACAGAGAAATACCTAGGTACTTGATGTCCTCTGCCACTTCTTGGCCTTCCCTTTCCGTTTTAGTGCTCAGACCTTGCTTTTTATCGGGTGGGGAGCTGGCTGATTATCGCGTCAATGTTTCAGCGCCGTAGATTCACCTTATTTGATAGTGAACCTTAGATTTCTACCCTGCGCGTGATGAGCGAAATAGCGGCCCCCTCTACGGCTAACTTGTCTACATCTTTAGGCCCATCAACACGATGGTCTATAGTGCTATAGTGGCATCTTTGGTCGTAGATGTACTCTGTAAAGGGACAAAACCTGCACCATACTAAAACATCTCGAATGTTGGATCACGAATTTCGCATTAGAAGGCTCTAATATGGTTATCGTCTAAAATATCAATCTTAATACCTGATTGTAGATGAAATAACCACCGGGCTGCCCAGGGATAGGTGACAACAGAAATGTCGATGTGAAAGCAAACGGTTTATCAAACGCGTTATCGATCTGTTTAGCTCATGGCCATGTATCAGTTTGTGTCGAAACCGGGAGGAAATATGCGCTACGTACAACCAAGTTTCCAGTCACAACCACTAGAACACCGTTGTCAACAGAGGGAGAGGGGTCAGTTGTGTTGATCTTAGTCTTCACGGTCTTCATTTCGGGTTTCTGAAGATGGAGTGAAAGTCAGACATAGGTCATACCTCATGTAGTCACCTCGCTACACGTGGACATCACTCACGATCAATTGTGCTATGATATCCTGGGCACCTTGGAATTCTTGGCCTTCCCATCTCAGCTTTGACTCAGGACGCTATTCAAAAGTCAACTCTTTCTCGCATATAAATCTCTAGGTCTTCAGGTCGACACTTACGTAGAGGGAAGCCAAAGAGCTCCTGGCTTCATAATTGTCGAACGTTCTATAGAAGTGTTCTACAAACGCCCCTAGACAAAGTCAATAATAATTCATCGGAGAGACGGGGCCAAGAGATGAGAAGTTGTTAAATGTAAATAAGGGAAGAAGTTAAAACGACATACTGGCAATTCCGTGGTAATCCCCCATTTTGGCTGAACGTAAGGTATATTAGCAAAATTGACGATCATTAGTAGCTGCAAGCACAATTAGCGGCACATACAGATGTATCTTGTAATGTAGAAAAAGTTGGATTGATCTAAAATTGAGTAGAATGGCTACAAGGTCCTAGCAATATATATAGCTGGGACGCGGGACGGCCCCACCTTCCCCTCCGCCCCAACTATCTACGTAGGCACAAAGCATAAAGTAGATGCATTATACTACATGAAGTTACACTGAGACCCATACTTGGAATCGACATATTTGACCGCTGTTTCCTCTGACGTAGAAAGTAAATTAAAGGATAGATAGATCAGATTACTTGCCGATTGATACCTTCTTCAAGCTAGCGCGATCGTGCGTTCAGATAGATTAGCCAATAAGAGAAACCGAGATACATCTCTTACATGAGTAGTGAGGTAACCAAGACGATCCTTCGGATTTAGATGGATCGGAGCACTCAGCTGAGGGGGTGTATAAAATTCATGATTATATAATTTTATTGTTCCTTGCAGACTTTTCTTACTCGTCCAAGTACATCCCAGGCTTCTTATGAAGATGAACACATACGGCCTCTAGCATCGAAGGGGTGACACTCCGTCGTCGTCTAACACGAGTTAGAGGTGCTCTGACGTTTCCGAATCGGTGAAGGTTGTTACGGAGATTAATGATCGAAAGTTTATCGCATTCAGCTGCTTTGACGATCTGTGGTTTGTTTAGGGACTCGCCAAGTATCATATCACGGGTCATTTCGAGCTTCGATGGAGGGAGCTGTGGCACCATTTTGCGGAATGACGGTGTAAGGTCTAGGTTGTAGATGGTGAAACCCTGACAATTTACCGATAGGAGTTCTTGGGGCACCATAGGAAGATACCTGTGTTCTTCCTCTATGCTTATCTCTGCGTAGCCTTCTTCTTAGTGAGCAGACGAAATGATTGTTGATTGAAGGTAGGGGGGATAGTGGGGTATTAAGAAAGCTCTGGGATGTTGGGTATCTCTGAAATCCCATTTGAAAACTGCGTTTTTACTGGTAATGATCGACAATAAAGAAAAATCGACCTATGTAGCATTTAAGAGATTAGTATGGAGTTTTTAACCCATCTAGGGTCAAGAACGACCCTACCAAGCATAAGAATAGGATCTAGATTGAGTAAGCTCGTTAATAGCAAATGTCGGTGAGAAAAACAATATGTATAATGTATCTCATAGTCATTAGTGTAAACACTTCCTTAGCGACAGACAGCCCCGAATTTAGACCTGCAGATCAACATTATTGCTGTGTTGTCTCGTTGTCTCGCCCCACGGTAAATCCACATCAATGAACAATCACATAGCGCCAGTCAGAAAGGGCTAGGTAAGAACAGTGAGAAGCCAGAGAACAACAAAGAACGAGGATTAGATGTACTAAAAGCGCCGAAGGCTAAGAATTACCTAAGAAAATAATATTTAAGTACTCGAGCAACAATCCTTCGAGTTGAAAAATGGCTGGCTAAGCATACGGATCATGGAAATTGGCCTCTACAATGCTCCACTTCCGTCCGTAATTGATCTGCAGTCATCCACTTAAACATGTAAGGGGAGATAGGACGAGCCTAAGTGTGAATTTTGCTCTTCAGCGCTAGTGTCAAAACATATGAATCTTGTTCTATCCCCATCTCTCTGTCCACTTCAAGTTTCTTCGCTGAATTCCTCCTACCTCTTTTGAAATCAAAAATCAACAGCCCTTACTATAACCAGCAAGTCATCATGAAACTTATCTTCCATCTTATGTTCGCTCTTATCCCGACCCTACTGGTTGGTGCAACTCCACTCGAGTCCGAACGTTGTCGTCGTATTTGAACCCTAGCCTATACGAACGATAGCACTAAAAATTCTTACCCCATCTACAGCACAAGGCTCAATCGTCGACTTTTGCGATGTTTGCTGTTCTGGCCAGTGCAAAGAAGTTAATTATTGGCCCGCACCGTGTGCATGATCATTGGTATAGATTCTTCCTAAACATATTAGGACCCACGCTGATTGATTCTAATGAGGTTTAGTAGACTTATACCACAGAATACGTCAGGCCTAGCAAATAGCTATACTATCATTAAGCTTAGTCAAGCAGTAGTGACGTATTAATATGAGATTCTTTCTGTTCTAGGTTATCTTTGTTCATGAATTTAGCGATGGAATTGCACCAGGACACTAGGATATCTCCCGGTCGTCAGTGGTTTATTTCTACTTTACTTTGCCCACTTACGGAATGAGCTATTATGTGACTATAGTTCTGTCCCACTTAGAGCCCAGAGTTTGTTTCGTTATATGATATTATAGATGCTAGGATTGCAATCAAGCAAGGAACAGAACCACTCGTTCGGATTTCAGGCACCTCGTTCACTCGAAGAGGCAAGACCTCTACCTTTGTTTATTGAGTTTTCATACTTCGATTTTGCGTGAACCCAGCCAGGATTTATTTTGCTGCCTCCGTGAGAAAGAATGCTTCCATGTCAAGACTGGTAAGGGTATTAATTGTGTGAGTATTTCCCGCGGTTTACAGAGCAGCCCATCATGTGATTCACAATCAAAGAGAACAAAGTGGTGAAACTGATTTCGAGCGCGTCTGTAGTGGTTTGACACCGATTTCCGGAAGTACTGTACTGTTTTTGAACCGATGCTATACTGTAGGAAGGACTGTTTGTCACTTTATTAGAGGTTGAATTGACGAAATTACAATCAATCCCCAATCCTAAGGACTAGGCTCATCCTTAATTACCACAATCTCCGCCCTTCCCCCATTGACCTCAATCTCCTCATCCGTCGCCCTCCGCCCCCAAACTCTCCTGGCTCGCTGCCACATATGCAAGCGCGGATCATTCAGCTCCGCCCTAACCTTTGCAACAAGAACGTGCACCTCATCTTTAGTCCACGGACTCGGCACCCCCCACCGCGTAAGATGGTACATCGCCCACCCCTCCATTCCATGCCGCCACTGGTGATGATGCAGCCGACCTGCCTCTTTCAGCGTCGCGTCGCGCGCCCACGGCCCAATCGGCCACTTGTACGTTTTCTCGTGAATTTCGATGAACCCCGCTCGCGCCATCGCGGATCGCATCGTGTTCGCTGTGGTCATGGGATGGTTGTAGTTCGTTGCGGCTTGGATCACCGCTGCGGAGTACTGTATCGTGCTGCTGTTTGGCGGGAGGCTGGAGTCTGTGCAGAGGATTACTGGGTCGACTTCTATCTGCTCAATCCACCCGCCTGGTTTGAGGTTGCTGGGTGTATTAGCTGTGTGTGGGTGTGCATGTTGTGAGGCCACGGGTGGTGCTTTGCTTACTTGTGGCAATGTGTGTAGACTTGGTCCCATTCTTCGGGTGTGAATGCGCCTATCATTTGGCGGAGGTGGATTAGGTCGAAGGGTGTGCGCCATGTCCACTCTTGAAGGATGTCGTCTACTTCCATTATGCAGTTTGGGGGAATCCAGTCCAGAGGTGGGGGGAATAGATCTACGCCTCGGACGGTGGCTGGATTGTTAGATTCTGTGGGGGGATGGGGATTTGGACTCACCCGCTGGGAACATATCTGCTACATCGCTGCGATTAGAAGATATAAGTTTGGTTCTTGGTGGGTTGGGTGGTACTACTTACACTGCCCAATTCCCTCGGCCTGTCCCAATGTCTAAAATGTCCTTTCTTTTGGTCAGTGCCTTGTGTGACTCGATGGATATGGTCGAGTCATACTTTTGGATTTCGTACTGGAGCTTGGAAAAGTGGGTTTGCCGTGTTGGAGTCCAGGAATGTACAGAGAAGGTGGCTATTTGAGTGAGTTTTGGATTTCGATATTGAGATTCACAAACGCACCACGCCTGCAAGCTTTCGAATTGTTGCTCATCGCATGGACACCTATACTGATATAAGGATGGATTTTTGACTCGAACATCATGAGAGCGTACCAATATTGGCCCTCCTTGAGACTCTGATAGCTAACAGCCCGTCAGCTAGGTTCGATAAGGATCTCCGACCTGCATACCGTCTTCCATTTTCATAGACACCTCTGCATATCGACGATGCTATTGACGTTGTTTCACTGTGGATGTTAATCCGGACATTCCGAGTCTTCCGTCGGTCTGTCTGTTCGCTATGCGACTCACGAGGAAATGTTATTCATTATATACTCGGTATGTCCGAGATCATAGATGTCGGGGTCCTGCATGCATGGGTTAATGTGGATGATCATACAATTTCTGTTTCAGGTTCTAACTTACGACTTCAATTTGAACTTCCGCCATGGCGATCGTTTATAAAAGATGACTTTGTAATTACATATGGAATTCTGATCCGAGGACTCTGTGGAGTTGTTCCGCCCGTGACTATTTCGACGAACACCCACCGCCCTCGACCATTCTACGACCCGCACAGCACGGTTAGTCATCATGTTGTTCACCTTCAACGGCTGTTCCTCTCCTCTCCACGCTACAAATGACTCTCCTCCCCCGCTCAGCCTGATCGCGTGTAATATAAAAGAATGCGACATATTCCTGAGAAAGACTGATAGTTGCTGCAGAAACATTTTGATTTTTTTTGAACGCAGTTTTATCATTTCAATCAATAGAAAACAATAAAAGAACATATAATGTGTGGGGTGCGGCGACACGATCAGCAAACGGAAAGGAATTTGGTCAAACAGGCCCCCATGTAGCATGCTCTTCCGAAACAAGGGAGTCCACAGGTTGCATGTTGGCGGTAATTGTCCATATAGAGTAAATTTGCCATTTGTATAAGTTTACGTGTTGAATGGAAGAACCAATTTCTCGAGATTGGAGCCGAAAACTATATTCTTAGTTGATTGTCATATCATCTTTCTATCCAACGAAAATTTTATCGCGTCGCCGGACGTAGATTAAACTAGACTTCTGAGGAATGCCAATACCTAACACATCGAATTCGGCAGTATAAAAAGGAAACAGTGTATTGAAGTTCCTTGAAAATGATACTAGCGAGTGCTTGACTTGAAATTCGGCTCACAGTACGTTTAGTGTCAAAATAATAATAAGATTGATTATGGTCAAACTAACATGCCAGCAACTTATACAGAAGTCGGAATTATATCATTTCCCAGTAATCTCCCATTATCCAAAAGTGAACTGTGTGTTGCACATGTTGGTAAGTTCCCAGTCCTCGGCCCCGAATTCAACAGGAGTGTCCTGGTCTTCAGCATCACCAACTAACCCCCCTACGAACATTGCGCTCACAATATGATCATCGGTGGCATGCGTATCCCGGTATTTTGGAATTTTCATCAACATGGTGAGACTCTTCCTAAGCAACGGACCTGACGCTTTGGTCATTGCATCTTCGAATTCCTGACGAAAGTCTAAAGTCCAGTTACCACGCGGGGATTCCATCGCAAACTTGGTGCCATCTTTACAGATGAGCTAGAAGTTAGCCACTCAAAGGTAGGAAAGATCGTTCAAATACGTCCAGTTGATTTTAGCGCCGGTTCACGGTGGGGGAGGACGTGCTCAGAACGTTGGCCTCTCCACACTTTCCCCCCCGCCCCGAGTTAGAACACCTCATTTAGTAAGGGGCAATATAGGCTTTTCCACCTTTCTCTCCGATAGTAAAATCTTTTATAATTGGGTTCGTTAACTCAAAGTCCCACTCAGAAAGTCACAGGACTCTACCATTTTATTAGACAATTTGCTTCTTCTTCTCGGAATTAAGCAAACAATGAAAGTCTGCCCGAAAAACGGTTCCATAGTTACTAATAGACTAAGTATTATTCTCAACGCAGGACTTAGTTTCAAAATAATGACTAGTAGTGCATTAATCAGGTAGTGGATTCTGTCGTGTTCATAAGTACAGAATAAAGCGATCTCCTACTGATGATAAGAATGATAGTGGTGAGTTTATTTGCCTAATCTAGCTCACTTTATATATGATACACAGACAGTCCTTCACCCTGTCCTAGATGTTCGCTGCAGCTAACCGTAGCAATCAAGAAGATAGGGGGGTTGAGCTACAAGACGCCTCGCGAATCACGACGGTGGATCCTACATCATCTGCTTGTAGGGAGGATTATAGCAACCTGGCTTTGATCCACGGCCGCCGTCCTCTCCGTTTTCTTTTTTCCTTCGAGGTTTTGTCCTCGTCTACTTCTTACATGACGAAGGCTGTACTGCTGCTGTAGAGGATTGACCCTGATAGGTCAGTATGGTTCTCTTTTGTATTTCACATGGCTCCTGCTCTTTATGCTCTCTACTTTCGCTTCTAATTGTTCTGGTGTCTGCCTACAAATGGCAACGCCGCTGTACGCTGATACAGATCTCCAGGCCTTATATCGTGGGTAGATATGAGCGACAGCCCGTATTACGGCGACTACATATCTCAGTTCCAACAGCTCGAACCGTGAGCACAAGACTCAAAATATTTCCCAACCCCAGAATGGTTCCGCGGTCACTACACGACCCTTACGTAGTCCCTTCCCATCTATCTCTCTGGACGATGAGACCAACTTCGCAAGCCGACTTTGAACAAATACTATCCCACTGCTCCTGCTCCAGTCATCCGATTTGAAGGAGGGCAGGACTTACGACGAGGATCCACTAAGCTACATCCACTGCTGGTACATGAAGAAAATGAAAATACAGAAGAAAATACAATGAATTGAGATCCTACACTAGGGAAGATAAAGAGGAACAGAAAGAGTCACGATCATCCACTGTCTCTCCAGTCCTCCCGCTCATCTTCAAACTCCTCAATTTCTTTCTCACAGACAGTCGACAGACTCCTCAACTTAGTAAAGACCCTGTCAATATGAGACCCGCTCGCATCATAAAACACACCGCGGTTCAGCGCCTCGCTCTGTTCTAGCAACAAGTTCATCTTCACGAGCAATTGTGCCAGCTGGCTCACGATCATGTTTAGCTCCTGTTTATCAAACACCGGAGGCGAAGCTTGCAACTCTTCTAAGACGGTCCCCAGACTGAACACCCAAGCTACGATGTCAGTCTGCTCGCCATTATTCGTAACTATCCGTGAGGCTACGGGTACTTGTAACGTCTGGAATATATGCTCAATTTGGTGGCTGAGCTGTTGGATGGAATCGACGCTCTTGCTGGCTGTAAGGTGTTGTCTCTTGTGTTGTTGTTGGGCTGATGCCGATGATTTCGCGTCTAGTTGCCTCCGACGCGCTTCGAGTTCTTTGGCCCCGATGATCTTCCTCGCCTCGTTAACGGTTTGGATCCTCTTGGGGAGATGAAAGGATTGCTCGTCTGGCCAGACTGATGGCGCTGGCGACGGCAGTGCTCGGGGGAGAGGTCCCCCTTCTTGCGCTCGCTCTAGTCGTAGAGGGATTGTCGTAACTGCCGCGCTGAATGACTCGATGGTCTTATTGTTATTGTGGTGCTGAAAGTGGTGCTGAGACGTCAAAGGTGCTCTATTGTTGGCAAGCAGACACTGCACTAGCTGGGATACGTTGCTGTTGATTTGCGAAGCTTGCTGCACAATATTGTCTAGCCTTTGCTGATGAACGGAACTATTTTCTCGATGCGATTCGTTGAGGACCTAACCATATTGTTTTAGCACCGGATATTACTTGCGTATATGAAAGGGGTAAAACTCAACAGGCAGGCCTTGGAACTCACCATATAAAAGTACTGAGAAGAATGTTGATTGAATCCGTATGGGCCTGGAGCTTTTGCCGGTACTTGGCTAAGGAGTCGCCTCGGAGGTCCCACACGACTCTCCTCATCTGAACCTTGACCTGGGTCCGAAGGGCGCCTATGCCCTGAGCAAAGGGCGGTGCGCTGGGAGGGTCGTCTGCAGCCTCTCGGTACTTGACTGTGGCATTGTTAAGCTGCTCGAGAGTCGTCCGGCAGGAGTTGATCATCGATCCGAGGTGCTGCACAGCACCATTCCCGGGCTGAGACGTAGTATTGATCAAGATAGACTCATGCTCGCGTTGGAGATGGTCGAGGGCGCAGCATAGACCAAACAGCACGTCCTCGAGCTCTTTGAGGTCTCGGGGCGCGTTTTTGCGTCCGTCAGTCACGGATGAGAAGAGGCGGTGGGCTATCTGGGCGCAGAGGATTATATCGCCGATGGAGAACCCAAATGACATGATGATTTCTGAAGCAGCGTTGTGTTGCGATTGAAAACGGTTTAAGTAAAGAGGTGTATAGAGAATATTAAGAGATGGGTGGGTATATGGCCCAGAAGGAAGAAGAAGACCCTCCCAGAAATTCGCAGAATGAAAGTCAAGGGCTCGCGAGGCTGTGTAGGATTGACTAGGGTTGTCAAGGAATGAGGGAAATTATAGCGAACTGGAAAGAGACGATGAGCCTAGTTGGGTGGCTGCGCGCAAAGACGAAAGATGTATGTTCCCCTCTTTGATCTGGATAAATATTTCCATCTACAGTGGCGGAGCCGCAGCAGAGTGCGGGATAACCCAAACCCGTAAGCTTTCGGCGCTGCGCCTCGTATTCGTGTGAGATTGCCCAGGTGAAATCGATATGTCGTCGAAAATGCCATAGGCTAACGGGCCGGGCCCTCATAAACCCATGGGTCAGCACTCTCGTTTTCAACAAATCAGTGCTCAAAAATTTCGCATCAACAATTATACATCAAAATGACTACTATGCGTGAGGGCCCGTTTTCCATAGCAGTGCAGAAATTGAGAAAGCGCGAGGGAGAGGACGACAAGACCGAAGAAGCTGTTCTCGAGTTCACCGGTGATACTCCGCTCCAGCGCATCTGGGAAGAACTGGAAAGTATGTTCTCTCCACCCGATTTTCCTCCAAAAGGAAGTGCTAAAGTAAACACAGAACTAGGATACGAAGCTCCAGATACGATCATCGAGAACGGAAAGACTTGGTACAAGTCTTCTAGACAGCGTGTGTTCCACCCGTTCAAAGAGGTAGAGGTGGTCTCCGACAAAGCGGCCGTTGACGAAACCCATATTCATATTGACGAGCCACTCTATGTGTGCTCCAACCGACGCGAAGAGGTCAAGTTTGAGATTCTTCATGACAACATGGGTACCTATGCAGAGCGCCGCATGAACTCGCTGCGTATCGATGATGATCTCACCATCATTTTCCACCGAACCGTCCGCATGCCAGATGATGACCGTCTTCATGCTCTTCCTGCATCAGTGGGCAGTTTCCCTCTTTATAATACCGAGGACTATACAGACAAATTGCCCGACAATATACTTGAGAAAGGAGGCGTATTCTTGCCGATGTGGCAGCGCGAAGCGCTGTGGATTGAATTTCATACTACAAGCGAGAGTTTATACAGTGGCAATCATATGAAATCATACGCTATCAGAGTGTATATTGGCCAAATCAATGCAGTCACGGGAAGAAACATGATGGAAGAAAGAGCCGGGACTAGCTGGGTACAGGATTACATTGTTGTTCCCGATCAGAAATGGATCGACGGTGTCTGTGTCGCCCCTGGAGTTGTTCGGCAGTTTGTTGCCATGCCATGTCAGTTGCGGACATCTCAAAAAAAGCTGAACACGTACTAATGGGTACCATAGTAGGATCTGGATACACAGTCGAAGGCCAGAAGACCGGCGAGGAAAAGCACGGAGGTCTCCAGATTGAAGTCATTCCTGCATACCAGAAGAAGGTCGCCAGTTGGCTCGTAGCCACAGAAGAGGAAGCTTTGCGAGATACGTACTTGCATCTCGACGAGGCAAGGACTCCGGCTGAGCTGGGACTCGCAACTGGAGCGAAAATCCGGTCCTATCCCCCCGAATCCACATATCAGAGACCGGCCATCTTGAGCGACATGATAAAGAGGCTTGGTGGCGCTCCAGAAGCGAGTCGACTATCGGTTGAAGTAAGTCAGTGTTTGTTGTACGGCCTTGAGACAGGCTAACACGGATCCAACAGGCATTTTATTATACCTTTTCGGATGAGTCTGAATGGGAAAGGTATCGTGGCCGGCGATCTTATCGTCTGGGTCTATTACCTAGAATCGCAATGGAAGCCAATAGCAGGGGTACTTCGAATACCTCATTCTATTCAGGCTCTCCAAGCTTCATGACTGAAGTCAGCGAAAAAGAGGCTCTTCTCAACCGCCCGCCGTTTTCTAGTGAAACAAAAGGCATCACCCGGCGCGCAAAGGAGACTATAGAGAGAGTACAAGAGGCTGGGATTGCAGTTGCACGTCAGCCGCTGAGCGTTCAGGCCATGGGTTTGGCGGCAGGAGGAAAGCTGAGTATGTACCTCTCATGGAGTGTTAAGAAAGCACCATATAAGTTCCACCATGTTTTGAGTCCCAAATACTGACGGTAGACAAACACAAAGTTCAGGATATTGTTTCGGACTCTAACCCTCCGTCCATGTGGAATGTCGACGCGGCTCGTGTGATCCATGTGCACATTTTCGACCCCGTCAGCTTTGAGTCCGTCACTCACATTGTCCCTCCACCTATTCCCATGAGCGCCTACCAGGCTGTGGCAGCTGACATGCCGTTCTTTCTGGTCGAAGAACAGGTGGATGACCGTGTTGAAGGTGGTGGTTTTGATGATGTCAAGTCCGTCAGCCAGATGGACAAGAAGGGGATCGCGGCGGAACCATCGTTCGACCCAGCCCACCCTACTATGTGCAAAAGATGTGAGAAGAGGCTCTGTGATTGCATGTAAGTGATGAGTTCCCCCTGTCCTTTCAAGGTAATATGTGCTAATGTGCATTTATCAATGGGGGCAGTGTTCGGCCGTGTGACCACCAATTTTGCAATGTCTGCATCCGAGTCTTAAAAGACACTCACGAGGCTGATATGAGTGATTCACGTTGTCCTCAGTGCCATGTGAACATCACCCGAGTGGCAGGCTTCTCTGCCCCGATGAACCTGCCTGGCGAGGAGTCTGTCCGAACCAAAATGCCGGTGCGCATCCTCACCGTCAATGACGGACGCGTCAAATTTCAGTCTATCAGGCACACCAGAATCTGATTGGGATTTTTACTTTCTATTCTTTTGGTTTTACATCCTTCTTTCGCCGTTTCGCCTGCTGAAAGATTGACATGTCCCCTTTACATACTTTAGCTCTTTCCTGTTGACGGACCTGTAACTTAAGAAAAGCTCGCCTCTCTAATGCTATCCTCGTACGGTACAGGTGCCTTAGTAGTTATAGCGTTCCCGAAAAGCAAGGCGACCACTCGCAATGGCTTCTATAAACTCAACCCGATCTAACTCCTCCTTGAGGAGAAAATTGATGCGCCAAAATCAACGCCGTCCCAAGACAACCCCATATATCATCATGTCATAGCACAGTCCGCGGGTTTCGTTAAGCCTGAGAAAAATGCTTCAAATTGTGTGACTAGTAGCATGGAGGACTGGAGTTGGCGCTCTAGCTTGTAGAGCCACAGTCAGATTTAGCCACCCGTGGTTACTTGATAGACTCCCCAATTAGATGTTCAACTTGACAGCCTTCCCTTCCTTTAACCTGACTTCTCTCCTCCCTCTATCCTCCGCTCCCGATTCACAAAGCCATGACACATATGCTGCCTGAAGTCACACATTCCGATCGAAGTCACTTGTGTGATGTTATATCGTCACAAGATGTAATTTTTGTTGTCCTGGTGCAACGATTCAGACTTTAAGAGATTAGAAGTACGAGCATGGTTACAGGTGAACTTCACAAAGACTGTTTTCGAGCTGAAATTTCCTCTGTCAAGAATCTGATCTAAACGCTATACACATAAACCCAATGTCTAAACTGACCCACGTATCAAAACCCAGCCTCTAGTCGGTGCTTGGCTCTAATATGGCGCTGGAGATTAACTTGTCGCATCGGCCCTTTCCTTCCGTTCGCATGATAGTCGCAACGAGGATGAGGACAATAGGCCATGAAGTGCCCAGTGAACCCTTGGTCCTTATGAACTGATTGCATGTGTCGCGTCAGGTCTTTTTGGATTGCAAAACCTATGACACATCCGTTTATGGGACACTTGCAAGGACGTGTATGTGTTTTTATGTGTTTGCTTTTAGATAATCAGAACAATGTTGGTACCATGATGAAGTATGTGCAAGAGAACAAAACATACTTTAGCTGTCCACGGCTTGGGAATACCCTTTGGCAGTGTTCACACTGCAGAGAAGAGAAGTTGGCTGCTATGGAAGATGAGGTTTGCCGTTCAGATTTTGATGAGGTAGAAACCACGTCGGAAACACCATCGTGTTCAATTTGTTCATGTTGAAAATATTCTTCTGGCTGTTGCGAAGTGACCTGCTGCTGATACTGTTTTCCATCCTGTGTTGTAGAGTCAGGAAACCGGGGTTGGGATGTGGACACGGAATATGCACGGGGACCAGAATTGTCCGACCCGTGTAGCCACGCTGGAACGACATGTCCAGATTCAAGAAGAGAAAGCTGTTTTTGTTGTTCAAGGAAATTGGACTGCCGGTTGTTGACTTCTGGTGGAGCTTCTGGTATGTGTGTTCGCCGCGAAAAAAGGTGGACTAAATAGCTTCACCCTTTTAAACCCCAGATATCTAGACTAACCGCAATTTGGATGTTGTAAAGAGGATAGGTTGGAAGCCTAGCCTCTTGATCAAAGCAGCACAGAGAAGAATATTCTTTTCAAAGAACGATTGAAGGAGAGATTAAAAAAGCAGATTCAAAGCGCGCAAAAGGAATGGCAGTGGCAGCGGGTGAAGTAAAGAGCGAGGATGACAGGCCCGCTGCCCCTAAAAAAGAAAGAGAAAAGAAGAAAACCACAAGAGGATAGGGAATCACTAGCCCTTTATACTTTTCGAGTGGTGTGTTCAAATTGATCGGGTAGTCTCGAGTATGTACCTCTAGTTAGCAACTAATAACTACCCCGGGATGGTCTCAGTCAGAAGTGGGGGACCGTGCGAGGGAGGCCTCAAAATGTAGAGTTCTGATAGGCGAGATTCAGCTATGTCGTACGCCAGCCGGACTATTGAGCTGCAATATCGAGCTGGAATACCACTATCGGCCTAGACATATTGGATCGGGGAGTTTTGAATTGGGCATCGACAGAGCCGATCAGAAGGGGGCCTCAAAATGGAGAACTACGATTGAACGATCAGCCCGCCGAATACAACATCAATTGACAAATTGCCGGATTAGAATATGCACATGATTGTCAATCATGTCTAGGTTGCTACAGCTTTTCTCAGAATCAAGCTCCTGGATAAAAGACGAATTCGAATCAAGGGGATGAAACCAATTTGAAGGGCATATAAAGACCATCATTCCCCTCCAGCAGAGATGTTTTCATGATTATTTAAAAGGCAACAATACCTCAACTAAGGAATCACTCTCTAGCAATGTCTTCAATTTTTTGTTGCTCTTCTATGTCCCCTTATCGACCTGCCTATCTAACGCATGAGGCCAAGTTTGACCCATTCATTGCTTGGGCCAAAGGATCTGAATCATGCCCCTCTGCCGTTTCAGCTTCGTTTTTTCAGGATCCTGATAGTCCGCCACCTTACGCGATTCAGTTTGTTCGACAAGTCAATTTCGGTGCTGTCGAGGCTAAGAGATATTTCATCCCTGACCCCGAAGCAAGTGGAGTCCGGGTTGAATTCGTGGAGATTACCGAGCAAGATTTGATCGCTGGGAATTTCCAGAAGCTCAATTCGTATGTTCGCTGAATCATAATATCTATTGAGAAGTACAGAAAGCTCATTTAACATAGGTACAAAAACTTCAAGTGTGCAACGCACAACAAGTTCTTCGAAGTCAATCTGTACCAAAAGGACCCAGTTAATCGGCACCACTGGCGAATGAACATTGCTCGGCCAGCTAGCGATATCGATCTTTAGATCAGTGTATGGTGGAGAACGCGGACTATTGAAAATACGAATTCTTTGTAGTTTCAAGCATGAGGACAATGTTCAATATCAGTGTTATATTTGGAACCATGGCGTATCTTTGAAACAACTAGGTCATGGGCCACGACGTAGACAAGTACTTTGTGTTGCAGAAAATTGCAACTACGCAACAACTTTAAATATCAGCCGAAATTTCTACTGTTTACCCACACAATCCCCAGTTCCCATCACAGACCAATCACGGATGCACTCTAAAGGCAGCCTAAAACTGGAACAAATATGCAGTCTAGTTCTGTAGTATTATCCTGCAATCTTCAGTTAGATCCTACCTTTCGGTTTTGACACGCGAGATAACGCGACTGTCTTAAGTAGGTCCGTATGCGGCGTTTGACGAGAACTCTTGTTTACTTGGGCAAATATTCAAGTATTCATAAATATATTTATTTGTCTCCACTGCCATATATTCCAGAGATATAGCGCTCGTTAATCTATTCAATTCAACTGACCTCACAACGAACCGCAGCCCACCAATCATTGGCGCTTAGATCCTCGGGAAACTGAAGGCGGGGCCACGACCAATGGATGATCCAACTGGCCATGTCAAATAGTGGAAGAAGTTTATCTCCGTATTGTCTTTGGTCACCAACATTGTCCACGTAGACCGAGGTAACTTGCCGTTCACGTCGCTGTTATGTGAATAATCCCCAGGAAAACCGGGTTGGCAATCGTCTAGCAAGGAGCGCTTCCATTTGATGTGGCGTTCCTCCTGCCTCTTCCAGGCTTCCCTGAGTTTGCTTTCTGTCGAATTCTTGCTGCCACACAAACGAGTAAAGTCGTCTCTCGGAACCCAGGAATAACAGTCACAGTTGGGTCGCATGAGGACATATACGCTGCAACAGGGTCATCTCCATCTGGCTTTCACCAATAATCATACATTTCAAAGCTGAGAGGTTGGAAATAGTGTGTGAGTTGTATGTCCGCTCCGCGGTCAACCTGGCGGTGGACGATTTCGTCTCGTCTAAGATGGCACACAGTCATAAGCAAAGTATATTCTAGGTGTTCTATCTCATCAATTCTGGCCCCAGCGCTAGGAAGCATATTCACAATGGTCGAAGATGAGGTTTGATAGCATAGTCAAATGGAGTGTTTTGGGTATTGTCGCGCCGATTAGCAAATCTCTATTGTTTCAAGCTCCGGCTTTTTATGGCCATACTTACAATTTCCTAGAAAAAATCTTGAGCAAGCTTAAGGGTAGGGATGTGTGAAGGCGTCACGTGGAGAAATGTTCATATCGAATAGCTCGTGAGAACTTTTACGCAAATACCGACAAGCCACCGCTTCAACTCCAAGCTTAAGACCACTGTGCACCACTGACTGCTTAGATCTAACTGATACTAGTATGATATCCCGGATATACGCTTTTGGCCAATGGCTATCTTCGAATAACTGCACAAGTGCCCTAAGATTTTTCAATATAAGTTGTTCGAATATGGCGCAGATCTGGACGATATTTCGAATCCATTTCTTTGGTCACTTTTCTTTCTTGAACAATGTGACGAAAACGCCAAGGCTTTCTAGTGATGGCCTTGCCTTGCTTCAAGGAAGCCAATCGGAGCTTGAAAACGATCACATCGATAAAATGCGAGTGAGACTAGATAATCACAGCGACTCAGTCCGGAGTGCAAGTATCTTTGCGGGGAAGTGCGCTCATGGAGTCACCTAGGCTCGTTTTGATACTGGGTTGGAGACTCTCCTGGTTTTCGAGTTTGCGTAAGTCTGGGTGACGATGAAAAAGACACGATTGTGCGTAGTCTTTGGGCCACCAAACCGTGGTGTTCTCGATCGGGTGAATTTCCAGAGAGTATCCACTATCTACCTTGGTCGTTGCCACTTATTGGTCATGTTTAGACCCCTCCAAAGCTTTGCTTATGTCGTGCGTGGTAAGTGAGATCATGCTGCTCGGTGAGCAAAGAGCAGCGGGAGGTGAGCACTAACACGACAAGAGAACGCCAAGAAATGGCAAAGGAAATCCACCACTTACACAGGTAGTAATGGGTACAGAGATAGCCGGTTATTAGGGCTTCCCTGTTCTTTCCCTGTTCTACAATATTGTATCATTATTCCTCGCTTTGTATTTCTCTATACTTTGACCACTTACCATATTCTATGAAGTACATATCTACATATGTAGATAAGAAAGAAAAATAGAAAAAATCAAGAATTGACAAACTCTCTCCTCACTTCGGATCCGAACAGCGTCAAGTCCACTATGCTGATTGGCTGTAAGCACCAACACAGCACATCACTGCATCGTGCATGAAACCAACCACCAACTGCAATTACGCGCCAGAAGAATGATTAACCTTTCTGCAGGTGACATCGTGAGACATCCATTCTGCTTAAAAGAAACCTATGGCCCCAAACCCAAATCTTCTTTTTCTTTTTCTTTCTTCAGCGAGCGTTTGTTGTGTGAGATCTGCCCTAATTCGAGTTATCCTGAGCACTGGTTGCCTGGATCTTTTTTCTTTCTTTCTATTCTTACTATCTTAATATTTTTCAATCTTTTCATCACTCATACGAGCTGTGCTCTGTGAGTCGATTTCCTCTTTGCTTCGGACTTACTCGAATTATTCAACTTTATTAACAGTTCTCTCATTGTCGCCGGTCGACTCTTGATACTGTTCAACAGATCTAATACAACAAACCCCATCTTAATTTAATCTCGCTCGATTATTTTCCTTCATTTGTCGTGGACTGGTTTCCCGTCAAGATCCAACAAGAGTCTATACATTTCAACGAACTCTCAATTCAAGCAATCCAAACTCTGGTAGTTTCGATTGTTCATTCTATACGATACTCTTTACAGCATCTTATCCACGACAATATTTATTCTTCGATTTTATTTATTTGATCCATAATGGCCGCCGTTCAACTCCAGTTCTCTCTCCGGACCTCCTCCAACGTCAAGACCGTCCACCTCGTCGGATCATGGGACAACTACAAGCGCCAGATTCCCCTCTCCGCCGATGACAAGCCCGGCGCCTGGTTCGGCAAGTTCCGCTTCCAAACCTCCATGCTTCAACTCGGCGCCCGCTACTGGTACTACTACATCATGGACGGCCACCACGTCTCCCACGACCCAGCAGCTGAGTACACCGTCGAGCCCACCACCGGCCGCAAGCTCAACATCCTCGATGTCCCGGGCAAGTCCTCCCGCTCCTCCAAGCCATCCCGCGACATCCCCACCGGCCGCGCTCTGTCCCCCTCGCGCATCCAACACCCAAAGCCAACAAAGAACTACGCCTCCCGCCATCTCCGCGAGGCCGAATTCGCCCCAACCGTTGACGACCTGACCCGCCGCTTTGCCGGCTCCCGTCTCTCAGACGACTACTCCTTCAACGGACCTCCCAGCTCCGCGGGCTCTTCCCTATCTTCCCGCTCCTCGGGCAGCACCTCTCCCTCGTCCCTCTCATCTTTGAGCGACCGCCCCGTCCAATGCCGCTGCGAACGCTACGGCATCACCCGCAAGGGCGACCGCGTCAAGCTCGACTGTGGTGGTTCCCGCTGCGCAGGCTACGACTCTTCCGACGACTGCTGCTCCGACTCCGAGTACGACAGTGATGAGGAGTACTCCCGCGCTCGCAACGCTGTCCGTCGCCAGGGGATCTTTGTTCGCCGCTAATAGGATCGCAAGCTTGGCCCTGATCTGCTTCTGCTATTTGTCTTGCGCTGGCTTGTCCTCCCCTGGATTTGGCCATTGCTATTTGAGTTGAAAGAAAAGAAAAGAAAAAAGAAAAAAAAGATACTGGTGTTTTGGGGGTGAAAGTGCCTTTCATGGTATCTTCACCGTCAATTATATTCACCCCGGACGTGTCCTCGTGGGTGTTGATAAGCTTATTTCGGACTGTCAGAATCGCATTGACTGGTTCGAACCATAAGAGAGAAGATCTGCTCCGGGCTGCCTGTTTACCGTACGGTACAGTGTACGATGGGTGGCTTGGCCTGGTGGAAAAATGAACGCGACATCTCGTCTGCTGAAGAACATCTTTGATGTCATGGCTTCGCGCCGCCTTCGGCTTAGGTCGTACTCTGAGATCTCATGATTAATGTGATATGACCTGCATCTTTGTTTCATGGTAGATTGTATGTTGTAGACTATAGACTGTAGACTAGTAAACTGGCTCTGGCTGAATGCGAGTAAGAAACATAGAAGAATGGACTCACGCAGCCACTATGAAAAAGACTTGCTGAGCTGGACATCAGCACCTTTGCTCCTCTTTGATATCGGCAATCATCCTTTCAATGGCGTTGGAATACATTTCGAAAGCGAATAGAAAAATTAAGTATTGCGACTCTCTGCTTTTGTCCATCGCCCACATACATGTCCATCCTCTCCATGTCCATCTGCTTCCCCCACATCTCGACCACGACCACGACGGCGTCGATATGAATGGCAGCAGCGAAAGTTGCCGACTCTGGCTGAAAGACAGAAAAACTCGTCAATTATGACCCGTACGACAAATCCCATTTTGAAGAGCCCACCGCTAAATCCAACGAAGTCTTTGAGTGGGTTCCTTACGACAAAGTTATTCCCGCGATCAAGACTGTCAGTCAGGAGACTTTCCCTCGGGCGCTGCCTAATGACGACTCCGGGTTAGAGTAGCTCAGCCTTGTATTCAACGAAGGCTGTGAGTGTGGCCCTTGCGACAAAGTTATTGCCCAGAAAATCTTCGAGACTCTCACAGACACAGCCCGTGGTGATGAAAACGAAATATGAGCTAAGCCTCCGCCGAGGCTAATTTGTATGGCTTGTAGATTGTTATGACCTTGTAAAAGGATGCATCTAGGGGTAAGTGGGTATTTATATCAGTATCTTGGCATAAACTCCTGGTGCTTTGGAATAATATCAAATGCCGACAATGCTGAAAGCATAATGAACGTAAGGTGTGAGAATATACATCTACAATGTTCAAAAATTGGAAAAGAATGGGTAATCTTCCATGAGTACAGATTATATAAGATGTTAGATCAGGATAATAGTCATCTTGATTTAGTGAAATTGGTATATGCAAAGTGTTCAGCTTAAACTAGAAAGAATGGACATTTCCACCGTTGTATACTTCGGGGCTCCGGAGCTCCAGGGCTTCGGGCTTCGGCAAGATCAGTCAGCAATTAGTCATCATCCAACTTCGGCCAAATGGTCTCCCTACGATGGATGTCCATTTATTGACGCGACAGAAGGCCAGGCGTTCATCTGGTCATCAAAATTCCGACAAAGGAAATCGACAATAGAGACAGATACTCAGCCGAGTAGCCAAAACCCGCGCCTCAGAATCCCGACAGGACCCAACAACGTCCCGCGCTGCGACCGACGAAAATGGCACACGGAGCGGAGGACTGCGCAACTGTCCTGGAGCAGTTCGTTCACGATGTTGCGAACCTCCCGGCCGAGATCAACCACCTGATGGAAGAAATCCAGGCCAAGGACAAGATCATGCAAGAGTGTCGCTCAACCATCAACTCCCGCGACAGCAGCATTCAGAAATTCATCAAACTGAACGGCAGTCTGGCGCCAAACCCCAAAGAGGAGCAATATGGCAAGACCATCCTAGAAAACATGGATAAATCGCACGAACTACAGACGGAGAAGATCCAACTCAGCGAGAAGGCCTGCGTCCTCCTCGATCGCCAAATCAAGCGCCTAGACGTGCGCATTCGCGATCTAGTCAACGAGGGCCTTCTCACAAACGACCCTCCCCTACCATCCCTCTTCGACTCAAAGAACAAATACCGCAACCCACCCAAAGTCTTCTTCCCAGACTCAACACCCTCCGAATCCCCAGCCTACTCAACCCCTCTCCACCAAACCTCTGGCAACGCAAACCCAATCCTAGCAGCCGCCCAACGCCTCAACCAATCCACAACACCACGCCCACAAGGCTCAGCAGCCCAGCTCGCTCAATCTACAGCCCGCAGCTCCGCACCCGCCACCCCCGCCGCTGCCGCAGTCGTCCACCTCCAACAACGCCAGCGCGAATCCTCAGCAGGCGCAGTGGACTCCAAGCGCCGCCGCCTGAACCCAGCACTCGGCACTCTCCCCGCCGCATCCTCAAACCTGCGCCAATCATCTCTCGGCCCTGGAACACCCAAACCAGGCACGCCGGCCGGTAGTCGCGCGGGGAGTGTACCGCGCTCTAGCGCCGTGATCAAGAAGGCGTTGACGAAGAAGATCGCGCCCCACCAGCAGGTCAAGAAGCTTAAGACTTCAAATGGGAAGTTGATTAAGCGGTCTTCGAGTAGTGGACGCATCAAGGCTTCGAAGAAATCGCCTAACGGCGAGGGTGACGAGGATGATGATTCCATGCTTAGTAGTGCTGATACCTCCGATTCGGATAAGAGTGATGGTGGTGCGGATGAGGATGTCGATGATGAGGAGGAGGATGAGGGAAATGAGGATTCGAAGGTCTATTGTACTTGTCGGACGGTCAGCCATGGGGACATGGTTGCTTGCGATAATGATGAATGTCCTTACGAGTGGTTCCATTGGAAGTGTGTTGGGTTGACGAGGGAGCCTGTGGGAACGTGGTATTGTGATGAATGTCGGCGAACTCTGGGCAAATAGGTTTGTGTTTATTCTTATTCTTTGCAAGGTTGCATGGTTGATATACCCATGGCGTTTATGGATTGGTGGCGACTGGATTGGATTATGTTTGGATTCTTACATCAGTACAATCAATTACAATATACTGCTTAATGACTCTTTGAATTGAGTAAATTTCTCATATTCGTCTATGTCTAGACAAGACCAGCTCCATGCCGACGGCAAGAGGAATTGAAGGGAGTCCGGCGACGTTTTCTCCCTTACCTCCCAGCATATGTCCAAGCCGCAAAACCAGCCCCAAATCCAATGGTGGCCAGCGCCTAAGCAAATCAAGATATAACGCCATCGCTATGCACACGTATTTTCCTTTTTTTGTTCCATGCAAACGTGTTGGCACACAGGAACGTTCAGTGCGCCTAAAATCAAATGTTGGGTGTTAATGTCAACCCATTTAGAAGCCAAGTCCGCTGTTCAGCCACGGGTCGAAATACTCGCATGTCTCGGGACTGACTGTGCCTCCAGGCGAGCACAGTTTGAAGACAGGACACTGGCCACAGGGCGCTTCGGTCATGCCGTTTTTCACGAGATGCTTGTTTGCAAGGGCGAGGTCGTCGCCTTCGACGGGCGCCTTGCGCGCTTGCTTTTCTTTGACTGCGTCTGGGCTCTTGAGAGATCGGTAGACCTCGCCTGTACCGATTGAGACGAGCTTGTTGTCGTAGCAGAGCATTTCGAGGAGTTGGACCACGCTCTCTTCGCCCAGGCGGACAGGTGTGATGCCGCTCTCGTTGACGGCGGCGGTGATCATTTCCACGGTGGGGTAGCCTTTGTAGCCGTGGGGGTAGGGAAGGTAAGTTTTCTCCTCTTTGACGTCTGCTTTGCCGGAGGCGGTCTTGAGGCGTTTGTTTTTCCGCTCAGAGGCGGGCACTTCGTACCAGCTTTTTCGGCTCACGGTGTATTCGATGTAGCCGGCCACGCTGTTGATGAAGTTTGCATCGAGAACGCCGTCGGTGAACCAGGCTCCTCCAGTGACTTCTTCGCTTGGAGCCAGGCCTGCCAGCATGTACATCTTGCGGCTGGGGTATTTGACATTGTGCAGAGATTTGATGTAGGTTTTGCTTTCGAGTGATTTGAGGCAGCGGTCCAGGATGGACTTGTGCAGGTTTGTACGGTTTCCGATATGGCGGACCCAGATGCCTGTTCGTCCGGTGGAGTGGATGACATTGTAGACCATGGCCTCGTCGGGGGTGAGATTGCGGAGTCTGATGGGAGGAGAGGTTAGTTGAGGGGTCCATTGGCCGGGGTAACACTTCTAGTGCCTACTTTTCAGCATCCTCGCGGTCAATGAGTCGCCATGTTAGTTTTCCATCCTTGGTGAGAAGCCGGAACAGATTTTGATCGACGAGACTCTGAGCGCATTCTAGCAGAAGTGCGACATCATTGTCGGGGATGACTTTCAGGTCGAGAAAGTCGTTTTGGAAGAAAAGGTGATCGGGATCGAACTCGCTGGTGCATGCATCGTAAAGCTTAGATGCAAGCTCGGCCACTTTGGACCCCGCGGAGGCCATTATTGGAGATGCGACAGAGATATCAGGAGGCTAAATCAAGGTTCATTCGAGTGGGTTCGTGGTTTTTCATATTCAAACGAGTATGTTAGAACCGAGTGAGGAAGTTAGAGAGGCATGGTGCGCTAGTGTTGGTAAATTTGAGTCACAAATGAACACACGAGATGTTTTTTTGGCGACTTTTTCTCGGCGGGGGAGTGACTTGGGCCTAGAAGAGTTTAGCGCTTCGGAGCTTGTGAGCGCAGTGGCCTCAGGTGTCCATGCCTAAGGCGCTGAAATGCACTGCTGCCTGAGGCCTTGGATAGCAACGGAAATTTCGAGAAGCTCCGGCCGACTGAGCTCATAACCGCAGATTGCTCAGTTTCTTGTGATCTCATTCTTGATCTGCAAATTACTTTCTGTTGAGCCATTTTTTTATAACATAATATTAACAGCATGGCTGACGCTTTGAAGGCAGAAGGCAACAAGGCCTTCTCTGCTAAGGATTATCCTACTGCTATGTACACGCTACCCCACCTTTGACATTGACTCCAGAGCAGAACTGATAGAGACCAGCGAGAAATTCACCGAGGCTCTTGCCATCGAACCCGAAAACCACATCCTCTTCTCCAACCGCTCCGCCGTCTACACCGCACAGAACGAATACCAAAAAGCTCTTGAAGATGCCGAGAAGGCCATCGAGATCAAGCCCGACTGGTCCAAGGGCCATGTCCGTAAGGGAGCAGCTTACCGTGGCCTCGGAGATCTCTGTATGTGATATCGTGCCGGAGGAGTGGGAGCACCTACATTAGAATCTTATGCTAACCAACGGCAGTGGCTGCTTTCGACGCCTACCAGGAGGCTCTGAAGATTGAGCCCGGTAACGCACAGGCCAAGTCCGGCCTGGATGCCACCCAGCGTGCCATCAATGCTGAGGCTACAGCCGACGGTGTCACCGGTGACCCCACAGGAGGTCTCGGAGGCATGTTCAACGACCCGGCCCTGTTCCAAAAGCTTGCCAACAACCCCAAGACCGCTTCCCTCCTCGGCGATGCCGAGTTCATGGCCAAGCTGCAGAAGATCCAGCAGAACCCCAACAGTGTTGGAGAGGAGATTCGCGACCCTCGCTTCCTGCAGGTCATGAGCGTGCTTCTCGGTATTGATATGAACTTTGGTGGCGAGGGTGCCGAGCCCCCCATGCCCGAGTCCAAGCCCAGCGCTTCGCAACCCAAGAAGGCACCTACACCAGAGCCAGAGCCCGTGGACGAGGAGGCCATCGCCAAGAAGCAGGCCAAGGAGGCGGGTGACGCCGAGAAGCAGATTGGTAACGAGTTCTACAAGAAGAAGCAGTTCGATGAAGCTATTGAGCACTACTCCAAGGCTTGGGACCTCAACAAGGACATCACTTACTTGAACAACATTGGTGCTGCCAAGTTCGAGAAGGGCGACTACCAGGGCACCATCGAGACCTGCCAAAAGGCCATCGAGGAGGGCCGCGACTTGCGCGCTGACTTCAAGCTGATGGCCAAGGCCTACACTCGTATTGGTTCCGCCTACGAGAAGCTCAACGACCTCGCCCAGGCCATTGAGTACTACAACAAGTCTCTCATGGAGCACCGCACCCCCGATACTCTCACTAAGCTCCGCAACGCCGAGAAGACCAAGAGCACCGCCGAGAAGAACGCCTACATCGACCCGGCCGAGGCTGAGAAAGCCCGCGAGCTCGGTCAGCAGAAGTTCCAGGAGGGTGACTGGCCCGGTGCCGTCGAGGCCTTCACCGAGATGACCAAGCGCGCCCCCACTGACCCCCGTGGTTACTCCAACCGCGCCGCGGCCCTCATCAAGCTGATGGCTTTCCCCGGTGCCGTGCAGGACTGCGACGAGGCCATCAAGCTCGACCCTAAGTTCATCCGCGCTTACATGCGCAAGGGTGCAGCTCTCATCGCTATGAAGGAGTTCAACCGTGCTCTGGACACTTTCACCGAAGCTGCCGAGCACGACGATGGCAAGCACGCCCGTGAAATCGAGCAGCAGCAGCAGAAGTGCCTGGATGCTCAGTTCAGTGCCCGTGCTGGTGAGACTGAGGAGCAGACTATGGCCCGTATTCAGAATGACCCCGAGGTATGTTTCCTTTCCGCTTGAAGTATCGCTTGACACTTTTATACTAACAATGATTCAGATCATGTCTGTTCTGCAGGACCCCGTTATGCAGAGCATCCTTCAGCAGGCCAAGAGTGATCCCGCTGCGCTGCAGGAGCACATGAAGAACCCGCAGGTGCGGATGAAGATCCAGAAGCTGATGGCTGCTGGTGTTATCCGTATGGGACGGTAAATGTTTGGGATTTGAGGTTGCTGGATACGAATTGACACGAGATATCTTTTGACATATTTTTATTTCCCTAAAATTCCACTGCTTAGCTTGCATACACGTTCGTCCTTTGTTTACCCTTCCAACACTACTCCGTACAAATGTCGTATATTGAATTTCGGTCTCGGCGGCAAACACGTAAATATATGCATACAATTTTGTTAATCTTTCAATGTTGTTTATTTCATGTGCCACGCTTCGACCTTCGGCCGACATTTCCACAAAGAACTATCCCAGCCTCTTCGACCCACCGAGATTTAACGAGTGGGGGTTTAAAAAATTAAAAAAAAAGGATTTCACCGAACACCCTATCGTACCAATCATTTGCAAAGGAACCTCGGTGATTTCGATCTTTTCTTCAATATTGTGTGTGGTTGTCTTGTGCTCTGTTATTATTGTACGCTGTAGGGTAACACGAGCTGCAGTGGAATTAACCTCTTCAGCCCGGGTAACAGGTCACAGGGCATCTAGACGGGATGTGATGTGATAGATCAATTCCAGCACACGACATCGCAGAGCTGCAGCTGAAAAGAAAGACAGAGTTTACCTCGGGTATATCTCTTCTAATATATTATAATATCCATGGATGGCAGGGGGTGGATGCACTTTAGCCCTGGCCGATCAACCACATCGGGGTTAGATATGCGCTTGGATCGATAGTGTGCCTTTGACAGGGTTTTATTGATTTCAATGTTGAGTGTTTTCATTCTGTGCTGTATGCCACGTGTACAAGGGCAACTGAATGAAAAAAGGTACTCCGTACGAAGCACTCCTTACGTGTGAATGTCGTGGAGGATAATCGACTGTGCCAAGTGGTGGTACCTTGGTACAGTCGCTGCCTAATTAGCTATGTAGGGCTGTGCTAACAGCTAGTTGAGTTAGTCAAGTCAATCAAGTCAATCACGTTCGAATCAAACTTCGCTGCTCACTCCACTATCCACCGAATAACCCTGAATTATCGAATATTGTGGATTGTGGCGGTGCGTCGGGTCAACCGCAATAGTCGCTTTTAGTTGTGTTGCACAGGGGAAGGGTGCAATGTGCCATGGAGGGAGTAGGAGTGGTATATTCGGTCTCTGTTTGAATATGTTGTTTAAATATAGAGTTGAAGAGCAATAGAAATCAATTCCAATGGAATTACACATTGTCAACAGTTGAGCTGAGACCCGAGATCGTCGAACAAAGTACGTCACTGATCTCCGATCGAACTTCGGAGCTTCACGATCTCCTTTTTTTTCTTCTTTCTTCGTATATTATATGATATATGATATCAGTTATAGCATTATAGTCATAATAAATAGAAATATTATATTCTTGTGTCTTATTATATAATATAATATAAATAAACGACGTGAACGTAATCATTCCAGCCACACTTCCCCTTGACGCAAGCGGCTGGGCAATCTGAGCTGCCTGAATTGGCCCACATCTTCTCCTCTTTCTTCTCTTCGGACCTTTTTGTGCCTGTAACGCAGCTTTCTTTCACGACACTCCATGCCCTAATACCCTATACCGGACACCTGAAACCCTACAACTACTCTGCCTACCATTCGACAAGGCGTAAGCAAGCTTCCCCTCTTCCCCTCACATTCAACCTGACAATTCCCCCAGACCTGAACACAACCGGCGACATGGCGTCCGCCGACGCGGAGAAGACTGAGAACAAGATTGAGGGCACCATCGAAGCCGCCCAAGAATTACAAGAAGACCCTCAATCCCATGTCAACCCAGATACAATCGAGAAAAAGGTCGTCGAAGAAGCCCGAGAAGCTGGTTCGGCAGCATACCAATTCGACCCCGATGCTTCACCAGAAGACAAGGCCAATGCCGCCAAGGGGGTACGTAGAACAGTCGCCCGCGCGATCGCATATACAAACGTTAACCCATTGCCTGTGTTTAGCGACTGCCGCCTGATTTCCACCACCCACATAAGCCGCAGGGCATTGCGGTGGTCACAGATAAGGTAAGAGGAGCCCAGTCGCGATCGCAAAACCATACACTAATCCTGTGCAGACCGATGGAAAAGCAGACTATGACCTCCCTGCGCCGCAATCTGTGAATGCTATTATGGCCGAAGACGCGACGAGAGCGGAGGAGGGAAAGCCGATCGATGAAGATCTCCGATGGGCGCGCGATCGCACAGGTTGGGCACCCAAGTTTGTCACGGAAAAGCCTGATGGGCTTGATGAGGAGGGCACTTTGCTCGATCATCAGGATTTTCTCGAAGGTCGGATTCCTGATAAGTTCTTTGGCGATTGGTATCACAATGCGGCGATTATCGTCTTTGCCTGCTTGTCTTCTTGGCTGATTGCCGTGCTGGGCGGTGGTATCGGATGGGTGCTCATGATTATGGCCGCTTGCAGTACCTACTACCGGACCTCGATTCGTCGCGTGCGCCGCAACTTCCGTGATGATATTAGTCGGGAAATGTCCAAGCAGCGCCTCGAGACTGATACCGAGAGCTTGGAGTGGATTAACAGCTTCCTCGTCAAGTTCTGGCCTATCTACGCCCCCGTTCTCTGTGATACTATTATCAACTCGGTCGACCAGGTCCTGAGTACCTCTACCCCCGCTTTCTTGGATAGCTTGCGTCTCAAGACTTTCGTCCTCGGTACCAAGCCTCCTCGTCTCGAGCATGTCAAGACATACCCCAAGACAGAGCCGGATACCGTTATCATGGACTGGAAGTTCAGCTTCACTCCTAATGATACCATGGATTTGACTGCCCGCCAGTTGAAAGATAAGATCAACCCCAAGGTCGTGCTGGAGGTACGTGTCGGAAAGGGCATGGTCAGCAAAGGTCTCGACGTGATTGTCGAGGACATGGCTTGCTCTGGTCTTATGCGCGTCAAGGTCAAGCTCCAAATTCCCTTCCCCCACATCGAGCGCGTGGACGTCTGCTTCTTGGATAAGCCCGAACTCGACTACGTCTGCAAGCCTCTTGGTGGTGACCACCTTGGATTCGACATCAACTTCATCCCCGGTCTGGAGCACTTCATCAAGGACCAGATTCACGCCAATCTGCAACCCATGATGTACGACCCTAACGTGTTCCCCATTGAAATCGCGAAGATGCTTGCTGGAAACCCTGTTGACCAGGCTATTGGTGTGGTGGCTATCACTCTGCACGGCGCTCACCAGCTCAAGAACCCGGACAAGTTCTCTGGTACTCCTGACCCATATGCCGTGGTTTCTTTGAACAACCGCACCGAGCTTGGCCGCACTAAGATTATCCACGACACCGACAGTCCCCGCTGGAATGAGACCATCTATGTAATTATTACTTCCTTCTCCGATGCTTTGTCTATCGCCGCCTACGACTGGAATGAATACCGCAAGGACAAGGAAATGGGTACTGCCAGCTTCGCATTGGACAAGCTCGAACAAGAGCCTTCTCACGAGGGTATTTATCTGGAAGTGCAGGCCAGTGGCCGCCACCGCGGTGCGATTCAAGCCGACATCCGCTTCTTCCCCGTTCTCGAGGGACGCAAGGATGAGGCTGGCGTGGCTGAGCCTGCACCCGAACTCAACACCGGTATCGCGCAGTTCACTATCGAGCAGGCTAAGGACCTTGACGGAAGCAAGAGTCTGGTGGGCAAGCTTAACCCCTACGCTGTTCTGCTCCTCAACGGAAAGGAAATTCACATTACGAACAAGCTCAAGCGGACCAACAACCCTATCTTCCAGAATGCCTCCAAGGAGTTCCTTGTCACAGACCGCAAAAACGCCAAACTCGGCCTTATCCTCAAGGATGACCGCGATATCATGCAGGATCCCATCATCGGCCGCTACCAGATCAAGATGAATGACATGATCAAGATGATGGAGCGTGGCCAGCAGTGGTTCCATCTCCACGGCGCGAAGGACGGCCGTGCTAAGATGACCCTTCAGTGGAAGCCCGTTGCTCTGGGCGGCATCGGTAGCGCCGGTTACGTTGATCCCATCGGTGTCATGCGCTTCCACTTCAAGCGTGCGTCTAACCTGCGCAACCTCGAGGCCATGGGCAAGTCTGACCCCTACGCTCGCGTGCTTCTTTCGGGCATAACTCGCGGCCGCACTGTCACTTTCCGAAACAATCTCAACCCCGAATGGGACGAGGTTGTCTACGTGCCTATCCGCAGCGCTCGTGAGAAGTTGACTGTTGAGGTTATGGACGAGGAAACTATCAACAAGGACCGAACGCTTGGTTGGTGTGATCTTAATGCTTCGGACTTCGTTCGTGAGTCTGAGAGCGGCGAGTTTGAGATCGACGATGAGAAGCAGGCTATTACTAGCCCTTTGAAGATCAGTGGTGGTGTTGCCAAGGGTGAACTCCACTACACGGTTTCCTTCTACCCCACTGTGCCTGTCGTCAACCCCGAGGACGAGGAAGAGGAAGAAGAGGAGGTTCCAGGTACTCCTGGTCCTGACTCTGAGTTCCGCAAGAGTATCGACTCCCGGCCTAAGACTTTGCACACCAAGTCTGCTAGTGTGGACTCGAAGGCTTCCAAGGCCTCCAAGGCCTCCAAGGCTTTGTCTAATGGCACTACTCCTAACGGAACTAACGGTACCGGCGAGCCGGCTACCAACGGCCGCACCAGTCTGGAGACTAATGGGTCGCGCCCAATGACTGGTCCCCAGTCTGAGACTGCGTCTCTCCGGTCGATCAAGTCGATTCCCCGCACTTTCGTCAGCGTGGAGGATCTGGCGAAATATGGTATGTTTTGTTCACTGAAATGTGTCAGTCGCTCAAGCTAATCAATCACCTCTAGAATCCGGCTTCATTGTGTTCAAGTTCCACGAGGGCCAGCTGGCTCACCAACATGTCCAGCTGGAGGTTTTGATGGACGACTACATGTTCCCCGCCTATGTCTCATCCAAGATTCACACCACGACCGCGAAGTTCACCGACGTCGGAGAGGCCTTCGTCCGCGAACTCGAGTTCTCCAAGATCACCCTCCGTCTCGTCAACAAGGATGACCCCAAGGATTCTAGCGAGGAGCACACCGTCGCCAAGCTTACTGGTGACACCCTGCCCACCCTCATGCGCATGCTGTACACGCCCACCGAGCTTGTCCTCCGCTCCAACGCCGGCGAGGTCAGCAAGGTCACCGTCAGCGCCCGCTTCATCCCCACTCAGATGAAGCTCGACCCAGTGGAAAGCATCAACAACATGGGTACCCTCCGTGTGGACGTTCTCGACGCCGCTGAGCTGCCCGCTGCCGACCGAAATGGTTTCTCTGACCCATACTGCAAATTCCGTCTGGCCGACGAGACCATCTTCAAGACCAAGGTCCAGAAGAAGACCCTCCACCCGGCCTGGAACGAGTTCTTCGAAACACCAATCAAATCTCGTATCGGTGCTAACTTCCACGTCGACGTGTATGACTGGGATTTCGGCGACAAAGCAGACTGGCTGGGCGCAACTCCGATCGACCTTGAAGACCTGGAGCCCTTCACTCCCAAGGAAATCACCCTCCCTCTGGACGGAAAATCAGGCGTCATCCGCCTCAAGCTTCTGTTCAAGCCAAGCTACGTCGTTCGCTCCCGTCAAGGATCCTCCACTTTCTCAGGAACCTTTGCGGTACCCGGCAAGATCGTCGGCGCACCCGTCAAGGGCGTAGGCTTTGTCGGTGGCAACGTAGTCCGCGGAGCCTCCTTCGTCAAGCACGGTCTCATGTCCCGTTTCAACAAAGACAAGAATAACGAAGACGCCAGCTCCATCATCGAGGAGGACAAGGACCGTCTCACGCCCTCTGCCTCCATCGCCGACGGCGCTTCGTCCCCCAACACCCCTCAAAAGGAACACTCGCGCAACCGCAGCACAGCCTCGCAATTCGGTGACCGCCTCAGCGTCATCGGCGGCGTCGGTGCCGGCGACAAAGGAACAGCAAACATCACCCTCGTCTCCGCAGCCAACTTCCCCACAAACGCCAACCTGCGCATCCACGTCCGCATCATCGGCTCCAAGGGCGCAAAGGAAGTCCACAAGTCCAAGGCCCACAAGAACACCGCCGGAACAGTCAACTACGACGACTCCTTCCGCGTCAACACCACCGCCGACGCCCAGTACCAGATCCGTGTCGTCGACCACGCCACCTTCGGCTCTGACGATGTCCTCGGCGAAGCGCTGTTCTTCATTGACGACCAGGGCTCCGTCGCCGGCCAAGATAAGCTCGTTACCGTTGGCGACGGCGTCGTTACGATCCGCTCTAGCTTTGCGCCTGCTGAGGGTGCCCTCCGGCCTACGACTAGTGGGTCTACAGCTGCTGAGGAGGATGTCTCTGGGAGTCCGGATTCGAGGAAGTTGCCCAGGAGGAGCTTTTTGACTAAGAGGAGTGTTAGTGGAGTTTGATTGGATTGGATGAGGGTTTTACTTGAAGTCGAGTGGCGATTTGTCGGGATGAAAATATGCTTTTTTTGTTACGATATCCTTTATGAATTGTTGATTATAGCTGAATTAATTATATCTTGAGTTGCGGTGTGCTACTTACTGTAAGTTCGTAAATTGTACCTATAACATGGGTTTAAAATTAAAAATAGGAGAATCAATAGTTACGCCACTCGACTTGACCCAAGACCCATGTCTCACCTAGGTGAATCTGAAAGGGGCAAAAACGAGGCTATACGGTGTACTCCGACTATTGTACCTTGTACATTGCGGATTGTTATTCTGATTCTGGGATTTTGACAGGTTCTGTAAATCGAAACTGGAATTGTAAATTAACTGTAAATCCTATCACATTTCAAAACTCTGTTGTCTGCACAGCCCAGTTGATGATCAGTTTTGCGTGAAGCTTAGGCCGCTTCAGTGAGGGGGCGGGGTGCTGTCAGTGCCTGTGCTTACAGATTGTAACTCCGGTGCGGTTAATGGTGTTAATTTTTGGCTTCTGGAAGATATTCAAATTGATTCACCATTATTGGAATTGTAGAATATTGGCGCTCTTATTTTTAGAACCCCGTACTAGTACAACGCTCATAGAACCGTGGGTTCATGTTAAGGGATTTTGATTTCGGTGGAGTGCTGATTTCGGCAGTTCCACCCCCGGGGCCTTGGGTGGTATAGTTTCAGTTCAGAAATAATTTGTTGAGTTTATGATAGTGTAACTCCGAAGTAGAAATAGGAGTAGTGGCGTTATTACTCCGTACTATATTGTAGGTAGGGCTGGAAAGGAGACATGAGTAATTAGGGTTAAGACATGATCACCCTACAATGTTTCCTTACAACAGTGTTATTTAACTACATATACAACGCATATATACATACAATCGTATGTATGGATGCTGATAACGGGTGGTACATTCAGTCAGGTGAACACTGCAAGTCAAGCACTATTCGAAATCAGATCTTTCTGAATCTCGACATACCACAGCATGGCTGGCATTCCGGTAGCAAATCAGTCCCGAACGTGGTCGGGCCGATCGCGGGTATAATTAAATAATAATTTAGTGATTCGGAGTCGTTAACTCGTTAACTATATTATGGTACCTATATCCACGGCAATAATTAAACGGTATAATTAAATATATTATGTGAAACCTCCGAACCATTGAAAACTGAAACCCTACCGAATCTCCCGATGAAGGGTCAAGAGGATAAATCGGAGCTTCCCATAGCTAGTGGGGGTAGTACTAAATACGAACTTGGCTAGGTGTGGTGGGATAATACTAAGTGGGCTGGAAAAAAGGGGGCGGACGGTCTGGATTGCGTCCTAATGCAGTCTCAACGGTTAGGTGTACTCCGGATGCGGGTATTTGTAGGGGAATCAGGGGATGCTTATGTTTGCAATTTGGTTACCAGTAGATGGTATTAACTTTGGATACGATATGAATATACAACGTAGTGATATTAGTATGTATAGATACATATGTAAGTCGCATACTAGTTGGTTGTGTTGCTAATAGCTAGCTGGTAGCTGTTAGCTCCCGTATGTCAGTGGCGGGCAGCTGACGACATATCTAGACTGTACGAGCTAAGATCAGAATCAAAATCAGAAGTCAGAAAGTAATTATCGCTGATATATCATAGTATATGTAGGTAATGCTAGGTAATAGAGGTTAAAGTACCCCGTAACTATCAGTACCAAGTACTAGATACTTCGTATGTCTTATATCCCAAGTATTAAGTAAAGTACTCCATACCTAAAAGCAGAATAAAAATAATATAACATGGGGACCCCCACTCCAGAGATCGGCCTCTGCTCCCTTTTTTCCTTGTTTCTGTTCAACTTCTTCTTTTTTTTCCCCTCTCTTTTTTCTCTCTGCATCAATTTGCATTTGGTGAGTGAAATACCTTATAATGACGCTCGGTCATTAGTGGCAATTCCGAAATTCTCCTATAAGAGGTGCCACCGTTTCCCTTTCTGCCACTGACCTCATTTTTCTCTCAGAACATCCCTACAACATAATTCATAATGGCCTCCAAGGCACTTCCTACCCACCTTCAGGCTCCTGCTGGTGAGAGCTTCGGTGGAAAGCACCATGGCAAGACCCAATCTCATATGGTAAGTTGTTGGCGGTGAATCCTTCCTTCCCTGTTGCCGTACCTGCCGAAAGCTATTTGTTTATTGGGGGTTGCGAAGCGTCGTGAACTTCCACTTCCCTCTGAAATTGTGCTTTTCCTCCCAACACATTCATTACTGTATTCTCGGAAACTACCTCACATCCCTTTTTTTTGTGTCACTATGTCTACCTTAAAACCAAACTTTGGTCCTGAACTGACTCGTTTTACCTCCCATCAGGCATTTGAAAATGCTTCCACTAGCGTCGCCGCTTCCCAGATGCGCAATGCCCTCAACGCCCTGGGTGACACTGTCACCGACCCCAACGAGAAGAAGCGTTTTGAGACTGAGATGGACAACTTTTTCGCTCTGTTCCGCCGTTTCTTGAACGATAAGGCCAAGGGCAACGCCGTCAACTGGGATCGCATTGCCCCTCCCCAGCCTTCCCAGGTCGTTGGCTACGACGAGCTCGGTGCTGAAGCCTCCGTCGAGTTCCTGAACAAATTGGCCGTTGTCAAGCTCAATGGTGGTCTCGGTACCTCCATGGGTTGTGTCGGCCCCAAGTCCGTCATCGAGGTCCGTGAGGGCATGTCCTTCCTCGATCTTTCCGTGCGCCAGATTGAGCACCTCAACCGCACTTTCGATGTCAACGTTCCTTTCGTTCTCATGAACTCCTTCAACACCGATCAGGACACCCAGTCTATCATTAAGAAGTACGAGGGCCACAATGTCGACATCATCACCTTCAACCAGTCCCGCTACCCCCGTATCATTAAGGACTCTCTCCTCCCCGCCCCCAAGAGCTTCGACTCTCCCCTTCAGGACTGGTACCCTCCCGGTCACGGTGACGTCTTCGAGTCCCTGTACAACTCCGGCACCCTCGACAAGCTGATCGAGCGCGGCATCGAGTACATCTTCTTGTCCAACGCCGACAACCTCGGCGCTGTCGTCGATCTGCGCATCCTGCAGCACATGGCTGACTCGCAGGCCGAGTACATCATGGAATTGACTGATAAGACCAAGGCTGACGTCAAGGGTGGTACCATCATTGACTCCGACGGCAAGGTCCGCCTGCTCGAGATTGCCCAGGTCCCCAAGGAGCACGTCAACGAATTCAAGTCTATCAAGAAGTTCAAGTACTTCAACACCAACAACATCTGGCTGAACGTCCAGGCCATCAAGCGTGTTGTCGAGGAGAACGAGCTCGAGATGGAGATCATTCCCAACGAGAAGTCCATCCCCGCCGATAAGAAGGGCGAGGCCGACCAGGCCATCTACCAGCTGGAGACCGCCGTCGGTGCCGCCATCCGCCACTTCAAGAACGCCCACGGTGTCAACGTGCCCCGTCGCCGCTTCTTGCCCGTCAAGACCTGCTCCGACCTGATGGTTGTCAAGTCCGACCTGTACCGTCTCGAGCACGGCCAGCTGGTCATGGACCCCAACCGTTTCGGCGGTGTCCCCGTCATCAAGCTGGGTTCCGACTTCAAGAAGGTCTCCGACTTCCAGAAGCGCATTGCTAGCATTCCCCGCATTGTCGAGCTGGACCACCTCACTGTCACTGGACCCGTCAACCTCGGCCGCAACGTCACCCTTAAGGGAACTGTTATCATTGTCGCCTCCGAGGGTAGCACCATTGATATCCCCCCAGGATCCGTGCTCGAGAACTGCGTTGTGCAGGGTAGTCTGAGAATCCTGGAGCACTAGAAGTTGTCTGATTCTTGTTTTTTGCTAGATCTTTGCAGGTTTCAGGGTGCATCCGTTGGATTCGGGTTGCAAAAGAAGTACTTGTATTACATTACAATAATCCAGCGTCTTTTTTTCTTTCTTCATCTGGTTTGGTCATAGACCTTTTTTGATTTCCCAAGTTCTGTACTCCGAATCGAGCAATGCACTTTTATGAATACTCAATCGACGTAAACTAGGCTAGCCTACATACATATAGATGTAGATTCTGTTTGTATCTATAAGGTGGGTATCAGTTCTCGATCAACAGCAACAGTACGAAGTAAATAACCTTCACCAACCGTAACATTCGACAATTTCAAACACAGCTGTATGCTTCCGTATGACAAGACTTACCCCATGCAACTCAGAGGTTAAAAATCCAAATACTCCCAATTGATAGGCGGGCATAACTTCCCCATGATCGCAGCCAACGTCATTGGACAAACAAGCCCAGTATACGCTAGGAAAAGTATCAATTCCTCGATTACAAAAGAATTAAAGATTTACTCTCGAATCCGACATGTATTGATCCTGTATAGCTCACTCCGTCGACTTCGTTTTCTCTTTGTCCCTGTTCCGCTTCCTGTATATCTGTTCGTCTGGAGTACATATATATCGTGGCTGTCGCCTCTCGCCTCTTACATATTTCTTTTTTCATCTCGTTCTTTTCTTTTACATATCCATCTCTACATATTTTGAACTTTCAAGTGTCTGATTATACATACATACACATACATATATACATACTACAAAAGTTGTTGTGATTGTTGCAAATGTCTGAATCGAGCATGTCCGACTACCGCCGCCTTGTTCCCGGTCCGTCGCCCCCCTCTGATGATGGCGACGAGCATGAGCTCGAGCAAAGCCGCCCGGAGAAGGGGACTTGGAAGAAGAGAGTTTCGACAGCTTGTTTGGCGTGTAAGAAGTCCAAGAGGAAGGTTAGTTTCATTTTCCATGCATCTATTCTCATTCTATAAACAATATCACTCCTACTATATACCAGAACAACCCTAACACCCCCCAGTGCAGCGGCACATCTCCCTGCAAAAACTGCCAATCCTTCAAAAGAGTCTGCATATTCGACGAATCGCTCGACCAACGCCGCCGCGTCGCCGCAAAGCGTACAGCAACAGAACTCTCCTACCACCGCGACCTCCTAACAGACCTCTTCAAGCTAATCCGCGAAGCAAACGAACCACACGCTCTCCACCTCCTAACCCTAATCCGGCACAATGCCTCCCCCGATGAGATCCGCGCTTACATAGACTCCACCCTCGCACAGCTGGAAGACCCGCACACCCAGACCGTCGCCAAGCTGGAGGATATGCGCCAGCTTATTAATCTCGAGGGATCGACGCCTGTCTTTAGAAGAAAGGTTATGGATATTCATTATCTTTGTGATGATGCTCCTTGTGCGGTGCCTGCTGAGCCTTGGACGAGGGTTACCGCGGATGCGGATCTGGTGTCGCATCTTGTGTCGTTGTATTTTGCTTGGGATTGGCCGTTTAGTGCGTTTTTGGATAAGGAGGTGTTTTTGAAACATATGAAAAGGGCAGACGTTGCGAGTGAGTTCTGTAGTCCGTTTTTGGTTAATGCGGTGCTCAGTAATGCTTGTGTGAGTTGGTTTCTTTCGGTTTGGTCTCGCTGGGCGATATGGGCTGACGGTTTGCAGTATTTCTCGGAGTTCTCCGAGGCTTATGTTGTTCCTGGTGATATCTCTTCTAAGGGAAGTGATTTCCTGGCGGAAGCGGTGAGATTGAAGAATGAGGGACCCAGTCAGCCTAGTTTGGCTGGCTTGCAGGGGACGTTGCTTATGTATGAACGGTGAGTAAACAGCTGTGGGTCGATGTTAATGTTTGTGTAAGTGTGATATGACTCTGACACAGAGGTAGATACGCCATGTCTCGCGAAGATGACCTGGGCTATATCATGCTTCATCAGGCTATTCGCATGGGCGAGTCACTAGGTCTAGTCGGTAGCACAGGACCCCGAATGGCATCTGGTGAGCTATCCCAGGATATGGATATCTCTTGCAAACGAACAGCATGGGGTCTTTTCAACGTCGACACGTAAGTAGACCCCGATAAAAGCATACTTCACCTCTTGACACCAGCCAGAATGGTCCACACGGGCTTTCTCCGACCCAGTCTAATCGACCACGTCAACATGGCCCGTATGGATCGGACCCTTCCAGAAGACCAAGCACTTTGGTGTCCGTACCCGACACATCGCGATGCTCGCCCCTCATTCTACACATCGTACTTTGGCGAGGCATGTGACTTGTCCACTATCGCCCGCGACATCTCCCGCAGTATGTTCGCAGACCACCACGTGAGTACGGCTTTGGGACACATCCATCGACAGAGTCGTGAAGCTCTGTACGATCGCCTCCGGGGCTGGCATGAGTTACTCCCCGAGGACTTTGATGAGCGGCATAGACCTGCTCCGCACGTCATTCTACTAAAGTACTGCCTCCCGAAACTCAAGCCCAACGACAAACAAAAACAGAACAAGAAAGAAAAGAGAGAAAAAACTAACTTACCACCAGGATGCGCTACAACACCCTCATCATTAACCTCTTCAGCTGTATCTCCGACGATCCATCTCTATCCTTCGGGCCCAAAACCCCAGAAAGTCCACCCCGCCAATCCCCACCGCCAAAATACAACGCATGGGAAGTAACTAGCGCCGCGGCCCACTCAATCGCCTCCCTGACCCGTCTCCACAGACGGGAATTCGGACTCAGCCGCGCGCACCATTTTGCCATGTACGCAATTAACCTGGCTCTCTTTACTCTGCTGGAGCAGGAGACCTTCGACGTTCTCGACGAGGACTTCCTCGTAATGGCAAGTGCTTTCTCGGTCGTTGCGAGCCGGTCCGCGCTGGGCAGGAATCTATTCCATATTTTCCGACAGTCAGTTCGCGGCAAGGCGCAGGGATACCGTATTCGCGGTAGTTCGGAGGTTCCGGATGAATTAAAGGATCTATTTGATGAGAAGAGTACTAGTCGGGGGTGTCGGCGGTTTGATGAGTATGCGGATGGATTGGAGAAGCTGAATAAGAAGGATAAGTATCATGGGATTGGGATTGCGGATGGGGGGTTGCAGGGTTATCCTGGACTGGGACTTTCGGATATGTTGGATCGTTATGAAAGTCTGAGTTTGGGGAAGGATGACGTTCTTGCTGAGCGGTATCGACTTGGCGGTGGTTGATATGCATTGTATGTTCAAGTATTATATACATTGTTTCGTTGTCTTGAGGTACAGTATGTGTGGCGTCGGTGATCTCATATATATAGATCGGCTGGTTTGCCTCCTTTGAATCTTGGAAAATGGATCCGCTCACGGCAATTCCTTGGTCGGAGGGTATAATTGACGCAAATCAATTCATTGCAGTTTGATTGGAGAATATACACGGGTAAGTAAGATGATGTGAACAAAAACCGAATGAAGAAGAGACAGAATTAGTCTGACGTCAAAGCAGAACTTCATCTCTTGGCGACTTTTCCCTCCACCGCGTCATAGCATACTGTTGACCCGCATTCGACATTTTGCATTTTACATTTCGCATGTCATCTGTATATGCCATTTAATCCTTCTTAACCATATTCATGTCGACTCTTAAGACATGGATAATCCTTCACAACCGACTGAAAAGCTGAGGAGTTTTGCCGGCGACAATGAAGCCCATTTACATCCCTATCCAACGCCGAACCCATTCTCACCACAGACAGTGGCGGTTGGGAAACCCCAGTCGCAACCATATCAATCAACCACATCATCCTCATCATCTGTGCAGGGTTCGGTTCCACCTGCAGCCGTGTCAAAAGTACCCATCCCTCGACTAGCCACAGGCGATGTTTCATACAGGCGCCGCCGTTCAGCACGCGCATGCGAGCCCTGTCGCCAGCGCAAGATCAAATGCGACGGTATACGACCGGTGTGTTCGCAATGTATTCACCACAACCACCAATGCACCTTCGAAGATGTGAAACGAGTACGCGACCAGAAACGATTGGGCTCGCTGGCGAAGCGCGTGGAAGCGTATGAAGCTCTGCTGAGAGAGCTCGAGGGCGAGGTAGATCTCCCTACCGCGAGAAAAATAAGGAAAGCTATGAAGGTATGTTCGGAAACGTCAGGCTCCGTCTCACCCGAGTCTAGGATCGAATGATTTGGGAACCGAGATCAGGCTTTTGACGTTTTTCTATTTCGAAGAATTCGGGGAATTCCCGAAAACCCGACGACGACGGATCCGATTCTTCGACGTCTATGGGTTCGCTCGAGGCGATCGATCAGGTTGATGAGGATCTGAACCGCAGTGAGCGCACCCGTGCTGCTGGTTTTTTTGGGAAAAATTCCGAGGTTCAGTGGATGCGCAAGTTAGAAACTGGCGTGAGTATGAAAAGTCCCTCCAGATATGGAGGTAGTGGTGGTGCGTTGAACTCTCTCCATTCGGATAGTCACCAGGACGCATCATTCATCCAGAAGCGACAGTTATCGGAGAAGGACATCTCGACTTCCACAATGGACTACCACCTTGATAACCTGGATATTCCGTTGATTGAACCGTGCGATCCATTCGTTGTGCCCCCGCGTGAACTCGCGGATCGCTATCTCCACGCCTTTTTGACCTATGTTCATCCGACGTTCAGCGCTATTCGGAAGAATACCTTTACCTTGCAGTACCAGCAGTTTTTCAACAATGCATTGTCTCCACCACAGAAATGGCTGGCCATTCTGAACATGATATTTGCCATTGGCTGCCGTTTCTCGAGACTCATAGATGATCCCCAATCAAGCGAGGAGGACCTCCTCTACTTGACCCGTGCTCGGCTTCTCGGTCTGCATAGCAAAATTCTCTTTGAGCACACCGATCTCCAGCAGATCCAATTGGAAATGCTCGTGGCGATATACCTCCTCTGTCTAGGACAGGTCAACAGGCAAGTTCCCACCCCCAACACCAACCCAATCTCCCCTCCTAACTCTTTACCCCAAACAGAGCCCACGCATTCTCCAACATGGCGCTCCGTTCTGCCCTCTCCCTAGGCATCAACCTACGCCTTACAGACAACCGCACAGAAGACGGCGCAAAAGAAGCGCGCGGCCGTCTCTGGTGGTCCATCTACTCAATGGAACACCTCTTAACCTCAATGACCGGCCGAGCCTCCTGCGTAAGCGAAGGTCTCTGCTCCGTCCCACTCCCGCTCCCCTGCGACGAAGAAGCCTTCGACCACCCGGAAGCAAAGCGTCTCTTCCAAGACTCGGCTCTGCGCGAGTCCGAACTTCGCCCAACCCTCTTTGAATTACACACCCAATCCCCCACCCAATCCCCCTCCCAATCCTGTATCTCAACCTGGCCCCCCTCCCCCTCCCTCTTCTCAACCTTCCTCGTTGACCTAACCCTCGTCACCCATGCCATAATGAACAAAGTCTACTCAATCGAAGGCCTCCGCAAAGGCGCCTCTCAAATCGAATACCGCATTCAAAAATTCGACCTCAAAATCGACCGCTGGAGAACAAAACTCCCATCTTTCTACCAATTCACCCTCCCAAACGCTGGCCCCTGGCACCTCAACCACCCCCAGCTAGAAGATCTCTCGGCCCCCTTCGTCCGCGAACGCGTCTGCCTAGCCATGAACTATTACTCTGCAAGAATAATTCTCTACAGACCCTGTCTAAACATCCACCCCCAGTCCGACTCAGATGCCTCCCCGCGCAACAGACTCCGCGCAGACATGGCAACAAACTGCCTTCAAGCTGCCTGTGCCATGATCGCAATCCTCCCCGAGTCGCCGGACGTGTCCTGGCTCGCCCGCGCTGCGCCCTGGTGGAGCGTCCTGCATTACCTCATGCAAGCTACCACCGCGCTGCTGCTGGGCTTGTCGTTCTCCTCGTACCCTGGCGCTCCGAATCCCTCGAAGGATTGGAAAACAGGCAGTGCAGAGCGGATCTCTAACCCGCTTACGCCTATCTCGAACATGTACCCGCCTCTCCTGGAGACGGATCTGAGGACTGCGGTTGAGTCAGCGCGGAAGGCGCTCTGGTGGCTCCATAAGACGGCTGAAGTGGATGTTGCTGCTAAAAAGGCTTTTGAGCTTTGTCGGAGGATTGTGGGGAGGATTGCGCCTGGTTTGGGGATTGAGTTGGATGATTGGCCTGATGGGGGGTCGTATGTTGAGGCTGTTAAGGGTAGGAGGGAGGGTGGGAATGGGAGTGTTAATGGAAGTGTGAATGGACATGATATTGTGAGTGGCATGGAGGCTTTTGAGGAGTTGATTGATTTTGAAGGGGGTGTGTTCTAGCTGTGATTATTGTCTTACTGCGTTTAGCCATATAGTCATATTGGTTCAAAACTAGCATTTAGGAATATGGAGACCTGATGACCACGATGTCGAATGCCACATGTGTATCTTGGAAGGCTATGTAGTGGATGTACATGTACATGATTTTAACAGAGTGAGATTAGAAACTATATACTTGATCGACAACATTAATATGTAAACAAAAACCACCGGCTAAGTAAACAGGAAAGAGATGCCAGTATGCCATACACGTAACGCCAAGACCCAAGACTTGACACGAGACTTCATAGACGATAACGCATGCAAACGTTAACAATATAAACACCGATCTTTGAGAATTGCATGAACAGACAATATTGATCACAACATGATATCAAGGTTGGGAGGACACCCCAGATTCAGCTAGGTGGGTTGTGGCTGCATCTGGATTTGGAAAGTGTGCTGGTGTTCGTGTTGAGGTGCAGGCGGGGGAGGTGCCTGCGTCCGTTGGGGGATTGGAGCTCGGCGCTGTTGTCCTTGCATCCCGTGGGGCGACTCGGATTGCATCGGATGCTGCATTTGCTGTTGCATTGGTGACTGGATATATGGCTGCTGGTGGGGGAGGGGGCGCGAATGGTGCACGGGAGAATGGTGGTGCATTTGCATGTGCGGCATTGACAGCTGCTGAGCTGTCTGCTGGGGCAAAGATTGGCCATGCGACATGTGGCCGGGTTGCGGGGAGATATGTTGCTGTTGATGCATGTGCTGAACCTGTTGACCCAGGTGTTGGCTTGACTGCTGCTGCATCGGTTGGCTTTGCATGGCTTGGTTCTGCTGTTGAGCTTGCTGGAACATGTGGTGGTTCTGTTGTGGCATGGTTTGACCTGACATGACTTGACCCTGCATGGATTGTCCTGCCATCGACTGGCCGGGGAGGGCTTGTCCCTGATGCATCTGAGGTGGGGTCGGGCAGGGCCGTTTACGAGACTCCTCGTCCACGGCAGAGGTGGCACGTTTCAGCGCTGCCGTCGCATCTGTGCCCTCAGGTAATTGGGAGTTGCCATCGGCTTGGGTTTGATCTCCGGCGGCGGCGGCAGCAGCAGCAGCAGCGGCCGCAGCCGCAGCCGCCACGTCGGCCTTGCGAGGTCTTCCTCGTGGCCGACCGGTGCCAGGTGGCTTGGGCTTAGCTGAAGATGGCTTCCTGGGTTTGGGCGGAGGCAGAGGTTGACCCGTTGCTTTCGCCCAGGCGATTTGATCAGCCTTGCGTGGACGTCCACGTTTCCGCTTCATAGGAGTCCCGTCTGGTCCCAAGATAGTGGTCGCTTTGGAAGCGGAGGTCGGTACACCGCCTGTCGGTGTCATATTCGCTGTAAATGAGGCCTGGCCTGTTTGAGACATCCCTGGGATAGGCTCGCCGTTCGCAGCAGCCTGAGCAGCCTGCGCTGCAAGTCTGGCAGCGACCTCCTCTTTACGTGGGCGGCCACGACGACGCTTGGGGGTCGGAGTAACCTGCTCGCCACCGGTTGCTGCCACAGCGGGCATGTGCGCTTGTCCGTTGGCCTGAGTTGGAGTCACAGTAGGAGCACCCATGGAGGCATTCATGTGGGGTTGGGGTTGGGGTTGGGGTTGGGGTTGGGCTTGGTGTGGGACCTGAGATTGAAGCTGAGGCTGTCCCGGTTGAGGCTGACCATGAGAAACCTTTTTAGGTTTGGCCTTCTTCTTCGGCACGGAGCTTGGCTCTTCTGTCTTCATCACCGGGCTCTCCGTGGCTGTGGAGATAGCCGGCGCAGTTGACTGAGATGATGGGACCCCTGAGTGTGTCGGTTGATAGTGCTGGAACTGAGCCTGGTGGGGAGATGGCTGGAACTGATTTTGCGAAGGGAATTGAGCCTGGTGTTGAGCATACTGATGTTGAGACTGAGCTTGTTGCTGCTGATATTGGTGGAACGGAGGCTGAGTGTGTTGAGGGAATGGTGATTGTTGTTGGTAAGGGTTTTGCGCCTGGGTTTGCTGGTGCAATTTCTGCAACCTCTGTTGTTCCAGCTGCTTCTGTTGTTGTTCAAGTCGCTGCTGCTCGATCCTTTGCTTCTCCTGTTGTTCTTCCAACTTCTGTTGTTCCAGGACCTTCTGCTTCTGCTGCTCAAGTTGCTGCTGTTCAAGACGTTGTTTCTCCAATCGCTGCTGCCGAAGTTGCATCTGCTGATGTTGGAACTGTTGTTGCTGGTGAATCTGCTGCTGCTGTTGCTGCTGCAGTTGCTGATGCGTTTGCTGAGGGGATTGGGGCTGCGACTGGGGCTGCGCTTGTCGCTGGTTCATCGCAAACATAGACGGGGTCATAGATGGACTGGCTGAAGGGTGTTCTCTTTGATGTATGCCCGCATGGGGCAGTCTGTTCATGGTCTGCTGCGGCGAGGGGACATTCATGGGATGCATGCCAGCGGAGGTACCCATTCCCGGCTGGGGACGCAAATGCGCCATTGGATTGAAGCCGCGCTGAAGGTTCTGCAACGCCATAGGGTCCGGGTTGCGCGGCATCAAATCCGGCGAGCTCTGTGTCCCGAATTGTCCAGAAAACTGAGGAAAACTATTGGCGGTCGGGTATCCACCTAATGAGCCCGACGTCGGTGTCATTTTGCGTAAATCCGGGGATTGCGACGCTGCGAAGTTTTGCTGGGACGGTTGGCGAAACATTGACTTATTGCTCGGGAATGGACTGTGTTGCGGAAGCGCGGGCCCCGCGCCTAGCAGTGGCGACTGGGCATGCTGCCGTTGAGGCTGTGGACCCAACGGATGTTGCGGCTGAACATTTTGATGCTGTTGTTGCTGTTGCTGTTGAGGCGCCTGTTGATTAAACGGGTGACCACCGTAGTTCATCATTTTGCCCTCGAATTCAGAGCGCGCAGGCACTTGCCGGAAGCGGCAGATGATAAGAGTAATCCCTTCAAACGCGAGGCATGCAAGGGCGCAATAGTCGAGATCAGTCGCAAACTAGCGTGGGAGAAAGAGAATGTGGGATAAGGATAACGATTATCTTCCCAGGAATTGTTCAGTTATCGCGCCGCCAGCGCCGCCGACCAAATTCTTAATACGGGAAAATCGTCTGAGTCGCGAGGCGTGTTTTGTTGTTCTATTTCGGCCTGAGGCCACAAGGCAATAAGGCAGAAAGAGGAGGCAACCGTGAGCTGACCCAAAAGGGGTTTAGTGGCTACGGAGACCGAGTAATACCAGTCAGCGCAGTTTCGAGAGTTGCGACGGTCGCGCACTGAAAGAGAAATCAGGGGTGGGGGAAGAGACCCCAGCTGGGATAGGACCAGAGGGCTAGCGAAAGTGAACCAAATCTACTTACTGAAGCCCGTTACAGATGCAAGGGCATAACAGTAAAAGTAGATTGGAGATGAGAAAGTGGATGACACTGGGCTGGAATCCTCGATGGACGAAGGAAAAAAATATTAAAAAAATAAAAAATAAAAGATTAAATTTGCAATTTGCAATTTTGCATTTCTCTCCACGTCACGTGACTCTCGGCGTAGATTGGCTGTCTCTACTGTATACTTAGGTACTTATGTATGTATGAATATATGACAGATACCTAGGTAGATATATAGATATATAGGTAGATATAATAAGTAAATTCATATATAACATCCATCTAAGTCATAGAACACTACCATCCAAGTACAAAAAAAAAGAATAATCATTATCTTCCGCAATCCTAGTAAACTATACACTTCCCCCATAGTACAACCAGTACAACAAGTACGTGTCACCCTCAATTAATCATACTTAAGTATCACGCTGTCTTGCCCGCATCCTTGTCTTCTACCCGTAGGTCGGCCAAACAAGGTGCAACAAAAAGTTTCCCTGAAACGACCCCTTTCAGTGTTCCAATACTCACGATGATCCACAATATCACGACAAAAATAGATAGGATCTGCAACATATTAACTTAGATTAGCCAAGCTTCAGATCGTGTAACTGGAATGTCATACCGTTCCAATAATATTAAAGAATTCAGATGGGAGTTCTCTACCCATTTGACAGGTGGTGGTGGCAAATACTCCCAAAGGAAACGTAAATCCCCACCACCCAATGTTGAAAGGAAATGTCTTGTTGCGAGCGATCGAGGCGATTGCAAAGAAAAGCCAAACAAGTCCAAAGGACCATAAAATTAATCCAACAAGAAAACCGAGCGCATAGAATGTTGATCCAGAGGTTTGTTCGAGGGTTTGTGTTTCGGGGAAAATATCTCGCGCACATTGTCCCAGTTTCATCGCCCTAAGAACGTCATCAGTATTGTCTCTTCCACTTGGTTTTAATTATATTTAGTTAAAGATATTGTACTCACCCATACCCGCCCTGCCCTAATGGACCCAGCGGAAGAAAAACACTGACAATCACCGCTTTAGGTGGCAATTTATGAAGCGCAAGTCGTGCAAGATAGATCACCATTACCATTAACGCAAGGGGGAGTCCTATACCCCACAGAACATAGCTGGTGATTACCGTCCACAGAGCATACTGGGGGTTCGGAAGAACCTCCGCCACAATGGCGCCAGAGGAGGCGGCGACGATACAGCTGACGATTGGGAGAAGCCACACAGCTGTCATCGAAGATAGGTGGGTCTGTTCGCCATGGGCCATGCTGGAAGAGTTAGTACATAAGGACGTGTATCTAGGTACGGTGCGTTTGGGATGGCGATCTCACAGTATGAACGGCAAGGACAGTGCTACCGTCACCGATATTGCCGCGTCAAATATCCACAGTCCCCAGGCAAAATAACTGACCCATTGGCCCCATTGAGGGACACATACGAGGCAGATCATATTGATGATCGTTGCAAGGCCCATGGGGAAGGTGCCGATGAACATCGACTGAACCGGGTGTTTGATCATTGCGAGAAAGATCTCCGGATATAAGGTGTAGCGAAGAACAGTGATCACAGACCCGGCGAGGAAGAGAAGTACGTTCAGTAGGAAAATCGCGATGGAAAGCCAGTACAGCCATATCCCATTGTATGGTAGATTGTGAAGCAAGAGAGAAACAATCCCCGTGCCCATAGAGACAGAGAACCATCTCGCGTGGGTTAGCCAGGTTCCAGATTTGATGACTGAGACAGATACTTACGATGGGGTGAAATTACGAACTACTCTTCTCCACCCTTGCTCGTGCTTTGTGTGTTGTTCCATCCTCGAGAATTGAGGTTGTGGAGGGGTGACGGAGTTGGGAGTTGTGTTAGTGGCCATTTTGATAGTTCTTTCCAATTTCCTTCCTTCCGAATCCCTTTGGCTTTCGAAGTTGAATAGTTTCAAATTATATCAATGGATATTTTCCTTGACATTCAAAATCTATGAGTAATAACGTGGTATGACTCTACCAAGATTTCGGCCGAGATGATGTGCTCCACATTCTCCCTTCCCGCAGAAGCTTTATTTTAGCATTGTTGCGAGTTGTTTCTCAGAACACTTAATTAACTCGTTAAGTCAAGAGGATTGCAATTCTTTCGCTTAATATTTGTCAACACTAACTCCTTGACAGTGAGCAGGGTTTCACTGATGCTGATGCCGATGCCGATGAGCAATTTGCGTGTCCGTAGATCAATAAAGATGGATGCGAGCTTTTCTAAACACATAGTGCAGAAAGCTTAAGCTTCAGACTTAGCACCTAGGTAGCTAAAACTATGGCATAATGGCGAAGTGATTGTTCTCCGCGGCAGCTCCTAATCTAATCGCAAACGAACCCTTCCGGCTATAATTTTCAATACACTCTTCTGATCAGATTACGGAGTATGCCAACAAAATCATGACTAAACTACTCCGCTGCGATTATATTGCTCGAAGACAACAATATGAAGCTCAAATATCTTGGGAGCAGATCATCATACATCCAACTTCGTTGAGCCGAGGATCCTACTCCTCGCTGAGTTCCCCACACTATTAGCTACTAGAATAGTTCGGATATAAAAGTGCATTCCGATCGGAAGAAATTTCTGGATATTGAACTGAAATTATATGGAGAAGCGGATATCTGGGCAAGTATGACGAAGTTAGCAGACTGCGTAATTGAGACGTGATATATAAGTAAGGTGATACATAGGTTTGGAAAACTCCCTTGTTTGGTTTTTCATTCCGCTTCAAATCGCCAAATCTCAGCTATGACCCGCACTACCAGCGCATTGGTGGTTGAATCTGCTGGAGCCGAGCCTCAGCTTGCTCTGGTTACATTGGACTCGCTTCGAGTAAATGGGGTACTTGTTGAGATGTATGTTACGGGAGTCTGTCATACAGACCTAGGTTGTATGGAAGGGTATTTGCCTGTCCAGTTTCCTAATGTGTTTGGCCACGAGGGTAGGAATTAGAATCAATCGAGATCCCCAAACTCACACATCTAACACACGGTAGGTGCCGGAGTAGTCTTGGAAACGGGAAACGGCGTCACTGACTTATAAGTAGGAGATAAAGTGCTTCTTGGATATAAATTTTGCAATGAATGTGGTCAATCCCGCTCTGGATGTCCATTCTACTGTGAGAATATATTACAGCTGAATTTCAGCGGCAAAAGAAAAGATGGGTCCAGCACAATCCACGTCAACGAAAAGTGGCATTAGCGAGTCTTCTATTGTTCGGGTTCCCCCCCACCTCCGATCTCCAGCTGTTAGCCCCACTCGTATGCGGAATGCAGACTGGTGCCGGCGCAATCTTAAACACCCTCAATGTGAGCACCGGAAGCTCTGCGACGATCTTCGGAAGAGGCTGCCTTGGCCTTAGCGCGGTGATGGCGGCCAGAATTGGAGGTGCTCAAATCATTATCGCGGTCGATCTGTAGCCCGAGAGATTTGGCTTTGGCCCGAGAATTAAGATCCATCTAGGGCTACTAATACCTTCTGTGGGGACGACCCTGATATATATTCGAAAGCAGATTACAGATCTTTGTGGGTCATCTCTTGGAGTGGATTTTGCGTTAGATTGCTCAGGGGCTATTCTTGTGATCGAAACTATGATCGCGACTCTTGGCATTCGTGGGAAGGGCGCGAGTGTCGGTGCACCTGCACCTGGAAAAAAGGTCGGTGTGGAGGCTTTCACTCATCTGACTATGGTCGACACTATCTTGGTTGTCACTAGGGAGATAGTATTGCAAAAGAGGTATGGTCTCTTTGACATCATCTCAGACGGGTATCTGACGTAAGGTTTAGATGACTCCATACCTGATGGAGGCACAGTCAGAGGGCAAGTTCCCTTTGGGAAGACTTCTCAAGATACATGATTCCAAGGATTTTCACGAAGCCTCTTGTGATATGAGAGAGGGCAAAGTGCTCAAGCCCGTCCTGCGGTGGATGTGAGACAGCAGCAGGTAAGAAGCCGGTCTATATAATGTTACAACCAATAGAGACAAAGGAGAGGGGTCAAAAGTACTGTAGACATATATTTTAGGCGAAACATGATGTTTCAAACGACGGACATGAAACGAACGCGGCGTGGAAATTCAACTGTGAGATCCCAAACGCCAAGGTCCACTGAAAAAGCAAAGCTACACTTAATCCTTGAGCTTCGATGGGCTAGCATTCTTAAGACGACCCTCGGGAGCACTCTGATAAAAATCCATAGATGCCTGAAAATCATTATGCTTGTCTACATCCCCTGAAGGGATGGTTTCGTATATAAATGGTAAATGTCGGCCAACAAATCATGTGATGGTGCTATGGTCAAGTGGTTACGACGTCTGATTGTGGCTCACCACATTCAATAACTCAGGAATCCTCGGTTCGATTCCGGGTAGCGCCAATTTTTTTGTTTTCGGGTGAATTGCCCTGCAAGGATAAACATTCATGCTATTTTAAATTTTTTATCTTCAAAGGAAGTAAAGTAAGCAAGTACAGTCAGTTGGGGAATTACAGAATAAACATAGACACAACTGTATCGAGCATAATACACCAATTTCCATAACCAGTCCCAAAACAAGTCAAAATATCATGGCACGATGTATATCTCGCGCACGCAGCGTTTGCCGGAATCAATATAACCTGTACCGACCTCAACGCGCGCTAGGCTCCACGACGATGGGAGACACTTACGCAGCTGGCTGTTGACATCCACAGGCCAGAAAAAGAACATGGGTCAACTTTCAGCTAAAATCAAAGATTACGGCGAGTTTGGAGCTCCTGGAAATCGTGGTTGAGCTAGAATTGGAACCCAGAGGAAACACTACTGCGACAATCTCAAATTGCCGAACTAGCCGGGCCTAGCAATCGTGTTCTTTCCACCTACCGCGAGTATATCTTCAAAGGGCCAGCTGAAAATGTCCCCGTTTACCACCGGCCCCGATTATAGATGGAAGAACCAAGGATATGCTTAAAGAAGCGGACGATATAGGCGCCTTCCGAAAGCCGGAAGGAGATATTCTCTCAAAGCTTCTCCAAGATTACTGGCCTTTCAGACAACACAAGGCGATTGATCCCGTTGATCATACGACAATCTACAAGGGACCAAATATCGTAAAAATAGTCGCGGTGATCAGTATTTCATCGGCCGCAGTTCTCTTAGTTGCTGCCATTATCAATCTTTACGTTGTTCGTGACCCAACTATGAAACTGGGGCTGGTAGTCGCGTACACGCTTCTCTTTGCTTTGAGCATTGCGGTATTAACAAATACTAGGAGGGCAGACATGTATGGTGCTGCGGCCGCATTTGCCGCAATATTAGTCGTGTTTATCTCGGGCAATCTAGAAGAAGCAACAGTACAAGATATGGTACAATGGAGGCCATACGACCAAATGGTAATCATAGAGGAAAGTCTAGTTAGCGATCCACCTCACCACTGAGATAAAAAGACAACAGTGTCCCTCATTATCAAAGCAGGCCACATTGTGCTTATATTAGTATGGAGACGTTAATCGTTCGAGTCCATGATGCAATCATCTGACGAAAAGATAAAGCTATTGAAATTGATTGATAATCACGGATTGATTCCGTAGGCATCCAATGGTTATGGACATCGTTGGATAACGAGACACTAGTAACGCATGGCAAATTCGGAGCGTAGTATGGCGTGCGATGCCTTCAACCGACCAGCCCAGACCAGCCAGAATATTTAATATATGCTTTCCCGGTACACAGAAGCTTGAAGTGTTGAAAAAAAGAATCTCTGGCACAATTTTTGTTGAAAAAAATGGTCGGGCAAGCATTGACTTCCGTTGCCATTGTTGGTGGTGGCCCTGGAGGACTCGGCACTGCAATCGCCCTTTCCAAACTACCGTTTTTGCGAGTAACACTTTACGAAAAGAACCCAGAGCCACGAGAAGCCGGTGCTGGGATTAGTCTTAGCACAAATGCGTGGAAAGTTTTGGATTTGCTCGGAGCAAGTGATGGGGTTAAGGGGGGGTCCAAGTCGAACACACACCAGAGGTGAGTGGTGGAGTTTTGCTGAAATGAACATTTGGATACTAACATATGAAAGGAATGCATACACAGGAAAGGTCCTGAGTGTTGTTCAAAATCCGGAGAATTCGGAAGCACATCATCGCGGTGCGATCCGTGCTCGCAGGACCCGGCTGCAGTCAGCTCTCTTGGCAAAGGTGCCTGAAGGTATAATCAAATACGGCAAAAAGCTTGTGTTTTTGGAAGATTTGCCGGGACATGGTGTTCGCTTGGTCTTCGAGGATGACTCGGAAGTTATACCGGATATTGTCGTCGGGGCTGACGGACTCCATTCTGTTCGTCAAACGCTTTTACACAGTTTGACTGCCGACTGATTCAAAGTAGATTATTCGGAAAGCTTTGTTCAAGGACCACCAGCTTCACTTTACTGGAAACAGCGCTTTTCGTGTCCTTGTTCCGAGATCGAAACTCTCTCATATACCAGACATCACGTCCACAACGGCATGGTGGTGGGGCGAAGCTGGTCATGTATATCTGTCTGATGTGGATGACGAGGATGAAAGTGCCGATCCGCTTTTTGAAATAACTGTTAGATCCTACCGTGAACCTGATATTCCAGGCAAGACAGTATTTTGGGGGATCCCAGCTACCAATCAGAAAGTGGGGTCTCGTGTTGAGGTGCGACTCATTTTCTTTTTTCCATAAGGCCTGATGAGTATTCGCTGATTTTTCGCAGAATTTCGACCAGAGATTGAAAGATGCCATCAGAGCAGTCCCTGAAGGTGAATGGAGGGAATTTGCTACATTCGCAGGACCCCGTCTGGACAAAATTATCGGCTGGGATAAGATTGCTCTTATTGGGGACGCCAGTCATCCTCTCTCGGGTCAGTCTAATTTCAGGCTCGGGAAAGACACACAGCTTGCTAAACAGATGTATGTGTAGGCGCATTTGGTTCTGGTGCGACATTTGCTATGGAGGACGGTTGGATTCTTGCTCGAGCACTTGAGCTTACCCATTCGGCTGGGCTCCCCGCACAAGAGGCCCTTGAGATTTTTGACCATATTCGGTCTCCCTATTATGCCAAGATGTGAGTAGCGGGACTTATAAAACGATGATGAAACTAGTTGTGACTGATGATTTATTTCCCACGATAAAAAGGTACCGCAATCTGGATGAAACTAAAGCCAAGATGCAGCAATTCAAAGTGGAAAACACGGAGTTTGATGCTTTCCTCAAAGCTAAAATCGATACATTCCTCTATGGCGACAAGGATTTTATCCACAAAAACGATATCGAGAAAGTTTGGAAAGATTATCTTCTCACACAGGTGAGATCGAAGTAAGACTCGAGCACATGTTTGTCACGATAGTGGGAAGGGAACAATACACGGGCATTATTTCAGAAGATTCGATAGAAATCTCAATTTTCAACCGTAACTTGATTATATTACCTTCTCGTGCAGCCAACGGCTTCTAAGTAATTCAGACTATCGTCCAATCGCGAAAGAAGTGGCAGCATCTCATATCAAACGCAGGGAAATGACACCAGTTACCCCAACTATCATCAATTCAATGACTTTCTTTGAGCGGGGTCGCAAACATTGTTATCTTCTCAGCAAGAAGACTGGCAGAAAATCATACTATATACCTAATCAGCGGCAGCTATGGCACCAACGGGGAAATGACCATAATCGTCGATGATACGTTATCACGATGATATGTCGTGATAGACCAAGGATTATTATGAGATTGACCCTCAAGAAAAATATATAAAGGTATGTTACCGAAAGACACTCGAAAGACCGTGTTACATAGCGAAAATAGGAAAAAGAACACAAGGCCGAAGGTCAAGATGGGAAATCCAACGCCCCCTCCAACAACGAAGCAAGTTGATCACGCGACCACTGTCATCAAACCGAACACTGAAGATGGAGAACTTTCAACTTATCAGTCACCAAAAAGGTCTTTTCGTTCCTTTATTTGGGATACAGATACGCATTTGAAGTCCTCCGAAGAGAGACGTCTTCTCCTCAAGCTAGATGCGGCGATTCTCAGTATTGGCTGTCTAGGGTTCTTCATGAAATACCTAGACCAGGGTAATCTTTCTAACGCATATGTCTCAGGCTTACAAGAAGCCCTTTCAATGTACGGCAACGAGTACACATATGCCCAAACGGTTTATACTGTTGCATACGCTGCGATGCAAATCCCCAGCACGCTTATCATTCAGCGTGTTCGGCCCAGTGTCTGGCTTGCATCCATGGAACTGGGCTGGGCCATTTTCACTTTTGCGCAAGCCGGTATGCATAATGTTGGCGAGTTATATGCATTTAGGTTTCTGGTTGGTTTCTTTGAAAGCTCGTTTTTTCCCGTTCTGCTTTACGTGCTTGGAAGCTGGTATACGAAGACGGAGTTGGCGAAGAGAATTGCATTGTTTCATATGACTGCACCGTTGGGGTCTGCTTTTGGTGGATATTTGCAGGCTGCTGTGTACAAGAATATGAATGGGGCTCATGGTCTTGCTGGGTGGAGATGGCTGTATCTCATTTGTGGGGTGAGTCGATGTATGTCGATTTCAAAGGCTGAACTAATAAAAACTCTGCAGTGTATGACGCTTCCCGTTGGACTTGCTACATACTTCTTGCTTCCTGATACACCATATACCACCCGTGTATGGTTCCTCTCCAAAAGTGAACGGGAACTTGCAAAAGACCGTGTTCTGAAAGCCGGCAAGGCAGCACCAGTGAAGATAACCTTAGGAACATTCAAAAAAATTCTTGGCTCGTGGAAGTGGTATGCGTTTGTCCTAGGATATGTGGTAAGATTTCTACACCTGCTGCCTGAGATTATATGGAGTCATTTCTCACATTTCTAGCTTTACGGATCTTCATGTGGAGCAAGTAGTTATTTCGCCATTTGGCTCAAGTCTGAGGGCTTCTCTGTTGTTGACAGAAACCTCATTCCCACCGGAACCTCTCTTATTTCAGCGGCTTGCGTCGTACTTTGGGGATTTCTTTCGGATTATACGGGAAGTCGTTTTTCTTGGGTCCTAATTCCTTTGGTAAGATATCAAGCAAAATTCTCAATCTTAGACCCGGGTAACCGTTGCTCATGAAAACATGACGACTCAGATCTTTGGACTCTTGCCAAATGGAATTCTTGCATTTTGGCCCGCAAGTGTGCCATTAAAAGAGTTCGCTTTCCTAACGGCAAACGTCCAGCTCATGACTGCTGTATTGTAAGTTATGTCCCAGAAGACCTCGAGTTTGCCTAAGGCAATGTGCACTGATTGAACCCTAACTTCATAGTTACACCTGGGCGAACGAGGTGTGTGCCGGCGATAACGAAGAACGAGCCGTGGTTGTCAGTAGCATGAATGGCTTCCAATATGCCGTAGCCGCTTGGTTACCTATTCTCATTTTCCCGCAGACCATGGCTCCAACATTCCGTAAGTGAAAGACTACCAGTCAACTTGGTTCCCTTATATTGACGATGAACTAGGTTACGGATTCCCGACAACATTCGGGCTGGTTATTGCCGCGATTGTCAGCGTCATAGGGATACAGGCGCTAGTATTGAGGGAGAGGAGAAGAACCAAAGAGATGGAAGTACCGGCCGACCAGCTGAGCGAAGAGCATGTTTGACTGTGATGCCACAAACAACCTGGACAAAATATGACCCAATTCTATTGCACCCTGGATCGACAAAACCAGGATATAAACAAAAATTGTCACCCAGTGTTTCGTTTTGCCCAGGCTTACTATATAATCAATTAGTTAGTCAACTAACCTTTAATTCGAACCTCAAAACTTCAGGCAAATATACGAGCAAATATCCTCAAAATCCGGGGAAACACACTAGCCCAAACCAGGAAAATGGCTGACCAGTCAACGGGCTAGAATCGCTCGTCAAACGACGGAACATCTCCTCTGAACCAATCGCTTCAAAACTCTCAGTTGACTTTATTAAAACCCTTTCTTCTCCACGGCTGTTACCCCGGCTTTAAAGTGGAATCTACCAGTCACGGGAAAGTGTCACAGACTCTTTTTGTACTTCGCTTCCCATTTATCCAGAGCCTAGCCTCTTTAAGCCTTGCTCATGGGTGTTGCTTGCTAGTCTTCTGCCGCGCCGGTATCTCACACTGCCCAGAGTCCAAGAGTGCTTGACTAACCCACCACGGAGCTTGACTCTGCTTGGCTCGTCGAATAGCCAATATGCCTCATCTTTGGGGTGGCGTTTCTATGGCGTTTCCTTTTTATCCTATTTTGCCGTTAGGATAAACCCATATTCAGCTTTTGGATTGATTAATTTACCCCTCCGACTATAATACCCCCATGCAACCGCAGAGATGGATTCCCGATCCTCAACTGCGTCTCAACCGGGCTGTCGCACCATTTATTGAATTTCTTTTTTGAACATTGCACCATGGGAAAAGATACTTTCCAACTGGGAGGCCAGGAATGGCCGAAGGTAACATGGTGGAAAATGAAGGGCATGCGCTTCGTTTATATGACCCTATGGGCGGCCATGATTACATCTGCCACTAACGGTGAGTTTCACCTCTACATACCTGAATACTGTTGCTGACCAAGTTCCAGGCTACGATGGGTCTTTGATGAATGGATTGGAGGCTATGCCCTCGTGGAATGCCTGTGAGTTGAAACATTACCAAACAAATTTGAACAATGCTCACGCGGCTTTCTTGCTTAGCATACAATCATCCTCAAGGATCTACACTTGGTCTACTTGCAGCGTCCATGGCAATCGGCTCCATGCTTTCAATTCCAATTGTACCCTACGTCGCAGATGTCATGGGACGACGAGCTGGTGTCGTCGTAGGCTGTTGTATCATGCTTTGCGGTGTTGCCATGGTGTCTATTGGGTACCATATTGCTTTATTTGTCGTTGGACGAATTATCCTCGGCTTTGGTCTTGGAATTTCGCAGGAATGTTCGCCACTTCTTGTGACTGAACTTGTCCATCCACAGCACCGTGCTGTTTACAGTAGTATCTACAATTCTCTGTGGTATGTCGGAAGTTTGATCGGTGCCTGTGTTGCCTTGGGTATGTTACTCTTCCACACCATATCGAGAAGCATTTGCTCATTCGGAACGTTTAGGTACAAACCATATTCACGGTGAATGGGGGTGGCGTGTTCCGTGTCTCTTGCAGGGAATTCCTTCTTTATGTCAATTAGTATTTATTTGGTACGTCAATTCGCGTACTCACCGAGCTCATCCGACCTAACTTTCTCGATAGGACTGTGCCCGAATCACCCCGCTGGCTCATCTCAAAGGGCAAGTTCGAGCAAGCCAAAAAGATCCTCGCATATGTCCACGCCCAAGGAGATGAGAACGACGCACTGGTCAACGTTGAATTTGATGAGATCCAGCAGACAATTGCGCTGGAGAAACAATTTGAGGGCAATAACTGGTCCGAATTCTGGTCGACAGCTGGAAACCGTCATCGATCCATCATTCTGATTTCCATCGGCTTCTTCTCTCAATGGTCCGGAAACGGCATCGTCTCATACTTCCTGCCGCAGGTCCTCAATCTCATCGGCATCACCGACAGCAACACAGTCCTGACTATCAATCTCATCCTCAGTGCTGTCAACGTTGTTTCGGCAACGGGTATCTGCTTTTGGGTGGACTACTTTGGACGCCGCAAGCTGTTCCTTACATCCAGCATTAGTATGCTTGTTTGCTTTATCTCAACGACGATTGCTTTGGCGCGATTTGCCAATGGGCCCGAGGGCAACGATAACGCCGCGCATGCTGTCATTGCATTCATCTTCCTCTTCTATATCGCCTACAACATCGGATTTAGTGGAATGCTTGTGTCATACTCTTCTGAAATTCTACCATACCGTCTCCGCGCCAAGGGTCTTACTTTGATGTTCTTCTGTGTCGACCTGAGTCTCTGGTTCAACCAATACGTCAACCCGATCGCCCTTCTAAACATTCAATGGAAGTACTACATTGTTTACTGTGTGTTCTTGGCGTTTGAGATTTTCGTGGTGTGGAAGTACTACATCGAGACCAAGGAGACTCCTTTGGAGGAAATTGTCAAGTTCTTTGATGGTGAAAACGCAATCTTGGGTGGAACCGCTCCTTCCGAGAAGATCGTTGAGCTCACTGCTCGCGATGGGCAATCCATTCAGGTTGATGGCGAGAAAGCTATCACCACCCAGGTCGAGGTTAGGGCCTAGATGGGCGGTGTGGTAGATTGATTATTCTCAGTCAGGATCAGTGACCGTTCTCTTATGGCCCTCGTACTATATTGCCATGGCCGAAGAATTTAATAGGCAATAACCCCCAGATAATTAGCCAATGAGATAGTGAATAAATGAGCGAAATCATTCAACAAATTTAATTAATGATGCATCAATGCAAGACTTTTGATTTTGTAAAATCTTGGGCGACTGAATTTGCCTGAGGCCACAAGGCTACAAAAGATTGTTTACTCTCATCGTTTAAATTATCTTCTTCCATCTGACAACACTACACATTCATCTCATATGCCCACTATTAAGCCCGTTTTATTGCTTTATGATATGCCTGACAGTGTCTAAAAATGCGCCGATTAGCGGAGGCGAAGAATGAATGGCCATTTCGGGACAGAGCAAAAACTGCACCTGATGCGGGCTCAGTTTGACTTGAAAAGGACAATTTGAGTGGCAATTTGCTTGAAGGCAAAATCTCACTTTCGTCGCAGCCACGCCCACAAGGGAATGATCCATGTGGTTTTGGGGTGAAGGCAAAAAGTACTTTTGTCGAAAGTCACTAACAGAGCCCACATCGTCGCTACGAGCAGTGCCAGTGGTGATTTGGCGCAAAGGCGAAAGGTTATGTCTCCATAGACCAAGTTTCGCTTGAAAACGACAGTTTTGGTACACGGCACGTGGGCGCTATCTTGCCTGACTTCGTTGAATTATAATCGCACTACAGCCGATCCCTATATCCGGCTAAATTGAACATGTGGCTTACTGAAAATTGATTTTACCCAACATGACAGTGTCTAGTCTATCTCTTCAGCGTTCAATCAGAACGGCGGCTCACTTTTGGCGTTACAGCAAGCCCACACTTTATGTCGAAATGCCGGCAGTCGATATGGACACAGCCTAATTCCCCGCATTTACCCCAGAAACCCTTGTGCAGCGAACCAGCCGGAAGATTTACAGCTTCATCCTGAGCTGCCCGCAATCGAGCTTGACCAAGCTAGTTTAGCTGTGAATTTGAGAGAGGGGTACTCGGCCAAATTGATCGGCAATTGTTCCATTTAAAATGGCGCACTCCTCTCGAGATGTGAAGGAGTATTTCTACCATTTGACTTGTTGAAAAATCTACGAGATGGTGTCTTTCATCGCAATCACAGCTCTGCTTGCTAGTCTTGTCAATGCCGCACCTCATTCCAAGGATCGTACTAGCGTCGGGCTAAATGCCCTTGCCCAGGGTCGAGGCAAACAATGGTTTGGCAGTGCGGCTGATATCCCTGGAACAGCGGAGACGACAGACACCGCATACTTAAAGATCTTGCACCATGAGTTTGGCGAGTTGACTCCAGCCAATGCCCTGAAGGTGTGTTCGCTCAACCACTCCCACGATTTGATCCATCCTCTGACCCACAGCCTCGCACCAGTTCATGTATACCGAACCCGAGCAGAATGTGTTCAATTTTACCGAAGGGGACGAGTTCATGCGCCTCGCCGAGAGATACCAGTCTAAGGTGCGCTGTCACAACCTCGTGTGGGCTAGCCAAGTCTCGGACTTTGTCACTTCAAATACCTGGACCGCCGAGGAGCTTAAGGCAGTCATGAAAAACCACATTTTCAAGACGGTACAGCATTTCGGAAAGCGTTGCTATTCTTGGGATGTCGTCAATGAAGCCCTCAACAGCGATGGCACCTTCTCCTCTAGCGTTTGGTATGATACTATCGGAGAGGAATACTTCTACCTCGCATTCCAATACGCGCAGCAGGCTCTTGCTCAAATCGGTGCTCAGAATGTCAAGCTCTATTACAACGACTATGGTATTGAGAATCCCGGAACTAAGGTGGATGCTGTACTGGGACTTGTGAAAAACCTACGCAAGCGGGGAATTCGAATTGACGGCGTTGGTCTTGAGTCCCACTTTATTGTTGGCGAGACGCCCTCTCTCACCGACCAGGTTGCCACCAAAAGGGCTTACATTAATGCTGATTTGGATGTGGTTGTCACGGAACTCGACATTCGTTTCGCTGCGGAGCCTTACTACTCCGCTGATGCGCAGAACCAGCAAGCTGCGGATTACTACACCAGCGTTGAAAGCTGTCTTCAAGTCGGTCGCCGTTGTCTTGGTGTTGTTGTTTGGGATTTTGATGATGCGTACTCTTGGGTTCCTAGCGCCTTTGCTGGACAGGGAGGCGCAACTCTGTTCAATGATACACTTGAAGCCAAGCCGGCGTATTATGCTGTCTCGGAGGCCCTCCAGGGAAAGAAATGTACTGTGTGCTAGATTTTGGCTTGCAAAGCATGTTGGACCAGCAAACGCAAACATTGTTGTTCGTGAGATTGATAAATATTCAATTGATACTTTCAAGTGCACATGAGTTTTGGATGCCTCGGACTCTAGCTTTGGTAATTTTGCTAGGAGCAGCTGGCATAATCACACCTTCGGGCGATTGAAATTTTCGATTTGAATTCATTACACTTGTTCAAGGTTCACCTAAAAATCTACTGGCTGTGATCTGCTATTAGCAAGTAAACTCATATTTCCTTTATTATTCTCTTCTCATAAAAAAGCCACGTCTACGAACAACCTCTGGCAGCTCAGGTGGCCTGCGTCTGCCTTCATCACTCGATATCCACAGAAGCTGTGCCTGTTCACACCATCGAAAATGTTCCACAAAGCCGTTTCGTGCATATTCTTTATCTCGAGCATCAAATGCCCATCGTCCAACCACTATATCTTTTTCAATCGCAAGTTGACACCCGCCACATGAGATTCCGTCTTCGATGTTGCCAGTCCCTCTATCGTAATAAGGAAGTGCACATGACCCCATAAAATTGTATTTTGTTTCAATTTGCGTGCTGGCTCGTCGAACTTGCATCGGTTCATGATATGGGCCGTGGGAAGCCAGTGCAACCTGGTGGGCCGAAACAATCGTAATGCGACGTTTGAACACAGATTCTTCCATTGTGTATATTCCAGGCAATGTTTTGAACGAAACTAGTTGCATTTGGGTTAATTTGGCTTTAGTCAAGTGAAATTGCTTTCTAGCAGCGGCAAGACTCTGCACTTGCGTTTCCGGAGCTTCTTGAAGGCATTTAAAGCAGCATCGCGTCCAGGTAAGGAAAGATACGAATCCGCCAAATTGGCCGCAGATATCACAGTTTTTTGTACAGAGGGATTTATAAAAGTCTGATAGAGAGATGATTCGGGCAAGCCGTGTTCGCAGCAAAGCGCAGAAAAGATCCAACCCATGCGCGGCTACTAGTTGATACTCATTGAGTGAATCCACCATATGCCTTGCCATTCGATTGGTTTGTCGAAACTTAAATAGAGAATTCATGTCCAGACATAAGAAAGTGTGATATAAGAGCTCGAGGGGTAACCGATCGAAGACACCGATTCCAACATCCAAAGTCTGCTCGAAGGGCGTCGCTATTGAGGTACGAATACTGGCGTGTTCACGAGGGTGAAACCAGATGACAGAAAGACCGTAGTCTCTGCGATGGTAGGCTGTGGTTCGAATAATGGCATCGACCTGTTCCTCTCTGAAACAGTATTCAGTGGTGGAGCGATACCTAGGGGGCGCAAGAGCAGACATCTAGGCTCGTTCGTACGCGTACTTGAAAATTATCGAACTCAGTAGCGTTCATGACTCTCGAGTTCGTCCCTATGAACAGTCTTAGGAGACACGTCAATAAAATATTGCGAAATCAAAACAAGATTTCCGGTAGTAACCGGAAAAAGGCACTGCCGGCCCCGGGGTAGCCTGCAGATCTACCGGTGAAGTCCTGCGGGTGCTCCTGGTCATCCATCCACGGGGAAGAGACGACGATCGGGATACACGATATGGAGGCAAATGAAGTTGGATGAGAAAACGTAACCTTAATCTCTTCATCGAAAGGAGATATCTTAGCATTTTAGCTTGACGGCCAATATGCGGATGAAAGTGAATACAAGGGCAGATGATCTAGAGTGATAGGGGTGAACCTGCTGTATAAAAATCAGTATTAAAAGACGTGTTATGTTAGGTGATTATTACCATTCTATCTTTGAGCTATGACACAATATCTTGAGGTGGCATATGTCGGACAGCTGGAGTCAGCTAATGAATGGGGATAACGCTTCACAATAAAATTTTACGGGGAAATGAACCTTGAAATGTTCGAGAAAAGTGTATCAGCAGACAGTAAATTAGTCATAGCTTTGATCGTTCTAGCTATGAGCTGTATGCTCGTGAAATGTAAAAACTGAGGGGGGTTGGGCTGGAATGTCGTACAAAGGGAGGCTTTGAATATAAAATCCTCCCATGATAGCCCCGTACGAATTCCATGTGTAGCACCAATTTATCATGTTTGAATCAAAGATACATAACTCGGTCAAAATGCCAGGTCCGGAAGGAAACGTTGGTGAAAGTATGACGTATACAGACCATGAAGCAGAAAGATCATAAGTGAAGAAAAGCGATTTCATTGTGCTTCCGATACTTTGTCTGGTAGGTTGTATAGTCGATTTGAAGAATGAAATTGATATGGCTGACGTTGCCAAATTGCGATGACTTAATAGATGTACTTCTTTGACTGCATGGATCGGGTAAGTGTTTGCTTTCTGTCCTGGTAATACGGGGATATTAACAATGGCAGAGTAATTTGGCAAATGCCAAGACAGCTGGACTTGATACAGACTTGAACCTGAGAGGGAATGAATACTCCTTATTGATACTTCTCTTCTATATTCCATTCGGTCTGTTTGATCTGCCATGGAATCTTCTAATAAAGCGGTTCTCGGGCAGACTGATGCTCTCTTTTAGTAAGTCTGTTTTGATTCAAGCTCCACTACTGTCAAAAATTGACTCCTCGTGACTAGTGTCAGTTACTTGGGGTGTTCTAGCACTATGCCAATGTGCTGCCAAAGACTTCGGTTCCCTTTTGGTAATAAGGATTATTCTCGGAGTTTTCGGGGCAGGGTTCTTTGCAGGTGCAACATTCTACCTGACCTTATTCTACCCTCGTGGAGAAATGGGTTTTCGACTAGCGATCATGCAATCCTTCGCCGTTCTGGCGTCTGCATTCAGTGGACTCATCTCGTTCGGGGTTTTTCAAATAAATGATCCAACAGTCAAAGGATGGCTATGGTTATTCATCGTTGAAGGAGCGATGACTTTGATCACTGCGGTTGTTGGTTTCTTCCTATTGCCGGATAGCGCACCGAAAGCGTGGTTCTTGGATGACAGGGAGAAATCGGCAGCCATAGCACGTCTTCTTCGAGATAACTTATCGGAACTTGATACTGGATTTAATCTTAAGGCTTGCTTTGAGACTTGGCACGATTGGAAATTCCCAGTGTGGTGCTTGATCACATTCACATATCCGGTTGCATATGCCACCGTAATGAACTTTTTCCCTTTGGTGTGTTCTAAGTTCACAGCCTTTGAGACTCGTCTAACAATCGCAGATCGTACAGAGGCTAGGATACTCCGTCATCAAGACAAATCTTTGGACAGTCGCGCCAAATTTAGTCGGCGCCATATTTTTACGGTGCGTGGCCAAATCTTCAGACTATTTTCGCGAGCGAACATTCCATATCGCATTCTCGTTGAAAATTTCGTTGGTCGGGATGGTCGTGCTCGCCACCATTGATGTTGAGGCCAACAAATCCGTGGCATACTTCGCCTGCTTTCTTATGGCAGCAGGATCATATATCCCGTCATGCTTGGTGCATGCATGGCACAACAATAACAACATGCACGAAAATTCACGGGCAGCAAACACGGGCTTCTTCGTAGGCCTGGGTAATTTGGCAGGTATCCTAAGCGCCGGAACATTTCGAACCCAATATGCACCAAAGTAAGAAACCTGTTTACATGGACTGTTGTGGAAAAATGGCTTGCTTACTAGATAGATATCTTTCAACTTTGATTGCTACGTGCTGCTGCAATGTCGTCTGCATTGTGCTTGTTCTTGGCTTGGGGAGCTGGATGCGATTGGAAAATATTCGTCGGGACAGGAAGCAGGGCCACACAATCAGACAACATCAAAATGATACTAGTCAATTCAAGGAGGGCGAACAGAGCCCGGAGTGGAGGTATTTCCCTTGATCTTTTTATCACGCATTTTAGCCAGGACCAACATGTTGAACCGGGTGGAAGCTGTAGCGAGCTTCTGCAGAGGTGTCTGGGGTCGTTGAAATAATGAAGTGAAAGTGGGTGAAGATGGAAGAAAAGATGGAGAAAGTTGTGAGAGGCAACCCAGGAAGAGATGATAAGCAAGTGAAAGATCAGATGAAATGATAAGAAAATATTGCGTAAGTAAATGAACTATATGTATAACAATATCATCGAAGTTAACAAGAGTAAGCAACGAAAGAGACCGTTTGTGACTTCAACCAGAGACATTGGCAGGCCTCTGGCAATGACATGAAACTAGTTTTAGGTCTAGGAATAACAAGTTCTCTTATCGAGAACCACTTTACTCAAAGACAGGAATCTTTATCGCAAACGCCAATAGTATCTAGCAGACCATGAAAGAAAAGTAATCTTCAAAGCATTTCCACTCGATGTCTGCCTGGGCAAACTCCCACTTATTAATCCCACCGATATATCCGTCTGGTCTTACGATAGCAACGCCAATCCTCTCCGTACCCAACTCACCAAACCACTTTGTAGTACAGCTAGGTATTTGACAATTATCAATATACAAACTCCACCGACTCTTTTGAAGCATATCTGGCAATTGTGAAATTTCGAATTCAGACCGGGAGGATTGTGTGATCAGCGCGAAAGTAAAAGCTTCGGACACAGCAGTGTATCGTTGAAATTGATGGAAGTCATCCGAAAGGGAGTGCCTGCGCGCATGCTCCTCATATGACCAGTTGGCCAGAAGGGTGATTCTTGTAAGTGAAGTCTTAAGCAATTGACAAAGATGTCCCAAAGCATTTTTGGAAGAGCAAACATCCGGTACGAAAATGTATATCTTGAATTGACCCAATAAAGGGATATCCAACTGAATGTCCACAGGGTTGGCATCTATGTAGCGGGTAACCCTTGCTGGCAACTGGAGCATACCGGGCAGAAGACCAGATACACTCGAACATGAACGAGTGAGTACACCGGGAGAGTATTCAGCTCCAATTCCGGAGATGAACCGAATATTGTCGTCAAAGTTCTTCACTAAAGCCGTTTCGCCTTCTGAAAACGCTTTGCAATGCTCAACATCAAACTGGATTAGATCATAGGCTATCTTGCGTCTTTCCTCTTCATAAGTATGTAATAGAGATGGTTTTCCCAGTCCTCGAATGACAAGATTGAGCTTCCATGCAAGGTTGAAGCTATCGTGCATACCAGTATTGGCACCTTGTGCAGCGAGGGCAGAGTGGCAATGTGCAGCCTGCAGAGCGTTAGATGGCCGTTAACAACGATTCTTTTTGAGCCGAGACCGTACATCACCCGCGATGAATATTCTTGCGTTGCGATCCATAAAGTGCTTCGCAACTCGTTGGCCCACAACATATGTTCCGAACCATTCTACCTTTTTCCACTCCAGTTTAAATGGATGCATTGCTTCCCTTGCTTGTTGCATAACATGTTCGGGTGTGGTTTTGGTCTTGTCAATTCGCTCTCCATCGGTCGAGCTCAGCTCGACATAAAGTCGCGTCATTCCTTTTTCGCGTGGGATCCACAAAATTGATCCAACAGAATGAGATCGCAGGGCTACTTTGCTCCACAAGTCCGGAAAGTCGGTATCAACAACGCCTAAGCTATCAGTCGATACCCTCTGCTAGAGACTGAACGGACATACCGTCAAGTACACCCCAAGCGGCGTTGGTGATTTCGCCCTCAAGATCGGCATCTGGAAGAAACTCCCTGACCTTCGACCTGACTCCATCGCATCCAACCAAGTAGTCCGCTCTGATTGTATGAGAAGCGTTTGTCAAAGTATTGTCATAGACAATATCCAGATTCTTATCTCCATTCACCGAACATGAGGTGAATCGACTATTGCGAGTGACAAACACACCCCTTGATTCCATGTCATGTATCATGACTTCTTCAACTATGCCTTGATGTGCCAAAAGAATATATGGGTCGGATGCACCAACAAGATGTTCGGGATAATGCGTTTTGCGTCCGGTCCGTCGAAGACCTTCGTCGGCGGTTGACTCCTGTGAGTTTGTTAGTGAAGTTCAAATAACAGAAGCATAATTTGTACCCAGAAGGAGATATCATAAACACGAGCACCATGTTTCAACAAAGGATCCGCCAGGCGAAGTTGCTTGAATGTCTCGATGGTCTTGGGTTGCATGCCGTCGGCTTTTCCTGTGGAGGTTTTGTCGGGGCGATCGTCAAGAATCACGAGTTGGATGCCGAAGCGCACAAGATTACATCTGAAAGGACGTCAGTTATTTTACTTTGGAGAGGCCCTTCAACATACGCAAGCATCAGGCCTGAGGGGCCGGCGCCCACCACCACGACGGTAGTTGAAGAGCCCACGGGCCCAACTGGATATCCTTGATCTGCACTTGGTGACATTCTGACAAACGGTTGTTGCTTGACACTTATCCTGATCATGTATCACTTCCGTTCATCGAAAATCCCACTCCACACGCAATGCGGGGAGACCTCCCATCTTGTCGTTCTCTTGCCACCGTGTCACCCTACCGTCCACAACGATGTACGAGCTTGCGTCACTTCCGACAAAATAATACGGCTCTCGTAACACTTTCTGGCTTGGTAAGTCGGCTTCTCGTGACTTCTGATTTCCAGCACTCGAGCAGGTGCAGGAATTGGTTATCGGCAGAGATTTTGAAGAAGGGTTTGCACGAACTTACAGATGCGCACTTATTTACTTGTGGAATGCCGTTTGAACGCCATAAAACCAGAGTCCTTCTTGATTGCATAGAATCATTTATCCAGTGAGACAATATGCAAAAAAACTACGTTTGCATGTGGTTCAGAAATCCCTCCAGCAGATGCCAATCTTCAATCGCGAGTGCCACCTGTCACGAGCGCGTTTCGCCCATGGAGAGTGAACTCAACCAGTAAGCCAGTACTCGAAACCTGCTGAGGAAGATAATTTTGAATTAGTCTAACTTGTTTATGTGACCACTTTGCTGTGTGGCGAACGAGTTTGCTCTCAGATATCACGGCCTTTTAACATCTAGGGCACCCGGACTGTTGATTTGAGCCAACCCCCATCTTTGATACAAATCTGCATATACTGACCTTAGCAGAACAGTCTCTACAAGGCACTATCTATAATAATCAGTCCCTCCAATCAAAGTCGCAACTGTTTGTCTGGTTACACACACTCGTCAGCATGGCCCCTCCCATTCAAATTAAGCAACAAGAAATCCGCCCCCAATCATGCCAGCTCAAAGTTATCATCGTCGGAGCAGGGCTCGCAGGCTTAGGTTCCTCTATAAGCTGTGCACTCGCCGGACACCTCGTTCACGTCCTCGAAGCAGCGCACGAAATCAAAGAAGTCGGCGCTGGAATCCAAATCCTGCCGAATAGCTCCCGCGTACTCCAACACTGGGGCTTAGAAAAGTCACTGACTCCCCACATGACTATTCCGCGTGTTTGCAATTTCTTAGGATGGAAGGGAAATTTTATTTCGTCTATGAACTTCCGCGAATCAGAGAAGAATTATCCTGGAACTTGGTATCGCGATTTTCACCGCGCTGATCTTCAGCAATGTTTGCTTGACAGGGCAGTTGAGCTGGGCGTTGGACTTACCTGCAATGCCCGCATTACGGATGTGTCTGTTAGTGGAGATGGTACTACAGCTACGGCAACATCGTTTGATGGAAGACGATGGACTGGTGATTTGATCATCGGTGCCGATGGGGTGTTTGGAAAACTAACGGAGGAATTGTTGGGGCGGGTTGATTCGCCTGTGAAAACGGGCGATCTTGCATTTCGTGTTATGCTGTCCACTGAGGAGATGCAAAAAGATCCCGAATTGGTCGAGTTTGTTACTGATCCTCAAGTCAACTACTGGCTAGGTCCAGATGCCCATGCTGGTATGTAGTGACCTCAAATTTTTGTACACCAGTTGGCTAATTGTAAATTGAGTAAATTACGTGCTCCGCAATGGTAAATTGTTCAACATGGTACTCATTGTTCCCGATGATATCCCCGAGGAGTCTCTAGCACCAACCATTGAGGGCAATGTTGAAGAAATGTGCGCGTGGTTTAAAGACTGGGATCCTCGGTGAAGTAATATCCCCCCGCCTGTAGATTGTTGACTAATTGTGATAGAATCCCCAAACTTCTTAAACTATGTCAATCTGTACAGAAATGGCGCCTGTGTATTCGATTCGGAGATTTCGATTGGACTCATCCATCCGGGGCCTTTGTCATGCTCGGAGATGCCGTTCATGCCGCATTGCCATATCTCGCATCTGGGTATGAATCGTCCACACGGTGCAATTGATAGCAACCTTGTCTCTTTTTACCTTCTTTGGGCTTATGATTCTAGGGCCGGAATGTCATTTGAAGATGGTGCTGTTCTAGGTGAATGTCTTTCTCGACTACCGAATCGTCCCGATATATCCAAGACCTCGACCGAGTTCCTCAATGCCAAGCAACATGCGCTTTTCGTGTTCCAGAAGTGTCGCAAGCAGCGAACGAAGATGGTTGTCGAACGCGGAAATATTCAACAGTATCTATATCACTACCATGACGGACCGGAACAACAAGAGAGAGATCGCAAGATGCAAATGGTGCCAACGCCTGAAGGCGAGGCATTGGCTTGGCGAGATCCTGGGCTCGCAGCACAATTACTGGGGTACGATCATATTGCGGATGTAAGTTATGTTCCGTGTTATGTTGTTCCCGCCTAATGGCATCAGGTTGATCGTCGTTGGAGTGAAGCATCCGGGAGGGCCGCGGCGGAGTCTAGACTGTAGTGCTCTAGATACGATAGGTAGAGAGAGAGAGTCTAACTAGTATTCCCTTGTTCTCGGCGTGGAAGGTGCATGATCCATCTCTCACGTTCAATGAAACCTCAAAACATCCGTTGTCACGTTTTCTCGGTTTTTATTGAGATTTAAAGGTAGCTGAAATTCTCTTCCATTTAGATTTCACCTGGCGACTGGTCTTATATTCTACCGCAGACATCAATTGAGATACGAAACACGCTCGAATTGTTTCAGATTTGAAGCTTTTCAAATTGAGTTTGCGCTGACGCGGTTAATAGAAGTTCGCTTTTCCATCATCTACAAATATTGTGATTGATACTTCACCTTCTTCATCATCTTCTCTTGTATCTACTCAATTTCCTTACTCTCTTATAGCTTCACCGACCGAGATAACTCACCTCTCAAAACTACTTTCTTTGCCATCCGTTTCACCCAAACTCCAAACCACTCAGATCACCGCTGAACCACACACACCAGGAGGAATTGAAAGACATCACCAATGTAAGACCAGCCTATCCATCAAACCTCCAAACTTACTGGGAAACAGCATGAGTGATACTGAGAGCACCGCTAACTTGCATTTACCACTTGATTATGACGGAGATTCTACCCTTGGCCCGTTGGCTGCCCGGGCTATGGCCTTCCGTGGCCCTGTGCCATGGCTAAACAGGGACTCCTTCTAAGCATGTCCAAGATGATGCCGAAGAGAGAGCCCTGGGTAGTCAAGGGCAGATTCGTGGATGGAAATTATTTTGATTACCTCATCGGTCTAAGCATTGAGAATGTTGAAGCCATTCTTGCCCAAACTATGGGTGATCAATCTGACGATAAGTGCACAAATTGCCATTATGGGGAGACTCCTTTCAAAGTGTGTGTTCAGGTCCCTGGGATGGCAGCTTGTGCACCTTGTCACTGGGGAGGGCTCGGATTTTGTTGCAGTTTCAACTCAGAAAAAGACATAAGGAAAGCCTGCAACGAAAGAGTCATTTTATACCAAAACAAATTTGGAATATCGAGCAATCTCAACGATGTGAAAATGGAAATCACCAGTGCTTGTCAAAAGCATGATGAGGAGATGAATCAGTTGGGTGGGTTGATCGACTCGGCGGAGATGCTGAGAGCAACGATGGCCGTTCTTCATAAGGAGCACACGAGGACAGCCAATTTGGCGGACAAAATTGATAACGCCCATGATATCTTGCTTCAATCTACTAGGTGCGTTCTTGATACGATGAAAAAGAAGCCTGCGCGTCTCGAACAGTACATCGAAGAATGCAAGGACCTCTCTGATAAGGTCGTTTAGCTTGAGGAGGAAATGAGAATCAGGAAAATTATACATCAGGAAGATTGAGTTATTCAAGCTGCTCGAGCTGAAAGGGGAATCAGGATGAGGGGAAAGCATAAAGTTTCTCGGTGGAAGAAAAGAAGAAATACCAAAAACAGGGGATTTCTGCGAGATCATTATCTGCTCATCAGCTATTTGATGAACTTGCAATGGCCAGGGAATCAAAAGGTGAATTGTCACCGTCAAAGAAAAGGAGAAAAGCAGAAAATCCAAAAACAGGGGAGGGGATGTCTACAAAAAATACTTGGGCTTTTGCTAGCCAGCCCATCTGGTGGTCACCCATGATAGTGGAGTCTGATGGAGAATTGACAAGATCTATGCTATTCAACAGCAATACGAAAGTGCTGGCGGATGATATTGAGCAAGATAATGACCGGAAATCATTGAAGAAAATAAAGAAAACAGACAGAATAGTTTACAAAACTCAAGATACAAAAGCCATTCAAAATATCATCATTTCATAAATCCCAATACCAAATCCTTGACTTATTGATTCAGTCCCAACGGATTCTCGGCAGTCTGCTTCTGACCCCCAATACTCGAAACTCCATTCTGAACACCTTGTCCCGCGCTCTTCGTTGTGTTGCCCAGTCCCTCCGTAGCTCCTGAAACAGTCTTCCCAAGGCCTGACGTGGCATCGCCAACGGTTGATCCGAGGCCACCGACTGTGCTGCCTAGAGTGTCTGTGAGACCGCCGACGGTTTTACCTAGTGTGTCGCCTAGGCCGCCGAGAAGACCGGCTTATTTGTTAGTTTGGTATTGGTTGGTATTAGTGGGTGAGCGGTAGCTTACGGTTCTGGTCGTTGGACATTGTGTGGAAGGTGTGGATTTTTTGAGTGTGTTTCGGGTTGTGGTTTATGGTGTAGAAGTGCGTATGGTTTCAAGTAGATGCAGGACTTGTGTTTGGGTTATGTCTGCCAGAGTGTTGATTCTTGCCAATATATATGCACCCGCCACGCGCTCAAAACCGGTTACAGGACATGATATAATGGCTACGACGTTGTAAGCCACAGGCCTGTCATATGGAAGTATGGAAATTATCAGCCAATCAGGTACGCGTAATCCATGTTGACACACTACGATCGGGGTCAATTATTTCCTATGCATCGATCTGACGTATGATTGTACTTCATTTCTCCGCTGGGTGTGTGTGTAACGGGACTTTGATTGGATGGTTTCTTGTGAGTTCTAGAAAGTAATTTAGATTAAGTTGTGGCAATTGGTTGAGTGGATGGGGTTATTTGTATAGAATGATGTCATAGAATTTTTATATTAACTGCCCTGTTCACGGGATGATCTCATGATTGGTTCACAACTTCTGAAGAGATTCTTGAAAGTACTGTTCAATTAGATTTGCTTTATCAAGCCAATCAAAGATTAAAGACTCGCTTTGCCTCGAGATTCAAACGGCATGAGGAGCACAAGAAGTCCGGCCGCGACGAACAATGCACCGCTCACATAGACTGGCGCGGCGGTATTAAGATCGGCAAACATGGCAATAATAGGCGCCATGATACCAAATACTCGATTCGCAGACGCGGTCAGTGCATTTCCTGTGCCACGATCTTTTGTCAGGAAGATCTCAGGTGTGTACGCGTAGAGCACGGCATACATGAGACTGCTCATGAAGTTGAAGGCGCAGTTCCAACCAAGCAAAGCGTTAGAGCTCGTCGCTGTCGTCGAAGCAAGAAGGAAGGCACCGGTTATAACTGTTGACGTGGACAACGCTCCTTTACGACCGAAACGCGGAAGCTCGACTAGTACTCCACCCAGGAGGCAACCTGGGATTCCCATCACGGCGATAATCAGGGAGTTGCGATAAGTGATGTATGTTGAGCCATCGCCGAACTCCGCACCACGCGATTGCTGGATGAATGGGAGGAAGGCGTTGTAGAGCGGGAAGCCAAGTCCGATGAAGGCCCATATGAGGATGATTAGGGTTGTCGACCACGCCCGCTTGGGAGTATCGAATAGTGCGCGGATGTGATCCAGCCGAATTTTCTCAAGTCTCTGGCGGACGATGTTGGATGTGCTGAAGTGTTGCGTTGACCCCTGATCCAGCTCGTCCAGCTCGGCCTGTGTCAGATCTGAGGTTTTCCCATTTCTGCGCGCAACCTCGTGGACAACTTTCACAGCCTCCTCGTTCCGACCTTTCCCCATCAAATACTTGGGCGATTCGTAAATCGTGAAAAAAACAAATCGGCCGACAAACATTAGCATGGCGAGTCCGCCCATCGCGATCATGAAGTATCGCCATCCCATGTTTTCGGCTCTCGTGCACCCATCTTTAGAAGCACAAGTCCGATACCCGAGTAGTGGCCATCCAATCAAGTTGGCAAGAACTTGCGCAAAAGCCCAATCGATGGACAAAATTGTCAAAAGGTACTGGTGCGACCCAGGCAGGAATTCCAAGAAAATGGCCGAGTCAACGGGCAGATTCCCGCCCACGCCGACAGACCACAATCCGGCGAACGCGCAGATAGCGCCGAAATTGGGAGATCCTGCAGCGATAAGGCCAAACACTGCCGTGATGCCAATGGTCAAATTGAATGCCCATCGCCGACCGAAGATATCGCATCCGAAACCCCAGAACACCGCACCGATCAACAACCCGATATTTTGCGCCAGGGTCAAGACAGGAGCTTTTGAAGGATGAAACTCAGATGTAATGGCTGGGAGAATCAACGATGTAATGATAGGCCAGAGATTATCGCTCGCCCAACCAAACCCGATCACAACAAAGAGCTGCCATTGGTACCGGCCCATGCCGATATCCTGAATAGCGCGGTTGAGCACCTCAGCCTTGGCTTTGTAAATTGCGTCGCCATCTTGTTCAATTAAATCGGCTTCTGCCGTCGGTTCAGGGGATGTCTTTGCCATTCCGTATGTGTTGGTTGAGGAGTGCGGAGGGAGGACTTTATATCCCTTTATTCGGGCTGTAACCTCATGCAGAGTGGGAAAGTGCATATCGAGAGTCTCCAAATTATGTGTCAAAGTATCAAATCAAGTCCCACGCGGAAGCCCCAGATCAACTCTATTTCAGTGGGTTTGTTGATTTCTCGAGTCGCCAATTGGTCCGTTCAATGGCGTGATCGCCCGGTCGTGTTGTGTCAAGATGGCATTTACCCCTTTCAGTCAAGTCGATGGTATCACCGTATGCAATGTACACATTTGTTGGACCCTTATTTCCGAATATTGAGCTCCTGGAATAATTGCTGGAGTGTCAGTTTCCCACACCGATCTCCAACAACCATAGGTGTCTCCTCGCTGTACGTACTCGGTCGATCGGTCGGGGTTTCGATAATACGTAGGCTGTCTTTCTCGATGAGGATAGGGACGGGATCGGTTCGAGGGCAGGGCTGATTCTTATCGCGAGACTTGATTTTCTTTAGCGTCTTCTTAATGGCGTCACGCTTTGGCTCCGGGTGAAGCTTCGGGATTCGAGATGAGCCCAAGCCATTGACTCTGTGGAGCTCGCAGATTCTAGAACGAAGGGGGGAAGTAATGTCTTTTCTAACAAGTGACTTGGTCATTGTAAGATGTGGGGATTGCGAAGCGAAAGTGGATCGATCGATCATATTGCCTCGGGCGGTGGATCTCCCTCCATATATAATCTACAACGTCGAACAGTAAGTACCTTGCCATCCTTCAACACTCCTTACACAGTTAACAATGTTCAAACATATTTTCCAGATATAATAATAGATAGAATCAAGGTGGGGACTAATATGAGAGCAAAATTAAACAAAATTAGAAAGAAGGCACTCTGGCCTGGAATCGAACGGGGTGGCCCTCGGCCTCCTGGGCAGGCTCGTCGGAGCTTATGTATACCTTTCATTTCCTATGGACTCCTGTGGACCCCAAAGTCAAAAAACCACCAGAACTTCCTTGGAGTGTTGGAATATCTACTCCTTTTGCATGAGTTAGTCCGTGTTACAAGTGTTGCGGGTTCATCAGACGCAGGAGGGGGAGCGCGTTAGAAGTTAGCGATGTACTGAATGAGTCTAACTTCGCGGCTGCCTGGACATCTTGTTGGGCATGTCAGGTGACATCCAACATTGGGATAGTCTCCCATGGAGTAGATAGATAGATAGATATCTCTCGCTCTCTCTCTCTCTCTCTCCTTCTCTCCTCCGTCCGCAATACAATATTCATATCTTCATATTCCATTGCCCTTGTATGATCTCCACGACATCTTCTTAAGTAGATCCTCTCATTTTCTGTGAAGTTTTATGTAGTTAATTGTCTCCTACCTGTACAATTGTTTTCGTAATCAGTTATAAAGTAATATTCGAAATCAGATTTACCTCTACATTCTTTGACTTTCATTCCCGAACCCTAGCTTGAAATACGCTAGTCTGACTTTAGCCATTTCACAGTAGTCGCTGTCAGTCTGTATTGTATTTACTGGTAACTATAGAGATGAGTCATTGTTGCAATATTTACCATATTTCTCTTGGAATTTGATAAAAATTTTCAAGCAAAGAGACCAAACAAAGGGAAGAAACCCGAACAAGGTGCTAAGATCATTGCAGTGATATCCGAAATCGGAGATACACTAGTAAGAGTAGAGAGTCATAGCTGATTTCGAAAACCATGTTCCGAAGCGCATTGTACCTGTTCTCACCTCTTCGGTTCCCAGACACAGAAATAGGTAATATGATAACATATCTTTGGGTTCCGTGGTAATTGGTCCGAACTATTTGCAAACAAGTCAATCAGACCAGGGGAGATGTGGCCAGCGTTCTACCTTTGCTTCCAACTTCCGTCAGACAAGCCACGATGAACAGCGCGGAATCCCTATATCAAAGTTGTGTCCTTGATATCCCACCAACTGACGGAGACGTGATCAATGACTTCGGCTTTAATCGAACCCCATCACCTATCGATAGGGCTTGCCTCTTTGGACTCTACAAAGGTCTGGTCTTCGGCGGACTCACTCCTGAGGACATCCATAAGTTACGAGTCGGAGGCTCTCTGGTCCCCGATATTATAAATGTCTTATACGAATTACCCAAGGAATGTCGAACAAAAGACATCCCTTGGCTTTTGAACCAAGCCTATACTCTGGAAAGGCTATCGTTGCAGGAGATTAAGATACCATCAACACAAAAGGGAACTGGCGGGAATGAATCCTTCGTGTATTGGGCCTCTGCATGCTTTTTTTCTTCTCTGCGTGTTCTTATATGCTTTTGGTTCTAACGATCATGATCTACCTATGAAACAAGAATGAACCGACTCGTGGGTTCTCCATTTGGCGAGACTTTGCACATCAATTTGCAAGACATGTTATCCAGACTGGGTAGTTACACAACCTTTGTCAGAATGAGTACCAGAGTTGCAGTTTGAGAAACCATATACGCCATGTGGGGCACTGAGGTAGATGTAGAGTGTCTGGCTCTTTAATATATCTCGAATTAAATACAGCTTTAAGAGGAGGAGGGAAGTCTCGGAGCTATATTATTAGCCTAAAGAGTAGTGGCGCTTGGGGGGTAATAGCTTATATAAAGGAAGAATCCTATCACTAGGGGGCAAAGGGAACGGTAGAGTAGCATCAAGTGTATAGCAGTCTCTTGTGAATTACATACAGCTAGGTTCCGCCCGCGTCTTGTAAAATCCAATTTCTATTCTAGGAAGCGGGGAATGGACCGGAATACTATATCTAGATTGGCGTGTTTCAAATCAAAATTCGGGTGTCAAGTTCTAGGAGTGTGGCGGTAAATCTGATTTCGAATACAGTACAATCTGACGCTAGAATATCTTCTTGTTGGAACAAGCGCTTACAACTTTTCATTCATGACTCGCTTATCAACCCCTGCTTAGAGCTGGAATGTAGAGTCCTGTGGTTGGCAGATATTAGGCTCGAGGAGGCCCTCTTGTATCTGGAAAACCACCCTAAGTTTTCACTTCTTCCACCCCCAATTTCACTTGCTCAGTGTTTTGTTCCAATATTATAAGTTTTTTTTTCGTGAATTGCAAAATCAATCGCTCGAACCGAACTATTTCACTTACTTGGCTATGCCTATTTTGAATCATTTACCCGGGGACCTCATCGCCGGAGGCAGTAAGATTCTCCAAGCGGGGTTGGAGGGCGGAAAGCTCGCCGTTGCTTATGGAAAGCCTGCCCTCGAAAAGTCCGTGGACGTGACCGTCCAGGTTAGTATACAGCTCCTTACTCATAGAGAGTTTCTCTATGCTAAGATTTAATAGGTAGCAGGATGGAGCACTCAGAACCCTGTTCTAGCTGCATGTGTGGTCGTGGGCGCTAGCGGTGCTGTGGTTTTCGCTGCTCCTGGTCTCGCAACGACCCCGATTTTATCGAGTGTTGGATTCACAACAGGCGGAATTCACGCAGGTATGGACAAAGTCACAGGAATCAACATATTGAATCTCGTTTCCCGCGCGCCGAAGCTCGAATAACCTTTCATGTCTAGGTTCAGCAGCAGCAGCCGCTCACGGTATGATCGGAAATATCGCAACGGGGAGCGCGATGGCCATAGGACAGAGCGCTGGTGCAGGAGGAAGTGGCCTTGTGATTGTCAACGGAGCTGCACAATTGGGGGGAGCTGCGATGACTGTGGGAAGTGTTGGTCTAGCGTGGATCAAAGCCAAACTATGAACATACCCTATATAACGTAAGACCGGTATTCAAGCTACTCGCATGGGGCCATTCGTTTGTTTTCAGTCGGGTAGTCTCTTTATATTGAAACTGGGTTTGGGCGCGTATGGGAACATTTACTTCCCAATCAGAAAGTACAAAGCCTAGTGGCTCTCTATGATATAATCAGATTAACCCTAGAGTATGATGTCATATGTCATGTCTCATCATGTAGAGAAACAGCTCTAGTATATATATTCCGCTATATATGGACAATTACAAGCATAGAACCTAGAGAAAAGCCAGTTTTTCTTCTAAGTGAAATAGGAGATCAACTCTGACTCTGTGACATCCCAGATCCTGACTTTTATGACTTCTTTCATGGCAGACTAAATTCAAATATCAAAGCATTTGTGTCTATTTGACCAATTTTCATTGACCAAATGAGACCTCGAGTCAAACTGTATCCATTCCAGGCTAGACCCTTAAGCATACAATTTTTTCTCTTAGCTATGCAAACCGTTAACATTCCCCTCAGCCTGCGCACCAGCACTCCTCATCTCAAACCGGACCACACCACTATGAACTCCCTGCCGCAGCGCATCCAAGCTCTTAACACCAATATCCTGAAGCGAGTGCTGCACCGCAGCAATAAGATAAGGCAAAAACTTAGTAACAGACCCCCGATCAACAACAGATCCAGCAACATCCTGCGCAACCTTCACCTTGTCATTCTCAGAAAAATACCGCGACGCCCCGGCAATGCTTCCAGTCTTCTTATCCTCCATCACGGCAATACTGCCAATACCTCGGTACGCCTTCACCAACTGTCCATCCTTACTGACCAAAAACTCCCCAGGAGACTCGGTCATACCAGCAAGCAATCCCCCCATCATAACATCCGACGCACCAAGCGCCAGCCCCTTCACAATATGCCCGAGATTCTGCCCCCCCCCCCCCCCCCCTCCCGCCATCAGCGATACACAGAAAACCGAACCGCGACGCAAACGATCACATGCTTCGCATGGCTGCAGCCTGCGGCCGCCCAACTGCCATCACTTCTTGCGTGATGCATGCGCTGCCGCTGCCCATCCCGATCCGCAGTCCGTCTGCGCCAGCCACGATCAGTGCGGCGGCTTGCTCGCGCGTCACGATATTTCCCGCTATCACGTCTACCCGTGGGAACTGATGCTTGATGTATTTGATCATGTCGATCTGGTACATGCTGTTGCCTTGGCTGCTGTCCACGACGACGATGTCGAGCCCTGCGTCGATGAGATGTTGCAGGCGCTGCTTGTCGGCTTCGTGGGTGCTCACGGCTGCGGCGCAGAGGAGTTGCCTGGACTCTAGCTTTGAGGCTAGGGGATAGTGAATGATTTTCATTAAGTCGCTTCGGGACAGCAATGAGATAAGGTGTCCGTTTTTGTCCACTATTGAAAGCTCTTCTTTCTTTGATCTGCGCAGGATATTGTTAGCTTCTGCGAGGGTGGTTCCTGCGGGTGCAGTGCTGAATCTGTTGACATGATTGCTGTCACTAGGTCGTTGGGGTGGCTGTGGAACTGGATGTCTCTGCTGGTGACTATTTCGAGGAGCTTGGAATGGAGGGTTCCATGTTATGTATATGCGTCGAGGCAACAGCCAGCACAACTGCAAATGAAATTCCAAAGATATGCGGAATCAACTTACCATCACAGGGAATCCTCCAAATCCCCACTTGAATTTCAACTTCTTTGCATCTTCGACCGTCGCAGTGGGGGACAACACAGCTGGATTGAGAATGAATCCATTTTCATACCGCTTAACTTTGCGCACCATCTCAGCTTGATCTTCTGGCGAGCAATTCTTGTGGATAACCCCCAGTCCACCCAGTAGAGACATATGGATAGCCATATTGTGTTCGGTCACCGTGTCCATTGGTGAAGATAGGAGTGGGGCCTTCAAGGCAAACCGCCTGGTGATTTCGATGTCCAGATTAACATCCGATGCTAGAAAGGCTATTTCAAGGGCTAGTAACAGGAAGAGAGGTAACGCTGTAATGAGATTCTTACTGATCGAGCCAGGCAATATCAGAAAGTCATTGTAAGTCAAAACTCCATGCTTCTCTAATTCAAGCAACGAATCAATATGAAGACCATCCGCAGATGGATACTCCTTGAGTAAGTCGAGGGGTATAATCTTCGATTTTGACCATTTTGGGAATGATGTTGAGACGATATGGGATGGGAATGAGTAATCCTTGAATTCCACATTGAAGGGGTCGCTGGATGGGAGATATAAAAGGGAGATATAAATGGGATGCTCTCACGGCCACCAAAATACTAGATACATCCAAGTTCTACGCTATGATGATGTGGGTTTCTACTATGACACAAACAAGAAAAGAAGAGCGATTTTCATAGATCTAGAGCTGACCTCGAGAAGTTGATTGGTCGAGAGAGCGCGTATACACAACCAGGTCCGTGCTCCCGGCTCCATTTGCTTTCAGGGTTCTTAATTGATGCGGTCAACGCTTGGTCAATCCGGTTGATAGATACATGGACATCAAAGACGTCGGCCACCTCCATCTGGATCACCAATATAGAGTTCCTCAAGCTCCGACGAGAAAAGCGACGGTGAAAGAGAACAAATAGACGATGAACGGCTCCGTGCGGATATCCGCAGGGCCAACTCGCCAAGAGAATCAATGAACCACTTCCGGACTCAGCCTCTCTCAGCTCCTACGGTTTCCAAAGAACAGTCACCGAAAGGTCAAGAAAAGGAGGCCCTGGGTTTAAAGCCATGATGACCGCGACCATGAACCTTGAAAACACTAGCCTCGCCATAAACACACTCGTTATGGCTTCATTCTCACCGATCAGGAATTTGTCGCAATTCGACGCCTGGACAGAAACGAAAACCTGAAGCTCTCTGTTTTCATTCTATGGACTGCGAATGGTACATCTGGAAAAACCTGCTCTGACCCTTCTTCTTGGATTGTGATATCTGAGCTTACTCGCGGCTCAAGAGGATTGTTATCTTGATAGAGTGGGCTTAGGGTATCTCTTAGGCCATTTTTATCAACTTTTGCTTCTGATGCCTATATCAAAGTTTTCACTAATTAAAGCAATTCAGAAGCTCGAGTGAGGGTCAACTGAAGGGAATCCGAAGCTGGAAGGACAGATTGCTTAGAAATTCCAAGCAGTATATGAGGCTAGATTAAGTCATTTGATCCTGGCGTCTATATACTTGGTATGTGTGCAATTCATTCATGTAATTGTTAAACGCCATTTCAAGCTTGTTTGAGGCGCTAGCTAAGTGTCTTTCGCAATCTAGTAGCAAATCTCAACAATGGAGCCGACATCTAGTATGAAGATAGCATACAACACCACACCATATGCCATTGGCTCTCACCATCACCACCGGTTCATCTAAGAGGAAGTAGCCTGAGCTCCAGCAAGTGCACTAACAGGAGTAGCACCAGGGTAGAACGAGGTCGGAATAGCAGGAATAGGAATAGGCGATTTAGTACCGAACGCAGTCGCCAAATCAGAAGCCATCGTAGCAGCAGAGTATCCAGACGGCGCAGACTTAACAGTCTGAGTAGTCGTGTACGCAGAATAATCATCTCCATCCTTCAAACACGCACCGGAGCCGTACGCACTCTCACAGCTGTACCACTGGGAAGAACCCGACTCGGTCCACATGGCGAAGTCCTCGATCGTCACGTCCGTGCAGGGCGCGCCATCTGCACACTTCACTCTGATGGGACCGCGCTGGGCGCCGTTGGCTTCCGTTCCCTTCCAGTTCTTGACCGTGATGTTCGTGAGTTGCACGCCGTCGCCGGACACTTTGCTCATGCTGCTCCAGGCGCCGTCGATGTCGAGGGAGTAGGCGTTGCCGTGGCCTGCGGGAAAGAATTTCTTAGAATTCATCCTTTATAATGATTTTTAGTTAGTGCTTACCGATGAAGTTCTCAAGAAGGAGATTCTCGACGTTGCCACTGCCTCCGTTGCTCTTGACCATGTACATCTGGTTGGACTTCCAGGTGTAGACGTTGCGGTAGGTGATGTCACTGATGTCGACGTCGGTGCTCAAGGATCCCATGGCACAGCCGCCACTCCAGTTGCAGTAGATGTTCTCGACGAGAATGTTCTTGGCAGGACTCTGTGATTATGTTAGTGACTGTTTGAGAATAGTAGCTCAATATCATACCTTGACAGTAACACACTCATCCTTGTTGGTGACCTCGACCTATTTGCAGTTAGCACGACATTCCCGACTACAGATGAGAGAACTCACGTCGTGAATCCAGATGTTAGTGGACCAAACATCAATTCCATCCAGACCACCCTTATCACCACCCCGAATAGCAAGATTGTAAACCTCACCATTTTCGCAGGTATCCAGAGAGAAGTGGAAAGCGGGCGCATCGACCAGAGCAATATCATGGACCGAAAAATCAGTCACATCATACAGCCGGAGGATTCGCGCTCCATTGGTCGATCCCTTCTTATGGTACTCATACCCATATCCCTGGATCGCACCCTTGGAAGTAGAGCTGAAAAGCTCGAAGTCCTTGGTATGCTTAACCATAATCATATTTCCACCATCAGTACCAGTCCGATAGAGAATACCGTCCAACTGAATGGCGCAGCTACTACCACCTGACAAAGTCACCCAGGATTTAAAAGCGTAATCACCAGACGGGATGTAGACAACACCGCCGTTCTTGCAATCCGCCCAGGCGGAAGTAATGGCTGCGCCAATATCGGTCGACTTGTCCGCCTTAGCGCCGTAGTCCAGTACATTACAGATTTTGTTGCTGGACTTGGTGGCGAGGGAGGTTGTTGGACCGACTGAGCCGCTCAGGTAGGCGTTTGCGAGCAATGGCGCCAGGCCGATTGCGATCACTGAAGAAAAGTACATGTTGAAAAGAATGAATTATACAAAAAAAGAAAGACAGCAAGAAAGGAACGAATGAATGTTTGAAGAAAATCCAATGCAAATAGGCTTCGAACTGACTATATAGAACCCCTGAGTGAACTACCCTGCACTATATCCAAAACATCCTTACAGTGTGGGCTATCATTCCAAACCCCTAGCCAAGCTGTGCTGGCGTCTGTCGTGGAGCTTGGCATCCTCGAAACGAGCCATGGACAAACAGCGAACTGTTTAGCATACCTGGTGGGGTCTACATTAAGCCCAGCCGGATAGGCGGGTGAGGATCGTATGAAAACGTGCGGTTGAAGCTGAGGTGGAGCTTATTTCGGCTGTGGGAGTTATTGCAGGGCAGCAATGCCGGTAGAACGTTTTGCGTTGAGTGATCGGCGCTGAAACGTATGCTCTTAATTAAAAGTGGGCGCTAACGGTCATTCTCAAACACTCTCTTTCCTTTTTGTGTTTAGCATCAATGGAATTTTCATCGCTTAAACACACAGAAGCAACCCCTGGCCCTAATTCATCTATACAATCTATACACTAGGATTGTTAGAAGAACATAATCCGTACAGATGTATAAGATTGCTCCGATGGTGCCTTGGGCGCGAGATAGTGACGCCAACTACAAAGCTCGGTAATGTTGTATTTCCAAACTTTATGGACTGCTTAGCCCTGTTCTTCGCGTCGCCTCAAACCATGCCATGCTCCGACTGCGCGGACTCATATTCAAAGATCGACAATTAGCTCGCTTTTCAGGGGGAGCATTCGTTCACCGTGGAAAATCATTGACAGTCATCGGCAATTACAACTGCCTAGACCAACCTACGTCGGGACACCAACTTGCTACGGCTACACAGATTAAGCGAGCACATCGATCATCTTGCCACAACAGCAAACTACGACTTCAATCCAAAAATTTCAAGCATCTGAATTGTCCTATATAAGATTGCAAGCAAAACCTAGCTTCCAAGTCTACCTAGGTAAACAGAAAGTTTGGCAGTCCAAGCGCAGAAGTCCTCCCGTTATAGAAGAATTCCGTTCCCAGATCTGCCAGCTATGTCGCAGCTTCTTTCCGAGTCAATCCAATTCCGGCAACGTATAGAAGCTTAGACCATGAGTCTCTCGACCTTGTTCTTCATCTGGCGGATCTGAGCGGTCAGGTCACTGGCCTCGTTGGTGGTGATGCAGCAAGCAACGACGGGGCGGGAAACACCGTTGGCACGGCCAAGAGCGATCTTGCTGGGGACAAAGACGTAAGGAACCTGGTTTGACGTTAGTTTCGTTGTGGGATCGTGATTTGTGGCAGATTTGACTCACGTTCTTGTCCTCAGCGAGGAGAGGCAGGTGGAGGACGATGGCCACTGCGAAATTGTTAGAATCGAGTTGTGGAAAGGTTGTAGCTCATTAACTCACAGGGGGAGGTATCGGCGGCCATGATGATCAGCTCACAGGTACCACGGTTGACGGACTTGGTGGCCTCGTTGGCGCCCTTCTTGGTCTGTCTGTAGTGGGTGGCCTGCTGCACAAGGTCGAGGAGCTCGGTGCTGAGGGCCTCATCGGCGAGGGGGAAAGCCGCGGAAGTGTCGTCGGACATTGTTGCGAGTATTATTGGAAATTGAAGAACTAGGTTTCGGTTGCAGTAGGGAATTCAAACACCAGATCTTGAAAAGAAATGGCTCACTCGAGGATCACGGCCGTGTAGTATAACGGAAAAAAGGAGGATAAAAAGGTTGTTGGAGATGAAGTTCGTGATGCCTGGGCCCGCAACCAGAGATTTATTGTTTCACCGCCTAGAAAACTGTTTGAAGATTTCTGCTGCCAGACACTCACCGCCTTTTCGTAATTGACCAATCACGATAAATTGCTTATAGTTGGTGCCTTGTTGCCAGTTTTACCAGGCAACAATTTCGAAAGTGTTAGAAAGTTTTTCCAATTGATGCAGGAGTTTAGCAGGAGTTCTTAAATTGATGATGATTGTCGCTAAAATGCCATGGGGTTTCAACCCCTCTTTCTATATTCATGAAAACATATGCACCGGAGCGCCAATATCGCAGGAAATGCAAAATTTAGTCAGAGCCATTGACAGTGGCACTGGCAAGTCTGGAGCGTGCGCGCAGCGCAGGACCAAACTTGAACAAGATGAAAGGAATAAAAGTTAACAAAGTTGCGACAAGAGCCAGCAGCAGTCCAGCATACTGGCTGCCCAAGTTGTGGAAGAACTGGGAGGCGAACAAGGGAGACACGGCACCGAGGGTGTTACGCATGAACCCTTGTCCGGCAATGGCGGAAGAAGAGTGATCACCATAGCAGTCGGCAGTGTAACTGTAGCATGACTCGAAGATAAAGAAGATACCGATGGCGATCAGGGCAAGTCCGATCACCGGGCCGATCCAAGGGAGTCCCTTGTACTGGGTGAAGCTATAGATGAAAAGACCAATAGGCAGCCAGACAGCACCGCAAAGAGCACCGTACAGACGAGCTTCTGGTGACACCTCCACGTTCGGGTCCTTGGTAAGGGACTTGTACTTGCGGATTTGCAGGAAGTTCAGGGCGAAACCGATGGTGGTACCGAGGCAGAGGGAGATGTAGGGTAATCCGGAGACACCCTCGCTCCATCCGCGCTTCTCCTGGAAAGTGATGGGGATGACTGAGAGGAAGAGGAAGGTCAGGAACCAGGCGAAGGAAATCCACAGGCCGAAGGCGAACACTACGGGCTCGGTGAAGAGCATCTTCACGGCCTTGACGGAGGAGTTGTGGAGCATGTGCTTGATGCCCGGGGCTTCGATATCGTTGTGGGTCACGAAACGATCATCGCCGGTGGCCTGGCGGATCAGCTTGGCGCGCTTACCGAGGCAAACACTGCCGCGGGTCTCGGGGAGACAGATGAAGATGACAATACCCAGGGGAATGTTTGCAAGACCCTGGATACCCTCGAGCCAGCGCCAGCCAAGGGCCTGGTCGATGAAACCGGCGTAGATGGGGGCACCGACTGTACCGAGAATGGCAATGAAGGAGAAGCAGGCCATGGGGATGGCACGGTGCTCGGGTGTGTACATATCACCGAAAGTACCACCGACAAGAATAGTGCCAACACAACCAAACAGACCAAGCAGGGCACGACAGACGAGAATGGTGGCGATGTTCTTGCCCAGGGCAAGGCCGATGAACATCAAACAGAAACAGATGTAGGCACCGACGTAGATGACACGGCGACCTGCCAATTCACAGAACGGAGCGAGGAAAAGAGGAGCCAAAGCGCAGGTGAAGTTGAAGGCGAACAGACCAATCTGACCAACCTCAGTTGATGTTCCAAGCTCGGCAACCATCTTCGTGATGCCAGAGCTGTATGCTGTTGTGGCGAGACCAATGAACAATGTCATCAGACAAAGCTGGGTAGCAATGAATGCCTTTCTGCCGGAACTCCAGTTGAATGGGTTCTCCTTGTCTCCTTCCACAAATTCGAGCACAATGAAGTGGCCAGCATCGTTTTGTTGAGGTTTCGTAACGGTAAGAGGAAGGTCCACGTCGACTTCTTGTAGTAGGCTGCTGTCATATTCTTGGGATTGTTCATCGGAAAGTGCATCGCGGAATTTTCCACCGACGATGAGACCCTTCTTGGTGCGCTCTCGGTATGTTGGAATACTGTCGGATGAAGGGATATTCTCGTTGTGAGAAGCCGAGACCGGCTGGGGGTTTTTATTGGCCTTCATGTTATAAACAATATACAAATATGAGGAGGATGAAGAAGGATGGAATAAGACAGACTCTGGTTTATATGCGAGGAGCCGGGTCTACATATATTATTTTTTCACCAGTTTAGCCCTTGCCGAGTATCCGTACGTCATGCTCCGGACTCTCCAGAGTCTGATGAGAACTGGGGGCTGCGGGACTATACGGAGAGTGGGGAGAGGCACTCCAAGGTACATAATGATCGATTACTTTTCGAGAACAGTGCCCGAGAAAAGATCTTTCGATCAATCAGTGAGTTGGAGTACAGAAAAAGTGGATAGGGAGAGCCATACAATTCGTCTCGTGCCTGAACGTTGTTTTACGCCTTCCTATAGAAGTAATCAATTCCAAGAAAATATCACGACCCCTTCATTGCTCTAACTCTGCTTGTTATTCCCGTAGTTTCTTAGTTCAGACTCGTCCTGCACGATATGGGGTTGCTCAGGCCCCCGTAGAGAATTCTCACACCAAGTAGTATGTGGAGCATGAGAAATTGAAACGAATTGTTTTCAGGAACAACAACGCCACGAATGAACCAAAGGATACATTTTTCGGAGGATATCCGCAGACAAGATTTGCACTGAGGTATTTCCGACGAGGGCCCGAGGATCTTCCCGAGCCGACTCGTCATGATTGGTCGGTGGGTCCACTGTCGAACTACAGAGTCGGCATGCCGTATTGCACTCGGCTTTTCAGATTTGAAGGGAACCGAGACAAGAAGATTGTGAAATATATAGCAGATGACAAGAAGTAGTGAACCATTCAATCGCACAAGATCACCTGCTGAAAGAGCTCGTTGGTGAAGTGTAAGCCCATGCACAACGGAGAAATAGACTTTCCATCGGCCCACTCGGCCAGCAGAGCATCCCTTGCAAAGTAACCGGTGAGAAACCGAGTGCAGCAGAAACCCCGAGATTCACCCCGAAGTTGATCCCGACGCTATGATTCGTTGGCTGATCTTCGGCGCTCCATATCAACATGAACGATCACTTCCAATAATATCTTGTCCCTGGATCGGTATTTTGAACGTCCTTTTTCGACCTTCCCAACAGTGCTATATCCCACGTCGTGTTGTTTGGGATCCCCGACAGTTACTGATCTAGTGCAGTCCACTAGACATTCTCCTCCACTGTTAGCTGCCGATGTGTGTGCCCATGGGGAGGGAGTATTCCAGGCTCATATCTATCGACCAATAAGAATATGCACGTTACTGGCTGTGTGTTTATTGGCCTTGTGAGCTGCTCGGCCGACCCAGTTATATTATCGGCGTTCATTCTCTTTTTGATATTATCAACGTGTCTTGCCCCCAGTCTAGTCTCGTGAGATGTCCCAACATTTCCCCCGGCTTGTCCCGTTCTTGCATGATCACACGGTCAAGCCGGCTTTTTGTTTTCCCCATATATGATGCGCTTGAGGCATTTAATGCCTGGTAATATGTCATTTTATGCAAGCAGCACAATTGCCAACGAGTCATCATTCTCGCCACCCAGTACCAAAATCTGCTTCTTGCACAGTGCAATTGTAGATCTGACGTTTCGCAATTGTGGATATACACACGAAAAGAGCATCCCACGTCTAAAATACCGCAGTCAACTGCCAAAATAAACAAACCCTAACTCTGTTTACTCTGGTTCTGGTTCTGTCTCTTACCTTTCTCTACCAAGTCTCCATTGATGAACGTCGGTACAGTGAGCTCGTCCCCACTTTCACCCAACACCCATTGATGGACTCAATTTATTTTCGCGACCAGTCCACAAGTCCCGCACCATTGAGCACGTAGTATGAAATGTCTTTTTGGTGATCAAGTTTACTGGTGCTTCCAGTCTATCCACTACGAGCCCTTGTCGAGGCTTTGACACATGTTGTAGTCCTGGTAGCGCGTAGACAACGTTTGAAATTTCTGTTAAGATCGCCCGCCGCATTTCGGGAAGACTGAATAAGAACCCATTGTCAGCGTCATTCAGAGCACATAGTGGATTACAGCATGCATTCACCGCTAGCTTTTCGAGTTTGATTTGGAACACCTCGGTGTAGCTGTAGGCTGTGGGGTATAGCCATGGGGACAGGGAAAGGTTTTCTTGGTTGTCATTATTCAAGTACGGAACCAATCCAAGCGATGTCGCTGCAAAACCGGGGTGCTTTGTATCGAAGGAGATGCGAAGCGCGATGCCATGTGAGATGACACTGTTGATATATTCCAGGCGCTCGGGGGGACGGGGGAAAGAGGCGCATGTTGACCTCGTCGATGTCGATCATCCTACAGCTTTTGGGAGAAAAAGGACTGTGGATCACGGGGTGAGTCGGTGCCGCAACTTTTGAAGCGCAGACACTGTCTGCGTTCCTTTCACAGCTACAATGAGATTCCCAATGGTGCTCGTTTCTGCAGAGGTATTGCTGGTTTGTTCTGCACTCCAGTGCCAGTGTCCACCCTGAAGACCCTCCAGGTCTTATCCCTTGTAATTGACCTTCCGGCCCTCTCTCGTCTCAAGCGAGATCTGGACTCCATTGTTGCGACATGAGTTGACGAGGGATGGACGGCGGCAGAGCAGGGCCACGGACGGGGGATGTGGAATTTCGGATATTGAATGCGCAGTAAATGTGCCAATTGACCTAGGAAGTGAGCTCGGGGTCTTTTACCAGACTCATTGGCACAATTGGTCAATGGGCATGTAGATACCGACATGGTGCAATGTACAATGAATGTATCAAGAGCTTGTGTTCGATAAGGCGTCCTTACGTGTCAACTTTGATGCCAAGTTTACCATGATTGGCCAATGTGATCCCGATGACTGCCACTCCCAGCAGGACTACTTTGAGGTGGTCAAGGTCGCCGGCCAAAAAGACGCCTGGGCTCACAAATACTTGGTTGGCGTGGATGGTAATGCTTTCAGCGGTCGGTTTTACGTGTTTTTCCTCTGCACCAGCTTTATATACAAGATTTCTCACTTCCGCGAGAAGCACGAGGTGGATCAAGCCTTGGCTGCATTATGTGCCGCTCGGCTTGAATGGCAACGGATACACGGAGACCATGCGCTATCTCCAAAATTCACCAAGAAGAAGAAGGCAAGAAGACGGCCTATCCGATTGCAACTTCAGGCCAGCAGTAGGAACCAAAAGTGTTGCGGAATAACGACTTGGAAGTTTGGTTCTTCCATTTACTTCTGGATTAAATTTGCCTCGACCCTATTTCTCTATTTTTACTTTTGCTAACTATCAAATTCATAGATACAGACATTTCGTGGATGACAATCGCGAACAATTAGGCTTCTTCCTTTGAACCCCCTCGGCCATCTTATGAACACTGCATATGTATATACCCTAATTTTTCTATCTTTCCCGACGACATTGTGGTCTCTTTTACCTTGCCCCTTTTTTTAGTTTCCACCCCCTATATCTGCGTTGCTACGCATTCGCCTTTCCCAGTCTGTGTCAATACCCTTCCCATGTTGCTCGATGGTGGGCTGAATTTGGTGCCGCGTTGATACCATCCCTCTAGCTGCATATGAAAAATGGGATTGGCATTCTTTTGGACTCTCGCTATATCCCATGCTGTACTAGAAAGTGAATTCTATCTCTAGAAGATTGGTTTCAAACGGACTCAACTCGAAATTTCAGATTTGGTATAATCAAATTATAGAGCATTCATAGTTGTATTAGACCATTTCATATAGGAAACTTACTTAGGAATTACTACTTTTACCCTAATTTGAACAAAAGAAAACACAGAGAGCCATACATGTCCTGAACCCCGAAGATCAAAAGAACGAACCAAAAGGCAAAAAAAAGGTATCACTTGCGAGAATTGTCAATCAAAAGCCGAACTCCCTCCGGCCAGCCGGAGGCCTCCGCCATATCCAGAACCGTCTGGCCCGTCTCATCCTTTCTCTCAAGATCAACAGAACCACCCTTCTCAATCAACAGGCGCAACAACTTCAGATCCCGATCTTCAATAGCCTGCATGATAGCATTCCAATCACGATAACATTTATTCGGATCAGCACCTTTCTCAAGGAGTAATTCAATCATGGAAAAATCCCCATCATCGCACCGGCGTATCGCCTTAACAAGAGGAAGATGTTCGCCAGGAGCATTTGGATCAGCATGACCCTCACCGAGAAGAAAACGAACAATATCCGCATGTCGTTCACGCAGCGCCGTTGTCAACGGAGAAAACACACCACCATTCTTCCACTCTATATTCGCGCCGGCTTCTAGGAGGAGTTTGACGTTCTCGAGATGATTCGCCTGAACCGCTTTCTCCATGACACCCTTGTGCGCACCTAAATCTTTGATTCTCGGCAAGAGCAGCCGTAATAGGGCTGACGACTGAACGGCCATGTATATGGGCCAGTCTTGGCCGCGGATGTTCGGATCCGCGCCGTGCGCTAGCAGCCATTCTAGGACTTCGGGTCGGTTATCGCGGATCGCTGTTGTTACGGCTGTGTGGCCCTGCGCATTGCGGTCATTTGGGTTGGCGCCGCCTTCTTCGATAAGCCAGCGCATGGCGGCTGAATTGTTGAGTTGGACCGCGCATTCGACTATGCCTGGGGGATTGCGCAGATCAGCGCCTGCTGCTATCAGCTCTGGGAGGAATCTGAGGCGGTTATGAGTGATGCATTTCCATGCTGGGTACTCTGATGCCATTAGATTTGGATCGGCGCCGTGACTGAGGAGGAGGGTGATTATATCTGGGCGATCGTCGCGGATGGCGGAGCATAGCGGGGTGTAGATTCCGTCCTTTTTGGAATTGGGGTCTATGCCAGCTTCGAGTAAAACGCGGACTGCGTCGATGTTGTTGACGCTTGTAGCCTGCTCCATGATCCCTGGGGCTTTGCGAACGTCGGCGCCGCGGGCGAGAAGGATGCGTAGACAGGCTGGACGATGCACAGCGGGCCAGAGGGCATGTTCGGGACCCGGTAGATTTGGGTTTGCGTGGTGATCTAGTAGGATTGTCACGGTTGCTGGTAGATCGTCATGCACAGCTTCGCAGAGCGCTGTCTTGCCGTGATTGTCTTTGCGATCGGGATCGCAGCCGGCTTCAAGCAGGATTTCAATTAGTTGTTCCGGGGCATGCTTGCGGATTAGATCAATTAATAATGTTGTTCCGCTGGGCGTTTCTTCATTTGGATTTCCACCATGAGAGAGCATGAACCGTGCGAGCTTGATGTTTCTTTTATTGATGCACAAGTTCAGAGGTGATTCTAGCTTCTCGTCCGCGCGATAGTTTGAATCAGCACCATGTTCCAGCAAAAACATGGCTCCGTCCACGAATCCCTGTTCCACAGCCAGGAGGAGGGGTGTCTTTCCCTGTGGATTGGCAATATTGGGATTGGCTTCGAAGGCTAGTAATAACCGCAGGCTTTCCATATCACGTTGGTTCACGGCCTCGTGGAGTGGATAGAAGTCGCCCTCCTTATCTGGCGACACCCCACTATTCAAGAGTTGCTCAATTGATGTGAGATCGCGCTCCCTCATTGCAGAAGACAGATTATTCCGAATGGTCGATGTACTTCCACCCGTCCTTTTGCTGGATAACCGGGGCGGCAGGGTATCTGATTCACCCTCATATTGTATACTGACCTCCGCGACGGAAGCTGGAGCGCTTGTCTTAGCCGGTCGATATGGCATCGATCGTTGTTCGTGAGGAGCAATTGTTTGAGGTTCGCGTTCGGGTTGAGAGCTCAGGAACTGATTGAGAGAGAGAATGGAGGATACATCGTCTCCGTAACTGCCGCGCTTCTGTCGGGGAGAAGTCCCTTGGCTAATTTCTTCAGGCTGGAACTCCTTAGGTGCTCCCCGCAGGAACGACACGTCTTTTGAGGGCACAGATGGCGTAGAACCATCGGACTCAAGCGATTCACTTCGTAGAGATGATCCATCAATATGCGCAACTTTGTTTATGCCCATGATCGAGCGGCCTTTCGAGATACGGTCCAGCGCAGCGGCCAGACTAGCGTACCCAATGCCCACCGATTCCTCCGGCTGTACCTCTCTCAGTGACCAATGGAATGCCATGCCACTGATCTGGAGGGTTTCATTTGTCTTCTTCAAGGACTCGTGGATGCGCTTCAGCTCGTAAGCTGGGCGATGCCACCCTCGCTGGAGTTTCCCCAGTGTTCCGCGATGTTCATATTGGACGAGTTTCAATATGACTTTGTCCAACTGTTGAAATTCACGATATGCGACAACGAATTTCTTTTCCACTTCGTCGATGATGATGTCTGGCAAGGCTCGGTTCGCGGCGGTCAATTCAGTCACTCCAGTCTCAATGGCCCACAGAGTGCGACAGGTGTCAAGGAAAGTGTGCGACAGTTCGCGAAAGCCATCTGGTAACTGCTGGGTGATGGTGAGATAGTTCAGCATGTGCACCGAAATTTGGTTGCCGAGTTGGGTGGCCGAAGCCGAAATGGTGCGAATTGCATCCTCCGCCTGCGAAGGCATAGCGATGGCAATAGACGAAAGAAGTGCTATTGAGGCAGGGCAAGTGGGATTAAGATGTAGAGGAGAAGAGATAAATCTAGCAGGATCACACTACTGCTTGAATGTGAAACATTGGGGTCTAGAACGGTGGGTCTGAGGCCAATCAATGTACTTCTCGATGATAGGACTGCTGGCCTTGACCTAGTCAAAACAACAAAACGTGTCATCTACAATTGTTCCCAGACCATATAATCAAGTAGACAGATGAGATATATGAATAGAATGATCGACTTATGAGCCCTAAATAGAAGTCATTTGGCAACTTTTTCAAAAGAGAAGCTGAAATTTGTGATTGTAGTGAACGTTCGCAAGTCGGTAGGAATGATCGATTTCGGGACCACGAAATGCCCCACTTCAAAGTTTAAGATCTCTTTGAAACCCCCCGGGGCGCAGTAAATCCTCCTAAGAGCACGTAATTTCTCCGTTAGTGCCTAGCCTCGGCAGATGGGGTGATTGGTTGGAGCCTTTTAGGGAGCCTCTCTGTGTTAGTTTTACTGGATCCTCCCAGAATCCTGTCGGCTGATTTGCCATGACCCATGTGAGCTCGAATAATCGGTTTTGTGGGAGACCTAATCTGATATCTGCATATAGGATGTACGGAGTACCCATTCAATCGATCAAGGTTTATGGCCTAGACAGAACCCCATTGTCTTGGGTCGATTAGACGGGTCTGATTGGATTGGCTATCAGGGACTATACTATACCACTTGAGTTAGCCAAGGCTTCCCAGCTCCCGAATCTTGAACTTAGAGACTTGAAATTCAGTTTTTCGCCCTGAAACATTTCAGACTCGCAGATTTGCAGATAGCAGTGCTGGTAGAAAGAGGACAAGATACTCTGTACAAAACACAGAATACATTCGAGCATAAGTCAATTGAGAACAGAGAACCATCGATCCACCGCCATGTGGCGTGGGGCGAATGATGGAAATGCTCTGAACTTACAGAGCCAATTCGGCCAATTCGGCCAATCCGATACCATAGTGAGTGTCTTGGCAATCTGAAACATCATTCCTATTCCCGAATCGACGATCGGCAGAATTGATATGACTTTGTTCTTCCTATCGACCAGTTCGGAGAGAAAAACCCGCCTTTAGTTCTCGCGCGGCTCCACTGTAACATCGAAAGGCTCGAAGCGGGCAGGGGTGAGATGGGGGCGAAACAAGGGTCCAAAACACAGGCACGTGTCTTCATCTGTTAGAGAAGATGCTCCAGAATTTTCAAGTTACAGACACGCGCTTCAATCCAAACTAGATACTCTCTCAAACTTACTCAAAACAGCACAAGCACCTCCCAAGTCCTATGGAGAACGCGCTAATCCAAAGTGGAGAAAGGAAAGACATCGAACCAACTATATAAGTCAATATGGGTCCATGGTGCGGTCCTAAATACTTTGTAAAAAGACCATAGACTAGATAGTCCAGTCCCAGTCAATGCCGAGGTATAGTTCTGCATACATACAAGAACTCAGGGGCTTGCTTCTTAGTAAGCTCCTTTTCTATGGATCCTCTCTGAATTGGGCACTAGTGGTAATCTACCACTGACAATTAATATTTGTAACTTCTGGCTGTGCTTTTTTCCATTCGCATGAGGTCTAGTTCAATTGTTGCATTTGGCTGCGGTGTTGATGTAACAAAGCGGAAAGCAATGTATGTATGCTTATGTAGTGTAGTATATCGGTTCCGAGAGATGTAGTATGCACTAGTACTAGAATTAACCAATGAGGCCATTTCACAATACTTGAGATGTGTCTTTCTACATATAAAATTCTGATAGCAAATTAAAGGGGCTCCCATATGCTGATTCAGCATCTGATGCCTTGGAAATCAGGAAGCAGTGGGTGTTGAGTGAAACAAACTGCGCTAGTAAGATTCCTCTCCAATTTTACCGACCGTAATACGCCACCGATCTTGCAGATCCGCAACGTGTTCTCTTGAATGAGGGTGAGCCTGCAGGATATGAGATTCAAGGGATTTCTTTGATCGAATGCTTTTTGCGCTCCAATCACGACAATCCTCGGTCTTCAAGTGGACGGGCCTATATCCCCTGTTCAACTCTACTCAGGCTAGCAACATGTAGGGCTCCGAAAGGAACAAAGGAATGCGAACATGAATATATGAATTTTTTATTCGCATTCATATTATTCATAATGTGAGATTTCTCCGCATCAATACTTTGTCTGGTACAGCGGTTATCTGTGATGAAACCTGGATTAGTTGAGAATCGGTTGAAAGTCCAGCAAGATTTTTCACTTACTGAGGCCTCATAAACTGTGCTAGACGCATGGATAAAACACAAAATAACGGCGACCCTCATTTGTGCTCAAATTACCTTCATTCATAACATTTGGTAGCAAAACACAGGAGTCTATTTGTTTGGGTCCTCCTCCTAAGTCTTGTGAACAGCAATTTGGTTGAAATACGAGATCTTCATTCCGCTGTTTTGTATCCAGTCAATTTTATGCGTGGCCTCCCGTGCAGTTCACGTCACTTCCTTATTCAAAGTACCAATTTACGCCGAAGACAAGACATTGTTTCAAAGGCAACATATCCTGGAAAAGACCAATTAATGCTGTACATAGGCAGCCATCTTCCTATCTAATGCATGTTTATGGTCGATCGGCAGACCATCTGGTGGGGCAGCCTTGGTGATAATCATCCCCGGTGATTCATTTGATACTTAATATCGGTCACAAAGTACGATAGAGCCCAGCTTTACATTTGCTTCCGCGTATTAGATCTCTCTAGGCTTCGTATCATACAAACTCATAGGAATGATTCTCTTGGTGCGCGTGACATATAGTGTCATCAGCGCGCATATAACCATGCTACCAAGCATGCCATCTAGAATTCGAGTTGAGATCTCGTTTTGCACGAGATATTTTCTTCCATCGTGGAAGTTTTCTGTATAGATAGGTGCTTCCATGGTGGCGGGTTCAACAAAGTATGTCGCATTAAAAGGATCATTGAAAGATTCCCTTGCGCCGGTGTTGATTGATTGGGCCATGAGAACTCCCCAAACCGTGTTGACGCGATCGGCCAGTACATCAGGGTCGAAAACATCACTTAACTGGACACCGTTAACGCCCTTCGTAATCGTTTCTAGGAAGGCATTACTGTAACTAGGGTCGGGTCTCAAGAGGAGACTTGATACCTCCGCAAATAAGAGAGAGGAATTGCCATATGTCGCGAACGGTGTGCGAGTAGAGCACTCGACTACCCGAGGAGGGGTGTCGGGGTCGATCAATAGCGAAGGAATTTGGAGTTCTGTATCGATATCTACCTCTTCGATGGTGGCGTCGCAGTATATGTAATGATAAATGGTGGAAGTGCGATTCTGACTCTTTTTGGCGTATAGTATAGCATGTGTGGGATCATTTGGAGGTGGAGCGCCTATAATTCTGGTCGGAAATCTAAGAAAACAGTCTTTGTCTGTTGCGGTGGCATCGGCATACACTTCCCCGAAGAGGCAACTGGAGTCAGACCCACACCACAGCCCTTGACTTTCTCTTTGGGTGCAGCTACCGTTAGTCGGATCTGGCGCACAAGTGAGGCGACTACGCAGAGCGGGAATCCGCACATCAATGATTCCCGTGTCTGGTAGCAAGTGGTCACTGCTAGTTAGCGCGACTTGCGGGAAGGCCAGGTTGTTATGTGTCCATTGTGGATCAGAGAGGTTGATGTTGAGAATGAGACCAGCTGTGTGGTCGAAATCGAAATCTTGTGGCTCCTAGTGTCTCATCACGCGATCGGCAGAGGCAGGGTCCCCTAAGTTCCAACGGGTGATCTGCGTGAGATTCATAGAGGTGGGCCCCGAGGTCTTAGAAGCAAAGAGACCTGACACAATGATAGGGTTAATAGCCGCGAAAAGGAGTGAGATAGAGGCCGCAGTTAGCGCCCACTGTTTCTTTCGGAGTGTGTCAAACACGGCATAGGGGGCGATATTGCGGGGTTGGTTCTCGAAGATGCTTGTCTCTGGAGGAGCAAGGCCCTCGCGGAGGCGGGAATAGGGCTGTATAATGCGTGTGCTAAATTCGATAGATGTGAAAAGACATCGAACGATAAACATAATCTTGCCGGGATATATGCCTAGATATAGTGAATATAAGGTGATTTCCCATCAACCAGGGTAATCCCACGTCGACTAGTAGAGATACGATAGACGACTTCGAGGCCAATAATCACAGTGATAGAAAGAACGACCACAGCAATTCGAATGAACCAAGTGGATGCGAACGGTTGCTACCAAACTGGTGAACAGGGTTCACTAGGCTCGACAGGTTAGGGCGTACATTGATCCCGAGGAAGAAGCATAAAGGCTCCCTTTATATCACTTAGGGCACTATACTGTGTCTGGCCCGGCGTAGACTCCGCCATCTTTGCTTCTGGTTCGAACTGTGTTCCGCCAAAAGCGGCCATAAACTCCGGGCTTTGGGAAAGTATAGAAGCGACCCCTCCAATAGACCCTGTGTCTTGTGGGCACACAGTGACGGGAACAAAAAGCAAATAATATCGACGACAAGAGCAATCAACACGATCAATAGGACTACCATCAGCCAGAACGACATTTGACGCACAAATAGCCGGTCCTCAAATGATTGCTCTATTCCCTCTACATAATGCAAGTCGTCCTTCAGGAGCTTGTTTTTCGCCATCTGCTGCATCAGACATAAGAAAGAATCAGGGATAGAATCAATAGACAATACCATATCTGCCCAAAGCAGTTCCCGCCAAGTATCATTCGCTGCAAAGGTGTACTCAGACCCCACTGGTTGGTTAGATGATTGATCTATTCCCTTCGATGCCATTGAATATCCACCGAAACTGCGTCTTCCCCAGCCTCACGCCAGAGTCTCACAGGGCCCTGGTATGCAGTAAAGCGGGGCTTGCACGCAACAACATGGATTGGGTGCTAATACCAGTCCATGAAGTTTTGTCTGTTTTGGAGAAAACAGCAATTTATTATAGAATCACCGCGTCTTTCTATGACTCCTTTTTAATATCTTTGGTAAAATACTTCTAGGGCGCAGGGTATCCCTGCCCTTTTCCCGAGGCTGTCAACCCTCGACGCCGAGCACTACTGGCAGGAGTTCGCTCCACGCCCTACGCTTTGGACCCACAATTCCCGAACATGCGAGAGGTTTTGGTTTGCATAGCCTTCTTTGTATTTGTGAGGTCGAAACAATACCGATGGCAAGATTGGGGATCCAGATCTAACGTTCAATACTCAACTTGTTCTTTTCCGGCTGTGCACGAAAAGGAACAATTGAACCTTGGCTCACGGCAGATCTAGGACCCGCATCCACGCCCTAGGGTGTAAACCTTACTTTCAGCGCCACAGATCTGATGTTCGCCACAATATGAGATCATATCAAATTGATTAATTGTCCGGTTGGTTTGGTCCAAAAAATCTATTCAGGCTCAGCTTCGGTCCCTGGCACTGGCTGACAATGCAATCGCCGGAAAGCGGAGAGCCATTGGCCGTTATCTGCGACAGTTTGGTTCCAGCTATCCTCGCAGTCATACAGTAGTCGTCTAGACTCCTGTTGGAACATATCATCAGTAGGAACGATGCCCTTTTTCATCTGATCCTGGGCGTAGCGACTCAAGTGCATTGTCAAAACTTGGGTAAAGGAGCTGATCTCCGATTGCGATGAAAAGTTCTCTGGGAAAGCCTGGAGTGGCTGAGTCTCTGTTGGTCCATGTTTCATTCCCGCATTCGATGAGATCTGGAAAAAGTGGTCTCGGGTATTCGAGTCCGTTGCGGAAAATGGCACCATGCTCACTGATTCGGTCCCTATCAGATAGGGCGGTAAAGCATGTGTTACTTGGGCGGCGATAGAAGGTGGAAAGTCATGTTCACCGTGCCAGTCACTCATTGTTGACCCTTGTTTGTAATGAGTGGCGATGTGATCTGTTCGTTCATCCCAGCTGTTCAATTTCTGGCCGCATATTCCACAACGGGACGTGAAGGGGGGTATTTCCATTTTCCATTCATCAATCAAAGGCATAATTTCGAGATCGTGCACCAGTCGCAGATGTTGAACAAGATGATCCTTTCGACGGAACACGCGGGGCTCTGTCGAATCTCTGTGGCAACTCTGATGGTTGTGCGATTCAAGATGTTCGGCGTTTGGTTCAAGGGCGTGACAATAGGCACAGTGTGGCCTTCCAGTGGCCGTAGAAAAAGCCGACCCTCCAAATGGAGCGCATATCCATGCTTCGAGATTCAAATGTAATGATTTTTCATGTCGCGTCCAGTCGTACTTGCTTTTGAAGCGGTCGCAACAGAATGTGCAGCAAAATATGCGCCGCTCTTCTTTTCCATTTTTGTTTTGTCGCGGCTTTGTAACGCGTCCTCGAGATTTGCGAGAAAGCAATGTAGAAGAGTTTCTAGATGATCCCGAACCAGATCTCTCCGATTGTACCGAGTTTCGCGAAGATTTACTAGCACCGCTTTCGCCACTGGTAGACGAGGCAGCATTCTGGTAACCTCGGAATGCCTCGCCGGAGTGCCCAGAAACGTCACTACCTGATTTCTGGTAATCCGCGGGGCTGGACCCTTCACTAGACCTTACAGCATGTATGATGGCTGACATGGACGCTGGCTCATCTTCTGGTGGGGAATCCTGCCATCGCTGCATTGGGTCAGGAGTATCGTGAGTTCTGCGTCTTGGAGAAATAACAAGTGGAGGAGTTTGCTGTCCCAATCGTCTGGTTGAGTAGCGACTTCGCTGTCTAGGCAAACTTGAAAGATTATGTCTTATCCTCGATCTATTTCTGGATGACGAATTATTCCCTCCAGGGCTGGAAACCGCTGACTGGCCCGCGCTGGATAAAGCCGGTTGGCTGTCCAGCGGTTCTCGCAAGGGCCAAAAGCCACCGGAATCGAGGGGGCTATCAAACACTCCAAGCTGAGCACCAAACCTCGGCCCTCCATTGATTGAAACAATTGATGCCGCTGCGCCCATAGGGTCAGTGTTTGAAGATGAGTCATGTATGATTGAGCTATTCTGCTCAGGGGCAAACACCATGTCAGGAGCTGCCATGGATGAATCGAATGCATTAGTCTGAAACTCCGAAGGGAAATTATCGAGCCACTTCCACTCAGCATCCATGTTGACTGCCAATTTGAGTCAGGAAAGTACAATCCATACATGGATCAAGGCGATACCTACACTGGGTCCCCGTGTCCTCCAATGCATAGAGCGCGTCGGGCGACGTTGATTCGAGATCCCCCATTTGGCTGGTATTTTATTGAGTACCAGCCCTGATGTCACTTAGTATAATTTCTAGCTGTAAATCGAATGTGAACCCAGATCCAGATTAGTGCGCAGGCGAAATGGCGGCAAAGCTGATTATGTAACCACCTCGTATCGCTTCAAAATGAGGCGACTTTTCTCGTTGCGACGACTCCTCGATGATAGTATATCATAGATTCCTTAGAATGGTCTTTCCAGTGAGACTCTAGCCGTATGAATCCTTCTTTGTGTACGTGAAAATTGACAATATACAGAAACATTGCTTGCATCCATGTACTTGTCTGGGCAAACTTGATGAATATGTCTTAAAGCTCCTATCCTTCCATTCTCTACTAAAAAGAGTCAATCTAGATGTTTTAAACAGTGTGATTGAAAATGTGCGAATTTTGCCAGTATCTTTCGAGTTCATGGCATGGTTCAATATATAGGCGAGTTAGGTATTTAGCTACTATGTATATTTAGACAGTGCAAGCCTACCTTAGCAGTAATTATTCGAAGTATACTTACGTATGTAGCTGTATGTACCAGATTTTAGGCTGCGGATGCAAATTTCTTAATCGGTGCAAAGCAATTTTCGATATCACAACAATGTAGGTTTTCAAATTCCTTAAGATTGATATATAGTTCATAAGCTCTATCACAAGCTATCGACAAATTATTCTCAGACTTAGGAAACATTTTAGGTCGCTTTCTTTTCGGAGACCTGATCCCCGACCGGAAATGCCTTCCAATTCCGGCGGCTGAAGTCGCAGTAGAGAGATTGTTTAGCCGTGATAGGGAGATGTTAGGGGTACGTCGACGTTCTCTTAAAGGTGAGACAATACGGGAAATGAGATATACAGTAAGACCTGTTTAGTACGATACAGTTGGTTTGGATATTTTCTATCGTACTAACTTGGTATCGCACCATAGTAGAATATGTATATTTCGTGTTTACATACAAAGTTCTATAGGAAATAACCCCTTATATCCTTCTGCTTTTGTGCATTCAATCTCCTATCCTGTATTGACCTCTGATGTTTATACAGGCTAGTTATTAAATGCGTTTCGCCCCGATCCTGCTGCTCTTCATATAAAAGAAGCGTCTCTAATGCATGAATAGCATCATTTATTGGAACCAGGGGGGTTTCAGGTATGGTTTCTGCATCTGCATCATCATCATTATCATCCTCTCTGGTAAACTGGGCTAGCACTATATCATCTATAGTCTCAATGCCATCTTGCACTACCTCATCCATAGGATTAAGGAAGTTCTCAATGCTCATTGGGTCTAGTAATAAAGGCCTTAGCATTTTCAAACCAGCATTGAGTTCATTCATTAGCTGCTGCTGTACTTGATAGTCTTCGCCATCTATCAATGCCTTATTGAAGCAATTGGCAATAGTTTGAGCGGAAATATCAAATTCCCAGGCCTGAATCCCCCATTTTAGTGCTTGAAGCACATTCATGGTTTGAACAGGATCACGACCTGCGTCACATTCAGCTGCTATAAACCTTACCCACTGGCGTTTCCAGTAGGCCTTCCAGGTTCTGATGATACCCTGATCTAATGGTTGAAACCGGTTCGTTGAATTAGCCGGAAGCCAAATGATCAAGGTGTTTTGAAGCGGTGAAGGACTATTATTAATAGCCTTTACTGCGATTTCATGCGCAGAGAAATTGTCCATAAGAAGCACTACCTTCCTATCAACCATCTGGCTATCAAACCATCGAAGCCACTCTTCAAAGATCTTGCCAACCATCCATGCTCTTAAATTCGATCTCCATTGAAGATTGAAATTCTTAATATTGATGTGAGCGGCGGCAAAGGCGCGGGGATTTTGAGTTGTTCCAATAAACCAGGGAATCAATTTCTCAGAACCGTCGGAGTTACAGCAAAATAATGCTGTGATCTTTGATTTTGTTGCCCTTTTCCCGATAAATTTTTAGTAGCAAGGCTTCGATCAGGGGTTCGTCTCCAATAAAGTCCAGTCTCATCACAATTGAAGATATCTCTTGGATGATATACTTCGAGTGCATGTCGGATAGGAATCATGGCTTCACTTGCGGACAGCGGTGTGCTTCCGTCTTCACTAGCGTGTAGCCGATTCCGAATTGATTCCCGGCTTTGGAAGGCATCCAGCCAACCATTACTGAATGTTGGCATCGATTGACCTTCGTATGTTGGTATTTGGGTCCAGAAGAACCGTACTTTTTCCCGAATAACGTCTTGCGTTATTGTGATCTTCTCTTGCGCGAGAACGATCCAATGTATAGGTGCGGCTTCGAGGTCTGGCCCACTTCGCAGTGCAGCACCGCTTCGCGTTTATCGTATGCTCGGTCGGATCGGTATCGAGATATCGATATTTAGGGGAGAAGATAGTGGATAGGGTGGACTGGGTAGGGCGATGGTCATAGGTCTCATTGAACCAGTGAGCAAGCTGAGTTTGGGTAGCCGAAGGGTGCTTGCGGTGCTGCTCTCTGACAGCGATCTTTTGCTGGTTCTTGACGGGGCGTTTAAATTGGTTTTAATTGGTTGAATATTAGGTAATTAGGTGAATAATGACCTGGATAGTACGATAATTGTAAGGGGGCCCTGGGAAAGTTGCGATATTTGTATGGGAAACCAAATTTTCGGTGAAAAATTATCGTACTAACCCGGGTATCGCACTGACCCAGAATCGTACTAAACAGGTTTTACTGTATATAGTTTAGAGAAACACCCAGTGAAAAGTCCTAGAGCGTTTTGCTGGTATTCCCTAACCGGCCGCTACTTTGATTCGAAGGATCTAGTAGTATAAGCCTCTGCGGATCATTGCTCGCAAGGCACGGAACATCGAGGGAAGTCTCGTCACTTGGTCTATGACTGCTCACTAATTACAATTTTGCCACGTGACCAAACTTGCGAATTTTCGTTATTCGTGCCGACCTCTAGGATAAAAGATGTAGTTGGAGTGGCAAAAATGTGGAAAGTCGCCTTGTGGATATATACAATCTCGCTCGGCGTTCTGGATCAACCTTTCCTGTCACCAAACTATACACTTACCGATAAGGAATCGCTGAATGTAATCACGAAACTTTTGTAAACTTTATCGAACCCTAAGTTACGGTGCTTGCACTTCTAGAATATAGTTTGTTTGAAAAATGTTTCCTACTTCTGCTTGGCTACAGTACATCCCGAAACTGGTGCGACCACCTACACTCTTCGATTGATTCTCCAGCCCCAACGCCAAGAGACGCCAGCCTATATTAGGAGTTTTTACGGAGTACCCCTGTTAGTTGGACGTGTATTGCTTCTTATGTAGATTACATAGTACTTGGATTTGCTTGTAAATGCAATTCATCCGACACCTCCATACCCCCCCACCTTTGAAACTGCCTCCCGAGGGAGGGGTCTCTTAACAATCAACCACTTAGTTTTAGGGTGGTCAACCCTATAGAGTCGAGAGAACGGGTGGGTAAATGCATCTCTGATCAAAAGTTGCACGAAAGAAAACCCTCAAAATATTTGCCTTATGTCTTTATCTAAAATCGTTCTATCGCCCTTATATCACCACCCTCGTTCTATTAAAAGGCCATTTTAGGTAGTAACATTGGAGGAAAGAGGTAGGCAAGATAAAGGCTAAAGTGTAAATTCAACCGAAAAACATTCGTGTCCAAGTACTGGTTCGTTACAATTGTGAAGCCTATTTTATTGTTTTTTCTCAGCGACTGCTAGCAAATGGTCCGCATTCCCTATTAGTGCCTCATCATCTGTAAACTGCATCACAACATCCACCCAAAGCTCGTAGTCTTTTTGTGGCAAGGCCACTAGCTTTGAGGATAGCCCTCCACCTAGAAACCCTTCGCAAGGCACAATCCTGTTTAAAGAAATTCCCACTGTATGCTGAGCTGCGCAGAGCCCACTAACCATTTTAAAAAGCTCCTTAATCTCGCTGACATGCGTATGGTGCATTGCACGAGATGGATTTCTTGTATATTTGCCCGACAAGAGATACTCTCTGTAAAAGCTGTAGTACTCCATCGCAAGACGCGCCGGGTCCCGTTGAGCAATATGTCTTAGATGCGCGTATTGAGTGACAAATGCGACGAGAAGAAATCCTCCGGGATGGAGTAGGGTGGTGCAAGTGTAAAGGACTTTGGAACGTTCAGACTCTTTAAGAAGGTGATACATTGGACCCTGGCAGAGGATCAGATCATATGATGACGTGGTGCTTTAGGATCGTCCTTATCTGGATGTAGCTGTATGGCTCGCGCATCAGCCCGGACAATGGCATCTATAGTTACGCCGGACTCGGTAGCGAAGGACTTTGCCATGTCGAGCTCTGACTGCGATATATCGACGAGAGTAACAGATTGGCCATTTCGCGCAAGCTCGACAGCTTGACATATCGACTCTCATTAATAGGGATTATCGCTAAACCAAACATATCTCCGGCACTTACCATATCGGCCGGTGCCTCCTCCCAGATCTAAGATCCTTAATGGTTTCTGTAGACGTTGTCCCAGTCGTTCTAGACATTGATTAATTACCCTCATTGAAATCGAAAATTCAAGACGACAGGCATTAAGTCGATCGTGCTCCAGAGCGGCATTGTGGTTATACCAATCCATAACGCGTTGTGGGTTAGTCATTTTAGTGAGGTATATTGGTTGTTGTTGTATTAGAAGTTTAGAGGCATTATGAGTTATTTAAACACGGCTAGAATCAATAATACACATGGTAGCGTTGCATTTAGAATCAGTTAGCTATTGTATTTTGGCTCGTATTCGCCTAGATGCTCGTGTCTCCCGATTAAATGCCTCATATTATTAGCAGGATGTTGACAATACAGCCCCACTGTCTGTTGCCCGATGCATCCCTTTACCTCGTGGGATCCTCTCTTGTCTATGCTGGAGAGAATGAATAGCATACATCTAGAAAGTGTCCCAAGAAAGATGTTCAATACATGTTATGAGGAAGTAATGCCAGTGCAGTTTAGGTTAGATGCCAGAAAACCTCTCTAGATAAATGTGGAAATAGGAACTAGGACAACGATAATAAATTATTGCATGCGTGTCAACCTTAAAGAAGGTATTGTACACAGATGAAGCTAGCGGGTGCACTTTATTGGGGGGTCGGCTTAGGTCGCTCATCCCACTGTATCAGAGATCTCTTTTAATATAATAATGATTCTTCAATGGCGTCCGCATCGCTTACCTGTAACGGGAATATTGCATTTCTAGCTCTATTCCTAATACAGACTAGCGGGCCTTAGCATTGCGGCTTGAGAAACAATGAAAGAGTGTAGGTGATGGCACCAGTTTCGAGACGCACTGTAAGGCCTCAATGGCACTTGAGATATATAATTCCAAGGTTTGACTGATAGAAACGTCTATTTCGGTAACACAAAACCCGGGGAAACGGAAGAAATATTAATACGCACATGCATCATATGAATAATATGAACGCGAATATGAATAATGCGCTTATTCGGGCGAATACTAACTTCATTTGTTCATAGTGACATTCATTTTTGTGTTTCAGAGCCCTAGGCCTCGGAGGAGCCGCGAGCTTCGTCTGATTGGCTTCCGCGAGCAGCGACAGCTACGCTTGGTGGCAGTCCGATCAAGAGCGGTCTGCCTAGTGTTTAGCCCGCTAGTTGACCCGAGCATATCTCATCTCTCGATACGTATTATGGTTTCATCTTAAATTGACTGTCTGACTTGTTCCATTTCATCAACAACCTTTTACTCCAGCGTCCACCATTTTTCCCCATGGTTTCTCCATGAGATAGGTCATGCCCGACTACCCGACTTTCGTCTCTACGATGTTATATCGTCTTTCTACAGGACCCGGTGCCCAGTCATATGTCATAGATTCTTGTATGTAGGATCAGGGCATTATCCTTGTCTTCTTCGAATATTCGAGAATTCAAGAAATGTATCAATACGAAGTGAGAAATTAATCCCGAACCTCGACTAGCAGACGTGATATTAGGGTATACAGTAGGAGTGAAACATGGAAGATTAAATAATACCGAGGAGTGAGAGCAATAGATTATTTTGGCGATAAATTAGAGACTAGGTCTTGAACATAGCGATGGGACTTGCCAAATAGTGTCTGTAGGACTGTATGCATGTGAGAGACGACCCGATCGGGCGACAGAATTGAAGCTCGCACCATGGTATTCAAGAATCTCCACAACAGCAACAACAACGTAAACTGCATTTAACGCATCAGTCGCATCCATCGCATCAATTACAGTCACAGCGTTGAAAGCATTGAATCGTCTTCAGAGGACCAATTTGAGAAGCAAAATCGAAGGTAGCGGTCCAAGTTGTAGCAATGCTTGAAAAGGCAATGCGCGGCGGGTGGGTTCATCATCTTGAGACTGTAGTTTGTAGCCCATAGCTTCGATCGAAGCATGTAATTCTCGGCACTACAAATCGAGTGTAATCACGTTGAAACTTCGACCTGCTTCTTAAAAAAAATTCCTATAACTACAATCATATTTATGTATTCTTATTGGAATCATGTTAACCAAAAACAGAAGATCATAAGCGTGCTGACAGCTAATAATTTCAGCTATAAGGTGTCTGCAGTGGTAGTGATACGTGGCTTTGAGAAAGAGAGAAGTGAAAAACGAGACAAGTGTGCCTTGGGATTGTCCAACAGTAAAGCAAACCTCTGATATCAAGTAGAATTTTTTATGATATTGTAATGAAGCCTACAGCGCGTATGAACAAAGAAACTGTACTCAGAAAAAGCTTAAGAAAAGTCACATAAGTCTTGGAGGTGTACGTAAAAGTTAGCCTCTAGTAACCTGTTTAAGACATAATTCCTAATTTCGTTTGAAACAATTCGAAAGGTGATATACCTGTGAGAACTATAGTATGCAGTGAGAAAAGGAGGTTAAACTCAAAGTCTGGTTGGTATATTGCTTTTTCTGTCATCCTGTGGGTCTTAACGCGCCTTCCAGGACCCCTGACTATATGCGCAGCAGTATGTACGTTTCTTTGGCTACTTGTCGTGATCAAACAGACAAATATCATGGTATTATACATGCCTACAATGCTAGAGAAACAACCCGAAAAAATAGGTGCGTAGTGCTATTGAGTACATTTACTAGTGTAATTGAATGACATTGAGACTAGGCTCAAATAGAGAGACGTGTTGCCAATAAGGAGAGAAAGCCCTTGAGAAAAGAATGTGACAAAAAAGACCCTAACGAGTATACAATGCATACACAATATGAGTATTAAGTAGACAACAAGAATTACCGACACAAATGATTATACGGTCTGAAGAAAATTCCAATTGGACCAATGTAAAACCGAAAGATACCATTCTGTAAGTCTATGAGGTCTAGCGATATCATAGAGCATCAATTACTCGTCAAACATCAACTCCGCTACTTTGTGCCAATAACACTAAGGGAGACCAGTTGTAGATAGACCCTGTGTTCTGCAAAGACAACTGATATAGAGCCAACTCTTGTTCGGTGATCGAAAGTAGCATTTCATGCGAGAGTATTCTCTTGATACCCTGTATGATTTCACGGAGAGCCATCAAATAAGTGTTTGTGCAGAGTTGCACTAGCTCAGGCTTGAAATATCCAGTTTCCGACTCGATGATCTCAAAGTTCTGCTTTCGCAAACTGTTTGGCAGGTTCGAGACCCAGCTATAGCACCCAAAATATCAGTAGCTAAAGCTTTATCACCGTCTAGTAGAAAAACACTTACCTGTAGTCAAGCCCGACTTTTTTGAAAATCTCGTTTATGTTTCGCTCAAACTTTTCCGCTTCTGCACCTTTGATACGTTGGTGTACCAAATCGGCATCTTCCCATTGTATATACCCTCCGGGCTCTAACCTCTCCTACGTTAGCTTTATATTAATTTGCATTAGTCTGCACGAGTGGTCATACTCAAGAGGTGCTTCACGTGGCTAGTCAATGTTGATATATCACTTTCCCGCAGATTGCTCGCCCACATCCGCAGATGCACCACATCATATTGACCAGAAAGAGACGAAGGCGGATCAACCAAAGAGTCCAGAACCCCTAGCGTAACATTTTGGGGCCATAGTCCCTTTTCCGGGAATTGACTTTCGGATATGTCAAAACCGTGTAGCTGAACTGTCGGTGGAAGCTGTCTTGCAAGGTCAAATATCCAAACCCTATTAAAAATGCAGAGTCAATATAAGGCCGGAAATGTAGACAAATGGAAGGGAGGCTAGAAACTTACGCCGTCCCTGTTCCAAGCTCAGCAATCTTCATATACTCAGTTACAGGGATATGGGGATGTAGCTCATAGCCTCTATGGAGTTTCCAGAGAAGGTGCTGTGCATCTAGCCTGTTATTCATTAGGTCTCTTATATGCCAAAGAAAAACATAGGTCAAGCTACCTAACCGAGTCCATAATACCTCGGCCTAAAACATAATCGTCGTTCTGAGTCATGATTTTATTCCTTAATGAAAAGAAAAATGATGTCGATAATGCTTCGATTGAGTTTCAAAGAATGTAGAATCTAACGGGAGTCTGGCTTAAGGTAGTGGTTGCTGTCTAATTTTCAGATACCATAAGTGTCTCATGAGTTTATATAGCCAGACATTGCTCTAGGCCTTACTAGGGATTTGCTGCTTGATTGGTACGTAATATAACACATGAATAACTGCAAGACTTCAATTTTGGAAATCCATGACAGCATGGTGACACTATTCTTGGTTTTTTACAAGATGATTATCAACCGGTATCACACGACATCCTGTGATATACTAGATGATCAACCGATAATGCTAAATCGGGGTAGTCATTAACTTGGCTGGAATGCAGATCGATATTGAACTGGTCGTGAAAACTATCTTATCTACCTCTTTGGTATTATGAACTGTGGGAGTGCCCGATATAACACAAACTGGGTTAGTACCCGAGATAACACAAACTGGGTAGTGCTCGAGATAAATTTCATTGCAGATATACAGGTTTTTGGCCACCATAGCCATTTGTGCACTACCAATAGCCTTCCTCAAATGGCTTGGAACATATCTCCGAGATCGACTCGCATTACGCTACATCATGCTGCCTTGTAAAAAGTCAAACCACGCCACCAATATGTCGGAAACATTCATTAGACTTTGGTTTATACAAACAGAAGCACGAGCAGTTCGCGAAGACGCGTCCTTGCTTGGAATTAAAACTGGAAACCATGAAAATTGAAATTCGATCAACCAAAAATGAAAGAGCTGAATGTTAATACAATCAAAGTATATGTATGCTATATGCTCCAGAGAGGTAAATGTTGCATAATTCTAACCTGCGTTAACCCTGAAGTATGGCTGAACACGGTAAGAAATATGTTTATCAGAAATCCTGCCGCGAATCCACTTCTCCCACGGATCTCGCCAATAAATCCAGTAGATTGTTTCTCGGCTTATAGTGAATCCATTCTCTCTAGTCTAATGAAACATTAGAAGGAGGAGAGATTTGACGATCAACCTGCGGGCGCCCCTAATCGGAAATACATCGAGACTGCTATCTAGTACGCAACCTTTCGCAGCGGTGTACTCATTAATCTGAGAGGGGGTTCAATAAGGAATTGATCAACGATAGACTGGGAGCTTGGTTGTTGTAAAGGTATGATAACACACATGATTAGAACATCAATTTGTTAGAGAGGGGGGGAAAGGTATAAATATGTTGTTCTACCCAGGTAATGTCAATTTAATATTCGACAACTCAAACTCCTCTATATCTGAAAATCAATCAACAAACAATTTCTATTCAATTAACAGACATACACAATGTCTTGTTATAAAATGTCTGTTACCTTCATCAGTCAAGCCCACGCTTTAGAGACCGTCGTCTCGGTTCTAGCGAGGCACAAAACCGATGATTACTACGCATATGAACGAGGGGAAAATTGGTTTATAGGCATTGGAAATCAAGCATCGTTGATTTTTGACTCCAAGGGAGAGACTGTCACCATCGATAAAGAATCCAGTCAAACATCACGTCCATTGGATGGATCTTCTATCACTGATGTTGCAAGGGAATTTGTCTCCGATAACAGTAAGAGCGGTTGCAGAATATTCGGCCAAGCTGGGTTTAATTATGCTGCACATGTTCGTGGACAACAATTTACACCTGGAAATTGGCCTCTTCTAGCCCTGCTAGTTCCCCGAATCGAGTTGCTACTTATTGGACATACCATTACTCTAAAGGGAATTGAGGAAGAAGAGGTGAAGAGCTTATATGAGTTCGTCCGGTATCACAGTGCTAGTCTTTGTCTTACCTGTCATCAGAGTGTCCAACATATTGACACGCAAGACATCGAAGGCAACTACACTGCTAGGGTCGAAAAGGCTCTCCTTGATATAGCTCAAGGCCAGTACGTGAAAGTCATTCCGTCACGCATCTTAGAAATCGAGTATAAGATAGACATGCCGGCTACTCTTCTTGCCGGCCGGCGTTCTAACAATCCTGCACGAACATTCTCCCTAAGTCATGCAGGCTACCAGGCTACAGGATTTAGCCCGGAGCTAGTGTTTTCGGTGGATAATGGAAGGGTGATAACTGAGCCGTTGGCTGGAACGCGATCAGCCAAAGGAACAGAAGAAGAAGTGAAGAAACTGCGACATGAGCTTTTGAATGATCCGAAGGAAATTGTAGAACATGTCATATCAGTGAGGGAAGCAATCGAAGAGCTTCGGCAGCTGTGTCCACCAGATACGATCAAGGTGGAAGATCTGATGTCAAGCAGAGCACGCGGCTCTGTTCAACATTTAGGGTCTAGTGTTGCTGGGACATTATTGCCCGAAAAAGATATGTGGGATGCGTTTAATGTCCTTTTTCCGTCAATTACGGCATCCGGTATACCAAAGAATGCAGCCATGGAAGCCATACAACTCCTAGAGGACAAGCCGCGAGAGCTCTACTCTGGAGCCGTGTTTATGATTGAAAATTCAAAATCTTTTGAGGCAGCACTGGTCTTGCGCACTGTGTTTCAGGATGAGAATCGTGGTTGGATCCAAGCCGGGGCGGGCGTCATCTCTCAATCTAACCCGCAACGGGAGCTGGAGGAAACTCGCGAGAAGCTGGCAAGCATCGCACCATTCGTGATTCCGGACATGCCAACATGAAGGGAAATTGGGATTGGAAGTTCAACCCTGCGTTGGAGACTATCACTAGGGAAGGAAGATTTGCCAAATTTACGAAGGATATTGTTAGGGGCTGTTTATTGTCGTTTTACACACTATCTACGACCCTTCGATAGACTTTGACAGACTTAGATAGTTAATTTTCGGTAACACTATGTTAGGACTGTTACGAATAAAGTTGCGAATATAATTCGTAGCAAATGTGGAATGTGAATGATTTATTCGCAATTTACTTTATACAGTCAATAACAAATGATACATCTCTCTCACTCTTATGTTAGCTTACACTTGACTTATAGAAAAGCTGTATAACAAGAGAAACCTGAAACTATGCCTGTTCTGCATTATTTAGTTGGACACATAACGACCTCTTTGAGCCCATTCTGGGCTCCAAAGCCATAGACACAACAAGCTCTGGGGACTCGTTGATCTCCGAACCGCAGCCATTCGAAGGGACGGCTTTCAAGACCTAAGAGCCTGAGGCCCGTGAGCTTCTCTAACTCTATGCGCCTGATTCCGATACAAGCAGCGATTGGGAGCTCGAGAAACCCGAATACTGGAATATGGGGAATCCACAAGGTTTAGAATTGGCCAGAATCAGGCAGTCTAATGCGAGAACCCTACAGCGAGTGCCTACCATCATGAAGAACAAGACCGAAATATTGCTTTTAAGGTAGAACGGGAGCAGCAAATCTGTCGGCCCCCACCGTATTAACCATTGAGATATAGTGTTCGCTCAGACGTTCGCTATCTCGAAATTCCCATATTCGGTTAACTGGGTTCTATTTATAGGTCATATAACAATAAAATCAGGGTCGCTGGTAGACAATTCGTGTGGTGAGATGCGTGAAATTGGCCCTGAAGTGCGTTTTAATTATGAATACATAATGACCTACTGGATGCTCAAAAAGTCCCTGACTGCTTTTCGCTCGGCCAGAGATGTTGGAGATGTTTCAACTGTGGATTTTGATCAGGAGCCTTTTCTTTGATCCACCTACATGAGGTCCAGTCCCTGCGACCGCAGCGGTGGCTCTCGTTCTGGTCATGAATGACCCGTTGGAATGCCGCAATCATGTTATCTGTTTGGCATGTTGAAATTGTGCCGCAAAAGTCAATAGTCAAGTTAGGATCCTAGAGAAGAGTCGCAAGATCAGACGCATTTAGACGATCCACCCTCCGCTTGGAGCAGACAAATTCTTCTGGCAGCCACTCGGCAATTTTACCGCCTGGTATTCCCGGAGCCTGTTCAAAGACTTCGTCCTCCTCTCCAACTAACATCAAGCCAACCGCGACTCCAGATAGCCAAGCTAGGACCATGCCCTCTCCCTGGAAGCCTGCTGAAATCCATTCTGCCGGTGGTTTTGCATCTTTGCTCGAGCGCGAAGTTCGGACTTTTCGTTGGGTGATTCTCTGGTCCAGAACGCCAACATAAGGCAGCAGGTCCGGCGTGAATCCCATACAGCCAGTCCAGGCCATTTTCACCCTGGCACCGTTATCAGCCCCCCAGTTGTGCGCCCCAAATATCGTGGGCAAGAGACCATCCAGATAGGCCTGGACAGCGTAGCTGCTTCGGTCATCTCGCCAAATGCCGAATTCATCCAATCCCTTTTCTGGTGATTGAACCACGCCACCGCCTGCCATAAGCTCACCCGTTCCTGGAAGTTGACTGATATAGTCGAAACCGCGCTTGTGGACGAAGCTCCATGACCTAGCACCGCCAAGCTTGGGAAATAGAGTTCCTGGCTCTTGCGCCGTCATGTGTCCTCGCACGGGGAATATTTTGCCCTTCAATCCAGGAATAAGGTTCGCTGCGAATGCGTCTGTGGCATGGATAATATGGGTTGCAGTTATCTCTCCACGAGGTGTATGAACAGTGAATGGCCTCATAGGATTATCTGGATTGACTTGGATATCAGTTGCAGGAGTGTTGGTCTCAATGGAGAAGGTATCGCTATATGTCGAGAGAAGCGATGCATAGAGAGCTGTAACGAAGCGATATGGCCAAAGTGCTCCAGCCTTGTAAGTTATGATGCCATAGCAATGCTGTGGGTCGATTTTAAGTTCCTATATTATTAGTAAGTTATCAAGTAGAGAAAGAATTTTTGAATCTCACTTCACACGCTTCGGTGCCGTCATGAACCACGATATCTTCAGCCATGCCAGGGGCATCCTGTCTCAGCTCCTGCACCATTTTTATCGCTTTATTCCACATCGTTTTGTCGGTAAAAACATCCACAGTCTGTACTTCTCGAGCCCCGCTAATTTTCAGGTCTTCATTTTGTTGCACGAAATCAAGTATAACGGCCAAATGTCGACGCTGAAAATTGAGTATTTTCTTCGCATGCTCCACCCCAAATCTCGCTTTGAGTGTCGCATATTCCACATACGGCGAGCATTTGATATGGCCACCATTTCTTCCAGTTGCGCCACTACAAAGATTTCGCGCTTCTAAAACGACAATTTTCAGAGAAGTCCCACGTTTGTGCGACTGGTTGAGGATTGAATATGCCACACTTGCGCTGGAAATACCGGAGCCAATGATGACAACATCGGCTGTAGTTGGCAAATCGGGAGACTGGGCGTCAACTAAGTTTGGAAATGGCGGATCTTCTTGCCAATACGATTTGGATGGATTTGGGACTGGAAGTGTGACAATGGAGAGACGAGCAAGGAGCGAATCAAAAGAGTGTTTAGTTTGACTGAGCTCGGAGATGACGGCGCTCAGATCAAGGTAGACCCGGTAGATGCTAGAGAAAATGGCCCCCATCGCGTTCCAAAGTCAAAATCTGTTCTGTTTGAAGCCAGCAGCAGCTTGAGCTGGGCTTATGTGAGCAGGACGTGAGATGAACACGTCGGGCTCGGGAAGTCAGACATAGCGTAGCCGGCCTTTCATAATCTACTATAAATAACTACGAGACATCAATCACGTGATAATCTATGGGGTTAAGTGATCCCGAAGGTTTGCTATGTCATCAGAGCCTGAGGCAGTATGTAGGCCTGAGGCTTCAATGCCTAAGGTAAGTTACCAATTGCTACACGTAAAATTGGGTTTTCACGAAGCGAATGTCTTCACATTATTGCTCAAGTAAGCCAATTGGAGTGTTTAGGTCACGCTTAATTAGTGGGATCAAGCTGTCAGGTAAAGCTCAGTAAGCAAGCCATCTAGCTTGCTAAATAATCAGGTCATTTAACTAACTAAGTGAGTGGGTGAGGATTACGTAGTACACTAAAGGGACGTGCTCAATTTGACTTAGTGAGCAAAAAGCGGCAATGGGTGGGCACTAAAGCGGAAAGCGAAAGCCATGTGGCGTGGCCTAAAGTCCGGTGCATACGTAGGGTAGATCTACCCTGCGTCACTCTGATGTAATGAGTTATCGTATGTTGCCAATGATATAGAAATATGTATATAAATATCCCGTCGCCAAGAAGATTGTCACTGTCAAGCTTTTGAGGTTAATTCACTTGGCATCTTTCCCTTAATTGCACATCTTCTCATACAATGGCTCACAGTAGTTCTTCTCACCATCTCCACCAGTAAGTAACAACACCATCCACCCAATCCCAAGCCACTAACATCCCCAGTGTCGGCAATTGGATGCCAGCAGACCACAAAGCCCACAAAGAATGGCTAGGCGGTATAATCCAAGAAGTCGACGACAACGCACCCCTGCACCCCGTCCTCCAGGAGTTCCAAACCCTAATTGAAACAAACACCCGCATCTACATGCTCCTCACATCAATGTTCAAAGAGGTCCCCCGTCGAAAACGTTACGGCCACGACCCAACCGGAAACCCCGAAATCAGAGACTACCCCCACTTCCTCCAGGTCCTCAATCACCTCCTCACCACCGCCCCCTCATGGACTGATAAATCCCACCGCGTCGGCTTGGTCGGTTTACCCATTAACGCGGTCCTCGATTGGCCAATGGGCACACCGAGCGGGTATGCGGCATTCCTTGATCCGGACATCAACCGCATGATTAAGAAGATTTTGAACGTCTGGGGTGACTTCCTGCGCTCGCCTGCGTCGGCTTATGTGCTTGGATCTTCGGAACATGGATGGTTCGGTGAGATGGGGAGGCGTGATCTCACGGCCGTTGCGCGCATCGGCCCCGTCGCTGCTACTAATATGCAGTTTGGGGACATGTTCGAGTGTGATCCCGACGCGGAGAACCATGGGTTCACTTCTTGGGATCATTTCTTTACTCGTGTTTTCAGGGAAGGCATCCGGCCTGTTGCTGACCCCGAGGATGGGAAGGTCATTGCCAATGCGTGTGAGTCGAGACCGTTCCGACTGGTTCATCATGTGAATGCTCGCGATAAGTTCTGGATAAAGAGTCAGCCTTATTCTGTTCTTGATATGCTAGGTCACGACTCTCTCGCGTCGCAGTTTGTTGGCGGGACTATCTATCAGGCGTTTTTGAGTGCATTGTCCTATCACCGCTGGCATGCGCCTGTGAGCGGTAAGATTGTCAAGGCCTATGTTGTTGATGGAACATATTATTCTGAGCCTTTGTTTGAGGGCGTCGGGGATCCTCATGGCGAAGCTAAGGAAATCGATATGGCGGGCCAAGTTACTTCGCAGGGATACATTACCTCCACTGCAACACGTGCATTGATCTTTATTGAAGCGGACGAGCCCGCTATCGGCTTGATGGCTTTCATCGGAGTTGGGATGGCAGAAGTTTCAACTTGTGAAATTACTGTGAAGGAGGGACAAAGAGTTAACAAGGGTGATCAAATTGGCATGTTCCACTTTGGTGGCTCGACTCATTGTCTTCTCTTCCGAAAGGGTGTTAATGTCTCTGGATTCCCAGAGCCTGGTATGGAAGAGAATGTGCCGGTTCGAAGCAGACTGGCAGTTGTGTCTTAAGATGAAATCTGCATCATGGGTCAAGCAACTCTTTGTATAGAATTAACATTGATAAATACAATATATTTCCTTCTCACTGTGGCTTTTCCGGTTGGAATGACACAGACACTTCAGACATCACCGAGACATCTACCACCGGGCAGCCAGATTGGTCCACTTTTCCACTTCATCGCCACCTTCTTCTTCTCCATACACACCGCGACGGCGGCGGTAATATCTTCCCCTGCTATTATCAGAAGCCCGTTGTGTCGTAGCCAATCTCTTAGCAACCTCATTTGCCTCGAAAAGACTAACAAGTCTTCTCTTCGCTGGACTTTGTCGTGCCTTTTCCTGGCATACACGCAACATAATTTCAACGCTCTCTTCGCGGTCGCTAGGGTCTTCGTAGCCTTCAATGAAGTATTGAGGCTGTCGTTCAAGCACATTTGCCCATGCAGGTGAGTCTTGGGATTCTGCATGACGGGAAGGTGGAGATGTTGTGTGGTTGACCCAGGCGTCCACAGCCATTTCGAGCGGAGTGGTTCCAGTCGAGTTCTCACGGTAGAGAAGATCAGGGCGGCGTTCAAGCAACTGACTCAGGACTTGAGGGTAGTTTTGTCTCACTGCAATGTGCGCTGGAGTGTTGCCCGCTCCATCGAAGAGCTCGAGGTGCTTCTGGTTAGTTGGAGCAGCCAAATCGAGAATAGCGTTTGTAATGGAAGTCACAATATAATTGTGAGATTGTGACACAACCACGGGCTGGATATTTCCGAATGAACTTGGGTTATTGATCGGCGAGCTTCCTTCTTGTGGATGGAACAGTTGGTATGAATCCAGCCAGTGTGTGAACGGCGTGTGGGCGTTGTCTCCAGCACGTTGCGCCAGTAGTGTGGGTATCAGCTGTTGATCCAATAGACCAACAAACTCGCTGAATGTTGCCGCATTCTTGCAAATTTCAACTTCATTTGTATTAAGAAGCATGTGAAGAAGGTTGTTCGCTTGGCTATCCCTAGTGGCCTGGTTGGCCCCCGCTGCTATCAATATGCGAGCGCAGTTGACCCGGCGAAGGGAGAAGGCCAAGGCCAGTGGAGTCTTTCCATTCTCTGACTGGAATTCCAAGCATTCAGGGTGATGGTCGACGAGGTATTGAACCAGGCGCTCTGACTCCTCGCTGGGCTTTGACATCACTGCGCAGTGGAGAACAAGATTGTCTATACACGTGTCAGTCCAGATAGTCCAAAGATAAAACTTGTGAGCGGCTTACTCCTTGTCTGTAGCCAGTTCAAAATAGAGGCCTCGAGTCCTAGTTTCGACTTGGCGATCCTCTTGATTTCCTTCCTTTCCACGTGAGAGTTGACGTACTCAAGGTAATACCGACCAGGGGCCGTACCAAGGAAGAACTCTGTGCTGGCAAGATTTCCTTGGAAGGCAGCAATCAAAAGAGGATTAAACATGTCAGAAGGGCTCACTGTCTCATTGCGACCAGCATTTGCCCAGTCAGAACGCTTTGCTCCCCGAATTGACAATCCTTGGTAGTACTTAGATTCCTTCGGAGCTTCGACTCCAGAATCAGCGCTCAATTTAGCCAGTGGGAGGCCAACTGCACTGTGTTGAATGAGCTTGACCAGACAATCCGTCCGCCCAAGGGAGATTGCAAACTCAAAGTCCATCTCTCTTGTCCAGTACAGACCCTCACCGGATGAATCCTCGCGTGCATAATTCTTCTCGGCTTCCAGAAGGAAATCCAAAAGAGCAATATCATGTTTGTAGACGGCATATTTAAGGAGATTGTCAATCTTGTTAGAAGATAAATCTTGGCTCGAGTAATGAAAGACTATCTCAGAAGGGGTGCAGTAGGTGGCTTGTTTGGAAGAATTTTGATCCAGGAACAGGGAAGCATTGAAGTTCGCTCGCAAAGCTGAGAGAGGGTGAACAGTGCTCTCGACTTGGGTAACAATCTCTCCAACATTTTCATGCGTGAAGGTATCATCAATTGTCTCACCAACGATATTGAGTGCATCATCGTCATCTGACTCGTCATCCGAGCCAAGCTCAAAACGAGTTTGACCACGAGATTCCTTTGGCTTGTATTGCTGGCGAAGGATTTGCAAAATTGACTTTGCAACATCGAGATGCCCACGCATAATGGAGATCGAAAGACATGAGAGCGAATAATGGCCAGTTACTGCGATCTCAAGGGGGGTTTCATCTGCAGCCGGTCCCCACATGCCAAGAGTTAAAGACTTAATGGTTTCAAGATCACCTTTCCAAGCGGCCTCAAAACTGCGATCATGATGTTAGCTTAGTTCGATCATGGAGGGTAAAAGGAGTATCATACAGTTGCAGATATCCATCGCGACGAATGTCATTCAGACCAGGGACGTTGAATTTGAACTGGATGTTGAACGTCTTTTTAGCAACCTCTTGGTGGTAAGCCCGATGAGGCAAGTGCTTGGTTTGATGCGTTTCTTCGGGATGAAGTTCTGGCCATGTCTTTGCGCCTCTTACCAGAAGTTGCGCTTCAAGGTTCTCATAATCACAAATCAAACTGACCACAGCCTCTCTTTTCGAGGAAATACCGGATGCATCGAGATAGTCTTTCTGCTCCTTTGCAATTCTCTCTTCAGCTTCTTGGCTAGCCTTGCGCGAGTCTTTCAAAGAAGTCTTCGCAACAAGTCTCTGGTAACTGTCAATGGGAAACCTAGCCAAGTAATAATCATCGTCTCCATCAAACTGCATAGGCTGTCCGCGAATTTGCTGCGAGCCAGGGCGTTCATCCAAGTAATTGCGAAGCCTTTCCAGATTCTCGCGCGTAGAATCTAGTAAGCTTTGACCATTATTGCCGTATCTAGCCTTGAATGTTGTGTTTGGATTGACACCGCGATCAAGAAGGTCGATTGCAACCAGAGGCAGATCATTAGAGACAGCCAACATGATTGGCTGCGTAAAACTGTCACCAAGGCGGTCTTCGAGATTCCAGGGATGCCTGTCATCTGGATTAGCAGCTTTGTAAGCCTTCACGACCTCGCCAAGCTCAATCTCTGGCTTTGCACCCGCGCTCAGCAATTTGTGCGCCATTGCGGGCATCTTTCTTTTCAGAGCTTGCATAAGGGGAGAGGTGAAGGAGGGTGACCATTGATGCTCACTGACGGCAAAGTGGTTGATTGCCCGCTTCACGGCTGGCATGTCGTGCTCAAAGTACATGTCAAGCATATCACTCCTCCTCTCGTGGACACTGTAGTACAGCGCGGTCTTTTGTTTCAAGTCAGCCTGGGCCACCGAAGCGCCAAGGCCCAAAAGTGTATGCGTCATCTCAATTGCCTTTTCCAATGGAAGGGAGAAGGCAAGAACTAAATTGAGAATTGCTGCTTCGGGCTTTCTGTTATAGTCGTTCAAGATCTTAACTGGGAGCATAACATCAGCCCCGAAGGAGGAAACTAGCTCCTTGACGACATCGGTATGGCCGTTGAGCATAGCAAGATGCAAGGGTGAAGCGCGACTATCCCATGCGACCACATTCACATCGTAAACATCGGGCTCCAGGTCATTCTCTTCGATCGTGTCGTATGTGATGAGCGGGGGCTCTTGTTCAACCTTGACGTACGAGGCAGAGGTGCGAGAAGCATCGTCATCACTGTCATCATCTCTCTCATTATCTTCTTGATCGGTAGAGGGATCTTTTTCAATTTCCGTTTCTTTGTCCCTTTTCAAAGCATCCTGTTTGTTGGCCTCTTCCTGTTCGTTCTCACAACTCTTTGTGAGCAGAATCCGAACGATATCGAGGTTTCCGCGCGAGGCAGCAAGATGAAGTGCCGTTTTCCCGTCTGCCATGCGTGGAATCATCCGAGCGCCACGATCAACAAGCGCTTGAACGATCTCGGGAGTTGAAGAAATGCAGGCAAGTTGAAGTGGTGTTCTACCGGTGTAGTCACGGCGATCCGGATTGGATCCTTCCTCTGCAAGGCAAGCTTCCACAGCGTTCAAATCGTCCGCGACGATTGCCTTGCACAATCGCTCGGTGCGACCCACGTAAGCCATTTCTATCAAATAGCATTAGTCCCAAAAAAGTCGATGTTATAAAGCGAATGATAGTTCTCTCACCAGTCCAGTCGGTTTCGGTTATTGGATTGAAACTTCCAATTTCCTGGCGGCCAGGGTCATCCTTGAGGAAGCTGATGTCACCAGAAACGTAGATCTTGCTCTCTTCTTCGGCAATCTTCCGTTCTTCCTCGGTGATAGGCGTAGGGCAGAAGCCACAACAATCATGAACGACGTGCTCAGCCTCACCAAAAAACGCAGGATGACGATGAAGATACACCTCGCGGTCTTTGCCCTGATTCCACTGGGCGTTCAGAAGCAAGTCCTTGGTATACAACATCTTTTCAATCTTTTTGGCGTTAAAATTCCTGCCATATGGAATAGTCTATTTGATTGTCAGCAAATAAAAAATTGGCAGACTGAAAGTAGTGGTGCGAACAAAGGTGTGATAATCGGACACTTGGTCTGCCTCCTGCCACTCAGGAACTTCATCTTCCCAGTCATCCTTGATGTTTCCATGCAACTCTCTGCCTTGCCGGCGTCGCATGTAGATATTGAGAGCAGGGCGTCCGCGCTCTTCACGTCTCTTCCGTAGATATTCATCTCTATCATCTGACTTGGGAAGCTTTTCCAGGACGAGAAGTCGTGCAAGACCCACGGTTCTATTAAAACTTCGCTCGAAGATAGTCTGCCACTGTTAGTAAAAGGATTTCGGGGTTCAAAATGCCGGGTAATTTGGATGTCCTCACCGGATCAATTCTCGATCGGTCGAGCCCAGCCCAGAATACTTCGAAACCACGATGGGAATACTTTGACAACCGATTCTCATACGACGGGGAGCGGCGGCTCAGATCGACTTGATTGATCTGTGTGACATATGCGGCAATTGCGCGTGGTGAAGCATAGACCTGGCGACCGTCAAATGCAGCGCACGAAACATCAACATCGAAGCCGGTGAGGATCTCAGCTACCGAGCGGTAGATGCGAAGCACAATCTGCACATGTCGATTAGGGTATTGCGAAGCAATCGTGATAGTATTCTTTGTTCGGACTGTTGTGGTCTCATAAAGAATGGCGTTCTTGATCTGATCTTCGATATACTTGATTTTCTCAATTGCTTGTTCCTCGTTCAAGCCGTACAGGAAAAGATCTACATCAGATGCCGGTGCAAACTTCTCATGGTAATATTGGCGAAGACCACGCTTCGAATTGCGGTATTCTGCCGGAACTGGTAGTAAAGATGTGACAACAGCACTACCAGCGACAACCACGTTCGACCAGTCGATATCACTCAGACTGCCTTCGGTGAAGAGGGTGAAGTTGTTTCGGAATTCATCAAGAGTGGGAACAACTGCCGGTGACCCATTTGGCTTGCGATCTTTGTCACTCAAGGGCAGGACATACTTCGCCTGTTGCTCGGGTGTTTCGGATTCAAGGTCACGGGCCCGAATGCGAAGATCGTTGCAGCCGGCCTGGTCATACATTGGTACAATGTTGACAAGGTTATCTGTGACTAGAGGGCTCTCGGGCTCTTGGGCAAATGTCTTGCGCAGGACTGCATCGAATTCATTGTAGGGCTGGACCAAATCTTTGATGGGGGTGTTTGGTTGAGACTGAACGTAGTTCACAAATTCATTGTGTTTCACTGGGATAGAGGGTAAAGACGAAGCCATTGTTTCAGCTCTAATTGAGTAATTGAGTATAATAGTCAATCTTAGAAGAGATCAAAAGATTAACGATCAAACTACACAGAAATGTATAAGGTTTAAGTAGTGACTGTTTGACTTCATCCAACTTCGGTTAGTCTCAGAGGAACAGGCATCCTTAGGCAACAGAACCCACTTAGAATTCACATTGACCAATCAAAATAGCCTAATACATTTGCCAAGCATCACAGCAGGCATCAGACCTCAGTTGCCTAACATCTCCAGTTTCTCTAATTGATTTAAGACTTCATAGTGACATTTATTGATTGAGAGATACCTAAAGGAAATCTGAAAAATATCAAAGGCTAACTTGCGGCAGTAGCGCATCTGCCAAATTGCATCAACGCATCCGACCTGGCGTCTGTACACCTTTTTACGGTATCGAGTTTTGTGTGTGTTTTGGCCAGTAGCCATCTTTTCACTTTTGGCCTTTGATAATAGTAAAACCAATACACCCGATCTCATCTCGCTTACACTAAGTCAAAACCGCGTCTTACTTCTTACCTTTTCTTCAATCGCCAATTAAATCTATGCGGAACTGCGTTCAAACATCGTCTCGAGCCCTCTCCCAATGTTGAATATTGGGCCTAACCATACCAGCTCCAGTGCAACCCCTAGCCTCCTCTACACAGGGGACATAAAATAGTGGGCACACTGTCACCAAAGCGTGGCTGCCAACTACCTTGTGCCGAGAGGAGGGCCGCGCACTGCTCAACTGAGTCCATATTAGTGACGAGACACGAGCGGCGATTTTCTCGGGAAAGTGACTATCCCAACATTTTTAAAATCGTCGGCCTCTAGGATCCTTTTGACTCAACAGATATCAAGCTAGTTGGCGAACTCAAGGTCCCGTGGGTTACTGCGCACAACCTTAGGCCCTACGGAAGAACTATGATGAGCTACGATAAATGATAGCACAAATACTGCGTGATATGCAGATTGTTAGGGTCGGAATATGGATTTATCTAAACAAACGAGAATACTATCTTTCTGAGACAGTATCAGATACAGGCCCCTTCCCCTATGGACCTTTGGTGGTTTGTCGCCATGAATGCATCGTTAGATTTCGGAGCAAAGCCCTAATGGAGCCTCTAACGCATCGGCCAATTCCCTCACGGCTCCCCAATTCTGTGTTCTGTTGCCCTCGATCATCAGACTTAACCGGTTCCACTTCGATATGACTCAGGTGTTATTTCCCGAGATCGAGCGGCTAGCTTAAGATTATCACAACGCCAGAACTCACTGCGGGCATTTTCGAGACGGACCCGGAGAGATTAGGGACTCTGCCACTACGCGACTTCTGCAGAGGGGGCATCACGACAGATAGACTTTTCAACGTGATCACCTTAAGAAAGAGATAGGCACATCCATTCTAGGATTATGTCAATTGCGCATTCTTATAAGCTGACTCACAATGCACCTAATTTTTTCCGGAACGGGGTTAATATCACGACCGACGACCTAGAGTCAGGGCCACTGTCTTCTATGAAATTTTTACAGATGAGATGGAACTTGTCGCGCATCGCCGACCTGCAAGGAAGTGCTGATTACGAAGATGAAGACGAAGAAGAATCTGGCGGAGACACTGATTTTGACTATTAGCTGTATGGGAGCTTCCTACCGACGTGATCGTTATGTTACGGCGTTGCTATCTATCATAGCTAGCTGAATCGATCACTGTTACATATTCCGTTATTTCCACAGGAAAAAAGAGTAAGAGCTTTGACAACAATTGCCAGCCCCGCGTGGGGTTTAACACGGCAACTGTTCCCGGCGATTGATTTCGGGGTCTGATCTTGACCTGTGATTGGTCAGTCCTCAACTACTCCGGCTGTGGATCGGCATACAAGAAATTTGATATTTTCGCTCGTCGGAAATTTTCCTATTGAATATATTCATATTTCGACATTCACAATGGACGTTCCACCAGATGGAGGGTATGGTTGGGTGGTTGTTGGTGCGATATTCTGGAATAATGCACACCACTGGGGTCTTGTCTCGGTATGTCTTTCGGAGTGACCCATATATTGTTCTGAATTAATTGTGTCCAGAGCTATGGTGTTTTCCTCGCATATTTCTTGTCTCACTCTCACTTTACTGAGGCGACAAGCCTGGATTATGCTTTTATTGGTGGACTGTCTGCATCGCAGGCTTTGCTGATGGCTCCATTTGCTTCGGTCATCAATCGACGATATGGGCTGAAAGTTGCTATGAGCTTGGGTGTTCTACTTGAAACTGCAGCACTTCTTGGGGCATCCTTTAGTACCAAGATTTGGCAATTGTATCTGAGCCAGGGTGTGTGTTTCGGCTGGGGATTGGGCCTTCAATATGTTTCCACTATTCCAATCATTCCGCAATGGTTCGCCAAGCGAAGAAGTCTTGCTGCAGGACTAGCTGCTGCCGGTAGTGGTACTGGGGGATTGATATATTCCCTGGGAGTAAATGCAATGCTTACGCGGTTTGGGTATGGCTGGACGTATCGCATTCTCGCTATTGTGCAGTGTGTTGTGAATGGTGTTTGTTTGATGATCATTCGAGACCGCAATAAAATGACAGGAACTAAGACTTTCAACCTCAAATTCGCAGATGTTGTTAAGCGGCCTGAGCTGTGGTTGTTCTGGGGGTGGAGCTTTTTGAGCGTGATGGGCTTTATGGTTATTTGGTACTCGCTAAGTGATTTTGCACGAAGCCTTGGCCTCACCTCCCATCAGGGGTCCATTGTAGCTGCAATTATGAACTTGGGCACAATCATCGGTCGTTCCGGCACGGGGTATGTCAGTGATATACTTGGGAGAATGAACACAGCATCCTTCGCCACGTTCGTCACTGGTGTGTTATGTCTCGTCCTTTGGACTTTGGCTCGATCCTATGCGGCCACTCTTTGTTTCGCTTTCTTTGGTGGACTGGTATTCGGAACCTTTTGGATGGTGAGCTTGAAGAAACCTTAGAGTGTGCGGTCCAGGGCTAACCTTAATCGTAGGCCGTGGCTCCTCTAGCAACAGAGGTAGTGGGACTGAGATATTTGCCTTCGTGTCTCACTATCACTTGGGTTATCTGCGTTATTCCAGCTACTTGTAAGTATAGAGCTTCAGCTCTACTTCACCCAAACACATGCTAATGGTCTGCAGTTGGCGAAGCCATCGGTCTCAAACTCCGGACCCAAGGAGATCGAGAGTATCTCCACGTTCAGTTGTTCACGGGGTTTATGTATATTGGAGCCTCAATTTGCGTGTTTTTCCTTCGCATGTGGAAGTTATCCACGAATGAAAATATGACCAGCCAGCCGACCTCGACGGTCGCAGATTCGAAGGATGCTGCTATTACATCCGTTGAGGAGTGTCGAGAGGGATCCTCAATTAAAACGTGGATCAAGGTGACTAAAGTATAAAAGTCATAGAGATACGTTTGGTGCATCTTACAATAGTCATCAACTTTATGAACGAATATGCCAACATCTTCCAAACCGAGGCTTATATACCCGCTAACCCAATCAAGCAATTCTTGAGAGATCGGTCACTTCGCCAAACTCATCAAGTTTATAGTGCAAATGCTCACAACCCAGTTGTAATAATTAATGTCGGCTTCTATTCCCACTCCGGCACCAATTGCCAAGTTACGAGCTCTCGTTCGCACAGACAACGCCACGTCGTTCTCCCCGCGCTTCAGCCTGCCTAGCGTCTCCCCGCAAAGCAGTTGCTTGGCGTCAATGGCCAAATCAAGAAATATCATATCCGGAGACCCGCTGGCATCCGGGGACTCCGTGATGTCTGTAAGCGATTCGTTTCCCTGTATCCTGGAACTGCAGGGGATACTTAAAATGATGGTTTCCTCTTGTTTGATCATTTTAGGCATTTGGGGACCCTTCATGCAACATGAGATACCAGGTTTTATTGACTGCTTTGCTTTGCAGTCAGGCATCAGCGGCTCCATCCGCTAAACCAGACAGTCATCCTTCTGCGGCCTCCCTCGGTTCTCTCCGTGTCTTGCATCATAACAACCTCGGCCCTCAGAATAATGGAACTTCAGCTATTCTCATCCATGATAAATTGAATTTTGCAGATGCTACATCTAAGTGCGCCGCCATCGGCGAAAAGGTTCACCACTGGATTTCCGGAAAATGCGACAGCCAAACGGAGCTACAGTACCAATTGGACTATCTAGTATTCGCAAAGGAGCTTCGAGATGATGATTTTGTTTGGATTGCCACCAATGAGCTGGGCGCATATTGCTCTGCGTTCTCCCTTTCCCATAGAAAGGTGGTCCATAAGTCCTGCAAAGAAAAGCTACCAACTCTCTGCAACTCATCGCCGCCCCCCACCAGCGATCTCGATCCAACGGCCAGGAACTCAACAAAGCTTACTGTCAAATCAAAGGATTATACCCTGACCGGTTATCGTGATGCGCGCTCTTTCCGCTTCCTCGGCGTACCATTCGCCAATCCCCCAATCAATAATTTGCGCTTTGCCCCACCCCAAGCGTACACAGGGCACAAGAAACTTGATGCAACTGCCATGAAAGACTCATGTATCCAGGCGGTCTCGAGTTTCGGGACCTTGGGTACGGGCGGTATCTCCGAAGACTGTCTATACCTGAACGTGTATACACCATTCATACCCGCAGAGGTCACGAATAAAACCTCGCTTCGTCCCGTAGCAGTCTACCTCTACGGAGGCGCTTTCACGAGTGGCAGCGCAGGGATGATCGACTACGACGGTGGCAATTTTGCCAGTCGCAGTGACGTCGTTGTTGTCACGCTCAACTACCGTGTCGGAGCTTTGGGATATCTTTCTACCGGAAAACTGACGACCGGAAGCTATGGCATTTATGATCAAATCATGGCGCTGAAGTGGGTGCAAAAACACATCGCTGCTTTCGGTGGCAATTCTTCACACGTCACGGTCTTTGGTCAATCGGCCGGTGGCCAGAGTACCGTAGCCCTTCTGTCCTCAACCGCCGCAAAGGGTCTCTTCTCCGGAGCCTTGGTCCAATCGGCACCCCTCGACCTCCCCTGGTTCCCACGGTCGCTATACTCTGGCTATATTGCCCCGGCAGTGGGAAAAGCAGTCGGATGCAATAACACCAGTTCCGAAAAGGACTTCCTGAAATGTCTCCGATCCGCCCCAGCATCAAAGTACCTCGGCAACTCGACCAACTTCCAAACCGCAACGAAAGCAATCGTGTCAAGCATCTCAACCCACTATTTCAACAACACAGAGCTGCTCTCCGCAACAGAACCCTTCATGCCAATGGTCGACGACTCAAACTCAGGGGTAATAGACGACCAATTCCATACTCTCCTGGAAAAAGATGCCCTCCCCGTCCACGTACCAACAATGTTCACCACCGTGCGCGACGAATCAAGTCTCTTCACAGGATCCGAAGTCCCAAATCTCGGCTCAACACAGCTGGCCCTCGACTCCCTACTAAAAGCTACATTCGGAAGCGCCCTCGGTCCAAAAATGATCTCTTCTTCGGCTTTCAAAGTGAATACCTCCGATCCCGATGGTGTACGAAACGCAGTCTCTGATGCTCTGACACATAGCGAGTGGACCTGCGCGCAAGGGTATCTTCTTAATATCTCCTCTACTGCCTTTCCATCGCTGTACGAAATCGAGATTGTGGATGGTCATATCCAGACGAATGTTAGCGTTCCTGCTATCTGTTCGCCGAATAATGACTACAATGCTTCGTGTCATGCGTCAGATGTGCTACTCGCGTGGGGAACCTTGAATTCCAAGTCGAAGAATGTGGCTCCGTATTATGATGATAAGGATATATTGCATTCGCAGCTTATTCACGATGTTTGGGGCGCATTTTTCCGGACTAGAAATCCTAATCCGGATCCGGGGTTCTTGAAGGTTCGTGGGCCGGCTTATGCGAGTACGCTTGGGATCTTTGCTGAGGGGAAGATTGGACAGCGAGAGAATGGGAAACAGAGGGGGGCTGGGTATGCTATTGAGCAATATCGGGCTTTGGAGCGGAATATCACGCTTTTGGGAATGCCGCCGTCCACGACCGATAATTTTGAAAATGAAGATAAGTGTGCTATCTTTAGGGACTACGGGTTCACCTTCCAGAGGGCGCAGTTTACTGGCTAAGTATATTGGATTGAAAATAGTATAAGGAGTAGTAATTAGTCAATTGCTTATTTCAGGATCCATATTAACCTTTATAGCTCTACACATATCAAAATCATCTGGGCTTCTTGATTAGTTTGACCTTCGCCATCGTGACATTGATATCAGCCCTTTCGTATAAACATTCCCTTCTTTCAGGGATTTTCACAGCTAGCTTGCTCTGCCGGACTCAAAGGAGTCAATTCCTGAATTAACGTCGTATTTTGAGACACCAACTGCGTGAAAGACGCCGACGAAGCGGTGGGAACAAGTTTCCAGCTTTGTCGCGACGGTCAAAATGAAAATATGAAAAAATCACAAATGAAAAACAAAAAACATCATGGTGACCGTAGTCAAGTCAGCTTCTGGTATTGAAAATCAGTAATAAGTGAATACTGCGTTGGTTGTAGACTATGGTGCTTTGACAAAATTGAGTGGATGCCCGGGGTTCTTCATCTTTGCAGCGACATGCATAGAGCGTGAACACCTCCCTGGGCAGACCAAAGCCCTTGAATGCATGAAACAGGAAATGATTTTGACAGGCTATCGACTGTCTTAGCTAAAGCAAGCTTCTATACATTTACATTCATATCCTTCCACATGACTCCCAGGCTGTTATTTCTGGAATTAGTCGCCGTGGTCAATGCCGACCTTTGAATATCGTGATCCACTGAAGATCGTTGTAGCTTGCACAATAGTTCAGAAGGATCTGAAATTGTCATAAGCTCGGTGCAGTCTCTATGGGGCAGTCATGAGAGATCGCTCTTGCTTCCTGAGGACTGTGCACGATCTAGAGACAGCTATTGTGAATTGCGGCAACTGCCCTTAAGCAAGGGGGAATTAATGAGCAATTCAGACACTTGGAGGTTTTCTTGAGATAATTGATAATTTTTGTGAGATGTGAAGAGGACAATTCTGAACATAAAAAACTAGGAAATGTATGTATGATTCTATCTATGTAGGCAATGTAAATATAGAACGCAAAGAAATGTACGTAGGGTACTAATACAAAACTGAATGATAGAAACCCCTCAGAGTGCCAATCCACAATTCTATCCGACTAACAGGATATCTCCATTCGATCACTCAGCCTTCTTTGAGGCTTTGGTCCGCAGCTTCATCAACAGGTAAACCATACCATACGAGCTGACAACGAAAATGGCAACAATGCCGACGTCGCGCCAGCCGTAATAGTACTCCTTCAGGTTGAGGTTGTAAAGGTAGTCGCTTCCGTGAGTGTACTGACATACCTTGCAAGATTCTGTCGCAAGGGGATTGACCAGGTTCATGCGCGACCCTGTGGTCTCCATGTAAGACTTGAGGTAGTCTCCGCAAGTGGTTCCGTTGGCAGGATTGAAGACGGCGAACTCCTCCTCCTTGCAGTTCACCTCAGTGTCCCAGACATTGAATACGAGAAGGCCACCCATGAGGTAGTTGAAGGGATTCATCCAATAAATCCAATACCTCCAAAATGCTTGGATCTGGGTGTAGGGAACCAGGACACCACAGAAGGAAACAAGAGTACCGATGAGTAAGGGATTGACCAGAGAGGCGAAAGTAGCGTTCGGGGCGTAAGCAGCAACAAATTGGCCAATGCCAGTGTAGACGAACTCGTAGAGGAGCATCATGAAGAAGGTCGAGCCGGACTTGGAGGCAGCGGTGACTCCACCAATGGTCCAGTACCAGCACACGAAGTACAACACAGCGCAAATGCAGAGATAGGGGATCTCGGACACCACAAGGGCAGTCACAAACGCCCACCATGAATACATCTTGGACTTCTTCTCACGCTGCTCATAGATAGCACGACGCTCCAAGAAGAGAGGTTGCAACTGGTTGATGACACCGGGGGCGACAAAGATAAAGTTGAAGATAGTGAAGAGGCGCAGTTGCATAGCACTAACGCTATCACCGATCATCCAGAAAGAGAATCCGTTGAACAAGGCAGAGGAAATGTGAAGAGCGAACTTGTTGTTAACGTAGTCGGTGTTACGGAAGAGAGCAGTGCTCATGCGGAGTGTCACAAGCTTAGTCTGCTCTACAATAGTAGTGGCAAACTCGCAGCCGTCATCGGTGGTGCCGGGGGGATTGGATGCAGCAGTGTTGACAATCTCATCAAGCTCCTCGAGTGCCTTGTGGTGCTCTGGTGATTCAAGCCAAACCTGGTTCCAGTCTTTGCCTTGGCTAAGGTGTCCAGAGACGACGTCAATCATGTGTTCAGCGGGGTTGATTTCGCTAGGGCAAGGAGCGCCGTAGCGTTGGAAGTAGCCCTTGACTGTCTGCGCATTGTCGCCAATATCACCGAAATAGACAGTCTTACCCCCCCTGGTGAGCAAAAGAAGAGTATCGAATTCAGCAAACAGTTGAGCGGACGGCTGGTGAATAGTAACCAAAACAGCCTGGCCGACATCCGCAAGCTTCCGTAGGAATCGGACGGTATTATAAGCAGACTGTCCATCAAGACCGGAAGTGGGTTCGTCCAGGAATATCAGAATGCTAGGTTTGGAAACAAGCTCAACACCGATAGTGACACGCTTACGCTGCTCAACACTCAAACCAGCGCCGACGTAACCGATCAGAGTATCGGCCAAATCGTGCAGCTCTAGAAGATCAATAATAGTCTCGACATATTTCAGCTTCTCCTCGCGAGGAACATTCCCGGCCTGGCGGAGCAGAGCCGAGAACTCCAAAGATTCACGGACTGTGGCGAAAGGCTCAAGAACATCGAGTTGCTCACAATATCCAGCAGAGCGCTGGAAGGAAATAGGAAGCTCACGACCATCAACCAGAATAGAACCATTGATAACACCATCGGTTTTGCGTTGCGCCAAAACATCAAGTAGAGTGGTCTTTCCAGCACCGGATGAACCCATCAAGGCGCCCAGCATACCAGGCTTCACCCACCCAAAAACGTCATCGAGGAGAATACGGTCACCGGTAGGGGTCTTCACAGTATATTTTAGATTCTTCCAGGTGAAAACAGAGGTGTTCCGAACAAGCTGCTGGTTAATCTCGCTGTGCTCGACGGCACCGGAACCGGAGGGTCTTTTTGACTTTTCCCGGACCTGAGACTCCTCGTCGGGTTTGACAACCTGAGTGTGCTTCTCGAGGCATTCACGAGGAATAACCAGAGAGCTTCCACTCTCGCTGGGGGATTTCCATTTGTTCGTAGCGATGATTGTGACAACGACGAAGAGCACCCACCACGCCCAGTTGATCCCGAAATTGCGCCAGAGGTGGGAGTGGCTGTAAGAAAGCGAGGACAGGTACTGGTCGCCTGTGACGTAAGTACTTCCCTGGATGGCGCCGCCAACACCAGCACAAGACTGATGAGCGGGATCATCATAGCCAGTACCTGATGGGACGAGGTTAGTACCAGCACAAGGAATGACCTTGCCGTGGAATTCATTGGAGAGAAGAGCCTCAAAGCCGTAAGCCAGGGGGTCGATCCAAAAAATCCATCCTAGCCAGGGATGCATCTCCGGCTTCGCAATCATATAACCGGTATACATGACCAGGGCTGAGATAAAGAATCCAGACACCTTTGAAGCTCCATCAAATGTGGAGAAAAGGGCACCGATGGCACGGAAGAGAGAAGTCATACACTTTGGAAATGGTTTAGCCAATTTGTTTCATTCTGGGATAGATTTCAATCTTACCATTGTTGTTGCAAACACCAAGATCCAGTATGTAAAGAAGGCGCCGGCCGACATCGTCAGGCCAACCATGAAGTAGACCACGAGGCCGAACATGCTAATTTGAAATAGCAAAACGGGGATATCAGCTGCTATTTGCGCAAAACAGAAAGCCGCGGGATGGAAGTATGCAAAGCCCTTGTGCTTGATCAAGACGGGACGGCCGCTAAACGAATCTGTAACTTCAGACATCGCAAGCAGACTATTGTATAGCAAAGAGAAAAAGATGGCACCGGATTTGATAAACAGACCACTTGAGTTGTCAGCAGCGCTGTAAAATAGCGAACCGGCAACCAATGCCTGTATCAATGTGGCGACTTGCTTGATAACGAAAGTGGCCTTGTCTCCCCAAATGATTTGATACTGTCGAGATACACAGGCCTTGACCTGCTCAACAAAGTTGACGGTCAGAGGGCTGTTTTTCGGAAGCTGCTTAGCTGTCTCAAAGGCGACACCGTCCTTAAAGACTTGGGTTCGGTCGCGGGCCTCATCGGTGTTCGGGTAGTCGTACTCAGTGATCATCTGGGCGTGAATGGCGGATTTTTCATACACCTCCCGCAGGGCATCTTTGTTGCGGGGGAAGCGGTTTTCAAAGCCGTCGCGAATACGGCGTTCCGTGGGCACGGTAATACCAGTGAGGAAATCACCAACGTTAGATCCTTCACGGCAAACAAAGCCAATCTCTTCCATAAAAGGCCGAGCCTGTTCTCGGGGACCGTAGTAGATCTGCTCGCCCTCGTCGAGAACGAGAACCTTGTCGAAGAGATCGTAAATTCCGTTACCGGCTTGGTATAGGGTGACGATTGTCGAGAGACCGAGAACATCGGTCATAGCGCGAATAGCCTTAGTCCATTCCAAAGCAGTGCTGGCATCCAGTCCTCGGGTGGAGTTATCCCAGCAGAAAACGGAGCCTCGGGTGGCGAGGCATTCGATAATGGACACACGTTTGCGCTCACCACCGGAGACACCTCGAACGTATTCGTTACCGACCTTGGTATCCTCAGTGTGAGAAATGTTCATTGACTCGAGTAGAAACCTTTTAGTTTCTTGGCGATAAGCATCGGCAGATTCGACACCATTTGGTAGCTGAAATGGAACCTTGAGGCGAGTCGCAAAGTCCATAGTCTGGCCGACGGTCAAGGTGGGGAAGAAGACTTCTTCTTCGGTGTTCATCACGAGCTGGCCACGGTATTGAGAAGCTTCTTCGGGAGCCAGCGAGCCGAATCGCACATCTCCTTCCACTGACTTGTAGCCAGCTCGGCGGTTTGATAGCAGCTTCAGTAGAGTTGTGCAACCCGAGCCTGGTCGACCCAGGACAAGGAGCATCTCGCCCGGCTTGACACAACCATGGCTGTTGTTCAGAATAGTTCGAAGCGCGGCTTTGTTGCGTGAATCTTTAATTTGCTGGGCCATGTTGAACTGTGACAGAACATTTTCGTTGACGGCAGCTTCAGAGCTGATGACATCGACACTGAGGTTTTGCCAAGTGACACCAAGTTCCTGTCGCTTGAAGCCGGATGCCAAGTCTCGTTCGTGTTGCTCCTGAAAGCGGGATAGCAACTTCCAGTCATTGCGCAGACTAGGCTCGGGGCTAGTGTTCTTGAAAGGGGTCTCATCGCCGAGAACAGTGGCGGCACTTGCGCTTTCAATCTTGATATCGACCGACCCTCCCTGCGAGGACGAGGGTCTGGGTGTACCATCCATGGTGAAATGAGTTGGAAATGGGGTTATCAGCTCGCTCCCATGAGCAGGAGAGTGAATGCTTTATACTGGGCTAAGAACACTCGAATGGCCTCAGTGGGGCCTCACCAGTGCCCAATCGGAATCCATCGCAAGAAGATTTGCGAGATTCACAGGCTTTATGTGTATGGCGTCCATATCGTTGTGTCTCGGAATCCCCTTTTGTCAAAATCCCGCCTATGCTGTTGGTCGGAACTCTATAGACTTACAAAGTGTGGAGCCCCGGGATGATCCTCAGAAAACAAGACGGAAGAAAGATCAGCTACTCTTCCGCTGAGTCATCACCGTCAAAAAGTAGATGTCTCAATAACAAATTCAACAAATTCAACAAATTCCCTCTATCTACTATCTAGTATATTGGGTATTGAGTATATAATAAATTCTATATGAGATTTCAAGGTCAATCCGATAACTATCCCGTTCTGTTTCAATGGATTACATTGCAATTGAAAGACTTAAGCTAAAAATATAGAACAAGTTGCCGTATAGCTAACTATAGCAATCACGCCTCTTTAATTTGATAGGGCCTCAGTATGGCGCTATTGTATTTCATAAGCGGAAGAGGCCGCGAATACGCATTCCCTGCAGCAACCCTCGATTTACTTCCGGGTGCGACTCACACACGTGCACCGAATTGCTCAGTGGGACTCTATTTCTTAATTAGGCTGCTTTACTGACCCCGTACTAGCAGTATCGATAAAATCTCGTATTCAATATATGTTCAGGAGACAAAAAGTGGAAAGCGGCCTTGTGATCACTAAGATGGAGCCAGCGTGTATAATAAGTTATGACTTGAGAGGGTCTCATGATCGATAGAGTCTGTTGATTTCCATTCAAGAGAATAAAGCTTCTAAAGAAAGATCGACCTCTCTTTCTCCTGTTCGCTTTTTCTTCATCGAACTTTTGCCCAGCTCTTGACCCTAAGGCCCACGTCCAACCGCCGACCCTCCTTACAAACTTAATGGCCACTCGGCTAATTATTTTTCGGGAGTTTCATCACTCATTTGATTATCTGGATGACGACTGATCCCGAAAGTGGTAGCAAAATATTTAATATTCATTTTATATTATCTCTGTGTGGCATAAGGGCTCCATCCAACCGACTTTGTTTCTCCGATTACCGAGTCTAAACAAAAGGCGGCTTACACAAGCTTAATGTCAGCCTTTCGTGTTTGCACGCAAGCTGGTACTCTCTGCTCTCTCATTTGAAAAGCACTACACATATAACACCAGCTTATGGTCATGGTAGTGCGCCAAAAACCCCAACTCCTGGACATTGGGAAGCGGATAGTAATGTCCGCAAGAGGGTGTGCAAAGCATATGATCGGTGTCGTTAAAGAAATCCAAGGTACAGCTTGGCAAGTGAGTTATAATCTTCCCTGGAAAAACTGATTTCTTCGATAGTGTGACGGATCTAGTCTTTGTTTGCGATGTCGGGGAGACAATGCTATCTGTTTTTCGGACAACGGTAGAAGGCCCATTGCAGAGCATACCCAATGAGGTGAGTTCGAGTGTATGTTTATTTTCTTTTCTTAAATATTCTCTTTAACTGACCTTATCTTGCTTGAAATAGATATGTTGAGGTGCTCGAGCAACAGCACGATTGGCTAGTTTACGGTCTTCAAGAACTGCACCAACAAAGTGAATTGTCATAGACAAGCAATTAGGGGATTTCTGAGAAATCGGTATCATTAACATGCAAAGGGTATACATTTTCACATTCTTATTATTGGAAAACGAACCTGTTTCTTGAAGCCAGTTCAGGAGGGCGAGTCGATTTTCAGCGTCTTCGGTTCGCTTTGCACCCGGTGAATGCAGCCAGTCAACAGCAGCTGAATTGGAAATTTGTTTCATTGACTCTTCGGTCTCAAAATTGAGCCAGAGAATTGCACGGGAGGTGGACGTATGTTGATGAGCAAAGTGCAAAGCAATCTGCGTCTTGTCTATCCCGGCTAGCCCATGCAATGTCACGGAGAACAGTCTAATGACAACAGGGTCCACGTCAAGGCGCAGCGAGCTCTTTAATCCTGCAAGGTGAGATTCACGACCAGAAAAGTCAAAGTTCGGAGCCGCCGGTAAGTTATGGCATGCTCATTAGGCAAAGTATTCAAAACTTGGAAATTGGAGTCGCCTTCTGCCCTCTGTGACCTCGCATGACTCCACTGAAGATCCAACTCTTGAAATTGCTTGTTGGTCAAAAGAATCTATGAGATTTTCAAGAAATTTTCCCCAGTATCTTTGATGTTTTGGACTATCGTATCACTGCTCTGCTCGATTGGCTTCCAATCTTTCTCCTCGATTCTTCCTATTTTTATTAGCATGTAGTAATTCGAGATAGGCCGTACAAAGCACATGACTGGGTAAGGTGGCATACTTGGTTGTCTAAAAAGAGATATGATGTTTAACCAGAGCACCATCATCTCATTTTGAACTTGAACTGAATCTTCTAGGATCTTCTCTGCAGCAGGGCTTTCACAGATCTCACTCAAGGAGTTCAGGTTTGTTCCGATTGCCCTCGAAAGCCTACTTACCCGTCTTAACCAGTCATTTCATCTCAAAGAATACTGCTATAAGGTTAGCTCAAAAGCGTGAAGAATCAAGAACACGAATCATTACCTGTATCACCAAGTATAATAGTCCCTACATCAGCGATATGTCGATATCTCTTTTCATCTTGTTCACAAAAAATAGTAGAATACGGTCAATAATTCGGCAAGAATGGTCTTGTGAGACTACGCGGGGAGCAGTGGGCCGATTGGGTCTCCTTTGTTTAAAATGTTGTGGCCCAAGCCACAGTTATTAACAGCTCCCCCCCGGCCGATCTGCCGAACACAAACCCCCTCCTTTCCGCCTTCGACGGGTAGCAATGAAAGCATTTCGCAAGCTCTGGCTAATTCCCAGTCTTTCCAGTCGTTTTTCTCTGGCGGAACTGCAACGGTCTCTTGGATCTATTTAGCCTCAAACTCGTATGTTCTTGTCCAAATCCACCTTCTCTGCGATCATGGGCGCTGGTGAAAGCAAACACACATTCCCTTCCTCGCTCGATCTTCTCACCCTCGATGCTATTGAACTGCAGTCCTTGTTAGCCGCACAGAAACTCACTAGTGCTCAGCTAGTCAAAGCATGTCTGGAGCAGATTCGAAGCCAAGACCACAAGGGGCTGGAGTTACATGCGATGATCGCAACTCCACCAGAGCAAGACTTGATCAAGATTGCAGATACTCTTGACAATGAGAGAAAAGCAGGTCTCATCCGTGGACCTCTTCATGGTATCCCAATCATTGTGAAGGTGCGGGACCGAAGCAAGGAGTTTCTTGTGGAAACTGACGCATACTCCACCATCTCTTAGGATGCTATCGCAACTGACCCGCAGTTCAAAATGAAGACGACATGCGGATCTCATGCTTTGGCTAGCTCTATTGTATCTGGAGATGCGCGTGTCGTTGAGAAGGTAAAAACTTCCCATTGCGCCATTCTAGGTATATTTCTGATACACAAGATAGCTTCGGAAAGCCGGTGTGATTATTCTAGGAAAGTCAAATTTGACGGTAGGTTCCTTGATTCAACGTGCCTTCGCGAAAAGCTAACAGAAAGTTAGGAATTTTGCCAAATGAAGTAAAGTAGCTCTCTAAAGATTGGGCTCAACTATACTAAATGCCGAATTAGAGGAGACAATATCACCAATGGTTGGTCCGCAGTTGGCGGCCAAACCGTATCACCCTATATTAGAGGCGGCATTCGCCATGATCAAGGCTCTGGGGGTCCATCTGTAAGTTTCCTCATTTCATTCGTCGAAATACCCCACATGCTAAATGGAGAAGATTCCTGGGGGCTCATCGACGGGATCTGCCGTTGGTGTAGCCGCTGGATACAGTCCATTGGCCTTAGGAACGGAAACGGACGGTTCTACTATTCAGCCAGCCAACCGAGCAGCTCTATTTGCTATAAAGCCCACGCACGGGATTGTGTCTGTTGATGGCATCTGGCAGCTATCGACCAGTTTCGATGTCATTGGTTCCATGGCCAAGTCGGCAAGTGACCTAGCCAACCTACTCCACATTCTCGTTGAAGACGAAGCTGCAGACTACCCACGGTTTTTGACTAGATCATTCGCCGACTTGAGGTTGGGTTTCGCAGATCCTGACATGTGGCGGTTCCCTGACAGCTATTCCCATCCAGACGAGGGAGTGCGAGAGCAGATGGTGAGCGCATAACCAAATCCTTGTCAGATAATATTTCTAACTTCTATCAAGAAAGCAGTATACCTTGATGCTCTTTCAAAGATTCAACCGTTGGCTGCTAAAGTGGAATATCCAGTTGAAATCGTCCAGCCGGAGGAGCTTGATATACATGGAAAATCCAGCTTCTTCACCGTTATCAGTTTGTTGTGACTATCCAATTAATTTCTACGAAAACTAACTGGTCAAAGGATATGAATACGGCCCTCTTGCAGACAGTTACCTGAACAATTTGGTTGAGAGTGAAGTGCGAAGTCTAGATGAGCTTATCAAATGGAACGAGGCACATCCTGAGCTTGAGCTTCCTAAAGGTATTTTCAAACTGTCTTTGCCTCGATAAGACAGGACAAGTCTTAATAACAGAATTAGATTACCCTAGCCAGTCGCGTCTTATAGCGGCGCGGGATCAGGTGCCTTCTACTGCTGATTATAACGCAGTCATATCTCATCTTGAGAAAGTGACAGTCGAACTAGGTGCTATTTTTGACAGTCATGATATTGATTTGATTGTGGTACCGACAGATTCGCGCATTTGCTCATTGGCATCAGCATCCGGTAGGTCCTATAACAACGCAAAGTAGTATTCCGTCCACTGACTCAACTGAGGCTTTCCAATCGGTACCATGCCACTTGGTTATCTTGATTACAATGGTAAGCCATTTGGCTTAGCTGTTGTAGGAAAGTCTGGACAGGATGGTCGACTTCTCGAATTCATGAGTGCTTTTGAGGCAACCTTTCCCAAAAGAACTCATCCCCAGCCACTGATCGAGCAATTGACTGGGAATCATGGAAATTTCTCGAAGAGCATGATTTAGGTAAAAATGAGGCTAGATCACAATGATAAGCATTGAAGTTTCGCAATAAATTGTCCCTTTATATCTCCTCTCCCACCGTATTTACATTTTGTTCCCTGAATCGCATCTCAAGTTTTCACCCTATTTTCACAAGTGCCAATGATGTAGCTATGTATGCAGCCTCCTCTCTCCGGGTTAGAACTTCTTTCTCAGAACAGGCCCTGTAGGACACACTTACGCTGCTCAGGAAAAAGGGTAGACCTAACCCCATGTTGCTAATTCTCAGTCCATATATCCATGCCAAATTGATCAACAGTCTACCAAGAGCAGATCCTAAGAATTCCACCGTTCCCCCAAGACTGTACAACTGAGCATTCTGTTGTTCACGGGCGAGTCCGATCCAATTGGGGCAGATACGGAAGCCACCTTTAGATGAGTAAGATTGAATATGAACAACCCGGATCCGTGTATCAACCACTAATTCTTTTTTTCAGCTGTTAGAGATAGCACGTCCTCAAGAAGAGAAAGAAGAAACGGGCAAGCTTTTCACACCGCGGCGCTAAGAAGTGGCTGTTTTGGTCGACATGTTTTTCATTATTTTGTTTTTTCTAGTGTTCATGTCCCTTATTTCGGTATTTGTTTAGTGCCTCGAGTGGCTTTAGGTTGAACAACTAATCACAAAATTGTTACTATAGTAAGTTTTGGAGGAGGGGGTTTCTGAAACCCTAGAGCTTCTACCCTTGATCATGCATCAGTGGGTCCACCGATGTGCGAATCGCACCCGAAAGTCAAAATTAAAACCTTACCCGTTGTGGAGAACGCGAGCTTCGCCTCCTCTTCCGCTTCCGCTTAGGTAACACAGGACCCAAAGAATGGGGAAGAGACCAGACCTTAACATCAGGCTGACCCCCACTTTATGATGGTCAAGGGTAGATCCCCGGGGCTCGTTGGCTCTCCCAGAGTCATCAATGTCCAAATAGCCCTTCAAGATTTTGCGGGGTTGTAACAATGTTGACCGTGGTGAAGCGGTGGAGCGGTGGCTGGAGCTAGACCGTGCGAATTGTATGGTTCCGATTGGCTCGCTGCAATAATTGAGATGATGAGACGGAATGTGCGATGTGGATTGCTCCGATTGACTAGCTGTCGACTGGGATCTGTCACCTGTGTACTAAAATGGAAATCACAGCCTATAATGCGCAGTCCGTAAATGATAAGAAACCGTCCACAACGTTCAAGATTTCTTCTGATCATTGACAGAGAATTATCTTCAAGTTCATTTTTTCCAAAAGATCATCTGAACGATGATGCCCAATACGCAGTCGTGTCCTTTCGAAATGGGCTTCGTGGATGTGGTAATTGTCGGAGCCGGAATTTCCGGCATCAACTTCGCTCGACGTCTCCAAGAATCACACCCATCACTCTCCTTTGTCATTTTGGAGGGTCGCAATTCGATAGGTGGAACATGGGATTTCTTCAAATACCCCGGCATACGATCTGACTCAGACTTATACACCTTCGGCTTTTCATGGTATCCATGGAGAGAAGATCGCGCCATCGCTGACGCTATGAGCATTAAACGGTACCTAACCGAGGCAATCAATTTTGCAAATCTCGATGCACATATTCAATTGTTGCATAAGGTGGTGAAAGCGGATTTTAGCGAAGAGAGCGCACAGTGGGAATTAAAAATCGAGAATGATAGACATGCGAAGGTTAGTGACGAGAAAGTGGTGCATTCAGCATACAAAATGAGACCTACGAACTGCGACCTAATCTGTGAACAGTCACTCCGTTGCCGTTACACCATCTTTGGTACTGGTTACTACGACTATGAGCAAGCCATGCCTGCCACAATCCCGGGTCTGGGCAATTTCAAGAAAAAAATTATACACCCTCAATTCTGGCCTGAGGACCTAGATTATAGGAACAAAAATGTTGTGATCATCGGATCCGGTGCAACCGCAGTGACATTACTCCCTAGCCTCGCCAAAAAGGCCAAGCACGTTACCATGCTCCAGCGCAGTCCGGGCTATATCGCGTGTATGGATAACACTACTCCGCCCATCCTCAAGATGCTTATGCCTGACAAGCTACTCTATGTCTTTCTGCGATGGTGGTTCCTGACGTCCTTGTTCATGCATTATCAATTTTGCCGAGCCTTTCCAGCGCTAGCCAAGCGGAATTTGAAGGAGACAATGGAACACAAGTTGCCACCAAGTATCCCAGTTGACCCTCATTTCTCCCCAAGGTATAATCCTTGGGAACAACGCCTCTGTCTTAGTCCAGACGGTGATTTCTTTGACTGTCTTCGAGCTGGAACTGCCTCTATCTCAACTGGACAGATCAAAGGCTTTACAGAAAAAGGAATTTGTCTGCAAAGCGGTGAAACCATCGATGATGTGGATATCGTCGTGACGGCAACCGGACTGAGACTGGTGTTTGCGGGAAAGATTGAGATCTCCGTGAATGGTCAAAATGTTGATGTATCGGAAAAGATCTTGTGGCGAGGTTGCATGCTGGAGGACGTACCGAACGCGTGTTTCATCATGGGATACACCAATGCATCCTGGACATTGGGTGCTGATGCATCGGCTGTTTTATTTTGCCGTTTAATGTCTAACATGGCTTGCTCACAACAGTCTAGTGCCACACCACGCTTTGAGGGAACTGCAAAAGAAAGAGCGGCAATGAAGACGAGCTCATTCTTGAATCTCAATAGCACCTATGTGCAAAAGGCCACAGACAGCCTGCCAAAAACAGGTGACACTGGCCCATGGAAGATGCGGCGGAACTATTATTTCGATATCTGCACTGCACGATGGGCCAACCTGTCTGACGGTATCTTATACAGAAAAACTCTTACTGAGAAGAAGAATCTTTAAGTTTTATCTTACAGTCCATTTTAAAAAGTCGGTTTCAAATTATTTGTGAGCGGCCTGAGACCTGCCTGCTTGAAGGGCCTTCTGTGTGGGTGTAGTCTTTGTCTCTTCTCCCTCTGTCCTTATGATCAGATAGTCAAACTTCATGCTTCTTCCTCTGTTTTCCTCTTCCTCATATAAATCATAGAGTTCGCAAAACCTCAATTGGTCAATGAACCCCAGAGATGTAGGCATTTCGTCTCGGTTGGCGAGATTCATTGCCAAAAGGCTCTTTTACTTAAAGGCTTAACGTATATGATTATCAACGATAATTCTCTGATAACCATTATTAGAAGCCTACAAGCCATCAATGGTAGATAGAGCGAGGGTCTAGTGCTATAAAGGAATCGGGTGTATGCCGAACCAAACCAGACAGTCTATGTTGGTCCCATCAGAATACAGAGAAGTGGCACAGAGTAGCTAGGGTCTGGGCCCCTTTCCAAAAAACCAAATTGCCGCTACTAATGCATGCGACTATCGATGCCCATTTTTAGTCGACTAGTGTCTGTGGTAAAAATATCTACCCACACAGATCTCGGCCGTTCCGTCTCAGTCAAGCCCATAGTTAGCGGCCTCCACTTTGATAAACTAGCCTCGTGAAAATTCTCAAGATTTACTACTCGCAATTCCTCTCTGCGACGGTACTTTTAGTTTTTCTTATGCATCTTTCAACCTTTTAACAACTCTCGCTGCCAATAGTCCTGGGTTTTATCCCAGACACTCTCTATTTGGTCTCGTTGTTCTTTACTCAGTGCATCTTTCTTTGACACTTCAAACGGACCCATCCTAAACGGACCAGAAAAACCAGAATGGAGGGCAAGATGGCATCCAAATTAGCTTTCTTGTTAGCTACAAGGGAATGCGACGGCGATGCAAGCATGTCTAGTTGCGAAAAGCCCACCAGCAAAGTCCTCACTATCGGTATACCAGCCGCAATAACGGGCGTGTAAGTCGCCTTCCAGGCAGACTCGCTTTGATACTAAGGTTCTAGGATTGTGGCTGTCGCCATCATTGTTTGTGGCACCATTTACTACAGACGCCACAAAAGAGATCAGCTTGCAGATCTCGAGGATGTTTCACCGGCCCAGAGGCTCTATGCCTACGATAATTCGACCAGAATAAACCGGCGACCAGGGCATGCGCCAACTAATGATGGCCCAGGTGGATACAATGGACCGCTAAATATGCCAAATCACACGTCACGATCAAGATATAACTCCGAATCACCGTTTTCAGACTTATACGAATCTCGAAACGAGCACGCCTTGTCGACCTTTGAATATTCTGGAGGGACACCTCACCAGCGTGAAGATGGAACACGTATCTTGGTTGGTGGGAAAATTGCCCGAGGTTATCCTTAGTGACTTGGTCTCGCTTTTAGTATTTTCGAGATGTGAAGCATCCCGTTGTACATTCAGCTCACTCTGTCTTCTGTCAATCTAAAATACGCTCAATTGGATCTACCTCAATACTCATGGGTTATTTGTTATTATTTTTCGACATTAACAGCAATGAATTAAGCTTATCGTTGAGTTTGCTCTTTAGACATGGATTCAGAGAAAGAAAGCTGTGACCATTTCAACGTAAGAGCAAAATATATATACAAAAAATATGAATCCATGAACTACCATGTTTCTAATGCCCAAAAACTCCTTCATACTTCAGAACTATCATGAGAAATTATTATCGAATACGCGTACAACGCGAGTCTAGGATATATTGGGGGAAAAGGAGGAAACCTTTGTTATAGCCTGCCGCTGACTAAGCGGGAAAAAATCAACCTTGGAACAGGCGCCCAGCTGGAGCAGTCCTTCGGCCCATAGACTTTCCCGCATCCACCAGCATCCAAGTTACCTTGGAGCTCGGCACTTGGGCACGTGACACGCTGACCCGTGGGGAAAGAAATTGAAAACCATTGCGTCACATCACAACTAACTTGTTCGATTGCCCCTTTTCACAGATCAAATGGTGACTGAGATGGGTGCCCAGAATCATGCCCACCCTATGAAGGCCTGGAGTTCAGGTCGTGTGCTGACAAGCGCGCAAAGAGCGCGCAAACAGAGGATGGATCGAATCTCGAAACAACAGCTCCATCAACGACAGCAAGACCATCTGCGCATGCTCGAAAGTAAAATCTTGGGCTTGGAGATTAGTATTTCGAAGGCTATTGGTTAGTTATCACCACTAGGAAAACCTCACTTATATCTAGCCCTGAAGAACAACCCTGCTGACTCGCGATCTCTACAGAACCACTTTCCCTCATAGATGGCCATACTGCGGATTCGAATGATGAGTTACCTCTCTCTTCACTTGAAGAAGCCTATCAGGCAAGCCCCATTTCATACGGTCTCTGGGATTGCACTTCGGCCTCCCATTTCCAAGCACCAAGCATCACACCGGGAACGGATAAGCAATCGGTGGGATCACACTGTATAAGTGACATGAACTGTGTACTCACAAATCTGAGCGAAGAACGCGGTGGGAAGGTCATGAACTATTCCCGCCAGGCTGTTCAGATTCTTGGCTCTGTACACACTCTTGATCCGTCCCGTGTCTGCACAGATGATCAAAAGAATCAAAATATACTGATTCGCGCCATCCTGGAAGGATGGCATATACTACAATATAAAAATAACGTATGTCCTCTCTGGGTTATCATCCGAGAGATAGACGTAAGTATCAACATACGCAGTGGGCTTGCGACTAGACTTACCATGTTGCGCGGAATTCATCAACTTCTACTTGTACATGTTCCTTCTCTGTTATAAGATCCAAAAGCTTACAGCCACAGTGTATCGTACTTCCAAACCTTGTTGGAGCTCTACCAGCTTGGTATCGACCAAGGCGGGTTCCCATTCTGCCTCCTCCAATACTTTTCGCTCTCTAACCGTTTCCCACAGGCCAGCTCAGCTTCTACACTCTCATGAAATCGTGCTGGACTATTTTGCCTGGTAAGCAACAATATCTTTTTTCTTTCCAACTAGCCCCTCTGTGAGACACATCTGTCACTCCCAACCGCGCAGGACGCACAAAAAAGCAGAAGCGAATGCTGGATTAATGGCCATAGCCGAAGATTAATTACTAAAATTGACAACGTCTAACGATATTATGCTAGGCCGGGCTTCCGTGAGCGATTGGTACTGCTCCAAGAACCGCAGCTGGATGATAATTTTTGGGACCAATTTGCGAGGTCGTTTTATTTTGTATGGCCGCATCCCTTTTCGAATGCCTATGAATATGATGCCGCACATGACAGGTATGGCTTTTCGACTTTCTTTCATGAGTGCACGCGCGACCTCTGGAGATATAGGATGGATTCTCAATTTTTTATCGCTTATCCTGAGACTTATGACGACATATATTGAATGCGATATGGAATATGGTCCACTGGGTTGGGCTCTCAAATCGCAGCGACGGGAAATGGTTATTCTGGTGGATATAACCTTGACCCCTCTCTTTTCTGGTGTATATATATATCCCGAACTTCGGCATTTTCTGGTGCCTAGAAGAATTCCTTGAGAAAATCGAGCTGTACTTTGATGTTCTCCTCAAATGGTGCGTCATAGTACGGATCGAAATGACCGGCACCTTTTATAATATGAAGCCTCTTGGGTTCTGGTGCCTCATTGTAAACCTGCAGCTGTGTATCAGATGGAATGGTTGAATCATGTTCAGCAATCACGAAGAGGATAGGGCGAGGAGTAATGCGCTTGATAGCCACCCGGGGTTCATGGCCAATTGCATGGAAAAAGGTCTGCAAAGTGGCCATCTTCTCATACGCATATCCTCTTCTTTCCATCTCCTTTATGAACTGCACAGCATTAACATCATTCAGCATGGATTCGCTCTTGCCGCTCAAAGCTTCTTCCTCAGATTCGGGCATGACGGGAGCCATAATCGCATGCTTGCCGCTAGCAACGTTGGCTCGATCCTCAAGCAGGATGTCACAGAAGAGTGCAGCTGGGGTGCTGAGGACCTCCCCCGTCACAAATGGAACTTGGACAATGACCGCCCTGACAGATTTGTTGACTGCTGCAGCGACGATGGCGTTGCCGCCGGACATGCTGCTGCCCCAGTATATGATATTTTCTGGGTCAACATCTGGCAACGTTTTCACATAGTTGAAAGCATCGTAGTAATCACGCGTTTGCAGAATTGGATCGACATTGTTTCGCGGTGTACCCTCGCTATCGCCCCAGCAGCGGTTGTCATAAGTGAACGTGGTGAACCCCTCGGCAACGAATCGCTCGGCAAAGTCGGGAAGAAACTGATTTCTCAGTCCGGAAAACTTGGGAGCTGTCAGCAAATCATTCTGAATCACAACTCAAGCGCACAAAGCGTCTGTGACGTACCCCTTGGGTCATGACAATTGAAGGTCGTTTCTCGCCAGCACTATATACAGTGCCGGCCAACTTCACACCATCATAGGTGGTAAAAGTGACATCACGACGAGACATTTCTGATTTAAGTAATGGGGGATTTATCTTTTTCTCTGTTGTGGCTCTTTTATGGCGACACTTTCTTGGAATATGGCTCTTTTTATGGTGCCCGATGTCAGACTTCCGTAGAATTCAAAGTCGTTCGATTAGTGATTAAGCAGTGCCGAGGTCGGATCCATTAATCCTGTCTGTTTGAACTAGCTTCATAATTTTCTGCATTGGAAGGCTGTTGCTAAATTCTCAGTGGGAACTAGTGAAACAGGCTGACCAGTAGTCGAATCCTCTGCTCATCCACCATCGGGTCCACAAGAGTGCGAGTCGCACCCGAAAGTCTAATTTGGAGCTAACAGTGGAGATCGTCTAACTACGTAGGTACCTATATGTAGTTTCGCCGCCTCCGAAGGTCTTCCGCTTAGATAACACAATACCCGAGCACAGAAAAGACAACTTGACATCAATCTGACCCCAACATTATGATGGCTACCGGAGCTGGGGGGCTTGAGTTACCCCAGATACGAACAGACTGATCCACCATGCAGGTGAACCGATAAGTGGAGCCGATGAATTCATAGAAAGGTATTTATACAGTCCTGAAAAGAAAGCGAGAACTCCCGGTGGAATTAGGTAAATTAGTTTGGCTTATTTTTTACCATCATCTTTCTTCGACAGGCAACTTGTCTGAGCCCGGTCTGATCAAATACTATTATCGCTGCAAGACATCATGGCGTCTTTTCAAACAGTCCTAGAGACAATGCAGAGAAACCTTCCAACATTGATCGGCTTCAAAGGCTCCAGACAAATAGGGGCAGCCTTTTCATTTCTGGTCGGTGTATTTCTGTTGAACAAAGCCAGCAACAAGCTCTCTTTGTGCGCGCACAACAACTACAAGTCGGACAAGACTTGGGACTGGGAAAAGGAGTTGGTCATTATAACCGGCGGTTGTGGCGGAATTGGGGCCCAAATTGCTTCCAAGTTGGCTGCAAAAAATATCAAAGTTGTGATATTTGACATTGTTGAGCCAAAGGGCAAACTAGGTGAATAAAACACCTGTAGCTATTAAGTTCTATTCACTTACTTCATCTCCAGATGCGAATTGCTTTTTCTACAAAGTTGATATAACTTCAAGCGAGGAAATCCATGCCGCTGCGAAGGAGATTCGCGCGGAACTGGGCGAGCCCACAGTCCTGGTTAACAACGCTGGCTTCGGTTCCGCGACCCCGCTGCTTCAGGTTCCGGAGGATGTCGTCCGAAAGGTGTTCAATGTCAATATCATTTCCCACTTCCTGTTGGTGAAGGAATTTCTGCCGGCCATGGTGAATCGAAACCATGGCCATATCGTTACAGTTGCGAGTATGGCAAGCTTCCTGACGCAGGCATCGAACGTGGACTACGGTTGTACCAAAGCGGCAGCATTGGCTTTGCACGAAGGTCTCACTCAGGAATTGAAGATTCTCTACAATGCTCCATTAGTCCGGACGACGTAAGTCAAACCCGGGGCTTTTTCTTTGGGCTCCATACTTTAACACTTCTCGAAACTTGCCCCACTGACTCATCTATGATCACAATCAGCGTCGTCCATCCAAGTTGGGTACGCACTCCAATGATTAGCAAACTCAGCAGCAATCCAGCATTCAAAGACAACATTTTGGAGCCAGAAGATGTGGCAAATGCAATTGTCAGCCAGTTATATTCTGGATACGGAGGGCAGGTTGTTCTTCCGGAGAGTGGTTCCTGGGTTTCTATCGTTCGAGGTTTCCCATTGTGGCTACAGGAAATCCTCCGCACCGAAGTTTCAATCGTTTTACAGAAGTGCTTATAAAGTGTCGATACCATTTTTTCCCGAAAGACCGAGTTACCCCCAAAATCTCCTCGAGAGCGAGACAATTGCTCGAGTGTGAAATTTAGGTGTAACTGACAAGACAAGGGTTGACTAGGCTATGGGTAGTGGACATTCAACATGATAAGAACTTAATGTGCGGACTTTATGCGCTCCATGTTCTGTTGTAGTGTACCGCGAGTGCAGCACACCTGATAGTATGCAGAAATATTGAACCAAAAGCGTCAAGAGAAAGCAATGTCGCGCGGCCTAATTCCCAGTGTATATGTACTCCTACTTCTTAAAGACAGGAGAGTCAATAACTTTGTTCATTTGGAAATTCTCAACTAACTAATAAGCAATGAAAAGAACACCGAGGAAAAAACATGACTGCATGAATGTATGAATACCTAACAAGCTCGCTAACCATCAAGAATACTCCACAACCGATAATCAACTAAAAGCGCAAAAATGCAATACTGTCGTGATAGAGATGAGATAAGATGCAAATGCAACCTGCAGAATAGAAAACCAGCAAATATTCAAAGAAAGGAATTCCCACCCAAAACAAAAAAATTCGCACAAAATATAATCGTCATTCGTAAATTGTTGCCCGCCTGGAGTATCCTCGATCCCCAGGAACAGAAGGAGGTGTATACCTCTTCGCTGCAGACGACTTTTCATTGCGTGGACTAGCCCACCCTTTAGGCCGACGGCTACCAGCATTACTATATGACCGAGGCCGCTCGGATCCACTCCCTCCACTACTGGGTCGGCTCGGCGTGCTACCCCCACTATAGCTTCCCCGTCTCATATCCTCTGCAGCATAGGGACCGAGATGTCTGGGGACTGCCCGTGGTGGAGGCGGGGTGGAGGGTCTGTACAAGGGTGGATCTGGGGCTACTGGTGTTGGGATTCGGTCTCCAAAGATGAATTCGCGAAACTTGACGCCTGGTGTTCTTGAACGAGAGCGCTCTCTATACTTTGGTGATATTTCGGGGTGGGATCTGCTGTAGCCTGATTTGTGAGTTTCGTGGCTGTGGTGTTGTCGCTCAGGGCCTGGGGAGCGATCGCGGAAAGGTCGGCGCATGTATGCTTCGTGAGAGTGGCGTCTGGCGTGATTGTTTGAGGGGGGGGGAGAGGTTCCGCTTTTCATAGTGGCGGTGGGAATTTGATCGTTCTGGGGGTTGGGGCAACTCTTCTTCTTCTGATGATGCATCAAAGATACCTGGCTCTTTGGCCCCTGGGCTTTCGGGGCGGCCATAAGCGGCTGATTGGTCTCGGCCTCCTGAGCGCGGCGGGTGCTCACCCCATGCGGGTGGGGATGAAACTCTGGGTGTTGAGTAGCCAGATCGAGTCTTCAACGGCCGGCGCCCAGAAACGGGAGGATAGTCACCGCTGTGGTGTCGGCGGTGGTGACGGTTCCCGCTAGGCCGATCAGGTTCAGCATGGCTGTGTCGTTTGGACGCCATGCGAGGCGGTGGGCGGTCAAACTCAGCATACTCTTCTGGTAGAGGGTCCTTCATGCTATGGCGATGCCCGCTAGAAGGCCCAGGCTCTGCATTGCCGTGGCGACTTGATGCTTTGCGACGTGATCGGCCACTAAACTGATCATCTTCTTCCGGTAGAGGGTCTTTCCCGCTGAAGTGATAGTGATATGTACCAAAATCGGTCGGTGAAGCACGCTTCGCGTGTCTTGCCACATAGTCATGCTCCAATCGCCGACTCACGCCTTCATGCCACTCTAGCATTTCCTTGTCTGGCTTTGCTGGAAATGCATCTCGGGGGATCGTCTTGGGGAATGGATGTCCATCTGAATCTGCCAAATCCCATAGGCTCATGGCATTTTGTAAATACACCGAGTGTTCGTCTGGGTCCATCAGCAGCTGTATTGTCTGCCAGCGCACGAAGCCATTTGGAAGTAATGAGGGGATAGATGGCGGTTCATATGGATTGGGAGAGGGCTGGAGGCTATGGAAACATCCAAGCGACTGGTAGATGAATGACAAGGCTTGTGTCTTGGTCTCGAGAAATAACGAATCATAATTTCCACCAACTTTCTGGTAAAAGGTAGCGAGTCTGTCTGGGGTAATATCAGTAGTGCCATTTTTGTCAAATGTCGGCTAAAGAGACGTCAGTTATTGTCACAGTGAAGTGGGCTGAGAACTCACAATCAACTGGGCGATCGCCAAACACAACTGTACAAGCAGCGGGGCTGGACTCTTGTCTGAATTGATCAGCGTCCCCCAGGTATTCTCTGCAGAAGACATGAGACCGAAGTAAGTGGTCTGCAAGCAGATGCATCAACATTTCATCAAGTTAAAGCGCGCAGAGAGAAAGAGAGAGACAGACTCGAAGAGCGGTCAGGCACGAACTGCGGACCCACTGCGGGGGGACGGAACCAAACAATGCGATCTATGGAAATTCAACGTCAATCTTGATTTTTATATATTGAACTCTTTTTGTAGAAAATTTCGTTAATGATGGTAGAATTATATTCATGCTACAACTTATCATATACTATGAGGCATCTGATTCAATCTATATATATGTGACTTATTTACTAAAGTTTGAATCTGATACGTTGCGTGCAAAGCCTAATGTGGCGCAGTGTGACCCAATCGGCTACAAAAGGACAACCTGACTGCATGTCATGCAATCATGTCTTGCTACCTAAATCTCACTCTGCTTCAGGGCTGATTTTGCCTGCCACGTTACTACTGTTACACACGACATCTGTCATGTTACGAGGCTGGAAGTGGATCGCGTTTTGTTGTCTGGGCAGAAACAACGTATTTATTTCCTTGTCTTTATTAAAAAATTTATCCAGTCCACAAGGAAAGATTGGGCCACGAATAAACACCATCTGTCATCGAGGGGTCAAGCAAATCAAAGTCGACGTCAGGTTGCGCCAGAAATTCTTCCATGCTTTCACCCAGGAAAGCCATGTCATTGGTCAACCCCCCTGCTGTTGTATCCATGCAAAAGGCACCAGGCGCAAATATCCCCGACTGACTAGACGGAACCAAAGGAAGAGTCTCGGTCGTATCCTCAGCAACGTGGACAGATCTAGTCCGAACAGTGACTGCTCCTTCTGATTGTCTGTTTTGATTTAAACACTGCTGCACACACTCGAGATTGTCATAAAACTCGGTCGCAGCGAGATTTCCATGATCGCTCATTGCTCGGAGAATTTCAAACGCTGATTCAAATAATGCGAAATCGTTGCTGTTCTCTGGATATACCAGGCTAGATATTACCATCACCAATGCCGAAGAGAACAGGTAGTGGGCATAGAAATATCCGAAGATCGGGAGCGATCCGTTGGTCCACTCTTCCACTATTAGTGAGTGGGAATGTCTCGCAGCATGGATACATGCCTCACTGAGAGTTTTGAGTGTCTGTCGGATGTTGGCATGAGAGTCGTCTTCGTTGGGCTTTGGGCATTTGGTTTGAATGAGCGCGTGCAGAAGTATTGGACGACTTGCTAACATGATACACTATATTCCATCAGTCAACTGTCCCCGGTCTAAGTACGAAATAAATTATGGGCTCACCTGATTAAATTGAAGATGCAGGGAAATCACGTTCTTCGGAACCGGCCCGTCCCGATTGAGTCGTATCTGCGGAGGAAGAGCGAAACACCATTCCTTAAGCGCAATTAGCAGCTTCTGCTCCCGCTGCAAGAACGAATCTGCGAATTTCTTGCGGCTATACACCTGCTCAATGATTTGGCCAGTGATTTTGGCTAGTTCCACGCTAGCGACTAGAAACTCCGTATCCGAGCCATGATCATCATGAATATCGCCAGGTACTTTTGATGGCATTTCAACGTGGATATCATCGTCGGCAATCTGTATCGGCCAACCAACCTTTGACCCGTACATTCGGTCAAACACATATATTGCCCACCAAAGTCTCGTCCGATGCTGCCGATCTACGGGATCCGGACACTTGCATTGCGGAATGTCATGGTTAAGACCCAAAGTCAGACCCAAGCGCATGGCACTCCCGACAAGCAAGAAAGCCGAGTGCCGTCTGTTCAAGAAGAATGAATATAGCGACTGAACATGTTAGCATATGAATCATGCAATCGGAATAACAGGTCTCACCAAAAGCAAAAGAGATTCGACATGCGCCAGACTCGGTCTCTCGGGCAAGATCGGTATTAACATAAGCGCATTAACATAATAGGCCACCCCAGGAACCTTGCATTCAAGACTCGAGTTCGATCGCGCAGAATATACCTCCCCAAGAGCAAATAAAGCAAAGAATTTACAAGTCAAAACTGGATCATCAAAATCTCCCTTCCGATAAGCATCTTCCAGCTGATCCAGCGTTGCTTTCCGAAGAACTAAATGATACACCCGAGTTACCTGACTGAAAACGACCTGGATCAACAATCGAGCTTGGGGAAGACTCGGCCATTGAATTGCCGGATTGCGCATGCTCATTAATGTCGTTTCGCCTGTATATTGCGTCCGGGCTATGTGCGAGGTTGTCTCGCACTTGCTGAGGACTCGACGGAGTCGAGTCGCGAATGCCGTGCATGCTGCTTCGCAGATGTGGATTGGTGGTAGGGATGGGTCGTAGGGTTGAAACCAGGCCCTGTCGCCGAGCATGGGGTTTTGAACATGCGTGTCACCAGGAACATCTACGGGTGTGAGTTGGAGTGCCGTGATTTAGGCGAGGGACATACCTTGGTCTGAGACATGGTCTTCTCTCGGTGTGAGGAAGCTAGGCGATTGCGATAATTGTTCCCGAAGCCGTCGGTTTTCGGCTGCTAGTTCGTCGATGTAACTGGTATGATTAGCCCTGCGTGAGAGCAAGCTCGTGCATTGGTCATACCTCTCATGAACTTTTACTTGGCGGTCTCGATTTACATAGTGGCATTCGGTAGGACAGCCGGACTGTCGGCATTTTTGACAAGGTTGGCCTCCACTACATTTGATTTTGTGCGAATGGCATCTCTGACAGCTGCATGCCACATTAGCGACCTGGGTTTATAGTGGGTCTTCGGCACTCACGCGATCGACTTCTTTTTCTGCTTCCTTATGGCAGCGTCGCTCTTGGGCTTCATCTCGGCGAATTGTCAATAATGCGGTATTCTACAGATGAAGGGGGAATATCGCAATTTTGCCGATGTCCTGTTGCAGGTGGCGTTGCATGATCGGTGAAAATTCAAGTTGCCGAGTCCTGGAGTGGCGAATCACGGTCTACCACAGCCCTCAACTTGGATCATATCCGAATTATCAGCATTAACAGTCTGCGAACGAAGGATTCATCAAATTAGATTGCAATATCACTAGTAAGATTAATAGACTAAAAGAGGTTGCAAATATAAGAAGCCAATGAGATACGTTCTGTTCAAGGGAAGAATATAACTGGCCACTTCACTCAACTATTCAGACCTGGCATATAATATGAATTTCAGGAAATTCCCCAAGTGCGTATGTGAAAGCGCATATATGTCTTTTAGTGGAACTTCAATATCCGAAGTACTAAACTGACCTTTGCTTTGTGGCATTGTATTCGGGAAGGGGAAGATGTAGATGTAGATGTTCGGTTAAAGCACATTTTGCCGGCACATACTCGGAGAGTTGAGTCGTACTTAAACCAACAGACAACAATGGAGTTGCAAGTTTAATATCAAAATTATCAAAATGAAGGTCCCAAAGGTTCAATTTACAGTGAACGGCCTGTCTGATGCTCCGGCATTTAGAACTCACGACATAATCGATGGCCATGTCTTATTTACACCCCACCAAGAAACTCACATGGAAGATATAAGCATTTCATTCGTGGGTAAGTTAGAACCAACGTGAACTGAGATTCAATATATTGTTCGAGATATTGACATAACAAACAGGCGCGACACGAACAGAGGTCGAAAATATGCACACACATCTTCCTCTTTCTCCCCCTCAACTATTAAAAGAATTCCTTCGTATGGAACTACCAATCTACGGTTTCTCGTGGGAAGCCACTATACTCAAACCGGGCAAAACATACCGAATTCCTTTCAAATTTGTGGTTCCCGAGGCACTCCCCGTCCAAGCCTGTCACCACCAATGCTCCCATTACCAAATCCAACAACAACACTTGCAACTACCAGCATCTCTCGGCAACCAAACAAAAGGGTTGGATAGAGCTCATGACATGTCACCTGAAACCGCACAGGTCTTGTACAGCATCAACTTCGCGATCTGGCATAGAAGCGGCAAGGCAGACAGAGCAAAGAAAGTCCAGGAATCAACACATCCAGTTCAAATCATCCCAATTCGAGATGAAAACGCTCCAATTCTCGTGCCGCCCAAGAACCGACATTATCAACTACATTCAGAAAAGACCTTGTCCAAGGGCGTAATGCGACATAAGGTGGGCAAAATTACCGCGTACTCCGCCCAGCCTCCAGCAATCCAGATACACAACCTCCAGACGCAGAATGAGACAGCAACTGTGTTAAAGATCAACCTTCGATTCGACCCTTTCCAGCCAGGCGAATCGCCGCCGATTATTCTATCGTCTCAATTTCAGCTCCGTGCCATGACCTTCTTTGGTCTAGATCCGTGGCAGGATTCTCCTGATTTGTCGGACGTCTCCACGTGGGGCCCTCGGCAAGGCTTCTGGTCTGATTGTTTATCTTTGACCCCGGATAAGAATGTGGAGGTCGAGTGGAAAGCTGGCGAGGAAGATGATCGAACGACTTTCACCGCGTCGGTTGAAGCGCGCGTTTCACTGCCAAGTCATCGACAATATCCACCTACCTTCCATTCGTGTTTGGTGTCTCGGGTGTATGCGCTGAAAGCAATATTGTTTTATCGTGCGCATGGGAAGAGTCGGGGTAGTTCGAGCATCGCACTTTCTGTTCCGGTTGAGATATGTGCGCTGTGATCTGATTTTGGCAGAGAGCCTGGTCACCTTGTATACACCTGTGGCGATCATGCGCTTAGACTAGGAGTATTCCAATCATATAATCTCTAATGCACCATAAGGTTTTGAATCGAGTTCCCGTACATTTCAAGGTCCGCGATCGATCTCCCGTCGAACTGTAATGAATAGCAGATCAAGTCCATGTTTTGCTAGAACTTACAACGCCACTCAATATTGTATGCTTTGTATGAATAGACAATGAATTCTCTACAGAATCCACGAATACCATCTCCAAAGCGAACCTTGGCCCACATTCCTTGGACACCCACCAATCTAATCCCTTGAATGTCAGCCCCAAATAATCTACCGCGAATAAACTTCCCGTTGAGGTATTCACATTCCACGATCGACATGCCATCCTGGCAATGGCATTCGACACAATAACAACCAATCCCAACCCCAAATGCCATCGGGCAGTATTTTCCAAACCTGATTGCCTCGCTTATGGCATGGCCCGGGTACTTTCACCCATATCAACACCTGGCAGGCAGCTGATCTTGCCTGAATTAGTCTCCCAGCCTTGTGTGCTGACTCGAATTCCACACGCGGCATGTCTTTGCTGAGGCCCCCCTCTAGCTGTGCAATAAGTGCAGCCGTTGCCCATATCTAATCTGCTCCGGATTTGTCTTTTGCTCCTCCCTGTCAATGATCACGGTCTTCTTTTCGAACTATTTTCCTCCTGTCAGCTGGTGGTCATTGCATTTGCCTTGATCTCGATCTCTATTTCACTTCCAAGTTCAATCCATCATCCTACTCTACATCCGAACTCGCTGTCTCAGCCGGTCGATTGGCCATCCCTTGATACAATCGACCACAACAAACGACTTTCTTAACCTTAACCACCACCACATCTCATCACAATGGCTCTGGTGCGAGACCCATTCTTCTGGAAGCGTTTCTCAACTGCAGTCCACTTGGACGAGGAGTCCAAAGCCGTCGATCTGGAATCGAAAGCACAAAAAGCACAAGACACGTGAGGCTCACCAACTCCTTCCAAACAAACAAAAAACAACTAACACTCAATAGACAATCATGGCTTGCTCGTCAACGCCGAAAGCGCAAGCGCTCCATAATCTGGGGCTTTGTGATCTTCTTCAGCATCGTGTTTGCCATCATCGCCGGCATCGTGATCTGGTGGCTTGCTAAGAACAACTGGCTCCAACCCGGACCGGATGTGACTGAATGAGCGCATCATGAAAAGTTGCTTCGGTGGTTTCGCATCTAATTGGAGATTTGATATACCCGCCGCTTCTCCAGCGGCATGGCGTTTGCATTGGCATTGGCATTGGCATTGGCATTAGCATCAGCACTTTTACTTAGCTTTATATAGAATCGCATATCATCAATACATACTATCATTACACTGTCGTTCTTTTACTTGTAATTGACTAGTCATTGCTATCTCGTTTATCATATCGAGCGCATCTACCTGCCATACTAGGTATAGTGGAGGCCTTATCATTGTTCTATGAAGAGCCGGCCAGATTGCCGATGTCTTGACATTACGAACATTGTGAACAATCATTTGCCAATATGTTGTGACACATACAAATTGGAGTAAATGCATTTGAACTGTATTTTACTAGTGTCACCAATCAACTACCTAGGTAATATGCTTCTAAACAAACCATCCTTGTCAGGAATTGGAGAACGGCTAACCTCGGCCCTGGGGTTATCGCTTATCGCCCCGTTTCCCCGCAAACTCGTATAAGTACCCCGACTCTCCCTTGTTCTTCTGTATTACACCGCTATCATGTTACCCCCATTCGATTACTTTACCTACCGTCGCATACGGTGAGTCTTGCGCCCTTTACTATACATTTCTAGGCATATCTACATACTAATCTACTTCACTATTTAGGAACCAAAAACAGAAAGAGCGGACACTCCGCTTTTCATCTCTCCCCTTCGAGTACACCCTCCACATCACCAAGAAGGACAGGAATATCATCGACCAGCCCATTGAGGAGCTGGTCCACGATGTACAGGACTCCGCTGTATCTCCTCTCGATGTCCTCCGCACCTATGGAAAGGTAGCCAAGAGAGCCCAGGAGCGTACCAACTGTATCACGGAGCTCCTGCTCCCCGAAGCGGAGACATGGCTGGGCTCCGAGATCAATCTTAAGGGTCCTCTGGCTGGAATCCCTGTCTCGCTGAAGGATTCAATTCATGTCAAGGGCTTCGATGCTACCGTGGGATATGCCTCGAAAGCCAACCAGCCTCTTTTGGACGATGGGCCTATGGTGAAGCTTCTCAAGGATGCCGGTAGGATGTCACGATAAGATATAATGCTCACGTACTAATGGCCTCTAGGCGCGGTTCCATATGCTAAAACTGCACTGCCCATTACCCTCCTCTCCTTCGAGTCCGCCAACGGGCTCTGGGGTACATGCCGTAACCCGCACGTTCCATCCTATTCTCCCGGTGGCTCGACCGGCGGAGAGGCTGCACTTCTGGCCCAGGGTGGCCGCATCGGAATTGGATCTGATGTAGCTGGCTCGGTTCGGGTCCCTGCCGCCTGGAGCGGTATCTACTCTCTCCGCTGCTCGACTGGTCGCTGGCCTAAGGCCGGCGTGAGCACCAGTATGCCAGGCCAAGAAGGTATTCCCAGTGTTTTCAGCCCCATGGCGCGTACCCTGGATGATCTTACCTACTTCACTCGTGCCATTATCGGCATGCAGCCCTGGAAGTATGACCACTCGGTGCACCCGATCGCCTGGCGCAGCGAGCTTGAGACTGTGCCTCAGGATAAAGCTCTTCGCATCGGTCTCATGAGCTCTGATGGTATGTTGAACATTACATTATTGTTTCAGGAGTAATAACTAACAAACCAGGTGTCGTCCCCCCAACACCCGCCATCGAGCGCGCTCTCCAAACAACCGTCACTGCTCTCCTTGAAGCGGGCCACACCGTGGAAGAAATCACACCCCCGCCCACCGCAAACCCCTTCACGGGCCTTAATCTCGCTTCCCAACTCCTCAACGCAGATGGCTGCCACCACTTCAACGCCCCTCTCAAGTCCTTTGAGCCTTCAGATCCAGGCGCCATCCAACTCTCCCGCATCGCCCACCTTTCCCGCCCCCTCCGCTACCTCTATTACCTCTACGTGCGCTACATCCGCCGGGACACCGTCACCGCGGATCTTCTCCGCAACTTCGGCCCCAAGTCCTCCGCCCAACTATGGACCCTCACGGCAGCCCGTGAAGCCTTCCGCGCCGCCTGGCACAACTGGTGGGATTCCGATTCCCAGCAATTCGACTTCATTCTCTGTCCTGTAAACGCAACCCCCGCCCTCCCTCATACCGCCATGCGCGATGCTGTCTCGTCGTGCGGCTATACCTTCCTCTGGAATCTGCTCGACTACTCCGCCGGAGTTATTCCGGTCGGCCACGTCAATCCCATCCGCGATGCACTGTCCTCTCCATACAAAACTGCTCTGAAACGCCTTGGGGCGGATAATGGTATTGCCCGCGGTGCGTGGAAACATTACGACTCGGCCAAAATGGCCGGTCTCCCCACTGCCGTGCAGATTGTTGGGCGGCGTTGGCAGGAGGAGCAGGTCCTTGGGTACATGGCGGTTGTGGAGAAGGCATTGGAATCCTACGTTGATCCGCAGACTGGTACCAATTGTCGGTATCCCCTTTTGGAAATTGACTAGTGGTTGCGTGTTACACAATGACCTAGTGTTGATTTCGTATCATTTGAACGGAGGTGTTCCGGTGATCCAGTTCCAGTTGCATACGTAGGTGCGTGCATGTACATGGCCCAATGTGGCTAGATGTGCGGCATGGTTTGTGATAGGGCTAACTGTGCCGAACCAATCGAGGCCTTTCGGGTTTTGTATCGTAATTTCATCACGGATTAACTAGTCACTGCAGTGTAACCTGGCGATGCGTGGCATTAGGGTTCAAATGTTGTTCTTCCATAGTTCACCGTGTACGGAGTAGGAGTAGTGGAACTCGATTATGGTCTGATCGACCCACGCAGTTCTCCCACAATTGCTGGGCCGATCGAAACTCTGTATGAAACTCTGTATAAATCTACCGATCACAACTGAACTCTGTATAAATCTAATAGCATTGTCTAGACTCGCCTATTAGGTTTTAGGGATCATCTGCGACTTGTTCGGCCATGTTTTGTTTATTAGCCGTAGGGGCTCGAGCTTTCGGAATATTCATAATTCGTCCAGGGCTCGGAAACGGCTGTTTCGTACGTACTGGAGTAATATATGGGGTATTAATATAAAAAGATAATGTTCGACATAGACCATCAGTAATACATACATGTAGTCAATTATATGAACCAAAGTGAATGTGTCCGACACAACGATCGACAGGGTCCACCTGTCAGATGTCAGAAGAAGCTAGTGGCCAAAGGGTTTTACTCTTAGCACAGTGCTCGAACCCCTTCATTGGCTTGTTTCAGGGGTTCGGGATGATCAGATTTGTCAGGGGTGTTTATTTCATCATACGGGGATTATCGGCTGGCTATACGAGATAGAGCAGTATCCCCGGAATCTTAATGAGTATTCAGTAGCTCATGGATAGCTGTAGAGCCAGTAGGCTACTAACGAGAACGGTTTGAACTAGTACGCTTTAAAGGGTTTCCCCTACTACAGTGGGCCGTCGCGAAGGCTGTAAACAGTCTTAGTATGCAGCGACTGACATATGTGGAGAACCACAGCGAAAAGAAAAATCAAGTCTGGACTGATTAGGCAAAATAAAGAAGCGTATAAACGATCGGCAGTCACGGGGGCTTAGCTTCAATTCGTTTTTACTCTTTTTGACTCTTCATATTATCTCCCCCACCTGAGGACCGAGATTCAAAACATCTCTTTTCTTTGCGGATCTGTGAAAAGAATGCAGTCCAATACATGATAATTGACAAATGGCGTCAAGAAGAAAACAACCAAGAAATAAGGATGGAATCCACTTCGTCAACGCCAGACCTTCTACCGAAACAGAAAAACTGAAAGCTCAACGCATGGTACGCGCCCATGTAGGACGCTGGATCTCAGACCAAACAAAAGACCGCTCCAAATTTCACCGCGCAATCCCCTCCAGCTCCTCGACTTCCCAACAACAACCCTCCCACCCTCTTCTTGCCCGTGTCCGCCCAATCCCAGGCCCCACTCGCGCCCCCGATCGCACCTCGCCATTCCCGCCCTCCAACGCGTTCGATTCAAGCGACAGCAGCAGCGATGAGAGTAATTCCGATACCCGGATCCGCGACCCCCGCGTTCTCGATCGCTGGTACAAGCTCCCGGCCCTGGCACGTCTCGAGCGCAATGTCTCCAGCATGTTCGATCCCTTCGTGACATACCCCGCGCCCCGCGCTTTCGAGCCCGAGATGATCGATATGTCCGAGCGGTATATCACCGGCGTGGTGTGGCCTGGTCTCACCCCGCGCCCGGACCATATCAAGACGCCTGGGAATAAGTCGTGGTTCCAGATGTCCATGGCGAACCCGGAATTGTTCACGGCGTTTATGTTCGGCTCGTTGTGTCACCTTCGCGTGCAGTGGCAGAATAATTGGATCCCCGGGACGACCTTCGGCCCTAGGCAGCGGCGTGCCTTGCAGATTTGCGAAATGGAAGCTATCAAGTTGATTAATCAGGCTGTGAGGAATCCGAATCCTAAGCGCGCTGTGAGTGACGCGGTGCTTTTGGCGGTTATTTGTATGGCGCATCATCAGGCTGAGGAGGGCCTGGTACACCAGCACCGCAAAACGCCGTTCAATCCGCCTTTTCCGCGACTGCAGTGGATCGATGTCTATGGGTGTCTGCCGCCGAATATGGTTCATATCAAAGGACTGGTGCAGTTGATCAAGCTACGGGGTGGCTTGACGAATATCCCAACAGAGGGTCTAGCGGCGACGATATCTTTGTATGTTTTGGCAATTCTCAACCCCCATATAATCTGCATACTAACACACTTTAGCTCGGACATCCTGACGTGCAGCGTTTTCTGCGTCCATCCATGCTTTGAATTCTGGCCCCTAACCGAATCTCGCATGGGAATGTCCATCCAAGAAATGCTCGGCTTCACCCAAAGAGACATCGACCAGGGCTTCGGCCGTCTCCAAGAAATAGGAGCAACCAGCCAAATGGCAGAAGCCTTCCAAGCAGTCCACGCCTACATCTCAATGATCAAAGCGAATCCAACCTCCGTCCGCGACGTCTCCCTCCCTAGCCGACCAACGCAACCTCACCCAGCACACCCTCCTCTCTCTCGCCCCAGCCGCAGACCTCCACACCTTTTTCTCCCTCTCCCACGCAGCCACATACGAAGCCTGCCGTCTGGCAGCTCTCATATTTGGCGTCGGCGTGCTGTTCCCCATCCCCGCCCAAAACACACCCCTCAATAACATCGCCCGTCTCATCCAAGCCGTCCTCCTCCAGCCAACCGCTTCAGAACTCTGGTCCACCCCTGCTACCCGCATCCCCCTCCTCTGGATCTTGACTCTGGGCGGCATCGCAGCGAGCGAGACGCCCGAGCGCGCGTGGTTCGTCTCCGCCCTGGAGGATATCATGTCCAAAATGGGTATCCACACTTGGCCCAGCTTGAAGACTCTGCTCGTGTCCATGATCTGGTACGATGCCGCTTGTGATATGGCTGCGGAGGCGCTTTGGTTCGAGTGCCAGTCGCAGGCTAGACATGGCTATGTTATTGAGTCGTGAAGTCGTTGCGTTTGGGGCCATTTCCCTTGCAGACTTTCTGTCTGCCCTGCATATCCCGCTTTCTTGGCCCGAGTGTCAAATTCCCTCTTTTCCCGCTTACCTCCGCATCGCCACTTGCATATACCTGTGCTGAACCAGATATCTGTTGTATAAAGAGGCGAGGCAATTGGCTGGAATACTTCACTTCCCGCTTCACTCTCCATGAAATGGACACTTGGATATAATTGGATATACCTGTGCTGAACCAGAAACACGTTGTACAAAGAGGCGGAGCAGGAAGGTGTGTGGGCTCTACCTAGATCTGGAGAATCAGGTTTTGAGCATGGATTGGCGAGGACCTTCCACCCGCCACGGAGTTTGTGTGATCTTTTTTCTTTTGGGGGGACACACGTTAATACTCTTTCTTGGCTTGAGAGATAATACATCAACTCCATGTATATGCCGTCGACATAGTCTTGTTCGTTGTTATATTTATATACGCAGTCTACATACGTTCAAATACCCACTTCGTTTGATATATCTCTTTTCCCCAGCATAGCACAAACGGAACGATATTGAGCTTACCGACTTGATCATCCTTGTCGGAGTTTACGTCCTCTTGTTCTGAACAACGAACTAGTACGCGCATTATAGCACACTCCGACACGTCTTCCATGGCACCATGTTTTATGGAAGCGTTCTTTTCTCAGCATCGCATCTTGCATCATGTTCGTCATCAACGAAGAGCTTAGCACAACTTGTCTCAAAGACCGATTCACAAGGAGCGGATTCCTAGAACTTGGTTTCTTCCGTGCTATATATCGTGTGATGTTTGGGGCATGGAACTAGATCGGATGAGGGTTGTGGGATTTCATGGATGCCTGATTGTCAGGTTGTGTGGGGAGCTCTTCTCTCTCTCTTTCCTTTCTTCCCCATCTTCAGTGTCTTGTCGAATAGGATCAGTTCTTTTTAATTTGACTTGCGCATTTATTCTGCCTAGTACAGTGATTCTCGAAATCGGCTTGACAGATACACTCTTGATCACTCTTTTCTGGCCCCACCGCCAAGACCTTAGCGCAGATCAAATATTGAGCGGATTGCATCGAATTGATGGGCATCGTAAAAGTCACCTACAGTGGCAGCGCTAACTTCAGCGGTGCCACTGTAACACCCGCTTAGTCATCTCCCTAATCTAAGTCAAGCCATAATATAACCTCGCAACCCAAGCTCATTTGGGGGTGACAGCAGCAATCAGCCATCCTTCCCCCTCCCGAGTTACTCCGATGGCTGCTACTGTGCGTGGAAACGGCAACGGACTAACACCGATTGCCCCAACTTCCATAGCAAATGGTGCGCGGGGCTTGGGTTATGAAAATGCTTCGGTGTCACTAATGCCGCAGGCTTGTCAAACATGCGCGAAACGCAAAGTCAAATGCGACAAGGTGGCACCCACTTGCTCCAGATGCCGCAAGGGTGGGCTCGAGTGCCTTTACCAGACAACCCAGCCGCGATCACGGAAAAGAAAAATCAGCGATGAGGCGCTGGAAAAGCTCGCTCGATATGAGCGCATCCTTAAAGAGAACGGGCTTTTGGATGCTGAGATCCCAGTCTCTACTGGAAACACGCACTGCGAAGCGTCTCAGCTTGTCGATCCTGACCACCAGTTAGGGACCTCAAAAACGGGTAAACTCCTGACTGTTCGAGGCAAATCGCGATACGTCGATAGTCACACCTGGTACAATCTCTTAAATGATGAGATCCACCACATTTCCGATGACGATGAAGAAGATGAAGCGACCCCCTACAGTTCTAGTCTCTCGAGGAATGTCACCTCATACTCAGACCCATTAACCGGGGCGCTCCTTGGAGGACATCAAAATCTTACTCAATATCACCCAACCCATGCTAATGCTATGGTGTTGTGGAAGAGATATGTTGATAACGTGGAGCCTATTTGCAAAGTCCTACACGTTCCGTCAACAACTCAGATGGTGGACTCGGCATCGCAACGCCCTGAAACGGCCTCAAAATCTGAGGAGTGTCTCTTGTTTTCGATTTACCATGCCGCAGTATTTTCTATGCCAGAAGAAGACTGTGCAAAGTATCTTAACCAGAAGCGTGGTGCAACAATGCAGCAGTACCACCATGCTGCAAGGCAAGCCCTTGTGAACGCGTCTTTCTTAAGAACAACAGAGTTATCGGTCCTCCAAGCGCTCTTTCTTTTTCTTCTGCCCACCCGCTACTCATATGACCCGCATACCTACTGGATCTTGACCGGTATCGCATCCCGCATAGGACAACGGATTGGGCTTCACCGGGACGGAAACAAGCTCGGGCTACCTCCTTTCGAGGTTGAAATGCGACGACGGCTCTTCTGTCAAGTATTCCCGCTCGACTTTAGAGCAGGTCAATCTGTTGGTACCGATTTTATGGGTTTGCCCGATTTCTGGGATTCTCGGCCTCCCCTTAATATCAATGATGACCAAATTTGGCCTGGAATGGCCAAACCTCCAACAGAGCAAAAAGGCGCCACAGATATGATTTTTTGTTTGTCGCGCGCATATTTGGGTAAGAACTTGAGTCGGGCGGGAAATCCAATCAACGGTGCTGCGCCCTGGAAATTTTCAAACTATCACGAAGCGGACAAAGTTATTAGCGCCGCAGAAAGCGAAGTGGAGGAGAAGTTTATACGATACTGCGACGTTGTTGATCCACTGCATTTCCTCACTATTGGACTTTCTCGGTCGGGATTGACTGCTATGAGGCTTAGGGTCCGACTTTCTCGGATCAGGGAGCCGAGCGCTACGGACGAAGAGAGGAAGGAGGCGTTTAATCTTGCACAGAAAACGCTGGGTATTGATGGAGCCGTTCATGCTCATAGCGGCATCAGCAAGTTCCAATGGCACACCCGGCCTTTCTTTCTGTGGGGTACACGAGAGGCATTCATCTTTACTCTTACAGTTTTATCAAAAAGGCGCGATTTGCTGACTACTGAAGAGACGACAACTGCCTGGAACAGCGTTGCGGAACTGTACAAAAACCATGGAGAGCTCTTTGATGGCAAACAAGCTTGGCATGTGGGACTTCGAAGACTGACTCTCAAGGCCTGGGACTCCTCTCAGTCAGATAATGTCGCTGCAGAGCCAGAATTCATTCGGACCCTTGGGCATCTACGAGACAAAAGGGGGACACCACACAATCAATGCCAGGGCGAGAAAGCAGAGACAGTATCAATGGAAGCCAACGTCATGGGCTTCGCAATGAGCACTGATTATGAATTTGATGTGGATGACTGGGTTTTCTGGGACCAAATAATCCAAGACCGTTAAAGCCAAGGTTGAATACATCGTTGTGATTGGCTCAGAGCTCGGATCATTGTGGCCGAGCTACTATCCGAGACCGAGGGTTTGGCCAATCAGCGAGCTTACCTCCTCGGGTTAACTTGTCCGCCAGTTAGTATATAATCTGATTGAGTGCATAGGATCATATTACCCAGGCCTACTGCTATCATGTCCAATTTGAGGATTCTCGTCGTGGGGGCATCCATTGCCGGACCAACAGCAGCTTACTGGTTCGCTAAGATTGGCGCGAAAGTCACAGTTATCGAACGATTTCCACAATTGCGATCCGGTGGTCAGAATGTCGACATTCGGACAGCCGGTGTATCGGTAATGCGAAAAATGCCTGGGATGGAAGACGCTGTGCGAGCCAGTCTAGTGCCGGTGGAAGGTATCAGCCTTGTGCGCGAAGACGGTCAATCATATGGGATCATGAAGGCTTCTGGAGACTCTGAACAACAGTCTCTCATCTCTGAATACGAGGTCCTCCGGGGCGACCTCTCGCGGATCATTTATGGCTTGACCAAGGACCATCCAAATGTCGAGTATGCCTTCGGCGAGCAAGTTGCATCGATCCACCAAGAACAAGATGATGGGCCGGCAAGAGTCGAGTTCATGAACGGGCGTACGACTTCGGAATACGATCTTGTTGTCGCATGTGATGGTGCTGCTTCAAGAACTCGTGCTATAGGTCTTGGCTGTGGTGTCAGAGACCATATCTCACCGATCAACTCCTGGGTGGTGTATTTCACCACCAAGGAAGATCTTCTAAACGGAAGTCAAATTGTCCAAGCACATAGTGCCCCAGCCGGACGATTTTTCGTCGTCGGACCTGAACCCTCTGGTAACAATCGTGCCGTGATGATGGGCATCAACCCTAGAAACGGACCCGACGCCGTCCAAGCCTTCCGTGAAGCCAATAAACTCGGCCCTACAGCATTGAAGAAGTATGTGGCGCAGTATTTCAAAGGAGCTGGCTGGAAATCTGAAGCAATCATCCGGAATATGATAGAAAGCGACGACCTATACGGTAGCGAGATGATTCAAGTTAAACTCCCGACACTACACCGGGGAAGATTCGTCACGGTTGGCGACGCTGGATACGCCACTGGTCCCACCGGCACGGGAACTAGTCTTGCCCTCGCAGGCGCTTATGTTCTGGCTGGAGAAATTGGAAAACATCCCCACGATCTGGCAGCCGGTTTGAAAGGTTATGAACAGCAGATGCGACCACTAATTGATGAGATGCAAAAGATCCCACCGTTAGTGCCTGCAATCATGGGGCCTCAAAGTGCTTGGGGAATTTGGCTCCGGAACAATGTATTCGCTTTCATCTGCTGGAGTAACCTTCCAAAATTGATGCACAAGCTCTTTGGCGGCGCCTCTGCCCACACTAATGATATCCGTCTGCCTGAGTACAAATGGGCCGCTTGATCGTGGGAATTATTTTCAGTGTCAATTTTCTTTGTACTTTACTCACACCAATATCTTCATTGTTCGAAAGAAGAAGAACCTGTTTTAAATCTCAACTTGTATTGATACTCCCCTGACTTTCAAAAGACTACTCAAATATCCACTATTTGGTGGCAGTTGATATACCTGACGCACCTGTTTAGAGCATTTTTGGCATTCTTGAGTCTGCTATTGATAAAAATGCGAGACTTGCTGTGTATCAAGATGCAGAATTTCATATCCGGCCAGTTTAAGTGCTTTTGCTCCCATGCCTGTTGAGTTTATCCTGCCATCTCGAGATTTGGGCTTTGGAACTTTGTCCAGCACCATTGTTCCTTTTGGAGGCAGCTTCCTCTTTGTGAGGCTCACCATCTCTGGGTCCAGCTGGCTGGAGGGGGTGGCGTTTGGATTTCGGCTTCGGCTCGGGATTAGCAACGATATTATGAAGGAACGCCAACTGTGCCACGTCATTTCATTGGTATTACTTTCCCACCGTATCTGGTGCTACTATTTGATATGCACTTCCGACCGTGTAACCGTCGTGGGAGAGAGGAGTTCTACTTGCTCGATGCTGTTCCATAATGAACTAGCTGAAAAACAGGTATGAAGACTGCTATCCAGGAGTACTCCAAATTATGTCTAAGCGCTGACTAGGATGGATGTGAATAGGATGTAAGTAATGGCCGTTGGCTGAAGAGCGATGACTTTGAGCATATAGCGCTGACTGGGATGGACGTGGAAGGGATGTAAGTGATGACATCTGACTAAGGAGCGATGACTTCAAGTATATGACGTTGACTGGGATGGATGTGAATAGGATCTAAGTGATGACCGTTGACTGAAGAGCGATGGCTTGAAGGGTATAGTGCTGACTTGAAGTCACTTTTAGTAAGGCAACTGTAAGAAACTCCGATCAAAGTACACAGCCCTTTGAAATGCTTTTCTTCTGTCAGTATTCGAAACGATCTCATGGTATTTGTTCTATCGATATTTGATTTGAGATCTGATTCTGTCTGTAGTGCGGACTCTACTATGGACTCATTTGTTGTTGTTCTCTTTCGGCCTTGGTAAAGGCTTGCCCTGATTCAGATTTTCCTGTACTATTATGCAAATGCAAAGGCTTTGTTTTCCTAAATCTTCATCTATATTTCCCTTCTTATCCACGTAGTACAACATACTGAATAATGTCATACCTTAAATACGAGGGTGTTTACAGCACATCTTGAAGGTTTATAGGTTAGCATTCTCCTCGATCGAAGTAGCACGAGTTGTTAGGACTCGTCTCTATTGGCGAAGGTTGATAACTGGACGCTTCCTGCATCCAGCGGCGTGGGCAGCTTGGATTATATTAGGCAGCTTGCTGAGTGTCAGGTTATGAATCCAATTAAGCTCCAATAATGGAAGAATAAAGTCATGAGTATCCGTTGTATGAGCATCTCGTGTAGTCTACGCATATATATTGTCGTACGAAACCTTTCGACAACTTGGAACACACTTGACCGAGAGTATATTAGCGTGGTTCAAACAAGGGTTCGAAAAGAAATCAAAGGGAATCAAGTGGTGAAACTGATTTCCATCCATCATGTACATGCAGACTGCCTAGGTATAAACCCATATCATATCACATCTCAAACCCCATACCTCCTCCCCTCCCCATCCAACAACGGCTCCCTCTCCCCCCGTCTCCCACCCTCCCTCTCCCAACTCTTCAAAGCCACAAACCCAACAAGACCCGCTCCAACCCCAGCAACCAAAACCGTAAGGCTGACGTTAACCGGCACCGGATTCCCCCTCCAAATCTTTAACGTCAGCGCATCAAGACCCGCCTGCGCGAAGTTCCCAACCCCAGCCAAACAAATGACAAGCCCGTAGACCTTCCCGAACGTCGCAAACCCAAAGACCTTCGCCGCGTAATCAGACACAGCAGTATAGTAGAATGGCCGGTACAGCACGAAAAGAATGATATTCGCGTATGCCGCGCCGACGTGCGGGATACAGCCTAGGACGCCGATGGCGGTCGCGGTGAGGACGAGGAGGGCGAGGACGGTGCGGGTTTGGAAAATGTCTAGGAAGGTGCCGATGAAGGGGACGGAGACGAGGCCGCCGATTGGGAGGAGGATATCGAAGGCGGTGTTTATTGTTGCCGCTGTGTGCGCGCTGAGGAGGTATGTGTATTGCGAGCGTAGGGTTGCGACGAAGTAGTTGATTCGCAGCATCATTAGCACTGTGAAGGCGGCTATGAGAGTGAACCATGGTGTGCGGATTTGGGATAGCGCACTGCGCCCGTGTAGGACGCCCCAGACGCCGGTGGGTTTGGGGGTGGGCATGGTTTGGGTTGGATTGGTTGGGTTTTGTTGCATGGCGTTGTCGATGGAGACTATGGAGGTGGTGTCGCCTAGGAGGTCTTGGGTGTGGTTGATGATGCTTTCTCGGCGGAGCCGTCTGTCTTTGCGTTGGCGCTCGCTTTCGTTTGGGTCCAGGCTGTCGTCTGGTCGGTCTTGGATCTCGTCTGCGACTTGGGCTTCGGCTTGTTGCACGAGCTCGCCGGCTGTTTTGTAGGATTTGGCGGGCATGATGAAGATTTGCGCGGCGATGATAAATACCGGGACGATGAGGTAGACAGCGAAGAAGTTGTTGATTGATACGAAACTCGTGTGCTCGTTCAGCAGTCTGAAGAGCAGGAATAGAGCGCTCGAGGCGTCAAATGCCCCGGTCAGCATTGATAGGATTAGGCCGGAGCGTTTGGGGAATGTATTGGATAGATGAAACGAGGGAATGAATACAAAGGGTCCGCCCAGTGCGAGGAACAGGTATCCGGGGATGTATCCATCAAAGGGGAGCTTGCTGGCGGTCCCAAAGAGCACAGCTCCTAGGGCCAAACAAATGCTGCCAATTATGCCGCTGACTCGGGGGCCATACGCGTCAAGGATAGTTCCTACGGGTAGGGCTGAGACATTTGTCACTACGGCGGCAATGGTGAACATCAGGTTGAGCCTGTTGGAGTTAACAATGAGCGTGACTTGTTAGAAATGATCGTATACCTAATTTCTTGTCCGTCGCAGACATCGACATTTTCCTCAAGCTCCGCCCGGGAGCAGAGGTTACGATATACGTTTTCGCGGATGAGAACAGGTTTTAGTGCCGCAAAGCCAAAGACCACCCCAGCAGCGAGAAAGCAGTATACAACCGCCGTGCATATCTGGACTGCGAGGAGTTTAGTAAACTCAAAACGAACAATTATTTTCCAAAAGTAATTGAATGCACCTACCGATCCTTCTCACGGCACTAACTTCGTAAGCGCCCGTCGTCTGGGCCCACGGCGCATCTACCTCCAGCACGGGTCTCTCGAATACAGGCGAATCAGCACGTCCCTCGCGGGTAGCCGTCGGCGATAGTCCGAGAAATAAGGGGCCAAGGAACGAAGACCGATCGTCATGTAGATCATCTGGATTCTCGTTCCAACCTGGCCCCGCGTAGGGGTTGAAGTTCAGTCTGCTGTAGGTGGATGGGAAGGATGAAGCCACCGATCCTTCGGGAAGATCCTGGTATTCATCTGTGTCTGAGTCTGCGCCTGATTCTGGGTGGAGCAAGGCGGCAGTGCGCTCCCATCCATCTAGGAAGGAGATGCGGTTTAGGGACATGGCATTACAATGTGGAGGGGATGGTGGTTAGAGTTAGATGGTAAAGGTAGAGTTTGGATGCACGAGGAATAGAGATAGTAGTGATTGAATTGAGATAACTCGACTAGTATCAATAGTAGATCCGACCTCGCAGAGGTTGGAAGATAAGAAGTCAAGAGCAACGAAGTTGTTACCAAAGCTCTTCGTTATCTCGACTTCCCTGCATGTTGTCCTGATTTGTGAGGCACCAAGGTGTCAAGTCAGGTGCCAAGTCAGGTGTCAAGTCAGGTGTCAAATGCGTCATTGACCAGAGGTAGGGCATCAAGGTGTCAAGGTGTCCAGGCACCAAAACAGCCAGGAACCAGGCACCAATATCAGGCACCAATATCATTCGACTCCGATTTGAAGTTTTCCTCCAAGGTTTGAACGGCACCTAAGTTCGCCATGATTGATGAAATGATCAAAAATCCACAGGGGAAAGAAGCGGCTTTTGTTCTTTTCTTCCCTTCTTCCTTTTCTTCTCGGGGACATGCCGAAAGAGGCAGCTGTTAAAAGGAAGGCGCACTCCCCACATAGAACCGCACACACCAATCTCTGGACCAGGCTTTAACTTTATAACTGGACTAAAAAGGTACCAAATGCAATATCGGGAAGTCAGGTTGTGCGGTCTCGAATCATATCTTCGGCTTCACACGCCTTCGGACCTTCGGGGACGAAGGATCGACAGGGTTCGACGGATCCCCGTAGACTATCCACGGCTCAGATGAAATTAATACAAGAAATGCCGACAAATCCCTAAACCCCCACCACACTTGCGGGATTTGTCAAGTCGATCTCCGGCGTCGCCGGTCCAATGGTCAGTGGTCATCTAGCGAAAACGAAGGATCTAAGTTTTTAAGTCCATCTGGCTCTCTGCCGGGTCTTCTGGGGGAGGAGGTCCAAGCACGTATTCCCTCTCTCGGTGAGTTGGTAAAAGGCAAGTGGAGGCCATCATTTCCAAACTGTGGAAATGAATTAGCGTATCAGCCTTGTTGCGTGTGTTTGAGTTATATCTACTGGATGTACGTTGTGGTATGTAGATATTGTATGTCCCGACACACCTGGGCAACCGCCACAGATTTATACCAACCAAATTTGCCTGGTGATGGAGAACCTCCCATCCCTTTTCATTGGCCGATTTATACCGTCTGACGCATCCTTTCAAGCGACAATTTGCCCCATAGTTAGGTAAATATATATAAATATATATGGGAACGATTGTATTAATAAGAAGAAAAGGAGAAAACGACCAGAAGGGATAAAGGACATCTCGGCCATGTTCCTGCACCAATTTACCTATTCCACTATTCCACTGTTAATTTACTACTTCGTCCCCTTATTCCACCATGTTCCGAGATTCCGACACACAGATCTATTATTTTTTTTTTTCTTTGGATCAAAACCCTTCGATCGAGCAAAAGGTAAGAAACTTTAGTGGGGAGACCTTAACCAACCAGATGCCCTGTACACCCCTGTGCCTAGCACATTAGTAGTTAGTACCTACAGTATAGGTATAGTGGGGGAGTTGTAACCCTGGGGCACTGAACGTTTTTCCCGTTCGGGTTATCATCCAGAGATTCTTTCCCAAGTCGAGTTTTTGTTTTTTATGCATTTGACCCATTTCTAAGCTAATCTCCAACGGTAGGTGAACTAGCCCCTGGTTTATACCATCATACCCCAACACAACATAACTCAACATATCACCACAATTAAGAAGAAGAAAAAGAAGAAAAAAATCGGAAAAAAAAGAAAGATAAAAAAGACATACGCAATCCCATGATCTACCAATTCTCAATTCTCCCCCACTCTCTTCTCCGTATCTGGTTCAAAGTCTCTCCAATTACCTATTAACCAGTGACACTTTTATACTTAGAGCTCCTGATTTATCTCGAAATCTTCGGCGCATTCCGAGTATGCTTACTTTCTGGAAGCCTTCCCTATTTGTGATTGTACTTTTGACTGCGTAATGAGGGGATGGTGAGTATTCTCTGTTGTGCTAGGTCCTCTAATTCGTTGAATTGGTTCTGATTCATCTAACTCCTTTTAGCCTCACATGTCGTCTGCGCCATCTGAAATGTATGTCATTGTGACCGTTGTGGTTACCTTTTTACATCTTGAAATGACTCCTTGAATCATAAACATCTACTAACATCAATAGGTGACAAATCTGGCTTGAAATGTCTGCGTTGCCAAAGATCTGGCCGCGAATGTGTGCCGGCTCCCGGCAAATCTGAAGAGGTTTCGTTTCGCCATGGCCAGAATCCGTCCTTACGAGGAAAGGGGCCCCCGAGGTATGGCGAGAGTGACCTCGCTTTCCCCGATGATCAAGTTTGGGTTGAAACATCTTGCGACTGTACGTTTCGTCCTTCATTCATGCATTCATGCATGTATGAATGCATCGCTATGATGATCCTCCCCAACTAACCTTCCTCAGTCGACTTCAAGGATGAAACAGATCAGACGGCAGCTGAATATCATGTTGTACCGGTGACAAGGCAACTGTCAGATGCAAGATCATCCTCAGAAGATTCCACTCCCTCGTCCACGACGATGGATTCTTCTCTGACGACTCCAAATCTCACGATTCCTCGCACAAGCTATTTCGACTCGAGATCTAATTCAGGCACTCCGCGCTCTGCGACCACCCCTATCGGTCAAGCCAGAGTAACTAATGTCAGCGAAGCATATTTGCTTCGCCATTTCCAAAAGTACCTTGCTCCTTGGGTGAGTAATGTGTGTATTCGTTCTACCAAAGACCCCAACCCCTGATCCATCAATCCAGCTCGACGCATGCGACCCCGGCCGCCACTTCTCAACAGATGCCGTCCAGCGCGCAACTCACTCCCCACTACTCCTCTACGCATGCCTAGCAGTCTCGGCATGCCACTTATCCAGAACAACAAATTCCATCTCCCCAGATGTCGCCCACGCCTACCACGACCGCTGCATCTCAATTATGCTCCCAGTCCTCGACAAGCCCGAATCAGACATCGGCATCGACATCCTGCTCCCGTCGACCGTCATTCTCCGATTCTTTGAATCAATCTCCAGTACGCGTGCCTCGACTCTCATCTTTCTTCTGTTTCTTGCTTTCCCCCCATCAAAATGAATAATAATGCTAATCCCCACCAGCCCACAGCCCCCCTACGACGTCCAGCGCCACCTCCTAGCCGGCTCCGTCTACATCAGCGCGCATGTAGACTGCGCAATCTCAGGCGGTCTGGCCTCCGCCTCGTTTTGGGTCTTCGTCATCCAAGATATTCAATTCGCCTTAACGTACCAGAAATGCCTGCGGATTACCTTCGCCCCCTTCGACGAGAGCCTGCGCCGCTGGTGGGGCGCTAAGACTGTTCTCTCCGACGGTGACTGGACTAATCGTGCTATCTGGCTGCTCGCTGAGACTATTGACTTCTGCTATAATATCTCTGGCCGTAGCCATGATGGTCGGTTAGGGAGTCTGGGCGAGAGCGCGCTGAGGAGGCGGATTCTTGATTGGGAGCTTGGGAGGCCGGATTCTTTTGCGCCATTGCATTTGTCGGCTCCGGATCCTGGGAGGGGGAAGCCTTTTCCTGTTGCATGGTATACGAGTTTGTGGCATGGTAGGTCTTCGGAACTTGTCGGTCTGTTGTTGGTTTGTTTGCTGATTGTGGTTATGTAGCGACTGCTATTCAGCAAATCTGCATGGCTAAGGCGCTGATGCTGATTCGCGAGTTGGAGTTCTATGATCGGAGCCTGCTGCATTTGGAGCAGCCGATGCAGCTGAAGGTTGGTCTTTACTACTTTTGCATCGTGTGACGCAAACCCCTGCTAACTGATAACCCTGCCAGGCCGATCTCGCCGAGAATCTCAACTTCATGTTCGGCATTGCTGTATCTGCCGAGGATGAACCTTCACTGCGTATCACAGCCTGCCATGCGCTCTTTGCTTGTAAGTTGGCCCCAACCCTCTAAGGCAGCTTCCGCTAATATGTATAGGTATCTCGTGGGTTGAAGATCCCCTTGTGCAGAGTCAGCTGTTTGATCTGCTTCGTCGCACAGAACGGGAAAACGGCTGGCCGTGGGGTTATGTGCAAGAGCAAGTCATGCGGGCTTGGAGACCGGTGTAGGATATACCCTTATAGATCAAAATACCTCATGATATAAACGAATCAAAGTGCCTTTGGGCAATCTGTATAACACGGTCTGGATTCAACGAATTCAGCATACCTTATCTATGGGAAATTTACCAAAGCAATTCAATCTTAGAAACGCCTCGAGCGAGGTAAGTTTGCATGGAAAATATGTTATAATTAATATAAACAAGGGTATATAGTAGAGAGGAGAACAAGCAACAAAGGACAGGCTAGAAAAGCCCAAAATTCCCGTCAAACGAAAGAGGGAAGGTGAACAATCCCTCATCCATCATATTCCCAAGCGTGAACCAAGGATCGCCGAAATTAGGATCCATGCCCATCTCGGGCGCCATTCCCATCGGCGGCGCAGGTTGCATCCCAGCGCCTGACATGTCCGGGTATCCCGGCTGGGTCGGCGCCACACTCGATTGGAGATCGGGGTAGTTTTGTGATGGGCCCGCAGGGAAGGGCTGGTAGTAACCTCTTGTCTCTGAGCCAGGGAGTGTGGTTGGGTAGGATGGGCCGGATGACCAGTTGGTTTGCGGGCTTGGTTTCGTTACTGAGAGGTTGGATAGCGAGGGGTCTCCGTAACTGGATGGTCCGGGTGTTGTCATTGGATTGGCTGGCCCGGGGCTTGCGGAGGAGTAAATTTGTCCGGGTATTTGACGGGCAGTGGTGGGGTTGTTCGCTCGGTGGGCTGGGTCGCCCATGGCTACTTCGCTGAGGAAATGGAGAGGCGTCATGCACTGTGACATCGGCATTGGTGGCTTTGCAGAGGTGGGGCTATTGGTTTTGCGATCGGATCCTTCTTTGTTATTTGAGAAGACCTCATTCAGCTCGCGGCCTTGGTCGCCCTGGTCTCGCTTTTTGACAAACCAATTGCGCAACAGAACCATGATATTACCGAATTTGGCGGCCGCACGACCACCATCGCGCCCTGCGGCTGTGCGATAATGCGCAATGACTTTGTCCAGATAATAGTCTAGTTTAAGACTCTGCACATCGAGAATTTGCCCGATGCGACTGTCGGGCGTCATGAAGAGCGAATATATCTTGATCAGACTGACCACGGGGTATGAGGAACGAGCTAGGGATGTCGTCGGTAGAGAGATGAGCCGGTCGATCTCAATACTGCAGATTACATCGATACTCTGGTGGATGCAGCGGATGGCCGTATTCAGTGCATCGATTACTGCAGCCATAGATGAGTTGTGCAAGTTGTCGCGAGAAGGAGAATTATCACTGGTGTTATAATTAACACTCATGGCCGATTCGTGCACGAACAGGTTCAAGACGTGTTCTGTGTGAATCATAGGGCCTGGGATAGACGTCAGCAAAAGGATATACTTGTTCTATCTAAATATCAGAACTTACCTGTATAGATATCTTGCGGGATTTCCGCTCTCCACTTCGCAATTCGGTCCTCAAATATTTGCATATCGTACCACACCTTGCTGTCCGCAAAAGTGGAAATAGAACCAGGTTCCTCAGTGGAGAAGTGATTTCCGGCATCCTCCATGATTAGCCCAAGTTTTGCCCACCATTTCAATCTACGATCCGAGGGAAGCGCATCAGGGTGAGTTTCCAAAATCTCAAGGCACTCGTCCATGTACGGTTGCCAGGTGACCAGGTGTACTCGTCTCAAAGCCGCCGACATTTGCGCAGCCAAATAGTAACATCCGACCCAGGTTCGCCTCGCCTCTGGTCCCTCGGGATCGAAGGCAGGCCCAGTGGGCTTTTTGATGATCAACTCACGAATCATGTTGAAACTCCGCCTGGTCTCGGATAGCCGACGGTTAAGACCCAGCTCCATGCTCAAAATCGCGGCCAAGTGGGTTAATGAATAGAATTTGAGCTCCTCGAAGTTGTCTGGTGGAATGTACCAGATGGCAGAGACCATGATAGTCTGAACAAGCTCGAGTGACTTTTGCCCTTTGACAATGACATGCTCGGCGATTGTTCGGTAGACCTCATTGATTAGAATTGGCTGTGCCTCAGGATTGAAGACGCCAATTGAAACAGCGATGATGGCCAGGAACAAGAAAGGCTTATTGCGCCGGACCTCGCCCATAGTTGTCCCCGGCGGGAAAACAACGAATGGCAGCTCCGGCGACATCTGGTAGATGTACCGCTGAAAGGCTAGTTCGGCAGTTTCGTATTTTATAAGACCTCGATCTATCATGTCGGCAAACTCATTGCTGGCCTCTGGCTTCGCCAGCAGCGCAGGCTCACCAGCACCAGCCTTCCGCCATTGCCTCGACGCTGGAGGAATTTGTTCCGCAGATGGACTGCCAGGGCGCGAATATCGCGGCGCTAACAATCCACCCGCTGCCTTAATCTCACCAGTAGCCTGCCGCTTACTCCCAGCGATTTTAGACTCCCCAGTCCATCTCCGACCAGCAGGCTCAGCACGCGGCGACGGCTGACCCTGACTGCCAGGAATCAATTCACCAGTATAATTTCCCTGCAGCGTAGCCGTCAAGGCATCGATCTTGCGCTCCAGCTCCGCAACTCGGCTATCGGTCTTTTTCTGGCGCTTGCGCGTGGGCGCCGTGACTATGCATGTACGTCGCGCCTTGGCGCATCGCTTACATGAGCCTTCTGGGTGGTCGGGGTCCGGGTCACAGCGGACTTTCAGTTGGCGACAGGGCTCGCACGCGCGTGATCGTTTGGCGTCGTGGCTGTCGGGATCGGGGGACGGGTTGCCATGCGCCGGGCCCATGAGGGGTTGCGCTTGCGTTTGCGCCGGCGCCGTCTCTCCGGAGTCCCGGCTTTGATACGGGTGAATGGTGTGGGACGGTGGCTCCGGGTATTCCGGGTTTGTGAGGGTCGGTCGGGTCGGCATGTACACAGGCCGTTGGTCCCCGTCTGGGTGTAATTGAGGATCGATGTCCATACAGTGTGGGGATAATCGGCCAATACCGATTCAGCAAGTGCACGGCTGTCACATATTAGTTTCAATGTCCATGTTCAAGGATGCCATTGGTGTTGCTTCGTCGCTATTCACCGTCAAAATCGCCAACAGCGGGCCCGCGGAGAACGGTGATCGCAAACACCGACCACCGATATGTGGAATGTGGACGATCAACATGGACTCCCGCTATATAGTGCACGTGGATATGGAATAAGTAAACATAACTAAAGTAACTCTCACCTTTCTTTCAAATGCTTTCAGTCAAGCCTGACTCCTCAATCACTTTGAGTTAAGAAGTGGATGAAGTTTTCACTTGGCTCTGGTATTTCGGGGTGGCACGTGATCGACTGATGGCCTGATTTCATGCTACGTGAGTTGTACATATTATTGATTCTAAGTTGAATTGATATGATTCGAAATTATTGAATTAATCATTGATCTCAAATGAGATCTCTCGCTCATCGGGGAATCACACAACACTTAAACAAAAGAAAAAAAAAAGCGAACGGCTAATGACAAAATATTGAATAGCATTCTTAAGATATGCATCACATTTAGGAAAGCTTGTGCACCGGGCACTCGCTCTTCCTCTCAAACCAGACCACAATGCAGTGCTTGTGGAACTTACACAGGCACTCGAGGCGGGCCAGGGTCTGCCCAACCTCGTAATCCTCCATGCAGATCGTGCACTCCGCTGCCTGCCCGTCCTCGCCGAGGCAGTCCTTCTCCGTAGCCACGAAGGGCAGCATGCGAGCTGAGGGCGGAGGAGGGGGCAACGGAGGACTCTGTTGCACGGACGATGGGTGGGGTGGGGTCGGTCTCAGATAGTTCTCAATGCAGTCCCGGGTGTGGGCTTGGCGGGCCTCGATGGGCTGCTCGGTGCTGAGGGGGGGAAATCTGCGCCGGCAGACAGGGCAGAAGTCGCCCTCTTCGAGGGGTTGGCGGCCATCCCGGCTGGACAGTGCACGACGTTGGCGGGTGCCGCTTGGTTGCGAGCTCAGATGATGCAGAAATTGTGGTCGATCATTTGCGCCCACAGTGCGTCGTTCCTGGCGCGCCTCAGGGTTCTGAGTCTCACCCTGCAGGTTGGTATTAGTCAATAGCCAGGATGCAGAAATTGTAGTAGAACTAACCGGCAAAACGTAAGGATTGACCATCGTAGATGAAAGTGAATGTGTAGATCGGTGGCCATGTGCCCGAACGGTGGTGTAATCGACAGGATTCGGGTTGGGGTCAGGCACACAAGGATTACAAAGTCGTACTTCTTCGCCTCCGCCGAGAGCAGGGTTCATAGTTGATAGTGGAACAGGATCGTCGCCTGTGAGGTCGACCACCTGTGGGGAGCGGGATGGAGTTGGGGATGAGCCAGTAGGGTTGTCAGCAGTGTCAGGCGGCCGGACAATGAACTGTCTGGGGATCGTGATGCGATGGGGGGAGCAGGCAGCACACACGACTCTACCACATTTGCGACAATGATGTTTGCGGTACCAGAAGCTAAACATTGTCCCACAGATCGGACATTCGGAGACATCTGAGTCGGCCTGCCATTTGGGAAGAGACATTTCCATAACCGGTGAGTGACGGTTGGTGTGTTGAGATGGAACGGTGCGGGGTGGACTGGTATAGGGCGTTGGATTCTCGCGTCGAGGACGACGCAACAATTGTTCACCAGGGAAAGTGCGAGTAGTTGTAGGAACAGGGGAATCTAAATCAATGGCGGTTGCAATTGAGGAGCCAGGTGTCGCCGAAATAGAAGTTCGTGTTCGAGAGGAGGGCAACACCATAGAAACAGATCTATGTGGCAGAACACTTCTGACAGCTCCGCCATTCTCTCGGGCCGGTCCAGCGGTACCCTCAGAACGTCCCCACTGCTGCGTCCTCGCATCCTCGCCAGTACTAGTCAACCGTCGTTTGCGATCTACTCCGGGGCGAAGAGGAAATTCTCTTTGTCTTGAATTTGCTCCATCTTGGGCTCTGTCATACCCGCGATAACTTCCAGGGCGATAACTTCCAGGCTGAGTTGCCCCATGGGTCTCTAGTCCTTCGACTGGTCTGATGTCTTCATCTTCCCGCACCAACCCCGGCGGTGGGCTTGACCCAGACGAACTAGATGATGCTGTGCTTGAAGCCATTATATAATGTATGGTTGGGCCGGTTCAATTTATCGAATTCCCCAGATATGTTCAACGCAGGCAACGAGATCGACCTCGGCCGTTAGAGCGACAGTTCTTCATGAACCAAGTGGCAATTTTAAGGTGGACGGCAATCAAACAGATTGGAGATGGCGACGTGGAAGATAAACAGTCCTTTCGTGCAATCTGGGGCTCAGCTTCAATGACGTGGACGCTTTTTGCCGAAGATTGCATCCAGGAGTGAGAGGATGATGCTGATCATGGAGCCAAGACTGGTCGGAGTTAGATGATAAATGAGGCTGAGTGTCTCGTGACTATGCTCTCAGATGTGAGCACAGCGATTTGGACGCCAGTTTCTGATGGAAACAATCCTCAGAAACCAGCGGAGGGACAAAATGATTTGATTGTATTCAGGAAAGAAGGAAACTAAACAAAGATGGATGATGCAAGTGTCCAGAGATACGGCGGTTATCGCGGGGGGGCGGTGAAAACGGTGGCGATTGGCAAATTCGGCCCGATCCCGGATACCCTAGGCGGTGCATCTATACCACCTGCTCCAGCTATCAAACTATCGAACTATCGAACTATGACTCTGGCCGGTATTTTTTTTCTTTTCCAAAATCATTAGGAAAATGAGGAGAAATCAATGGACTATCCTCGTTATCTCCAAGAAAATGATCAGCATACGTGACGGAGATTTTTCAATGCATAGCCGCGAGGATCCTTGCATGATATTGCTACTAGGCTGCAAGCCATGCTTGGCCCCAGTCTGATCTTAAACGCTGTCGGTGGTCTTGGAGGTCATTTCACAATAGCAAACAAAGCTAAGGCCATTGCGGACGTAATAGCATTGTGCACTGCACTGTAAATCTCAGTGCTAGAATGATATATAAATATATGGATGCGGGCTTTTTGATCATCAATTTTGCGGTCTTTTTTGAGCGGTTCCGATCCAATGTTGCCCTATGGGACACTGGAGTTGTAAACAGGAACAGCAGCTTCGTGGTCTGAATTAGGCTTTCTGTATAAGAAAATTGAAGCCAGAACCTTGGAATCAGCCAGTTCTTGTATAGGATAATACCTGTGAGTCATGCACTTGGAGAGACCTTCCACTACGTTCTACTAATAGAATACGAAGATCCCAACGACCAGATAGAGAAATATTTCCTGACTATTAGACCTAACCGACTATGTCCTAGATTAATACAAGAAGAAAAGAAGCCAAAAGGAAATCACCCAGAAACAGAACGGCCTAAACTAACTCAGCCAAAGATGTGACAGGAAAGACAAAAGAGAGGCTAATGCTACTAGTCCCCATTAAGTGTACTCGGGATCGAAGAGTGAACGCCATCGCAGCAATTTTAGGTAACAAACAGGGAAGTGCAAGGAGATTCGTGACATGGCGTTACTGAGCCAGGAATTTGAGTAGGTAAGTCACGGATCTTATATCCGTTGACAAGAGATAAGATGGAAGATATGGGAGATAGAAAGGGAAGGTGGATATAGTTTCAAAATACAGGCTTTTGCTTTTTGCGTCTAGTGGTCGCGTTCACCGTGCATGGCGGCTTCGTCGACCAGTTCTGCCGAACTGCCGGCAAACGAAGGCTCGTCTGGACTTGCTTCGTGGATGTTGTCGTGGGCTCTATGTTGGGGGACGTAGCCCATGCTTGATGGTCGTTCGGTTCGTTGGCCGTTCTGGTGGCTTGAGGCATTCGACCGGGATCTTGAGGTTGACGTTATTGAGAGACCGCGTTCGCGAGACGGCGAGCTGTTTCCACTCAGAGGGAAGCGTGCTGCGTTTTCAGGTTGCAGGTGGTGTTCTGAGTGGATGGAGTTTTGACCTGCACCAGTTTCATGTGATAGGGGTTCTCTCACAAGTGGTAGGCCGGCCCCTGGGTCGCTGTCTTGTTCCCCGGCTACTTGTGTGTGGCGAGAGCCTGTGCGACTGGGTAGCTCGATGCCACCGCCAACTGACGTGTTGATTAAGGGTAGGATGGGTGGATGGGTCTCGCTTGACCGCCCGGGTGTGTGGTCACCGTCTGGGTCGTCGTATGGAACATTGCCCGTGGATACATTACGAGAGTGGCTACCTGATGGCGCTTCTGGATCGTCTTGGTAATGTTCGTTATAGCTCCCTCGTGGGAACATGCCTGGGGGAGGTGCGCGAGCGCTTCGGACGACTTCGAATCCTTTAGCCTTATCCTTCGTTTTCCCTTGAAGCAAACCTCGGAACCACCCTGTTGCAGAGGATACTGGACCTGTGGGGTCTGCTGGGCCAGTCTTCAGCTTTCGGGTGCCGCTGTGGGACAGCGGTGGACCTCGGACTCCGTAGTAGAAATCGACCTCACGGACAGCGTAATCCTTTGGCTGGAGCGGCGCATCGAGTTCCATGTCATCCTTGGGAGCTGACAGATATGCTGGTACAGGGGTAGCCCGTCCAGACATTGGCCCTCCCTCTCCGTCCTCATCATATTTAACCGCCCGCCGGCTTGACTTCGACTTCAAGAAGCCTCTCGACGGACTCTTTCCCTTCTCAAAGGACACACTACCTTGAGGTGTTCTTCGACCAGGTCGGGGAGGTCGATAGTATGGATCACGAGGATGCATTCCGACCATCGGGCTGTTCGGTGCACTGGGGAAGCCAGCTCCTTGGTAAGCCGTTGATGTTGGCGTGGGGAACCCTCCGCTTGCAGCGCGACTATGGGTGCCACCCTGCGAGCTGGCATAGTCAAGGATGGCACTAGCCCGACCCTCACTAGCTGTTGCGCGGTTTAAAAGCAGAGCAGAGCTACCAGAGAAGCTGCGCGGCCGCGACCCATCAAACTGTGAAGACATGCGATCGTCGGTATGGCCGAGCATGGCAGCTTCGGAGCCCATGCTCTGGCGAGCAATACCACTTCGAGCAGTGCGCCTGGCTAGTTGGCGCATACCCAGCACCTTGTTCAAACCACCACGTGTAGCACCACCAGCACCGGCCAGGCGTGCTAGAACCTCGATCAATGTTTGCATTGCGTTGAGGAAGAACCCAAAGATCAGTACCATGGCGTGCAAGATAAGTATTAAGTACCCAATCCAGCCCCGGGCAGCGTCTGAGACTGTCAATGAGGGGACGAAGACCACGCTCAGAATGACAGTCAAGAAACGCACGACGGAGAAGAGACAGTGGTACAAATTCATATGGATAGGTCCCGGGAAAGGTCGGAAGGCTAGCAGGGTCAGGACAGAAACAACTTCACAAATGGCCAACAATACGACCTGAGCAATACCAGAGGGCTGCAAAGCACCGACCGCGACTCCACGGGCGATGTTAAGTATGATCGGCACGATGGCGAAGGCTGCAGCATCATCACAGTAAGTGTTGTATAGAGGGCCATAAACCAGGACGGTGGGCAAATCGTCGAAAAGGTGAGACTTCGGTCGGGTGGAAACGATCACTCGGATGACCCAAAGTGAAAAGCACACCAGTACCACGAGTACTACAGCCGCCAAAGCAACACAGTAGGCAGCCGATGAACCGGCGAGAACCAACTGGAAGAACGAAAGAGCGACTATGGGAAGAAGTAGAAAATTGAAAACTATGCGGATGAGATTGCCCAGAGTGAATGGCAAGTTTCTCGCCCGCAAGTCCTGATCGGTGTTGTTGGCCAGTTCACGGTGTAGCCATCGGAGCGCGAAAGCGATCTGGAAGATCACTGTCACGCAAGCCAGGATCACCAACGTCCATATCATCATACCGGGCCAGATATCCTGAGATGAAGCCATGCCAACGTACTGATTCAGTCTGTCCAGGCCATAGTCTCCCTTAACTGCATAAATGCCATCCACAACAGGGTCACGGCCAATGCCAGGATTTATGAAACTTTGGTTGAACATGAGAGCCGACCACGCACCCTGACTCACCGCGGGCTGGTAGAAACCTGGGTAGTCCAAAGAAAGTGCGCCTGTCAAAACCACGAACTGGAGATACTGAAGACAGTCTGAGAACCCAGGTGTCACCAGACGGAGAACGTCTTCGTCCCGACCGTAGTTGCTTGTCCATCGGAAAAGATCCGTTGTGCCCCATGGACTATACATAGCGGCTGTGATGGTGGCGATACCGACCAAGATTAGAATAACCAGAGGCACGTAGGCAATGGCATTTTTCAGAGACGCTCCAAAGTCGGGTGTGATTTTCACAGTGATACAGCTCAGATCCGTCGCGGAGGCATCTCCAGAGCGGACCAACAATTGCGGTATGATCGTTCCAAAGCGGTACGTGGAAAGCATATCATGCTGAACGGAGAACGCTAACAACGTGCTCAAATCACTCCTGTGTAGATGAAGGTTGGTTAGAAAAACCTCATCGTTGGCTCTAGGGAATAACTTACATGTTATACTTGAAAACCGGAGCCAATGGGAAGGTGCCTTGCGTGACCGAGTCGCGGAACCGGGAGGCATTGTTGAAGGGGGTGAAACTAAGCACATCGAACACAGTAAACAACGTACTGTATTTGTTGTTCGAAGTGCTTACGTCCTCGATCTTCCCATCAGTCCAATTATCGTTAGTCCAATCTGGAGAGTCCAGCGCCGGATAGTTCGCAGTTCGCGACACAGTGCCTGACACATTGCCGTAAACCGTCACGCTGAGCGGGTTAAGGGGATTGGTAAGGTTGAACTGGACGGAGACATTGGTGGGGACGAATTGCAGTTGTAAGGGGTCGGATTCGAGGATAGTTTTGGATAAACAGTTGTCAAAGTCCAGTAAAACGGCAGCGGTTGGCGACGCTAAGGTCACTAGACAGACCAAAACAATCCACCACGAGGAACTCCATCGGCGTTTCGAGGTGTCGCGCCATGATCGACCTTGGGTATTATGCAATCCGCTGCGTCGCGGCCTTGATGTTTTGTGGAATGGGGATCCGTCCAGCTCGATCTCCGCCGAGTCGTACATGTCCGCTTCGGGATCCGGGATGACCTCCTCGGGGAGGTCAACCCCCGTAAATGATCTAATCCACGTTGTGTTGAGAATATTTGCTGGGGTCTCGCGATCGGCACTCCTTTCCAGGGTCGGTAGCCACTCGAGTTTGATGGGAAACGCAGGGAAAGCTGGTTCGCGTGTGGGTGGTTCGCGAAGATGGGCCGGTGCCTGGAGGTACGTAGTGTGTAGTGAGTGTCTACCGCTAAAGTCGTCAAACGCGGCACATCCCGGGAGAAGATCCAAATAAAACCGAGTAACCAGTCTAGGAGTGGAAAAGAAAAGCGACTTTTTTTTTTCTTTCTCTAGTGGGTGTGTTGTGTTGTTACTGCGCCTTGTTTGGTCTGGCCCCGGTGGAGTTTGACGGCTGACTACTCGACTAGTCTAATAATAGGCCTGCAATGTTGTAGGTGGTTATATCTTTCGGCTTAGCTTCGTAATTGATTCTTTTATTATAATCACTTAGGAATTAATTTTTCTAGATTGTAAACAGCTCATAGTTATGTTATGAATTATATTCTAATATGTTCACTAGGCGTAGCTGAAACTACCAAAATAGTAACAGTTGCGCGCCTTGCATTTACAATTTCTTACCCCCGCGCGTAAGTACGTATGAACATAGGGCATACGTATGCAAGTACGTGCGAGGATATTCAATATCTTAATCAAATACGAAGATAAAGATACGCCTTTATATTTTTCCACGTGGTGGAAAAAGTGGAAAAAAAAATAATATCACCTCTGTCTCAGCTCGCCCTAAATAGTAGCTGACAGTGGATTGTCTCACCTGTTGATCGGCTTTCGAAGAAAAGACTTTCATAGTTGACGATCAGAGTAATTGGAGGCAATACATTGTGTCAACTATGCCTTGGGAGTGGTAACGCAAATTCGAACTGTATATCCATCATTTGGTCCTTGTATCCGGGCAGCGTGTTTGGAAGTGCCATGGTGGATGGGGCAGAACTAGTGATGTTTGAGACCAATTGAAGGACCTTTGTTGGGCAATAGTGTGCATGGAGATGTTAGCCACAATTGCAGGGTCCAATGCCCTGCGTTAATGGTTCAACTCCACCGGGCTGTCGGCATTTGGGGTTTTATGGTGAGACAAGCGCAATGGTATGGTCACCTGTAGATAGGACAGTCTTGTTTTTGTAGGCCAAAGATTTTCGACTGTCTTATCGTTTGTGAATTGCGATGAGACAAGCCATATGGACAATCGTGGATACCCATAGAAGTATATCGAACATTGAATGACTGATGTAGAGCAATAGCCGAATGTTTCACTCTTCGACCAATACCAGGACAAAGTGATTATTTGACTAATAATCCCTTTTACTACCAGACCTGCTTCATGTTCATCAAGTCTACCAATAGTACCTATCGCTACACCAATACCTAGGAGGCCGAAATCAAACCTGAATTACCAAAGACCACCTCCTCGTCCCTCTCTCGATCCGCCGAATACCCCCCATAATCCGAAGAACCCGTTATTACTTAGTCCCACACTGTATTATCATGCCAGAAGATTGAATCGGAAGTAAAGCTTTCTTCCTTTCTTCTCTCTCGTTCTTTATCAAGGTCGGCTTCGTCGGATTCGCCATCGTGAACAAATCTGCAAGACACCGAACCGATCAAGCCGAGCCTTTGACTTTGACAACAGCAAGTGTTTCATATTCGTGTATTCCCTAATAAAGGTATCAGTGCTTCATTTGCTAGAGAATATATCTGCTGTGTATGATCCCATCCTGAGGAACAAAGCTACAGAGATTTTGCCATGGGCATGGCGCCTACGATTTCCGCCTTCTACCCAGCATTAATCTCAGGATGGTAGGGTCTCTTCTTGTTGGGCCTTGACAAATTCTTACCGGTAGCTCCTAGAGACACAGACACAGCAGATCCAATTATTCAAACTGTGCTGTCGTGCAGTTGATACCTACCTAAGTACTGTTCACCTTTCACATAAATATCAAAAAAGGTCAGAACCCTACTCTTGAGATGTGCAAAATAGCTAACACTTCACTACTCAGTGCTCGACATCCTTCCAATAGATCCTTGCGCATAAACGAAACCTTTTCCCGCCCGATATCACAAACAAACTAGTCCACATCAAAACCAAATATCCGTGCTGGCGAAGTCCGCCCCGCAATATATATACCCGGTCAGAAGTCACATCGCCAGTACCAGGCTCTGTGGCCTTATCATCCGATGGATCGATGGGTAATCTGTATTAGAAGCCAGCTTGGGAAGATTACACAAGACTACACCAGCGCCAACGCCAGAACATATCTGGTCTGGCAATAATTCCCACTGACTTGCACACATTCACTGTGCAGCGGGCTGTGGTGGCTATCTTATATACTGTGCTGCAGAGGCTCATGTGGATATCATATGTTACGGTGATGGAGATAGATTAACTCGCTGGTTTGCACGCGGCTTTGCTGCCTTTACGCGTCTTTGCCGAGAGTGCTACAGGTCCGAGAGTGAGCGTCATGGTTACTAAACTCTGCTGAAATTTAGGCTAGTACGTGGGTGTTGTGGCTTCATATGGCCTTCTTTGTCTCCGCGGAAGCGAGATTTGGGTTGTTCTGTGCTGTCGGTATCATTGATCGGTAAGTTTATACTATAGATGGGTGTACAGCCTAGGTTGAGGCCATGATGATTTGGTGGGGGGTATTTATAGTCTGTCTTGTTGAAGAGCATGGTTTGCTCAGTGATGTCTATAATTACGCCCAGCTACCCTTTCCTCAATAATCCGACTGGCAGTATCAACTTCACCACTTTGCGCCCTTTTAGATGGATGGTTTGTCCAATAAATTACGTAGTGATTTGACGTCTTCGGTCAAGAAACTCAGATGATCATTCGAACGCCACGGTTGAACCGCCGCCCCTCATAACGGTAATAGCTGCCTACATTTGACTTGCCTTCCAAGGTTGGTGCTCTATTTTCTTTTCTTTCCTTCTCTCCTCTGCTCTTCTCTTCTCTTCCTCATCCAACATTCTGTCCCCATCGAGACAGCACCCGTGATCGCCTTTGCTTCTTTTGCCTCCTCAAGTATTCTTACCACACAACCTTTTTTTCCTATTTGAGCCGATCAGTTTGAAACCTCAGATATCAAGTGAAGCATAGCTAGGGGTAGATACCTTTCGCAACCAGGATGGTCATCACGCGAAACCCAATAGTACTTCCACTTGAGCTGTTGTGGATGATCTCTGAGCACTTACCACCAGTCGACCTTGCTTGCCTGGCATTGGGTAACCATAACCTGCTGTCTTCCCTTGCTGGGACTGCTTTTCAAAACTTCTCAACCGGACGCACCGGAAACCCCATCGATGACGCGCGTATCAAGCTGTTATCTCGGCTTTCTTACGATTTACCGCAGTACTATCTCTGCTTTATTTGCCTCCGACTTCATTTATGGAAAAGCACTGAGCTACCAGGCTACTCTTCTATCAATGTCAATCACTGCTCAAATACCTTAGACATGAAAGATCAGTGCCTCCAAAGACCTCTACCCCTCTGTCACTACCCATCATATACCTTTTATCCATTCCATTTCGTTCACATTCAGCTTGCTATGAGAAGCTTTTACTATGGACCGGGTTTTGGAATCCCTGTTGAGGCTTTACTGTATACAGAGATAGGAGCTAGTCGAATTGTATCTAAAGCCCCACCCTTGCTACAATCTTCCGTCAACAACATATCAGAAGAAGATCCCCAAAAGGATCGTATGATGACAATATTCTCTACCGAAGCTCGAATTTGCTCTGAGCCTCCCGGTCTATGCTTACAGACAAAAGAAATAGCGGTGGTGGCACGGCAGAACGTACCACGGATGTGGCCATGCCGCGAAAATGGACCTGTGATCGTCTGCAAACATCTCAGCACTCAATCCTCGGACTGGGTCGACATCTTTACCTCTTATATTGAGCGTTATTGCTCTAGCACAAGCCCAACAAAACCAGCCGACCAAGGGAGTTGTGAGAAATGCAATACCTCTTGGAAGTTAGAGATGCGAACCCTGGATGAAGATCATGCAAGTCTCACTCTTACCCGGTGGATGGATTTGGGGCCGGGGCTGGGCCCAGATGATGCTCAGTGGAGGTGTCGCTTTGATAATGAACTACTGATAAATTCGGCAAATCATGAAATTGTGGACTCCCGCCTGCGGTTTGAGAGGGACTCTATTCAGGCTGGCTCTTCAAATGCATTATCTGAAGATGCAACGTATTGCCGGAACGTTTCTTTGCTACAAGGGAGGACATATCAAAGGTTGATGACTCCAATGCACTCTGGATTCTACATATTGCACGGAGAAGCAAAGACAAGTTCTTCTTACTGTATCATTCTCTGAAGAAAGCACCATAGGGTGTCCAATAGGTAATATGATCACTATGGGTTCACCCATGTTCGTTTCTTCTCTGTTGATGAAAAAAGTTGAGAATGCATAGTGCAAACCAGAATGGTCTTGATATTTTTTTTTATATCTTTACTATGTACTAGAAGGTAGTGCTTAAAGGTGCTTACTTTTGTTAGGGATCTACACAGTGATAGGGGGTACTTTAGGTATGATAAGTTCACATAGTGATGATCATAAAAGCGGTCAGGGAAGCGGTCATAAGATATCCAAGGAATTAGGCATGATCAGAAATAAACGCTGAATATACAGGCAAGGGAGGAGGTTTCGCTCTACCAACACCTTAGTCATATGGCCTACAAGGTTGACAAGTCAGATTTCCTAAGCAAGATTTCCGATGAGGGCGAACAACGGCGGACGAGACCTCGACGAGGAAGACGAACGCGAACAAGAACTATCGGAAGGGACAGCTGAAGGCGAACAAGACCTCGAAGAGGCATTCGGAGACGAACAGGGACTGTCGGAGAGGCATTAGAGGGCAAACGACGACTATCATGAAGGCAGTCAAAGGCTAGCAAGGACTCGAAAGCTACTCCTTCTTCGGCCAAGAGGTGGCGGATGGAAAGAGCTATCAAAATCAATCGCAGCTCCTACAATATGTTTCAAAGTGAGGTGGTAAGGTAAATGGCAGGTATATTAGTTTGGCCGCCAATTCCGAGGAAGACTGAATCCATTGAACAAAGCAAGTGTTCAGAACGTTGGTGCTTATGGAAGAAATACGAAAATGCGCTGTTTATGCTGGAATGTAGGGCTAAGATTTGTAACCTTGGAAGTGGCTTCCCCAAGCCCTGAAACCCGCCGCTATGATATGTTTAAAGCTTAGTTCGTGTAAGTGGGGAATCGAGATGAAACCAACAATATATTGACTAGGGGACTTCTACACGTGAGTACGACTACTGTATATACGCAGCTCTGCACTTCCGGGCTGATCTACACAACCCCGACGGATGAACGGGTCTGACAGGGTTCTATGAATGACATGCGGGGTGGTCCGAGCTTGTGATCTCCAAATATTTTTTTCTTTCATTTCCTTCTTTTTTGTTTAAGTGAAACCTTGGAAGGACTTTTTTGCAGTAAGACATTGGATAAAGGTTTGTGGGGTCGGTGAAGAAAAGAGGCTCAGCGGATCTAAGACATGTAGCGGTGACAATTACAATATTGTAGGATATTGTAGAGAACGTTAGAGTCGCGTACGTGCATATGTCGTATAATAATATGAAGTTCGAGTCCGTACATATTCAAGGGGAGATTAGAGCAACAAATAAGATAAGTCAGGGAAAGCAGGGATCTGGTATGCCAGGTGCACATCCCGGAAGGACCAAAGGGGGAAGCCGATTAATCAAAAGAATTTTGGGGACGCAAAAAAGGGCATTGGATCAAGTGCCAAATTAAGCCACAGTTGGATAAAGTGTCTTAGCCACGAGGGTCTTTTCCAAGGTTAGGGCAATTTTAGTAGATTTAGTATAAAATTTCGGGCGCTAACAGGGTCCTAGATAAGGTTGCCAAGAGGTCAATTAAAATTGGTCGTATTGCATGATGTTGAGTATGAATGGTAAGGGAATAAGAACATTGAATATGTATAAAAATATTCACAATTCGAACACTTCACTACTAAGAGAAGTTGATATAAAAAGAAGTAAAGCCCGCGTGTCCAACGGCGACAAACCTCGTCAGCGGCGGGTCTATCAAATCTCGATTGGGATTAGCGTAAGTTTCATTCTGAGACGAGCGGGTTGTCTGTGCTGATTGGTCCGGGGTTGTTTTATATATCTGATACCCTACAGTAACTAACTAGTACTGTACGGAGTAGTATGCATATTAATACTCGGGGAATCTATATTGTATGATCTATAATCAATTAAATATTTAAATATTTATCACCTAAATCCTCATTCCTATTAATATCTTGAGTACCACGCTGTGCGACTTATAATAGGCGGAGGAAAGAATAATACTACTACTCCCCAGAGACTTACACTAGACAGTGCTCCACCACGGCAATCCTGGTACCTGCGGAGTATCCCCCTGATAGAAGGACATTCTTAATATTACTCTCACACACGTCTCAGGCTGCTGGTCCAGCTTCATTAACAATTTTCACTGTAAGTCAGAATCATTCTGGAGAATATTGTTTATACCTGTTTGTTGTTGTTTTTGCTTTTGACCTTTTACCAATACAGGCGACATTCGGACTAATTTCTTTAGTTTGCTTTTCGATCTTATAGAGCACGGGCGCTACTTGGTTGCACCCCTCCTTCCTTACGTTGGACACTTATCTCCCCCATTTGAACTCTTCAACTCTCCAAATACTCAACTCGCCCCAAGTCATCAACTCATCAACTCACCCCAACCCACCAACCCGAGTCCCTCCCTACTCCCGACGACTTCCCGCTATTCGAATACCGTCATCAGGCCCGAAGCCCCTGTCGATCCTTCAGAACCGTACAGGGGGAGGGGAATCCATACCTGGTATTCTTATTGCCTTATCTAGGTCGTGCGATGTGGACAGAGTCTACTCGCGATCTTGTTCGATATGCCCGCCGATGACCCGTTCTCGTTTCTGCCCGAGCAGCCCCAACCACAAGCCAAACCAAAGAAGCGCGATTGGCGAGAGAAGCTATTCTCCAAGGATAAAAGCAAAATTGCATCGCAGACAAATCAAGAGATCGCGGATTTCTTGGGCACGCGGGCTCCGGTATCAGCGCCAGCGCCAGCGCCCCCGCCTGTCGACCCGAGATATGTACCTCCACAGAACAGCCACATTCCTTCCCTAGGCCACTCCGCTTTCCCCCAGTCTAAACCGGCCCCATCAGTACCAGCGCCAGTGCCACATCGCGAAAACTATGCCGCCTTCGATTTCTCAGACCACCAGCCTTCTTCCGCTCCTGCCCCCGCTCCTCTCCCCCGTCACTGTTGAACCCCATAGTCGGAAAGGCAAAGGACTACGAGTGGGCTTCAGCAACCAGATACCAGATGTGATTGGAGAGGGCGGTGATGAGTCGGAACAACCAACAATTGAAATCTCATCGGCCCGCCAAAAATCGCTGAGCCAAACAGCTCAGTCCGGCAAAATCCCGACCTCATCACAAAACCCCTCGCGCTCTAATCTACCGAACCTACGAGTCGATACATCGCTGGGCGATGGCGAGTCACGATCTCAGCGAGCTGGCTCTTCGCCTCGGCGTGACGACTGGAAACCGTCGCTCATGCAAAACACGCGGGATGCGGATTTCCTCCAAACTCTACCTCTGCATAAGAGTGGCTCTAGGCTGTCTTTCCGTGGAGACACCGAAGAGTCCTTGTTTGCGCAACGCGTCCGTGATAAGATGCAGGCAGAGGAAGGTCGGGCATTCCACCATCGTTATGATGATGACACCCCGTCTCCCGGGGCGGAAGACGAGGAGCTGTCTACCCCCCGAGTCCGCCCAGCCCCGAAATGCCTTTGAAAGGCCACCACGATCCCCATGATCCTGATTTAGCTTACGAAACTGCTCCGACCACGGTTAAGCCTCAATCACCGTCGGTTTCCTTGTCAATGAGGTCGATTGTAGACTCGATCCGGAATCCCCCTAGTCCCGCAGTACACCGCGCACCCCCAACTGCGAACCTGAGTCCCATTGATCCCCGAATGCCCCCAAATCTCATCCCCGGTAGCCCTGGCAGGGCTTCACCCACTCATGCCAAACCTTCACCCCCGGGTCTGCCTGCTTCGAAACCCGTCACACCTCCCAGTCGCGAAGGCCGAGAGCCCGCCCGGAGCCCCCAACCGCCCAAATTTTCTATCCGCAACATTGCCAACCAAGTTAACGATACCTCATTTTCTGAGTTTAAGGAGTATAATCAGCGTTATGAGAGCCTGATCCAACTCGCCGCAGAGAGTGTCAAACCATTGATGGAAACATCCCTAGCAGAATGGATCCGCGCTGCAGTGTGGTGGTTCCTGCGAGGCAAGACTCGCTTAGAAGCCTACGCTCGTTCGCGTGCAACATTATCGCCCAGCTTCGCCAAGCAGGCCGTCATTGATCTTGGAAAGGCCTTGTGGATTAACGAAAATATTGTGCCTAGCCATCCTGAGCTGGCCCGCTACGGAGCCATGAGCGTTGACGCTCTCCACGCCGTTGCAAGCACCACAGGCGATAAGGAAACGGTTGATTTACTTAGTTTACATCAAACTACCCTCAACCATCTTCGCTCGCTTTCCATGTCCATCAAACGCAACAATATTATTACCTCGATTGTCTCAGATGAAGGTTCTCCTACTCAGCTGGACACTAGTATCTGGCTGCGCTATCCTTTCTATGCGCCCGACGTATCGGCCGTTTTGTCTGGCGCAGCAACGAGATCAATGTTGGTCGACAATGCGGGCAAAACACCAAGCCTGGTTCACATGATGCCTTTGGGCGACACCAGTCGCTACTTCAGCTATGGTAGCATGTTTGTGCAAGTCTGCGTGAGCTCCAGTGACGATGACGGACAACAGCAATATGCCATGCCCTGCGCATTGACGATCGTCCGTGAACGAGTGGATTGGTATGTCTTTGCGGCTATCACCAGCCAAAGTCAGCTAGTCAACATCTTGATTCAATCCGATCGCAAACAGGGTCCCACGTGGGAGGATGTGGACTGGCAAGTTCGGTCCCATTCTATGCGAGTCAAGCTTCCCAGGGGATTCGAGTTGGATGTCATGTTTAAAGAAGATGATTTCAAGACTCTTTGGAATATTGTCAAATATACCCAGAAGTCGGAGAACAGTCTTCATCCCGAGGCAGGTGAAAGCCTTGTCTTCGAGAACACAGTCAAGGTCTTCCAATACATGGATCCTAGTACACAAAAGGCATTCCCTCCCGACCCCGTGGAAAGATGTCGCGTGCGCTTATTCGAGCGCTCCGTTACCGTCACAGAAGGAACAGGGACCCGCAACGCCCACCGTGGATTCCGATTGGCAGTTCTTACCAATCCTAGAGTGAAGACTCTGAGTAGTATTCGCCATATTCTAGGCAACGGGTCGCCGGTTGTGTTTGGTCTTTTGCGAGGCGAGGACGGTGCCCCTGCTCTTCTTCTCAAAGTTACTGAGGACGGCCGTACAAGGTCAATGCTCATGACTTTCCATGAGATCGAAGAGCGCACGCAAATGCACTCCGTATTGCTTGGCATGGCTCCACGCAATGGCGAAATTAAGTCGCCCGAGTTTGCCCTTAAATCCTACTGTATTGAACAGCCTGAAGATCACTTCAGTGGCCGGCCGCCTGTCAAGCATCTAGAGTTCCCGGCTGGAAGTGTGTTTGTCATTGACCAAGAGCATGACTATGTTGATCATGGCTATGGTCCGACGATTCTTTCGGAGAATTTGAGGGCATTTGTCTCGACTGAGTGGGGCTCTGTTACCGATCGTATCAACTTGGGTGAGTTCTAGGTTTTCATTTGGGTTTTAATTGAATGCTAATTTTGTTTAGGGCCTGGTGAATTGAAAGTCGGCTTGGACGTTCACCGTTCAACTAGCATGAGCTTGTTCCGCGGCGCGCAGCAGGATTTGACTCTTTCACTTGCGGATAACCTCATTGCCCCCGAGCTCCCAGGAAAGTTGGCAGGCTTCCTTGAGAAGATCACAGCTAAGCCCATGGTTCGCCGACTGGAGTTCCCCACAATGCAGGGTGTGTCTGCTTTCTGATTCTGGGCGCATACATGACTAACTCTCTTGTAGATCTGCATGCATTCGAGGCTGCCGTCACAGGCTTCCAGGTGTTGTATGATGGGTAAGTGGAACCCAGCCTTGTGGTCAATTCCCTGCTGACAAACCTAGCGTGGCTACGTCTTTCACTATTTCCCGTCGACGCAGCATGGTTCCCATATATAAAAAATGGGAAGCATCCCAAGCTCGAGTGCAGATCGTGCGACAAGAAAAAGTCGTTCAATTGCTTGCTTTCTTCGGGGAATTCCAGCACGGTACCTGCATGAACTTTGTCCTCAAGGGCACTGATATTATGGAGTCATTTGGCCGGTCTGGCAAGTTTGGCATCCGTATGGTCGATGCCAAATTTGCTCTCCCAAAGAAGGATGACGACCCTGCCTCCAACTTTGTGTGCCTTGATATGCCGGAGTATCCAATTGAACACGATGATATTACCATCACGTTCGATTCTGAAGCTAGTAAGTTCTCCTGAATAGCGAATAAAGAGCTTTGACTAACCACAGCCAGCCCGTGCGATTTTCAAGGCAGCTCTGCCTGGATCAGTGCGAGAGCCATCTCGCATGGGCTCCATTCGCCGATAATCCCCGCGATATTTTCCCCACATCATGTGATCACTTACGTGAGCGCCGATTACGTGATTGCGTGTTTTCCCCTCCCCGAGGTCGGACGGTGTAATTATATTTGAGACTTTTCTCTTGTACATTCGTGATAGCACAATTAGCCATGTCTTCCACTGGCGCTTCTACGCGCTCCTTGCATGCCGATGATGCCCTCAACCTTGTTACCGATGTCGCACCTCCTATGCATCTCTCCACCACATTTCGTTACTCAAATGATCCCTCCAAGCTAGTCCCGGCTGCTGATGCCACTGTATGAACCAATACCTACTGACTACGAATCCTGTCTAATGAGTGTAGCCCGACAATCCCTCCACAAACCATATCTACTCGCGCATGTCCGCGCCCAATCCAACCCGCTTTGAAACAATCCTCTCCTCTCTCCTCCACGGCCACACGATAAGCTACTCCTCAGGCCTCTCAGCCCTCCACGCAGCCCTCACCCTCCTCAATCCCCGCAACATCTCCGTAGGTGAAGGCTACCACGGCTGCCACGGCGTCATAGCCCTCTTCACCCGCCTAACAGGCCTAACCAAACACCCCCTCGACTGCCCTCCAGAAGCTCTCCAGAAAGGAGACGTCATCCTCCTAGAAACGCCAGTCAATCCCCAAGGAACAGCCTTCGACATAGCCTCCTACGCCGCAAAAGCTCATGCCCGCGGCGCCTTCCTCATCGTCGACTCGACCTTCGCCCCGCCAGGTCTCCAAGAACCCTTCGATTTCGGCGCCGACATCATCATGCATTCCGGCACCAAGTACTTCGGCGGCCACTCAGATCTCCTATCCGGTGTTCTGGCGACCAAGAACGACACCTGGGCTGCGCAGCTCAAACAAGACCGTCTATTCATCGGCTCCGTAATGGGCAATATGGAGTCTTGGCTCGGCGTCCGCAGCCTGAGGACTCTTGAAATCCGCGTCCAGCGCCAGAGTTCAAACGCAACAAATTTGGTCTCTTGGTTGGATTCTTCTCTGCGCGCAGAAAATCCCGCCCCGGACTCGGACGAGGCTGCTGTTCAGGCTGTGCTGGGGAGTATTCTGCATGCTTCGTTGCAGGATAAGAGTGATTGGTTGGCGAAGCAGATGCCGAATGGGTTCGGGCCTGTTTTCGCGATCAATATGAAGGAAGAGCGGTTTGCGAGGAATCTGCCTGCTTTGTTGCATTTCTTTCAACATGCTACTAGTCTTGGTGGGGTTGAGACGCTTATTGAGTGGAGAACGATGTCGGATGCTACTGTTGATCGGAGGTTGTTGAGAATTAGTGTTGGATTGGAGAATTGGGAGGATTTGAAGGAGGATTTGGTGGGTGCATTTAGGGTGCTTGCGAAGGATGCCTAGAGATTTAGAGATTTAGACAGAGAATTGTGCAAGGCTACACATGAAAACTACATAGTAATTGGATATCAAATTTTCCACTTCTATACAATTGTTGTATGAGACTCGCTTTTATACATCGGAGTATGCCGCTTTACCCCGCTGTGTTATCTGAGCTGATAGGAAGCCCTACTGGTCTTCTCAACTACACATCTCTCTTCAACACATCCATGTCCTCATTACACTGCAATTGATCAATCGCAACATGTCGCAAACATTCACAATCCACTATTTTGCAACAGCAGCGCAGTATACTTCGAAAAATACTGAATCTCTACCCGCCCCACTGAAACTGTCTTCCCTCTATGGTGAACTCGAAAAGCGGTACCCTGGGATCATCGAGAAGGTCCTCTCAAGTTGCGGTGTTAGTTTGGATGGAGAGTACGTTGATATTGAGGAGGATGTGGATGTTTTGATACAGGCTGGTGGGGAAGTGGCTGTTATTCCACCTGTGAGCTCGGGGTGAAGGGGCTCGTTGATATAAATTGATTCTGTGAACCTTTGGTCTACTTTTGACTTGTTCTATCTGATTGGTAAACGCATCAATTGATTAGAAAAAAAGACTATTAGTGCACACGCTATAACAATAAAAATGAAGGATAGATATCTGTCAACCCATCCGCCTTGTTTCTCGATTTAAGCAACTCTCCGTCCGCTTGCCGTCGTATTCGATATAATCGCAGCCCCAATGCCACTCAATTACTCAATTACTCTGCACTCTTTGCAGCAAGAAGCTTCTTCTTCTGCCGCCACAATAAGCCGCTAGAAATAGTCGAAAAGAAAAACAGAACACTTGAATGAAATCAGCATACTCCAAACAAAAGCCAGGTACGGAAACAACTTACCAAAGCGCAATACTCAACCCCCAGATAGCCTTTGTTTCAAGACAAATTGCCTTCGAAGCCCCAATAAATGCAACGTAGTCGATCTTCCCGCTGATATGGGCAATATAGCTCGACAACCGTGAAGCAAATGCATAAATGGTTGCGTCGGAATCACCCAACTCCGCCAGTGTTGAACACTTCAAGTACGAGAGTGGCTTGCCGACGATGACAGCGACAACAATTAGTGCGATGAGCAGGAGTAGGTCCAAAACTGAGATTATAAAGAATGGTAGGATGTCATCCATGTATAGGATTGCTGTGATGATGCAGTAGATTACAGCAATAGATGTCTGTGAATGAGGGAGGCGGTCAGTGGGATCTTTATGTCGAGGCTTGAAGTTAGACTGTAGGTCAATAAGAGGAGTGGACATACCACGCTGATTGTGCCGATTAGGATATTGGGTGGGGTGCCGTTGTTGGAGACGATCACGCTGATGAATTTGGCCGTCATGCCGACTACGGCGATCAAGGAGCAGGTTTGGAATAGGCGGGCAATTTGAAAGGTTGCGCCTAGAGCTCCGTAGCGAGGCATTTTGATGGGGATGTAGTTGAAAGAAATCTATAGTCGAAAGAGTGGTGGTGGTTTTCGGGTTATTATTTGTAGATAAGTCGATATTCGAATCTCAAGGAGTGATGCGGTAGATAGATATAGTCGAGAGAAAAGCTTTTGAAGACTTGAACAAAAGAGAAGAAGAAGAAAAAGAACAAAGAGAGTGTGTTCTGAATGAAAGTGAAGTTGATTGTCAGATTGAAGACCAGGCCGGTACGGCTTCTTTATAGAACCAACAAAGCAGCTGGTTTAACAATGACCTCAGATCTCCGAAATCTAGACCAGATTAAATTAGCACTTGCGAGTCTAGATCCTGCTTTCCGTTTACTCCTAAGACGGGCTATTCTTTGTGCGTTACAGATTGTCTGGGGAACAAGCGCCCAATAGACTCGTGGCTTTGAGCTGTCTGCCGAATCCAGCGATCGGCATGAATAGTGAAGATATTGTGGACCTGTAAGAGCTATAGCTCTTTGACACTGGAGATATTATCGAGGCGATAATAATAACAATAGAGCAATCGAGATCTATGGATGAAAATAGTGGTTCCACCTTGATGCATCTGGGCGCTTGGAACGAAACCCTAACTTCCTCCGGGCGCCTCTCAGCCACCCGTTCCCTCAACACATGGAAGTCTGAAGCAGGCGCTTAGTACCAATGAGGGGACTCGGGCTATGCATAGTAGATCTTGTTTCATCACTATTTTATTGAGCCTCTGAGATTAGAGTGTTTATCTTCAGAGCCGCTTCTTCACAGTCAACAATATGTGGGCGGATAGCTTGCGATACATCTATTTTCAACATTTTCTTCTGATCGACTCGGAATTAATAGATAGATTAAGTCTTAGTAAACACAATTATAACAATAGATGCATATATACTTGAAGCAGAGCGATTACTCATTCAGTCTCCAGCCGCCGCTGGTCCGTTTCTGGAAGAACCCATCGGGGTCGTAACGCTTTCTTGTCTGAAGAGCCAGTTCTTTGGAGGCTGGACTGATGCGACCCCAGTAATCCTGACGGTAATAGGCGTCGTTCATAAACAACGGTCGGTACACATCGGGGAGAAGACCATTGTTGATGTTTTTCTGCACAAGATTGTCCAATCCCTGGTAGAGTTCAATATTAGCTGCGTCGATCTTTCCATCGTCAATGGATAGTCCGTAGGAGAAGTCAAGTTCGATGAAGATGTAAGGTTGATCGGCGGGAACGTCGAGAAGGTCCTGGTATTTGTTAATTGACTGTACTTGGTATTTTTAGGTTGTGTGTCTTACTCCGCCGCGGTCCTTGGCCTTTTGTGAGAATGTTCTGGGCACAGGCTGGAAAGCAATTGAGCCTATGACACCGGTAACTCCAATGACTGATTGGGTCACGTTGAACCAGTGGTCGTAGTACTCTTGAAGCACCCCTGAGCCCACGGTCTTGTTGGGCAGAGGGGTGGTCTCGGTGGCGATAGTGTAGCGTTGTCCACTAATTACCAGTTAGCTCGGGGATCTATATCAAGTACTCGCGTTGCTTACTGGAGAATAAATTGGTCGTTGTTCTTGAGTAGGTCGTAGTAGGTGTCCCAGGTTTTAGCAGTGGAGGTATGTTTAATGGCAGTGAACTCGTCGAAAACCCCGGCGGGCGGCTCGGGGCCATCGTAGAAGACGAACATAATCCAGAGATCAACGAGCAGGCCGTGCTCCGAAGTCAAAATAATGGCTGCCTTGTCATCAGGGTACTCGTCGACAAAGTTGCGCAGCGCTGTGAGGAGCTGGGGAGTTTTGTCGGATGTGAAGATGTAGTTGCCACCCCAGACCTTGTGGTCCTGAGGGTGAGTCTGCATGGTGTATGCAGTCACGACTCCGAAGTTGTTACCTCCGCCTTTCAGACTTGCAAAGAGGTCTTTCGAATGTTAGAAGTAATTCCAATATAGACGTAGCTTTACTTACCTGTGTTTTCTGTCTCGGTTGCGTGAACAATAGTGCCGTTGGCGAGAACGACTTCATAATCAACGACATTGTTGGCAGCCCAACCGTATTGAGTGCTGAGGAAACTCATGCCGCCTGCAAATCATTAGATCAAAATTCAGATCTCGAGACTGAGTCAATCATACCGCCGAGCATATATCCACCAATTCCAACTCCACCAAGACGTCCTCCAACAACACAGCGACCAGTACCATCGAGGCCCTTTTGAGCCTCTTCCCATGAAAGACCAGGGCCAATGATGGCAGTCTGATCTTCGGGATTATAATCAACTTGATCTAAGTTCTTAGTCGAGACCAACAGCCCATCTTGGATACTAGCAAATCCATTGTTAGGCATGTGACCTCCACTCTTGACTGCGCTTCATAGTATTAGCTTTAATTCTCACTTTGAAGGAGGGAAACACAAACAAGAGAGTTTCCACATTGTGCAAGTTCTTTATGACTTGTGCCATCTCTGCTGCGCTGGACGGAGCTGCAATGCATGTCGGCTTGAGGTCGCCACATGCTGCGGACCAGTACTTTGTCAGATCGCTGGTGTAGTCCAGTGTGAGAGGGTACTCGATGTCGATTCCGCCTTGTTTGAGAGTGGAGCAGATATCCGCCAACGCCTGTGGTGCGAAGGCGAGGGATAGCGCTAGAGCGCGCCATCCATTGCTTCCGAGCATCTTGCGGGGGAGATGAAAGTTATTATATATATGATATGCAAAGAAACAAAATAAATGAAAGATACACAAGGTCGGCGAAGTAATGTAGGAACACAAGCCCTGACAGATATGGGATGAGGAATTCAAAGTGCGGGACTCTCGGTATATAACCCTAAATAGCTACAGTATAGCCTAGCTCAGGAGACTTCACAATCAGGGTATCCTTCAGGCCACCCCTCTTGGATCCTCTGGGATGGTGGACCCAACAGTAGATAGATCCACCATATTGAGAAAACAATCTTCCGCAGAACCACTCTTCCGCCATCCAACCGAGCCGGGCCCACCGATCTAGCCTGGTTGGGTAGGACCCCGATTGCTTACTCCGAGCTCGATTGAACATTGAAGGAGTTCATCGCTATGGTCACTACCGTGTGGGGGTTCGGCAATGTAGAGTCTGTAAATAGGAGGCACATGGTAATTGAAAGATGAAACCTCGGATATTCCATGAGTGCTGAATAATGGCAATCCAGTGAGGTTTGCGCTCAGATCAGACTTCTGCGTAGCCGAATGCCAATCTTGCGCCGATCTGCAGGGATTTGGGGTAATCCTAACGGCAGACAAGGGGTAAATGGGATATCGCGTGCAACGACAGGCCTAATAACCAGGAAATTTGAAAAAGAATCCGAGGTGTCAATGCTTTAGCGACACCAAGCTGCGCATTTTGAGTATATGCTGGTGATCGTCAGATCATCCCTATGGCTTTTGACTTTAGACAGGAACTGACATGCTAACCGATATTACTCTGTATAGTTAAATTGGCTGTACGGAGTAATTCCGGGACAAAGGATCTGTAATAGTTCAGCCACAGTGCGAAAAAAAGGAATAGCTCGAAAACTTTTACAGAATCAGCTCACCCGTATCCATCGCGCCGAGAAATCCAGTGGAGCAAAGTGAGACAATCCAACAGATCGACAAGTTGGATTTCGGGCCACTCTGAATTGAGTCGAAAAAGTGGAACTTGCGGGGGATTTTGCTTGAAAGGTTCCTGTTCCTGCTGCTGTGAGAAAAAAAAAGTACTTCAAGCTTAGACCAGCTCGCTTAGACGGACGAGGAAATGATAATCCTGATCTATCAAGTTTCTTGTTCTTTAGATTCTTAAAAATTGTATGCTCCTATGCGTTGTGTGATCTTCCTGCTATCAATTAGTCAAACATGCCATCACATGAGTTTCGCCCTTCGCTCCGAATGAACTCTTGGCCGAGGTGGGCCTTTATACGATAATTAGTGATTACAAACGATTGCGAATACGTGATTTGTCCCTTTCTTTTAGAACTTTGAGGAATCCGTCGTGATCTTCGCTAACAACACTTCCGTTAGAAAAAAAATAGTGTAATGATGAAGATCTGGGGAGTTGGATCGACAGGGTCATTTTGCTGAACCCACCCAACGTCCATAGTTATACAATACATATAATACTGAAATAATAATAATAATGATGATGATAATGATAATGATATTGAAACCTCCAAGATAGTACAGAAGCAGGCTATAGCGCATAAGCCATCCACGGATCTTGCGTCAGAATTCCAGTTCCACAGAATGTACTAAGTGCACTGGTGCACGAGTCGCGGACTAAATCCTTGTCTGCAAATCGCCGATGTTTCGGAGCAGTTCGTCGGGATTGTATGTAGTTACGTAAGCCCCAGGGTTTGGGGTCCAGGGATTGTTGTTTCTTGACAGGTCTGTGGGCATGAGATTGTATATTGTAGCTAATAGACCGACCACTAACTACACTACAATCCATTGGTAAATAAAACTTATTTTATCCATTCTTTGTGATCACTTTGTCCCACTTTTTCTATCAATCTATGATATGAAGAATGTTACACCTAGCACTTCCTCTTTGACCTGTTCAGTGAGGTGCTTTTGTCAGGAAGGCTCTAACCCCGGGTGAATCCCGTCGCGGCATCGAAAAAAGGAGTCCATGAACTGGGATGACATCGTCTTCGTTAGTTTTGTAGAGATGGATCTTGGGCGCTCCTGGGCGATGGAGGTGCGCAATGGCACGATATAATTCCATCCAGGCCAAGCTAAATGCCGACATTGTTCGAGGGTCAGAGATGGTACAGCTTGGTGTGAAGAAGATTGCGAGTTCCAAACTTACTGTTGTCCGAGGCACGGTCTGGAGCCTTTTGCGAACGGAACGAACTGTGTTTTCATCTCCTGCAGCTTGTCGGGGGAAGAATTGAGCCAGCGGTCCGGTTCGAATGAATATGGATCAGTGAAGACTGATGGGTCCATGTGCATCCAGTAAGTAGTCATAGACACGGCTGTCTATGTTGGATTGTCAGATCACAGAATAGAACACGCATTATAGTTTTGTTGTACTAACTCCTTTGGGAATCCTCCATTGATTGTAGTATAACTCTTGGTCTGAGACCCGCGGGGCTCGGAGCATATTACCAATTGCTAGTCTATGGAGATCGTTAGCAAAACGAGACAATGGACGAAAAGAAGACAAAAAACAAAGAAGAGGAGGAGGAGGAGGATCCCACCGTAGACCTTCCTTAATACAAGCAGAAAGACACGGAATTTTCTCGAGTTCTCTCCATGTCACGGAATCGCTCCGTGCAAATACCGGACGCAGGGCCTCGCACAGAGTGTTTCGCTTGTCGTCATCTAGGCAGAGGAAAGCAACAATAGTCTCGATGGTTCGACCCGAATTGTATGTTCCCACTTGTTGAATAAGCTAAGGCAAGTAAGATTAACCACTCGTTGTCAGATGTCGGGGGCAAACTGTTTTACCTGTGCCACTCGGCTGCATGACTCGATCCCGTACGGCGTATCAGTACGATCGCTGTGAACAAGATGATCGAATACCGTTGTATCTGCCCGGTTTCTTGCTTCCCCGGCTGGGCGTGATTTCGAGTTCAAAACTTCTCGTCTTGCTTTCTGCTCATAGTCAGCTAAGAGATCGAGAGTTGTAGTCCCTTAAACATATTTACATCATCCCAGATCCTCCATTCAGTCGTTCGTTCCATGATAAACCTTATCAATGGAACTGTCATTGATCTATCATTAGTTAGTCCGTGGGATGTCCGGTCAACTGCTTGATGAAGGAGCGAGCCTAACTTACCTTGCTAGCCATGGAAGGTGGGCAAAGAGTGGAATAGCCAACAGACCTCGTTTAACATTTTCATACCTATATCCTTCATTAGTGTCTTCTACTGACTCTCGTAATGGAACCTTACCAAGGGGCGTTGAATTCAGGATCATTTAAAAAGTCGCTTGGATCTTCGAATAGAATTGACGAGATAACATCTAGACGAAAAATCTCATCAGACACAAGCCATGATGTGTAAATAGTGGCTTTTCAAGATGATACCCCTTACCATTTGTGTATGAATTAAAGGCGTGCGTCAAGTTTACAATGACTGGACTTTTCGGTTCGGTATTGACGCTGGCCAGCTCTTCCAGTTTCTGACCAAGCTTGAGGACACATGCGTCGACTCTAGATTCGACCCGTGTGATACCAGCGTGGGAGAAGAACGGCTTCAAAGGTGCTATGCTAGCTCGATGCATGTCATGATCTATTGCGAGAGCAGTCATATCTGGGAGTAGTTTAGCAGGGCGATAAGACGCAGATGCGAGATCGAAAGTCAAGTTGTCTTGCCTTCAAAACCAGTTCCCCGACAGAAGCGGTGGTAGCCATGACTCTTCCTGACTGCAGTTGAGACATAAAGTTGGTCATAAAATGATGCATCGTCGATATGGAGTTCATCTGGGGAGATGCGAACAATTGGTCCTAACCGCTATCAGTTAGAACGGTAGGCGCTGATTTATTCCAACTATATGAACGCACCATATTCATCATGTAGTTCTTTGATACGTTGATAGTATTTCCCAGTCAAAATCCAGTCGTAGTAGAACTCATACCAGAATGTAACTGCCGCGAGTTTGGGACCGGGGAATGCGGCAATTGGGCTGAGCCATAGGCGGATAAAAGCCAAAGAAACAGTACATAACAGTCCCAAGAAAATGAAGATAGTGATTATGTCGGTGTATGCGATAGCTGGATATCCCAAAAAGGAAATACTGCCGAAGATAGAGTCAGACATTGTGAGTGGGTGATGGGTAGGGTAGCCAGATACCAAGTAGGATCGCGTGTTTTCTTATATACCTCTGGTTTTAGATTACAACAGTTACGTAGTATCTACTATTGTCTCAACATTAGGCGGCTTGTTCTAGGATCAATTGCACAATGGCCACTGCTATAGAACACGAGAGATATTGACTTTTTGTCTATGACGATCATGATCAATGTCAATATTAAGTTCAATTCCGAACTACGAGGTGTTCTTATCAAGTATCTAGAAAGATCTGCCATTTTTGTAACACAATAGGAAGTAAGGTGAGTTGTAACTCGATTTTATGTCTGGTGATATGCAAGGGATAGTGATAGATGCACCAGGAAAACATGACCCGTCCACATTTAAACTACTTAGTAAGCACCTTGGGCAGATGTGACCAGCCAGTGCTTACTGCATTTCATTGATTCTAAGCATGAAGGAGGGAGAAAGAAGCGAGGGATCAAGGCAAGAAATGTGGCGCATTTGGGGGTGAGAATAATGGTTGTTCAATATGAAGCGAAATCTGGTTGATGGATAATTACAAGCACAATAGCGATATGGGAGTATGTTATTCTAGATTTAGACCCTTTGATATCAGCATTGGGGTCAAGTGCCGGATCACATGTTGCGGCAATGGCCAAGCTGCAGCTCTCAACCACTGGCATTGCTGGTTCAATCCGTCATAAATTTAACCCGATCAGGCAAGGAAATACAGCAGCACCAATTGAAGTCGCAACTCCAATGTCTATGGGCGAATACCCATGTTCATACACATTCTGCGAAGGGTCTCTTTGCATAGTTGTGTCATATGCATCAATTTATTGTAAATCGTAAATAGACTCTCTGAGACAAGCCAATGAAGAACAGCCAACGTCACAATGAGTGGTCCTGCATAGCAGTGTGGCTGGCTGAGCTAAAATGAGACCTAACCTCAGGAAGCTGATGAGAACATTGGGCGGAGAGATTGGGATTCAGTCCACAACTTTGATCGTCCCGTGTGAAGGAAAGGGTAGGAAAGATCAGCTTGAACCCCTCTTAGTGAGTATGCACAGAAGCCTGGGGGCGCAAAGAGAGCCCAATCACATCACCAATTGGATCAGTGGACAGCGATGTGACATTTTATAGCGCTTTGATATTTTATTTATGCCATAGGTCTTGGTTTATAAGTGACTTTAGACAAAGCATAGCTCGTAATCCCACGATATAGCGGTTTGCATACCATGTTTGATTGCGGCTGAGATACCAAAATATGGGTCTGGCGTAGCATCATGCAGAGCACAGTCTAGTTTTGACCCCTACGTAATCCCCCTCATACCGATAACCTTCCTTCTGTTAGCAGTATATAGATATATAAGCTAAACAAAAAAACAGCGTCGGTCTGAAATGTAGACCTGAAGATTATAAATTGAATTACACAAGGCGACACAACTAGCAATCAATTATAATATACGATTCGAAGTGGTTTTTGATGCAGGGACATATTACGCTCTCCGGACCTTGTTCCGCGTGAAATTGATGGTAGACATTTACAATATTGCAGAAAACTAGTGTGTTCATGCTTTTATATACTTCTCAACTAGATTATGATTGGTCAGACCATTTTCAGACCACGTGACGATAGCAAAATACCGCCCTAGGCGGTATCATAATTGCAGGCAGAATTGACCAGTTTTACATCGATTCGAACAATTGTCCCGGATAATGCGATAAGTCTGGCCATGTCACTTATGGGGATAAGGGCTTTGCAGAAGCTGCCAACTGCATATAGATCTCCTGCGCTCTGCAAATGGCCGCAGGTGCGCGCAAGATGTCTTCTCAACGCGCCCGCCACTCCCTCGACCTTGTCTTGGGGGCGACGCTCGTTGAATACAACGAAAACGTACAGGGCGAACGAAGCTACTCCCGCCGACAATGAGGTATGTAGGACTACAGGGAAACCTGAGCCACTGGTTAACCTCTTTCCAGTCGCAGGAGCAACCGAACGATCTGGAAAACCCCCAGGAAAATCCCATTCGCTCTACTATCGATAGCAACTTGCTTCTCAGAAATGAATTCGAAACGCATGGGGACATCAGAGAATATTTACGCGGATGGCAGAAAGTCAACCCCAACATCCTGGACCCTGTCCGCAAAACAAGCCCCGGTCAATTGACGCAACTACCGCCTCAATCTGTTGGCACCATGCCAAACGGCCAAGATGGTGCGGATGTCTGGGGTGACTCGAACAGACCAAACCGGGAGAGCTTGGACAAGGAAGACTTCGAAGGCGATCATCTGGAGCCCGGCGATCTCGTTGCCAGACTGGGTTCGGATGGAGTATTCAATTACGCGATCTACGTGCGGTCCGTTCACAAGCAGAAACAATTCTACAGTGCCACTGGCAATTGGCGCATTTGCTCGCCATTGGAGCTGGATTATGCCATCAAAGGTTTCGCTCCGCCTGAATTGCTCGAACCTTTGAAGCCTTGGTTCCCGGATACTGAAGCTATTGTCAGCACAGAATTCCAGCTGGCTCCTGAAGGTGGCCTGCCGCGCCCGCTGGGTGCCCCTCTGTTGAATATGATGAACAACTTCAAGACCCATATTTTGGCATTTTATAGGGAGAACTCCAAGGTTCTGGATGATCTTCACAATCTGGTAGCAGATGATTCAGAAGTTCTGTGCTTGACCATTGAACAGCTGACAATGAATGTCCTTGGCATCGAGGAATCGGAGTTGACCAGCGTCAACCTGTTTGCTGTTCACCAGGCCGTTCGTCGACAACCTTTCCTCATCGAAAAAGACACGAGCTCTTTGTTTAGCCGGATGTATCTGGTGCAACCGAAAAGGATTTCTAACATTGTCACGCAAGTTGTCGACTGGACCCATGAACACCAGGAACATTGTGTTCGCAATATCATGGCGAAAGGCTCGCAAAAGTCGATGAACGAGCACCCGATGCAGCAGTTCATCGCCAAGGCACAGCGGTTGATCCGTCTTAGCAGAAGGATCCGGTCGCCCACCATCATGTCCAGTGTTGGCCCATCCTCTCAAAGGTTCCTGCCTGGCCAGGACGGAAATCCAATGGTGTACCGTGAGATGCCTACTGAAAAGTTCAATGCCAATGATCAGATGATTATTGAGTATTTGCAGCTGTACGCAATTCCTACCACCATCATGCCGTCTGGCACCCTGAGATCAACTGCAACTCACATCATGCGATCAACGGGCATGTACAATACTCTTGGTTTGAGTGAGGCCTCAACGCGGCTGCTGCTTCAAGAGCTTGGTGTTATCGCACCTTGGGAGAACATGTTCCCCCTTAGCCAATATCTGATGCTTCCAGGCCACGGCGTATCACTCCAGAAAGATCTGGAGTTAGAGGAGATCGAGCAGACATGTCGTAACCTCAGTGCTGAGCAACTGCCAGATTCCATGCAAGACTTGAGAAAGGACTGGGGTGATCTACCTGTGTATTGTGTAGACGATATAACCGCGCAAGAAATTGATGATGGTATATCACTGGAGCCAATTCCAGGTTCAAACAATACATTCTGGATACATGTCCACGTTGCCAATCCAACAGCTTTCATCAAGCATGATGATCCCATTATTCAATACGCAGGCTCGCGGCTGTTCACTTCCTACCTCCCAGAACGAACTTACCCTATGCTTCCGAACGATCTCACGGAGCCTCACTTCAGTTTGGCTGCTGGTCGACCAGTGCTCACGTTCAGTGCCAAGATGAACTTCCGAGGTCAGATCTTGGACACCAAAATCCAAAACGGAACGATCCGGAATGTCATCAATCTTACGCATAAGACACTGCGTGACTTCCTCGGTTCTGATTCAGACGAAATCATAAAGCCGTTGGTTGTAGGCGGCGAGTACTCAAGCCCACAGGCACCTGCAGACAAAACAGTCCGAGAGCATCTGCGCCTAGAGGAGAAAGAGAATTTCCACATCTTGCGTCAGCTCATGCTTGCATTCCACAAAGCCCGCAAGGCCAACGGCGCTATGAACTCCACCCCTCTCGCCCCAGCACTCTCCGTCTCGGTCCAGGCAGGCACAGACAAAATGCAACCTTACGAGCTGCAAGCCCAAGAAGGAAGGTACTATCTTGGTGACCCAATCATCCGCCTCGACGTCCATGACGAGTATGATCCGTACGAAGTTCGCGATGAATCCAGAGATAATTTGATCGCCCTAGTCATGAACCTGGCCGGACACGTTGCTGGCGAGTTCTGTGCCGCCCGCAATATCCCCGCTATCTACGATGGAACTTGGTACGACCCCGAATACGGACGTGTCACCAACAAGAACATCAATACTTTCGGCGGCGAGGGCTTCTTCGAACTTAGTGCCCCATTGGCTCACTCCTCTACCACCCCGATTTACCACCACCCTCTAGGTCTGCAGACCTACCTCAAGAGCACGAGTCCGCTGCGCCGGTACACTGATATCATCGCGCACTACCAGATCGAAGCCGCGCTGCGCTTTGAACACGAGCACGGCAGGAAGTTCGACGCTCTCAAGGACAGTCCCGACCCCGAGATTGATCTCGCGCAGAGCGAGTCCGATCCTGATCTATCCATCGACACCCCCTCCACTCCACCTTCTATCCTCCCCTTCTCCAAATCCGCCCTCGACGCCTACCTCTTCCAAATACAACCTCTCCGCGCGCACCTCCGCTACCTAGACAGCTACTCTTCCCAGCATTGGGCCTGCATGCTTCTTTTCCGCGCTTACTATTTCGCGGAATGTCCTCTCCCAGCCACGTTCCCCTGTCTGCTACGCACACCCCGTGCCAAACCCAGACATCTGGATCCAGAGTATGCCGGTGTCATCACCAACCTTGGTGTGAATTGCGCCGTTACCATCCCGGCGGACTTCCCGGATAAAGACAAATTGGACATTTTCTGTCTAGTTGAGGCTCGTATCACGGCGGTTGATATGGCTACTTACCAGGTTACGCTTGAGGCGACCCGGTTTGTTAAGCCGTTCGAGAGAACGGGTGAGTGGGCTTGAGCCTGCTTGCCTTGTACAATACTGTATTATATGCATCTCCCAAAGGCGCGAACTTGTATAATTGAAAAATCAAAACTATAACTGGACTTTCAGGCATGCAATGAAGCTCAATCGAATCCTCGGCTGTGCTGAATGAAGAATAGGAATGGAAATAGTTCAAGTCCTGTCCATCACACCTGCAGACTGGAGGTTCTGCTCCAGCTGCTCGGGCCCATTCTTTCTTTCCTGCATTGAGGTGTCGTTCCTCGGTATGTAGAGGTACAAAACTTCAAGCACCAGTGCACCAAACGTAGTAAAGCTACATATGTATGCAATCAGCTATGATCATGACCCGCCATGCCACATCAGGAGTTCGACTTACAAGGCAATGAAGCTGAATGCTTCGGCAGCATACTTTCGACTGCAAACCGTCTCCCCGTTCCAGCGGTGAACCCTACAACTAGTTTGGTTGAAATTCTGAGCCAGGAAGATGAACGAAGTGAGCCACCTAGAGCGGTGAACGTTAGCATTAATTCTATACTTCCCAGGGTGGAAGATTGGAATCAGTTCAGATGACAATGCTTACAGGTAAGAAATCACTGCATCGGTCAATAGCAGAGGGAGAACGTGCCATCTACGACGATTGGCGACACAGCTTGTAGTCAACGTTATGCCGTAGACGATTGGAGTTAGGACGCCCTAGTTTGGTCAGATTGGTCAAATGGGTATTTCGAAAACTGCACGACACGTACTATCACTAGGGAAAAGATCACAGTGAGGGTTTTGGTGTGAGTGACTGCCCAGCCTGTGATGCCGATGACGATGATCGAGCTCACGCATTGGATTATATGTGCGATGGTTGATACCGTGCCACAGGGGTGTTCATAGAAGCTTGCCATTGGAAAAGTTATAATAATAATAATTCAGTTTGAAGAAGTAGGAATTCTGTTTATGGGAATAGCCGGGTATTTATTGTATAAATCTCGGAAATGGATGATATCACCACTTCTACTCGAAGCTGGCCAGGTTCATTTTTTGCGAACAGTATTTCATTGGTCGAATAGTAATATTATGTATTTTGTAAATTAAAATAAATGTGTAGTAAATAATAAATCTAAAATCTATATGACTAGAAGTCAATGGGACGGTTCCCCGTCACACTACCAGGGGTACTAGTACCAGGCCACAAATACTTTTCGCCCTGGGGAACACGTTTCTTAGTCCGGACAGAGGGCAGCAAGTCAATAACAAAGGAAAAGACAAAGAAAGCGAAGATAAGTGCAGCAACTGCTTCGGTTAGCCTGGGTCAATGCGGGAAACCTGGATAGAACTGAACATACCCCATTCCAAAACAGCAGATACATTCTTTCTGTTCTTGGTTTTGGCGCCCATGCATACACCAAATCCAATTGCGACGCCGATTTCACCAACGATAAAGAGTGCTTTGATGGCAAAGCTGACGAGCAAGATTCGGGCTTGGGGATGGTAGAATCGGCCGATTTGCAAGTATTCCAGACATACCAGGATGGCGCAGATCACGTAGCTCACGCTGAAAACAGTCAGTGGTGTTCTTTTTCTCTTCCTTTTTTTGGCTTTCGGGGAGATAACAAGCAACATACATGAACATAATTAAAAACCCGTAGTGTTCGTGTTGGTGATGTTTCGTGTCGAAGATAGACAGCAAGATTAACCCCAGAGCTCCAGTGATAGAGAACGCAATAGATCCAATGGCACAGGCTTTGTCGAATCGTCCCTTATTCCTAGCTAATTGGCCAGCGTGTCGAAGCCAACGCTCCGACAAGAGAGACAGATCCATGAAGACAACTGTCACTGCACTACCGGCAATAAACAGCGGCTTGATCCCTTCGGCACCTATATGCGAAATGTACCTGCTCGGCTTAGTCGCGTTGTCGGGAACATTATAATGTAGCGATACTCACGGAATAGTCTCCCCAGCACTCATGGTGGAATAATGCGGCTTTCCATCTGCCGCCCATGCTCCAAGCATGGCAATCAACGTGGCTACAGTCTTGTTAGTCGTCGTATATATACAGCCGTGGAAGATCTCTGAGATCCGTACCTAACCACACGCATCCTGAGATGACGGGGAATACCCAGAAAGAAAGAATCCACATGGCTACTATGCGACCCCCGGGTGCCTGAAATCTTCAAATCGAGAACAATCTTGGACTGGGGAAAGAGATTGCTTTATTTGCAAGGGATGAGATTCAGATTCGATCCTGTGCAAGATTCTCAGGTACAAAAAGCCAGGGGCCGCAAGTAAGGGGAGGACCACACCAATATCCCTACTTCGTGCTTAGTTTAGATTAGAGGTGATACCAAAGATCGGGTTGTACTAACTTTGTGGGCCTTTGGCTGCGAAAGGGAGACCGCCTTGGGAATCACCGAGCCCTTGAGAGCCTCCGATCGACGCGGAAGTGTCGGATGTTGATGACATCAGCATAACAGTGGGCCTCACAATCTTTATTCTTCGAGTTCTATGCACTTAATTCTATAGAACAGTATACTTGGTGTATTTAATTAAGTATATACTGATGCAGTATTCATGCAAGACATGAAAATCATCAAGTCATAGCTTTTAGTTCCCGCAACGCCACAAAATGTTAAAAATCACAAACTGTAAGAACACGAAGATACGAAGACGCCAAAAACTTCACAGATTCTCCATCGCCCGAATAAGAGACTCCAACGTCTGTCCACTAACAGCAGTAGCAGTAGCGGTAGCAGGATCAGAAGAAGGAGAAGGACTAACACTCCTAGCAACCCTCTGCACAACATAATCCGCCGAAAGCGAAGCACTATCCTTCGCCGACCAAAGATCACTATTCAAATGCTTAAAAATAGCAACCACCCTCAAAGGAATAAGAGTCGGGTCGGGATCATGGGATTTGAGGACGAGTTCGATCGTTCGCAGAAACGCTTTGCATAGTCTGCCCCAGCCGAGACTCATGTGCCACAGGCCCACGACGCAGCTTTCGAGGACGAGCGTCCATTTCGGCTCGTGGGTCGAAAGTCGGGATGTTGCGTGTACGCCGCCGAGACAGAAGTAGTGGAGCATTACGATTGGGATAGATTTCCAGCCGTGGCGGTGTTTGAAGAGCAGGATTAGCGAGCCGATTGTTTCCATTGCGTTTTCTTTGATGCTTTCGAAGTCTGTGTGGGAGGTGCTGGTTGATTCGAGGGGTGGGTGGGTGGTCATTATTGTGCTTAGGGATATTAAGGTTGCTTGGTAGTAGAGGCTGAGATTGTGAGAACTAGGAGTTAAAACTTGGAGAATAATGCCGACTCGACTTACTGTAGACAGAGGATATGTGGGGTAGTATTATGCTCTGGCTTGACGGATTTCGGCAAGCTGATATTCCAGTTGACGAGCCGTTGATATATCTGGCAGCAATAATCTTGATCATCATCGCTCATGGAAGGTCCCTGGAATTGCAGGGAGAAGAAAGCAATCTCGTTCACAATGGCTGTCAGTGCACTTCGGAACTGGAGAGTAGTATAATAGTTCGGTCGAGACGTAGGTGACTCGAAAGGATATGGGGACCATTCAATATGCTCATCAAGTCTTGCTGCCTGTTCTGGCGAACAGCGCAGGGGCGGAGGTGTTAGCCAGGGGGACACTTTTCGGTACACCTGGGAGGCCAGTCTATTTTGCGGTCAGCATGGTCAATAATTCCATAGAAAGTGAAGCAGATTTCTTACGTCTGGACATCGAATATCGCCCAAGACACCATCTCTTGGGACAATTCTGATGGCGACAGATCATTTTTATCGTCATTGTTCCCATTTGATCGGGATAGGTCGGATGGCATATGTAGACCCTGTTGAGAATAGGATTTTGCCCCATTCATGATAAATTGTGTACCCAGTCGATCAACACCAAAGGTACAGGATAGTAACCCTAGCAGAATCCCGGATTGGATGGTAGGAAGGTCCCGCTTCCCCTTCTCGGTTTCCCAGAGCGGTTTGATTTGATCGTAGAGCTTTTGCCCGAGCACCTTTTCCTCCCTTCTATCGGTGATCTGGTTCAATTTATACGAAAAGCTCTAAGAAGAGTTAGAATCAGAATAGGGAATGCCAGGTCAGTGTCAGAAACCTACTATTCCAAAAAAGAGCAAAACATGCACTAGCAAACGAGAACAATGGCTTCCATTGTGGGTTTCCAAGTCCTGGAGAAACGTGTCCTGGTCAATCAAATTCCACGTTGGGTTTTCCCATGTGAAATAGAATGACAGCAGATGACTTGCGGTGTCGTTTGCCATGAGGGAAGTCCAGTATTCGATGGAGTTCACTTTGATAGGAGGTTCCTTGAGAATTGGTCGCAATAACTTGGCATCTGCCGACATGGAATCAAAGAACATATGCCCCAATGAGATCCTTGATCTTGGTATTGGAATATGATGCCTCTTCAAAGACTCCGAAGCAAGGAAGTCCCTAAAAGTCTCTGGCGATCTCTCAAAATGATTCTGTTGACGATTCGCTTAGCCAGAGAAGGCGGAATTTATCTCAGTTCGGTGGCAAACCTTGAAAATATCATTAATTGATATATTCGCATGCATAGTAGCTTCTGATATAATATCGCCGAGCAATGCTTCATAGAGTTGAGCTTTTTGCTGCAGACTTTGAAGCTGCAACCGCTGCTTGTCTCGTTTTGGGGTTGTGTAGGCGCAAACCCGGTTCATTCGGTGACAGGTCTGGCACCTTGGGCGTTTACCATTACATTTGGCCTTCTTCGCCCGACACATAACACATGCGCTTGGAGTGCGCAATAAGTTTATCTCAGCAGGTCCATTGAGTAAACGGGGGATAGCAACCTTGCCCGTCCCTTCCGTGGGGGTGAGACTTGACGGGCTGTCAGAAGGATCCGAGGAGCAGCTCATCTGTCCAATATGTCTGAAATCAAATGACTATGAAGGTGCACCGGATAAGCGAGTTCCGCCTTTCTGTTAGTCGTTCATTGAAAGGTGGCACACAATCGTGGTCTTTTCGAGATTTGCTCTTAGCGGGCCCTTCTACATATTGAGTTGCCAAGGCCGGCGAGATGCAGTCACGTGCCATATTGACAAATGCAGACATGATAGTGTACATGCTCATGTTATGAAAGACTTCGAGTATTAAGAAAGGAGGAAGCTTGGACATCATGAGAAGTGAGAAAGGGGTGATATATAATCTTGAGCCTAGAAGCAACATCAAGTATGGTGTCAGGTGATACGCGCTATTGAGCTCTATCCAATACAATACTTGCAAGTGTATATATATTATATGTTTCTAATGTTTTTAGAATATTTCTTTTGAAATTATTGGCTGGAAATTAGTAGTTATACCTAGTTATCCATTTAGCTCTACTTAGCTCTGGTATAGAAAAGTGGATATCAAGGCTCCGGATGATCTTCATGCCTTTCCTATATATACACCATAAGTGACATACTACTACTGTATACAGAAATAATGTGAAACTTACACAAGTACAGCATTTGACATACTATTAGCCACAATGATCTCATTGTGGAATATACTAGTTGGATATAAAAACAACATATAGAAATTGACCAGGATATGCGAGAATACATGGCATATTCCTTGGCATCATGACGTAGTGGCTTTTTATATCTTCAATTCAGTTGAACTTGACTCGAATAATCCTGTTTCTGCCTATGTTGTAACTAGCTTTCCTCTCAGCGACAGAACCTGATTTACATCGGAAGTGGCTGAAGGGAAATGCATCCGTGTACCAATGGCAAACAATGATCTGCGTACAATTTCGGGATGTGTACCTCATCTCATGGTATGTTACGAGGTATACGTATACCTTGTTACGTCGTACAAATCTGTTAGCTATAGTACACCCTTTTCAGAATCAGAACGTCATTTGTGAACTCGTGATGTTTATGCTTTAGAACTTTTATAAATATCCCTCTTCTTTCCCCTCTCTCCACATATTCTCTCCACAACTTTGACCCCCCCCCCCCCCCACACAATATCTCCATCTGCACTCCACCTATCTTGATATCTTTTCATCATGCAATTCGTACGCAAGGCCGAAGAAGCCTTGACTGGCAAGAAGGATGAGTCGCATGAATCAACTCAGTCCTCTAACCATGGTCCTCACTCATCAAATCTGGCCAACAAGCTTGATCCCCGTGTCGACAGTGATCGTGGTATGCATCCTCATCTCACTTGACATAAAATTAAGTGCTGACCAGTTATAGACAACCGTGCTGACCCCACTATCAATGACCAACCCCTGGGTGCTTCTAAGGACTATGGCACTGGCACTGGCACTGGAACAACTGCTGCCGGAACAACCACTACCGGAACTACCAGCACCACTGGCCCCCACAAGTCCAGCATCCTGAACAAGTTGGATCCTCGCGTCGACTCGAGTGCTACCCATGCCGAGCACTCGTCGACCACTCACAGCACTGGTACAGCCCACACTAGCACCCATGGTCTTGGAGGAACTACCACTAGCCCTCACAGCTCGACTCTCAGCTCAGAAATGCACGGCAGTCAGCCTCTGACGGACTCCCCTGGAACTACAACTCACGGTAGCAGCAGCACCAACGCTGGTCCTCACAGCTCCAACATCGCCAACAAAGTCGACCCTCGCGTGGACTCTGATCGTGATAACCGTGCCCGCCACGAGACCGTCACTGGCGCCGGTACCGGTCTTGGAACAACTCACGGAACCAGCACCAGTACCAGCACCAACGCCGGTCCCCACGATTCCAACATCGCCAACAAAGTCGACCCTCGCGTGGACTCTGATCGCGACAACCGCGCCCTTTACTCCGGCGCAGGAACTGCCCCTACAAGCTCAACCCTGGGCTCTAGCACCGGTCACGCCCAGCCTCTGACCGGTTCCACTCACGGTACTGCTGGACCGCACGACTCTAATATCGCCAACAAGCTCGATCCCCGTGTTGACTCAGACCTCGATAGTCAGCCTCTTTCGGGCACCGGTGTTGGCACGACTACCCATGGCTCTCACACTCGGGAACTGGACCATGGTCTTGCGGGTAGTAGTTACAATACTCCTGTTGGAACTTCGGGTCGGGCTTCTGGAACAGCTGCTACTGCTGGACCACAGGATTCGAGTGTTGCGGGCAAGTTGGATCCTCTGGCTGGGTCGGACATTGGTGCTCAGCGGACCATCTAGGTTCAATCCTTTGGATTGGATCTTGGGATCTTGAATTGAGGAATTTTCACGATGACACGATTTTGAAATTAAGCAAAGCAACACTGGCAATTTAGTTTAATACCAAATTGACGTATCTGAAACTTTTTATTGTACATTATGAGTAGAGAGTTGGAAACATACCTCTTTTATCTACAGTATAAAATATAACACGTCTTTCTCAAACATCAAAGACCTCCTTGATGAGTGCTTTCTTGTTTACTATATCAGAATAGAGTCAGCTTCCAAGTCAGCCAGAAAGAAAGGAAGGAAGAAAGTAACTCACCCTTTCCCATCGCATTCCTCGGAATAGCATCCAATACCTTCATCTCCTGCGGAATCTTATACGAAGCAAGACAATTCTTCAAAGCACGTCTCATATCCATCGGTCCCCAGGACCGTCCACTCTTCCCACTTACAGCAGCATCATCACTGAGAACAACCACCGCAGCAACTTTCTGTCCCCACTGCTCGGAGGGCAGTCCCACAACCGCCGCTTCAACAACCTGAGGTCTGTATACATCGTCAGCTGAAAACTCCATACATCAAAAAAGGGAAAAAAAGAACACATACAAAGAAAGCAGCTCCCTCTCAACCTCCAACGCACTAACCTTCTCCGCCCCAGTCTTGATAATATCCACACTCTTCCGTCCCTGAATAAAATACATCCCCCCTCGAGCCCACTCCCCACTCCTCCCACTGCCTGCCCCCTCAACAACCCGCCGACTAGCAACATCCCCCGTGCAGAACCAGCCATCAACAAAAGCCTCCCGCGTAGCGTCCTCGTTGCCCCAATACTCGCTGAAAATTGTATCGCCGCGCAACTGGATCTCGCCTTCTGCTGAGGACGTCTCGGGGATAACTTTCCCCGTCTCGGTGTCGACCAGCCGCGCTTCAACGCCCGGTAGCGGCCAGCCTACGCTGCCGTCGACGCGGTCTGCATTGTCTAGGCCACAGCTTATTGCCATGCCAACTTCGGTCATGCCGAAGCGTTCTAGGAGAATATTGCCTTTGCTGAGGGATGTCCATTTTGTTTTTGTGGGTGTTGGGAGAGCGGCGGAGCCGGAGATGTTCAGCCGGAGGTTTGAGGGAGAGATTCCTTCTTTGCTGGCTTTCTGGAGGGTTGGGTCCAGACTGGGGAATGTGGTCATTAGTCTGTTGTAGACTGTTGGGACGGCGGTTAGGAATGTTATTGGTGATTTTGATGGGGTTGGGAGGAATGGCGCGCCGAGTCGCTTCCAGACTTGTTCTGGGTTGAACGGGTACATGAACTCGATAGAAGAGCCTGCTATGATTGGTGCTACGATCGCGTTTACCACGCCGTGGATGTGGTGCAGTGGTAGGAGGTGGAGGAGTCGGTCAGATGGACTGTACTTCCACGCTTCTAGCAGGGAAGATGCCTGTGCTGCTAATGCAGATTGTGGGATGAGAACGCCTTTCTGCCACTTGTTAGTTCATGTTTTTGTGGTTACATTCAGAATGCGTTTACCGGTCGGTTCGTTGTGCCCGAGGTATATAGCATCATTCCGCCCATGGAAGGCTGTTCCAGGTCTTTCAGGACAACGGAGTCGCCGCTCGTGCCCTGGAGCTTATTGCGAACATTGAAGATAGGTTCGTGCTCCAATCCCTCTCGCAGGACCTCCATGGCCTTGTCGGCATACTTTTCAGTAGCAAGCAACATCTTAGCTTGCGAATTGTCGAGGATATACTTCAACTCCCCAGTTGGGAACGCCGGGGAGAGAGGCAGAGCAATAGCATCGCTAGCAAAGATCGCTAGCATAGTCACTATACACCAATTAGTATGTGGTTTTCCCCATAATGCAAGATCGAGAGTACAGTACCTACGTAGTCATAGCTGTTCTCCGCAAGAAACGCAACCCGCTCGCCGGCCAATGAACCCTGTGCTTTTGCGGCCTTGCGCTCGAGGTCATCTCGGGCCCGAACAACGTCACCAATTAGACTTCCGTATGTGAATGACCGCTCCGACACGCTATGGATCACCGCCAAGCTGTCCGGGTCGTGGTTTTGCAGTGCGCGGAAGATATGCGTGTTCGGTAGTGTTGACAGGAGTCTAGCGAAAGGCATTCGCCGGGCTTGGAATGCGCGCACTCGCGATCGCGATATAACAGACAGTAGAGACATAATGGACAAATTGTTAGAATATAAAAATCAGCATTGTCGACTTTTCAACTTCGTAAGAGTTGAGACGAAAGGCGGAAGTCAAATTGACATCATGTCATGAGAAGTTCCGCGGAAATCAAAAACATCCCGTCCGATTGGCGACTTCGGATCTTCACTCTTCGCTCGACAACTGCGCCAAATGATTCCTCGCGTTCTTCCTCGTCTGACTTCCCGTCTGTTCTCTGTTTCTACAAAGATGTCTTCAATGACTCCGTTGGAGGATGCGATGCGCGATAAGGTGGGCCCATTACACTACTCAACGAGTATTGATCGAGCTAATATCGTCCCTGCTGAACAGATCGCACACGCCTTTACACCCTCGTCCCTCGTTATTCGGAACGATTCGCACCGCCATGCTCACCATGCTGCGATGGAGGGGTCGACCTCCAAGGAGACGCATTTCCAGTTCGTGCAACCGCCCATACTCGATGCAAGTGATTCTAATAGTTCGCAGCGTGACGATCGTCTCCGACGCCTTCGAGTCTAAAATGCAGCCTGCGAGACACCGTATGGTTTACGCTTTATTTAAGGAAGAGATGGCGAGGGAGGGTGGACTCCACGCGCTGCAATTGAAGACAAAGACGCCGGCCGAGGCACAGCGTGAGAAGGAGAGGGAGGAGCAGGCATAAATCAGTTGAATGCTTCTGCAAATTGTTGATTCGAATACCCCATACAATAAATATGCATATTACATTGGATTTCAATGACTCCAGGCTTGGAAACATGCGCATGAATTGATTATTAGACGGTATTACATAGATTCTAGCGCCAAACAGGGCCGACAGAAAGAAACAATCTAATATATACATCAATGCACCGCGACATACGAGTCCCGAGCAGACACAATCATCACGGGCGTATGGCGGTGAGCGGAGCGGTACACAGCGCAGGTACAGCTAGGAAACAAAGACGCAAGGAGAACGACGATTGAAAAGGCATTGCTTTTACACAAGAGCGAGGAAAATGCGAAAGGGTGGTATAACAACGAGGGGTAACAAGCGACAAAACAAAAAAAACGAAGGAGATGATGCGTAGATCTGGAGGTCGTACAGAGAATTTACTTGGAGCTCTTGTTGGCCTCGGTGACACCGACAGCCACACCGACGACAATAGCGATAATAATAACTGGGAGTAGGTTAGCGAGTAGCTCTAACGTAAATGAGAAAGAAGACAATAACTCACTGACGATGATCAGCGCATACCACTTCCAGCGCCGAGCGTTCTTTGCGCTTTGAATGGCGCTGTCAAGTTTGGTGTTGGCCTGCTCTACATTGCGGTGGGTCTCCTCGGCTCCCTGGTTGATCTGCGTGACTGCAGGCTCCTGCTGGTGCACCAGCTCGGCAACCTCGTTGTACAGGTGGCTCAGTTCAATCAGATCCTGCTCGATCTTGCGGATGGCGGCGGAACGCTGAAGGGTAGCCTGGCGGGCATCGTTGGCCTGGCGGGATCGAGTTCCGGGAACCTATTCTTTGAGTTAGATGACTGGGTCAAAGTTCCGACGCGCGTAGTACATACCACGAAGCTCTGTTCTTGGCCCATCAGGACATTCTGCACACCTTGTTCCAACTCCTCCGGGGAGGCATCGGGGTTGGCAATCTCGTATCGGCGGCGCACTTGCTCCTCCAGGCGCTTCCGGAAGTCACTTTGTGTGCGCTGGTACTGCTCAATCTCACGGCGCAGGTTGCGGCTGACGTTCTCAACCTGACCGCTGACGCGCTGATCGCCGGATCCCGGAGTTTCCTTGACGCGCTTGAATTGATCACGCAGGTAGCGCAGCGCAGTGTTGATTTCATCCTCAATGTAGTCGAGAGTCTGGCGCGAGGAGGTGTCCTCCTTTCCGGTGCTCGAGTCCAGAAGGGCCTTTTGGGCGGAGGCCAACTGTCCCTCGCGCTTCCTGGTCAACTCGGTGATACCTTCATTGATTTCCTTGCACTTGTTCAAAATCGAGGCAGGTCCACCAGAAGAACCCTGGTTGACGTTGGACATCTCTGCCAAACGATTAGCGCCATTAGGTGAGGTAAACTCATCATAGTATCAACATACCATAACTCCCATATCCGGCTTCTGCATCACCACCTCCGTAGCCATAGTTCTGTTGCTGGCTAGCATAAGGGTTGCTTTGCTGCTGACCTCCGTACGGGTTGTACTGGCCGTAGCCGCCTTGATTGTTATCCCCCAAGCTCTGGTACTAGGGAAATTCACGTCAGAAAGCAGATTCAGATTAAGGGAATCGCATTCAATCACTCACACTCATGATGATACAATAATATTCAGATTCTTGGGAAAAGTGTCAAATCACAAAGGGGAGATGAAGGAGGGAAGGGTGAGACGGGAAGAGTGGAGGTGCGGCAGAAGCGCTGGCGGTGTCCCTTTAAAGGAGGAAGGAGAACCAATAACGTCAAGCAATTGAGTCGCGCTGAATTGGCGGTATTAGGTATTAATTTGGTGCACTTATAAGTGTGTAATGTTCTATAGGTAAAAAGCAAAAAGAGTATTTAATTTAAATTTTGAGGGGGGATTCCCCCTATTTTTGAAGGTTTTTCTGACACAGTGGACAGTGCACTAACAGTTAGTCAATTACGGTGTTCCTGCAGAGACATGTACAGCCTCCTTACGAGGGACCGTTGTAGTGGAGTCACCAGAAATTGAGCTGTGTGGCTGATGTGTTGTTCTATTTATGACTCAAACTGTTGTTATTCGATGGCTATAAGAGATCGGCAGTGGGATATCTAAGCCAAGGTACTAAGTACTTGGCTTTTCGTAGCTCACTCCACTCTGAACTAAGTACAATGTACCTAAGAACAGGGTCTGCCTGGTGGCAACCAGTCTGCACGTCATGATCATGTACATAGCAACCTCTTAACTATACCGTTTAAGGGGATGGATGCGATCCTTGATAGATACAGTATTTAATTAAAAATAGATTTAGGGCATACAGTACTCTATGTATACAATGTAAACTACTGCCTTGTGGTCCAAGTCGGAAATAGAATGCGCTTCAGAACCTTGGAGCTGAATATGACACTCAGCCAATCAACGCTAATTGTTGCCAACTTCAGCCTCATCAGGCATCATCTATAAAACACAAGCATTGAGTATCCTTTTTTGAAACAAACAAACACGCATAATGCTGCAGCCTTGTTAGCTGGAGTGATATCGTCGTAAATGAAGAAGAAGACCGGGATTTCACACCGGCCTCGAATATATAACCGAGAGGAAAGACCAACAACTCTCATGTCCATCTAACTTGTTTACAACGGTATGCACTCCACAAAAGTTGGCCCCAAAAGACGAGTGTATATATGTAACTCTACTACCTATGGTCTCTGCGATAGTAATTTAAGTATGTTGATTTTCTGAATACCACCCCATTATCTCAACGCCTGTCAGTACCAAAGGAAGTAATTTGATGATGGCAAATCCTACACAAGAGGTGCTGAAGAAGGCGGGCTGGCCGGCACCGTCTGGACGGGATATTTTGTCTTTCCTCTTGGAAAGAATGATATAAATGTAGGGCCATCTACATAGCGATAGGATGGGCATAAGATAGTGACTGGTTGGCATGCGTTGAGTAAGTGTGAGATAGGCAACAATACAAAATACGTCGCGAAACTTCAAGTACCATTCATCATATTGAAAACTTTGTTTATTCAAACAATATACAAAAATTTTATTCAAAAGCTATGGAGGCTGCCGGAACTCTCGTCACAGAATGAACGAAAATACACAATCAAGTTTGCGGAAGTGCCCTCAGAATCCTCTTCATAGGACACAAACAAGCAACCTTCAGAATACCTAGGTACTCTTCAGGCAGTTTCTGGGAGTATCCTTCACAAGAAAACCTCTCGGAAAGCCCACAAATTCTCAGAAATCTCTTCACAGGATAAAAGATAGTCCTCGGAATCGTATTCTTCACAAGACTGTATCCCCTTATAGAACGCCAGGACGTAGCCGGGGTCGAGGGCCCGAAGGCGTAACCTCTATCCAGGCAGTGGAACCACAACCAGGCTTCCAGGACCGTAGCAAAGTCTGTAAGCGGGAAGTGTGGTCACACCGGAGTGTGGTTGCTCATCAGGAATTCCTTCGCGGAACGGGACAATGGAGACATGGTCGTGCCTTCACTGTATCGGAAGAGGTTGAGGCATAGGGTAAACACATTTACCCCAACTTACTTCGTGCCGAAACTGTATCAAAAGCGTGGCAAAGTCCTTGGGGAGAAAAAGGAAGGAGAGTTTGGAATGGAGAGGAGCTTTATATGCTGGGGGTGATTTCCTATTGTGAAGTCACCACCTGCGTTCTTTCCTTTCATGTAAAGGAATTCAACTTGTATATGGTACTTATGTAGACTCGGTGACTTCCATACTTGATGGGGTATATGTACCTGTACACTCCTAAAGATCATTGACGTGTACAAGTACATGTGTAAATCAAGAGGCTACGATACCTGGAGTGGTATATGGCACCAACTCTATTCAGAGCCAACCAGCAGTGCAGAGCCATGATATACCTATTAATCGGCTGCTAAGCATTATCATTGCAGTATCCTACATTGTACATCAATATTGAGTCCAGACATTCACTTCAAAACATTTATCTCTATTATACAAGGCGAATGCAGATCCCTTATGATATCATTACAATGGAAGAACGTATTCAATATTTGTTGTATTCTTATTTATATTCATAGTCTTAATCTTATTTATATTCATATTATACCGCGTCCATCAAGGATCGGCCTCATCTCATACACTATACACATACAAGCCCAACAGTCTACTCGACCTTCGACTCGTGTTGGGAAGCGCGACGCGCCTCAACAACAGGCGCATCAGGCATATAATCATCCGCATCGAGCGCATTCATATCATCTTCCTGTGCGTTGAGGTGGTAGAACACAGCGTAGAAGATGAGACCGCAGATGAAGGAAGCGATGGCCAGACCGGCGAACATCCACATGATGGCCGGGTCGAAGGCCGCGGGAGTGAGGGCTTCGGCGATGGCGGAGCCGAACGCGTTTGTGAGAAGGTACATCGACTGCACGAAGGACTTCATGCTAGGTGGGGCCTTGGTGTAGGCGTATTCGAGACCGGAGACAGAGGCGAAAATCTCAGACAAGCCGATGAAGACGTATGCGGGTGTCTGGATCGCGATGTGCACGTGGTTGCCGTAGGCGGTGCCGTCAACCTTGGAGGCATCGCAAAGCGGGTTGCCGTAGCAGGGCCCGGCGGAGTAGATGAGGTGCTGGACGATCGCGGCGTACATCATTGCCAGGGAGGCGACGACGAAGCCGAGGGCGATACGGGTGATGGGGCGGAAGGGGATCTTGAGACGTCGCATGATGGGGTACACGCAGGTTTCGAGGACGGGGATGAAGACGATGATGGAGATGGGATCGAAGTTCTGCATCAGGTCGTTGGGGATACCGTGGGCTTCCATCTGGCCGGCTTGGGTGACGAAGTTGCTGGAGAACTGGCCGTAGACGACCCAGTAGATGGGGTAGAAGGCGAAGACGCGGCAAGCGACGAGGGCACGCTTGAGTTCGTCGATGAAGTGGTCGTCCCAGGTGACGGCGCTGGAGCCGTGGTGCTCAGTCTGCCATGAGGGCTTGGGGGCGTCCATATCGCGGTTCTTGATCATCATGAAAAGCGCGCGGAAGGCGTCAGTGATGATGGAGCCCTGAGGAGGACGGACGACGTAGAACTTGCGGCCGAGAATCACCACCAGGGTGCCGACCATGAACATGCAAAGACATAGGAGGTAGGCGGACCAGAAGCCGATGTACTTCTCCATGTAGGGGGTAGCGAGCAGAGACAGCGAACCGATGTTGATACATCCGTAGAAGATCATGTAGATACGCTGGATGGTCAGGGCAGGATCGATGACAACCCGCTCACCCTTCTTGGTAGTGGAGATCGCCATCTTCTTGCGCTTGTACTGATCCGCAATCAAGGGTGCCACGTTACTCTTGATACCACCGGTTCCCAGACCGATGATCAAAATCGAGACGATGAAGCCTCCCAGACCAGAGCCGTGTTCCAGGGCAGAGGGAATGGAAGTGCAGACCAAGATGAGCAGACCAACCATGTAGACGATACAGAAGAGCACAATAGTCTTGTACTTGCCGAGGTACTGATCGGCAACGATGGCACCAATGATGGGAGTAACGTAGCACCAGAACTGGAAGAAGGTTGTGAGACCAGTGGCACCCTGGTGAGCCATACCGAGAGCACCACGTCCCTGGCTACCGTCCAGAGGGCGCTGGACGTAGTTCTGGAACAGACCCGACATTCCGTAGTAGGTGAAACGCTCGCACAGCTCGACCACAGCCACCAACCAGGCGGAGATGGGCAGGTTCTCTGCGACGTGACGCAGAGAAGTCTTCTCCGAGAGTGTGGGTTCGCCGCCATCGGGGGTGATCTGGTTCTCCTTGTCGAGATCGGCATCCATCTCAGCCTTCTCATTCAGCACGACCTGGTGGGTGACATGTTCGGGTTCATCATAGACTGGAGGTCTTGAAGGTAGGGTTAGTCGCGTGCCTCGGCAAACTTTGCAGGTGTCATATTGGGAGGAAAGACATACTGAGTCCCTTGAGTAGGCTCAATCTCACGTTCGGTCGACATGACTGATACTAGACCAAAGGATGCCTTCTCTACGAGAGGGCTGTGTGAAAATTGATCAGAGAAGTAAAGGAAGAAGACCAGAAAAAAACAGCGAAGATTGAGCTTGTACTATATATGCAATTTTCATTACTCAACATCCGAGGGAGCAGTGGAGTATACCAACAGTCTTATCGGCGCAAGAACCGAAAAACAAATAAAAACGAATAAAAAGAAATAAAAAAGCCGCCAAAAAATTTAAGCTAATCAAAGAGCTTTTTGCACTAAGGCACTCTGAGAAGGTCGGAAGTGGCCATTGTTCGCAGCTCGACCGTGGATGCGATCGGCAGCGGTTATCGACCAACGGCGAATGGCTGCAGACCGGGCTTGACCCACGGATGTAACCCCAGAACGGCTCAGACGGAAGCGAACGAAGTCAAGATGTGACAAGCAATAAGGCCGAAGTATGCGCGAAGTGGGCGAAGAGGGGGCGAACTTGACTGATCATTGATCAATCAGCGTGGGTAAGATGGAGGCCCTAACGCTGTACGGTTTGGCATCTGGGGATTTCTGGAAGGGCCAGTCCGACTCTCCACTCTTATCATGAACGAATCATGTTAGTATATACTGTCGGAGATTTCCGGTGAAGGTGAAAATTCCCATTTGAGTCGTATGTTTTCGGCAGTCCCTTGCGGGTTTGCCCTCGTGGCGAAACATATTTTTTTGTGTGTGGATTTTTTTTTTCGATTCTTGCGGAGTCTTACCTTTACTCCGCGCATGCTTGAGGAGGATCGGGATATATTCGGGATCTCGTATTTTGACCGAACAGTTGAATTTGAAAGGCGTAGAAAAAAATGAAAAGAAAGGGTACGCCGTAAAATGCCTTCGGCAGTGTGAGACGGGACAGCATTCCGCAAGGAGTCGCTTGGACCACCAGACACACCACAGATACGTAGACGTTTTCGGGGATTGATTGCGTCGGACGTCCTTTTGCTGATAAAACCTAGGCTGAGAGTAATTGTTAATTCGAGTTAATCATGATATGATTGACCATTATCCCCGGACCATCTCAAAACGGGATCCGCATATAATGCAACGTTGGGGATCTTCCCCGCGCTGCTTGTCCATTGTATCCCAATAGATTGTGTTCGATTGTATTTTAGTACTCCGTTGATGCGTTGAGTTTCGGGTATGTGTCATGGCCTCTCTGATCTCTGTGCTACCCCAGAGTGTGGGAGCCTGGCCTTGTTTTTTTGCGCGGGGAATGTTGCGACTAGAGTAGCCGGTAATAGCCAGCCAATGTCCTTCATTGTGATTCATTGCGATGACCTGAGAGAAACGTTTTTGGTCTTTCTGTCCTTTCGGTTCTGGTTCCATGATTTCCGGGGTAATTAATCTCTCGTAAAAGTGTTGCCGCGTAGAGAAGAGGATGTGAAGGGTGGATCTGTGTCTTGCCAAGCAATGATAAGATGTTAGTGTTGGTCATGGTCAGTAGTCAGAGACAATTGGTATAAATATTGGAATGATTATAATATCATCACAGTGAATTGAGAACAAAACAAAAAAACACCATGATGTACAATCATTGAAAGTGAAAGTCAAAAAGAAAAGAAAAGAGAAAAGTGATGATCATCCCGGGAGGTGTCCGCATAAATAAACCAACACCAAGAAAACACCAAGAAACCCCCAAGAGTCATCACGCCCTTCGAGCTCCGACTTCGCTCACATGATAGCGTATAGTTGACACCAACAGGAAGAGCTTATCGTCACCATTCGCCCAAACAAGTCCCCGTCTTAACCCAAATAAGTCCTCGTTCCCCTTATGGCGCACGTTTCCAAGCCCTTTGGCTCTGCCGCCTATTGCCAAGCCGGTCGCGTGAATGAGAAAGAGAGTTCACCAAGACGCCAAAGATATTGGCATTATCCGACACCGGGGGAGTCCGGAATTATATCATTTAAAGGGAGTGTGAAGATGGACACGCGCGTCGAGCCCCAGAGCCCCATGAATGTCTCGGATGTGATTTATCAGATCCATCGGGCTGCGTAGGGTTGGGATTCTTGCTAGGCAGCTCCTTCTCGACACTTCTATACATTTGACAGGAAAGTATCACTACAATGGATCTCACATGGACCCTGAAAATCTGCCTATTGGTCTTCTCGAGCTACTAGCAAGCTCAACACTGCTATTGATTACTTATTCCCGACGCGAAGCTCTCGCCATTGGACCAAATATGACCGAAGCTCAGGCTAACGAACATCAATTATGCTTCATCCCGGCGTGTCTGACCCAATATGAGAGCACCACCGTTCCGACATCGCACGCAGTCGGTCTCTATCCGACGAGGAGAGGTGAGATCTGATATTGCGACATCAACAGCCACTCAGAGCTAGGAGGTGGATCTCCGTAGATTGTTGGGCTGTTTGAATGGCCGTAAATCCGACGAGAAGCAATATAATATGAACAGAATACCTTTGATTAGAAGATGAACACAAGAGTATTGTATGAACCATCTCAATCAGATAATTGAACAGTCATATCCAAGTTGCTTGGGCTCTGAGTCACTGTCCTGTTTAGGGAATTCGGCCGAGACTTGAATATATCAGCGAAAGATCTGACTGTTGGTGTCCGGAAATTCGTCGGAGAAAAACACTTTGCTTAGCTCTCTCAAAACAACGATCTCTCATTGGCTCCGTGATGAAACTCTGCCCCTTCTTGCATAGGGTCTTTGTACTATGCTCAGTTGACTGAAGTGATTCTTGAATGACTCTCTCGCTACGTGCATCTTACATGATCCATAAGGCTTCAATTGTAGGGCCTATATGTCATATATGGGCTTCAGATCAGGAAATTAATGGCCATTCTACCAATTAGACAATAACATAATTGTGAACTGACAGCCATTTGCGCATATGATTGCCCAGGTGTTCTGATATTCTTATTAATCATCATGCTCCAGTGACCACATCGTATCACTCCGCATTGCTTGTGGTCCGTTCCATTAGAGGAGGCATTCAATAGACGACGGATCAACTCCTTTTTGCAACATCAGGTCCATAAGGTCCGTTTAGTCTCTGTAATCCGCGCCCTCAAGTGCACTGCCTTAATGTGCTCCGCACATGACGTCGGCTCTTCAATTTGTAAGAGCTGCACAGTCTGCGTAAGGCCCTTGAAGCATGCGGCTTGAAGTAGGTTGCAATACCAACCATCACATCCACGGCCACCTGAATTTCAGGAGCAGTAGCAGAGGCATACTTCCGCCCCAGTCATTCTTTAACCGCACATTCCCCTGATCACAATACATGGGGCATGATTAAAGCCAGCTGCTTCTGCTCGCGCTATTGGTCGGAATTTGCCTTCAACAAATCATACCAGGCCACTCCTCCAGACTGTTCTTGCGTCTGACTAACAAAACATCGCGAATCGGACATTGATGCCATTTAGGTTGAGAAATCCTACCTCCAATCCCCACTAAGAACCCAATTCTTGTTTGAGAAAGAGGCGACAGTAATTCGACGCTGTAGTAGCAGGCGAGGCCATTCCGTACACTCCTGCAGGAAGCGATGCGATCGCAAGGCTGTGCTCGCATATTCTGCTCCAGGTATAGGAGCTCGTGTTGGCCTGGTGTTAGACTATTACGGTTGGTTTATAGTCGGGCTCATCAACCATTGCAGTCGCTGCAGTATGCTCGATCGGAAGAGCTGCAACCCATTTCATTGGATACAGATCAGAACTGTCCCAATCGTAAACAGTCGACAGCATTTCAGACCTCGGTGTGATTTTGAGTTAGTGGGCCTCTAGTTGTCTTATGACAACCTTTCCTCTCTGTGTCAGAGATAAGGCGTGATCGATCGGCAGTCACCCAGGCTGAAGAGGCTGGGATGCACAATAGCACCCAATAAACTAAATCGAACAGGTGTATGAGATGAATGTGTCTGGATACAGACTATATCTGTATAAGTGCCTTCGCATCGCGATTCAGGTATGTTCAATAAAGCATTCATAGAGCAGGTGCAAGGAACATCGGGTGAGCAGATGGACAGCTCATCCGACTGGATGGGGCTCTTCAGTCGAGGAGCCAATCAATAGCATGATCCACCAAGGCCTTGCTAGTCACTTGCTGATCCTGCAGCAGGTCTGACAGACCATGAGCCCCGGTGCCTATTTGCGTTGAGTTATTTGCCTGAGCGGGTCCGGGCAAATTTTTGCCTTGAAGATTTGTATGCCCAATTTTGGTATTAGGTCCAAGCTTCGAAGCCTCAGATGATTGTAAAACGGGCATTTGGCGCTCAGAGATATCAGATGAATGTTCCGTCAAAAAGCGGACCATCCAATTATCCAATAAAAACGGATCTGACATTGAATCTTGACACGAATTCTGGAACTTCCGTAGTCGAGCCAGCTGCATATGTTAGCGCGTTCCCATAAGTCCGAAGGACACCTCAGGACTTACCGAGTAATCGACTACAGGCCAGTAAGACTTGATATCCATCAGATACTCAAAATTAGAGACTAGCCGTTTTCGAGCCATGGAAAGCTCGTCGCGATCACCACTGAAGAGCAGAGCGTGAAGATGAACACAAGAACTTATTACGGCGATATGGCCATAGATAAAGTAATTCAGATCGCATCCATCCATCTCAGTGCTGTGCTGTATGATCTCGGAGACCGTGTTGGCACTCCTTTTGCACTGAGTCGCTCTATGTGCAAGTTTGGGAGTATCGCGGTTCCCGCGCGCATCTAAGAATGGGAAAAATAGCATTTGCCGGAAATGGTGTGGGCCGATGTGCATGGCTAGAAAAGTTCGACCTAGTCCCTGCTTGACTAGAGATCTAATGTTGGTTTGAGTGTATTCAAGGCCCGGTGGTAAGCTCTTCTCCCACTCATCAAGAGCGTTTTCTAGCGCAGATGCCTCTGTGCAGTAATCGTTGAATTCAATTTGGCCTTGGCTCAGTCGTCGTAAAACAGCGCTAGTCCTGTTGAAAAGATCAAGTGTCTTCGCCATATAAGCCCACATGTTGCATGGCGATGAAATGTTCTTTTCTTGTAGTTGTTCCGGGTCGAGGCTGTGGAATATTATATCATCTACCTCTGGAGAAACAATGTCTGGACCATATACAAGCAGCACAGGGTCGATGGACATGTCGCTCGCCGTCCAATAGCTGGCAATATGAACGGAAAGCCAGGTTCGGCGGTATTCTTCTTGGCGCATCGGGATGGCGTCTTTGGGGATATCGGGAAATGACAGAGCTTCTGCATGCAGTCTGGCAAGCCCACTGTAGATGTGTTTTGCCTTGGTGTCACCTTCTCCGCCATAGAAGTAACCGATCAAGATCAGACCTTGTATCGTTTCCAAGCTTGGAGCGATAAGTGACTGTTGGGCGAGATGCTCGGCTTCAGAGATATACATCTTCCCTCGCGCTCCACGAGGTACCTTGTGGAAGTGAGAGCTGTCGGAAAATCTGGCAGCGAGTGCACACATTGCGTAGACTTGGATCATTGACGCCCGGCCATCTTGTAGACGACGTCGGAAGCTTGCTTCATGGATCATCGTGTGGGCAACATTGTGAATGTAACGAAAGTACAATGGAACAAGCTCATGGCTTATGTCACGGTTAGTTCGAAAGTCGATTCTTTTGGGGCCATTTGGCGGCCCATATGCTTCGGGGGGCTCATTGGGACATGGTGTGGAGAGTGACTTGCACAATTTACAGCCACGTCCGTCATCTGCTGGAACACACCGTCTTTTACGGACCCTAGGGTAGTCGTAAGTATTTCTCCGGTGAAAAAAATGAGGCAATATCTGTCGGCTTACCGACAATTGACGCAGGCACCTGCTCTAGGTCTTTTCAAGTTGTCAGGCATAATGGCAGAGGGGAGACAGATAGAAGGTTCGGCTCGCTATTCTATGCTGCCCCTGGACATTCGGCGCAAATTCCACATCATCTCCAATCCATTGGCAAGGAATATGGCCAGATGCCTCGATATGTTTGGCAGCTATGTGATAGAGTGTGGAGTCTGAAGAGTTGAAGACGGAGAATTTGAGTGGAGGCCGCTAATCGGAGAATGCGGAGCAAGCGCGGAGTTGAAGAAAAAGACACACTCTGGCAGTACTACCTAGCAATATTCCTGGGTGTATTATTTGAGCTTTGAGCTTTATAGATGTGCTATTTTCCTAGAGCTTCGCGTGGTTCAGACTCCGCGGCTTGATTGACAGGGTGTAAAGCTCGAATGTGCGCCTGGGCACGATATATATCCAGGACAGCACGGCACCTACTCTGAAGAAAAGTATGCTACCTAGTAGCCATTATTGCCCTAAAAAGCTGCTACCATGCAATCAAATGACACATCAGTGTATAAACAAGCGAACATAGTGGGAACAAGCCATTTAGCAACTAAAGAGTCCACAGGCCATAGCTGCCCAGGTGGAATAACTGAAGTATATAACGTCAACTTGTTGGTTACACCACCCACATCTCCAATACCTGAATTTGATCGGAAAAAAAAAAATCAATATCTTACAAACTTGGTAACATGCACGGGAATATTTACATCGAAGGGGTAGGCCCATAGTAATTTATCCTCTACATAGGTATCAAAAGCTACTTTGTGGTAAATCTTTGGCCCAGGACGATTACCTACATGTAGACACATGAACAAGAATCTATCAATCCTCCCAAAAGCAGTATGAGATCAATACCAAAGTTCCCATCCTTCTTCAACCTCATGGCCTCAAATGACTATCCACCGAGGCTCGGCTCGCAGACTAGGCAGTCCGACATCTAAAGTCGGATGCATTGAAGAACGGGTCATATTTGTTTAGAATAATGTAAGGAAAATACCATGATATAGCCCGAGGCAGTACCTAGAACCCCACGGCATAAGCTAAAATGTGTTTGGTAGAGTAAGATACAAGTCGCAAGCAATCAGGTTGGTCCTGCAAAATTATGCGGATGGGGTTATCAAAGAGGCACTCTGTATGTGAATCACTCCGTTCCCACCGCATCTCGAGTCGAGTTCGATCCCCCTCGATTCGTTTCGGTCCATAATCGTGGAATCGCATCTTCACCCTCTCTCCCTCCAATTTTTTTTCTTCGTTTTCGATCGTCGGGTTGTGAATTGTCAAGTTTCACCTCAAACAGTGTACTTGGCCTTGGCGCGTGTGCTGCCACTGTGTGCGCTGTCGGTGTGGCCTGAGAATTCCACCACATCGGCCAAGTTGAGACGCAGAACGTCCTTGAATCGCTGTCCGATCGCTTCGAGGATCTCCTTGCCCTGTGCGGGTGTGCGAGTAGTCTTGTCACCTTGGATGCTCTTGCCGACGGTGCGTGTCCATAGACCGACACGGTAGAAGCCCTTGCGCACGTTCACGACCACTCCCATAACTTCGTTGTCGGCGTCGCCTTCGAGGGTCTCACCGATCGCGGCCAGCTGCGCGTGCAGCCAAAGTTCATCGATGGGGACGGAGCGCTTGTCCTTGAATTGGTATGACCATTTGCCACCGTGCTTGTTCTGGGGGTCCTCCCACTCGGGCCGTACGCCCTTTTTGAAGAGGTGGTAGTCGGCCTTGAGTCCGAGCTCGGAGGTAGGTGTGATGTTGTTCTAGTAGTACCGATATCTGTCAGTGGGATGATTGAAGGTCATTTCTAATTGAACTTACGTAGATTCCCCAGAACTCCTCGACGGAGCTGAAAGTGACGACTTCCTTGAGCAGATCGTTCCAGTTGTCACCCTATAGTTCAGTAAGTAATCCGATTCCGTAATCCCATATCATCTATCAAGGTCCCATACCTTGCCACTGGGAGGCTTGGTGAACCAGAGGGTCCATTCGTGCATCAGAGGGTGCTTCACATTGAAGTCCTCGGGGTTGTGGAAGACGGTGACAGCATCACCAGTCTGAGTATTGGTAGCGGGAGCGGAGTTCTCATCAGCCACAGCCGGAGCGCCATTCTCTGCGACAGCAGCCATATTTAAGATGTTGTTGCGGAGGGGAAGACGAGACGAGATGAATCGGAAAGGCGGAGGGGTTGGATTTTCAAGGAAGGCGCAAATGGGATTTTCACACAAAGAGAGAGTGACCCGTGAATAAGTCGAGTCAGCAGATGTATTCTGCTCCAGGCAGTGTGAAGTGAAAGTGGAGGTGAATGACAATTGTCAAGCGTGGAAGTTTTGAAGTTCGAGCCACAAAAAACTGCCTTGCCTGTTTGGGTTCTTCCGTAAATCACTATCTCCGACTTCACCTTTACTTTTCTATACTTGGATTCTTCTCCGCCCTCACTTTTGTCTCAATTCTTATTCTTATATATTGATTTGTTTGGATATGAATGATTATTGATTGATAATTAATTCCATTCTATCCAGATAAATCTATCTTGGGAGAAATACAAAAATTTCCCCTAATTGCCTAAAAATGACCCGAAATCACAAATCTTTTTGATATGACACCTAGGCACGCCAATGTGAAAAGCCAGAGCTAACGATGAATGAAACTTGAATGGGTATCTCAAAAACAAGCCTTCCACCTTTACTTCTTTGCACTGTTCATCATACTAAGGAAGCAGTTCCAGCCTATTGGGTTGGTCAGCAGCGTTAACACAAATCTCAAACCAGCACCTAGGTACTCACCCAAGCTGACCACGTTGACAACAAGCACACGCAGTTCCAGAGGAACAAAAGTAAAGTTGACCGCCTGTACGAACGGCCAGACCGCCAAGTTGGCCTTGTAGGCAGGACCAAAGGCATTCTTCCACTTCTCCACCGGATCAGAACCTTCCATGATGGCCATGGAGGACAGGAAACATGTGAGCTGGATCGGGGCGAACACAAGTTGATCGGCGGCTACTCGAGCAGCAGTGGTGGTTGCGACACTTCCGAGGACGACGTGACGCTGGAGGATACCGAACCATTTCGTAGCGATGGGACCAAAGACGGCTAGGAGATACACATCAGCATTGTAAATGGATTTGGACATGCGCAGAACATACCGCCACCGTACAAGGCCATGCGGCTGGTACGGGCGAAGTCGTGCTTTGCGAGACCTCTGCGGTCAACCGCTTGTTGTGCTAGGACATCTCCGCTGCCGAAAAGGACCTGGAAGGAATTAGGGGGTGGACACATCGACAGGACCAAGGTTTCGTACAGCGCTGGTGATGCTTGCAGTGAGGATGGGCCTCTTGGCCAACTTGGATTGGTACCTGTTTAATGCTTTTAGCTTTGCTTCGAGATCATCCTAACAAGGGGCACTTACCAGCGCAACATGATAGCGATAGAGCGAATGAACAGTAAAAGCAGATATGCGATATAATACAGAAATAATGCAAAAGAATAAATCAAACGAAAGCAGAGAGGAGGCGCTGAATGAACGTAGGTTGGGGGGTCTTTAAATTGCGGAGTCGAACTGCCTGGAGAGAGATTGCCCTGTCGCATTACCTGTTTAGGAAATGCATCCGCCGAACAAGATTTTCGAGTGACGTAGAATGTTATGCATAGTGTGTAGTCAACTTGAGCAGATCAATTATTACTTCGAAAAACTAGTTCAATTGCGAATATATGTTTACTTCTAATTACAATATGTATACCCTTCATCTATGTTTATACAGTTCAATTGCCTTCAGGAAAATGGGACCTCCGATCTATGAAGGTCAGGTGACATCCGCCCTGGAAAACCTTAAGTGCACGTGCCACTTACCCGTTTCAGAAATTAGGGCATAGGGTGCCCACTAGGGTTGGCTACTCGCTTAACCCACCCGCGCAAATTTCGGGCCCAACAGTACCAGAGCGCCGTGATCCTCGACGACCAACCTCAATTCGCCAACCTCACCCCTCCGTCAATACAACATCAAAATGGCTGACGCTGCTCCCCGTGGACGTGGTGGATTCGCATCGCGCGGTGGCGACCGTGGTGACCGTGGTGGTGCCCGTGGCCGTGGTGCCCGTCGTGGCCGTCGCGGCCCCAAGCAGGAGGAGAAGGAATGGCAGCCCGTGACCAAGCTCGGTCGTCTCGTTAAGGCCGGCAAGATCACTTCCATGGAGCAGATCTACCTTCACTCTCTGCCCGTTAAGGAGTACCAGATTGTGGACTTCTTCCTCCCCAAGCTCAAGGATGAGGTTATGAAGGTACGGATCGACTCTGGATATTTTTACCGGTTCGCGGTGGAGGATTGAGCGGGTTTCGAATGGATGCGACTTTTTGTCAACCGACTGGCAATTGCGCAGTGAAAGCTCGAGCGAAAACAAACGTCAAATCACCCAGAAACCAGAAAACTAACGACGATTTCAACCTACAGATCAAGCCCGTCCAGAAGCAGACCCGTGCCGGTCAGCGTACCCGTTTCAAGGCCATTGTCCTCATCGGTGACGGCGAGGGTCACATCGGTCTCGGCATCAAGACCTCCAAGGAAGTTGCCACCGCTATCCGTGCCGCTATCACCATCGCCAAGCTCGCTGTCCTCCCCGTCCGTCGCGGTTACTGGGGTACCAACCTTGGTGAGCCCCACTCTCTGCCCGTTAAGCAGAGTGGAAAGTGTGGTTCCGTCTCCGTCCGTGTAAGTATCTCGCAAGGGTCAATTTGGACCTAATTCCGTGAATTGTCTTTTTTGGGAGGAAATCGGTTTTTCTAATCATTTTTGAACTATAGCTCATTCCCGCTCCCCGCGGTACCGGCCTTGTTGCCTCCCCCGCCGTCAAGCGTCTGCTCCAGCTCGCCGGTGTCCAGGACGCTTACACTTCCTCCTCCGGTTCCACCAAGACCCTTGAGAACACCCTCAAGGCCACCTTCGTTGCCGTTGTCAACACCTACGGTTTCCTCACCCCCAACCTCTGGGCTGAGAACAAGCTCATTCGCTCTCCCCTCGAGGAGTTCGGTGATGTCCTCCGTCAGGGCAAGAAGTACTAGGTTATGGATGATGCATGATATCTTTTCGACAATTCCAATGGGTTTCTTTTAAAAAAATCTTCTCCCTCTGTGCTTGGCGAGTAGAGGTGGTTCGTGTGCGAGAGAAACCTCCGCATCAATCTGTATTTACGGGAAGAGACGCAAAATAGCGAAGTCCACGGGCCATTTGCCAGCCAGATCGTGTTCACCTGTAAGCTGTAATTTGGGGTAGATCCGAACCAATCTGAGGCCTAGACTCTGCCTCACAAAACCCGTGAATCCGCTCGGGAACATGCATGTGTTATCTTCTGGAGGGACCTTGCAATGCGAGTATGGATGCCCAAACATACATGTTTCTTTGTCTCTTTAACCCAGCTTCCATCAAGCGTTCTACGTTCTGATTGATAAATTTATATCATCCCAACTCACTAACATTTGATTGACCATGAACATGTGAAGACGATTTTCGCTTTCAAAAAGGTTTATTGTAATAAAGAGACTTAGACATGCAATTTAATATCTAACTAAATACTCATCTAATGACAGTAGAAAGTGTTACAAGCCCCAGGTCCGGGACTTAAGCAAGGCCTAGCAACCCCACACAGAAACGGTTCTTCCTCATCGATCGGAATGAACATCTTAACTTTCTCAACTTTACATTCCCCTCAAACAACATCCTACGCTCTATTAGGGCCCTTCATCTTCATAGATGTTTCCTAAATCCATCTCTATAGAGCCCTGGAGAGCTTCAATGCTGACTAAAGGCGTGCTCTGACCAGGTGGGACTGCGGGAGCTAAGTATACTGTCTGCAACGCTGATTGGCTCGTTATACTTCCGCATCAAATATTCATTTTATATTATCAAAATATCGTAATTAGACCTTTTTAGCATCGACGCAGGCATTATATTATATAGATAGAATCAAATGACTAGTTATATGAAGTTGTATGGAATAATTAAATGATTGAATTGTTTGGTTGCGTCTGAGGTACAATGAGTTGGCGTTGTTTAACGTGTGGTCGCCCGCGGTAACTTCTTGTTGAGCAGGTAACTCTTCCTCACCCTCCAAACTGTCCTCTCAAGTTTATCTTCTGATCCTATTCATCTTAACTTCGTGACTGCCTTCATCCTGCCAATCATTACCGCCTTTTTCCTATTCACGATGGCTTCTGGCATTCGAGAGGAAATAGAATTATTTTGTGACGATTGGGAGAATGGTGATCATGGACGGCATTACTGGGTAGCAAGATTAGAACGGTGTGCTGAAATCAGGACCAGACAGGTTGAGCAAGGTGAGTCTATCCAACAGATCTTATACTTGATTATACTTGGGCATCTAACGTGATCGTGTTCAGCCCTAATGTACGAAGAGCGACTCTCACGCCTTGAACGAGCACATGTCTCCTATTGCGAGCCTCCTTCTTTTCGATGGAGGGCTGACTCCGGGGAATTGGTTGAACAAGGTGAGTCCATCCAGCGAATGTTGTACTTGATTATACTGCGGTATCTAACGTGATCGTATTTAGCCCTAATGTATGAAGACCGACTCTCACGCCTTGAACGAGCACATATCTCCTATTTCGAGCCTGAGCCTTCTGTTCGGCACAGCTCTGATTCCGAGGAATGTCTCACTGGAGTTGATACTCAACACAGACCTGAGGAGGTAATTACCAACATTGCCAACCAGGATGGTGAAGAGGACACCCGTCAGACTAGTGAACAAGGCGGACAAGGTGAAGCTGCAAGTCCCAAGCGCATCCCCAGACTTGGTTCACCCTTCCAATTCAAAGACACCCATCAGACCAGCGAAAAACACCAACAACTTGAAGACCCAAGTCCTAAGATGCGCGTCGCTAAACTTGGTTCACCATCTAAATCAGATACCCACCACACCAGCGGAATGGACGAACAAGGTGAAGACTCAAGTCCTAAGAAACTCTTTGCTAAACTTGGTTCGCCATTCAAACTCAAGCCTTTGCGAAATGCAGTTCGTGCCTCTACATCTGCAGTCCGTTCTTTCGGGGCTTCTGTCAAAGCTTCCGTCAAAGCTTCTCTCAAAGGTCAACCTCGAGCCACCCCCACCACGGTCAATCCCTACGATCCTGCATCTTGGTCGTATTATTTTCCTTCCCCTCGCTCATCAGCTCCTTCATGGCAGAAGAATCTTCCCCCTCCAGATTGGGTGATTCCGCCTTTCGGTAACTCCCCGACCATCACCTTCATTTACAGGAACCCAAATCCTGGTCCTCCCCGATCTCCATCTCGTGGCGCTTTCGACACTCTTGACCGTTTTCCATCCAATGAATCTCCGTACATGCGTCCTAGCTGTTTTCCCAGGATGCATTCCGGTAAATGTTTGTCTCAGAAAGTATTTGAAGGTCCGGATGATTCACCGGCCCGTGTTGGTCCGTACGAAAGTTCTGCTTTTGCTTCCTCCTTTGCTTCCTCCGATGATATCATTTGTAGCGCACCTGTTGAGTCTCCCTTCGAGCGTCCTGGCTGCTATCCCAGGGGACCTCAAGTAGAAGACTTCTCCCCGGTCCCTCCCAACGCGCCACGTCTGGCATTTACAACGCTCTACAGAGAGCCTGGGCTCACCACGGATGGTAAGCCAAAGACACCCGAGTGAGGGCTGGAGAATCGATGACTAAAGCCATGTGTACTGAGGATTTCTCATTTTCAAAACGTTAGGTAGCCAGTAATGAAATTATTCTTTCCACCATTCGCGAGGAATTCAATCCCATTTCTAGTTCATCGTATTCTGTAACTGTATTTCGTCTTGTCATTTTTTTTCTCTGTCCAGTTGCGTGGTGGAGCGAGCGCCAGCGAGCTCACCATTGCGTCTGGAGAACGTGCGATCTGCTGAGTGGATACAGAACTCGGCGTGAGAGGAACCGAATTGGCTCGCCGAAGGTGTCAACGAGGAATCTTTTGGGTCCATTTGTCACGTCTCCACTCCCTCAGACCGAGGATCGAGGTCGTGACTCTTTGTCTGCATCACCCACCTCCGGGGCACCGCAGACATCCAATGTAAGTAGAAGTATTCGTAGTAAGTAAGAGATCTATAAGAAGAGCTAGACGTGAAGGATATTCAAAAGCAAACTGAATAAGAAGTAAAAGAAGAGTAATTCATTTTCCTGATACACATAAATACAAGTCAAAGCAGTAAACCGATAAACTAAATGATTCATTAACTCACGTTGACATATGCAGAGAAAATCCCTGTATCAAAACTTGAGTATCAATTTCTCGAATGTAACGAAATTCCAACAAGGCATGAGAGTCTGACCAGAATTCATCAAGAAAGTCAATTTTCGATGAAGAAAGCAGAAACATTCGCTGAATATTCCAGATCATAATCAGGAGGCAATCACCTAGGCACCCTCCTCATCGGCGATGCGGATAGTGCCCTCGTTACCGATTCCATGAGACCAGAAACCATCCAGGTAGAGCGAACTATATCAATTAGTATATTATCATGCGAATTAGAACAGATACTCACATTCCAGCCGCGTTATCATGAGCCAAAAGAAGGAAGTATCCCAGGATACCCTGCGTGAAGATATCCTGCACAGCGAAGAGAATTGTCTCGGTATCAACACTCAGCCGGAGAGCGAGAGCACCGGCGCCAAGGGAACTGAAACGATTAGAATAACTACAGCCAAATTTGAAGGTGAATTCAAGAAACTCACATAGGGAAGAGAGCCAAGGCAACAAGTGCCGACCCAGCAACAGACCCGAAGAACTTCTTTGTCTGCGCATCCTTGCTACTCGCCGCGCGCATAGCATTGAATCCGATATGTTGAGCGACAACCAAGTAGGAGATGCATGAAATGGCCAACCAAACCCAGCGCTCACGACCGTGGCCAGCGAATGAGCCCAGTAAACCGGTCGCTAGCATGAACAGGTTTGCGACGATGGCGATGAGCAGGTGTGCGCCTGGCAGACCGGAGATGAGGGCAAAGTTGATGAACACAAGCGGTGTTGTTAGAGCCCAGTTGAGGTATCGCAGCCAGAGAATTTGGCGCGAGTAATCTGTGTGGGTGTTTGGGACGTGCTTGTGGTATTCTTCGATGCGGACATGTTTGGTGGTTATTCCTTGGCCGGTTGAGAGGGCAAGGTAGGTGATGAAAGAGATTGTTGTTATTAGGGAGGTCAGGATGTGGAAGATTCGCTTTGGCTGGAGGAGTGTTAGTTAATTTTTTCTTATGCAGATCATTCTGGGGTATTGCAAATCCGGGGTAAGACACTTACTAGTGGCGCTCGGGCTGCAAGAGTGTAGAACACCAATGAGGAGATGCCCATCAACACAGTGACAACCCTTTTATTAAGTTAGCATTGAACAACTACAAAAAGAAGAAAAAGTGTCTAAACATACCACAAGGTCCGCTTTCCGACGTCATGGAGTTCTTGGAAAACTTCGGAGCCTGGAAGGACTGTCGGGATAGGCGCCACCGAGGAGGTTGTGGCGGGGGCCGTCAGTGACGGAAAGAAATCAGCGTCAATCATGATGAAATGGATTAGTTCAGTGATTCGAGATTTAAGAGGGTCGAAATGTAGAAATAATTAAGAAAGTAGAAGGGAGAGAGCGGAATTGTCAAGTATAAGAATGAATGGGGAGGGGGCGTCATCGATGTTGGTTGTCGTCATAAGCTTACATACTTGTTTTTCTCGTACTATACTACTATGACTCAGGCGGCTATTGGTTGTTATTTGTTAAACTACTCAGTACTTATTAATACCTCTTAATCAATATAACTTGCTTTAATGCTCTAGAACTTGTTTGTGGGAGATCGAGTTACACTACATCAATGCATGCAGCTAAACATCCAATCATAAACACCAAATCCGGGATCAACAGGAGAGAGATGTGAGAGATCATATAATACAACTATTGTACAAGTCTTATATTTATTTATGTCTGTGTCTGTTCATGTACCACTGTATCACACCGGTCGCAGATAGCGTCTTCCTTTGCCACCGGAAGAGCATACCGCCAGCATCGGGGGCATTTGAATGCCTGTGGTGCATACACGTGCACCTGAGCCTGGCCACCTAGCTCAAAGGTCTCTGAGTATTGCCATTCAGCATCAGCAATTTTAGTGGGGAGCGGATCGGTGGGTGAGGCGAGGGTGACAGATGATACAACAAAGAGGTCGGGCAATTCGGACAGGTATTGGTGGAAAGTGTCGGTCGGAAGAACGAGGTGAACAAATGATTGTAGTGATGAACCAAGTTGCTTCTTGCTCCGGGCTTGCTCCTGGAGGTTCTTGATCGCAGAGTGCACTACGGTCAGCTCCTGGTAGCTGTGGTCCAGGGATGGATCCTGCCATTCCGAGGCGGGAGCGGAGATCATGCGCTGCAAGGGGTGCTCTGTTTCAGAGCGGATACTTTCGGGGGTATGTTCCCAGGTCTCCTCTACCAACATGGGAGTGATGGGAGCGAGTGCCTCTTGGAGATGACGGAAGACGTAGAACAAAGTTGTCTGCGCAGCCCGCCGACTAGTGCTGTTTTCACCTAGAGTGTAGAGTCGGTCTTTGATGGCTTCCATGTAAAAAGCCGAGAACTCCAGGTTGGCCCACCTGTTCAGCGTGCTCACGGCCTTGTAGAATTCGAAGTTGTCACATGTTTTTTGAGTGGTGAGCACCATATCAGAGAGATGCTTCAATGCAATTCTGTCCACCAGCTGCAGCTGCCCATATGGGACAATGTGATCGGGGTGGAAATCGGAGAGTGCGCCCAGCAACAACTTGAAGGTGACACGAAACTTGTGGAGACTGGTATTGACAGTCTGAAGTACCTGTTTACCAATCACCACATCGCGCGTGTAGTCACTGCTTGCCGCCCACATGCGAAGAGCATCGGGGCCAAGTGCATCGTAAACTGGCTCAGGATTCTCAGGCTGCTTCTTTCCCTTCACCTTGCGAGGCTTGAGAGGAGGCAACAGGGTTCCGTCCATGATGGTTTGGGGATCGATAACGTTCCCGATGGATTTGCTCATTTTGCGCCCATCCTCATCCAAGGTAAAGCCGTGGGTGATGAGGTTCTTGAACGGCGCATGAGGAGTTGAGGGTTGACCCAAGGCAAGTTGGTGTGAGATATACGTGAGGAGGCCGGACTGGAACCAGCCACGGTGCTGGTCGGAACCTTCGAAATACACGTCGGCTGGGTGACTCCGTCCTTCGGTGGGGACATCGATTTCTGCCCAACTGGTACCACTGTCGAACCAAACGTCCATCGTGTCAGTTCCACGTCGATACCCCGCTCCAGACTCCTCACGCAAGGACGGAGGAATCCATGCAGCATCGTCCGCACTGTCGGTCCACCAGGCATCGATGCCCCGCTCTTCAATCGTGGCCATGATGTGTGAGACACTGTCCTTGGTCAGGACAGCCTCCCCTGTGGTCCGGTGATAGATTGCAGGAATGGGAACACCCCATGCACGTTGTCGCGAGATACACCATTCACTTCGGTTCTTGACAAAGTTTTCCAGTCGCTGTCTTCCGGCTTCGGGGACAAATCGAACATCTTCCAATGCTCGAAGGGCGCTGCCCCGGATGTCAGCCACATCGGCGAACCACTGCTCGGTTGCCCGAACAATGATCGGAAGCTTCGATCGCCAATCGTAAGGGTACTTGTGCTCATACTTATGCTGTGCGAGCAACTGATGACACGACTCAGCCCATTCCAACACTGCAGTGTTACCTTCTCCCAAGACAGGCTTTCCGGCGAGTCTTGTTGGGTCGAGGGGCATGGCTTTGCTAGTAAACTCGCCTTTGTCGTTGACAGGAGCAAATACAGGAATGCCACGCGAAAGACACGCTTCATAGTCGTCCATTCCGTGGCCAGGCGCGCAGTGAACCATGCCAGAACCAGAATCAGCGGTGACAAAATCCGCAGCGATGATAGGCTGCGGTTGACCTTCCGGTCCCTTGAACAGAGGCCGATAAGTAGTTTTCTCCGCCAGCTCGGAACCTAAGATAGAGGGAACAACGATAGACAGTTCCTCTTTCAGCATGCTTTGAAGGTACTCAAACCGGGACTGAGCGATGAGAAGATAGCCATGTTTTTCAGACTGGACAATGGTGTATTCCAACGACTCATGAACTGCAATGGCAGCATTGGCCGGCAGAGTCCAAGGCGTAGTTGTCCAAATCACAGCACTCAAATCTTTTCCGCAAAGCAGGGGGTTCTCAGCAAGATGTTTTGGTACGTCGACAAGAGGGAATTTGACCAATGCAGCGGTCGACACATGATTCTCATTGTATTCCAATTCCGCTTCCGCAAGAGCCGTGCCTGTTGAGGGAGACCAGTAAACAGGTTTGAACTTCCGATAGATCAAACCCCGATCAACCATTTCCCTGAAGACACCCAACTGTCGCATCTCGAATTGCTTGTCCATTGTTTTCCAGTGATTCTCCCAGTCCGCCATGACTGCGAAGCCGCGAAATCCCTTCATCTGGCTCTTCACCGTCTGTCGCGCCAATTGCCGCGCCAATTTGCGAATCACCGCCGCGCTGACCGATCCATTCTCGACGTCCAACTCGCGTAGGTTTTGCAGCGCCTTGAGCTCGATGGGAAGTCCATGACAGTCCCAGCCTGGCACGTACCGTACCCTCTTGCCCCGGCCCAGTTGAACGCGACAAATAATATCCTTTATGATCTTGTTCAGGGCATGTCCGACGTGTAGATCGCCATTCGCGTATGGTGGACCATCGTGTAGAACGAATGGTTGGTCGGCTGGTCTTTCGCGTTGCTGCCAGGTGTAGAGATCATCGGTGCATCGTTTGAGGTATTTCGTCCGATCGACAGTGGAGACTCGTGGGGGGAATGTAGACTTAGGAAGCTTTAACGTTGAAGTCCAGGAGCGGGGAATTGACCGCGCCAGTTCCGGCATTGTCCATGTCTCTGAAGTTAAGAAAGTCGTCGGAGGGAAACTGATATTGCACCACATTCTTCACCGCCGCTGTCTCCGCCCTGTTGAGGCCATCCATACCACGAAGGCTTTTCTTTTCTTCACGCCTATTCTGTCATTTATATTTCAAGTGAATGCAGCTCTTTAAATAAAAAACTATTCCCAACCTAATGTCCTCATCATCTGCTGATTAAAGGAAACCCATCTCCAAAGGCTTGGAAGAGTTGTGCCAGAAGAGATTTAATTAAGAGAGTAAAGCATTATCCTAGTCCGGTCCGAAAATACGTCCAAAGCCACACAGCAAGAAACAGAAAATAAAATACAATTTCTTGAAACTAATATGCAGGAGCATATCAAACTTATGAAGAGAAGTCAAGACGAAACTCTTCAGCGTAAGAACGAACTCGAAAGCCCAGAGCATAAAGATGACGACGACGACGGCGGTGGAGCTCAGCGAACTCTAGCCATTCAAGAGATCGAAGAGCAATCACGCGTACTGGAATTCGACCAAACGGCCTCTGGGGCTATATCCCAAATACTTTCGAAATTGTCCGCCTCGCAGGTCGCCAACACATACAATACTGATTTTTCGGGTAGCCACAATACGGACTTCGAGCTCGGTCACAGCGCCGGTACGATCAATTGGACCAGTGGTCCCGTCGGAGTCGAGCATGGGGCCTATGGGATAGGATCTTACAATTCTGCCATTCATATTTCACCCAACATTCAAGGTCGACCCGTTGTTTCCACGGGAGGGCCAAACCAGGATTTGATTCAACAACTGCAAGTTTGTTTGCCGTTGACCCCTCATCTTTCACCACTATGGGCCTTGTACTACTCATCGACGATGTGTCTATTCTCGTTTATTCTATTGATTGTCGTGGAAAATATCGTTGATGTTGATTGTGCTTTCGGTCAACTCCCAACCGTTGGTTGCATGTTATTGTTCATCAACGTCATGTCTCTTCAAACAGTGTCTTTGTGCTTTGCCCGCGTTTTAATTTGCATTTCAATATTGATTATCCAGACCAAATCCCGCTTTTTTTTTTATCTCGCGAGTGAGACCCTCACATTTCTGGGTTTATATTCGATCCCAAAATCCATGGCATGGTCCTAGGCACGCTCTTGGCCGCTCACAGGAGGAACTGCCATGGTCCCAGAGGACCCATAGCTCCCGGCGTGGACTGTATAGCACCGGGGAATGAGAGGTGATACCCTGGGAGCGTTGGTTACGATCAATAGCGTGCCTGGGAGCATGGAATCTGGGATCAGATATTGTCTGGCACTGATTTAGACCTCCCTGAATTCTTAGATCAAGAAGGCGAGCCAAACGTCACCCCTGTAGGAGTCGTAAGAACATATATGTAATTCCGCTACGATAATCCATATACCATACTCTCGGCCGTCTGTAGGGTCGAATTTGTCTTTCCCACCAATTGCTTTGCATATAGATTTGTGTTACGACAGTTATGCATTTTTATTTATTCCACCGAAATAGTTTAGCTACTCAAAGGTGGAGAAAGGAGTAACGGTGGGATAATCACAGTGTAGAAAGAAATAGGACGGATTGAAAACTATGTAGATAACATTCTATATACCAGAACCTATTTCAACCCTCCAGTCAGAAGGAAACTTTGGCCCGTCATGTACCCAGTCTTGACCAGCATGGTAACAACATTCGCTGTTTTTCTGCTGGGATTCCTAGCCGCTTTAGAGGAATACTTGCTGCCACTTCTGGGAATACTGCGGCAGAAGAAAGCATGCCTGTATCACCGATCATAGCTGGAGCGACGTCGTTGACACTAATGTTATACTCTGCTAGTCGGGTTGAAAGGTTCTTCATCATACCGGTAAGACCACCCTTGGAGGCTGCGTAGTCAAGAATGCGAAATTGAATCAGAAACCGCCTTGAAAGAGCAAAATAAAAGGCTAACACATCAAGGACAGTGAATTGGCTTACGACAGCCATTAATGCCTCCGCCTTGGGCGGCGATGGAAGACATAAAGATGATCCGTCCCCACCTCTGGGCCTTCATGTGCTCTACTACGCCTTTGACAAGAATGAAGGTAGCTCGCAGATTGATGTTCATAGTGTAATCAAACTCTTCAACCGAGATATCCGACACATCAAGAATTCGCTTGCCATATCTGGCGTTTGATATAAGAATATCTGGGCGTTGGCCGTGCTCCAAATCGATTTGTTGAGATATAAACTCGATTTGATCGCTATAACCCCCATCAACCTGGTGGATTGAGATGCGAAGGCTCTGCGTGACATTTTTGGAGCGTGTATCTGCGACAATTTTGTTCAAGGATGCCATATTGGTCGAGTAGGTCAAGGCGAGATTAACTCCAGGATGTACAAGTTGACGGGCGCAAGCTGCACCGATTTTGAAGTCAGAGAATGTCGTGACTTAGCTTCATGTCATTGTATAAACGGTAGATGTCATGCTTACCCGCCCGATATGCCAGTGGTCACGGCCAATTTACCTCGAATGTCGTTCAATGCCATTTTTATACGTATAAGAAATGCAAGTATATTGATTCAGCAGAGAGATTAATGATTCTATGATAAAGATATTGAGCATTGTAGAACCTCATTATTACCCCGTTGGCGTTAGATGTTCCCCGCTATCGGAAGCTGTTTCTGATAGTTCAACTGCAGGCCACATTGCCACGTAAAATGCGGAATGCGGAGTATATTGCTCCTCCCAACGATCACAATAACCCTAGAGATATAACGCAGATAGTCACTAGGTTATTCAAAGGCAATCTCGTTATCTGTCCGGCGCAGCGATCCTGAGTCTCACCTTTATTCCAATATGTTTTATTTTCGCGAAGATAGTCGCGTTCATAGGAAAAGGGGGTTCACCAGGTCGCCGGGCTGTGGTAATTACTAGTAGGTCATAGCTGTTCCTAAAGGTTACCACCAACTAACTAGTGAGGCAAATTGTCTGAACTGTTAAGCACTTCAGTAGGTCACTATGTTATACCTGAGGTTGATACTAGTAGCCACGCCTAGAATCTGCTAGTAAAGACTAAAGGACTATAGTAGTGACCGCTTCCACCTTCCATGTTTTAGACATAGAAAGGCTCCTTCGAACCCTAATCACACGATGCGTGATTCCAGATGTGGATAGCGCGTGAATAATCCGTCCTGTACCTGACCAGGTAATAAATACGGGAACTTTAAAATACCAGTGTAGAACAACAATGAAAGAGGCTTACAGTAGTCGTACTCTAGTTGGACTAGTCTTGATATAGGTTATATTCCTGTACTTATAGAATCTCATTTTAAGAGACATCCTCTAGTCGCTTTTACCTCGCAGTTTTTGAAGATAACTCGCCACTCTGCGAAGCAGTTACACTTGTGATTAGCTGAAACTACCATGTTATTTCTTCCTCTTTTGATCCTCGGAGTGATTACTGTCGTAATACTAGTACTTGTTACCGAGAAGATCTAACAAAGCAAGGCAAAAAGCCTAGCCTTATGTGGGAGCGCTTATCACCAAGATAATATAACCCTAAATACTACTGTGGGATTATGTGAGACCATGCGACCTCTCACTGCGAGGCCCTAGGTCAGTGACCTGTTCATACCTGCGGACCAGGAATTCTTCTGTGTGTGGCGGACCCTCGTTAGGCGAGGGTCTGTATAATGTAACAAAATGTAAGGGGCGGTTACTCGTTATCGGGACTATTGACTAGTCTTACTGTACTTTCTGAAATTGCACTAATGATAATCATGATCGAAGAAGTTGTAAGAGGGGTCTGTTTCTATCGTGTTCTGATCCACCTAAAGTAGGCAGAATCAGCCACTAGTCAACTAACGCGCTAATTAGGTGCTCTCGTGTTGACGGCACTGTTGACTCCTCGTATCAAACCTCGTTCCAGCCGAAAGCATCCGGCCGAATGGCTCCTCCAGTAAGAACAATAAAGCAGTTTTGGCCAAAAGATTCCCAGGCACGAGCAGTGTCTCCTTTGTGGTATTCGGCCCACCACTCCTCGGTTGCTTTCTCACCTGCTACCTCTTCTTCCCTGTCTAAAGCTTGATAAGCCTTTTCTCTTTCATGCAGAGGCGCAAGCAAACAGAAGATAAGACCCTCAGTCATCGAAATTTCATCACAAACCAGTTGAAGCTGATCTGCGATCTTTTTTAAACAACCAATTTTCGCATCTTCGTCTGCTGTCTCATCCACTTTCGGCCTTTGCTCATTGATCACATTTTCAAGTTCAATGAAAGCTTCGCGGATTTTGAAAAAGCCCCACTTCTTCAAATCACCGTCCTTCCTGCCCCAGACTTTCGCAGTCCAGGCGAGGTTTTCCATATCATGATTCGCACTACGTGGCCAAGTAACGATTTGTTAGTAAATCACATCCTTATACATCGAGACAGCTGGAGAGAAATTACAGATATTCTTTGAAATCTCCTTCGCCAGTCATCTTGCGACGGACCATAGTAAAGTAGCGATTGATCAAGTACTCTGTGGAGGATTCGCGCCCATATCCCTCAAAATTCTGAGTTTTTTGTTCCGAGGTTTCAGCAATCGGTGCATTCATTGAGATCAGGTAAACCACCAAGCGGCTGCTTAAGAACTTGGTACCTTTTGGAGAGCATCAACATCCACATGTTTCTTCAAGTCCTCCGAATCGAAATCTAATTCAGGGTATTGTGAATCGAAATAATAGTCCCAATTATCTTCCGCAGTATGTTCGGACATGGCGTAGAACGATATCACGATATAAGTCGATGGATATAGGTTCCTACTAGTAGATGTAGGAACGTAGTAAGGAAAATTCTAGAAAAAAGCAAGGTGCGTATATACAGGTGTTATGTCTAGGACACAGGATGGAAATATATTCCAGTCGTAGTAGTAGAAACGCGTCATCGACCCTCTGTGGATGCATCTCATACTTTTGCCCAGATGGGTGGGTATCATTCAGCTATTCAGCCCACTTAGGCAGCCCCAATGGTTGATCAACACCTATCGTGAAATAGCTAGTTCCGTATCGACAAACCGGAGGGTCCAAAAAAAATGCAGAGCCCAATGAAACTTCCAGTCTGAAAATGACGAAGAGGCTAAGGAGGGGGTCAAAAAACAAGTTCTAGTTGCTAACAGGATCCAAAGCCACGGCATGACGAACACTTTCGGAGGTTAAGAATAAGTCTTCCTGTCACTATTGCGTATCAACTTGACCCTAGACGGACTGCTAGAAAGCACCGGACTCTCTCAGAAGGGGATACAGGTTGTCTTTTCGAAGAAAGCCATGTTTACTGAGTTTGCATTGAACCTTCCAGACGAAAAGATCGAAGACTGTGTATCTTCTATACTGGTATTTTAAACTTCTCGAATTTATTACTTGGTCAGGTACAAATCGGATTATTTACGCGCTATGCACATCGGGAATAGCGCATCATGTGATTAGGGTTTGAAAGAGCCTTTCTATATTTGAAAAATGGAAGGCGGAAGCGGTCGCTACATACTGTAACAAATACCCGATGGGTTGGGCCGTGATCTGCCTTATCCGCCCCGGTCTTCCTATCTCCACCCACACTAACTTAGTGGCTAAGGTTGTGCAAGTACACCTTCGCAGTCCATGTTTCGTTCACATATCTCAAGTGAATACTTCAAATCTGAGCAAATCTGGGAGTCAGTATGAACTCGCGGACTCATACTATAGATTCAGACGGCGAAGTGATCATAACATTGCGCAATGCGGACAGTCCGTTTGTACAACTGGCTGAAAAGCCATTTACTAGTAGGGAATCTGGCATCTTTCCATGATCTTTTTGGTGATACCAGAAGCTCTCGTGAGATGACAAAAGTTTTGATTTTTCGTCTCAAACTGCTAGAAATCTCAAGCAATAGAGCAGGGAACAGAAGAAGAAGAACTTCGCTGAGTTACCGGTTCACAATCGCTTACATATTCAGGTGCCTGCTAAGCATTTGACGTTTGCTTCTATTGACTGGAGATTAGAAAGAAAGCATTACTTACTTTTAAAAAAGCTCAGTCGAGGTCACAGTAGAAAGCTAGGATACTGAAATGCCGATGATACTACTTCGGGCTATTCATGGACAATATTATCGTATACTTTGGAAGCTGGCTCTGGAGTTGCTCACCAAAATTGCTGTCATAGCAGACAACTATAAGTGCAGGGAGGCTTAGTATTTTCTGACAGATATGCGGATCAATCATGTAGTGAAAAAGGGTCCTGCGGCGGTTTCTCAGGATTTGGTTTTATAGCTATGGATTGCCTGATTTTTCACAATTCAAATTATCGACTTCTACTATGTCATAGGGCGACGGCCGGATGGTAATTTGGGACTTCCGATCCCAGACAATCTCATAAATGAGGGTAGACAGATTCTGCTAAATTCATTCAGTACACATGGTATTTACATCAAAGGAATTCGCCCATTATCTGCCCTGCCTTTCGTGCAACTTGCTGGGCATCTGGGCTGATATCCTCGTATTCTGCCATAAACAAGAACCGTTCCTTCCACAGCTGCCATCTCCCCTCCGTAAAACCGTGGCTTCCATCCCAAAGGTCTGTTTTACTGGGTAGAACTTGTTGAATGTACTCAGAACTGTCGGGTCGATCATCCTTCCACATCAACCTTCCAGCATGGATTATCCATTGTGCAGCGGCGCATACATTGGCTGCTAGTAATTCTGATACATTCATCTTGTACCATGGTGACTGTCTCTGAAGCGCGGACTGTGCCTGACGTCTTTCCTCCTTGTACTTCGTCGGGTCCACCTCCAAACACTTCTTCAATAAGCTCAAGCCCAAAGCACGAAGCTTTTTTCTTTACTAAAAGAACTTGTAGCCAGCAGTCTTGCTGAGAAGGTATTCATATTAATCCATCTAGCAGTTGACTTAGATGCGCACACTGTCCATCCTGATGATGCATGGGGTGAGATCATATCCCAATTGTCGCGCCACATGCTCCCGAAGCATCCCAACCATTTCCGTGGTATGTCTTTGGGTTCCGACTCAGATAGCTGTGAATCGAGTTTTTCGGCTTTAACCAAGAGGGCCAGCAATGAGGAATGGCTCGAAGGAAAGTCGGCAGCGGCCTCATAGATTAACTCCCAGAGAGCCCATGGCGTATCATCATTTTTAAAATCGAGTAAGCTCAGTTCTTTGATTGCGGTGGCTGAATCAATCTTGTTTGAGAATAGTTGCCGTAGGACCTCTGCATGAGGGCGTGCAGTGCGGTATTCAGGGTCTTCAGTTGTCTGGAGCCAGGATTCGTAACCACTTGTCGACATGATGGAGTTGATGTAGGTGCTACTACTAAGGACGGCTGTTGACAGGACTTAAGTATAGAATGATTTGACTCCTAGTACCTGGTTGCCTAAAAAAGAGTGTTGACAAAAACCGGCTGGCAGGTTGGGTGTATGTCTCTTCGCCCCTTCAACCGTGACATCATAGCTAGACTAGTCACAGTGATTTGTATTGTTCAGTCGGGCCAAAAGTACTTTTAATACTCTAGTCATAGCCCTGGGTATTAAACCTAAGGCACAGATCCTCATATTATAGTCGTAAATAGTGTGAATGGGATTGCCCTAGAGATGCGTAGGAGTTTTTTTTACGAAGCTATTGATGACAGGCAGCTCAATCACTGGCTGGGTGTGTTGATACATACCAATTGGCATATGTCGATAAAAGCAATGTCGACTCGTGCATTGCAAAGTACCGGACTATAACGTGGTGCGCTTCCAGAGCACATCCAGCACAAGGGATGCACTCTGGGCCGAACATTGGTCTGGAACCAGGAGCTAGTGGCATGGTTCAATCGACGAGGGTTAGCATTGAAAGGCGCAGGACTTCGTCGGGCACAACTGTGAATTGACCCTAATTGGTTTCATAAATGTTGCTGGCTATTTGAGCCCAGAATTGCTATATGATGGTATCCTTTATGAGTAGATGTTCCGTCTTACCATTAAATAATTGGCTCTACACAAATAGAAAACGTGGATCCATCGCTGTATTGCAGTCAGGTGGGACACGTACATCAAGAGCCCATGTTATACCCCGGCACTCATGGTAGCACCGACTGAAATTACATTAATGGCTTCTGACCAACATCTTTTAGACGGAGCAACAAGTACATCGGATGTGCAAGATTCGCTGATATGGCACCCGGGCATTTATTAATGTTATAAAGCGGAGGAAGTCAGAACACCGTGTAGACCCCGACCTAGGTTTATTTCCACAACCCTAGATATTATAATACAAGAGTCAAAAGACGATTAGATCAATACGATCTTAACCAAGCTCTAGGTAGAGTACGATATACAATAGCCGTCTTACCATGACTAATGAACTCGGCCCATTAGTCTGTCTCGCCTTCCTGAATTTCATTATTTTATTACATCTTCATTTAGTCATTTCTCCATACATTGTTATTTAACATAGGGGTCATAGGCATAGGGCTTCTTCCAGAAGCCATTGACCTTGCTTGAAATGCTTACTCGTCATTATCCCTTTCCAATTGGGCAGCTCGCTCGGCGATCAGGGGTTGTTCATGCCGAGCAGCTTGACGAATGCGCCTGCGGGAATCCTCATTTCTCCTCGCATTGATCGAATTTTGGGCAGTAGCTGGACCCAACGGGGTGCGGTTCAATGAGCGTACCGCTCTTCTGTTTTTTGGCCCGTTTGCCCTAGCTATATCGAACATAACCTTCTTCAATTCCGACTCTGTTTGTTCAATTCTTTGACACAATAGCACATTTGCATCCATACCGCGTTTCAAATGCTTTTGCAATCTTTTTGATAGCTTTTCAAAGCTTTCAGCATCTTTAGCAATGCTTCTGTTTAATTTGGCAACCCGGGCCGCTGTGTTGGGTGGTGAATTGGTCGCCGAGCTCGAGGGTTCGGGGGAGGGGGTATCAAAAACCGCAAGATCAAGGTTCTGCTCGTTCAATTCTTCCAACAAAGGTTCAATCACTAATTTCGCATTCACAGGGTAAATACCCCTTGATTTGAACGAGGATCTAATAGTTCGTTGCGTAAATGAGCGCCGGCGAACATCACCAATAATCCGGAAAAAATCCCGCTTTTGGCATGCACTTCCATCCCACATAACTTCTTCATTATTGGTGCTTTCAAACCAATGTTTGAGAGTTTGAAACACCTGCCCATCGAGGGGTTGAATGAGGTGAGAAGTGTTTGGAATAAAATAGCACGGAATGATGGAATTTGCGTTGCAGTAATCCATGAACTCGATCGTACAATGCGAAGGATGGTTATCCATCAACAAAAGCCTCGGTCGGCCCTTTTGAATTAGATTTTTCGAGGCTTCGTTAAAGGAAACAAGCCATTCCAATGCAACAGTGTCGTCGGTCCAACCGTCATCGGTAGGTCGAATTCGAAAACCATCAATATCAGTTGATGTATACCAGTCTTCTTGGTGTCGGGCCCCCTTAACTAAAAACCATGGTAACATTGACCAACCACTTGCCGATACACAGTCAATGCAAGTAATTGATTCAGCTTGACCACCATTCGGTGATTCCGCCGTTGGATCCTTTGAAATAGCCTTATGAGGCTTTCCCTGTTCAATAACGAAGCCAGTCACATCCCAATTGAAGATTTCGTGCGGAAGAAAGTGGTGCTTTTCCAACAGTCCTTCGTAAGGATCGAACCAGTCACTGATTTCGCCAGTATGTCCACTCTCAATGCGCCTTTTCTCCTTGGGTTTATGTGTGATATAGTGATATTCGGGGGGTAGTTATTGGATCCAGCGATAGACCCAGGAATGGCCGACGACCCGATCTTCACCCGACCGTTGTAGAATAGCATTTGCAGTGCGCTTAATCATCCCCGAATTGGGATTAATATATGCATTTTGTAGTGCATCGATCCATCCCATTAATGCCTTTTCTTGAATTGCATCTAATGCTCTGTTCGGTTGCTGACCAGCGGTTGCGCTATTGCCGCCCTTAACCCGAGCGTACAATGTAGAATAATTAACATCGAATTCACGGCTAATAGATTTGATGTTGGGTTTTGTTTCTGCATGGCATTTAGCTAATGCATCAAGAATTGCTTCTTCGCAAATTGGCGTTCTTTTAGGCATTTTTGGTTTAGATAATTGTATATGAAGATGATGGTAATGGTAAATAATTCAGAATGGTGGGACAGACTAATGGGCGGGTGTCATTAGTCATGATCAGACGGCTACTGTCGATCAACTCTACAAGATGGGCACCCAGCTGAGCGGGACCACAGAAGACTTGAGTGGGACCACAAAAAATCTTACCTAATTTCTAGTCCCCTTCAGCTTCTGACCTGCGGGGGTCTAACTAACGTGATCCACGGTCGCCCGAGCGACCCCATCAAAAACCTACTTCAATAATAATATATCTATTTTAACCACAACAAAAACGCCACCTCAACGCTCTGATAAAAAAGCAAAATTGATACAGCAAGAGGGTCGCCTTTTATTAGCTATCAAAGCTATAAAAGATGGTAGATATCTCTCTGCTGCAGCTGCTGCACGATCTTTTGAGATACCTGTCTCAACTTTGAAGGCCCGGATCAATGGGCGCGAATCTGCTGCTGAAAAGAGGGCATCTGGTCATATCTTCACCCAAGTCGAGGAGCAATCGATAGAGAATTGGGTAATTGATATGGATTCAAGAGGAGCAGCTCTTACTTTGCCTATGTTGCGAGATATGGCCAATCTTCTACTTAGTGCAAAGAAAAACACACCATCTACCACTGGTATTAATTGGCCTTCTCAATTTATCAAACGACACCCAAATCTCTCTACTCGACTCTCTCGCAAATATGACTATCAGAGAGCTCTTTCAGAAGACCCTCGAATCATTAAACCATGGTTTGATTTGGTTCAAAAGACAATTGAAAAGTGGGGTATTGTTTCAGACGATATCTTTAACTTTGATGAGAGTGGTTTTGCTATGGGTATTGGCACAACACAAAAAATTATCACTTCAGCGGAATATCACGGAAAAAGAGCTCTTTTACAAGCCGGAAATCGTGAGTGGGTAACTGCGATTGAGTGTATTCGAGCTTCTGGAAGTGTTATACCTCCGCTCTTCATTTTTAAGGGAAAAAAGTTTCCAGAGCATCTACGCCCCTATCTTCTTTCGAATCAAAAAGGAGCACGTCTTACTATGAGCGAAAATGGCTGGACTACTAATACAATTGGTTTATGGTGGTTGAAACATCTTTTAATCCCAAATATTGGGATAAGAGTGGGAAAATATTGCCTACTAGTCCTCGATGGTCATGGGAGTCATTTAACCCCTGAATTTGACCAGCTTTGTGAAGAAAACCAAATTATCGCAATTTGTATGCCTCCTCATGCTTCTCACCTTTTACAGCCTTTAGATGTGGGCTGTTTCTCGGTTTTGAAGAGGCTTTATGGAGGAGCGGTTTCAACTTCGATGCGGAACGGAGTCAACTCTATTGATAAGGAGGATTTCCTTGAAATGATCGCAGATGCGAGAATTGGTGCTTTTAAGACTTCTACTATACAAAATAGCTTTTTAGCTACTGGATTAGCACCCTTTGATGCTAATAAAGTCTTGGAAAAGCTCAATGTGCGCCTGGATTCTCTTCCTCCTCTCGAGATCATCTCTCAGCGACCACTCTCTTCCGGCAGTGATAGTGATCCAAATACTCTCTGGACTCTCTCAAAATTCGCAAAATCGCAATCTCGGATCAAACAAGGTCTAGAATCTTCTTCTTCAATCCTTTCTTCACCTACAAAAAGGGAGATTGAAAAGACCTACAACATGACCATCAAAGTCGTCCACCACCATATCTTTCTCCAGAATCGCTGTGCCCAATTAGAGGCTACCAATAAGAAACAGATCAAAAAACGAGAGACTATACATAAGTTCACTACCCAGAAAGGTATCTTTGGGGGTCTAGAGGGTGGTGAAGATGACATGGTTTATGTGGATGAAGATACAAGTAAAGATATATCTTTGCCAGAGGTACCTACAAATGCGGTTGTTGAGCCTACTTTACCTTCTATGCCCTCGGTTCGGCGGCATGTGACATGTTCTGGGTGCGGGATAAGAGGTCATACATATTCTAGATGCCCTGAACGTAATTAATAGCAAAATTCAAGTTATGCCATGGTTTTAGTGGTAGTAAAAAATTACTGATTTTTCGAGGTTTGGTGGGGTCGCTCGCGCGGCCGTGTCGCTCGGGCGACCGTGGATCACGTTAGTCCCGGTCAAGTCTTCTGTGGTCCCGCACAGCTGGAACCCGCTACAAGATCCGGGGCAGCTGAGGGGGTCTAGAAATGACTTGGCGGGGACTAGGAATAACAGCTTACGTAATTCATAGTCCCTTCACTCACTCAACCATCCGGTTATCATTAACGGAGACCTGTCCACTGTTTATAGCCTGACCATCTCCAACCTACTTAGTGGAGATATGACTTCCAATAGGACAACAATGCGCCTAAGAAGTGCTTCCTTAACGAACGTGGACCCCTCCAAAATTCATATCATCAGCGATATTACGTGCTCTGATGCGTCTCCAATATTTGAGATAGAACTGGATGGACAAAAGTGTGCATTGAAGCTTTTCCACGACAACGGCGATCCTGGATATACCGAAAAAGGTCGTGATTTGAACCGAGTTCGCTGCGAATTAAATGCGTACCTGTATAAAAAGCTGTTCACTTCTGGTGTCTGTGCGCATGGCTTCGACCCAAAATTGTGCGGCTACATCAATCGAATGGATCCCGCAGCATTCTATAACAGGATGAGTGAGTTAATTGGAGTTTGGAGCAGGGCTGTTTTGCTGAATTTTATCTCATTATAATAAAAATGTAATCCTCAAGGGTCACTCTCGCCGCTAGTTGGATCCTGTCTTAACGAAACTGTCTTCGCTACAATCCTCGTCCAAAATGATCTCGTAGTTGGATGTTTTCTGTCAGACCGCAGACATACTCCGGGTTCGAAACTTTGGGGAAAGACTAGAAATTAGTAAGATTTTTTTCTAGTCCCCGCCAAGTCTTTTCTAGACCCTCAACTAGGCCCCTACAGATCTCCAAGTTGAGTGGATCCTAATGAGTCCTATCAATTGGCTGATTGGTGGGAAGATTGTTTACGCCTTGGACATTTAGGGGCCAAAATCATCTTTTGTGACTTTTAGGGCGCAGCATGACTTTTGGCATGAAATATGATCCTACTGGCGCGTCATGGTGAGGAGCTTTCAAGCTGAGTGTTAAAATCATATATCTTAAATTATGTTGTGGGAAGTCTCAAGTACCAAATCGAATGAGTCAATCTACGATCATGTGCTGACTCGGAATCGCTTGAGTCGCAAATCAGAGCATGTTGTAGCATCTAGGTCTGGGGTAGTCTGCCTAGCGTCTGTTAGTCATAGCTATGAGTCCCTCGATATAAGTATCTCTTTTTCCCCCATTTTTCTTTTTCCTTCTACAACTCTCTCCGTCCAATATGGCACACGGCTGTTTTTACCGACTGGCCAATAGTAACCAGTCAGCGTTGAAGTACCTGCCCCAAATTGGGCTTGACGCGCATGCAACTATTCTCGCTACCAACTCGCGGACTCTCATTACGCAGACCTTTATAAACCCTTCTGCTACAGAGGCTATCTCCGAAGTCTTCTACTCGTTCCCTTTATATGAAAGTTCAAGCATCGTTGGCTTCACTTGCCGTTTGGGCGATACTGTAATTGAAGGAGTAGTTCAACCCAAAGAGAAAGCAAAGCAGACATACCAAGAGGCAAAGTCCAAGGGCAAAACCGCTGCTATCCTCCATCAGTCCCTTGGTGCAGCCGATGTATTCAGCACGCGCCTAGGAAATGTCCCTGCCGGGGGTACTGTTCTCGTCGAGATCACCCTTATTCAGGAGTTATCCCAGGATGCTAAAACTGATGGGATTCGATACACGATACCCGTCACTATTGGACCTCGATATGGACGTGGAGATGGTAGCGCGGGTGTGCCCGAGGGTGTTGTAGTTAAAACCGCAATCAAGGTGGACGTCGTCATGGAAAAAGGATCTAATATCCGCAACATTCGGTCACCAAGCCATCCCATTCAGGTGGACTTGGGCCGAACATCCGATATGCCGCAGTCAATCTTTGAGTCGTACTATGCTTCAATCCAGCTTGAGGATAATGTGGCCATCGATGAAGACTTTGTTCTCACTGTCAACGCGGACAAACAAGATCTCCCATTTGCCTTCTTAGAGGCACACCCTACGTTGCCAAATCAAAGGGCACTGATGGTCTCCCTGGTACCAAAGTTTAGTTTACCACCGGATTCATCTGAGATCGTGTTTGTCATTGATCGCAGTGGAAGTATGGAGGATAAGATTCCTACTCTCCGATCCGCTCTTGAGTTATTTCTTAAATCGCTGCCGCTGGGTGTACCCTTTAATCTTGTATCATTTGGCACCTCGCATGAAACTCTCTGGCCCCGAAGCAAGGTAAGTAGCACGGAGAGCTTAAAAGAGGCACTTACGTATACAAAGAAGATCCGGGCCGACCTAGGTGGGACAGAGATGATGTCCGGCCTTCAGGCAGCTGTGGAAAATCGCTACCAAGACAAGGTCCTTGAGGTGTTAGTCCTCACTGATGGAGAGGTTTGGAATCAGCATCGAGTCTTTGACCTTGTCAACCGGGCGAACCAGGAGAACTCTGCCCGGTTCTTCACTCTCGGCCTTGGGAACTCTGTGTCCCATTCGCTCATCAATGGAATCGCTAGAGCGGGCAAAGGGTTTTCCCAGACGGTTCTGAATAATGAGGATTTGAATAAGACTGTGATCCGCATGTTGAAGGGCGCTTTGATGCCGCGACTACATAACAGCAAGCTGGATGTGAACATTCCCGAGTTCAAAGAAGACTACGTGGAAGTTGAACCTGCGCGCAGTGATAGATCAGACACAGAGCCTCTAGTTCAGCCAATTTCTCTATTTGAGCAAGACCACAAAGAAGAGGAAATCGTTGGTGATGTTCGTGGGCCTCTGCCAAAACTTGCTGTTCCTAGTATTCTACAAGCACCAGCGGATCTTCCAGCTCTGTTCCCCTTCATTCGCTCAAATATCTACCTACTATTCTCACAGCCCACTGACTCGGTCCCGGAAACCATCACCCTTCGCGCCAACAGCAAACATGGTCCCTTGAGTCTGGACATCCCCGTACAAGATATTGGCAAGGGGCAAACTCTTCATCAGCTTGCAGCTAAGAAGACAATCACTGAACTTGAGGAGTCTCGCGGCTGGATCTACTCCGCCAGGGATACTGAGGGCGAGCTAGTTAGGTCCAAATGGGAGAGTCGGATTGATGAACTAGTTCAGAAAGAGTGCGAGCGTCTGGGGGTGATGTTCCAAATCGCAGGCAAACACTGTTCATTTGTTGCCGTAAACGACAACACCCCGGTAGAGTATGAAAAGGATCCAGGGAGAAAATTCGCTGTTATGCGGACAATTACCGAACGTCAGGCCGCCTGCAGAATGCAGATCGTATGTCATATCTCACTTCATATACCTTATATCTACATATACTAATTTATTTCTCAAGGATTCCGCATTCAACCTAGATTTCAGCGCACAAGAAAATCCCGAGATCCTGGAGAACTTCGACTTTAACACATTCCTCAACAGTGACGCCGACGCCTCAGGCTTCGGGTTTGTTCCCAATGCGACTCCGTCCCCCAAGAGAAAAAAGGCCAAAAGATCTTGGATATTGGATTCGTGTGCAGAATCATATTCCCCGATGGCTTCGTTTGGTAGCGCTACGAGCCCGAATTACATCCCTACCAGTCCTACCTTGGTTCCCACAGCCACTTTCAGTCCCACGGGCACTTGCAGTGGGTACGTTCCAACTGCTACAACTCCAAGCTTTTCTCCTACAAGCCCAGGCTACAGCCCGGTTGCCTTCGGTGTTGCAGTGAGCTCTACACGCCCACTTACGAACCCTAGCTTCTCACCTGACTCACCCTCCAATAACGAGGAAGACGACGATGAAGGCACGGGCTCAACACCAGCCCTTCCATTAAATAAACTCATCCATCTTCAGACCTTTGAAGGATTTTGGGAGATAAGCGATGCGCTGTTCCGGATTGTGGGCCTCGATCCAAGCACTACCCGTACCAAGATACAAAGCGACTATGAGTCCCTTGCAGAAAACAACACAAATCAGACGCCTGTTGATGAGAAATGGTCTCGTTTAATTGCCACGTGCCTGGTGTGCCAGTTCTTGGAGATGAAGGAAACCGCGTCTAAAGATGTGTGGGAATTGGTGAAGACCAAGGCAGATGGTTGGGTGCAGGCTGAGACTGATGCATTGGAAACTGCAGATCGAGAAGTCATTGTGAAGCTCCTCGATGGACTAGGCTCTTTCTTCTGACATCGTAACGACAGTAAATCAGGTTGCTTTCCATTGTATGTGTTTCAATTATGATTTTGTTACTCATCTTTACTTGCTCGCGAGCTATGAGATTGTGGTGAAGTGCGATGTGACAATTCTGGATAAATTCCCTGACCTGAGATTAATTTACCCAAATACATATGTGCACCTCGGTACTCTTAAATTCATGACACTTGTGAAATTCTGGAAATTACTGCCTGGTACCACCAGCCTTATAGTGCTGCTGTTCATCATCAGAGCCACAGTTCCTGGAGAACCGACCTAGATACAGGTTGGCTTGGATTGAGGAGTTAGGGCATCATGTATGCCCACTATAATTCGGTCCGTCTTGAGTAATTTCTCTAAATACGATATCATAATGGGCAGTCTGTCCAATTTGAATAGGTTTGGCTCCTAGTCATCATCTGAATGACCAGCTTTCGTTTCGGTTTCCAAGGTTCAGGACTCGTAAACATCTATTCTGAGGAATGATGCTGAGTATAAGTAACGGACTAGGATGGTCCTTTTATACCCCCAATTGTATCCGCTAACCAATTTTCAGCGATTAATTTCTCATAAAATTGCCTATTTTTGCATAAATGCAACAAGTTTCTGACCCTTTGTTTTCGAATTGAAGCCCCGAGAGTATACCCGACAGATGGAGAGATATAATTGATCCCATTTTCTTGCGGAAGAAACAACATCAATTGCTCGTTATGTGGACAGTTTTAGTTCCTGACACAAGCTGAAATCGGTGTTTCTATCCATCGATTATCAATTTCAAGCTGGAATGTGTGTTGTTTTGGGCATAGTTATGGACTCGGAAGGGTCGCCGATCATGAATCCCTATGCATACATATATGAAGAGGAATTTGAAGGAACAGTAGAAAGTGTCACCCGTAGACTAGGCTGTCGAGATTTAACGTATTTACAAGTGCAAAAACCAACAAGAGGCAGAATCACAAATTATCCCTGTCATGATTCATAATGCATTCAAGTGTATGTAAAACCAAGAGCAAAGATCCCAGCCTCCAATCAGTACACGGTCAAACAGCTCACGGCGCCATTCTTCAAAACCTCAAAAAGAAGACCTGGAAAACCAAACATTTCGGTATTGCCCAATCCTCCATCCTGGCCATCGACACTTGTACGATGGCCTTTGGACGTGGTTTCCTCCCACCCACCGAGGAACTCAACACTGCTTTCAGGGCTGTCGCCCCAGCCACGGTTCAGCACCATTGGCCGCTGCAAAGCACGTTCTTCAGTAGAATTTGCATAAGATCCTTTCCAGATTGCCCGCAGCCGCTCTGATATTTCATCGTAGGGAGATTCTGAATTCAAATGGTCACTGGAATCATTCAAAGGGATTGTCCAGCGGCTTCGGCGGTGGCGGTTGAACGGGTAGGACCCTGGAACATTTCCATGCAGGATGATCTTGGTTACTGTCAGCTGGGAGGATGAGGGCTGGGGCAACGGGTCTGGAAGACCAGAATTTGGGAAGGCGGGACCAGGTGGGGCTGGATAGGAGATGAAGGCATCGAAACCATGGTGGAAATAGTTCAAGAAACACTCTGCTGGTAATGAAGTCGGATCGCCGATATTAAAGGCAGCCATCTCCTCATCTGAGTCATCAGTTACGCTGTTATTAGATGAGTGGTCGGCATCCGGAATACTGCCTGGAGAAGGACTCAGGTGTATGTCTCCGCCGCCTGCGGCACGATGGATGGAGATCCGGCGGTCATTCTTACGATAGATCGCATCTGGTGGGCCAAAGTCTGCAATCAGGTCTTGAGGAGTGGTCTCTCCCAGTGTTATGACCAAGGGGAAACCTGTCCTGCGGAACACTTCAAGCTTTCCGGCACCCAGAACTTGCCACTCCTCGATCTCATCTGCGAGAGACTCTCGAGACTTGCCAATCAAGGCCGATGAGCGTGGATACTGGGGTTGCTGTGTGAAAATTCTGGCTCGGACCTCTGGCCATGATGAACCTTGATATATGGACATGGATGTGGCCGGCAGGGCGGCGGATGAAGATAACAGAGCTACGAAATCACACTGGTCGGACCAGGCTGAATGCTGAAGAGGAAACGAGAAGGCGATCCCAGGATATGACAGCACGTAGGTCCCATATGGAGACTTATCTGCCGGCGGTACGTATTCTCCTGGGTATGAAGGACCAAACAGGCGATTATAGACATGCCGGAAGCTCGGACCCTGTGAGGACGGGGTTTGTTCTGCAGACTTTCCACCCTTAAGCACCTCCTGATTCTTGTATACCAGGTTTACTCGGGAGAAATCAAGTATTTCGATTAACCGGAGCCTTTGGTCAGGACCGTCGAATCGAAGCCGTAAGCCGTTTGAAGGTAGCTGGAGTACCACGGGCTTCCGAAGCGGGTCCGCGGGGGAATATGCAAGGTCGATAGCGGGGTATGTTTGAGGATAGGACTTCACCCGGGTAAGAACATTATGCAAAGAAGCACCCAGGGCTATTATGTTATTAGCTTGAGATATACAAGTTAAGGCTAAATCGGAACGTACTAATAAACCCAAGTCCTTTCCCGGGGAAGATCTGCGCCTGTGTTGAAGTAGTAGAAGTAGTCATGTCGGTTTTCAAAGCCCGTTGACTATGAGCCTGCGATAGTCCATGCGATCAAGAAACCTTGAAAGTTATAAGCCAAAGAGAGTGTCAACTTGTTTAAAAGCAGAAGGGAAAGTTCCGTGAGGGGGGAATACTTGGGAGACCGATAAGGGATGACGATAGCAGCCGATACAGTCATGTGAGGGGAATGAAGGGTCACGTGCGTTTGTTTATGTTTTCCCAAATGAATCAAAGGACTCCACTGATATACACAACTTGGAAAAAAAAGGGTAACTCCTCATAATTATTCTCTTGATTCGATTCATTGTCAATTTTTAATTGCCAAATCTTCATTATGCCTGGCCCACCAAGGCCTCCCTCTACCCTCCCTACTACGAGGAGGTCAGGTTTGCGGCAACCTGTTCGACGAGCGGGCTCGGCAGCTCCAGAACGCCATGCGTCGCCCGCGGTATCTGCGCTGTCTACGCCATCAGTTCGATCGTCTACGTTAAGCTCAGCCCGCGCGCCACCACGAAGTCCAGAAAAGTCAAATCCAGCGGTTAAGCGCAAGGAGAAGGACTTCGAGAGGGAGATCAGTGATGACACAAGCATACACGTGGTAGTCCGTTGTCGCGGTCGAAGTGATCGCGAGGTCAAAGAAAACAATGGTGTTGTACTATCGACACCAGAAGGCGTGAAGGGCAAGACCCTGGATCTTTCAATGGGACCGAACGCGGTCTCAAACAAGACATACGCCTTCGACAAAGTCTTCTCACCAGCGGCTGACCAGACCATTGTTTTCGAAGATGTGGTTACCCCCATTTTGAGCGAGGTGAGTGAATCAGCAGTGTGTGCATTACAATGGCTGTGCTAATTTCTAGCAGATGCTAGCAGGTTACAATTGCACAGTGTTCGCATATGGACAAACAGGAACAGGAAAGACATACACCATGTCAGGAGACATGACCGATACACTAGGCATATTATCTGATGATGCGGGTATTATTCCGCGCACTCTTTACTCTCTGTTTCAGAAGCTCGAGGGCACAGAGAGCACAGTGAAATGCTCTTTCATCGAACTTTATAACGAAGAACTCCGAGATCTATTGTCCTACGACGATAGCACGAAACTGAAAATTTTCGAAAACGAGAAGAAAGGAGGACACAGCACAATGGTCCAAGGGATGGAAGAGACCTATATTGACTCTGCGTCCTCAGGTATCAGACTGCTGCAATCCGGCAGTCACAAACGCCAGGTTGCAGCGACAAAATGTAATGATCTGAGTTCGCGAAGTCATACAATCTTTACAATGACCGTTCTCACAAATCGCACAACTGACTCTGGTGAGAATTACGTTACCTCTGGCAAGTTGAATTTGGTCGATTTGGCTGGAAGTGAAAATATCGGACGAAGCGGTGCAGAAAACAAACGCGCGACGGAAGCTGGTCTCATCAATAAGAGTCTGCTCACTCTCGGTCGGGTCATTAACGCACTTGTTGATAAGAGCTCGCATATTCCTTACCGGGAGTCTAAGCTCACACGGCTCCTGCAAGATTCGCTTGGAGGGCGAACAAAAACCTGCATCATTGCCACAGTCTCCCCCGTACGCAACAATCTTGAAGAAACTATCTCTACCCTTGACTATGCCTTCCGGGCAAAGAACATCCGCAACAAGCCCCAGATCAACTCAACTATATCCAAAGACAAGCTTCTACGAGATATAGGAATGGAAATTCAAAAGCTCAAGAGCGAGTTGATTGCCACGCGGCATCGCAATGGTGTCTATATGACGCCTGACGCGCACGATGAACTGACCATGGAAAGTGAATCACGTCGCATTGTCAACGAAGAGCAACGCGCCAAGATCGAGTCCATGGAAGGCAGTCTCCGACACAAAGTTCAAGAACTGCTCTCCATTACCGGAAATTTCAACTCGCTGAAACAGGACAATGAGGAGACACGGTCCAAGTTGAACGAAACCAAAGAAGTTCTCAACGAGACTGAGAAATTCTGGAAAGAAACTCAGGAGAAGTTGGACGAAGAGAAGGCTGTGCGCAAGGCCCACCAAAACACGGAAAAGCAGCTCAGGGACATTGGTGCTGGGCTTGTCTCAACTCTGAATGGTACCGTTCAAGATGTGAATGGATTGCATGCGAAGTTGGATCGCAAGGATAGCTTGGAGGCAGACAACCGCCAAACGTGGCAGAATTCGACTGGTGAGGTCTCTGATGTGACACAGCAAATTGATGCTCGCATGGAGATCTTCCAGACCCAGCATGCTAAGCTATTGCAGGAAATGTCTGGCAAGATTCATCAATTCGTAGATCACGAACTGGATACTGTGAAGTCTACTCGCTCCACCCTGCGGGATCTTGGTACCTCCTTTGACAAGGTCGAGGCAGAAGCCAAGAACAATACCTCCAGTGCTCACAGCGCGATGAACGAAGTTCTGGAGGAGATCAAGGATCTACGTGAAGAGGTTAAATCCAAGGTTGGCGAGGGTCTGAATGGATTGTCTGCTGCTGCTGCTCGGATCTCCAAGGAGGTCATCGGGGAGTTCTCGGAGTTCCATTCCCAGCTTCACTCATCATACAGCACACTCGGCAAAGACTTCAAGTCCATGTTCGAGAGCATGGCAAAGCACCTCGAGGAGCAAAAGTGGGAGGTCAACAGATTACGCCTAGAGCTGCAGGCAGCTAACCGCCAAACGGTGGAGGCTAATAGAAAGGCTTCCTCCAACCTCGCACAGGTCCTGGATGAGGAGCATGCGAGTGCACAAGCCGAGCGTGAAACTCTTATGTCTCACATTCGAGGGCTCCTTGAGGACTCAAACCAACGACAGAATAACCGCCTCAAAGGCAAATTCGACATACTCCGCACAGACATCTCGGCATCAGGCGATTCGCTTGAGCATGCCACCGCACAACACGATAGACACATTGATGAATGGATTTTCAAGGAAGAACAGTTTGCCAAAGACATTACTGCATCCAAGGATGAAATCAAGACTCGCATGCAGAACGATTGGGAGGTAAGAATGACCAATATTGCTGTTTGGACTGTAACTAACATCAATAGACCTTTGACCAGCGCAACGCCTCGATTCAGCGGGCAACCGAGTCCGTGCATCAAGAGACTGTTCGTATCGTGGATGCTCAAATGAGCGACATGGGCACACAAATGGAAGCATTGGATGATTTTGTCGCCAAAGCTCGCTCGCAAAATGGCCGTTTCCACGAATCACACATTGGCAGCTTGAATGCCATGTCCGAAAATGTTCGCGAGTCCCGGTCAAATGTCCACGGTCAACTCGATGGACTCACTGGACGTGTGGAGCAGCTTCAGGAAGATGTCAATACTCATACAGCAAACTTAGAGCAAATTATCGCGCCTTTGCATGCTGAAGTCCGCCAGCCTCTCTCGACCATACGCTCTAACATCCAGTCTCATCCCATGAAGGAATACGTCCCAACAGGTGTAACACCTCAAAAACGTCGATATGAGTATCCTTCCGAACTGCCACAGACCGAACCCCATGATGGACTGCGCTCTCGACACCGTACATCCAAGCAGTTTACTGCTCTCCCATTCAACGAAGAGGATCAACAGGACTCCCCTGCTCCCACTTCCCCTCAAATGGTGGCTTCCCCGGCTAAGAAATTTGTCTATAACGATACCCCGGAAGAGGTAGGCCACCCTCTTCCATCCGCTACCTCATCTTCCAACACTGGCCTTAGAGAAGTCGACCTAAACGTCGCCAGACCGGTCGTGTCTGATGCCGACGACGCACCCTCCAACAAACCCGAAACTCCCGCTTTACCATCTTCCATGGACCTAGACGAAACACCTGAAAAGGAAGAACCTGAACCACAGCCTTCCCGGAAGCGCCGTCGCTCAAATTCTAATAACAATCCTGAGAGCAAGCTTCCTAAGACAATGCTCACGAAGAAGATGGCTGGTGTGATGGAGGGTCGTGAGAACATGCCTCCCGCGGCTGTTGGCGGTCGGAGATTCAGAAATCGCACCTCTGACTAGCCATGATCTTGTCTGTCTTTGCTTTTTCTTCTTTCTTTTCTTTTCATTCCTTTTCTCTCATCCTGCTTTTGACTATTTTGATACCCAATGTCGCTGGGCTTTTCACTCTGGGTTGGAGTTTCTGGCTGAGAAAACAGTGCTGGGTCATTCCTATCTCTTTTGTCTGAGCCCTAGAAAGGCGACTACTTGGCGTTGGTGGTTTTGTCTGCATATTCCATATTCCTATAGGGACGTCCCTGATCTTAATAACAACTATTGATCTCCCTTGTTATTGTTTTAATGTAGATTACTATTCATTCATAAAGCCCATCACGGGCCTGGCAGACTACCTAACGCCTGTGCTTAGCGCCAAAAGCAAAAATATCTAATCACAACTGCTCCACTCCTGTGCTGGGATCTTCCTCCCCTTGGGCGGTTTCATCGACCACATCAGGAGGAACATGATGTTCTTCTTCTGCCTCCGCATGCGCTTTGGGACCCGCTGCCTCCGCTGCATCAATCACTGCCTGCAACTCACTCATCCGTTTGGCGAACTGGTCCATCATTTCCTCTAGTCTCTGTCCTCTGCCCTCCCCGTCTTTCCCCTTCTGGTCGGGCAGACCGGCAGTTCCACGAATCTTCAACATCAATCCATGAGCCGGTGACTCGCCGGGATTGCTATTCTCGAATGTCGGTGCTGGCACGATCTCCGTATTGAGGACTTGCCATGTGGACGAGAAACTCTGCGCTGCGGTCACGCGGTACTGAGGCTGGCCTTCGTGCGGTATGGCGGACTGGTTTGCCGGTGAAGAGGATAAAGACTTTGTGTCGCCTTTGCCTGGTGCGAGTTGTTCGGGAAACGGGTCCTGTGCCTCTGAGACCGGGGAGGGCTCTACGTCAAGAATGATATAATTCTCCCGTACACCTGGCACTGGAGGTGGAAGGAGACTTGTCTTGGCCGGGACCGAATCGGAGGGGTCTTTGATCTCATCTTGGGGAGAGGTGTGGATGTGCGCGATCTGGTCCTTTTTGGAATCGGAGAGGGCTTCTTGTTGTGCAGATAAGCTGCGCAGTGCTGCTTCCGTCACGATATCGCTGTCATCGTCGGAGAATATGTAGTGTACCGTTGGGTGGTGGTAATCGGAGGTGTGGGCGTCTTCGATCAAGGTAAAGAAGGGCTGGAATGCAGGGTGGGATGAATGGTGGTCTTGGCCTTCTTCTGGATGGTCTTCGATTTCATTCACGGTTGCATCTTGGTAAGGAGATGCGACTGTTACTGGTGATTGATGGCTTTCGTCTGTAGATCGCGGCTCTGGCGGTTGCCCTCTGGAGTGGGGATCACCTGGCCGCGCCGAGGCGGTTCCTGGTCTGGAGGCGTCCTTGCGAAGAGACTGCCGTGATGAGGAAGAGGATAGAGGGTAAGGAGAATTGTTCGGCGACATCTCCATAAGCCGAGGCTACATCATTCTGGAGAAACTATAGGATGATGTTCTGTATTGACGTGCGGAGAAAGCCTCTTATCGATAGCGCCACGTGATGCAGGCCTCGAACGCGGCGGATGTACTCCGTATGTATATTGTCGCTTTATTACATAGCTCAATATATTCTTCCATTCTTTTAGGAGAAACATTTGTAATGTAATTTGAGTACTCTGAGTACTCATCTCAGGTCATTATTAAGCTGTGTTGTGGTTGGAGTCTTCTATCCATGGATACTAGGTATGTCTTGCTTACGTCTACAATATATATATACATCCGCAATGTATGTTCTATAGGCAATGATGTCAGGATTTGAAGCTTCATTTCCAAGTTTGCAACTTAATTGAGATATTCTTTTCCCTATTATAAACATTCATCCAGATTTTAGAATAACAGTATGATTTACTTGAAGGAGAATCTAACCATCAATTAGCTAGATCTGTAATCCTCGGAGGGTGATTTGATATGTCTATGCCAATATCAATATACCGGTACTGTGAATATGTAAGAAGTTGTATGCAAAGCAATGATTTTGATCAGGACGGCCTCAAGTTGAGTATCGAGTTATACTTATTATTCAGTCTGGCGTGACCATCCGATCAGGCCAATAGCCAACCATGCGTGTTTATGTCTAGCAACAAGATCCAGCTTGTCCTCTAACATAGGTTTGTTTGCAGCAAAGAACTGCAAAGGGGTATCTCAAATTGTCCCACAACGCCTTGATAAACATGGGAGAAAAGAGAAAACATAGATAAGCTCGTTATTCCTTCTCCTTCCATTCGAATTCTGGAGATGATTTAGCTCGATATTCACAGAAGTAACAGGGCAGAACCTTACTTTGCCGACACATTGGGCACAGCCCCTTGGAAGTCTCTAGGTCAATCCAGGTCATTAAACAATGCTGGATGGCGTTAGTGCAGTTCCCTCAATCCATCCAAGCAGTTCCTACCATATGAAACGCATGATTACATCTTCCTTGCACTGCAACCATCAGTCAGCATATAGGAGAGGACGATATAGAAAAGAAGTGAACTCACCAAGTGCGCAGTCGTCGCCGGGAAATTTGCAGGTTGGACAAGTGCCATCGAACTGGACACGACAGATACCACAGACTTCATCTTCAGGGATATCCCAGTGCCAAGTAGCAATAGCATTCCATTCTTTAATGGCGACCTTCATGGTTAAGCGAAAGAAGTTGAGACCTTTGGGAGGTTGGTGAAGTAGAAAAAGGAAAAGGGAAAACATTGAAATTGATAACAAACACGATAAGATCATTATCACGAGACCCCCCAAATGGCTGTTTCTCCGCACTAACGCAATAGTACTCCTCTTATTGCTCTTATTGCTTCTCTTTGCTTCTTTTAACTACTTTCAGTTCACTACTTAGTGTTTACTGGTTATTGCTTTGACCTCGTTATGTAAATTGGAGATTTCTCTATTGTCCCTCTAAATCATGACTTTCTCCGCCATTCGATCCTCGCTCATTCGCTTCCGTACAATGTCCACCACCTCCCCACTCCAGACTCAGTCGCGCAATGTCTCTTTTTCTTCATATTTAGTGACTCCAAAGCAATTGAATGAGGCTTTGAAGAAGAACCCTCCTGATGGAACCAAAATCTCAACTTCCCCACGCGTCATTCCTCTCAACGCAGCATGGTTCATGCCGAATGACCCAGAGGGCCGCAAGGGAATTGACTCGTTCCGCAACTCGCGCATTCCCCAGGCCCGATTCTTCGATCTGGACACTATCAAAGATCCTGATTCACCTTACCCACATATGCTTCCTACGTGCGAGACTTTCGCCGAGGCTATGAGTGAACTTGGGATTCGTCGCGACGACGAGGTCGTTGTCTACGACACTGCCGAGTTGGGCATCTTCAGCGCGCCCCGTGTTGGCTGGACGCTGCGTGTCTTCGGTCATCCCAATGTGCATGTTTTGAATAATTATCGCCTCTGGGTTCAGGAAGGGTTTCCGACTGAGAGCGGGGAACCCGCGCCGGTGGAAAAGTCCAAATACTCTGTGCCAACTTACGACTCCCGACTAGTGATTTCTTTCCGGGAAATGAAGGAGCTGGCTCTGGACTATGGCAAGGAAGGAGCGGAGGAAATTGAGATCCTAGATGCACGCTCTTACGGTCGCTGGGCCGGGACTGATCCGGAGCCGCGCCCTGGTCTGTCATCAGGCCATCTTCCTGGCTCCAAGAGCTTGCCTTTCCAGAAATTGTTGGATCCGGAGACAAAGACATATCTCCCAGCTGAAGACCTGCGTAAGGTCTTTGAGGAGCACAAAGTGGATCCAAATCAAACGATTATCAGCTCTTGCGGTACAGGTGTGACTGCTTCGGTTATTGAAACAGCTCTGGCTGTTGCAGAATACGGTGACCCTCATCTCCGTCGGGTGTATGACGGTAGTTGGACGTGAGTACATCCTCCGACTTCCCTTTTACCTTCCAAGGTACTTTACCTTGGCATACGCTAATATGAAAAAGTGAATGGGCGCAACGAGTGAAGGAATCAGATGGCCTAATTAAGAAGGTCAAGTCATAGGATATTGGCTTCACAATGGTTTCTATGAGTCTATATCTCTATCTCTGTTTTCTCTTGTCTCTGGTCTCTCTACTCTTTAGATTGTATTGAATATAGAATCTCTCTTCCCTTTTCTGTCGCCGCTTAGTCATCAATATTTTTACCCATTCGCATCATTTCTCATTTCTCATTTCTTTAACCAGAATCAGAGAAAGATATTTCAACGTACGAAGATGCTCCAGATGCAAACCTGTCAACTGGCTTCTCATCGTGAGTGATTAGCCCTTTTACGCGCCACCCCACATTCAAACCTCCTTCAGGCCCGTGCTGAGCGGCTCCCAGTGGTCTATTCTCTACCGATTTAGGGTCTCTGCCCTGGATCTCTTTTCGAACATCCCCCTCAGTCATGTCGACCGGACGTAAGGTCTTCCACTGCGCCGTGGATGAGACAGCTTTGTCTGCCAATATTTCCGAAATCAAGAAATGGACTACCCACGGCGCTATCGACCTCGTGGTCCCCCTCTACAGTGAGTATTGGCGTTCAGGCCTCGGCCCAGCGCTGCCTTGTTTCTAACTTTTACTCTCCGTTCAGCCCTTGAACGACTCCATGCGCTGAAGCGGGCCGGATCCCAGGTCGCTATCAACGCCCGCGAGGCTGTCCGCTTCCTCGATCGTGTCACCTCCGGCAAGGACCATATCACCGCCGACCGCGTCATCCTCCAGGGTCCCATGGAACAGTACGATCGCTGGGAGGAGGCCGAGAAATTCTTCCTGCCGGAATTCGAGGAGGAGCCCGAAGCCATCGATGACAGTTTTGCCAATGCTGAACCTGCGACCGATCCCGCGACCGATCCCGCAATCGATGCCTTGGCTAAGAGCGAGTCGGACGATCTGTCGCAGATGCTCCTTTCCAAGCTGAATTTCAAGAAGGATCCTGAGGCTACATCGATCACTTCCGTTGGCACACCCAGTGGACCGGGCTCGCGCACGTCCTCTCGGAGCTCTCGTACCAGCCCGGAGTGCGCCCAACACGACAGCAATGGTTCCAAGAACGACAAGTGCAAATCCAAGTCCAACCACCAGCGCAGCATCTCCGGCTCCGTTATACCGACTGCGCCTCCCGCCCTGCGCCCATTGCTGAGTGCCCTCCTCTGGCGTCTGCACAACGGCCCCGATGCAGAAAACTCGGCCAAGACCTGTATCCTCATCACCAACGACCGCGACACTCAGGTCTGGGCTCAGAAATTCGGAATCGGCGTCAAGAATATCCTCCAGCTTCGTACCGCTATCCAGTACGAGGAGCGCGAATACAAGAACCGTTGCAAATATGTTGAGAAAACTCAGACTCAGCCTCAGAATCAGCCTCGGGCTGCTGAGCCTAAGACCCTCCTTTCCTACGAAGAAGAAAGCGACGAGGATGAGTTGGTATTCGTCCCGCGCGGTCGTGGTAAAGGTCCTCCCCCCGCGGTGCTTCGCGTGGTGGCTCGCGCAAGGCTCCCCCCAAGCCTGTGCCTGCTCCCGTCGAACCTACGGTTACCGTCGAAGTTCCTACCCAACCCATTGACCCGGACTCGTTTAGTCGGTCGCTGGGTGGCGCTACCAAAACTCCCCCTGTGGACTTGACTGTACAGCAAACTCCTCGTGGTAACTCGGGAGCCTCGCGTCGCTCATCGAACGGTCGTCGTGGTGCTTCCCGTGGTGCCCGAGGCAATGGTCGTGGTCGGGGTAAGCTCTGGGTTCCTTGATTCGCACGGGAAAAGCGATCTACTTCAATCATTCGATGGTAGATCGGAGTGTTTCGAACCAACGCCAGAACCGGACAGGGGTGTCTGCAAGAATATACAAACCCACGATCTCGGGATCTGGATCTGTGTGCACAATGTGTTTCTTCCCCCCAGGCTTTATGATCAATCATAATCCCAGACCCCATGATCCTCAGACATGAATCCGGACATGAATCCCTTGGTGGATTCAATCCGCGGCTGTGATGCGCTGCTTGGATTTGTCTGGAAGTCCCTTTTCCCCGCTCTTCGAGATGGGAGGACGTGTTTTCTCTTTTTTTCTTTTGGGAGGCAGTATGGAAATTATTTCATCTACTAGCATGTGTACCCAATCCAATTCAATTCGCTATATTCTTGTATGAAATTGCTATAAAGAGTGTAGGGATACGGGTAGACAGATGTGTACATTTGTAGATACATATTAGTTATGTAAATTTATGTAGAGTCGAGATGTGCAATTGTTGGCATAGTATGATGACGATGTCCACGGGGAGTACTTCCCCGCATGATCAAATCATTCGACACTCTTGTCTGTTTCATCTTCTCCATATATCCTTACATCTCACTGAACTCCTATCAATCATTAACAACTTCAAATCATCATGTCTTCTATCGAACAGAATATTCCTTCAACTCACGAGCGTCGCAACTCCCTCGAGAAGCACCTCCAAACCCGCCCGGACATGCAGGACCTCAAGAACCGCCATATCCTACTGGACACTAATGTAGCTCCGTGAGTGCTTGAATTCTCTTCCAACATGAGTTCTGGTAACTAACAAACCCCAGAGCCCTTCAGTCCGCTCGTCAGGAGCTTGATCGCCAGCGTGCTTCGGATAACTTGAAGAAGCACCTCGAGAAGAGACCTGAGAAGGATGAGCTGGTTGAGCGTATGTTTCCCTTTTACTTACAAAAAAACTACATTCAAACCTTATCCTATTTCTCTACACCGAGTATCCTTTCCATACTTCGATTTCCTCATTTCTCCGTTTCTCCATTTACCCAGAATCTACAAGACCGCTAACATCGCCAAGGCAACATCCTCCCCGCAACCTCCGCCGCCCCAGCTCTGCAAGCCCACGCTCGCGAACTCGAGAAGCACATGCTGGCTGATAATCTCGAGCACAAGATTCAGAACCGTCCTCAACCTGAAGAGTTGATTTCCCAGGGCATTCTGTCTGAAGATGAGAACCCGCGCTCGCCTGTCTGAGTGGTTTCCACTTATACACATGGTTTGCACACTTTGGTCATACGAGAAATGGGGTTATGGAATTATGGGATATGATCGTTATGTCTTTCCGAATGGCTTTTTTCTTTCTGCGCATTGCACGACTTTTTGGACTCTGTACTGTCTTTACCGAAATGGTGATGTCACCGTTATGTATAGCAATGCCAATACGAACATCTTGGTAGATTTGGGATATTCCATAGAGAAACAAATATATAGACACACAAGAGAGAAAAGGAGAGAGAGAAACGTGGTAGAAGAGTCTGAGATTACTGTGATCAGGTTGATGGTCTAGATCAGGGACACCAATTTGCCAAATAACGGTATATGCTGGGTTTGTATTCAGTGCGATTCAACCTCCACAGCTGCAGAAAGATCAGGCGTCCATCCAATAGGTCTCTCACTCCCCCGGACCAGAATTCCATAAGCAGCCCGTTCAACTTTCTCAACACTAGCCTGCATAACCTCCATCTTCTTTTGTAGATCCTTCAACATGAAATGTCTCCGCGGCACACTCAACGCCTCGAACCCAGCACGCATCGCGCGCAGATCAACAACAATGTCACTCTGCGATGAAGCAAGCGTTGGTCGCTCACTGCTCTCCCCGCCCTCGGGCTGTGTCGCTGCCGCGTTTCCGGAGCTCAGTGATAGCACCGCGAATCGCATCATCTCACCCGTTAGATCGAAGAGTCCCATGAGGTAGTCATCTTCTGAGAGAAGAATATCCGCTGGCATGCGGGCTTGGCATTCTGCATGTGAAATGAGGGTTTGTGTTCGGACGTAGTGGTCGAAGGAGACTGCTTCGATGTATTCTTGGATTCCGCCGCTGATCTGTCGTTGGTAGCGCCAGCCTTTTATGCCCAATTGTTCGGGGACGACCTCTTCAAATAGCGCTTGGATTTGGTCGAAGCGCGTTTGGTTCTCGGCAGCGATTTTGGGTGGGAGGGGTTGGTTGGTTGCGCGGACTCGTTGGAGGGCGAAGATGCTGATAGATGTTAGTTTAAGACGAAATGGTGAGTGTATATAGATCGCACATTTTCTTGCTCAGTGCTGTGATGTCACGGCTTTTCTTGATGATGCGTTCGCGGCGATCATGGTGCTCATCGAGCTCGTCGCGGAAGTTCTCAAAGATTGAGAGAATAGATGAGGGTTGTGCCTCTGTCTCTGCATCGGCCATATCTGTATCGGTATTGGTCTTAGGATTTAGCTCAAGTGGCTGTCCTTCCCAGGATCGTTTTGTACCCATTCAGCAAAGAATAGTTTGTAAGTGGAAGTTGTCAAAGGTTCAGAGCTCCGATAAGATATGATTGCTGGTCCCGCTGTTTTTTCTTTTCTTGGCAAATCTGCTCTGCTCTGCTTCTGCTTCACTTTAAACACTTTGTAGTTATAACATTTATTCTTCTACATTTTATTCAATTGTGGTATCTAACTCGATTTCATTGCAATGAGCTATGTGTTTACTCTTTCTAGCAACCTGCAATCGCCACTATGGAACAGTCTCACAAGACTCCTGTCCTAGGTAGCGATACCTCAAAGGCTTGTTGCCAAGGCCAATCACTTTGACAGTCTGCTCGTCACCCGGTGCAATGTCAAGCGCATTGTCCTCAAGCTGCACACCCTCCTGCTCCTCAAAAACAAGACATTTGACTGGCTTGCGCGCATTGATCACCAAGATCGTCTCGCCTGCTTCCCCAGACTTCCGTTGGATATCTAGCTGTCGGTCTGAGAGATTGAGATACTTGAATGGTTGAGGCCAGTCAATATCCCGAGCTACAATCTCATTATCTACCCACAGCCGCACAGCGAGGACATGTGGTTCTGGTTCAGCGATGTGGTCAATTACCCCGTCAACAATGTTATCCGTAGTGCCATTGGCGGTGATAGCGATGTTGTTGCACTCGATCGGCGCTCGCAATTCTAGACCTGTGGTGACGGATATAAACCGCAGCTCGATTCTGCCTTGGAGGGCCTCTGCTTTGTTGCTTGCGATCCAAACATCGTACTTGCTGGTCTTGGGTGGTTGTGCGTGTGCCACGCTCCAGTCATGGTGTTCGCGGCGCACTCCGACGGCAATTGGATTGAGAACTCGCTTGACGGCGTAGTATGCTGGTTTTGGCTTAAGGAAATAGTCCACGATTGCCCAGGAAATTGTCGGCCAGCAGTCGTTCAGTTGCCAGAGTAGTGCACCGCCGCAGTGCCGCTCATCGCCCCATTGTCGGCGCCAGCCTCTGTAGCCAAACATCATTGTTTCGGCCTGTACAACTTGGGTAAGATAGATGTATGTCTGGGAAATGTTAGCAACTTCACTGGAAGGCACAGCGGCATACTTACTTCGAGATCTGTAGCGGTCCGCAGATTCTCTACAAGGTATGTTGCCAGCCTTCGCTCATGGCCATCAGCCTTGTTATGGAAATCAATCACATGAGATTGAGGGAACATGTCCTCGGGTTTCTCGACGAAGTATTCAATTGTAGAGATATGAGGGAATGCCTCCATACCAAACTCGCTGTTGAATCTTCCGCCGAGAGTATCGAAGATCTGATATTTCTCCTGTGTTCCATGCCAGACTGTATTGCCTATTAGTAGGGAATCAACCAGAGTCTCGAAAAACTGACCATTCCATTGATGCATATCGCCAACAGTGGTATCCGATGAGATCTTGCCATCTCCCCACGGACTTCCAGGGTGGTAGAATGTACTGGGCGAGTGTTCAGCCACCACCTCTGGAAGGAGTTTCTCGTAAATGTATCGTGCAGGGAAATCCGTCCTAAGCCAGCTCTCGGGGTCTTTGTCCTCATAGTTGTAGGTCAGGCCCTCCGACTCTGCGACCTGGTAGTCCTCATTGTTGCCGGCGTAGATCACGATGGATGGATGGTGGCGCATGCGCTGCAGATTATAGACTGTCTCCTGGCGTACAGATTCGAGCATCTCAGGCCATGTGGGATAGTTGCCACATCCAAACATAAAGTCTTGCCAGACTAGCACTCCTAACTCATCGCAGGCTTCATAGAAGGCGTCGTCTTCATAAATACCACCACCCCAAACACTTTTAAATCAGCATAAGCTCACACAAGAAAATTGAACAAACATACCGAATCATTACTTGCCTCCCGGCCACCATGAGCTCAATCCACTTGCGGTATCGCTCAGCACTGACAGCAGGGAGAAGACTGTCAGCTGGAATCCAACATGAACCACCACAGAAAATATCCCTTCCGTTGATTCGGAAGAAGAAAGATTTGCCATGCTTGTCCAGTTGTTGAACTACCTCGGCAGTACGAATGCCAAACTTTTTGGATGTATGGTCGACTTTTTCACCACCGAGAAGCAGGGACACTGATACCTCGTACAGAGTCTGCTCCCCATATCCATGAGGCCACCACAGGGCTGGCTGATTGACTCTGAATGTGACTTGTGTGCTCTTACCAGATATCGGAATACTTTGGCGTGCAATCTCGCTCCCTTTCAAGCTTAAAGTAAACTCGGCTGTATAGTCACCATCAACGATGCTTTCTACATCAACAACGGCGGTCACCCCAGCCGTCTGGTGGTCTGCAGCGAGCTCAACCTGGGGCCACAGATTAGCTACGCGAGCATTGTACACTTCAAGCCGCACAGCACGCCATATACCCGCAGTCATCAGCACTGGGCCCCAGTCCCAGCCCCAGTGGTATTGGGCTTTCCGTACAGCCATTCGGGCGGGGTCACCATTGAACCCGACCCATTTGTGCTTGGTATGTTGGGCTCGGAGCTCCCGTGCCTTGAGAAGTGCACAGTCAAATTCAACCTCAAGGGTATGGTCGCCTTCACTCTCCAATGCTTTGGTTACGTCCACCCGGTATCCCAGAAACATGTTGTCACTTTCAAGAATCGTCTGGCCGTCGAGCTTGACCTTGGCAAATGTGTCCAGACCATCGAATACCAGAACTATTGCGGCACCTGCAGGTGCCTCTGGCTTCTTGAACACATTTCGGTAGACCCAAGACTTCTCATTGACCCAGCGAGCATCCAACTCTTTGAATCCGATGTATGGATCATCAAGCCTAAAAGAAAGCCCCTAGGTCAGTCAATGAGCGTGGAGTGAGAAGAAGCAGCTTACTTCTTGTTGGCAATGAGATCTTGCTGTACAACCGACGGAACCGAAGCAACTGGTAACCATTCTTCGGCGTCACGGTCCCTGAAAGACCAGCCAGAAGACAGAGCTTGAACAATAGCCATTTTGAGAGACAATTGGCAACTGAAAATTGACGGAAGATTGGAACTTCACCTGGAGTAGATTTATACAGACCGTTGTTATCGATAAGACACTTCCCCACAGGAAAGGCGGGGATCCCGTGATGAATACGGACTAGCGTGGCACATGATGTGTATTTTTGCAATTCGTGTTGTTCAAATACATCGAAAATACACCAACAAAGCGAAAAAAACCATCCCCAGAATCATCCAACTCTGAGACCTGGGAAGACTACGCCACTTCAGTTCATGCATTCCACAACCCGTATTCCTGTGTATCCACTCTACCCACTTAAGACCTCTGTTAGCCACGGAAAACACCCCGTCAAGCTTAAAATGCCGTGCATTATTCACAACTATGGAACCCTTTTCCATATTTTTTCATAGAGACTCACGTCACCTGTGCAGGCTCACCGGGCATATGAGCTAGGCACCTGAATATCATATGCACTGCGCACAAATCTTCTTTGGGCCATGCGCATCGATCGTTTAATTTATTCAAATTAGCCTGACTCGTAACCGAGCCAATGAACGATCTCGGCAGACAACGGGCGTGCAGGCTTCGGCTCCCTTTCATCCACACTTAGCGTGCCCACTCCAAATTATTGTACGAAATGAACATCAAACGTGGAGTGTGAAGATGAGATTGACCTTTCTGAATGAGTCTGGCATCTTTCTTCGACTTTGTTTGCACCGACTTTCTATTCTTCATTTTCCCCTGGTTTGGAGGACCGACTGCGCACAAGAGTGATCCCCTAGCCGCCGTCCCCATCTCGGGCCCTTGACTAGAAAGAGACATGGCGCCCGCGAAAGTCTCGGCGCTGAACCCCTCCCAGTGGCAAGTTGCGAACCAGGTACACTGTCCCTCCTGATACACGGGGTAAGCAAAAGCCCCTTTTTGAAATTCCCTCACTGCTTCGAACCTGGTCTACAGCCCAAAGGCATGTGCGTCGATCTCAGAAAAACCCTATTGATTGGTGAGATGGCATGTTGAAAATCTTGCTCGAAACAAACCGCAATCTGCAGTTGTCGGCCGTAATTTCCCGACGCCGTGGATGAGATACTGGATTGTATATCAGTCAGCTTGCCATGTCATCTTCCCCAGACGATCGTCTCTCATCTGCAGGGTTTGCTCCATATCTCCCAAACCAAGTCCGGGGAAATGGCCCCTCTCTTGGAGAACCCATGCAGCCCAACTGCGGTGCTATGCTGCCTTGGTGGCGCGTGAATCCCGGAAGCGAGATTGCCCATGAATGGCACTTCTGCACCCCTGCCCATGTCGGCGCGTGGCATTTCCCGGCTAGACCAGTAAAATGCAGGTCTCGGGACTGGCTAAACGTTGTGAAATCCAGTATCCTGGTTTTTATATGCCGGGAGTTATGTTGATGACGCGGATAATCTTGACCAGGGTCTCCGTTAACCCGAGAGATGTTGAGTGCGGGCATTTTTTTCTTCATGTGTTTCAACATATTAGTCGAAGTAACTAGTTGCCGGAGATCACCAACATATGATATTCTAATTAATTCTAACTAATTCTAATTCCAACCAATCAGTCCTGTGCGGGTGAACCGGACTCAATATTACAGAATGCGGGGATCTTAAGCGGATCAGGCTAATTCTTTGACTATTTTCCTTTTGGTTTAGTTCCTTTTGGCCCTTTTTTTCTTCTTAATCTGTTTCATTCTTATGACCTGCCACATCTCAGTAATACTCCACTTTGCATCTATCTTACAGATAACCACCATATATTTCTTCATGTTACCTGTTCAGTGACCACCGAGTGGTCAGGCTATGCAATCCTATCGACTATTACAATTCATATACAATGTTTCACACATTCGAAGGGTTTGAGAACCCAACAACAACTCCGGCCCGTAACAGGGCTACCAGTGAAAGGCGCGAATCCATCAGTCGCCGTGTGACGACTCTCCGCGCTTGCACATCTTGTCGCCATCGTAAAATCAAATGTGATGGCGAAAAACCGTGCGAGGCGTGTCGATGGTATAAAAAGTCAGACCAGTGTCACTATTCTGATCCGCGGCCCTCGCGAAGGTGAGTCAACACTTTGCTTTGCTTTTTTCTTGGCCTCAACCAATCTAATCTGCAAGTCAATTTAGGCATGTGGAGAAGTTGTCTACCACCTTAGAAGAGTACAGGAGTATCTTGGGGAAATTGTTTCCTAATATCTCACCGGAATCTCTCACAAATCTCTCGCGTGAAAAACTGCTCGAGCTTACAACTGCCTCCTCGGGATCCCATATTCAGACTGTTCCGCATCATGCCGAATCACCAGCTACTTCGGCGTCAATGGATGCTCATGTCTCCCCTTTATCAAATGATGACGACAATCTCGAGTCTCTGCAGAGTATGCCTGAGGAACTACCTAACAGCCGCAACACCAGCTCGACAGACCTAGTAGAAGGCGTGTCAGACGATGTTAATGCGCTGTCACTCTCTACCCGACAACCTTCATCTTACCTGGGTGTCTCATCCATCCAGGCAGTCATTAAAGTCATTGTCTGGCTGGACCCGGGCTGTGCTTCATATTTCTCTCGAACTCCAGCCACAGACCAAGATAACCCGACAGGATGGCCGCATTGCGCGCCTATCACACCCCCACAGCCGTGCATTCCGCCGTCAGAGATGCAGATGCTCGACGCTTATTTCCTTTACTTCCAATCATTTGCGCCGATGATTGATGAGCGATCTTTTCGAGAAACTTACTGTGCCGGCCGCCGCAGAGATGATCCTTGGCTTGCGCTGCTAAATATTGTTCTCGCTTTGGGTAGCATTGCCGCTACAGGCCCTGATGATACGACGCATCAGACATACTTCTTGCGTTGCAAAAATCACTTGAGCATAAGTTCGCTAGGGAGCTCCCACATCGAGATTATCCAGGCATTGGGCCTGATGGGTGGCTGGTACTGTCACTATATCAGCCAACCGAACCTGGCATATTCTTTGATGGGTACCGCGCTACGAATGGCCGCTGCCTTGGGTCTGCACAAAGAGTTTGCAGAGACCCGACAGCTTCCTAGTCCTGCCAAACTCGCCTCGATGGACCTGAAACGGCGTGTCTGGTGGTCTCTGTACTGCATGGACACTTGGACAGGGATGACACTAGGTCGGCCCAGTATGGGACGCATAGGCTCAACCATCACTGTCAAGCCTCCTCTGTGCCGAGATAAGGTAGATCATTCATTTTCTCGGAACTATCAGAATAATATTTGCTAACAACTTCATAGGAAAATGTCCTCGAAATCCTCCCTCTAGTTGAAAACATTCGTTTCGCCAAGATCTCAACCCAAGTCCAAGAATCTCTCGCGGCAGCACCGCTAGTCAAGCATCAAGAAATGTCGCACGCTGACACCCAGCTCCTCGAATGGTGGGACAACCTTCCATCTGTTTTGAAAGATCACGAACCATGCTCAGAGTCAATAAATACCGTCCGAACAGTTATGCGCTGGCGCTACTACAACCAACGAATACTTCTATATCGACCCACATTACTCAACTACGCCATGCGTCGTGTACCTTATATCGCACTGCGCTCAGAAGAGCGCACGGCTATTGAAAAATGCCGCGAGGTCGCTGAGCTGGCTATCCAGAATATCGCTGCTACGGCTCAGCTCAACCAACTGTGTGGCTGGAATGCTGTCTGGTGGACATTTCAGGCTTCTATGGTTCCCCTGGTGGGGCTGTTTCTGAACGATCCAACTGTCGATGACCCCCGTGCTTCGGTTGAGTCCTGCCAGGCGCAAGTTGAGATGGCTATGATGACACTGGCTCGTATGCAATCTTTTGGGCATACGGCGAAACGCTCATTGGATGCTGTTACGCGCATCTATGAAGCTAGCAAGCGTGGACAGGACCTTGCCGACACAGATTCTGCAGCTGGGATCCTGGGTACATCGTATCCCGCTGGTCGGGATATGTCGCTCTTCTTCTCATCGCCTCCTGAGCCTGGTCATGGCAATATGAATGCCACGATAGCGGACAATGGGTTCCTTGACCCTCTCGCTACTCAATTTATGGATGATTCTGGTGGCCAGTATCTTTGGGAATATCTGAGCTGGAGTGATAACAATCTTTGGCCGGGAATTGTTAAAGATCTTGATGGGCGGAACGACGCAATGGCTTTGTTAACTCCCGATCATGAAAAAGGCCCCAAATTTGGAGAACAACAGCCGTATTTTGACCCCATGCCGGAATCTGGGTACTTCGTCAATGGTGGAATTTACTATTAAACATTGCCTTTTTTATATTCTTTGTGATGCATTGGTCTTTACTCGCTTCAGCATGTTAGCATAGGGCATTATCTGGAAATGAATGTATGACGGGACTTCAACTTCTCTACTGTTTGTACTTTTATCAATGAATTATACGATCTACTATATGCTCGTGGAGAAGGCATTGTCTTATTGATAGACCGTGATAAGTGACTGAGAAAGTAGGGCGCTTAACAAATTCAAACGAGGCGTTCCCGACCTCGAACCGGTTTCGAGTCTAGAAAATGGGGGAAATCGACGCTGATCAATTCTCGCGATCGACACATATCATGGGGTAGAAAGGGAAGATCTTCATCCACTGTTAACAGCTCAGCCACCGAATTGCCCTTCAGACACCGTCTTTTCACTAGAACCTGTTGCAAACACTAATCTCCCAATAGGTAGGCTATGAATATTCTGCAGCCAGTCTCTGTATAAGATAACCCAGGCGTTTAAATCAACTCATTGCCAAAGGTATCATTAAATTCAAATTAATCATAAAGCTGTTCATAAGGAGGCATAATATGTCGCTAGTGAATCTATCACTGCATCTCGTCTTTCGGGGCTTTCATCCTCAAAGATCTTTTGGATATGTGTGTTCTGTTTCAGACTGGTCACCTGCCTGAATGCGTCGCGTCCGTATCCACCTGGACCGTCTAGGAGAACGGGACCTCGTCTACGCTTATCGTCGATCAGACCGGATAGGGCGCCTGTCAGATTTAAACCTCCATTGGAGCCTAGGTACTTCAGTGTGTTTTGAAGGACGTCACCGATGCCCACATTTGCTACCAAGGGCAATGATCCCAGGATTTTAGTATAGTATGGGATCAAAGTGCCGTTCGAAAGAATTGTTCGTGTCACGGCTGTGAGGGATAAGTCGCCTGTTCTAATTGCGGTGCTTTGTGAAGCAAGGACTTCAGCCAGATTCGCCAGCACCCCTTTAAGATCGAGCACGCCTCTCAGTGGGAATGTATTGTTTCCTGGACGCAGGATAACATCCTTGACCGTCGCGTTTCCAATGATCAAATTCGTATCGCCACTCTTTAAGTCAAGTGTAATGGTGCCCACTTGGAAGGTGAGGGCAGTCGGGTTTGGGAGCGTAAGATTGGCGATCAGGTTGGCTCCGTCATCTTCTGCTGGTAAGACGAGTGTGCTGTCTGCTATGAAGAATCCTTCGAACTTGTTCAGAGCTATACGAAAACATGAGCATAGAAGCTATATGAAATGACGGCTTAGAAAGGCAAAACTCACTTGGTATAATCACATCTTTATTCAGTGTGACGTGGGATTTCAACACTCCAAGATACGCATCAGTAACTCCATAAAGTGATAGTGCTGTTTCCTTCTGGAAGACAGTCTGGTTCACAAAAGCAGTCCATGTAGTCAGATTGAGAAGTGGTGTGTGTTGATTGTTGACTGCAAGCGTATAATTTCCTTTGATGGTTTGCCCAGGTATATCGATTCCTCCCCAAGGGCTTTCATGGCCATATGAGCGCACAAATGTATAGAACACCACAGGATCGAGTCGAACTCCCAGAGCAAGCTTGAGATCAACTTTTGCTGCTAGTGTCATTTCCACTGTAGTTGGTGTTGGGTTCATGACCTCTGCGTTGACGATTACTAGATCTGATTTATTGACAACGAGTTGCGCGATAGCAGGAATCACAACTAGAAAGCTTGATGGACATATTTAGCGCTTGGAAATTACCGGGGAAGTTGTAAGGATGAGAAGGACATACAAGATCGGTAAAAGTATAGCCAAAAAGATGACATTGGCGATGAGATATATGCACCAGAATCGCCTGCAATGTCTGCGAAATCTATTTTTCTTGGTATTCGAGCTCACAGAAGACTCAACTTTCTCGAGTTTTGCAAGGTCATCGGGCTCTGGGTTAATGAGCCCTCGATTGCCCCCGATGATGTACTTTGTCCCTTTTGGCATGATGGAGTCTCTTCACATTTGGAGGGAGAGAAAAGTGAGAGGATCTCTCTATATAATCAAACGCCGAACTCCAAGATATTATCATATGTTTAAAAAAGATGCCGAGGACTAAGATACAATTAACTTTATGATTTATATAGAACTTTGTATTTTATTGCTTTTGCGGGGGATCGCCGCTCACTTGCAGGCATATCAAATATCAGATAAATAACATAGAGGAATTTGTCTTACATTACTTAGAGAACGAACAATTTCCTCTCAAACTAGTTATATTCCGATTGAATACATGACTATTTCATATTGCTTTTTTTGGTACACAAGCATCTCTTATCACAAAGAACCTTTTTGGCCTATCAGATACCTTGTCCCCAAATTGCCCGGGCAGGTTCCAAAGGGAATCATCGCACTCTACGCGAGAGGCTTGATGAGTTCAATGCAGGCCCAAGCTGTGTAACGCAGCTTGCCCAGCCAGACAGTGTGCTTGCATCTACACTAGCGCTGCACGGGCCTTACAAGAATAGCCTCGTTCTCCTCGGTGCCTCGGTGGAGTTCATCAACTTTTTAGAGTGTGATTAAATTTTGGGTTTTGAGTAAGAGTCCAGAAGCCCCGGTCGCCCTGGTTAATTTTTAGCGGGAGGGTGAGATGTGGGAATATCATCATCACGACAATCTGCCCATCTATCTTGACCGATTTACTGCTGTCTGAAATTGATTTTCAGAACTTCATTTTCCTAATATTCAAAGTAAGCCAACTGGTAAAAGAGTGGTTTCCTCGCCTAGACTTTTGTAGCATGATAATTCAATATTGAAACACACTGGTAGATACTAATCGCGTGTAATAACTACCTACGCATGAAACATCGATTGTCGGGCAGTCAACTTTTCACATGGGGACTTAGCTCGGTTCTTCTTCAAAGATATAAGGAATAATAAGAGAGCTGAGGCAAAAGCCAATGTTAAAGGGAGGGTTCCTGATGCATCAAGCGACACCCCCTCAGTGGCGTATCAGCTGCAGTAGCCATAAATGCGACTTGACTGGATCGCTTGGATAATTTGCAACGATATAAACCTATCATACCTCGTGCTCAGATACATGACATCACATCGAGTAGGTAAACCATTGTAAAAGACGTTGACAGTTAGTAGGTTAGTACCCCGTACACTATTGTAGGTCAATCCCCGCAATTCGATGCTTTCCCCGCATTTTCACTTGATCTGAGCATAATGAAGTTCACATACGTACATATATGTAGGGATTCTTGATTGGATATGTCATATGTGACTGTGGAGTTGGATGCATTTTGAGATCAGAATTTATCTTTTTGAATAAATCTGCCCAAGCTAAAACTTCCGTGAAAGCCATAAGAGCCTATCACAGGAGCATTATTGATATGGTAACCAGGTCAGCGCATAAACATAAGAAAAGAAAAGAAGAAGATGATCGTAACCTTAGAATATACTGCCAACTAAAATTCCCCACGGAGTCCTCATCGGTCTACAGAGAGTGTGCAGAGTTCAAATCTCGAAAGTCGACTGACTCTGTATACTTCGTTTCCTAATTAGGCAATTACAAGGTTGATCGATATGCTGACTCATGCTGACTCATGCCAATTCATGGCGGTGGCAGAAGTTGTGGATGGCTTCAACGTTCCACGTAAACATCCCAAGTGTCAAGTATTGACATTGCCAATGGAGTTGATGTGAATCAAATTACAAACACTGTCATTACAGGCTTGAGAAGTGAAAGTTGGTCGAAAATTCGGTGGGGTTTATATCTCCTGAATCCGGTTTGATCCAAGACTAGGGGTTCAACGAATTAATTATGCGAGCTTGTCGACAATCGACCCATTCTTAATTTCTTGAATTCCATCTAGTCGAAATAAGCGAGCAAAAAGAATATGGCTCTCTTCGACTCGGCTCCGCGGGTATTTCTCGCCGCTACAGCCCTCCGCCTCATTCTCCTTATTTACGGAGGTTGGCAGGATGCCCACTCTGCTGTGAAATACACTGATATCGATTACATGGTGTTCACTGATGCTGCGCGCTATGTTGCGAAAGGTGAATCACCGTATGCCCGCGACACTTACCGCTACACGCCGCTTTTGGCTTGGATGTTGGTACCGACGGCATGGGAGGGTTCCGCGCCTTGGCCAACGCTCACTTTCGCATTTGGCAAGGTTCTTTTTGCTCTCTCTGATGTTCTGGCAGGATGGCTCGTTGTGCAGCTTTTGACTCGCTGCTATCGATTTCCTGCTGAGCGTGCCTTGCGCTATGTTGCTGCTGTTTGGTTGTGGAATCCCATGGTTGCCAATATTAGCACAAGGGGTAGCTCGGAGGGACTGCTTGGTGTGCTTGTTGCGGCCCTTCTGTGGGCCACTTTGACTAGGAAGCCTATTCTGGCTGGTTTGATCTTGGGCCTTGCTGTGCATTTCAAGATCTATCCGTTCATCTATGGCGTGTCCATTCTCTGGTGGTGGGATGCGGAGCGTGACGGTTCTTCTTCAACTAGTTCGGGTTTGCTGTCCAAGGCTGTGAACTTCCTCACCCCATCCCGGCTTAAGTTTACTGCGTCAGCACTGGTCAGCTTCGTGGCCCTGAACCTGGTCATGTATTTTCAGTACGGCCAACCGTTCCTTCAGCACACATTCCTTCACCATCTCACTCGTATCGACCACCGCCACAACTTCTCCCCCTACAGTACCTTGCTGTATCTGTCCGCTGCCGGTGGCGTGGAGACTCACTTCGAAGCGCTGGCGTTTATCCCTCAGCTGGTTCTTGTGGTTGTTGGCCTTCCTCTTGTTCTGGCAAAGAAAAGTTTGACGACCGCTATGTTAGCGCAGACCTTTGCCTTTGTAACTTTCAACAAAGTGTGCACAAGTCAAGTAAGTGATTGCGCGTCGAGTTCACCATGTTGATTACTAACCTTTTTAGTACTTCTTGTGGTACCTCATACTCCTCCCATTCTATCTTCCTTCTTCGTCCCTTATTCGCAAACCAAGACTCGGGGCTTCAGTCGCCCTTTTATGGGTTCTTGGACAGGTATGTAGTGTCTTGTTGCCCTGTTATGTCGTCGTGATGCCAGCAAGATCATGAAAGCTAACGGCCAACTAGGCTCTCTGGTTGCACCAAGGATACAACCTTGAGTTCCTTGGGCTAACCTCATTTGTGCCTGGGTTGTTCCTCGCCGGGCTGTTCTTTTTCTCCGTCAACGTGTGGATCCTGGGTATTATCATTCGGGACGGAGGCGATGGGGCCGGTGAGATTGAAACAATCGCCGAAACCCTCAAGGCGGATTAGACATGTTGTAAAAACTGTTTGTTCATTTGTTAATCTTTGTATAAACATTAGAAGAAAAGAAAATGACTAGAGATCATTGTTCAAAGCAGTTTAGTTTATTGGAAGCAAATACACCACACATTCTAGGGCCGACCCGAACCGAACGGCAAAAAAAAAAAAATGGATGAACAGGAAACTCAATATTCAGACTCGTGGGGAATCCTGCGCTCCGAAATGATCAAGTATCTCTTTGCCTCTGTTCCAAAAGGATGAGCAGTGGGATGGACAGCACTCACGACTCGCCCCCTTTGGATATTGGGCTCAACACTATGACTTTGCTAGATAAACTATGCGACGGCTCGGGCCTTTTTTTTAGAGCAGCCAGAATGGGCCACTCCACAAACCAATGCACCTGTTGCTGCGGTTCAAAGCAGGGGCTCAAGAGAGGATCCCACGCTTTCGGATCCACAAAGCGGATGCGAAGATGCTGCAGGTTTGGCAGGAAGGCCGGAGCTTACACGGCCTCAACAACCATTGCGTGAAAGATGCAGTTAAATGTCATGAGTTTTTTGCCCACTCAATCCATAGCTGATGGAGGGGGATGAGGTGTTTGGCCTTGCATTGTAACAACCTGACTTGACTGTCAGATCCATTGGTATGACAGGAAGAGGTGACTTCATTGTTGTAGCACCAGTCTTCATTTTACGAAAGAGATCTGCACGTCTGTAGGATTAGGCTTGCTCTCTTAAATGGGTGAGCCAAGCCAATACCTCGGTATTGAACGAGTTCTGTGACTTTGGAATCGTCCTGTATTTGTGGCATCTATCTACATGACTTGGATATATCGAGAGAGAACAAGTAAATTCGAGGGTATCGATACAGAATAGACGCTATAAAACCATACACATATTGAAACACAATGCTAGCGCTTACGTCTAAATCGGAACCGAGTTCCATCATCACTATCAGAGTCACGGGACTCACGAGGCCTCTTCTGACGACGAGCTGGGGCTGGATCTGGGGTGGGCTCGGTTGAGACTCGCGCAGCGGCTGACGGCTCGGATCGCGACGGGGCGACATCTTCCATACTGTCCCGGTCGTCGGGCTCGACTCGAGTGTTGTTTGAAGGGGACTTGCTGCTCCAGTAGTGATCACCGATTCCATATTCTTTTCGGGTGACTTCTTCGAGGGGAACAATTACGGTTTGGACGCGAGCACGATGACGCGGCTCGCCCTTTCGTCGGAATCTCTTGAAGTTTTTGCGTCCATTCCATTGCTCATCCCATCGATCTGTGTTTTCTTTTTCGCGAGCTGGAAGTTTTCGGACGGGCATCTCCATTTCTTCCACGATGGCTAAGTTCTTTAGTTGATCTATTTCAAGGTCATCAACGTCGGGGTGTGCCTCTTGCTCAGCCTTGCGTTGTTGCTCCTCTTCCTCGCGATGCTTGCGTGCAGCTTCTAACAAGTCAAGCTTGGGTCGCTTGCGCTTTGGTGCCTCGGCTTCGTGGGCTGGGGGGTTGCTTTGGGGGTTGCCCTCTGCGTGATGGCGAGTCATCTCCGCGCGGCGACGCTTCATTGCACGAGCACCAGGAAGAAGTTCGGATGCCGCGTCTTCTTCCGGCTCTTCTTTTACTGTGTCAAGGGGCTTCGTTGTCTGGGAAGCTGCTTGGGTATCCACATCCATGGCTTGAGTGTCGACAATTGTATCACCCTCTTCGGGTGCATACATTGGAACCGACTCCATGTCGAAGCCATCGTCAAACGTTTTCATTTTACTGACGTATGCACGAGCACGAGTGGATTTAGCGCGACCTTTAGAAGGCTGACTTGGCTCGGGCTCGGGCTCGGGCTCAGCAGACCGAGCCAATGTGAATGTAGTAGGTCTTTCCTCTGGAGTCGGCGGAGCGGGCACAGGTGGCGATGCTAGAGTCGGGCTTAAGCCTTCCTCCGTCGGTAAAGAGCGGCATAGAGGGGATGCATCATTTGCCAAAATAGCGTCAAGGAACTCCCGTTGCTCAATCACACGTTGGTCTGTCATGAGGGCCACTTCGTTGCCTACTTCTATGGCCCATGACTCAAATTCCCCTTTACATCGAAAGCGAACAAGAACTACACCACCGGGGCTGTGTCGCTCGCTGCCAACGCCTTTGCGCCCTGATGCCCTTTTCATGAACCGGACAATATCCGTAGCAGTTGTAGTTCCCTCTTCAAGTTGGAAAAAAAGTGCCTTTCCCTGACCATTGTTGATCGGCCCTTGTAGATTGTCAAATTGGGATTGATCACAGAAAACGAATGTGTATTGATAAAAGATATTGAGACGGGCGGGATTTGGAGCGAAAGCAATAGAAGGACGGTCGATGTTCTCCTTGCCCGGAGCTGGAAGATGTTCGTTCGCATTGGGCCATTCCGATTCAAAGTCGGTTTCAAGAGGGCACAAAGACTCCAAGTTCTCAAGATCGCTGGGTGTAGCCGCATAGACGAGTGCGTCGATAAATGAATCATCAACAATGTACTTTCCATTCACCAGTGCCTGAAGACCCTTGGCCGTATTTCGCTTGCTTGAAACCACGTGTGTCGTGTTATCGACGATGTAATCGATGATTGTCTTGACATCGAGATCCTCCAGACGTGAACGGACATGGGCTAGAGGATCTGCGCCTCGCATCTCCTTCGAGGAGAGTGAAAAGCTGAGTACCACTGGCTCCCATTTTATTCTGTCAATCGAAATCAGCTTGATATCACCGTTTTGAATATAGTCATACGTACCGAAGCGCATGCTCGTATTTAGCCAATTGAATAGCATGTTCATCGCTTTTGTTCAACTTGAATTCTCCTTGAATTCTAGCTCCATCGACGACTGTTCCTTTCTTTGAATCCAAATCGGTAATTATAATTTCGGACCGTGCTCGAGGGGACAACTGTGTCTTCTATCAGCAAAAGTGAACGATAATCATCGCGGGGTTGTGGGCGTACCCCATCTTTCGGTTTGACCGGGGAGATTTCAATGGTCATGTGTTTCCGAGAGATTGAGTTATGATTGACGGCATGGCGAACTGTTCATAGACTGTCAGTTCACTCGTAAGCCCTATTGATTTTATTGCTGTTCATACCTTCTTCTCGCTGGAATCGACCGAAGAGATACTTCTTCCCGGGCCGCAACCATATGCGCTTCCCTTGAAAATATTAGCAAACGATTGAATATCACCAGATTGATTTATCTCACCTTGTAGAAAGTCACCTGTCGAATCGAGAACCCACATCACGAATAGCCATATTGGGGAAAATTGGTCATAAGTTGAGACTCAGCTTTAGGCATCAGCGCGCAAATTGAAACGCGTGTTCACGTGACTCCGCGTTCCGCCTTCACTTCTTATTCTTCTTTTTCTGCTTCTTCTTACTAATTATTAAATGGAACGGTTGAATTATGGAGTCCTCGGGCGACAAGCCTGTCACCAGCAAGCCTCAGTCACCCCCGGATGAGGACTATGAGACTTTGAAATATCAACTCCTCGGCCCTTCTCTGACCAAAGCGGGTCAAGATTCGGTTGACCAGCAAAAGGTGGGCTTAGTGATGCTATCATGTTCAAAAATGTATTGGGAGTCAATAGCTTATCTCCATTTCTAGGTGTCAGAAATTATCTACAATGCCTCCAAGGGCTCTAAATTCTTTAATCATGAACAAGATCGAGATCGAAATCTCACAATCAAGATTGAACGCATTTTGAAAGAAAAGGCTCGGCTTGAAAAATTAGATCTTAGCCATGAGTTACGACGAGCCGATGAATATCTTGCCGAGCTGGAGATAAGTCGAGACCTCTCGCAGCACGTCATACATGTGGACTGTGATGCGTTCTTTGCCGCTGTCGAGGAGCTGGACCGACCAGAATTGAAGACTGTACCTATGGCAGTTGGTAAAGGTGTGCTAACAACCTGCAATTACTTGGCAAGAAAATTTGGAGTTCGAAGTGGCATGGCTTCATTTGTTGCGAAGAAACTTTGCCCGCAACTAGTTCTTCTACCACAGAACTATGAAAAATACACAGAGAAAGCGAAGGAAATTCGCGCTATTATGGCAGAATACGACCCTTTATTCGAGAGTGCGAGCATTGATGAAGCCTATCTGAACATCACCGCATACTGCGATGAAAACCAGCTAGATCCCGAAGAGGTTGTCCAGCGGATGCGTGCAGAGATCTTAGAGACCACTAAAATTTCCGTATCCGCCGGAATTGCTGCCAATGCCAAAATCGCAAAGATTTGTTCCAATATAAACAAGCCTAATGGTCAATTTCGGGTCCCAAATGAACGCCAGGCCATCATGGGATTCATGCGTGAACTCCCAGTGCGCAAAGTCAATGGGGTTGGTCGAGTCTTCGAGCGAGAGCTGGAATCAATAGGCGTGAGAAAGTGCGGTGATATTTTCCCACATCGCGCTCTGTTGACCAAACTTTTTGGCGAAAAGGCCTTCCAATTCCTGGCACAGTGTTACCTTGGTTTAGGACGCACAAAGATTGAACCGGTTGAAACCCACGAGCGCAAAAGTGTGAGCACAGAGACCACCTTCCATGCGATTGGCGACAAGGAGGAGCTTCGAGCCAAGCTTTGGTGGGCCGCACAGGAGCTTGAAAAAGATCTCTCTCGGACTCAGTTCAAAGGGCGCACACTTGCCTTGAAAGTGAAACTTCATACATTTGAAGTGCTAACCCGCCAGACAGCCCCATCGCGTGCGGTCTGTCTAGCGAAAGATTTGTATTCATTTGCCCTTCCTCTGTTGACAAAGCTCGAGAAAGATATTCCTGGACTCAAATTACGTCTACTTGGTCTGCGGTGCTCGAATTTGGTCAGCACCAAGAAAGCTGGATTGAATTTCTTCGGCGTTGCTCCACCCGCCAACACCGCTTCTGCGTCCACTCCTGTGTCGAATGCTGGCGGAAATACAGACCATGAGATTGACGCCGAGGAGGCTTTCGAGACAGCCGCTCGCCAGGAAGTTCAAGATGAAATGAATGATCTGGAAATGCTGAGCCAAGACACCCCCAATGTATCTTCCCCTCGCGAGTCAGAGGAGCCGGTTGTTCCAACGACAGTTGAAGAACCACCTTTATGGGACTGTCCCATTTGTGGACGGCCGCAGATTGCCGATGACCGGACATTCAATGAACATGTGGATTTTTGTCTCTCTAAACAAACAATCCGAGAAGTGGTTCAGGATACTGAAGACACAGTCTCGATACCTCCTGGCACCAGGAAAAGGAAAACACCCTCTCAGCCCAGCATTCCCGAAACCGATCCCAAGCAGAAGCGGCTTTTTTTCCAATAATACTATATGACCATGAATCACTTTTGATCACTATATTTGATCAGCAAAGCTCAGCAATGACTAGCTCTCTCGCCTTTGCAACCTGGAGATTGGATTCGCATATCCAGGGGTCCTTTTCTCATTGCCCATTCCTTGATACCCCTCCCACAATACCAATACAAATCACCCGACATGATCTCAATGTTGCAAACGCCTGAACTCCGAGGATGCAGCAATGTTGTTTTATTGCAGGGTCCCCTTACTTCGACTTTTGACAGCCACTAGATACATATCCTTGAAGCGGGATATCTTTGCAGGCATGTCAAGATGGTATTCTGCACCTGATACTCTACAATCGAAGCATAACAATAAAACTCATTAAGACATTCAATGTGAATATCATCAGTCAATAATCACATCTCTTAGAGCAAAAAGAAAATATGTACCTGATAGACATCTACACCGAATTTTAGGCTGTTATCGAATTAAGTGCTTATCGCGACTCGAGTAATTGCTCATATTATAGGGTTTTTAGTAAAGGAAAGTATATGTACAGTCTAGTTTAGTCATCCCCTGACAATGAAAAAGCTGCCAGCGAATATTGGCACCTCAATCCCTTCCACTCCCTCTTCCATAATGAATTCACACCCATACTTCACTCGTTTCTAGCATAAGGCCTCATTGTTGGGCCTTGCCACTTATGCCTTCCGCGAACAACCCAATCCCCACAGGCAAACAACATAACAAACCCAAGGACAGGCCCGGCATAGTTCATGTTATCCGCGGTAACCGGCACTGTCGCGGGGAAGGGAAGGAAGATAACGAAATAGGTAGCGAAGAGAATGGCAATAAGATTCATGGGGAGGCCGAGTTTCCCCAGACTGAATGTTCCCTGCGGGATATCCTGGGGCGCCGTGAAGCGCTTCAAGACAAGGAGGATGAGAGGGATAAGATAGGAAATATAGAGACCGAGCGTGCTGAGCGAAAGAATAGCGTTGAACGCAGCCGTAGACCCGATCTGGATGAACGAGAGCACGAAGATGCATGATGCAACTAGGAGCAAAGCACGGAGGGGGATCTTGTAGGTTGGGTCGACGCGGGCAAAGAACTCAGAGAAGGGGAGTCCGTTGTCTCGAGCGAAAGCCCAGGTGAGACGAGTGACGGAGGCGAGGCCGTTGAAGAGGGCGATCCAGCCGGGGAGCATACCTAGTGCCATAAGGACGAAGGTGGCTGCCTTGGATCCGGTTGCTTGGTAGGCAATTGTGATGATGGGGTAGCCTGTTGGGCTGGTGAGGGCTTCGGTGTAGTCGCCCATGCAGTAGAGGATCGCGATCAGGTAGCAGAATGCGAGAGTTCCGTTGATTAAGGTGCCGTAAATCATGGAGCGGGGGACGACAACTTTGGCGTTTTTGATTTCTTCGGCCATGTGGATGATGCCATCGACGCCTGTTGGTATGGATTAGATTGTTAAACATTCTGATAGTGGAGGGACGTACCAGCCAGGGGAGTAATGACACCAAGAAGACCGACGGAGAATACAACTCCGGAATCCTTCCAGCCACTCAAGCCGCCGACAAAGGTGTCCCAGACAAACGAGTCGGGATTCCGAGGGGCAAGGATAACGAAGACGGCGATGGTGACGGGCAGGAAGACGACATGCATGATACCTGCCGCAACCTCGATGGCTCCCAGAACGCGACGCGCAAATACGTTAATGATGACCGGGATGATTGCGACTGCCCACATGAGCAGCGTACCGCGCCACTTCACAAGCTCATATTCAGGGTGCGCCAGCACAACCATACCCTGGATTTGGGTTCCGATGAAGTATGGCGCGATGCAAACGAGAGCGGACCAGGAGAAGACAGTGACCCAACCTAATTATGTTGAGCATGCGACTAGAAACGAAGGAAAAGGGCCATTTATGCGCTCACCCTGGAAGAAACTGATGAATCGACGACCACGAGGCGCGAGGAAATAGCTCCAGTGATATTGAGCACCTGCAGTTGGGTGTCTGTCAATCTTAAGGTCAGCACTGGCGCATTTCATTCAGTCATTTGCGGACACATACAGAGAGGCCAGCTCGGCTAAGGAGCATGCGATAGCCAGATTACCCAAGGTGCTCAAGATAATCCCATAAACAATCGCTGCAGGGCCGCCATTGTACAGCCCCGAGAGCAAACTACCACCAGCAGATTCCCATGTGGCAAGCAGGCACGCGGAGAATGCGACAGATGAGAAGAAGTTGAGATATCTCTGGTGAAAGATTAGTGTCTCTGCAGGTTTATCGAACACCAGGTGATGTTTACCTCCAGTTGTTGTTTCTGGCCCGATGTCACGCTCTCATAGGCACCATTCCCATTCCCTGCTGGCCCTGAACGCACAAAGCTCTCACTCTTCAGTTCTATCTCGTCCTGCATATTGAAAATTAGATGAGGGTAGAAAAGTCGGAGAAAATAGTCGACAAAAAATAGAGCATACGGCCTGAAGACGGCAAGAAGTACTTGAATCTATCTTGGCCTCCTATGTCTCTTCATTTCCGTAAACGGGGCCCAGACAGGGATCTATATTGCGCAATGAATGCGAAACAAATAGTCGACACCTCGCATGCGAGTTGTTGCGCCGCGTTGAAACGGTCCTGTTCGCTTCGGCGCAAACCCTTGTCGTTCGCATTCTAGTAATGAGACTGGTGCTGTTTAGTGCTGTTTAGTGTGGTCTAGTGCTGTTTAGTGCGGTCTGGTGCTGTTTAGTGTGGTCTAGTGCGGTCTAGTGCTGGATCGGGACTCTCTGGAGATATTCCGCGGGGCTTGTTGATCCTACGTGAATTTGGCTACCACGATTCTGGAGGTTTTCTAGACCAGGTAGACAATGCAATTGATGGAAAAGAATCTCGGACCCATCTGAAGGTTAGATTAAACCGGGGTACCCACAGGTTCACAGGATTCGCATCCTTGCATCGGAGAAGATGCAATGGCGCCACCAATCCAAATTAACCGCCACCTCATGCGGCGCCTAGCAGTGAGTAGGGCCTCGGGCTCAAGAAACAACAGGGGTTGTCAATTTCCCAAGCGAAAAACACTGAATGATCAGGGATGTGAAAAGGCCAGTTTTTCTTATATGCTGGCACCCATCCCTGCAAGCTCTCCAAACTGTTGAAGACGATGTCATGGTGCGATGGTCGACCAAAAGAATGCCTTCCAGGCCCTTGCAAGCGATAATCGCGGTACAATTATCACTTTGACCTCGGTGTCCTTTCTGATTGTGGCCATCATCTTTGTGCTCGCTAAGCTCGGTTCGGTGATTTATTTCAAACAACGACGGACAGCGGTCAATACTCCCATCTGGGTGGCTTTGATTCTTGCAATTGTTCAAGTCGTTGTATTACAGAAGGCGGTTTACCATGGACTGGGAAGGCACCAGTACCGGCTGAGCGAAGGCGATGTCCAAGCCTGGAGCAAGTTCGCCTTCGCTGCTCACATTCTGCTCATCGTTGTCTTGGCGCTTTCAAAAATGTCGACCATTCTGCTGGTTTGGAAGTTAACGCCGAGCAAGAGCCTGCGTCGCAGCTGTGCGATCACCGCTGGTATAGTTCTCGCATGGTCGATATTCGCCGTGCTGAGTATAGCTTTCCAGTGTGGATTGCCCGATCCGTGGCTATACTCTCCCGAGCGATGTGCTGGAGAGGTCAGTATAAACCAGGGTACCGGGCTACAATTGACTGAACATTTCATCTAATCCCGAACAGGGAGCCCTATTCTACCCGATCGCAGTCATCAACATCCTCACAGAGATTATCATTGTTATCCAACCGTTCATGATGATGCGCAATGTCCAGATGGCCTTGAACCAGCGGGTGAAGATCCTGTGCTCCTTCTGTTCGCGTCTAAGGTATCTCAGCAACAAATCCAGGACTTTTCCACTGACTTCAACAACTCACTGACTAACCCGTCACAGTATCGTCGGCCTCGGCATTGCCCATCTCGCCCTCCTACCTTCATTCATCCACTCAACCGACGTCTCCTGTATGTGACACCCTATTCCCCGTCCAACTCCCTTCAACGCCTCATGAGATTGATCTGACAAGTACATAGGGGATATAGTGGACTGGAGCACAGTCGGCCAGGCAATGATGCTAACAACCGTCACAATCGCCTGCGTTCCAACCCTCTACCACATCTTCGCCGGCCTACACTCTGGCCTGACCACAACCCAGATTCCTGAAGGGATCAGGCTCGAGCTCCCGCAGACCAAGGTTAGCGGGTATATCAACCAATCCTCCTCGGGATCAAGCCAGCGCCATTCGCGGTTGCAGTCGAGCGGACGGTCGAGGAAGAATGGACGGTCACTGTTTGATGGGTGGGGAGGTGAGACCGGTGTTATCACTGAGGTTTCGTCGGGTCGGGATCCGAATCAGAATTATGAGGGTGGTAGGCAGTCTAGTTCGAGCGAGGGGACAGAGAGTACGCGACATTTGACGCAAGAACATCAAGGAAAGGGGGCTGTGCTAAGGACGGTAGATGTTACGGTGGAGGTTGAGGAGCACTATCATCAAGATCGGCTTTGAGCGCTACGTATAAAATGGGGCTTTGGTAGCCCGATGGAGCAGATCAATGTCAATCATGGATATAGAGGCCGATCAGACTAAAGATATGTAAAAGTACACTGGTAGAGGGACACCTATATATCGTTATAGTATAATCTATAGTCATTCATTAAGGGAGGCGTATGTAAGACCCTACAAGTAGAGCTCAAGACTTGATGGATTCGAGCAATAGAAGGGAGAACGCAGTAATCTGGTTCATTGCTAAACTAATCGCTGGAGTCGAAGACTCCAGCTCTGGAACCGACTGAATACTACTGTAGTGCATGTGACATTCATGTGCCCTTAGACTCCCGCAGAAGTACAAGCATGTCCCGGAAAATCACCTAATTGGGTAATTCGCCTAGGGAGGGTCCCTTGAGCGGGGTAGACTGCTGATTTAGGCAATTTACATGTGATACCGCAAGGTGCGCTTGAATCGTGGCTTTAAACCCTGGGAGTATTTGTCACTACTTCTGAGAGCAAGCAATAGCACTAATCTACACCTGACTAAAGATTTTTCGATCAATAAGGCGAGCCAAACGCCACCTAAGGACATTAGCGGCCTAAGGCCACCACAACATACCCGTTCAGAGCCAGCAAGCGGAGACAATTCCACATCCCTCCCTCATGGGTATATTGCCCTCCTATCCTTCGGAACGGAAGCTTGTTTTACAATAGAAACATCGCCAATAAGCTCAATTCGGGACCTCTGAGCGCTCAATCCAGCCCTCAGCGCTGGGGAAGTGCGTGCCCATATTATCATTCTCATTGGTTTTCGCTAGTTTTATCAATTTCATCACCATTGTGCACCTGCATCCCCATATCGTTGAGGGCCTTAGCCATCATGTAGGTCCGGAGAAGCTTGAATTTGTTAAAAACCAGTGGCTTATTCAGGGCATGGCGACGTTATCTCAGAGACGGAACCAGCGATTGAGTCCTCATTGAAAACGTCTAACTTGACATGAAACGGTTCTATTCTAGAAAAATGCTTGTTCAGGTCCGAAGAGACTCATGAAGCACCTTCAAATTTGAGATTCACGACGGCAAGTCTTCTTACACCGTGCTTGGCGAAAGAGAGCGCAGTTGCCTTTGCAATTCCTATGTCTTGATCCAGCGGGCTAGATAGAGGTATTGGGCGGCCAGGTCCTGCGCATCACAGAACATTATTTCTCGTATTTGGAACCACTTTTCACATCATCCAGGTCAAAGTTCCACGCCTTTGCCATCCGACTATCTGGCCAATATGGGGAATGACATTCCCATTCCAGGGTAATCTGGTCGGCCTTCTGCTGAAGATAGAAGGTAAAGTTATAAACGCTTTCCACTTCAATCTTCATGTTCTTCAAACGAGGCATGCGTTGGGCCGCATAGCCGAGAGATATGAGAAGTCGATGGAAATGTTCTTCAGTCCGTAACTCCGGCCCACCCCATCCCGCTTCCACATCGCATATCATGTCTTCCCAATTTTCAATCTCGTCGATTTCGGTCTGGTCTTCCGGCGTGTTATGATAAGTTGGTTATCCTTTTTGATTCGTTTGTTATTGAACACCTTGGATATACTCCACAATTTTCTTTCTTTGTTGCTTTCTTGTTCTAGGAGAGACCGATCTCTTACCTGAAGGAAGCCAAGGTGGTACAGACTCAAGCTCTAATATCTCTAAGCAGGGCCAGTTCAAGTGCAAGGAACCTGGTTCAGGCTGGCCTTGTTTACCTAAAGGACATAAAAAGTCATATGCGATAGTAATGTTCACCAACTTCAATTGCTGAAGGTTAACACTGAGATCTCGTAAATCAGAGATCACACTATCAACCCCAGAAGAGATAACATGGAGTGGGGACATAGCCGGTTTTCACGGGGCATCCTTATGTTCTTAAAAGAGTAACACTCTTAGGCTTTTTGGAATAGAACTGATCAGAGAAGATAACGCTATATAGCAATTAGTAAAAAAAATGCCAAGGGTTAATGAAAGCTTATATAAAAAAAGGTATATAGCTCACCTTCGCGACGTGCCTATATGTATTCTAAGTGGTCTGGGCGGACGAATTCCTTGAGATCTAGCTCTTAACTTAACAATTTTCGTATAACGTGTTACGAGCCAAGTCTTGATGAGAAAGATTGCCTTCAACTAAATTACTAAACATAGGGAAAGAAAGAAAAAAGAAGAAGAAAGAAACAACGTGCTGAAACATTAAGGCAGTGATGCCTGAGGTATCGAATCAAATAACGCAAACCACGCAGGATTATTGATCCTGAATTCTTCGTGACAGATAGTATTTATAGTCCCATCATATGAAAGAAGCCTTTGCATTCGCATAACAGTGAAGGGAAATCTAACTAAATAGGGAAAACCATAATTAAGACATATCAAACCCCCTATCGAATCCAAAACGCCACGACAAATTCCTAAGCCATCTCTCCAGTAAACGGGTCAGGAGCTTACTTATCTTTTTTCAACTAGGTCTTTACCTTGAATATCGGCTTGCGAAGGTCCTGCTAGCGCAAAAGCGGTATAGATGACCATAGAGAGAATAGCCAAGAACTTCATATTGACATGCGTCTTTCGAGATTGGCTCGGAAACCAGATTTTGGAAAAGATTGTTGAAGACTTTAGATAATGGAATTTAGCGGAAGCAGAGGACTCTTATATATATATTAAGATGATCACCCTAGTCAATCGAAAAGCCCAGCTGAATAAAGTTGTAGATCGATACTTTCTCTTGATTTTGTTTGATGAGCACTCTCATATTTATGCGGTATTTCAGCTACGCCACAAAAATGGTAGTTAGCATATCGTATGTGTAGTGGGTGCTAAGCCGACTTTGGTAGATGGCTGCAGCTATTTCGTATTAGCTAGGTTTCTATAAGACCTATCTAGCATATAGTATTATACAGCGGAATCTAACTAGCTACAATAACAAGATCGCCATACTTAATTCAAGATTTTGCAGAATGGCTATTAGGTTATGCCACCACAGGGTAGGTGCTAAAGCGGGTACTTAGGCGAACGTGTTGATCATTCAGCTAGCCACATGGTCATACATCAATAGATCGAAGCAAGGTGTTATAAGATTGTTGACCGCAACTCAGGGGGTGCATCCAGTTATGTCACTATACTTGCACCGCGACGAGACAAGATAGAAACCGTGATATGCGACTGCTGGGATAAGATAATGCAGTGTGATATATCTTGCTCTGTAATACTGTGGAGATATATGATTAGAAAGCGTTGACCATATCTTTAAAGGCTGTCCCATATTCGGAGATTGGCGTATTGTATGTTAATAACATCCTGGAGATGAATGGATGCTCTTAGGTGAAGAGTTTTGTGTTACAAACTCCCCCTCTCGCGGTGCAAAGGACAACCTTGGAAGCCATATTCAGGTAACGGGGATATTTTCAAGTCTCAACATCAACGGTAGCATAAGGGCGGAGCTGCCCAAGCAGAGAACTATTTCGGTCAGTTCTTTATCCGTGTTTTCTGGGTATAAAATGAATTATCTCACATGTGACCACTGGGAAGCTTTCAAGAAAGCTGGTTCGAATATACATTTGAACCTTCGTGGGGAGCGAGGTACCGAAGCGATTATTCTGGAGTACCTTTTCAATGATCTTGACGTTATTAGCACAAGTTTGGATTATTTGACGTTATGGATGTGAACTAACTTGCTGCGCTGTTGTCGAATCTCCAAGATGATAAAAAAGCCGGTTTTTGAAGGCGATTCGGGCGAAGCCCGTCGTGCAAGCTGTCCCGAGGACTGTTCCAATCTGTTGACAAAGATGGTAGCTTGTGACGATGCTCGCAGAGGGCTCTCGCAACCTCACCGAGAGTGCGACAAATTGTGTCGAGTAAAGAGCTGAGATCCCCATTGCGGATAAGAGAATATAAATTACTTCCCAGTTGTGCACATCAGTACGCCAACGTGCTGCAATCAGGGAACAGCTGAAAACTAATCCAGATAGCGCACAATTGGTCAGTTTGTTGCAATTTTTGTACCTGGAGACCGAACGGAGGGAGAATTAGCGAGTGGGCATTGAGATTTGATTGGTCTGACAAACCACTTTAGCAAATACCCAAAGCTGAGGGCTCCAATCATAGCTCCCAGCGCGCGGAGAGCTGATAAGAGTCCCACAATACTGTTCTGCGCGTTTTGAGTACGAATGACAAAGTCTGCAAAGTTTGAGACGAGCTGTGTATGTGTTTCGTTAGTTCTGAGGATATTTGGAAGCAAGACAATGGGGGCTTTCTCACTCCATATTGACAAAATACAAGACAGATTTGCCCGAGGCAAATCAAGCCGGTTCCATTATTGACCATCAACCGTAAGGGAACGACCGGATGCTTCTTGGTGTATAGTTCAACTAGAATGAAAATAACAGCGGAGAGCACACAGACAACCGACAGTGCAATGATGAGGGGTATGTCTTCAGTCCGCATTTCTCCAACCAAATGGAGGGCAACCATTGAGCAACCAAGGGCAACAAAAAGCAGGATGTAGCCACAAAAGTCAAAGCTCATGGCTGAATGGTCATCTTTGGATCTTCTTGGGGAATCAGAAGGCAGCTTTTTGGCCGTAACAGCAGCACAAACGAGCGCCGCAGGGACAAGACAGAGAAAGGACCTAGGAATTCAGTGTCAGTCATGTCAAACGTTTTCTTTTGGGGTTTAAAATGTAGATACCATCTCCATCCAACAGTGTCTGTGAGAACTCCGCCAAGGGGAGGACCACAGCTGACCCCCAGGGTGATTCCAAGAGACAGATAGCCACGCAGGGGTCCAACCTCTGATGGCAAGGTCATTTTACAGAGTATAATCGAGACCAAGTCCATCATCCCCGCCCCTCCAGTTCCAGTGACAAATCTTCCCACTATAGCCATTGGCATAGATGTCGCACATCCACTGCCTATTTTCAGCTCCAAGTTCATTATGTTTTCATCCCATATCACGAACTTGAACTCACGTCATAATACAGCCGACGCTGAAAGCGCCATACGCAAGTAGTAGTAATTTCTTACATCCGTATTTATCAGTGAGATTCCCGTACTTTGTTTCCGTCAGACTGATTGAGTGAAGTAATTTAAGAGCTCACAGTAACTAACCAAAGGTAGCATCATGCTATATCCCATGCCATATGCTGTTAACAGCCAAGGTCCCATCCACAGATTGTTGAAAAAGGAAGCGATTTCTCCGTGGGTTGCCGTGACAAAGGATTCGCAGGCCATAGACAGAAACACGCCGAATATTATCACAATCAGGATAACCGTTCCTACCCTTGAATCCCTGATATGGCTATCTCCGGAGACATTTGTTTCATCTTGCCCTGGAAGCAGGGGCTCCTGTTCAGGGCCCGGCGCCATTTTCAACAGTCGAATGAAGAGGACACAAGGTGACAATAATCTGAATAGGAGCTCCTTCTTTCAGTAAGAGTACTTCTTAGCTACCTTTCCTACCACTTTCGACGGCAAAGAGTGATAGCAGGAAGGTGGAGCTATCTGCGAAGAGGTAGAATGCTGCGTCCACAACCTTGAAAATTATGGGGACGCATGAGTAACATGGGCGACAGGTTAAAAAGTCATCCCTGCATTTGGGAAAATCGGCGACTCCTTACCTTATGCAAATGGGGCTTGAAAATAAAATTTATTCGTCGCTTTCGGCCGACCCACTCTTTTTAGAGTGGCGGGGGTTGCCGGTGATAGGATGATGGGACGGCCCGGAAGCGAGCTGAGCGCTGTCCCTATTTCTTGTAGTTCCTTATGTTTCAAAGTTACTGTAGTATGAACTATTTTCCTATTGCATTCTCTCCCCAGGAATATACACAGATGATTCAAGTACACACGCGCGTCGTCGGAAAACTATGCGAAGCAGGAGCAGCATTCCTTACTCCTTTGTTTGGACATCATAATAGCATTACGTTGTATTCAGTAAATTTGCATGAGATTGATCGACACTGGCAACCATCATTGAATAATGGAATAAATGAATGATACCCAAGTTTGTATCCTCAAATGCTAGCTAATATGTACCGATAAGGTACTTGTGTTTTTCTTCATCTGTCATTTTTTGAAACATCTCCAATTCTCCCCGCTTGAAAGGAACGTAAAAATTCACGATTGCATCTCCAACAAGATCACAGAGGGTGCGGTCGGCTTCAAGGGCACCAAGGCTTTCAGAAAGCGACTTAGGCAGCATGACTTTGATTCCAAGTTCTTCTCTTTCCGAGTGCGACAGTTTCGCGGCGGAAAAAGATGATTTTGCTGTAAGATGAAGATTCTTCCTCATCCCATCTATTCCGGCTGCCAAGATTCCACAGAGCGCGAGATATGGGTTTGCCAAAGCGTCCAGCGACTTTATTTCAAATCGATTGATCGCGACACGGCGCAAAGGTGCATCTTTGTTTTCCCAGCCCCAGCAGACGTATTCTCCACCACTCATCACCCCGCTCGCAACACGACTGTAGCTTGCCTCTTGAGAGAAGCTAAAGGCCATTACCGCAGGCAAGTGCTCTAAAATGCCGGCAAAGAAAGCTTCGCTGTCTTTCACATCTCGACCAAAAACTGCATTCATCGACAAGTGGACATGCATCCCATTACCGGGATGCTGGCAGGATGGCCTAGGACACATGGTTGCCTTTAGATCGTATTGTTCAGCCACCTCATAAATGATACTGCGTGCTTTGAGAAGCATATCAACTGCATCAACAGGGGCTCCGGGTGGTAAGACAAATTCCCATTGGCCGGGAGCATGTTCTGAGTGGAATTTGTCTATCGCAATTCCTGCTTTTAACATTGCTCGGGCTGTAGCCTCGATCATCGGCAGTTGATTCCAGTCATCGTTCGTCATACTGTAAAGTGAATGGGGCTCATCCATGATTTCATAGTTCACCAATTTGCCATTCTGTCGTATTCGCCGCATATACATGACTTCCACCTCAAACCCAACAAGAGGGTAAAAACTAGTCTCTTCCTTCACTAGATCTGATAAAATTCCTAAGTGTGAGCGTGGGCACTCTTCCATTGGGCGTCCATTTTCGTCAAAAGAGGATGCGTTTATTACCGCACGGTGGGCATTGGGAGCGACGTGGCAGTAAGCAGTCGACACATCAGGTCGAAGGTAGCAAACTCCGCCAGGTTTACTGCCCGCTGGTCTATGAGCAAATGGCAGGAGAAATAGAGCGGTCCTGGTTAGTGCGACTGGCTGATCTTCATAGACCAATTTTGTAAAACCTGCGACAGGCAGGACTTGGACGAGAAAGGTTGCTCTGAAAGAGTGGTACTGGACCCAGACAAACTCTATTTGCGGGTTTTCCTCAAGGAATTTGTCCCAAAGTGCGGCTTGTTTGATGAGATGCATCGTGGACTTCAGGCTGACCGAAGTTCCACAGCAAGAAAGACCTGTGTGTGAGAGAGAGGAAGAGAGGCTTACCTAGATCTGCATAAGTATACCCAGAGCAGCTGGTCACCTGATAAGCCTAAAGTCCGTGGACACGTAGTGTGTAACCTGAAGTATAGTGCAGTACAACATTAGTATCCGCAGATCCACCTGTGCATGGATGTATCATATACCCAGGGCCATCTCAAGCTGCTCCTTGAATTAATCATTTTGTGGCTAGCTGATATGTATCAACAAGTCCATAAAAACAGCCCCTTACTTGAGAAATTTTAGTAGATCTTTCCACACTTCTGCAGATATTTAAACCAATTAAGTTTTACTCATACTTTTATTTCCAAGCTCTCCCACCGCTGTCTGTAAGTACGGCACCTCGTAGGTAGACCTGAATTTGACCAGCGGGTCATCCTCCCGACCCTCGGACCTCTTGACTATCACGGTAGCTGAAGCTATACTTCCGCAGAACCCTGCTTTCATCTGGTGAATCCTATGAAATGTACCTAATTTGTGAAGCAACAATCACCCTTCCATCCCCTAAATCCTGGGACGACCGAATGAGTTTTCCTTGGGAGCTTTATAAGCGTCTGCGAAAAAACAATCCTGCCAGATTCAGCGCCTATGCGCGGCTAGGGAACGTCAAGATCGCGAGCAGTAGTCCTGAATGTTTCCTAAACTGGGATCGTGAAAGCATTTTAGAGATGAAGCCAATGAAAGGCACTGTCCCGGAGTCTCCCGAAATGACACTCAAAAAGGCAAAAGAGATTCTTCGAACGACAAAGGAGATGGCGGAGAATCTGATGATAGCCGATATGGTTCGCCATGATCTTTACGGCGTCTGTGGCCCTGGTCAAGTTCACGTGGAAAAGCTTCTGAAAGTGGAAGACCATGCCAAGTTTTATCAGATGATCACCCCTGTGAAAGGAAAAATCGATCAGAAACAGTCTGGTTTTGCACCGCTTCCCCAGTTACCCTCTTCCCATATGTCAGGATGAGGACTCATAGCACTGCAGCATTGCCTGCCACCAGGTTCAATGACTGGGGCTCCTAAAGAGCGCTCTTGTATGCACCTTTCTTCGATAGAAACCGAAAACGTGGGATTTACTCTGGAGTCATGGGATTTCTAGACTTGGGAGGTGGTGGCAGTTTCTCCGTTCTCATCCGCACTGCATTCAGCTACTCGGACGATCAGGAAGAATCTCAAAAATGGCGAATAGGCGCAGGTGGTGCCGTGACTGTTCTGAGTAGTACTCAAGGCGAATGGCAGGAGATGTTTGCGAAGCTGAGTACCGTGAGTGCTATTTTCAAGCCAAGACCCGTGTCATAAGTGATGGACATACAAGTTTGCTAGACTCAGGGGGGACATGCAACTTGAGGAAATGGGGTAGATTTTCCCTCTCTACTAGATCGATCACTTCTCTTCCATCTTAGATAAAATGCAAAGTCTCTCTGATATTGTCTTCAAGTTTACTCCACAGGATTCTGACAAAGAGAATCGACGGATACTTGAAGTTTAGAAAATCACTCCATCAACGGAGTTCTGTTTGAACTATGGAATCCAATAGTGTGCCTCGTCTGTGCCTTCATTCACCATGTCGTGGAACATGCCGTTGATGAATGGGTCATCCTTGAACTTTTCACTGCTCAACTAAGGAAAAGAGTATGGTTAGATTCGGCGTCCGATTCTTGAATGGGAAATGATATGGCATAATATTGGTCATGGCTTTGTTGGTGAATGGAATTTTCACACCGGCTATGCTGGCACCGTCGGATCCTTTGGCTCTCGGAATATGATGATGCTCCGGAAGGCCATCGTGAAAAGCAGTGACCACTTAGTCTCCGAGGTTTATCATGTCTCCGGTGATGCCCAGAAGACCTGATCCTGACTCTTGCTTGTTACAAGTTTCCTCCTTCTTACGTGCGTTGACCTTGTGGATAGCGGCGAAATCTGGTAAGGTTTTGTTGGATGAAGCAATGACTTCATCCGCGAGCTTCTGCAGTCCAGGTTGGAAAGGAGCAGGATTGTTGATGGTGAATAAGATAAGATTCTCATATCTTTGGACAAGCCAGGCCTAAATCAAGGTCAGCACCAAAGTTTATCCTTGTTTCCAGGTCCTAAATCCGATGAGACGTCTCCATGTATGTTGTCCAGATCAAATTCGGAGAAGGATCCAATTTGTGCTGGTAGTGATCTCTTGAATATAACTCCAGGTTGAGGTATAAGAAAGAAGGTAATTTGAGTCTCCATGCAGGCAAATTTTAGAGTTTGATTTACTGTGGGGCTGGCTACATCTGCAACCAGCCCCATCTCACAACTAACGAAGTCTGGTACATTAGCAAATTAATTGAAAGCGATGTGACTGCAGAGTATTCTTTGCACTCATGCTATCCAGGGTTTGATTCCCAGTCCCTCTCTAGCGCATTCCCACTCTGTTGCCGATGTTGCAAGTTAATCCAAGATAATGCCACCGTTTTTTTTTTTTTTTTTGCGAGGAGCAGTTTATCGTAGAAAGATCGATAGTGTGGATGAAATGCCCCCCAAAAAGAGGTAGTTGTGGAGAGAAAATATTCTCCGGCCGAACACAGCTATTAGGATTACTGAAGATTTTAGTAGCCACCAGTACCATCAAGCCTCCAGTTTCCTGAAGGGAAATGAGCTAAACACCAATTTAAGAATGCTCATTGGCGATAATTCACGGTTTTTTGTATCCTGGTGGCTTGCCCTAAGGCCTGGATCGTGACATGGAATCCGGACATGGCATTCAAGTCCACCTCTGCCTTAGAACTTCCATTTCCGGGACAACCCCAGTAATCACGTATGAATGACCATCGTTACTGTAGCAGGTCGTATAAAGTTATATTCGAGTGACTGATAGCCTATTTTAGCTTTTGAAACTAGTATCCTAGCAGGCCTAACAATAACCCGATGACTTTGACCCACTACATTCTAAGGGTTCCACTTCCGGATTGGCATTGCACCAGTCCTTCGCTCCGGGCCGCGCACCTTAAAAAATTGGGTGGAGCAGATTCCTTGCCCAGATCAATACACTACTAGATATAGTGATTGAGTTACCCGCGCCCGATGTGTTTCTGCACGCTCTTTCCGGGCGTATGATACCTGAGGCAAGCATTTCTTCTTTGTGTTACGTGCTTCTACAGTTTTTAACAAACATAGAGATGCTATTCCCTGGTACATTCTGGGTATTGCATCTACGCTGAATATCTATTTCTCATATTGACATTCCCAGTTCAACGATGAAAGACGTCAGCTACGTCCCTTGCATACCTCGCTATGCTCGGGTAGTAGCCTGCCAATGCGTGGCGTATTGACATGAGAGACTTATCGAGCTTCACGTCTTTAGAATGGTTCGTTCAAAAACATAAATTACTCCCCTCCCCATAATCACGACCACATTATTCTTTCCTCGAGCGCTGTTCGCTTAGGCTGATCTCTGTCTGCTGTGACAACATACAACACACTTGCATCTCAAGATGAGACTTGATTGGCGTGCGGCGATATTTCTCCTTGGGACCACAAGGGCCCGAGAGACATCCGAGCTTGAGAGGATTTACAGAGAGGGGAAAACACCAGACACTAGGAACATTGATGGAACCGAAGTTCCCTCACTCTCACAGCCGCTTGCAAAGGGCCGTGAGGTTCCCCGCACTCTAGACCTCGCATGACCCCACAGTTATATATAAACAGCTCAGGGGCTGGAGTCTTGGACTCCAGCGATTAGTTCAGCATTGAACCATACTACTGCTTTCCTCCATTCTATCTCCCGAATCCACTCAAATCCCACTTTTAAAATTTTAGAGAGAAAGTTTACGTTGCCGCTCTTCTTTGCGCTCATCGTCACTATAGATAGCTAGGTTAGAGTAGATGAGGGGCTTAAAAGCCGCCTACTATAAGCGACAAACAGAAGTGCACGGAACTAGAGAAGTTGTATCATTTTGCAGAAGGGTCGCGATCTGGAATAACAGTTCCGGTGGTAGTGTTGCCGTCATTAGGCTGGCCAGGTATTTCGACAGAACATAAACCTGCGGAGCCAATTGGATCCTCTGGGAGATACAGATAGGGAGCAAGAATCAGAGACGACTGCATGAGTTGCGATATTTGTAGAAACGCAGACAGCGAGAGAGAAGAGAAAAGGAGGAAGAGATGAAGAGAGGCTGAGGCCAGATTAAGTATCTGATCACGTCCCTGAGGTCACCTGAGCCCCTACAGAACCAGGCCACCGGGATATGATGGACTGAATTTTTGTTGGGATCAGGCGGAGAAAAGAAGAGCTTGGCCTCAGAGCCCCACATTATGCTCCACGTACTCATATTGAAACTCTTCCAGGGAATGGACTGCTCTGCTCTCGAATTTGTTAAATGCATGGTCCACCCACATCTTCGCATCTTCCAACTCACTGCAGGTGACATACCAACTTTCAATGGCTTCACCGGCCCCATCCGGGATGGCGACACAAAGGCCGTGGGTTTCTCGTTTCCCCCTTGAAAAGATTTCATTGATTGTGTCCTTCTTGCCGAACAACAAACCCGCCTCCCAAAAACCCATGCTCTTTATCCACTGCCGGCTTTAGCGTACTATTCGCCGAACAGGTGATGATGTAGTAAACCTTGAAAACCTCTTGTTGAAAAATATGCTTCAATCACGCATCAGGCCATGTCCGAAATCCCTGCAATTTCCGAAAATAACCTTATTTTCAAGGTTGATATGCAAGAGAATTTATGAATCAAATCTACTTTCGCTTTCAAGGCAAGAGAACACTGCCTATTTAGTGGGTCGCCAAAGGAGAGCAAACTATTCTACGAACATGAGAAAGCCAAATTTCTGGTTTATTCACATTTGTTTGCAGACATCTACGAAGGTGTATAGACGCCAAAGGTCAAATGCTTTTTTATATAGTTTTAATGCCTCAAGATGCCTGAATATGCCTCAGGATGCCTCATTCTAGACCGCTTTTCGATACCGCTCTGTACAGTGTATTGTAAATGAAGCTATTCCCATCTCTAGCTATCTCCAGCCATCGCCCCTCGCAATCCCATCACCACCCGCACCCGTAATCACAAAAATACCAGTGCGCAAGCGAGGTCGCTCGCCGACACAGGAGGCAATTACTCCGCCACGTCGGAGCCAGCGGAGGAGGATTCGGAGGTGAATAATTGCGTGGTGGGAATAGCCTCAGCGCCAGGTCTGGGGAGTGCATGATATGTTATATGGTGCGAATAGCTTCAGATTCATTGAAATGCGACACTATAAAACCTACAACAATGCTGCCCTCTCATTGTTTGAGCCAGAATAGAGTAAACATCGAGAGTGGTTTGGGAATGGTCTCAACGCCAGGTTTTGATGGTCCATGTAATCTTGTATGGTGGGAATAGCTTTATTGAATTTAAACACTCAGGCAATTTAGATACTTTGCTTAATAAGGCGCGTATCATAGTAATTCATGTATCCCAATTTTCTGCCAGTTTTAAATAGAGCACTAATAGGCATTTTCAGGCATCAAAATTGCACAAAAAAAAAACGCATTTGACCTTTGGCGTCTATACACCTTCTTACCTAAATGTTGTTTTGTGCGACTCAAGCTCCATAATAGCAAAATCTACCTCCGACCGTGCCAGTGGCCATTTATAGCTCGAAGGCCCTATTTGCTCGTCTGTTTCTGCGTCGTTTCCGGATTGATTCTTTCTTTCAAATTTGTAAGTGCTAAGGAGCATTTGGCAATATTGTCGACTAGGTCTTGCGTAGCAGTAAGTTTGTTGCCATCAGATCCACGGATCAGCTCATCGAGAGAGTGAAGGACTTGTGAAAGGGCGGCGACCTTCTCTTGGAAACGCTGGATATCCTGCTTCGCGCTCTTGACGTTATTAAGATATTTTCCACATATTTGTAAGATAACTCCGGTTAACTTGATAACTGCGATAACACTTGCTGCACGCGAAAGTGGATCCATTTTTAACAAGCCTTCCACGGTATTAATGATATCAAAAGTAAAAGTAAGATGTCGCGAAGGATGATAGACAAAATTGGAGCTTACGCCCCTCAAAGAGGGGTAGGCATCGAAGTGAGGCTAAGAGCAAAAGTGGACCCTGATTGGCGCTTGTCCGATCGGTTAAGCCACGCAACTACCACAAGGGGTCGTTCGTTTCTGTCCAAGTGGAAACTCTTGCAACTATTGGCTGCACCCAGTACAACTGGGTTCGAAATGGCATCAATAGAATGTTACGAATCAGGGACATTTGGGAGAGTGAGAAGATCGGTCGGGGGGCCTGTGAGTGTGTATTGGGGATTGATGATTTGCAGAGACCTGCTATCAGCTTCCACAGAAAGAGTGACGAAGAGTATACAGTGCCGACCGTTATTGCCTTCCATATCTGGAAACACAGATATACTCTTTCAAACCCTAATCACATGATATGCTAACCCAACATGGGTTTAGCGTAAATTACAAGATTTTTTTATAAGAAATAACTAAAGGCCTGTATATCACACGTTCAAACTACGACCCTAATCCAGCACGGGTATAGAGCGCTTGGACAAGGTACCCAGGCTGGGGGACAAACGAATATAAACAACGTGGACATAACGCGTCGCGTGCATTGCCAATGAAGTCCGAAATCAACGAGATCCCTTGACAAAGTGGGCACGTCGCCTCAAGTTCGAGAAGACTCGGATATTCAGTCGTGTAAGTGCGGAGTTTCTCTTCCACTTTTGCGTCGTAGGCTGCGCGCTCGCTTGGAGTTAGGTCGCTTTCGTGCCAAAAAACATCATAAAAGCGCACAGATGCCAACCTGTCCCGCTCGTCCATCTCGAGTACTGCGGGACTCTGTACTCGAAAACCCCCATTTATGCCCCAGTCGCTGCCCCATGAATTTAGGAATGATAAGGAGTGTGGTTCACAGGCGTATAAGACGACAGCGTGTCCACCATCATCGCGACCATTGCGGTGCGGTCGCATGTCGGCCTTGGTAAGAATTGATCTATGGGTCTGTGGTTGACTAAAATGTTGGGAGAATTTCGCCCAACCTCCCTTTGTGAGGCGAAATGAGGTGAGCACTGGGCGCCGATGCAGTACTGCCTGTCGAGCCCCCATCTCGTCCACTACCTCGTACCGAAGGCGATACCACCGGGCTGCTTGGCTTAGTACCTCTTCGATAGCACGTCCGTGATCATCAGGGGGGAATACACGGAGGATTTTTTCTCGAATTATTTCAATAGTCGGACAGGGGTCCTTGCGCTCTATGCGCAACAGCGCCATGTGTATTACCGCAGCGGTCGCATGTGCATAGCAGGTTGCAGAGCTGCCCTGGTCTGATGGGTTATTGCAAGTAATAACATGGCTATCATTGATATACTCGTCAAGCCGTAGTCGGCCAATGATGTCTAGCAGCGCGTCCGTAGACCCGAGATGCGCCGATACCAGCAGCGAGCAAAATTCCTCAACTGCGGTCTCAGTACAAACGGAGACATACAAGGCAACCTCTCCAGAGCACGGAGCCTGCCAGCCCACCGACATTAGCACTGGGATGGGGTGCTTGCTGGCAGACACTTTGGACGCTATGTTGAAAAGTGTACACTGACCCTTTCCCTGAAGGTCGCCTGGATTATCGTATAGGCGTCGTTGAGGAATATCCTGGTCGCTCGCAAGGTACACACCCGCCACAACGACGCCCTCAGAATGCAGATTAGAAGCGATTTGGCTAGGATCACCATCAGTCCCGTGGCCGTCTGACATTAGCACGAGAATTCGCTGGCTAAAGTTGCGATGTGCGCAGAAAGCGGACAAAGAACGGCTCAAGGCGTCACACATTGGTGTGTCGCCGTACATAAATTCCTTTACCGTTTCAAATAAACACCTACTTGCTCCTGTAGAACGCCGCTGAAGGTCTTGTAGCAGTTGTACCACGTCACTCACTGGGCGAGGTCTGAAGTCGACGAAGTCTTGAAACCACTCTCTGCAAATGCGACGAGCTAGCCGAAGACCCTCTGAGGAGTCTACCGCCTGATCCTCGCATTCATCGACGACAATCTTTGCCGCAGCTCCTCCAGCAGCTGCTCCCAAAACTCCGCCCCCAGTTACCGCAAGTCCCGCAAAAAGACCAAGTGGCCCTATCAAAGGAGTAAGCAGCAAAGGAGTAGCAAGGGCCAACGCAGTGCCCATCAGGGCGCCTCCACCAAGTGTTGCTCTATTCTTCGTCCCCCGCAAGTTCCGGGCTTCATCTGCACTTGGTAATGCGTCAATGAATTCAGAAATCCGCTCCGGACGTTGACGAAGGCACCTGTGGACAATGCGCGCTTCAATATCTGTAAGCTTGCTCCGGATGTACTCCGTTATATGAGCTAGGTTGCGCTCATTTGCGATCTCGATGAGCAGCTCATGGCCGCTGCGATGATCTCGATCGTCGTCTCTAGAGAGAGCTTCAGCAATGCCGCAGAGGTCTACAGTTGGAGGATATCCAGCCTGGCGATTAAGTCCAAACGCTCCCACAAACATTTCGGCCTTGGCGTCATGCTGTTGCTCCCTTCGCGCAATGTTCAGCGCCGCACCGAGCACGACATGGAAGCGATCAATCGCTCTCCCATCTGAACGGCCTGTGTCAAACACCTCCCGCATCGACCCCGACACATCGAGAAGACACCCGACCAGTGTGGATGATTCTTGGTTCGCCATGGGATAATAGCTAGCTAATTTGAGTTTGAGTTTGTGGTACGTGTTCTGATGTTGAGATGGCTATTGATGAAATGGAACGGCTTTTAACGAATTGTATCAGTTAACTTTCGCAATGAAAAGGCATCTGCAGGTCTTAAAATGCGGGAATTGCGGGGTATAGATGGCGCAAGCGCTTAGGAAGATCAAGTTGAAACGGGTGTCCTGCCCCGTGGGTTTGAAAATAGAACGGCACGGCATACAGGAAAACCCAATTAGGGTCCACAAATAGCTGCCCGCAGGGCTCGAAATGTTTTGCATTAACGATCTGTCGTTTGCGCTACAGTCATTCTCGAAATCGCCTTGACCAGTACACACTGAGGGTGTGAACGAATGACGTCATGGTGAGTGGGGTGATTATTTTTGGATATGTAAGAATACATAGTGTCGGTGAATTGCCAGCAAGTAACGTGGATCCTGGTCGTTCCGGCACCCCATCAAAACTTCATATTTTCTACACTTTTTAAACTCCAATTAAACAACCAAAACACCATTAAAATGACAATTTAGACCTTTTCGGGCATGTAGTATACCTATGCCCTTTCCCTCTGCATAATGAACATGTAGTTTGCTGGCGTACAGGGGCCAAAACAGGAAGTGTAGGTTCAACCTGGGGTTCTGGAGCAGGTGTAGGGTTAGATATATACCTCACACTAACACTTTCCTCACCACCCACATTGGTAGTAGGGTCCGGAAGCTCTGTTAAACTACCCATGTTATGTATCTGCTTCTTTGATTTCTCCCTTTTTTTCATCTGTTTTCTATTCCCCTCCCGTAAACGCTTAATCTCATCCCGCATTAAGATGTGCTCGTGAACTAGCTTAACCGACATATTTATTGTAAAACCGTTGAAGATCACGTTTTGTAGGCGAAGAGATCTTATCAGCAGCTGAGCTTAGACCAGAATTGAGCCTAGATTTGCCTTTTTCTAGCTGCTTAGTCGTCTGGAGGGATACCGGTAGAGATATTACTGCCTGATGTTGAACCTTGTGAAACTGGTCGATCTGGTAGAGGCGGAGATTGAAGGCGAATATTGAGTTTTGATAGTACCCGATCAGGATCTAATGGCACTAAACCAGTAGCTGCGAAGGCACTTTGAACGATAGACACTTTGAATGAATCGTTACGAGCCGCTGGAAAGATATTAAGGAAGTCATCTTTCTCGATAGAATCGATGCCTAATCGGGTATATTCTGCAACCCGCCTTCCGTAAGAGCGCTTTAACACAGCTATCGGTTTCAGAACTGATAGATCACCGTCATTTCCTGAAATACGCCCGGAGGCTATCTATCATCTGTATCAACGATCATAGGCTTTCAAACACAGAAGAACAAGAGCTCCGTTGGAGTTTGGAAGGCTGCAAGTTAGGTCACTGTCGCAACTATCGACAGGCCAGGGCCAGGGCCACAAGAGACAATTTCTTAGAGTCTCATTTAACGGAACCAAATTTGTTCCACGTTCAGGGAACATCCATCCTCCGCGGAACTAGCTCTTATCGCGAAAGAGACTGGGCACCACTAGCTACCCTCATTGCTCGTCTTTCCCATCTAGAAACCCTAGATTTTGACGTGAAGAATGACTTCCCTGCCCCTTTGCTGGAAGCCATTTCGCAACACCATCCACATTGTCGAATCAATATTTGGTATCTCCAGCACGTGGCTTACGGTGTGCCAACTTTTAATAAAGATATCCATCATTGCCAATCAAACTTGGGCATTGATTTTGATGTTCTCCGTCTACCATGCTTCAACGTGCTATCTATCGCCCTTCCTGAAGATAAAAACCCTACATTTGGTCCGGCGTATCTTGACGAGATGCTGCCCTTTCTTTTTCAGGTTCCAACATTGAAACATATTGTCTTATAACCCGCATTTTCAGCCCCTGATATTCCATTGGCAACGTTAAAGCATGAATGGCACGCCCTCGCTAAAAGCGCGCCTCCTATAACATCGGTGTCTATGTTAGAATCGATTTCAACGAGAGAATCCGGGCCAGACGAGAGTGTCTTCCTCAAGCTATCGGATGTCGTGGATCTATCTTGACTTCGGTCACTTGAGATAGGGAATTTCTACAGCCCATTTACACTCTCACGGGTAGCTGTGCGGTTACCTAACCTTGAGCGACTGTTCATCTCCGCGTTTCCGGGAAAATGGGGTCCTGGGGATGTCGGGTACTTGGATCTCAATTCTGACAATGAAGATGCAGTCGCTGCGATTCAAGCTTTCAATGCCCTCAAATACCTACACATCTCCGGTATCCGAGCTGCTTCTTCCCTCAATCAAATCATACAACACCACGGACCAACTTTGAAGAGCCTTGTTATTGAAGCGTGTAAAAGATTCCGAATGAGGACTGGCAAGGGAGATTATGGCTATAGATATCCAGAAATGGATAGTTGTGGTATACGCCAGCTAGCCCAGTCTTGTCCCCAGTTAGAGGAGCTACGTCTTCCAATCAAAAGATCCTTGGGTAACCAGTCGGAATGCGAAATGTACAAGGCCGTGGGTTATTTTGCAAATCTTCACAGCCTCGTGCTAGATCTTCATTTTGACACCAGACCACTACCACTGGGTCGTCAACGCCATGAAACCGAAATTTCGAGACTTCGAGAGATTATCGCTAATGCAGCCACAGATGAAAATCTTGTCCTTGGTATCTGGAACTTGGTTTCCGCTAACCAGGCTTCTCGGAATTTAAGAAACCTGCGCATCATGCCTTTCGGAGATGATATGTTTTTGGGAGATGAGAATATGGTCCTTGACTGCTTTGCTCGATCATTCTTGGTCACACGTAATGCTCAGGGCGAGCCGAATATGAGCCAGCTTGGAAAAAGGGAAAGAGAGATACGGCACGAGTGGATGTCTTTTAATAGCGACGAAGAATTTCCCGAAAGGCTTGATCGTCTTCTTTGGGAGATTTGGCCATCTGGGCCTAAGGGAAACAGCTGGCTATCACTGGGTGGACAGACCAGCTTTCCTTTGCACCCAGATGGTGCTTCAGTTGAATGAAACTTTCTTTCATCACCGTAAAGTATCTTGTCCTAATTCGTAAGTCTAAGACCCGCTGACCATAATTTTACGCACAGCTAACTGGTCACTGTTATGTTAGATATAATCGGGAGATACTTCTCTGAATTCCTGCAGACTTCCAACCTCAACGATCTGTCTCTCAACCTTACCGTTGCCTCGCAGGCCTTACTACGGGATGAGTCCTTTCGAGGGTATCGAGGAAAGATGCCAGGTAGTGCGCCAAATAGACTCATACCGAAGTATTGGTCCATCCGTAATGTTTGTCAAGTTATAGTCAAGTAAAAGAGTCTCCGAAGTTCCATAAATTTGATACCAAAAGGAGATTTTAGCAGTTGAAGACCACTCCACCAGTAAAAGAGGGACAGTTTACATGAAAGAAGGCTCCACAAGGAACAGGGTCCGCATCCTATCCGCCTCATTTGCCTCCTCCTTTAGAACCTTCAGTCTCAGCCTCAGCAATCTCCTCCCGCAAACTCTCCTCATCGGTTAGCTCGCGCTCCCTTCCAACAGAGCACTGAATCGTCTCCCTCGAGAATACGACAGTCTCGGATTTCTCGAACGCCTTAGCAAAAGCCTTTATCACCGTTGGGTCGTACGACCCCTCGTGCGGCGGGTAGGTGCCACCACCCCTGCTGTCGGGGCTGGGCTCGTAGGGCGGGACGTAAGCGGACCAGTAGATGCGCGTAAGGCCGAAGCGGCCAAAGTAGAGGTCAGGACTCTGTGTTAGGGTTATGAAGAAGTGGCCCATTCTCAGGGTAGTCTTTTGGGATTTTCGCGGGACCTGTTGCTCTTTTAGTGATGATATGGTAAAGGGGGATAGAGATACGAACGTTATAACAAATATACGAGTCCCCGCCCATCCTATGATGCATTTTGAAGGCGGTGACGCCTCCGTTTACGGGCGGCTGGCAGAGGAGCATCTTTCGCCAGCTAGCTTCTTTTCTCATATAGGCGGTTTTCTTTTGAGGGGATGAGAGCATTTCGAGGGGTTTGAAGGAGAAGGGGTTCTTCTTCTTTTTCTCTTCCCTTCCGTGTTCAGTCTCAATCTCAGGGTCAATTTCATTTGCTTTTCATCGTTGTCGTGGATAGGGGGGTATTCATGGACTGAGGGAAAGAATGGTCGGAAGGCTTGTACTAAGAGCGGATTATAGATTGGGGAGGGTGTGGGCATTCGTATCCATTTGTGCTTTCCTGGCCGAGTTGTGTGTCTTTTTCTTTGGGCGATGGAAGGATAGAGTTCCAGATTGATTTTGCGTGCCATTTGCCCTTTTCTAGATTAGATTTAGGTGTGGTTTGTTGGAAGAAGAGCGCTTGTTGAATTGCGGGCGAGCTCTGAATGAGAACTGTCCAGGTTCGGCATACCCGCTGGGCCGAGACGAGGAGTGTGCGGGTGTCTAGGTGGAGGAGGATAATTTCAAGGAGTTTGGGGGTGGTGAGGACCTTGGTTTGGGGTTGCTCTTGCTCTTGCATTTTGGTGCTTCATGTTACAGTACTCGTGAGTATACTTTGGGCTTGGGGTTGTCGGTTGGAATAAGTCCATGCGCCCGCGGTGGGTTGATAGGATGGAACAGCAGATAGTCGATTAGTGCTAGTGAGGAACGCGGGGAACACGTTCAAAAGACAAGATGTCTGGCCCACTTGGTTCTGGCCCACGCTCAGCCTTGTAGTGGAGCATGAGTCAAATTGCGCCCCGCTTATCATCACATCGTTTACTTTAAATAGCAATTCTATTTTTATATATCGGTATGCGCCACTGACTAATGTTACACAAATCTATTAGCTCGTCAATTCTCGGTACAGGTACACCCGTCTGTAGGAGGCTAATACTGCCCACCAATCTGACTTGACACCTAATAGTACATTACTTCCACGGTTCCACCTAGTGCAGAAATGCCTTCGGAGCTTTTTGGGGTGAAAATATGAGCTGTTCTAACGAAGCGACGATTCTTCCTCTACTCAAACTAGACCAATCGGGCTCCTAAGCTCCCTATAAATAGATTTGCTTCTCGCAATCTTTCGGGAGCTTTCCGTGCCTGGCCCAACAACTGGGCTTGATGTGCATCATGGCTTCTTGACGGCATCACTGCTAGACAATGAATAACCTTGAAAGGTGTGAAATGAAAATTACCCGCCCCATCAGCGCACCAGCCATTTCTACTGAGCCCCAGTACACTGTTATTGGAGTGTCGCGAGTCCACAGGTTCTAGCGGGCCCAACATACGTGATGGTTTTCGCGGCATTTCACCAGAACCGAGGAAGATCCTCATCCAACCGATAATTTTACCTAATATCTAAACTCTGTACAAAGTACTTGGATGGCTAGGCCCAAGTCGACGCTATGACAATCCTGTACGCTGCTTCGAAAATGTAGAAGCACTCTGGGATGATGCAAGTAACCCTCGATGGGACTTTGCGCTCTTCTCTTGAACTAGAACGTCGCTGGTTTGCTTTGACGTGTGGTCTTGCTGTCAAATATATAAATAGTGCCTCTTCAGCAAGTCCAAATAACTTGACACAATTCCTTTTTCCATTGAGGCTTCGCAGTAAAAAGTGATACCCAGGCCTTATCGTCATATCCTCACGATGAAATCAATGTTGCTACTTGCGCTCGCATTTGATGTCCTTCAAAGCAATGGTAAGCATATTTATACATCAACCTAACTACCCAAACGCGGTCCTAACTTTGATCTTTTCACAAGCGTTCCGAATCAACTACCCTCAAAATGGCGATCTTGTGAATGTTCGCAACGGCCTTACCACAGATTGGTCTTACGAGTCTCACGACTCGATATTGCTCCCTCTCTCAATTCAATATGTCGCGGCTTCCCACCAAGAAGAGCCTCCGACATACATCAAGGAAGATCTCAATGTCACCTTAGGTAGATTTACGATTGATATCAGATTTGGTCTCGCCGACTATCATTTTCTGCGATTTATCTACGGCAGTCATGAATATGAGACTGGGCACTTTGACATCACTACATCAATACAATCAAAAAATGCCAGCCATACATCAAGTAAGTTCTGCCAGTCGCCTCGTTCAGTCGAGTCCTCTCCTGAGTGTCTCAAACTTACCTGCTGCAGAGTCTACCACCACAGAAACCAGTTCTCAGGTGCAAGGAACAAACAGCCCTTCGGACTGAGAGGCAGCTGCAGCTGCAACTGAAATCCCAAACATCGATGAGAACAACGATGATGGTCAAAATGTGGAGTGAATTGCTGAAAAAGCCCCAAAATGTTTGTGTTCTTTATGTCATTTTAGTCAGCCGCAAACCCCATACAAATTGCTAGAAACTAGGGGTAATAAAAGACAGAGTTGTCATATATTTCTATTGGCTGGTTAGAATCACAATTCAATAGTAGCTAATTTTAGACCATGAGCATATCGGACTCCATATGCAATGGAGTCATGACAAGAAGAAACTATTTCGCTGGGTGTAATTTGATTCTGAGTTTTTGAAAGGCTTGCGAAATATGAGTAACAAGCGCATGCGAGTTGCATCATGGCCATCTCATCCCACCTACTGACTGTATTACCCAGACTAATAGACTGGGTGAACCAGCGATCTATGTTCGAAGTACATTTTGTCGCTTAAATATTTGTCGACACCCTAGCAGATGGTGCTTCCAAACGTTGTAGAGCCCTCAACGCCGTTCTCGAAATCAAGCCACCCGGACAGAGCACTTCAGTCACTGTCGAATGAATATAGGAGGCTTTAGAACGATTATTCTTCGGAGCGGCCACGGTGTAATGCCTAGATCTGGAAAAGACTTGACATTTTGTTCTCTCAGGCATAAATTTACAAGGTTGGCAGGATGAGATAGCTTCATCTGTCGTGAGTTTTGGGCGTGTCATTGTTAACGCTGCAGTTGTTATGTGACACTGTACTTTTGTAATATACTTTCTCGCAGTGTCACCTCGCTGTACCATGTTGTTCTTCGGGTTGCAGTGCATATATTGTCAGGAAACATAGTTTCAGCCGTGCTCTGTGTGTAGCTTTACATCAGGTCGACATGGCAGACATCCCCATATGCGATGCTACCTGACATCCCAACAGGTTTGGATAGCATGCAGCGCTGACTGGCTGTCGTAGAGGATCGTCGCCTTCATCGCCCTTAAGCTTGCTGTCTGGGGGTTTTGATTTGCTAACTTGAGCATCAAGTTGATGGCGTGGAAAATATCTATCAACTTAGCTACATAGACCGACCATCCATCGGTCCCACTTGAACCTGTTGGGATCCAAAAATCTCTAGATAGTCATCGAGAGCCACGATCACGGCACATAAATGGCCCTAGCTTCCGGAGATATTTGATAACACGATAATGCCGGCCGTGGACCGGACGGCCTCGGCCCGTTCCATTGCCGTTTCTCGGTCTAGCTGGATCTCAATTTCAGTGAAAGGCTCTGCTCTCCACGGTCGCAGTGGTCAGAGGACAATCGTCTTGAGCTCATCTTATGTTTTCAAGTTCATGGTCTCCATCACTTTTGCATGTGGAAAACGAGCATACGTTCCTATATTGTTCCTGCGCTTCCGGGCTCCTAATAGTGTATACTAGGTGGGGTGATCACAGGGCAGAGTGTGGAGTCGTGCGATGGTGTTCTGGGCTCGGTGGCGAAGATGGAGGTGTGTTGGAAGTACGTGTGCTTCCACGTGATGGCTAAAATAGCACCAACAAAATTCGCTTCCAAAATCTATCGAGGTTTAGTATGGTCTTCCCAACTTGTATTAGTACTGTACTTGATCCTGCGGAATAACAGAATGGTTGTGATGCGGCAAGTCAAAAGTGAAAAAAAAGAAGTGGTCCTATTCGACAAGATACTGGAGATGGGAGAATAAGGAAAGAGAGAGAGGAGGAGGAGAGCTCCCCAAAACTAGTTATTGACACCCTACACACCTGACAAAACAGGCACCCACGAAATCCTGCACCCCCCATCTGACTTATCTCGATGCCCCAAACATCACAGTGGTGACTGAATCACTCTCGTAATTTTGCAGAATCGAAGATTCAGAATGATCATTGAATCACTAAATTACTCTAGGTAATGAAGAACAAAACAGTACAAACACCAAGTTTACAGGATTCCCAAGAGCTTTCAAATTAATCTTGATACCTAATTTTGGGCTGTTGCCTGAATCACCTGCATTGGGGCCGAAAATATTAGCACTAAAATCTACAAACCTGTCTATCAACGTACTACGAATTTCGTGTTGCAAGGCTGCCTATTTCTGGATCTTTAGTCATGTACAAATATCGAAATGAGCTGTGGATCTTAGAGCTATCACCACAATCCTCAACGATCAACATCATGCTACTCCAAAATCTCCTCACTATCGTGGCTGGCCTACTAGTACCTGCAGGTGCCAGAAGCATACAGCGATCCACAAGTAAAACATCCCCTCTCATAGCAACGCAGTATGGAACTGTTTTTGATGCTCCAGTCACAATCGGAAACCAGACCTTCATGCTCCTTGTGGACACCGGCAGCAGTGACACCTATGTGATGCAAACCGGATACAAATGCGTCAACAGCACCGACAACCTCGTCATACCAGAAAGGGATTGCCTCTACGCAAATAAGACATATCACATATCCAAAACATATCGCCATGTCCGCAACGAGATGTTCGGCGTGGAGTACGGCGCAGGACTCGCGAGCGGTCTCATGGCCTATGAAGAAGTGTCTATGAGCGGCGTCACCGTCAACACGCAGAAGATAGCTATCTCAAATAACTCCAATCCCATGGGTGATGGAGTGAATAGCGGGTTACTCGGTCTGGGGTACCCATCTATCACCTCCGCACACCCTGCTAATCACACATCCAACAGTACATATTGGCACGATCGTCTAGTTTACAGCCCTGTGCTGTTTACAATGTATGAACAGGGCATGATCGATCCATACTTCAGCCTCGCGCTCGCACATACCCCCCAGAATCAATCGACTTCTTTTGGAGGATACATGACGCTTGGTGGGCTTCCACCCGTCAATCACAGTTCCCACTTCTCCGCAGTCCCTGTCGAGGTCACGGACAACATTCCGCTGTGGTATACATCAGGGAAAAGTGTCCGATCTTACTGGACAACCACTGTTCGCAATATCACTTACGGTCTATCCCGGAATAACCTGACTACCAATACAACCTCGTTTCAAGCATTCGTCGACTCAGGGAACTATATTTCGTACCTTCCATCCGCGATCGTTGATTCGATCAATGCTCTCTTTTCGCCTCCTGCAACTTATGACTCTGACCTTGGTTTGTATATTATTGATTGCTCGGCCAAAGCACCGGAATTCGGCCTATCGCTTGGGGACCAGACATTCTACCATGATGGCTCCGATCTTATCTACCAGACCTCCGAGGGAGTTTGCGTGTCTAGTCTGGCTTCGTCTGCGGAAGTCTCTCTCGGTGATGTCACACTGAACATTATTGGCGTTCCGTTCTTGAAAAACGTCGTGGCTGTGTTTGACTTTGGGAAGAATGAGATGCGGTTCGCTAGGAAGATAGGCTCGGGGAATACTACCTCTACACTTCCTGTTTCTCGTGCACTAGTGCGATATCATAGCCAGTACGGTGCCTTGATTGCTTTGTTCTTGGCGTTGACTACTTCACTGATGGTATAAGACCCGGATAAGCTATGATTCTATGTTTGTATCTTATTATTGTATCTGGCTTTGTTCAAGTTTCAGCATTTTCAAAGCTTCCTCTAATCCACCATCTAAATTCACAATTCCAGAGCCCACATCTTTTAGCTTAAAATCCATCTCGGGCTTTTCGAGAAACAAGATCAATTTTAAAGAGAATATGACCATACATTTTCCTTATTAAAGCTTTTGCATCATTAAGTCGAGCAAAAAAACCAACTGAGTCTATCTTGCAGTTATGTCAATCTCCGAACTTAAGGTATGTCTAGATGTAGTAGCAACTCGATAAAGCTTCATTGGTTGATGATGTCGGCGTTATCGCGCTATTTCTAGGCCCAATAAACAGGGGGCAGCGATGTTTTTAGAGCTGAGCCCATAATTAAGTAGCTCATCGTGTCATGTAAGCGGGCAATGCGCATCTTGGGCAATTTTGGTAAGCAGAACACCTCTCTGATTCGTCGGGCCCTTCCTTGGCGCTCTTGTGATAATTGGGGGCGGGAATCGATCGGCATACTTTCCCCTAACGCGACCTTGGCTCAGCCTCCATTGCCTTTTTATGCATATGTACTCCGTACCCATTATTACTATTTTGTATACACCCCACCCAGAACACATAAATATACAAGTATATCTGTACTTCCATAGATGACTTCCAAATTATTGTTTGATGCTTTTGGTGAGGTTTAGGGTCACATTTCGGTTCTTGCTCAGGTCGAACTAAGTTCTTGTGGACCTCGGAAGGGTTTCGTAAGGACATCTTGGAAAAACGGGGGCCAAATTCAATTACTGTGAGTTCAACGATAACCGACCTTGAAATGACACCAGTAATATACCTTTTCATGTTGATTGTCAGCAGCGGCGCTTGTTAGCGTCAAACACAACGAAATAAAAGCGATCGCCGACTGTAGTATTCAGTCCTTGTAACGATTATCACTATCGCGGTTGGTCCTATTGCGTAACTAGTCTCATCGAAGTGAGAAATGGCGTTAGGATCGTTACTGTAATGAAGTCTAGTGTTTTGCACAAGATTGAACCCTTCACTAATGATATTCGCGCACTCGTAATTATATCGCTTTGAAAACGGCTTAAAAGTTCGGGATGCCATGTTACAAGATTATGAACCCATTTTTCGCCGACTGTTTGGACTAGGGTAATTTCGCGGGCCTCAAGAAGAATATTCGTAGTTTCTCGTAAAGTGGTCGGCCGAGGCGCTGCTCTGCGATCATGAAGTGAGAAAATTCATTTTCCAAGTGATTCATCTTCCCTTTCGGTTAATCTATACGGGTCGGCGCGAGAGATCGCGCGGTTCGGTCGACCGAGTGTCCGATTTTGCAACGTTGACTGGGTTACATTATAAACCCGCGCTGCTTCTCGAATAGAGTTGATTTCGTGGTTCTTCAACAGCCTGATTTGCCAATAAGATCCTGACCTCCTGCTTGGTTGAATTAATTAAGTGCTGATTCAGGGATGCGTTTTGGTTGGGGTGGCCAACTCGCTTACCAGCTACGTTAGTCATCAATCGTCTGCTGGCCACTTTAATACCTTTTTACTGTTGATTTGTGGTCCTGGTAACCCCAAAGCTTCCGCTAAAATCTCTAAGGTGTTCACGCCAAGAAGTGGCAGTACCAGCAAGTGGCTTATGAAGCACAGATTCCTGAGAAAATTCAATAGAAAAAGCACAAAAATGTATGATTGATTCAAAGAAAGTAAATACGTATGCGAGAAGGTTCAGTTCGCTCTCTGGTGCTGGAAATACTCTCAAGTATAACCTCATGAGCAGGGGGATCGGCTTGTATAAGCTGCGCTGATAGCCGGTAGAGGACCTGAAACCCCTCGATTTCTACAACATCCAGGCAATGATATTCTACCATTTCAGAAATATGTTGGGTTGTTGAATTCTCCCTTTATTGCAATTCCCTAGAACTTTGTTAGTAAACTTGCTGCATAGACCGTTCTGGGCAATCTCAGACTCACAGGTCTTGGTGAAATCCTTTCATCTAACACAAATGCGTGGCAGGGAAATCGCCTTGCATCGCAGAAACACCCAGGTGTCCTCGCCATGTGCCTCTTCCATGCCTCATTGTCAGGCAGAGCGCCGAAATGCTTCCCAGACCATCCCATGCGTCGTCAAGAGCATGCACAATCGTCTGAATTTCAGCGGTGGTATCACAGTTTCTCCCCGAGGCGTAGTAGTAATAGGTAATGCTCACTCCGTTGGAGTCTGATACGGTACCTGAAATGCCTGCGCAGCTTCCGGCTTTGCTTAGCGAATACATCTTGCCCGAAATTTCGGCAATGACCGCCTGGGATTTGTCGGAGGGGCTGAACTTGGTGCTTCCCGACTTCACTTCGGACTCAGAGACGGAAATTGATGTCCTTTTTACAAGTCCGTCTTCATTTCTCTTCGTGGTGCTCCCTCCTTCGATTTCAGCAGTGCTGTTTCCTTCGAGCTCAAGAAACCCAGTGTTTCCTCTTTTGGCGCCTGCGTGATGGCCGTCGCAAGCAGTTTGTGGGTTTTTTCCTGAAGACTTCGTCGCCAAACCAAGCACTCCGTGCCATGTACCGTGGTGATCAAAATCGAGACACACCGCGGAGGCTCCCTGAGAATGCAAGTCATCGAATGCATCGGAGAGCTTCTTGGTGATGGTCTTTGTTCGCTGGGTGCTGTCACAGCTGTTGCCGGTTGTGTATGAATACACGTAATATTCGTAGTCCACTCCATCTTCCGTGACGGAGATGATCGCTGATTTTCCACAAATCTTTTCCGGGTCTGGTCGGTTGCCATACCAACTGACAATTATACCAACAGTTCCAGTAATCACAAGGCCAACTCCCGAAGCCTTTCCGATAATGTCACCACCGTTCCATTTGTGTACGATGGTATATTCATCGCTTGTCCGGGCAGTGAGCTCCTTCTCTTCACTCGCGTTGGTTTCATTCAGAGTCCGGTTGGTCTCAACTGCAAGTGCTGAGCAAATACCCTGCATCGATAGAAAAGCCACGAGGATGGATCCAAATCGATCCGAGATGCTCTTGAACATGATAAAGATTGTTGTAGCACTTCTGTATTCTTGAGATATGAATGGTATCTACTTTTTGTTAGTAAAACCGCGGAGTAAAGCCAAACGAGGGCAGGGTCTATACTGGTAAGAATATGAATGCAAATTCCAAAGAAACAAGAATGAATATGGCAAAGATGATCGACTTTTCGAGTGCCTCTGTTGTGTTTTTTGGAGGACTGGAAGTGTGATGCCTTTTATATGTCCAGGATCCGTCGATCAAAAGATGACTTGATTGCTTTCCAGATGCGAATTGGTGCTGGAGATGCAATCTAGGGTCCAAATTTGGTATTTCAGAAGGACCCTGATCTTCTATTTTGGACAGTGACTCGATCTAGTGCCAGTTCCCGATACCGAGCTGGCATCTGATTTTCTATTCATGGAAGTGGCTCGATCTAGTGCCAGTTTCCGATACCGAGCGGGCATTTGTATACAGTCCTGTCTGTACTAGCAAAATTACCTAGAACCTGGGGCCAATACCTAGGTATTCTGATATGGCAACTTGAAGGGGCTGTGAGTTTGCTGCCCCCATATTCTGCGCTTGGACAAGACCCACAGAATCTCACATTCGCGTGGCTCATTTTCCTTGTGTGTGCTGAATGGCCGTACATCGCCGTCTCCGACTTTTTCGCCTCATTTTACTGGTATCTGATATGAACCAAGTGCTGTTTCCTCGTCTATCAAGTACTTAGTTGTCTGTATGAGTCTATATGACGTAATTGCTTTAATTTTGTAGCACTATCTTCCTATCCGATTCCACAGAAATAGACCTTCATTCGGTCGAAGGATGGGTCCCAAGTCGTTCCCTTCCCCACCACCGGTAGACTAATTGCGAAACTTGTTTCAACTACCTTACAAGTTGGGGGCGAAAAATGAACAATGTAAATGTCTGTTCTCAGGGTGCATATTGAGAAATCCTCACCGAGAATAGATTGGATAGGGAATAGGCACACTACCGAGACCATCCTAAGACTGAATGATGGTTCATGTAGCATCTATTCTTTTCACAAGCCGCAGTTTAGGTAAAAGGTGCAAGTATACCGGTCGAAGCTCCGCCGCTGCTCCGAAGCCTCTCTTCCTTGATGAAAACCCGAAAACATGAAGGGTAGAACAAGTATCTAATCCCCGTAGAAGAGAAAAAAGGCACAGTGGAGCCCGGCTATTCCCTGATTTCCTAGCTTCAAGCATCTCTTACTGGGGCTGATGATTGTATCTGCAGAATTTGGGGCCATGTCATACACTAGTTGATAAGAACCGATAACCAATGTACTTGATATGATATTGGTCAATCTTCAAGGCACAAATTAACCCTACGAGGCGCTAAATCGATCATTAGGACTAGTATTATCAACTTTGAGCTAACAGGCGCTTTCTAGAGCGCACATCAATACCTTTCAACTAGGCCTTCCATCAAGGTCCTTTCGCCCGTACCATGAGGGGCCAAATAATTAGAGCATACTATGTATTCTGAATGTGACATATCGCAGAGTCCAGTCATATTTGGTTCTTTGTTACTATCACGCCTCACATAGACCTAAAGTACACGCACATGGCATCATTAACTAAATCATGCTGGGTATGGAGCAGGAAATCCTCACCGCTAGAGAGTATGCGCTAGTTTTGAAACCTGATCTTCAGGTGGTCAGTCCCACTCAACGATTTTCGAGTTCCTTCCGCCCCCATGTAACATCTATATTTGAGACATGATGGGGCCAAAAGGTGTTGGCGATCGTCATCAGGCGCTATTTAGCGTTGCTTGTATTGGGGGCCAAAAACCTTTATTCATATTTCTGAGTAAGCCAGATACCCCCCCCCCCCAAAGACAATGAGATAGCGTGCGATTTTTTTCTTTTCTATAAATACAGTTTTTAGAGAAGACACCAGCTATCGCAAGTGGTGAGCTCTTCATATTGTCGGATGTTCGCATCACACACGCAATTTGGGAATGCAAGTTGCAGAGTAAAAGTAGTTTTACTAAGAAATTCTTCATCTTCAATTTTCTTCCGGTTTATCATTTGCGAGTGTCACAGGTTCACCATTCTCAAACTCTGGTATCAAATCTCAAGTGCGCAACGTGCAAGACTCGGCAAGACGTCGGCAAACCCTAAAACATTCCCATTGGATTGGAATGAAGCCGGGAATATTGGCAATATGTGCTAGAGGCGATTTGAATTCATGCTTTTGGTGTAGTAGGTGCAGTCTAGTGTTCCAGATCCTATCCGTTGGTGCAAGCCATCCCAACGTGGAGTTGTCTTTTCTTGTGTGTTCTGCGGTTCAACTGATGCCATTGTGTACGACTTTACCGCAAAGCTTGTTCGGCACTGCAAAATATGTCCGGGTCCCAAATCTGTTCGAGTTATGGACAAATGTGCAGTGGCTCAGCTGAGTAGTCCAGCTAGCAATCGCGTTATTTCGGAGAAATTGTTGTTGTGTACCGAGCGGACAGCGGACCCACATGCGGGTGCTCCCGAGCCCCCTCGCACAACCGCGCCAGGAACGACCACGATCGAAGTGTTAGACAGCCTTAACTCGACCAGCGCGCCTTGGACAAGAAGACATGCCCGGCCTAGTGATGGCCACGCCGCGGTAGTGCCCCCCGAGACCCTGAGTTCCGGAGACAACCATGATAGCAACGGACAAAACACCTTTGGGCGATATCTTCTAGAGGAGATCGCGAACACCCATTCTCGCACGGCGCTGTCGAACGAACCGTCCACACGAGAAGCCTAAGTATCGGGGGTGGGCACCCCTAAAGTCAGGTATCTCATCCGGTTCAAGGACATAGAGTCGGCGGAAGCAGCTCGCAACAATGTGAAGTGGCCGCACAAGTTAGAAAATAATACGAAACTTGGTAAGGCGCGGTTCGGTGTCGTGGTACACCAGTTCCTGATGAAGGACTTTGACATAGCGAACGCAAACGCACAGGCAATCGAAAAAATAATGAAAGAGAACGACATAAACGAGCGAGGACTCCGGGTCGAGGACATTGCTCAGCTAATAAAGAAGGACCAAACACTGGGAGATCACGCATCTCTCGGCATCTGGTTCGATAATGCGGAAGGCGTTGACTATATTCTAGGCACGGGCTTTCTGGTTGGCCAGAGATACATCGGCAGTGTGAAGCTCTACCAGTTAAAAAGAAAGAGACGCTTCCGGTGGCAACGATTTGGGCACTTCGCATGGCCATGCAAGGAAACGCCTCGATTTTGCCAATGGATATGTAAGCACATTCCGAAGCAGCACTTGTCAAGGGCGCATAAAATCCACAATTTTAGTCGGGAAAAGCAAAATGGTTTTGCCATAACGAGGAAAAGCATTCAAACTGAGAGACTGATTGTGGACAATGACTAGACGGCTTAAATACTTGGGAGCCTTTTCGATACGTACATCAAAGAATCAAGCTCCTTGTGGCTGATGGCGCTCACATTAGGTTCTTTAACGATTAAGTGCCGGCCCCAACACTGAGCATAGGTTTTGATCTGGTTCTGTAATTGGTGTGACTACTTGGGGCGATCGGCACTCGGTAAAGGTTGAGGAGATGAAAGAAGAATGCTAGGTGGGGCAGTGAGGGGCCGGCACGTGTAGGTACATTGTCATTGAAGAGCCTCATGTACACGTTAACCAACGAAACAACTAATTAGCCAAGGATAAATATCTTCAATAAGAGAATTGATAGGAGCGCTCTCGATTTCGTTCCAGACACTTCTGATTATGCAAACCGACATCAAAATTGAAGGTTTGAAAAGGCCTCTTTTAAATCATCTTTTCCGTCGTATAAGCTTCATAACATTCGGCATTGCCTATCCTACGCATACCATTTGAACATACGACATGTTTAACATGGCCATCATATCTTCACAAGGGGTGAATGAAGTTTACGACCGCCCTTGCAACTTACGATTGCTACAGCCGGTGAAGAAGATGTATCAAGCGCTTTTCAATCTCTGGTTTTTTTGCCTTTTGCCTTTTGCTTTTTATTTTGTAAACGGCGGACCTGTGAATTACTGTATCCGGTTAGTCTTGCCTTTTTGGGTTTAGCGCTCCAATACGCTGTCACGTAACCTACCTTCAATCCCCTCCGACATAAAAGACCTGTCTTCGCTGCTCTTCTTCCCTTTCTCTCACTTTTCCATTATTCTGCCACTCTATCTTGCACTCATCGCCGCCCCCTTTCTGTTACTCTGGCCCCCACCGACTAATGCACATTCGCTTTCAACCCGACGCACTGCCCCCTTTCATTTTACCAGAGATGCCGCTCCATCCGACGCCCAGCTCGTTATGGCCGGCATGAGCTGCCATACCAGTCGCCCAGGAGCAGAACCCTTGGGATGATCCAACCCGCAGCCGCATCGATCGGTTTCGTGTCGATACTCCCTCCTTATCTTTTCCGGGAGTGTGACAGTACACCGTGCTACGAAGCTATCTAGGTCGCCTTCTTGCTAGAACGCCTTGCTCGTTGAGCGTCACTCATACCACCGGCCTCCATTGCATCTGCAAAGTTCCGCCATACTATCCTCGATGCCGCATGCCCCGCCCCATCCGCCTCATCTGAGGTTACATTTGCACAGCCCCTGATGTTGCAGAACGACTGTCCGTTGCCTTGTCGCGAATCCCGTGGCGCCCAGTTGTCGTCATCGTAAGATTCTCTCAAAACCAAATCTTCCCAGAAATGAGTCGGAGGCAGGATGTAATATGAAGATCATACGTATAGTAGTAGTGGATTTCATTTACTCCGGGTCTCGTCAACAATGTACTAGTTACATAATAGGTAGTTATTTACTGCAAAGGAAGCCTAGCTGCAACTTAAATTTGATTTCCGAGAAGGCCTATCAAAAAGTGAGCCACGTTGGAGTCAGGCCTTACTGTGTGTAATGAATGGTACGCTTGCAGATTATTTATATTTGAACAAGAAACTCTGAGCAGAGTACAGAGAAACGCTAACCGCTTTCAGCTCATCATGTCCAACATCAGTCCCTCTCATTCACAGTCGATAACAAAGCTAGACCGTCATGGCTTTTCGCCATGAAATCACTTAAAGAAAAATTTCGGAAACCTCTATTGCTCTATGTCCTCAAACCAACCGGCAAGCGACTAAAACAATCATTCATGGACTTGAAAATGAGCGGCGCCACAAAAGGCGATTCGGGAAATTAATTAAGCCGAAGTCTGGCTGACGTGATGTGATCGGCTTCTCTCGCACCATCGTTCAGAGCGCCACTAGTCTGAATCAGGTTACTAGAGCAACGAAGATGTTTTTGGGGGCCTATGATGAACTTGCATATCGCTTTGCGAGGGGTCAATGTAAATGAATACCACTACTACTACTACTACTACTACTACTACTACTACTACTACTACTATGATAAACTTGATGGTTGATGCAGCAACAGCTATTAAACAAATGTCATACAATTAGATTGAAACAAGCATAAGCAAGATATATAAGTAAAAAATTCCTGATCTCTGTTCGTTACTTGCTTCACAATCACCAATGACCTCCGGGGGACGACTAAGCTAGTTGGCATTTGACTAGCTTCATACTCTGCTGCTATGCACAGCTTCTGCGAGCCCACAACAAAGCCTTAAATTAGTTGCAAGAAAAGTCCTTGATTCGTTGGATCGAGCTGCTTAATTCAGTGTATACACCACCGACTCCTTTGGATATTGAGGGTGCTGCAAATCGCATTTTAAAGCACTGCGGTTCCGACCGGGAAGTTAGTAAAATGTATGGCTACCATTTCATTGCACGCCTACCACCACATATCACCCTTCGTACGCAAAAACCTATGGAAAAAGCGAGAATTGAGTCCGAATCAATCACATATTGAATTAATTCATTGGTATAAGGTTTTTGGCCAATTCCCCCGAAAGAACGAGATCCAGGCCCACGAGCTATACAACTGGGATGAAACTGGCTTTCAGTTAGGCATTGGACATAAGGAAAAGGTCGCTTCGACCCGCGATGAAGATACTATTGCGACCGGTGGAATTGGCCAAAATACCACTGGTATTGAGTGTAGTTCAGCCGACGGTTGGGTTATGCATCCATGGTTTTTAATCCGTGGTTCTGAACAAATGGAAGATTGGTACGACGGCGACAAAGATCCTTCTGATTACCGAGTCATTAAGCCAATAATCAAAGGCTGGACAGACCATAAAACTGCGGTTCAATGGCTACTAGATTTCCATTATGCTACTCGAAAACGAGTCGCTAAACATAGACCTAGGGTCTTGTTAATAGATAACCATGGTTCCCATGGAACCCCGGAATTCGAACACATTTGCCAAACCTACAACATTATACCTTGGTGGTTTATTCCGAAGATAACCAATTGCAGGTAATTCGAGGGTTTCTCGGCGCTGTACAATGGAATCAAAGATGGATATTCGGCGAGAGAGTGGCGATGCAAGGATTCGAGACTACTGGCACCGGGCCAACCAAGCTCTTAAAGAAAAAGAAGAGGCACTAGGTGGTAGATATTATATTGATGTTGATGACAAGCTATTTAAATTTGTAAATACTGATGGTTTAGTGGTGGAAAAATAGGCTTGAAATTGAAAGTATGAATTTTTTGGTTTTTTGCATTGGTTTGGGTTTTTGCATTGGCTCACCTACACACGGGAACGGGTGTAGGTGAATTGCTTAGTCACAATAATCTGTCAACAATTCAACAATTCGCATCTCCACTGCAAAAAGCTGATTGGTTGTGAGAGTATTATGTCTTAGCCTCACCTCTTACTCTCATGAACTCTGGAATTCATTCCCCAGACCTGGGCTCCGTAATATCTTTGTTTGTCTTAAATTTCCCACAAAATCACAATTGGCTATTAAGTCTTAAAATCCAACCAGTATATATACCATCATGGCAGCTAGGGCCTCTCTGTCCCATAACGATTACACGATCGGATGGATATACGCTTTACCCGTAGAGATGGCAGCCGCAAAGCTTATATTGGACGCAATACACTCGAGTCTACTGTGCCCGCCCACAGATCAAAATACGTACATTCTGGGAACTATCGGGGATCACAACGTCGTTATTGTCTGTTTACCAAGTGGCGCATATAGCAATATGTCAGCTGCAACGATAGCAATACAGTTGCTCTCGAGCTTCCTCTCCATCCGGTTCGGTCTGATAGTCGGTGGAGGTTGAGGTGTACCAAGCAGTAGCGCAGACATTTGACTAGGCCATATTATGGTGAGCCAGCCAGCGGACACATCTGGAGGCGTGATCCAATACGACCTCGGTAAAGCGTTAAGTGGCGGTCAATTCCAGCGGATAGGGATGCTTAATCGGACGCCTAAGGTCCTTCTAACTGCCCTCACTAAACTTCAAGCCCACGACTTCACAGAAGATAGTCGGGTTCTTAAATTTATCTCTGAAGTCCAAGTCAAAACATGATCTTGTAGTGACACGGGCCAAAGTGGCCTCGGTGGCCGAGATGGTTAAAGCGGATGCCCTAAGAAGGGCAATATCTGATACTAATCAACCTTCAGATATAGTTCTTATAATCGGCCGAGATTTAAGTCTATAGTCTCATCGCTTTGGTGGCCTTCTTTTAATGAACACGTGCTGAACTTCGGCTTCGATCCTCTCGGGTCATAAGACTATTTTCGTAGAACCTTCATGGTTCCAGGACCCCTAGCCGCGCAATCATCATTTTTTTTTCGGACCTCAGATGCTCGTCTTTTTGAAGATGGCAGCTGCATGTGACGCATAATTCAAAGTTTCGGTGAATTCGTCTCATCAGATTGTTACAATTCCATTCTGACGCACGGATGATATGCAGCTGAATTCAGCCTAGGCAATTTCATCGTCGCCTTGGCATTAAGGATTGGGAGAGTTTCTCGGCGTAAAAGGTGGAAGCTAATTTCGAATTTAGCGGTAAAATTACACGCTGCAGACAAGAACTCCGTTAAATTCTATGGAAGCCGATAGTGGATCTATACAATCATGCGGAGAGAGCCGCTTCGCATCTGGTTCCTGGACGATCTGCTAGGTGACTAGACCTTTTGGAATATTCCACAAGCGGGATAGAGCCATATAAGTTGCCCTCTTCTCCTTAGCCTTTCTCGTAACCAGGCATTGTAGCTGTATCCTTTCGAGGGGGATTATTGCGGTTGAATTGACTGCGGAAGTGTATAATCCGATTCCCTGAGCTAGGATGTAAGAATAGTGCCCGTGGAGGTGGAAAGGGTGATAGGCGTTGAAAAGAGATCAAAATGTAGAAAAACAGCAGAAGCATGATTGATTCACATTTATAAATGAAACCCAACAAAGGAAATCCGCCCTGATGCGTGTCCTAGCGCTAGTAAATTACCATTTATCTTGAAACAGCTGGGCCGAGACTCGACAGGAAGCCAAAGAACCTTTTTGCCCTTCAATGTTATCAATTGATTGTGTTGAATAGAGATATCCAGATTCGCACAAGTCATGCGATACGTAGGACTATCACAGCTGGATTGATTGTCGAAGGCACCGAAGTTAGTGTATAGATATAAACCGTCGTGGGAAAATTCGAGCGTATTGACTATTTGTTCAACATTCCGAGGTTGTCTATGGCCTTCCAGGGTCTGAGTGAGCGCGCCCATTGTCAGGCCCCAGAGGCGCACTGTCTTATCATAAGAGCCAGAGGCTAGCAGGCGGCTATCAGGCGAAAAGGCCACCGAATGAACCCAACCTGAATGGTCTTTGAGGGTCTGGGTGAGCGCGCCCGTCGCCAGGTCCCAGAGGCGCACTGTCTTATCATAAGAGCCAGAGGCTATCAAACGGCTGTCGGGCGAAAAGGCCACCGAATGAACCCAACTTGGATGGCCTTCGAGGGTCTGGGTGAGCCTGACCTTCTTCGGGTCCCAGAGGCGCACTATTTTATCACGGGAACCAGACGCCAGTACCCGGCCGTCGGGCGAGAAGGCCACCGAATGAACCGAACCCGAATGGCCTTTGAGGGTCTGAGTGAGTGCGCCCGTCGCCGGGTCCCATAGGCGCACTGTCGTATCCTCAGAGCTGGACGCTAGTAGGCGGCCATCCGGCGAAAAGGCTACCGAATGAACCCAACCTGAATGGCCTTCGAGGGTCTGTAGTTCTGCGCCCCATCTCTCCTCAACTTGTGGTAATTGGCATATTCAAGTAGGAAGCTCGTGTTTGAACTGTCTACGGATGATTGCCGTTCGGGGTGCAAATATGAGCCCTGCACAATAAACCTGAAGAGGCGCTTGATCAATTATCTGGCGGTTTTTTAGAATAAATCTCTTAGCATCGTGAAGAAAATCCGAAGTTGAGGAAGAGTCGTTGCCCTAGGTCTGTCAGTGTGAAACATATATAACTACCTTCGCAACTTACCAATATGGCCGTTTGGAGGCGATCAAGAATACCGAGTATTTCCGACGTAAGGTCGAGTAGGCTCATTGCTTCCACCCAGTGTAGAAAATGGTTTCGCAGGAAATGCCTCTGGAGAAACAAAAGCGCACTATACATCATATTTTTCGAGCCCGTGCATTTAACTAGATGAAATGCCCAGTATCGACAGGCGTACTGCAACTTCGAAGGAAGGCAGGCATCGACAGTCCGACGATCAACTTCTGCACGTTGGGTTCCGTCACTTGACAGTCCACAGATATTTTTCCGAAGATTCTGACACATCAGTAGGCATTGTGTAGCCAACCTATAGTGCATCTCTAGCTCATTCATCCCAAAAGGGGTCTTCTTGCGGGTTTTCGGATCGAAAATAAAGTCCCGAAACGATAGGTGAAAGAGCCGTACAGGGTCTGCTTCACTGTCTGGCACTCTTAGTACTGAGTGCAGTGGATTAAGTCGCAGATATATAAGGCTTTCGGGAAGGTCTAGAAGCTTTGAGAGTGAATTGACTGAGAGCGGACTCTCTAGTATCACGATAGCTCCGATCACTTGCTGAAACTCTGAGACCAGTTTTTCTTTCTGCGTCTCCTGCTGTCTGCCAAAAAGACGATCAAGAACCGGAAGATATGTCCCATCTAGCTTAGATTGGTCGTTTTGATGTGTAAGTATCTCGGTGGGACTCTCCGTTGGGTCCCAATCCGGGTCTTCAAATATGCGACAGATCGTGGCGGCGAAAATAAATAATGGAACGGACAATGCCACTAGCCTTCGAAGATCTCTCCCGCCCGGCCATTGTGGAGGTAAGAAGCGTTCTGCTCTAATCTCTGCAAGTCGATGATCAAAGAATAATGATATATCGTGCTCGATCACTTCCATTGGGATGTCATGGAGAACAAAGTCCCTATAGTCATCGTTTGCAATCTTTGAAAATCCGAGACGAATTGGTAGATCGGGCCTACTAGTCAAAAATACCTCATCCAATCGGGTCTAAATCATAAGCGCCCGTCTCTTGTGTGATGGGACGGGGTGAAAGGCTCGATACCGTCGTCCAGCTGGCATCACAGTGGGTCCAGAAGCTAGCTAGCCAATCAACAACGTCCAGGCCCGTCCTCTTAACAAACATTTCGTGGCACTGGATTCACGGAAGAAACTCTAGGGTATGGAGGATTATTGAGAATACTAAAAGCTGCATGCCTTATTCTCATCTCCTTACGGCCAATTGAGTCTGTTTGCCGCCGGCAGTTCATGGAAGAGGGCTCCGTCGGGATAGATTCCTTCGGGCCTGGTTGACCAAACATTGTGTCTTTTTGGCCATCTGTCTTAACGTTACAACCTGAATTCCTAGTCAGCGGAACATGCAATATCCGAGACCATTTTAGCTCTCAAGCACTGGTCATCAGCCTACAGGAATTGCCAAAATTGTGATAAATGTTTTCATTGAAGACGAACAAATTGAGGGTCCTAGACCTGAGCATTTATGCTCCTTTCTTGTCGTTGGCAAGAAAAAGTATCTCCTAAACTAAAGGCAATTGCACACCTCAGACCGTATCAATGTCCGATCCTGATTCTTCTTTTGCGTAGTAATTGCGATTAGTGACAAGACGGTGAACATCCTCTGCGTGCCTACGAAGATGCATTTCATGGCCGAGCAACAAGAGATCATATACGCAGGAAGAGACTCGACTTTGATAAGTCTTGCTTTCAATCTCCTTTTCAACTTGAAAGAATTGGTATTGGCTTTTTGTGAAAGAAAGCGCGACGAGGATCGGGAGAGTGATTACCACCAGGTCTCGGGTATGAGAGAACCAAAAGTCTTATGAGCACCATATTCAGGTGGTATTGGCAGCTTTAAAGGATCGCAGCGTGACTTTAAAGGTCATACAGCCCACCGGTTTGAAAGCGAGGTCTTCTTGGCTATCCAATCAAGACTCACAGCCGTCGGATCTATTTCAAGTGGCCAGAGTGTGAGGGTATTGCCGAAAGGTTTCATCAGAAGGGATCAATACAAAGCCACGGAATGTTGTCGAGCGGTTGGGCCTGGACGATGTTGACTGGCTAGCTAGCCGCTGGACCCACTGTGATGACCCTCCTATGTGGATGACGGCCATTCGTTGTCTATCGAGTAAGATCTGGGATCATACCAGGCCCCAGGACCTATAGTAAGGCAATGCATCTGAGGGTCTCACGTATACGTAGAGGTGGATAGTGTCTTTAGATAAATAATCAATATGGAGAAAAAGCTATAGTTGACTCTAGATACAAGATTTAGCGCGAGGAAGCAAAGGAGACAGGACCCAGATGCGCCATGTGGGTCCCGCAGATCATATCTTCATTCATCCTGTATAATCATGTATATTCCTGAAAATGCACGTAGTCGCCCCCAGCAGTAAAATTTGTAGTTCCTAGAGGACATACAGATACTTGGAGTGAATAATATAGCTCTGGGGAGCGAGATCAGTGCCACGCGACTATGCAACCTGGGGATGTCAAAAGCAACTCTAGGAGCATTGTATCTCCTGGGAATTCCAACCTAGCTCCTGGGATCTTTTCTTTATTCCAGGAAACCAAATTCTATCCCTGGGATCATCAACCGATGTTCCTGAAAGACTACGAAATTGGGGTTTGGAAACGCATCGGCTGGACATAGAAGCCGTTGCACTCCTGGCACCTTACTTCTGGATCCTGAAACAATCTTCTGCCACCCAGGATACAGTATCATCTCACATTACACCTTCACCAGGCCTACGCACAAATCTGAATCATTATATAACTCCCAGAAGGCTAAGCCACAGTCCCGGGAACTACACTAAAGGTTCCAGGAGTCAATACAACGATCACCAGGAATATGAAGCTGGTTCCCCGGGGTACAGGTATAAGGTCCCAGAAGCTACGTCTGGTCTCCTTGGGACTATATGGCTCCTAGAAATGGCGTATATGCTCCCAAAAACGGAACCAGAGCCTCTAGGGGCAAGAGAACTCTCAGAGCCGAGACTTGTGTTCCCAGGGTTGGTTGATAGGGCTATCTGAGATTTGGCAAATCGATAAGATCACAGTTTGCAAGGCGGCGAAGGCGTTGTGCTCGCAGCAATTTTGATCCAGAAAGTGCATGCCACATCATGCATTGTGCATCATGCAGGTGATCTGGCAAGAAGCACGTAATGCGTGCGTGAACCCGCAGTCTACATAGGTACCCGTTTTTGAATGAGGCTGCAGCCTCAGGCTCCAAACGAGCCAGAGGCGGTTACTGTAGCGTTTCTCTTCACGTTTTCTCAGAGTGACGCTTGGCTCAAGCACCGACAATCGGCTGAGAACAATCTTGTAAGAGCTTTGTGAAAAATTTATCGCTGGTAGTCGTGGGAGTGGGCAGGGTATTAGGGAATGCACGGACATCAAAGCAAGTGGAGACAAATAAGCCAATAACATCTAATAAACACCATCCTTCCTTTTCTGCTAAGGTGGTGATCAATTTAATTAATTAAACAATATGATTTCCTCGAACAAGTAAAACACTCACCAAGAACTTCCTTCACGTTTGACATGCGCATAAAGGACAAGGACCGTGAGAACTAACACTGCCGTAAATAACAGCTGACTTCCTATTCACTCAACGTTTATCAGGTTCGTGGTGTGCAATGGTCAACACACGTCCAGAATCAATCAATCCACCCGATTTCCACAATGACAATTCCTGAAGCGCATCCGTTTCCTTACTCTACTATAATGAGAGCTCAAAAACGTTGAATCGGCCTCTAACGCCATCAAAAATGAGCGGCGTCTCAATTCTTCACGCCGCCGCACTTAATTGCGTTTGCCTGTCTTGTTCTGGTCTAAACCCAGCTAGCTGTGTTTCTGAATAATCTACGATACGCTGAGTCAGGGGGCTATACTCAATCATTCCTCCTAGGATCATGCTCACGGCCTCTGGGAGCTAAATGTCCTCTAGGAACTGTACCTGTCACTCCTGGGAGCGAGACAGATCGTTCCTGGGCTCTCTACCTTGGATCCTGGAACCACACCCGTCCGTTCACGGGGAGCGTTGATTACTTCTGGATCAATTGTTTTGCTGCCCGCAATGATTGCCCACGTTTTAGACCCCGCTTATTATCTCGCAAGACCCACGTTCCTAGGATCATATCCGGCCCTAGGATCCATAGAATGGCTCCTAGGCACGCTCTTGGTCGCTCCCAGGAGCCAGACTCATAGTTCCCAGAGGGCCTACAGCTCCTGGGAGTGAACTGTATAGCCCCGGGGAACTAGAGTGGGTTCCTTGGGCTTTAGCGTTTAGCAAGATCGGTGCCAGTGGATCAGTGGGGTCACCCACACGTTTGACATCTGTTCCCGAGTACGAATCCCGGGATCACGAGGGCTCCCTAGAATTAACAAATAAATCTTAGTGGCGGGGCATTAGGAATCTAGGAATACAAATCTAGATCCTAGGAGCAACTAGGGCTTGTGTGAGTCTCACGTATACATAGAGGTAGATAGCGTCTTGAGATAAATGATCAATATAAAGAACAACTACAGTAGCGCGAGGAAGCAAATGAGATAGGCCTCTCGCGTTCAGGGGAACCCACATGCACCATGTGGGTCCCGCAGGACATATCTCCATTCATCCTGTATGCTTCAT